CACACACCACCACACCCACACACACCACCACACCCACACACACCCACCACCACACACACACCACCACCACACACACACACCCACACACACCACCACACCACGCCCACCCGTGGACACACTCACGCCCACCCGTGGGCGGGGCTTTCTACCCACAGCCCCACCCAGTTCCACCCGCGTATGAGTTTGCCCGCCCACAAACGCACCGGGCGCGCTTGTTACAATGATCTAGCGACACGGCCGGCGACTTGTAATAAAGTAGACAAGAATTTTTACAAAATCGTTTCATTTAAAAGCTGGCCTTAAAATGCAACGATCCTGCCATGTCCCGCCGGGAGCTCCTTCCAGGATACATTTCTTCATGAATTCGCTGACAGTAGTTTTCGCTGGATCCTGCCAAATCTTTTCGTCTGCAGCGTCGGTGCAGGCACCTGTTCGAAACTTAGCGTGGGGTGTTCTTGTTTCTAATTCACAGATGTTTAAGATTACAAATTACGACTAGATGGTCGATCTCAAGGAAAAAAATTTAAACATATATATATATCGCGCAATCGCGACAAGTCGAACCGCTTCCCCAGGTAACCGCAGACATCCTTTGAGTCGACATATGCGCACCGACAAGAGAAACAGCTGAACCACTTGTGTTGAAGACAACCAGAGCCACACCGTGATTATTACTACCAAAGGCAGCGGCAGCGGCAAGAAAACCCGGAACCGGCATTGTTCTTGTGATCGTTGGATCTTATAAAAATGTTGATGTTGTTTTCGTCGATGAGTTTGAGTATCTGCGCAAACCTAGTATCTTCTTCTGAGTGATTAGCTGATGATCTTTCTCATTGTTCAAGCAGCAGTAATCACCGAACGATACAACACAAGTGTAAGTGCCCATTTTTGGAAACACAGAGAACTCAGCGACACCAGTGAGTCCCGTTGGGAGCCATGTCATTTGGTTGATGTCGTGCTCGCCGTAGCGTCAGCGATTGAGTAATGCATAGATGGACGCCGATTTTCCTGAAAGAATATGACAAATTTGCATTGGATTTCACCGAGAAAACTGTACAGGATAGGTCATTTCTTGGAATTGGGGTGGAATATTTTGATTTCGCTATGCAGTCAGCACTTGCAACTAGTACATAAGCATCCAGTATTACCTCTACCTTTTTGTTGAAAATGGAATAACGACTGTATTGATAGCTTATTTTGAAAATGGATTGTGTTGTTTGTCATAGCTGCATCGAAGATTGCGAACAGAGTAGTAAGTCGATAATATTTATGAATATGGAGGAGGAATATCATTTGTCATGCTCATGTTGCATTCTATTTCTAAATTTGTGAGTATGCTACTAGTGCTAGTACATTCTATTAATGTGCACCGCATAAGCCAGAAGATCATAATCCTATTAATGTTAAAGTTGAAGTTGATATTGCATTTACTATGTCGATTTTGTATGACAATATGTAAATCTAAAATCTTAATATATAAGAATCAGGGTGAAAATTCCCGCCATCAAGAACAGCAACTCCTGCTGTCCGTGTCCTACACCAAGAAGAGTAATTATTTCAGAAGATTTCCCTTGAACTACGGGCTATTTTTCATGATCACTACGTCTACGCCTTCATCTCCCCAAGCGGTATGAAGCGCCCCGGGGGAAAGCGCGAAGCGGTAGATTTCGTACACCGTGAACGGCTACGGCCGCGTTTCGATGATGATGGTGCTCCGATGGTCGTGTCATCTCTACTACTTGTTTTTGATATTGATCGGAGCTGGTTAGATGGAAGCTGCGCTGCAGGTGCTGGGTCTGGGGCTGTCACTGAGCACGAGGCTTGTAATGCATGAACTTCCTTCACTAAATTGTGCCACTCTTGCTGGAGCACAGGATCACCGACGAGTAGGCTAGGGACGGTCGCATCTGACGCAGCCAGAGACTCTGCTGCAGTTGGAGCACCACTGACAGCTGGATCTTGTGACGCCAGCAATTGCGATCCTGAACCTCGTCCACCTAGTTTTGCACGTAGTTCATTCTCAGACGGACTCCTTCCTCTATTTCTATTCTTCGCTTTTGTGGTACTGTTAAATCTTCTCGCATGATGTGCTGTGTTTGCAACCGCATGGTCATCGATTCTGGCTTCGATCTGTTGTACCTCATCCCTCGCAGCAACATCGAGAAGATCTAGTAGACGCATATGCGACTCCAAAATCTTTTCTGGATAGAAATTGTAATTTGTTGATGGATTTTGTCGCTGTTCTTTTGCTTCTCCTTGCTTTCGCCAAGACAGCTCTTCTTGTGGCACTAGCTTCTGGTTATGCGTTGCGAGTTCTAGTGGCGGTTCTAGCTTCATCGTCTGGTGTTCTGGAGAATCAATGACAATGGCAGGTGGGGAGAAAGGAAGCTCTGTCTGTGGGGATGCTCCCGGTAATTCTGCATCAAGAAATGCTCCTGGATCTTCTTCAGCAGCACCAGCATGTTGGCCCTCGCGCTGACTTCGATTAGGAAACATGTACGCTGCAGCATCCCTAAGATCCTCCTCGAGACGCGCGGCCGCCACTGTTTTTTCAGCATGCGGCTTTTTGTGGCTGCCTTCTCCGAGCCGATGGTCGTCAGCCTCAGTTACTGCAGATTTTGACGCATGAGGTGGCCGCTGCATCTCGTCTCCAGATAATTCGACAGACCTTATGCTCGGGCTGCTTGTGTTTTTCATTACCATAACCGGAGCAGCAGTTATTCGCGCCGTAGAGCGAATCTTATTCGGCGAAACCTCTTTCCTGCTACGGCGGATAATGACTCTGCCGTCGAACGGGGTCTTCTGCAGTTGGTCCAGGACATCGTAGTTTGGATCCCCCGCATTGCCGGTCGAGGCAACTTGTTTCTCGTCAGGGGTAAGCCCACTTCCAGAAGTGTTCGCGATTGGAATGCGCTCCATGTCATCAATGTTGTGCTCAGCCACCGGTCTGTCTTGCTTCGATAGCTTCTGCGTTTGGCTCTTTTGCGCGATTGTATGCGGCAACGGATGTAATTTCTCAAGTTCGAACGCATCTTAGGGATAGGAGCGTAGCTGAGTGTAAAATTCACACAAGTATTATGGGTCCTCTTGCCCTCGTAGGACCACTCACACTTTATGCATGATCCTAAGTCACGATGTTTTGATGTAATCACGTAGTTGCAGTTGCTTCTAGTCTGGTTCCCGAAGAAAAGTGATAGTGATACGCACCGAGCGAAGCCATAATTTCTGAATTCTGCAGCAGGCGCAGAGTATCCCTTCGCTGCCGGGGGCCGCTCGATTGACTGCTTGCTCATGGGTCGTTCGGCAGGAAGAGACATCGATATGATGCCCGCTCCCTGTGTCCCATCTCCCCGCTGCGCCTCTTGGCGTTGACCCTGATTAATCTCTTCCTCTGCTAGTTGTCGCGTGCCACCTCTCTCCATCCGATTGTTCGGAGGGGCCGCACTCGAAGCAGCTCCACCCTTCATCAAAATAGTGGAGGCTGTGGTCATTGGCTGCTGAGAGGTAATCTCGCTCAGTGCATTCGTCCCCTCCCTTGCGTTCCTGTCTTTTCTCCTAGTACTAGACGGTTTGTTGGTGCCTGTGTTGAAGACAGCGGAAACAGTCGAACTAGTAGGCCCACTACCAGCAGGTCTTCGAGAAGATGGCAAGTTTCTACCATTTCTCCGCGCGTTCTGACGTTTACTGCTTGCCTTGGCGTTGGCTTCAGCTCCCCTCGATTCGCGCCGTTCACGCAGTAGGGATCGGCGTTTTTCCAACTCGAGTTGCACAGCCAAGGAGCGCTGCTGCCGCGGTGTGAATCCCCCACCATTACTATTGCTCAAGCCTCCTTCCTCTTGTCCGCTCCTCGAGGATCCTCGCGGACTCGTGCCACCGATCGGCATCGGCGTGTGGCTGTTGATTACTCCTGTCATCACCTTTGTAGAATTCGACCACGTCGGCGCTACGCGTTTTCCCCGTGCACTGTCATTACTGGTTTCCCGTCGTTGCTCCTGCCGCATGGCTGTAGACTTCATGCGCGCCGCTGCAGAAGCGGTCATTCGTGATGAAAGATGATCCTCTCGCCGTCTCGGAGAGAAGAGACGGTCTTGCACATCATCGCGATCACTCGTCCGTGGTCGGACTCTATTCATATTGAAGACAATGTTCTGCGTCGCAGCGTCTCCCCCTCGTTCATGGATGGTGTAGTGATCTACCACCGGTACCGCATCAGCCTCCACCGCAGATTCCTGCTGTATTGACCCAATGCCTGAAGCCACGTCTTCACTACTGCCACCCCCTGCAGCCGGAGCGCGCGAACTCTTCACCGCATCTCGTGCCTGCTGTAGGGAACGCGGTATTGGAGACATCAAGCTGGTTGCTGCGCTGTTCACACATGTCTTGCTCTGAGCCGTGGAGGCGTTACCCGACAACCGGTCGCCCTTTCGTTGCGCAACACTTGCCATTTGTTGGTGTACGAATCGCTCCGGCTGCAGAGAAGGGGCCGCAAGCACATCGTCATCTTCATCTCTCGCAAACACGGGTAGAGCGGATGGAAAATGGGTTTCCAAAAAACCAGGGTGGGTGACTAGGCCGCCAGTAGTCGCACTCACGATCCTGATTTGCACAATTTTAGTGCATATCCAAGCTCGCGGATTGATTACCGTCAACCCGACGGACAAAAACAAACATCACTGGAAAACTGTCTGTCCTCGAGAGGAGGTGAATTAGAATGCCTCCGAACTGAAACTGATCATGACGACAAGATCGTAGTAGTTACTACTAGACATTTTCATGGCGCTCGTCCTATACATATTGATGCACGAAGTCGAAGATCAAACCAAAGACTATGCGTTCAAAAACTAGACTACCGAAAATCGCCGCTGCTTGTTCCGCCTGGGCTCCAACGACGCAGGATGTACGCTGGTTCCCATTGCCATCCGCTCCGAGCAGTTGACATAGGTGAGACAGGTTCTTCGATGACCGTCCTAGGCTGCTGTGAGGGCTGTTGATCGACCTCTCTCAAGGGCCCAGAAAGCTGCAAAGCATAAGCAGGTTGCTGCTCACCTTTCATCTTATGGGCTGCCGCCAAATCCTGTGAGATCACTGAAGACGAAGACCCTCCAGCTTCATGCTGCGGATGCAGAGAGGATGTTCTCTTCTTCGCGTCTGCCCTTTGTTCTACGGGTACGACAACGCTCCTGGGATCTGTGGATGCAACAGTGCCAGCACTCGGAACCATATTATGAGGCTGTGCAGTTGTGCTGAACGAAGGAGAAGATGATGCATGAACTCCAGGCGGAAAAACACTACCAGCATTATCTCGATCTTGGTCTCGAACCTGACCAAGTTGCGGGGCATCTAATTGCTGGCCCTTACTTGTTGATGCATATCTGGTGGAGGACCTCACGTAATCAGAGGGCTGCAAAACGTAATCCGATGGTCGTGACACGAAAATGTCTTGCAGATCCGAACCGGGAGATTTCGACTTTCTGCCCTCTGGATTGCAAACAACACTTCCCAGCTGCGGCGGCTCATGAACGTGATTCGTAAAAGGAATATTCTCTCCAGGATGGGCCTGAGCAGAGGAAGGCACTCCTAACGTGACTCCAATCTCTTGTAGCAACTCTTCAACGCGATCGTTGACATTTCTGACAAGTGATCCTGCGGTGGAGCCAGATCCTCTACTATAATAGCTGTAGTCTGCTCGATCTCCTCCTCCCGAAAAAGCAGACACTCCGCGCGTCGCGATGCTCGTCTTTGATGTGCTCTTGTAATTCCTCACATCCTCACGCTGCCCTCCATCGGAACTAATACGCCGGTCCGGTGAGGCATCTTGGTCTGCCTGAAACACTTGCCTTTGATTGACTCTGCTCTCTGCTGTGCGACGAAGAGCTTCAACAGCAGAGGTCGGGAACGTTCTACCTTCGTCAACTTGCTGTAGTCCTGACGGCCGAGGTATGATCGTGCTGAAGCCTCTTGGAAGAACCACGGTGCTCTCACGGATTATTTGGCCTGACCCTTCTCCTGCGCTTCCACCTCCACCTTTTGCTTCTGAAGGACCAGGAATGATTGCGCTTGATTCCCGTGGTAGCACAACGGTACTGTCTCGATCTACTCGTGGCCCTCCTGCAGAAGGTATGAGTACGCTGGATTCCCTTGGGAGCACGACGGTGCTACCCCTGTCTAGTCGTGACCCTCCTGCAGGAGGTATGAGTACGTTGGATTCCCTTGGTAGCACGACGGTGCTACCCCTGTCTAGTCGTGACTCTCCTGCAGGAGGTATGAGTACGTTGGATTCCCTTGGTAGCACGACGGTGCTACCCCTGTCTAGTCGTGACTCTCCTGCAGGAGGTATGAGTACGTTGGATTCCCTTGGTAGCACGACGGTGCTACCCCTGTCTAGTCGTGACCCTCCTGCAGGAGGTATGAGTACGTTGGATTCCCTTGGAAGCACGACGGTGCTACCCCTGTCTAGTCGTGACTCTCCTGCAGGAGGTATGAGTACGGTGGATTCCCTTGGGAGCACGACGGCGCTACCCCTGTCTAGTCGTGACCCTCCTGCAGGAGGTATGAGTACGCTGGATTCCCTTGGAAGCACGACGGTGCTACCCCTGTCTAGTCGTGAGCCAGACCCTCCTGCTTGTGGTATGAGCATACTTGATTCTCGCGGCAGCGCAACAGTGCTACCCCCATTCAAGCGTAACCCTGCTTGAGCGTTGTTGTACTGCTCCTGCAGAGTGGCCGCAGTAGCTCGTCCAGCAGCAGCTGATACAGCACTCATTCCGCTCCATCTGCCACTCGTTTGGGCAGCGCTCTCCCTGGCAAAAGAGGCCGCAGAAGATGGCACGAAGGTTGGAGGAAAGCTCGAATCACGAACACGGGCGATATTCATTGCTGAGGCTGCTGACTCACGCGGGACAAGAGGGAATGACGGGCGGTCAGCGTGTATGCTAGTAGTCGAAAATGCTCGACCTGAAGGAGAGCGATCGTGGTGGATGTCAATGCCGATGGTTGAGTCGGCTGCACGCGGCACTACATTCGACAAATCGGTCGGCCGGCCAGTTGCTCTGGTGGTCAGGGTCGGAAAAGGGTCACCAGCTGCTACTGATGAGTAAACCTTGCTGCTAGGAACCCCCGCTGCCCCTCCGCCAGCAGCGCTTTGCCGTGGTGGTTCCCAGACGATTACCGTTGCAGGTAGCGGTCGCGACGTTTGATTTTCTGACGATCTCTTCTGACTGAGACGCCCGTCTGCAAGAGTGACTTCGCCCTCTGCAAATGCCCTTCCACTCAAGTATGAGCGCTTACCCTTGCTGTTGTTGCCTGTTGCTGCGATTTGCGCACCCACTGCACCATCTTGCTGAGAGGTAGAGGTTGGTCCGAGCGCTGTAGCCGAAAACGACCGCACGGCGCTCGATGCTTGATCCCCGGCAGGAGAAAAGCGGCCTACGCGCGATGAAGGCTGCGGCGTGAAAATCGGGGTGACCGAAGGCCGTGACCCGGATTGTTGAAATTGCATCGGGGTCGAAGACAAAGGAGGCGCCCGTGGCGCAGGTACTGAAGAGAACGGCCGTTTCAGTCCTGGGGAAACATCAAGAATCGTTTCTGGGACCAAGTCCAAGGCAGCGGCTCGTGGAAAATTCAGCTTCAGTTGACTTGGAGGCTGCAAGGCTTGCGACATGCGCAGTAGATCTTCCGGGCTTACTACACTAGCACCATAAAGGGCATGGTGTGGCCCAAAACCGGCGCCGGGGGCGGCTTGGCGAACGCTTTCTACGAAGGCCCCCTCAACACTCGAAATCTGCGGAACGTGGAGAGACTTGGGTTGTCCGTTTTCATCCTCCCAGTGTGGGATTGCTGGTGGCTTGGCCTTTTTGCTCAGGCTTCGTGGTGAAAGCTTCAGAAAGTCATAATTGATGAACTGATTTTTGCTGGTCTGCGTCTGACGCGCCGGTGGAGCTTCTCCTTGTATTTGCTGTGCCCGTTGAAGCGCTTGACCTGGCGCGATGCTGCTACCCAATACGCCAGGACCAACACTTCTACCTCTCGGCGACGAGAAAAGATTGTTTACAAACGGAGGAGCAGCGACAGGAGCGGTCTGCAAGGTCTCTGCTGCTGCTTCGTCTGCACCGAAAAAGGCAGCCAGAGCTGCTTGAATCCCTGACGTTCGAGGAGTAGGGATCGGTGGTTGATAGAGCTGCGCTACAGCAAAGGTCTCCCGTGTGAGCGGAGGGGCGGCTACCGCAAAATTATCCGGCAGTTGTATTGGCGCGAACGCAATGTCTAGTTTCCGTGTGGCAAACTTTCCTCTAGTTAGAGAACCCACAGAGGCTGAACGCGCGTTCTCTTGCGGAGAATTTCCCAGCCTCGTTGGAGGGTTCGCATCCCCCTCCGTTACTGGTACGAATCTGTTATTGATCGGACCTGACGAGAAGATAGTGTCTGTGGTTTTCTGCTGTTGTCCTGGCGAGAGGGTCACTTCGCTATCGTCAAGAGGCTCTCCCTGTTGCTCCCTCTCGCCTCCCGCACCCGCCACCGCATCTGCATCAGCACTAACATCTGCTGCTACAAGCGTTATTGGTAGCTGAAGCTCCGCTTCGAAAAGGTTGGCCCTCGACAGGTTTTCGTCGCGCTGTGTCGACGGTGATGCACTAGGGCTTTGCGATAACGCCTTTTTAAGGAAGCTCGGCTCTCGTTCCTCATCGGTGGGGATTTGCACGACCTTCGGCGGACTCAGAGACCGCACGATGATGCGTTTTGTCGTGATAGACACCGGCTCGGGCGCAGGTCGTACAACGGCAGACATGATTGAGAATGAGTTTTACATCAACGAAACCTACATACTCCTGCGAGGGACAAGACTCCGGCGTCTTTCCTCCACTGGTTCGTCCTATTTAGTCTATTCACATTTATGATTTGTTATCCATCAGGCATGATGTCATGGAGTTATCATATCGAGGGAGCACGAGCATTGAGCAAGAAGGTGCCAAATTATGACGTCGCCTTGTTATTGCAGGCCGCCTTTCTTGTGAGGCAAAATTAGAGGCTTCTCCGGGAACGAGGACGAAAAGAGTCGTATAAAATTCTTCGACGCGGCAGGCCTTCATCTTGTTTCAGACACGGAGGAACGGGAGACAGAGCAAGATGATCTTTAGCAACATTACGTGGCTCTCTTTCACGACATTTTGATACCAGATGTTACCGATTATTTTTGTGCAGATTCTCTCACACCCTTTTAAACAGACGATAGTACGGTCATGGATCGATATTAATACACGCCACACATCATCATCATCATCAACGAGATAAGGGAGCTCAAGCAGTTCCGCTAAATTACCGAAATTCTGTACAGCCCTAGAAGAAGTAGAAGAGTGCATGAAGAGTACCTGTTTTCGTCGTGTGTATACCAATCATCGCTGGTTCACCGTGGTATCCTCTGAAAGACATACTGTTTTTTTTCAGTCACAATTGATTTTTGGAGGTAGTCATCAACGTCCGCTTGGTTCTTGGCGCCAAACATTTACGCAAGTAGCATGATGGTAGAGGCAGTTGTATAGAGTCGTGTCTGTACAGGCCCCATATGTGCGAGGAACGTCAAGCGGATTGTGTGCAGAGGGCTTCATGACATTGAGTGAAGATCGTGTGCCTGTGTATTGTATGCCGTAAGAGGTGTTATTCAGTCATCTGAGTCAATAATATATCAGAATAGTTTATAAGCTTTTGTGGCGCGCATGGCATGGAGTGCATGGATCACATGGAGTAGCATGGAGTGGCAAGAATCTTGCCAGCCCCCACTTCTACTCCATGCACCCCATGCGTGAAAATTTTGCGGGGTGCCCTTCGGGCACCCCTTTGCCCGAGGCTCGTCCGCTGCAGCCCTGTACTGCAACGATGAGACGGCGAAGCGGTCGACCCGAGGACGAAGCACCACGCCCACACTGGCCGGCAGTCCGGGCTTGCTGCTACATAGGTCTAGGCGCCCTGACACACATTGCTGCCCCTGGTGGTCGTTGCCAGGTACTTTGGTGCCCGGAAATTTCGGCAAAGGGCCCAGCAAGTCGCATCCTCGGGGGGTTCACTCCTCTTCCGGGGCAGGCCCTGCTACTGCTGCACCGCTCTAGGCAACCGCACGGGGCTGACCCATGCAAAAAGTTGAAGAGGGGGGCTGTGTATGTGTGTCCCAGGGCTCAACCAGGGCGCAATACCCATCCCCGACCTAGGAAGGCGAGGGGGGAACCTCTCAGCCCCGGCGGGACCCCTTTTGGCGGGGTCTGCCGGGCTGAAGAGGCGCCTTTCCTGCATGTACCCCGCAGAACCGGAGGCCGGGGGGGCTCGTCGAAGGCCGGACTCTCAAGCGGGAACGGCCCGAGGCTCACAGTGGCGTCCCCTACTGGGTCCGCAACCATAGAAAGCGGACAGGCGAGGGGGGAGGGCCTCTCAGTCCTGGGCCGCTTTTGCGTTGCGCCGCTGCTCCATCGATCGACAGGGGGGAGCGGCTGATGGCAGAGGCTAGCGCGCCACCTCGTGCTCCATGCACTCCATGCGTGACACGCGGCCACCCCATGCACCCCATGCGTGGGAATGGCGCAGGTGCTCCATGCACTCCATGCCACTCCATGCACCCCATGCACCATGCGTGCTATAAACTGCTCTGATATATCGATCATGGAAGAAGAGTAGATTGAATACAATCGTAGCTGACTTGCGAAAGGAAGCAGACATGAACATTTGTAGCAACCCGAACCTCCATGATGGTTGCCAATCATCACGAAGGTTAGTGACATTTTGAAAGAGCAGCCTCTGTGCTCCAAAAGCAGCTGTGCATTCAGTGACTGTGTCGTGCGTTAATTGCTGTGCAAATTAAAACTCTCCTTCGTCTTGAGTACTTCGTTGTAGGCGTTCGTATTTCGGCGCCTCAAGCTGGACGAGCATCTCAGTTTTCCAGTTTCACTTACTCCTCGACTTGTTCCAGTTCCTCCTTCAGCAATTTTCGATCCAGCGTAAGAGCTTTGGGCTCATACCATCCCAGTGCCACTGTCTTCTTCCAGCGAAAAAAGTTTGGAACGTCTCCCATGATCATCAGCTCTTCGAAAAACGAGGCTCGTGGCATCGTCACCGGTTGGGACGCTAATGTCCGGCCGTCGTCGGCTTCTCCTTTTTTCTTGATCGGGGAATGTCGGTTGCTGTGTTCGGGCATTGCGTTGGCAGAGAGGTACAGCTTCGCGATTGACTGTTTCACGTCTGCATTGCCACTAGGATTCGCAGAAAAAAGTTTCTCTAGCTTCCTTGCCTTACGGTCGGCTCTCGCTTGCTTCGATAAGCTGACGCTGCGCAGACGCTCCCAGGAAGCAGCCGAAGAAGAAGGCCTACGCTGGCGGCCAGCCACCGGTGGACCAACGCCCTTAGCCGACTCGTATCGCGCTTGTCTTGAAGCAGACCGACCACCGGCACTACCAAAAGAAGACGTTGAAATAGACCTGTCACAAATGAATAGGTAGAATGGGAGTCTAAAATAACGGTTGAGGCTTGAGATAAGTGCCAGAAGGTTTAATGGAGAAAGTAGTGGTAGATAGAAATGAGAAGGAGACTAAGATGAGATGAGGCGCAGAGAACGACGATTTCTCTACTAGACGTCTACAACATGAGAGTTATAGAATCAACTTAAATAGCCTTAAGAAAGTGAGAGAGAACGAAGAACTAGTAAGAAGTAGTAGTAAGAACTAGTAGACCGAGATAAAAGAAAAAAGAAAGGAGAAAAAACAGGAAAGAACACCGAGACGAGGGGGGCCAGGGATATGCAATTGAGCGCCCCTTGCATGCATATCTCCCATTGCGTACTGCAGCCCTCATCGACCGACAGCCGAAGGAACAAAAAATAAACTTCTTGCATAGCTGCGTTATGCTTTTCACTTAGTTTGAAGTAACATCAGAAGAGAGCGACAAGAATTTACCTAGTAGGCCATGGGCGCAAAAAGCTGAGTCGTCGCGCGTTATCGGAAGTCTCAAGTCTCGGAGAGTTGTTGTAGTGTAAGTGCATTTAGTTGAGGGCGGAGGGAGAGTTCGGGCGCACTTCATAAAATAAATATGCAAATGAATTTTTTATCAGTGGGAGTAATCTCTACTCAAATTCGTTTCTCCTCAATTCGAGAAACGATTATTTGCGGCCAAGTACCTGCCACGTTGTCTACTTCCAGCGCCCGCACTTGCCAACCTGCGTCCAGTAACACTAGAGCTCATGATCGGGGGATCTTTACTGTGCCGCATGAGTGCTCGGCCATCTTGGAAAGTGTTCTGAAGATGAACATCCTCGCTCCATAAATTCGCATACAGTGAGAGTTTCGCAGCAAGATGCGTGGTCCAATTCGCTGGATAGCTCGGCGGAAAATCTAAACGGCCTCCGAGGTCACCGTCGGTCCAGTACACGTGCCGGAGGCCCGCCAAGAAAACAGCGAAGAGTTCCGTTTGGTTTTTTCTGTTCTTCGCAAAACTCTGCATGCCTTGCATCTGCTTCTCCTGGTTCATCAGGCTCGGCACGAGTGCGAGAAAATGGTTGCAGTTCCACAGATACCCAGGCTCCACACTCTCTGGGTCAGTACGATCGAAATGGCGATGTTCCTGCGTGCAACAAAAGTCAATGTAGATATACAGCTGCACTGCGTCGTCGTACTGGCTCACAAGTGACTTACAGTATTTCTGCAATGACTTTATTTTTTCTCCGCGCTCGTTGTCCGGATGGTTCGTGCGGGCATGCTCGTGCGCGACATAGAGCGATCTTAGAACAAGAAGGAGCGTATTCGGCCAATCTTCACTATGATAAAAGCAAGTGAAAGTCACCAACGCGTGAATATCGAATCCGAAGGAGCTTGCTGTTGTACTTCAACTACTTGTTCTGCTCGTGACTTAGCCAAGAAGTGCAAATAAAATACCTAGTCCTAGAAATGCCATGGTCATAAAACTACTAGCTCCTTCTCAGGATCCCGCTCGATTGCGTCGAACAGCAGTAGCGATCCATCGTCCAAACAGTCCTCGTGACCTTTGAATTTGACCCACGTGCGGTATTCTTCCCAAGGCAAAACGTAAAACGGATACTTCGCCTTTTCTAGTGTGCAATGGCTTCAGATTAGAGAAGTATCGTCTTTCCGTGATTGTGTCTTGCAGCCTGCACTTCTGTGCTGCAGCGGGCATCCTCTTGTTCCCCACAGTTTTCATTCTCTGGAGCGTTTCCATTTTCTTCTTGGTTTCAATGTTTTTCTAGCCTGACCAGCAACGCAACTATATGTATTTCTCTAGGTCTAGCCATATCGACAGTTCCAGTCGAAGACCCTCCATTTCGCGCGAATGCTGGCTCACATCCATGCAATCCACGTCGACACTTTTACCAACCAAAAACAAGCTGTCGCGCTCTGGAAAAACAGCGTTTACTTGATAGCTGCCGGGTTTCGAGAGGCATATCGTCGCATTTCCCACTTTTCTGGATGCCGAAGATGAAGAAGTCGCCGTGTGTTCAAATGAAAACGCGCCCGCGCCTCTCACGAGGGACATTCCTGCTGCATGAAGCGCTTCCAAGAAAGACAAAGAAGCCGTAGTAAACTGAGTAACCTTCATGTTCATCGGATGCATGGGAGTATTTACTTTCGTGCATGCGTACTGACCAACATGTCGAAGGTGATGCTTCGGTACTATAATTACCTTTTCTACTTCAACTTCTGATCACAACTCCATAATAGGACTAGGAGCGACTTGGACCCCGTACAAGTATTCTACTCTTGTCTTGCAAATGTTATGTTGTATGAAAAAGTGACTTGACGCCGGCGCTTTCTACACAAGAAGAATTGCCTGAAACTAAGGTCCAGGTCGTGCTTTGATAGACGGATTGTCTACGTCGCGTTACGGTTTCTGTTTCATCAGCTTTGTTATTCTTATTCTATTGCTATTCGTACTGAATGTAAATCTAAATACTTAATAGAGCATGGAAATGCTCTGACTTTGCTAGTAAAAGTTTCAACTATTTGTGGTCATACAAATGACGCCGCAGAGGCTTTCGGCATGACGCCTTGTAGCTCGCAATCCTCCGGAAAGGCAGCAATCTCGACATCTCGTTTGAGGTATCGCAAAACGTGCTGCACTTTCTCAGCAGCACTAAGTTTTTGTCTTTGATCAACTTTGGTCGGCATCGCTACCGTGTCTCCGTTTTCACCTTGTAAATGTCGAGGGGGCGCGGCAGTCGAAGGAGGAACAGCAACAGCAGCGGGCGAGATCAGTCCAAAGGGAATCGGTTCCAAGGGCCAAACCTCTCGAGGCACATCCCGCAAAACACTGTCCCACAAGTCGACTGCCAATTTGACGATGAAGATCGGATTTGCTGCGCCAAATGGAAGCATTAATGCATTCCCATTTGCATCGACGCTCCGCGTCGCAAGCAGCAACGCGTAAAAACGGAAGGACGATGAGGAACGCGACGCCATTCTTCTGATATCAGCATCCTGTCTGCGATTGATCGCCACGTTGTCCTCGTCCCCCTTGTTGTTGTTCTCGACGTTTGCTGTGCTAGGCTGATTCTTGCCATCATTCGGATTCGCACCACAGGTGTCATCAGTGGGATTAGATGTTCCGTGCGCTGCAGCATTAGTTTCGTTATGATCCTTTGTCGACGACGAGGCAGCTCCAGCACCAGCATTTTCAGCATACAACGCCGCTTGATCTTCACCAGGAGACGGCTTCTCGCATGTTGCAGTTGTATCTTCGTTGTTGCTGACCTCTTTGTCCTTGGTGCTTGTATAACCCTCCTGCTCCTCTGCTCCTGTTCCAGCTTCATTTCCCGACTCATGAGGCTCTGGCGCGAAGACGAACTGAGCTTTGCGGACTTCCTCTGGTGGCAACTTTTCGTCGCCGTTCGCACGAAGATCGCTCAACGCATTGCGACCCCACTCTGCATGCTGATCGTCACGCCGAGTTTCCATGTCTCGCAGTCTTGCGTAGATGAGACGTTCAGCACCACTCTTGTTGCGTCGCTTTCTGCGAGCCTCCTTCGACAGCAGCTTCGTTCCCACTTCATTGGGATCGGCACTTAATGCGCTCTGGAAATGCCCGTGCCACTCCGCTAGCATCGCCAGAGCTTTTTCAACATTTGGGCCATGGCTACATTCCTTAAACGCAGCTGCTTGACCATCATGCACCTGCTTCGTTGGCGAGGACATATCACCGCGCGGACATTCTTGATGCTCCGCGTTCTCACGTAGCTGATGAGACTCCTCCTCCTCCTGGTCGAACTCATAAGCGTCGTCGTCTTCGTCGTCAGAAGAAATAGGCTCCTCGACGATACTTATCGCTCCAGCTGCGTTTGAGACATTTTTCATGACTACTCGTCAGTCAGTCACGTACATGTACATCAGGTAGATGCATAAAAACTAGTCACGAGGAAACTAAGAATAGGAATAGGCTTCTTTTCAATATATTCATAAATATGGTAGCTCTAATATTACTATTTCTTTCCCGAATGACAGACTACCACACTAGTAAGGCCAAGTTTAGCAAACAAATAACACAAAAAATGTACAATCAGAAATTTTGGTGAAAGACAGTGTCGCCAAGTCTCGCAAGTTCTCCGTGTGCTTTATCGCGTTGGTAAGATCCTTCAATGGCCCAACTTCGGTCATGAGTCGTTCACAATCAATCAGAAGTGCGCCTGTTTCGGTCTTTAGGTTAGAACCAATAGATTTGCATTTCTGATCGCGTTTCTACTCATGAAACTATTCTCCGTCTTGTTATAGTTGCCTTCTCACTCTTCTAGGAACAAAATACCAAGCTGCGGAATGGAAGTGACGAAGACGATGCACATCTGGTAGCCCTAATGGTATTCGGTTTTGGCACGCCTGCATACGCTTTCGCAGCATCAAGCTCTCGCGCCAAATCGCCGCCATACAGCCTGATGGGAATCGGTTCCTTCTCATCGAAAAATCTACGTCCGTTCGCCGTCTCCAGTCTGAGCATTCGGTAACGTTTTTTCTGCGTTACTCCTCTATTTATTATCAGTAACAAGGAAAATCAAGAACGTCTAAACAAAAACACACAAAGTAGAAGACGCATAGAGAAGCAAACAAGGTGAAAGTCTAAGTCGAAGTCTGCCTGTATAAGTAGTAAATGGTTCATCAAACCGTTTTTCTCCGAGACGAACTTTATTCTGCGATTCGAAGTCGCGATCTCTTCGCGGCTGCACTTCCTCAAAGACTCCACGAAGCCAATCCGCTGAGGTATGCCGCTTCACCGGTTTCGGCCCCAGGTCGGGGGTCATGATGTTTTTGCTCACGACAAATTCCATTGTCAAGACATATTAAGAACTAGAAACAGGCGTCATTCATTGAACGTGCCGCGCCGCCACGTTTTATTTGTTTCGTTCATTTGCTTTTTGGTGAAGCTAGCATCTTTATCATTATATACCTTTGGCTAAAGATAGTTGAATGATCGATGTCAAAAAGCAACGGACCGGCGATGCGACGTTTTTGTACTAGTGGGGTACAACCATATCATCATCTTACTTTTGCTCTTCTACCCGTACCCCTCTCTTAGATAAAATTCTCCAGATTTCTTGGGCTTTACCGTTTTCTCATTTTTTGGACAGCAATCTGATATCCATGGATCCCCAAAAAGTTGCATGCTGCGAGAGAAGGTCAGAGATCCACCTCCTCCGTCGATGAGGAGTTACTGCTCGTTGTACTTGTTGTAGGAGTAACTAGTAACGGAAACGGTTGATGAAAAAATTTCAAAACCAACTTCTGTTCGTTAAAAATATCCACCCCGTCGAAGGTTTCCTGCAAATTGATCTGCATACTTCGAAGATATACTCACTTTTCCTTGTCTGAAATTGAAAAGTTTCATGCCCATGTGCTGTTGTAAATGTAAGTGAATATGACATAGAACAATTAGGCTTCGATAGTTCCTTCAATCTGGGTTGATGTTCCGAGGAATGAGCTCCGCATATGCACATCGGACGTTGGTCGGTAGAAGATTAACATTGTAATTGGAATCAATTAGGTGACATACTCAAAATATTAATTTGCAAAGTTCTGCATCTTTCTTCCTACCCGATTCATCTATGACCATGAGTCTGGTGACAAAATTGCATCAAGTATCTCTTTTCCATCTACTTACTCATTTGTCGTTTTTCATGGTATTATGCTCGCATTTCATGGGGTTTGATTTTTCCGTTCTTGTGAGTATAGTTTTTTTCGGACCTCTAATTTTGAAATCATAACACAAAAGAGGACTTCATCATATTAATATTCTTCGAATTTGTTATCCTCTTGTTCGTGGTTCCAGCATCTAGATCTACCTCCTCCTTCTTCCCCTCCTCCTTCCAGGACTACTTTAAATCTCAGCATCAGCAAAATCAAAGACTATAATGTTGTGCTCGCATTACTAGAAGTCATTCGCAAGATCCTCTTCGATCTCATCCATCAGGCGCTCCTTCGCCCTCTCGCGTTCCATATCACTTTGCAAATGTTGCGCCTTGGGGATCATGCAGACGCAACAGCACATCCAGAGCTGAGTAAGGTTTCATTTTGATACGCAACATCTACTTACATCGTGCAAGTGAGGTTGTTCTTGTAGTTTTCTACTATCTAATATCTTGATCTTCTACTGATACTGATACTGAAACTGAATTCTAATATTTACCACGACAACAGTTTGAAGACTGTGGAGGTGGAGGACGAACACTCTTTCATTCTTTTTCTGAGAAAAAATGTGATGTGAAACAAGTAGTGGAAGTGATGACGAGGAAAAGCAGATTATTTAACACAAAAATCTACGCAATCACAAACTATCGAGAAGAAGGTGAAAAGCTGTAACGACTGAAATACCACGAAAACTAACACGACAGCGATGGCTATAAAGCACGCCTTGTTGCTTTCTGTTGGGTCACTCTTTGCGCGTTCGTTAGCTTTTTGCCAATCGTGCTGCAGGATTTCATGGCGTTTGTCGCGAATACGCAACTCCTTTTCTCGTGTCATCCATTTCTCCCGACAGTTCTTCTCCCAGGCTGCGCGAAGATCTGCCGTCACATTTGCCTCGTACTGGTCCTCTTCGATATCGTCTTCGAGTTCTGTTGATGAAGTGGAGGAAGAAACAGAAAGTAATTCTAATTAGGAAATAAGGCATGACAATGGGCAATAAGATGAGCTCGAGCAATTGCTCACTTACCCATATTATAAGAGAGAATTGTTGAATGATGTTGAGCAACTTCCTGCTGCACTTGCCGTGTTTCCAACCTATACATCTACATGGTCACCGTATATCAGACAAACGTTCTAGTATTGAAAACGCCAGTAGGAAAATCAGGCAGAAGCGAGGAGTGCACAGGAAAAAGACCTCGAGATAAATCGACTTGTATTTTCTTTTTCTGGTTTGGGTCGTATACCGTGACCTTTGGATTGCACTCGTCCTGTTTGTGCTCAAGATCGTCTTTCATGTTTACCAGCTGCGATAATACACCAACCGGCCTTGGCGGAGCGCCTCGTCCGGGTACATCACTGCCATATTGCTGGCTCGGAAGTCCCGATTTTACCATGCCGAATTCAAGCACAAAATGAAGAAGAAAAAGCACTTACGAAAGTTATGCATATCTATAGCTATAACTGCGTATGAGACTTAAGCCGAAGTACGTGGCAAATACAACTAGATGGCAAATACCACTAGAGGGTAAAATTGTGAAATGAGAACAATCTTCGCGATGCACAAGATGAAAGCATGGGGCCATAAAAAGCTGCATCCTTCTCTTGGTGATCTCCAACCGAATTCGCTATTGAAGAACCATCTGCTGCTTTCGCAACGCTCCCCCGAGTCGCCTTGTCTTCATCGGCGCCACGCTTGAGCCCCCCTTGTGCAGCTTCTTGCTGTTCAGCTTGCAGAGGCACTACCTCTGGCTTTTTTGTCCCAGCCCGCTCACTAGTCTTTGTCCTACTCTTAGAAATGTCCTCCTCCTCCTCCTCCCCTACTTGTAGAAAACTAGATGGTTGTCGAACGAATTCATGTGCGAATGCGTCTTCTACATCAGCGGCATGCTCCTCAAGGTGCTCATCAAACAGGCGATCCGCAGCGTGGTCAACAGTATCTTTCTTTCGAAGGTCATCCTGGTGCAAATGCACTACCACATCATGATCCTTGTCATCAGCCCTGGCATCCTTAGTCCTACCTCGCCACCTGCGAGCAGCAAAGACTCCTTGTTCTTGTAGTATTGTTGTAGAAGACGTCACACAACCTACTCTCGTTCCCGCATTCCAGGCAAGGACGAGAACATGAAGTGGATTTCGGGCTTGTCGTAAGCGTCTGTCGCTCGAGCGACGACAATGGCGCCGAGGTTCGACGGCAGCGGCACTCATCTTTTCGCACCTCTGCACTCGCGACGGCGCGGTCGTACTCGAAGAAGACGACGCCGTCATTTCCACTTGTAAAGTCGGTGATTACGAGAGCTTCATTAACTCCGAGCCTCTTTTTATGACGACTTGGTTAAGATGCAGAGGGAAAATGTTTGTCGAAGAGGACCATGTGCATGAAACCACATGAAAACAATTTTTTTTCCGCTAGGGGCAACACTTACACTGGTGCGTCTCCGACGAACAAATTATAATGACTTTTTTGATTCTGTTCGGCACAAAATCGAGACGACCACAACTACCAAATATATATAATAGTAGAATAAGGCACTTTTTGACCCGTATCGGGTCGAGTTGCTCGGGTTGCTCGAGTTGCCCACCCCAATTTTTTGCGCGGCGCCCTTCGGGCGCAGCTTTATGAGACTCCGCGAAACCTTAGCAGGAGCGCACGACACTGCGCGCCGTGTCTCTGATCCTTGATTTTCTTCGCGGTGCACCCTTGAGACAGGAGCGAGTAACCGTCTCGGGCTCGCGACTCATCTCAGGCTCAGCCACTTGCTTGGTCATCTAATTACTCGCGACATCTAAAGAAGGACTACGAAGCTAGTGTGATAATCCACTTCCAACTTCCACTCCCAGCTGGTGCTCTCTCTAGTCTACTCACCCCCATGCAAGGCTGGACGCGCCGCCCTATAAAGCAGACGGGGGCTACTCGCTCTCACCCCCGAAGTAGATTTATTGGGAACACATCATACGAAAAAAGGGAGAGATCGTCAGCGACTAGACGACACCACACGCCACAGCGGCACTGACATCAAACAAAAACAACAACGGGCAGAGTCTTTCGCCCCCTTGGTTGTGCTTTAATAAACGCCCGCTAGCAAGCTACAGAAAAAAGTCATAAGGGCCCAGGAGCCCTTCGCACCCGATTGCCCCTTTCAATTCATGAGCAACAACAAACGCAGCACGCCCCTACACTTCGCCACTTCGACCAGCTGGGTTCGTACTCGCACCGCCCTGCTTCGCTCCATTTCGATGGAGCGGACACCCCCCGGCAACTCGTGGCAACTCGTTCCAGCAATGAAGCGCTTCGCTTCGGCAACTCGAGCAACTCGTGGCAACTCGAGCAACTCGAAGCCCGTTATTGGCCTTACTCTATAATAGAGCAGTTTATAAGGTTTCACAGCTCGCATGGCATGGAGTGCATGGATCACATGGAGTAGCATGGAGCTAAAGGGGGAGCTTCTTGCGCCCCTTAAAGCTCTGCGCTCCATGCACTCCATGCTACTCCATGCACTCCATGCACCATGCGTGCTATAAACTACTCTGATATAAATATTATATTATTATAACGAGAACAGGAATAGAATACGGCGAATCAGACACAGATCACCTTCTCTCTTCGACAGCGGAACTATCGGGTAAACTCTTTGCTTCTTCTGGCTTGGGGTCGCACATTTGTTTTTCTACTGGTTACTATATGTTGTCCGATAGCATGAGTACCGAAACCGACGACTCATTGTCTTCCAGGGACTTGATCCCAACGAACCGAATCTCACACAACAGAATCGAGTCTCGCGCTCGACGTTCTCAACGACTGACTCCTGGCGAACCGATGTCAACTAATTCTTTGTCTATTCTTTACAACTGCATCAGTAGTGGCATGGTGCTTCATCTTGGCAGGAGGATATCACGGTGTGTGAGAGAGGATCTGGATCACAATCAACATTATTGATTAAGTTTGTTATGTTATCAAGTCAAAGCCATTCGCATGATTGCGTCTGCATAGATACAAGCAAAGTGGGTCTGCCTTTGTGCTTTGGGATTCAGTAGGATTCAGTAAAACATAGATAAACGCTGAACGAGCGAGTTTGGAGTCCTCGAAGTCGAATTCAAGCGTGGAAATTAGTAACACAAGCCTTGGAGAAGATGTGGGTTTGCCTAGTATGCGGATTTCTAGACATTCTCTCTACAAGTCGTCATCTTCGACACGCGACAAGATCCAGTCGCGGCCTTCTAGCTTGAGCAAGTACGCAACGACGCGACATAATTCGCCCCATGCTAGAACCCCTGCACAGAACGAGAGCAAGCGACATTGGAATTTGCGGACTCCGAATTTCGAGAGAAGGTATGTGATCAGCCAGAGCAGGCACGCTGCTGGGAAAGGTTCGATATAGTCCCAGGTATGAAGCATAAGCGTGCTCATGCGATACGTGACCTGGCCATCCTGAAAAAGGTCGTCTTTTCGCGCGTAACCAAATATGATAGCAATGCGCCGATTCATCCACGCAGGTACTTGTGGTAGACGCGGGAGAGCATGCGCAGTTGCCTTGTCGCGTGATGCAATTATGTCAGCTCGTTGTATTCTCGTGGGCATGCCTTTCCGCTCATCTTTACTGCCATGTGACTTATCGGCAAATGGGTCACTCGAATCGATCCCTAGGCGCTGCAGTAAAGTAGTAGCGGTTAAGCTTTGCTGCTCTTCCCGCCTCCAAAACGAAATTAACGGGAAAGGTCCCATTTTCCGCGCGAGCAAGTACCTTAGATATCTTCAAGCAAATCGGATCGCAGATCGATTCAGGTGCATCATACAGGGAACGAAAGGAAAATGTGCAAAAGCATCTATTGAATGATAAAGAAATTACTATTTGTATTTATTACTGGAACTGGAAGGACAAGGAATATAATCTTTGGATGTTAATATTTATAGGAATACTATAATCTTTGGATGTTAATAGTACCCACTCCGCACGAGTCTTTCTGCAAAGGCTCCTCGATTTTTGATGAGTAAGGTTCCCGGATGGGTGTCTTTTTTCACGGAAATTGTCGATGCGTCGTCTGTTTTCTGGATGCTCTCATCTGTAATTTCAGGCGTAAAAAGAGAATTCCTCAGAAGCGAGTGCAGATGCACTCCGTAATCGCTCATGAATTTCTGATGTGCCTTAACCCAGCTGATGTTGTATCCTGACATACCGCTGGTGGGTCCAACGAATCCTCGCTTTTCACGGCGACTATCTTCAGAAGTACTGCCGGTCGTGGCTGGCTTTCTACCACTACCTCGACCATTCGACTCAGCGTCCCGAGTTAGGCGTTCACCCCTGTCATCTTGTTCGGTCAACGACCAGCGGTCAAATCTTGCGTCTGACAAAGAGAGAGAAAAAGGGTGCGAATAATTGCAGTACAGGATATTGCGCTTTCCATCATATTGCAACATTCCATCTTGAATTGCTAGACGCCGACCCTTATGCATTTTCTCAACTTGTTCCGAATCGTTGTCATCTACCGCAAGAGCACGACTGCCATGGTCGGAAGGCGTCATGAGTGAGTGGTCCAATTGTGTCACGCTTTTTCGGGTGACATCAGGTGAAGAGGACCCGCCACCCTCACCTTCGTTATTGAGGGACTCGACCGTCACTGTGCCTCCATGTTGCGCGACCTCCTCGCCAAGCACGAAATGCCTCAGAATAGCAGACTCCTGGTACAGACAGCCCTTCCAAAACGCAAATGTAGTGCACTCCTGCTTGATTCCCTCGCGCTCGAGGACAGCATCAAACTCCCCAAAGCCGGGGACGCGGCCATCCAAGAGTTCCAACGCAGGTACCACTTCGTCACTGCACATAGGAGCGAAAGTGTACAACCGGCGATAGTTCCAGAACAACTCACGAGTGAATCCAACACTCAACTTGGCGGCATGGGCACCTGTCTGATAGTACAATGGAGCTCCTGCGTCCTGCTAGTGCAACAAGCTCCAGGTCTACTCACAGGCAAAACTCAGAATGATCCAACATTAAAACATCAGGAGCTTCAACTAAAATTACTAGCACAACCACAACTACTAGGCAGGACAGACTAGGATGATGAGTTGTCTCAGCACATTTTCAGCCATTAGAAGTACGATTCAGTATAAGCCATTGATGGTGCTTGAGAATGTATCTGCCGCCCCATCCCGGCCATGGCGCATAGCTGCACGAACTCGGTGCATCCACTCCCCCTCGCCCGGCAAAACACAGGCGACTAGTGTCTCCTCCAGCAAACAAATTTTGAAAATACTGCGGGAACGGTAGCAACGGTGCATGGTTCTGCGAAAGAAGGACAAAAAAGCGATTTGTTTTCTCCGCTAACGCTCTCTGAAACATGGCCACTTGCACGGATAGTAATGCGCACCAGCCGGAAAACTGTCGCTCCATCACAACGTAGGGTATGTGTTTTGCGAAGAGCCGCCGATGGCCGCTTTCTCCGCTTCGAGCCGACAACAAATGCCCTGTTGGAGAAGGACCTGACTTGTTTCCATGACGATGACGGCGCGCGAAAGTCGATGATGGGTCCCTCGTCTCAGTGGACTTTTCGCGGTGTTGATCTCCCCAGCCCCCTCGGTCGACATGTATATCCGATATCCGCTGCATGCCCTTGGGCGGTCGACGTAAAGTAGGCACAGTCTCCCCGACTGCAAAATGCTGTTCCCAGTTGGAAATGCTACCATCGGCTTGATGTACGTAAACTCGATAGAACGGGAGCCACTCTCGCTCAAAAAAGAATGACCACATACGTGACGTCTCCAAATCCCGGATGAGCAAAAAGAGAAAGGCTACGGTTGGTACTACTTGCTTTTCATCACTAGTTGCAGGATTTTTTGGTGCAGCAATCGCTTTAGTCGATGCACCAGATACTTCCTCTAAGCAATCTCGGTCCACAGGTGGTAACCCAGAAGTGGATGGCTTCTTCTCGGCTTCGTTTAAGTCCGTCCACGACAACCGGGACTCCCCCTCTCTTACTCGCAAACGCACCCGAGCCCGCTTAGAGTCGTGGGAAAACAGGACCGAGAAAAGAGTTGGTCTTGCAGGAACTTTTAGTGAACCGAAGAAAGAGGATCCAAATATAAACGGAAGATGTAGTTTTTGAGCCTGGTCAGACGTCTGTAGTGGCAGAAGGGACCGCGGAGTGTTTTCTTTCCCGTTCCCATTACCATCTTTAGTTTTACTTCCTGGTCGACGACAGGTCTCATAGTTCTGAAGCGGCAAGTGGCCCCAGTCGACGAACATCAGAGGCTGAGTCCACTCGACTGGCAAGCTGGCTACCTTCCTAAGTTGCAAGAAGACCGAGGATAAACTCATCTGCCACAACGCAAGAAAAACTAAGGAAAACGCTAGCATCGCTGCTGAATGGCAAAGAGAACCACAGGGTACCGCGAAACACGACCATCCTGAAGACGATCCTGCGGCTGCGCCACCTCGTACTAGCGCGATGGCTGGTGTGCTTCCGAGACCCCTTTGCTTTGGTCTTCCGCTTTTCTTGGTTTCAAACCGCGTCGTTGATATCCCGTCCTGCAGACGCGCGTCCAGTACATCTTCGTCATCGTACTCACGTTTTCGTTTTCCCAAGATCAGGGCCCTGTCGTCACGGCTAGCGCTGCTCTCTGGAGCAATCACACTCTCCAGCTCGTGTTCGTCATCTTGTTGCGCTGGCTGCCTATCATACCTACCAGGAAAGCCCTTCTTCTCTGTCGAGGTCACGTCGTCCTCGCGGCCCGCCGCAGTCGCCCAACACGGAGGACTGGACATGCCGCTTTTTTTTGGACGTTACTGCAGCGTCTCCTCTCGCAACCTCAGAGACGATGCGTAAAGGCTTCATGCTCCTCCAGCCAGTTTAATCGCCTCGTAACGCAAGAACGACTTGGCGCGCCCAACCTCAAAAACTGGCGCGCTCGTGGACAAGGACAGTTTTCCATCCTCCATCTTTATAATCTCACACAGCTCTCTTTCTTCTCCTCGACTACCAGATCGAATCTTCGTCTTCGACCTCAGTACTTTCAAAAACAGACTCAGCCAGACATTTACATTAAGTGCAAATATTGAGATTGACAACGTTCTACTTCTAGATAGTTGGACGGCCACCATGTCTATTCATAGAAAAATTCAGAAATGGTAACCTGAAGATGCAGACGTGTTCTTTTACGACGACTTCAAATTAGAGTTCCGCATAGGTTGAACTCAGCATAATAATGTTGATCTTGGTTCGTTCTCTTCATGCTCTTATCCTAATTCTGTTCTATGTATTTGATACTCCTTCTGCCTGTTCCAACAGTCTTGCAATCTCCGTTGCAATCTTGCTTAGTGGAAACCCGATAACATTTCGATGACATCCCTGAATCTCTTCAACAAAGAGGCCACCCAAACCTTGAATTCCGTACGACCCCGCTTTATCCATTGGCTCTCCACTATCCACATACGCTTCTATAGCTGCATCGCACAAGTCGCTTGCTCCACGAAACTTAACTGAAGTGCGTTCGGCGAATGAGGACGAGAAGCATTGAGGAGGCGAAGAACCAGACGCCTGCGACGCCGGTTCTTTTTCTTTTACACCGGTGCTTGCCCTGGCAGATCGTTTTTCCAATCGCAGAGACACCCCAGTGACCACGCTATGAGAGCGGCCTCGCAGCTCGTGAAGCGCAGCGATTGCCGCGGCTCGGTCTACAGGCTTGTCTAAAATCTTCTGTCGTGGCTTCGTCCCATTCCTAACCGATTGGTCAGGCGACGTGCTGGTCGCCTCAAATTCAAGCTCGATACATGTGTCAGCAGCAATGAGAAGAACCCAATCTCGGTCTGTCGTCTCGCCTGATGCTGCTGATGGTGTCACGTAAGCCTTCTCCTGCTCACGTTGAAACACTGCCCATACTGCCTCGATTTTTCTTCGCGAAAGCTCCATTGTGTATTCTGCTGCGCCTCTATCGCGCAGGGCTTGTCTCTGTTCCGCTGACATCTCTTCCTCTATGCTAGAGGTCAAAACTCGAAACGGGACACCAACCTCACCTAGAATCTCCTTTCGTCTGGGCGATCCAGACGCCAGTATGACCTCGACATACTTGCGCATGTACGAGAGACGACATAAAAGAGACATGTTGATGATTGTAGTAGTTTTAGAGAACCGATGCCCACGACGTGTCTTCAGATTTATTACTTAGATTGCACCCAAGCGCAAGCGAACGAGGTAATCAATGGTACGGTAAATATTTGGCACGCATCAAGAGTGTCACCTCCAGCGTGTGAAGCTTACTAGCCAATGACATTCAAAGACTCAAGTGGGAAAGAACAATGACAAAAAAAAAAGCTGCGCAACGCTGTAAGCCAACTCATAGGAGTAGGAGAACGATCGCAGTTGTAAATGCGATTATAATCGCTCCTCCTACCGGCAGCGCCTCCACCGAATAATCTAACTCACAAGATCAAGAGTTTATGATATTGATCGACGGTCGAGGTGGTTGTAATACCTTTGTTATTAAGTACTATCCTTCGGCAGGGCCGGGCCTGGTTGGATCAGTTTTAAATCTCATCAATACACCGAACCTACGGATCACTGTCCTCGCCATGTCTTCAGAAAACGACCTTTCCTAGCGAGCATCTAAGTAGAACACCAACACGCATAGCGCAAGAACCACAAGAAAGGGAATGAATCCCGAGGAAGACAGTCTGAAATGAAATCCCAAACAAGATCGTCGGGTTGTGGACGTGATTGAAATTGCAGAAACGTCTAGTCCTTTAGGAACGTCACGGTGGGCTTATTTTTTGTCTTATCAGCGGCTATTTTTTTCAAGAAGTTTTGATCAACCAAGTAACCCGTTTGTCTTTCCTTCCGGAACTGGTCAGAGAGGTTATTTCGCGCACAGAATGCAGCCCAGTCTTCCTCACTGCGATTCAAAATTGATGCAAGTTTTCCAGTCGAATTTTCACAGAACTCTACTATGGAACTGAACATCGTGTCTTTCAAATTCCACTTCTTGCGCTGCTTGTGGAAGACGGTTAGCGCGGTCTCCGTGATTGATGCAACCAACTCCTCACGAGCTTGCCGCAGTTGCTCGACGGCAGATAGTTCTTTCGCTAGTGGCTGACTTCTTTCAGCTTCGGTTACTGGTGCAAGTTGCAACCCACCCGAGCACGAGGTATTCATTCGTTCCCTGTCGTCTGTGTCCGTTTTCGTGTCTTGTTTACATCCTAATTCGAAGGTAGTTGAGTCTGATTCACCATGCTTCGAAGAAGAGGACGCACCAGCGTGTTTTATCGACTTTTTTTCTCCGGTGATTTTGGCAAATGAGAAGTCTGGCGAGGCCAACTGAGGATGAAAACTTGAGGTTGCAGAAGGAGAACCCAAGAGTTGCTGCCGTCTCGAGAGTGCCGGATCCTGGTCTCGCTTTGCCTGAGTCTTTGCCGCTGCCTGCGCGCTCGCAGCAAGATAGGTCTGGACTCGAGGCCGAATCTGATTCTGTGAGAATACATTGTGAGCGCCAACGCCTAGAATGGCACGAATTGGTATCAACAGCTCGGGCGCAAATTCCTTCAATAACTCATAGTCCTCTTTCTCTTCGGCGCTAACCGCCGGTTCACTTTCTCCTTCCGACATGCCATCACCTCGCCAGCCGATCGCATCCTTAATTTTGGCGGTATTGCTCGCACTTTTATCTCGTGCCGTATTCGAGGTCGCGGATGAGGACGGTCCTCCTGAGGACGCATTGCTGGTATCTATCGAAGTGCCACCTTTGTTGTCCGCAACTGCTGTCGCCTTCTTAGCAGCTTCTCTTTGCGCGGCAGACATGGCCACGTCATCCACTGTGTTTTGAAACTGCAAGGTTTTTCTGGCTGCGTCGCGATCGGCGGCACGGTCATAGTGATTGATGTATGCTTCGTCGATTCGCGCGCGGATGGAGGCGTGATCAATCTTTGCACGCTCCCCCAATCGCACTCGACTTGGAATTCTGGCAGATATGGTTGTTGACGACGCAGCTCCGGTTTCTGCGGGTAATGCTGCAAGCGAAGACCTTCTTTTTGCCCCCCTGCCTCTGGCGGCACTTGAAGCTGGAAGTTCTGGATTGGGACGCTCGAAGCGTAAACAACTCGTGCTGTTTATTTGCTCCACTTGCACTTTTTTACTTCTTAATGCGTCTGCTCTCGCTCGCCCAGCTGTTATTGCCTCTGCCATCCGCTCTATTTCTCCAGGTGCCAAATCGTAATCGAGGTCCGGATTGCGGAAGCTCAGTGATGATATGCCAGCTGCTTCGATGTCATTTATACGCGACAAGAGACGGCTTATCGAGACAGAGGTACTTTTTGATGGTGATTTGGAAGCCTCATGATTTGTGGAAAGGCTCTTTCTCTTGTTGCTTGCAGCTGGCGGATTAGACAACCTCGTCTTCTTGTTGCTAGTGTCCTTCCTATCTTCGCAGGCTGCCGCGTTTGGTGCCGAGGAGGACATTGTAGAACTTGCAGCAATCTGCTTTGTTGAGGGAACACGAGCCTGCAAAGTGGGCAGGCTCGTGTGATACTCATTTCGGGAAGAGGTTGAGGATATCGCTTTTCCAGTGCCAACAAGTAATGTACCGCACTCCACACCTTCATTCAGCAACAAGCCTCTGAGAGCATCTTTACTTTTTGCGGTTGGCCTTTGATTTTCTTCCCTTTTAGTTTCGCCTGTTGTGTTGGTAGTACTCTTAGACGTGGTACTCTTAAACGCTGAACATATTGCAGACATTGTCCTGAAGGTAAGGGTAGTCGTTTCTCTTGGTTCTTGCGCAAAGAAATGTATATCACCACTTTTGGTCGATTTCCGCCACTTCGCATCTCGAAAACGGACATCGTTTCCGAGGTTGCGTCCCCTAGCTGTCGATGCGCTGTTGCTTCTCTTGTTTGGATTCGTTTCAGGACCCTTACGACCCGCTTGTGCCCCCTGTAACAGCACCTTGTAAACCTTGTCTTCACAGTTACTGCTTACTCCTGTCCATGAGAAATTCCGCGAACCAATGCCAGTGCCGAAAAAGCAGCGCTCGTTTCGTTCGGCAGCCCCTCTGTGCTGTTCTGCCGCGAGAAGACTCGCGAACTCTGCCTCCGTGCTCGGGTCAAAGGTGCCGTTTTTCTTCCAAACCTGTGACTCCCACTCCGACACGTGGCCTACTACGGATCTGTTCGCATGTCCGTCTGCGCTGGCTTCCTTTTTCCGGCGCTTAGCGAACCAGTTGGCATTCGCATCGTTTTCTTCGTCTTCTTCTTCATCCCTCGCTTCAGGGACGTAGTCACTATCATCCTCCTCGTCAAAATATTCACGCCCACCAATAAGCACCCGCTGCCTCCTCTTCTTTGGCTGTCCAGCACTTTGGTTGTTGCTCTCTTTTCTGGCTTTGGGAGCTCCTGCGTTTGCGCTAGGCCGAGACGAGCCCGAAGGCGAAATTTTCGTGCTGCTACGCATTTTCTTTTACAGTCAGAGCGATCATGCGGTATTAGTGTCTTCAATCATCAGATGTGGTTCTTAATCACAAATGTCTTAGATCTTGCGCGCGAACAGCTACCTTTCATCTAGTTCTATGTAAGTAGTACGACCGATGAAGTTGAAGAACCATACGCAGTGAGCAGGCAGTCAGCATGCTGCAATGCTTTTAGATTACTCTTGATCATCCTGGGGCACAATGATAATATCGCCGAACCGTACACGAATTTAGTCACTAGACTTTACGTGTACAGCTTCATCCGATCATGACAATCAGCCTTGTTGTGGTAATGATGTTGATGGCGTACCAGTCTACGACTAGTACTTGACACTGCAGTGGGCGGATCGAAACAAATTGAAGATCTTCATTGTTGTTATCAATCCTTCCTCGGAATCATGCAGCAAGCTTATCCTATTCTCCTGGCCATCTTTATCTAGATCGTTTCTCGCAAAGCAACAAGAAGTGGGAATGGCACTACGTGTTGTACATACTTCTTAACTTTTTCAATTACTTACATGTCTGGAACACGAACACAATCCCTCGACGACGACCACCCAGCAGAAGGAGTACTGGAGGTAGAGAAGCACTCTACTTCTTCACGAGGACATGTTGGAAAGCAAGGAGGATATCCATTGATCATAGTTTGCGTTTGCTATGTTTCAATGCCTCGGGTCGGTTGCGCAAAGTTTGTATCGGACTTTTTGTTTACACATAACAAGGTAGCGAATCTTATCTCGTGAAACGGAAAAGGTATGCGAAAGTCAGAGTATTTGGTCACATATATATCTTGTTGAGTATGCTGTTGTAAGAAGGTTAGCGTCGGATGTTGCGTGAAGGCCTGACCACCGGAGGAGAGGTGACTATTAGCATGATCTTTATCCAACTTTTTTGACGATTTCAACGACATCGCCGTCTTCAAGCAAGTGCTCCCGGCCAACCGTTTGCGGGTTGTGCTTTGTGCTCGCGCCCCACACAAGGGCATGCTTGAATTGCTCTAACAAGGTCTTATGGATTTTCAGGCAGAAGTCTTCCACTCTGCGATGCTTCTTTGACATAATAACAGGCTCCGCGAAGTCCGGAAGAGAATTCTTTGGTTTCGTAAACACACGAACCAAGTCCATTCGTCGCCACATTCGCCTAAAGAGAAAATTGTTTCGTTGAGTCATTCAATTTCAAGTAGACAGCGAAAGGTCGTATTTTGTAAGCGAAGAAAACGATGACCATGACGTATGTATTGTTCTTGTCATATATATATAAGAAAAATCTATAAACAGAGTTCAATAACAATATCGATATCCAAGTAGCACGATATGGGTAAGCATCAGGAAAGAACATGCAATCCAATATCCAAATATATAAGGTATTACTCGATGAGCATGTCCAGACACCACTGCTCGTGTGCCGATATCGGAACCATATTTGGGTCCTGGTGCATTAGATCTAGCTCCTCTTGAGAGATCAGATCTACTTTGTTCATCAAATACAAGCACGGGATGTACCTTATTTTGTAGTTTTTGTATAATGAAGTTTAAGGCAGATTTCCATGTCTTGAGATTTTGAAACCTGACGAAACGAGAGGGTGAAGTTATTGAGGTATCTGAAACTGCATACTTACTTTGACAACAACTACTGCATGTTTACATATTGGTATCGGAGTAACATGATCATCAAAGAGGTTCTTGTGGTTATGATCGCTGACAAGAAAAGGAAGGAAGAGTACTTTCTGTTGTTTTCGAAGACATCGATAATCTCATCGATTGTCGCGTCGCAGGCTATATGGATGTTGGCGTTGATTATCCGGTATTCCTTAGCCACTTGTTGCACTGTTTCTATGTCGGTATCGATCAGCTTATTGCCTTGCTTCACGTTCACTGTAATCCCACCTGGAGGTGTAGTAGAGAGACGGTAAAAAAATGCATTCGCGATTATGCAGTAGCTTAGTTCTAGAATGTTATGCTTAGTTCGCGTGAATTTGACGTTTTCGAAAGCTATGATATCCAGGAAAAAGGTTTTAGTTTTGTTTTCATCCGAAAGCATTGGAGCAGATTAAGTACCTTTATCTCCCTTGACGATTGTAATGTTTGGTCTTGATTTGTTGAGCCGCATGCCGAAGCCGTAGAGCTCTTTCTCGATCTTTTGCCTTATTGTCCACGGCTTCGAGCTGTCAAGGACTACGAGAATAAGGGAGCAGGTCATCGCTACGGAGATAATCTGCTTACCACGACCTTTACCGTCTTTGGCCCCCTCAATAATACCTGGAAGATCTAAAACCTGGACCTTCGCACCCTTGTACGTGAACGTACCGGGAATACACGTCAGTGTCGTAAACTCATACCTGTTTATTGTTGTACGGAAAACGAAATCGAACAAAGGCGTTGAATTCGATTCGATTCGATAAAACATTAAAAGGGCCAGTATTTTGTATTATACATATATAATGATGGTCAAAAAAATATCGATCTGTTGATGAAAAGAACTACTCAAATTTCTTAAGTTCATTACGATGCGACTTCACTGGCAGCTCCTGTCAAGCGATTGAGGAGTGTGCTCTTTCCGACTGATGGAAAGCCGATCAAGCCTACTCTTGCGTGACCTGTTGCCTTTACTTCAAATCCTTGACCGCCGCCGCCACCGCTCTTGCTCGCCTCTGCCATGACCTCTCCACGGAGCTTGGCGAGCTTCGCCTTTAATATACCCAAGTGCCCATTTGTCGCCTTGTTTTTCTGCGTCCTGGCCATTTCGGCCTCGATATCCGCGATCCTTTGTAGCACCGACATCTTGGCCGAGCGTGGGCGTCAAGTCGCTTAAAAAAGAAACCAAGCGTCCAATTCCGTTGCACGCGAACAGCAGCGAGCAAAAATGCTGTCTATCAATGTCACTGCAAAGGCGGGGTCGAATAGTGCGCTGCGCTTCGATTGTTCTGTTTGCTGAGCATGCGCAGAGCAAAGAACCAGCACGCCAATTTGTTCTAGTACACTAAGAATAGAAGCAACTACAACATAGGGAGGAAGATATTGAAGAACCAGATGCTAAATAAGTAAATGGTTCAAACGGTAAAGAGTGAAACGATGAGCCCACGCACGCGGTAGAAAAGTGCAGGGCCCGTCTAAACGACAGCTTGATGAAGCACGACGACCTGAAGTAGTAATCAAGGTACAACAAATGGTCCGTGGCCGGTAAGTGTTTTCACAGAATCATTAAGCTAGAAACCTTCTGAAAAGTATCTTCTTAAACTTGGAAATGAATGAAACGCACTAGCATCTAGACCTAGTCCTACTAGCATGAAGATTTTAGTACTTCTCTGAGATTAGATCAGAGACCGTGAGGATCGAAGTCGGAACTATCCCTAGTATTGAAGATGAATAACATCATGAATTGTGACTGTGTTGTTTGATCTCCCTGATGATCGAGGTGTAAGAACGGTGTGCCTATTCATCGATTAAGACCAGAACAAGGGTAGCTAATCCACTGGAATAATGTGTTCTTTTTTAGGATCGGGTTCACTTCTTAATTCTTTTTAGTAACAACATGTGCCGGTATAAGTTTTTTCTTCATGAAAGAGCATGCCTTGTTCCAGAACACTATTGGGGCACGCAGCTCAAGATCGATGCGAGCCTTCTCGACTCGTAAATCTTCTTTTTTACGTTTTCCATGTGTCAGAACCATAACTAACATCGCAGCAGAATTTGAGAACGGATTTCAGCATCATGTTCCTGTAGTGCTTGATCGGTTTCGGCTCTTTTTAAAAAGTGGAAGTCATAAACTCAATCGTTCATAAATGTTACTTAAATGAAACTCACGCGGATCATGCAGACCATCGCGTTATCTGTTTGGCGGCCCACCTGCACCCGCTGCGCCGCCGCTCTTGACAAATTCAGCTTCTAGCTCTTTGAGAACCGACGCCTTCAGCTTGATGCCCAACGCCACCTGGATCAGCGTTTCCGTGTCTAAGGACGACGGCGCGGTCTTCAGCACCTGCAGAATGTCCTCGAAGCCTTGGGACAGCAGCAGATCAGCATTCAGTTTTAGAATTGCTAAGGCGACGCGAAAAATGATCTTCACCCCCTCAGCCAAGAAAATATCCCAAACACGACAGACGGTGGAAAACCGGAAGTTGTAAACGCAGACTGTCATGAACCACTGCGAGGCGTACATCGTGGGCTCCACATTCTGCAGTAGAAAATGCTCGAAAATTAGAGAAAGAGAGCATACAATCTACAACTCAATCTCAATCTGTATCTGCTGCTAGGAACAGTGGAGAGAGAAGCGAATTCACTTTTCTACTTAATCCTCGTTTGCGAGAACGAGAAGCATAAGCAACGAAAAAAAAAGTCTACGTACTACAACCTGTAGCCATAAGTAGAGTTTTGGTAAATGCATCTTGATGAGCAGATTTAGCTGAAAGAAATATTTCGCAAGCAGGGGAAGATTCGGCTTGAAAAGACCTGACATGCGGTAATTCTCCAGCAGCGACACAACCATATAGAAAGCATCTTCCTCTGAAAGGTAGCAGAGGAGGAGACCCACGATGAAACCCATACCCATGCTATGAAAGAAGACGGGGCACTAGGGAGAAGGATGGAAATCAAGCAGCTTTTGGTCATGCGATCGCTGATCGCATACGTAGTGAAATTCAGGGTGATTTTTGCACAACATGACACCACCATCATAATGGCAATATCCAACCTCAGGGTTGAAAAGCGAATAGGCGCGGAGGACATGCAGAAGCTGCTCTTGGCCCATTGCCTGTCGGTCACAGTAAAGGACATGCTTGGGAAAGGTTCGGTTAATATCACGTCGAATATCAGGTTCGCAAGGTGCGTTGCGTTTCTGCTTCAGCGTTTCGTAGAGGTGCGTATTAGAAGTCAAGCGGAGGAGTCCTCGTGGCGCGTGTGAAGAAAGGTAGCTTAAGTTTAGTATCAAAGAACTTCCTGCTCTTTCTGTATTCAGTGTCAGCTATTGCAGTCAGCGAATGCACTGATTGTTTCTACAACAGAGTCAGAGACACAAGAACTGATAAATCTTCTTCATCAGGTCACCTCGATTCTTCCAATACGGTGGGTGAATGAGAATCTCGCCCAGAGTCTGAATCACAGGGACGGTGTCTTGCTGGAAGCACATGGTTATCACCGCGTAATCAATGGATGCTTCTGCCGCAATTCCCGACTTTGCGCCAAGCGCTGCCAAATTGCCCCACGCAGACATTCGGGAAGACCTCGACGCACCAGCTCTTTGATCTTACGCTATGAAAGAAGTACGAGATGGTCTAGGTTTGCAGTAGTTGATAAAAACATTGGTCCGAAAATGAACATTGAACAAGAACTCCTACCATAAAAATCAACACGAAACAAGCCCTGGCTCTATATTTGAGTAGTACATAAAGGAACAAAATGTCAACACGAAAGTCGACATAAAAGAATGTCGAAATTCTAAATCACCATCGCCGTTTAGTAAAGTAAGTGTTACTAATAGTATGCAACTTATACTTAGATTGAAGGCGACAACGTGGGTGCCGTAGTTCTGGATTCTTGTGTCGGAACCGGAAGAAGTCAACAAGCAGCATACGCCAAACCTCTAGATTTTTGTCGTATTCGGCTTTTATTTGCAGCGCATATTGACGCTGCGCAGCAGTAACTTGCTCCAAGCCTGGTGGCCCATTCTTTGTCACTGCAGGATCCTCAGTCAAAGACCAGAACGAGGGGTCGTCATCATCCTGCTCTTCCCATTCATTGCCTTGATCGTCATCTTGAGTCTCCTCTTCTTCGAGGCCATCACATTCCTGTTGATGTCCTCGTGCTGAAAATGCTGAGGTCGTCCCATCCACGGCAGAAATATGTGCCTCGTCTTGAGATCCTCGTGCGACCTGATTGCGCTTGCTATTCTTGTCATAGCTTCTCTGTTTGTCAGAACTATTACTTATATTTTGAACAAGCTTTGGCTTAATATTTCGCGTTTCTTGTTCTTCTATAGATTTTTCCTCTAGAAGAAATTCGTCATCCTTCCCATTTTGGTCCTGCTTTAGCTTTTCGCGCGATGTTGACAGCGGAAACACAGACGGAGCCGTAAGCGATTGACAGTCGCCATCTCCTGACTCTCCGTCACCATCTCGCGAAGATGATAGGTCCTCGTCAGCGGCGATTTTCTGACTAGACACTGTGTTAGCCCGACACGGATTAGTTGAAAAAGATGAAGATAACACGGCATCTTCTTCCTTCTTGGCGGTTTCCGAACCAAAGCCACTCCGTTCAGGAATTTTCGAGGCGGTCGTACTATGACTCTCGAAGACCCCTGCGCGAGTCCTAGGTGGGCGCTTTGTCGGTTCTAGAAGTGCGTCCAAGGTGCTTTCTTGGCGTGCAGATCTACCAGCACCACGGACTGTGGGAATTCCCGAAGACGGAGGTCCATTTTCTAGTTCGGTAAAAAACTTATCGATCTCAGCATGGCGATCGGGCACGGCTCGAGCCTCAGTTCGTCCTCCAGGTCCACCTGGCATCTTCGGCAACCGCTACTTGGATATTTCACTTGTTCGTCGAAAAACCTGCTGTGCTGGTGGCTCAACCGGAGTGAAGCAAGCTAGAAGTAGAAGATGCCTCTCAAGAACGGACTGGAGATACATCTTTCTTCTGTATAATGGTAATGCTTTATGATTGCCGCACTCCGATGTTGGCACTGGACAGCGAGTGGCTTCCCTGTTTCGCTTGAGCTTGACACATGATTCTGGATACAACACTCGTTCACACACGAGGTCGTGCTTGCTCATATATGAGACTGGAGAGACCCTTCATGAAAACGATGATGTGATGATCTTACTTAATATGATTGAGAACATAGCTCGTTGTGTATTCACCACCAAGCATAAGTGGTATTGAGCGCAAAGTGGTGCGCGGTGCGCCCCTACACGAAGAACCAGGAAGGGGACGGGAAAAACAAGAACCAATGGTCGTGGTACACCCACAACATTTACGGATTACAACAGTGACACTATATCAAGGCACAAGCGCAACAACTGCACATTTTTATTTGATGTTTGTCTCAGATTGGTGCGCCTCGCTTTAAGACTGAACAACGTTGCCGGCCACTTTCCCGACTTCGCCTGCGGCATCTCCCGCAACCTCCACCGCAGTGCATCTTATGTCTCCCACTGTATCCACAACATCGCCCAGAAAGTCTGGGTCTTCTCCCAGAACGAGAGCCAACATGCCCCACATCCTAATGCCCAAACAGCATGTCATGCATCTGAAAGGAGGCAAGGAAAGGATGTTGTAATGACACGCTACATAAACGTGCAGATATGCCTGTGGACGCAGCTGTAGCTATTTGTAAAGCAAAAGACCAACATTAGGGTGATCGAGATGCAATGTATGAAGTTCTTGTAGAGAACAAGATGTTGATTGTTTTCATCTTCCTAGGAGATGAAGGAAAAGTATGGTCCACAGACGTTTGCGCATATGCCTTCTGGTTGTTTCAGCTTCTCTTTCCCTCCCGCGGGTCTTTGCGCCGGTTGAGGTGGCCGTGCTGGCTGAGCGGGATCAACCATAACCTGCTGTGGCGCTCGCATTCCCCCTTGTGGAGGTGTGTACTGTACTAGCGTAGATCCCTCCTGTGCCGGCTGGACATACTGCATACCTTGTACTGGCGCCCTTGGTGAAACCATGACAACCATCTATTGCGGTGCAGGGGCTAGCTGAACAGGCGCCACTGCGACGGGCTGCACCACACCCATTGTTGCCGACTGCGGTTGGTAGACCGGCGCCCCGGTGGGCGTTCCCATCCGCGTGACCTGCATTCTGCGGTGCTCTGCGATCCGTATTTAGCCTAGGTTCTTTGGTGATCGCGCGAAAAACTTAGTCGCTTCTTGTATATAAAGACTTTCAAGATATCACAAGATGCTGGTGCTGTAACTGTAACATTGGGCTTATCATATTTCAGGACGTCATCTTCGCTCTTCTCCTTTTTTTACTCAATAGTTGCGAAAAATTTTCGCATTTGGTCACTTTTTTCGTTCCACCAGCTCGTACTCGTCTCAATGGTTTCCCTTTTTCTGTCCTCCTAAAAATTATCAAAGCCCTACGCTTTCTATTATTTTACATCACCAGGACCTGGACCTCTGACAGTACTCTAGCCTGCTCTTGCTCTCTTAGTAGCCTATCCACTTTCCAGCTTCCTGAAATACTTATCCTGGCACCCACAAGAGCAGGACTATTATCCATAGCTGGACACGGATGCTCGAATCGCTGCTCTCGCGTTCATTCAACAAGATGAATACGAAAATACATTGATCGATCAAAATATGATCGTTTCACATTCACTCCAAGGTTATTCAAGATCAAAGGTAAATTATATGGTTTTTTATTCTGGCTTATGTGTGCGAGTGCGCGATGATGACGAAGAACCGAGGTAGCGAAGCAAGCTAGCGAAAACGACACGAATCACGAGAGCAGGTAGCCTTACACAAAAGAGAAATCCTAGCCAACTTCCTGCACCAAGCCTTGCTTCTTACCACCGCCATCTTCGGCAGGAGTTGAGAGACCTGGGGAACGGTCGCCAGAGCGTTGTATTGGGTCTCGATGAAGATCAAAGAGACTCAGATTTGAAGGATACTTCTTTTTCTTCTTAGTAGACCCTCCAGCATTGCCCGCGCCGGTATCCACCAGGGAAGTTCTGTCGCGTGTCGGACCCTTCTCTGATCCATTGTTCTTTCCTCCTCCGTGCGAACTCGCGTCGATTCTTGGCTCACTTGTTAGAAAAAGCTAGATACGGTATTACCGAAGATTTCATCAATAAAACAAGAACTACTTAGTCTTGTGCCTCTACTGTAGAACCACCACTACGACTAGGACTACAAGTAGGAAACCATAAATCTTCTTCGACGTCTTCGTTTTCAGGTTGGAGAGCGACAAGACTGCCCTCTCCAGGCTTGGACGAGGACGAGGTTGGCTCGAAAGTGCGCTTATCGTGTTCTGCGGGCTCCAATCGATTTGCTCCCACTGTGGCTCCAGCTGCTTTCAGCATTCGAATCTTCAAAAAACCGCTAGTTTTGCTGCGCTGGACGCTGGTCTCGCAGACGTTCACTTCCTCCGGCAACTTCAATTGCGTCAACTTCTCCCTACAGATAACGCGTACGTACCTGTCATTTCGGTCCCAGATGTTTACATTATGGCCGAAATTGCACGTTGAACTTGAGAAAAATTTTTCATCGGAAAAATGCATTTGCTTCTTCTAGTAGTACTAGTACCGCGCGCGCGCTACTTCTCTTAATATAATTTCCATTTGTGGGTCTAGGTCTAGAAAGTTCTAATGCTAATCAGAGCGAAGCTTGTAGCTATTACCATGGATTCACGTCCACGTCAATGAGCCCAGTCTCGAGATGCTTTGGTGTTTCCAGCTCAAAAACTACTTCGTTTCCAATTTCTTCCATTCGAAAGACGTATTTGCCTGGTTTGCGTTTTTTAGAATTAAGTTTTGGGAGTATGGCTTTTGTTGACAAGCATCTAGTACTAGTCCATACTGTTGACTATCTATGCTGAATCTGCACGTCTCATGCAAAAATGGATGCTACTCGAGTTCTTCTACGTAAACAGATACCGTCAAGGTTCAACAAGAAGCGGGATACAAGGACACTCAGTAATCATGATGAGACCCGCACAAACTTTTTGATGCAAGAATTGCACGTCGATAGCATCGAATGCGAAAAACATCAATAGGAGAAACCAAATTGAAGAACCTTCATTGCACTGCCGTATATCTCCCCTGGCTGTGTACGCTCCGGGTATTTCGCGCGCTTCCTTTGGCTCGGTTCCCATACGCCTACGCTCATGCATTTCTTTTTCCGCTTTCTGCTTCCCCATTTCCCTAGCCATGGAGAGCCTCGTTTCCGGTGCGTGCGCCGTTTCTGGAGGGACGTAGCCAGTTGCTGCTTTATGCGCTTTGTCTATGATAACATCGCGTGCTTTCTCCGCAAGCGCTTTCTCCCACACCGGCAGCTCTTGCAGCGCTGTGATGCGATCCTGCGGATTGATCAGATGGCCGTCCAATTGCTGTAGCTGCGGGAGTTTTGCGGTGACGTACTGTCGATACCCGACGAAGTCGGCGCACGGGTTGCCCAAAAGGTACAAGTCCTCCAAAAACTCCAAGCCCTGCAGTGATTCTAGACTTTCCTTCAGCACGTCCATATCGACGAAATTGAGCGTCATGTCTAGTTTCTTCAAGCTTTCGCAGCCGTCCAGATTCTCAATTTTGCTGATGTTGTTAAGAGAAACGTTCAGGTATTCGAGCTCCTTCAGTTTCGACAAGTTCTCGAGTTTTGCGATGCAGTTGTGCTGCAACAGCAAAATCTTCAGATGACGACAGCATTGCTCCAGACATTCGATCTTCTCGATCTCCTCCTGGTGCAAGCTGATCTCCTCCAAATCAGGCAAAATGCCGTCGTTGTGTTCCGCCCGCTTACGGATCAGATCCTCGATTAGGCGACCCATTTTGGTTTTGATATATCAGTACTACTTGAAACTTAAAAAGCCCTCTGGTGAAATTTAGTTTTTTCTTGTTATTCTTCTCAGTTAGCTACTGACAACTTGCTCTTGTAGTCCTACTTCCACGTTGTATATACTTTTTATTACTTTTCTTGACGAGTTGAGCAGGTTGTCCCTACTAGTTTTGTGCTAGAAAATAAGTAGTACTCTAGGATTAGATTCTTGCCGCTAGTAAATGTCAATCCGGGTTTGCAAAACACTTTCGTTCTTTCAGCTACACTCCGTACGTGGGTCCCCTACTAGTGGTGCTTTCCAATGCAGCGGAATATAGCTAGTTCATTTTTTTTTTATGTCACTTTTAGTTTACAAGGTTACTTCGTCTATTCAGAAACGGAGCACTCTTACAACACGCATCCCGTTTACTTTGCAAACTCCTGCTGAAGACGCACAGCTTCCTTTCATACCTGTAACTGTATGATGTTGTTGTTGATCTCGAAGATGTTCAGTATTTTATTACTCTCCAGTAAACTAACAAGTACGTCGCGAAAGCAAGCTAGTGCACACAAAACAAAGAGCAGCTTGTCTTCAATATCAGTGAAGCGCTGCACCAAGAAAAATGAATCATCGGAATCGGAAAAGAAAATTAAATAGGTCCTTGTCGCCTTCGTTTGAAGTCCAAAAGCTGTCGTCAGCAATCATTATCGGATTTGTGAGAAAGAGAAGTAGTTGGTAGTTTCAACGTTGAGCAATCTGTGTAAGTGTACTTGATCTAGCTGTATTCTGGTATACTCGTGGTCTCAGCGTAGCACTAGCAAATACGTACGTATCAATTTTTTGCACGAGGGAGGGGGGAACTCAGAAGAACGCCAGGCCCCTGCACCTGAAGCGAATAAACTCCAAGTTTTCAGTCCGCATCCTCTTCTTCCGTGCTATCCTCTTCTGCATTGGCGGCGCTTCTGAGGTCAGCCTCCTTTCCCTGGCAGCGAGTAACAGCGCGCGGTATCTGCAGCACGTCTGCATAAATCTTATCGCGGTAGTCGTTTACCGTGAAAAGGACATCATCAGCGAGAGGTAACTCTAATGCCTCACGAAATCGGGGCTCGTCATCAGGGTTATGAAACGCGGATACAAATGGGTGCCGGATAGATTCCTCGGCGGTCATGCGCTTCGGAGGCGACCAAAGCAGGAGAAGCTCGATGAAATCCAGCAGATCTTGCGAATTTTCGGCACAGGACTGCTCCAGGGAATTAGAGCAGCAACATCAAAAAATTGAGTGACACTCGAAGAGCTTTGAAAATGTGTGTAAAGAAGTTGGCAGTGTCGTAGTCCCTGACTAATGCATCTGTGAAAGAAATTCATACAACAGAACAATTTGTAAGGTTTGCCAGGTCGCACGGCACGGAGTGCATGGATCGCAATCGCATGGAGTTGTATGGAGCTAAAGGGGGCGCTTCTTGCGTGCCTTGCGGGTCTGCGCTCCATGCTACTCCATGCGCCATGCGTGCTAAAAACTACTCTGATACAAGGATACGATAAAAATACTCATAAGGATGATGTCCGACAGCGCTTCCTTCTTATTCACTAAGGTCGCTTCGAACATTTGCTCTGCATATGGCGCATCCATCGTTAGGATGTCGAACTTATCCGGTTTTCCGAGGTGCAGGTAAATTGATTGCAGCTGCGTGAACATACACGTTCCTGGAAGAAATTGCTTTGTAGAAGTTGATGTGCTTAGTCTTGGTAGAGGATTTTGATGCAAGTAGACATCTTCTTCAGTGCCGAATTTTCTTTTGTTGAAGATCTTGCTTGTTGCGCAACACCAAAATCACAACCCTTGCCGCGCCCAAAACGCTGATTATCAGAGCGTAGAAGGAACGAAGTACTATAAATATTGTATACCTCTTTCCCATACGAAGACTAACAAGGAGGCAGCCCGTTTTCGTGCGGAACCACACGAAAAGCGGTCGCCTTGTCCAACAAGACACACCATCACACCAAGACCAACATGGAGCGAGGCGGTCCATTTTCGTGCGGAACCACACGAAAAGCGGTCGCCCTGTCCAACAAGGGACACCACCACACAAAGACCGTTGAGGCAACCCATTATCGTGCGGAGCCACACGAAAAGCGGTCGCCCTGTCCAACAAGACACGCCACGACACAATGACCAACAAATAGGGAGGCAGCCCATCTTTTTGCGGATCCACACGAAAAGCGGTCGCCCGGTTCAACAAAGCGCGCCACCACAAGAAGACTCTGGAAGCAGTGCTGTTAAATGTGGAAACCCACTCAAAACGTTCGGCTCTCTGAACAATCCACGTGCGTTCCCTTACGCTCAGCAAGTAGTTGTGCGTGTAGAAGTAACGATAGTCCCAGTGGAGCCCTACCTAGAAAAGAAGAAAATCAATCAAATGCAAGTACCTTTTATCGATATTTTGACTAATCAACAAGCGCTGGGGATATCGATATCGCTGTCCTGTCATACTTGTTCCAATGATGATTCTGTAGACCTTATACCTTTGAAAACTGGTCTCCCGATGTACATTTCCACAAAAACACAGGCGGCCGCCCACATGTCGAAACTAAAGTCGTATGTTGTCGAGCCAAGGAGTACTTCCGGCGCACGGTACCAACGTGACGTGATCTTAGAATATTCGAAATCAAGACAAAGAAAAGTAGGTAATGAGGTTGGAGTTGGACAGCTATATATGACCCAGAGCGCGGGGCTACGGAACCCACCCCCCTAGCGCAGGGGCAGGGTACCGGAAGCCCGGGCCCCTTTTGAAGGCATCTGCCGGGAGTGGAAGGCCTCAAAAGGGGCCCAAGGGACCCTCTCCGCCCCCTTCCAGCTGCCTGGCTGTACCCTACAGCCCTCCGGTGTAGGTGGAAGGCTCCAAAAGGGGCCCAAGGGATCGCCTCCGCCCCCTTCCAGCTGCCTGCCTGTGCCCTACATCCATGCCTCCCATATGCTTCGCCGCCGCAGCAGTGCGCCGGGTGCAAAAGGCCTCCGAAGGCGGCAAAAGGCGAGGGGCTGGACCCCCTGAGCCGTGCAGCCTGTACCCTCCGCCTTTTGCCGCCTTCGGAGGCCTTCCACAGCCGGCGGACTGCTGCGCCGGCGAAGCCTATCGGAGGCGCTTAGGGCACAGGCAGGCACCTGAACGCGGGCGCAGGCGGTCCCTTGGACCTTTTGAAGCCTCCCACCTACATCGGAGGGCTGTAGGCAACAGCCAGGCAGCTGGAAGGGAGCGGAGGAGGGAGGTCAGTTGGCCCCCTTTTGAGGCCTTTCACCCCCGGCAGACGCCGTAAAAAGGGGTCCGGGGCTGCACGGTACCCCCCCTACGTACCGTCGCCCCGCGCCCTGGATCATATATAATTTTTACTGCCATTTTGTCGATTTCCTTTTCTTGAAGAAGGTACTTCATCTTGCTGTTGATGTCATAGCAATATAGTTCGAGAGAAACCCCTCTTCTTCCACCTGGTATTGCGGTTGCAATCGGTCATTTTGGTTTTCTTCATCATCTTCACTAGTCCGCGCCAACACAGCCTTCAGCTGTTTTGCTTGTTCTTGTCGTCGCTTGATGACTTCGTCTTCAGGTGACTCGTAGAGTGTCCGCGCCAGGCCGAAGTCACACAGCTTTAAGCGGCAGTCTGAGCTCAAAAGAATATTCTGCGGTTTGATGTCTCGATGAAGTATGCCTCCAGTGTGGATATAGAGCAACGCCCGCAACAGCTGATACACGCAAAACGAGAGCTGAACCTCGGATAAGCGCACGTTCTTCAGAATATTCCCCAACGTGGCAGGCATGTATTCCAGGACAATGTAAATGTCCAAATCGTAGTAATCCTGATAGCGAAGATAGACACAAAATGATATGAATTGGCAATGATATTATCATGACTAAGAGATCAACAAGAATAGGTACAACGGAAACGAGTCGGTGCTCGTAACTGTCACTAGGTAACTACAACGCTTAAGTGGACTATTTGCAGCTTGCAATCCGCCTTTGTTTTTAGGTTCTAGCTGAGCTCCTCCGTTTTTACCTTGACGACGTCAAAGATTTCGACGATGTTTGCATGCCCGTTCAGCTCCAACAGCAAAGTGATTTCGCGATACGTTCTCTGAGCGTCAGTTGCGTTCTTAAAGGCGTTAATGACCCTTTTAATCGCGTACTTTTTGTCACCAGTAGCGTGGGCTTTCGCTCGCCACACCAGTCCATAGTTCCCGCGACTCAGCTTGCTAAGAACCTCATAGTTTTTTAGCACATTTGGCGAAATGTGCTCCGGATCTGTCATCTTGCCTTCTCAAACTCAATCCCGACAAGGTGGACGCCATTATTATACTTGAGGTTGACCTGCCATATCGTTCACAAACGAACAATCCAGAGCTGAGGACACTTCAGAAGCACATTGCAAGACGACGAATGGCTCGCCACCGGTGGTCATCTTCTTAGTAGTTGTTGCACTTCAGCTTCGTAATAGTAGCTTCTACAAAGTCTCATCGGCATCCTCGACTTTATTTCTTTGCATCATCTGTAGAGATGGCAAACAGGGTGGATCAACATTCCATCTCCTGCCCGAAACTGAAGAGCACTCATCTCGCTTGCTCAATAGACTCTAATCTTCCCTCGTCTTTCCCGCTCATCAAATGACCGATCATGCGTGATGTGCCAAAAATGGCACTTATCTAGTAGTTCTTACTGCCGTAAGTGCGTCGTAGAACTAGAAGTCCTGCCCGTAGTATCATTTTTCATGTTTGTGCTTGTGGTCCGCCAAAGTAATAACAGCTGTTGCATCTGCTTTCTCCCATCCACGTCATGATCTCTGCTCAACTTCAAGCTAGACGAGGATGTCTCCTCTAGCTGCTCCTGATAGGAGGGCGTTGTGTATTAATTCTCGTGTTTCTTGTCTCGTCTATTACCTGCCCTCACGCGGATACGACACACTACTTGTACGTGTTGTCATCATGCACTGCGAATTCTGCAAAGAAAAGAAAGGGCTCTTTGGCTTGATGTTTGATGAAATGTTACAAGAGAGAAAGCAAATTCAACAAATTCTTGTTCTCCTGTCGCTTGCCTCTATCACAACAACGGCATGCTGACAGAGTTATCTTCATTGTCATTGATCGATCATTAGCGAACTTTGGTTTCGTATCGATTTATACGTTGATTTGGGCGAAAGATGCAAGTAATAGTAAGTGAACGAACATGATCACGCCAAGCCCAAGCATTGATAAGGGAAAAAAATTAGAATAGGATTCGATTTCGTTTTCGGGACGACGTCATCAAGGACAAATAAGCAAACACAAACTTCTACACCAGAATAAATATCGAGAGTTAAAAATACTCTCTGGTGTATGTGGTTCACGCATGTTGTCAAAATTCTGTCACATCGCAGCATTATGAGTCGTTGAGTAGTTTATTCTTAGCAACGAGCGCAAAAACAAGCTGCGCAAGGAAAATATTGATGACATCGAGATCAAAAAAATATGGACTCATGTTTCCGTCGAGTCGTGAACATCTTCATTTCGGGCTCATGCTGGGACTCAGCAGTGGAGAAGACCCACTGCGTTGACCAGGACTGCGTATTAAGCTCCGTGAGCGGCGCAATCGGGAACTGTTACTGTTTCGTCGAGAAGCCCTCATTTTGTTCAGACTCTGCTTCTTAGTCATTTTGCCGATGCCATCTGCAAACTGCGTTTCCAGCTCATTCTTCCGATGCAGAGAGGGGTAAAGCCTGCTGATCGAAAAATAGAGGAAATCAAAGTACATCTCTTCAAACTTCTTTGATGCTCATGAACATGATCATGTGATATTGATGCATATATGCAGAACTTTAGGTGGAAACGGAACGATAGGAATGAACAGGTGAACCAAACATAAATCGGAGCGTTAACCAGTAGCGAAGGACGCAAATATATGCGTCGCAATCATACAATTCTAACACAATCAAATAAGGCCGAACGGGCACCATTTGAGGATAATTAAGCGAACAATCATTCAAGGGAACGGCGACAGATTCACGCGACAAACTGCGCCCCAAATCAATGAGAAACGACAGAACTATCGAACGCGGTGTGGAGCAGTGGCGGCGAACAAGATGGCAATGCGTTGCATGTTGCAGATTTTCACAGCTGCGAAAGTGTGTGCTTTTATTTGACTGCGGCGCGTACCTCATGAGCATTGTTAGTACTCGCGGGCGAGTCATGCACTCATATGCTTCGACGCGCTTGCGCAACAGGGGGGGAGGGAGGGGGGCAGCAACGCCATGGATGGATTTGAAAGAGAAGCGATGGACTAAGTACGTCGCCACGTCAGTGCGCTGCGAGTCACGTCCGGCGCGTCTTAGTCGCTCAATTACTTAACGAAACGCAAGAGAAGCGATGGACTAAGTATGTCGCCACGTCAGTGCGCTGCGAGTCACGTTCTGCGCGTCTTAGTCGCTCAATTACTTAACGAAACGCAAACAACTTTAAAGCCCAGACTTTTGCTCAGCTCAACCCCCCACAGATGTCCACTAAGTAGCTCAAACAGATGGGCGCACGGTGGACCCCTCTGGGCGCCTACCTAATTCGAAACTCTCAAAATTTGCGAGGCTGGCTTAAAGCCTCAACCGATAACCAGCAAAAATCTCAAACAAAAATAGAGCCGCGCAGGTTCGTCCCTCAATGCAGCAGCTGCAGCATGGCTCCGCACTCGACTAGACAGCTCCCGGTCTCTTCTCTTTGACAAGCGCGGCGAACCTCTAACAGATCGCAATAAAACAGCCCCAACAGATTGGCGCTGGGTCGTGTGGACTTCTCTCCCATCGGCGTCGTGTGCACTTCTTTCACATGCTGCGCAATACCCTCAACAGAGTCGCCGCCCAATACTCTCGACGGATTTCATTCCGAGCAGAGTCAGCGCAATACCCTCAACAGACTCACCGCCCAATACTCTCGACAGATTTCATTTCGAGCAGAGTACCTATGACGCAAATTGTGCCAACGACCTCCGAACACTGCTGAAACACTACGGCAATACCCTCAGCGGGCTATCCTCTTAACTCTCTCAAAAAGTTATCCTCTCAGCAGACTAAAAGGCCACAAATACCCTCAACACACAGACTACGCCATGGGCGCAACTCGCACGACAGAACACCCTCAACCGACCGTCTACGACGTAAATTGTGCCAACGACCTTCGCATCTTTTGCGATTTCGAACCATTTCACAAGTTTCGCTCTAAACCGACTGCAGAACGATAGACGAAAACACGATCTAGGAAACTTTTCTCGGGATAGGAATAAACACACAGAACAGGCAAAACTGCGCACGATTTTCACAATTCGGGGCGTCGTTGATTCCTCCCGTCGCGTTTCTCTCTATCGTCGGGGTCGCTCGGTGTCAGGATAGGAATAAACACAACTAAAACGGTGGCGGATGTTTATTCCTATCGCGTTACGCTCTAAAATTCTGCATATATGTAGCTGAAAACGATCCTCATTATCATTTTGAGTGACCAAAATTTGAACTTGATATATGAATAAACAGGTGAGTCTCTATTCTGCCAGTTTTTTTTGAGCTACAACAAATAGAAACTGGAGCGATCAGAGTTACAGGCTACTTGGAGTTACATACAGTACATAACGTCTACTAGGTTGTATTCTAATTCTACCAACGACCCCAAAAAAGAAAAAGAACTGTACTCTGCCGCGATCTCATTTCCGCGTGGATGCTGCGAGATAATGTTTTCGTGCACCTGGTGCATTATTTGAGCAAGCGCTACGACTTCTCCAACGGTTTTCTTAACTCGATGGTGACCTTCTTTTTCCGGTGCTGGTGCGCGCCCGCCCACTGTGGGTGCAGCGCTTTGCGGCCGCTTCGCCAGGTCATTAGAGATCTCAATTTCTGCCTGCTCACATCCAAATCGATTCCACAACCGATAAGGATAATCACGTAGGCTTTTCACGGATCTATTACAACTTGGTCAACCATCAGGGTCTTCATGGTGATGCTATGAAGATGATGGTTCTCAGTTAGGAACAAACTACGAAAATGAGTTAGGAACAAACTACGAAAATCGATAAGCAAACGGACACGATCTCTGCGTCTGCTTTAGCCTTGTACATAAAGTTGGAAGGAAGTTTGGCACTTGCGTAGGCCATTCGGACCTCATACAGGTGTTGTTCATCACTCAGGCGCGTTATCAACCTTGAGTGCTGCCGCTCGTGCTTCAGCGCCTCCCGCTGTCGGCGAATCTCAGCGGGCTCAAGATGCCTGATTTATTGTAGAAATAGAATTATCTACCATGTTAATCTTGTTCATGATCATGTTTTTGGATTTTTGATCTCGGTCAGAACATTGAAATAGACAGGTATTCAGCTACAGCTACGTACTTGCAAGAATGTAGATGTCCAAGTTCATTTTGATGCCAAGCGCCACATATGAATAAATTACCGGGAGGAGTCGTAAAAACATACTTACTTACTTCTACCTAACACTACTTGTTTGGGTTTGGATCTGGATTTGCTAAAAAATAGCTGTAGATAGATGTCGTTGATGATTGAAAATACACGGGTGCGTCAGCCACTTTGCGTATCCTTTTCTTCTTTGGTCGTGCGCCTGCTGAGAGCGCGCGCTGTCTGGCGATCGGCAACCCTGGTGGTGGTGGTCCACCTTTCGGAGCCGGACCTGCACCTTTAGCGGCGACTTCGGCGTTGGCGGCGCGCCGACGACGCACAAATTCTGCCTCTAGCATGTGCAACTCAGACTGTAAATTGAGCTCGAAATTCACCGCTTTCTGTTTCACTACCAGGATGTCGTCCCAAACTTTGCCAAAGTCGGTTTCCTCAGTGCCGTCCCGTAAAACGTGCTGTAGATCTTCCAGTTCGCGGACAAGCTGTTGTAGAAGAGGGTCGACATCATGATCATCACCAACAATGTGTACGAAGTGATGACCTCTGCTTGCTTCTCAAAAGCTCGAGAAGGGTGCCCATCTCCATGACAAGGTGAATGATGACTAACAACATAGACTTCTCTTGGCCGACCACCTGAAACACGAACACTACGTACTTGTACTGGTTGTTAACGCATCATAGGTATAGATTTTAGATGAGATTATACTGGCACAAAAATATGAAGAATAATCTTCCCGAAACTTCTGCTAAGATGAGATGCTCACCATTCTTTTCTTCGCTTTCTGCTGCGCGTGTTTGCCGAGTCGTGCCTCTTTCGCTTCAGGGCTCTCCTCCAACAAGGTTTCTTCCGCTGTCAGGGTCCCTCTCGTTTCGAAGGCTTTCCTCAAAAAACTGAGACAAGGATGGGTACGATCTAGGTACTTGGTCCCGATTTTCCAGGCGAGGCGGTCTACTTCCAAGATGCCTGCAGCGTCTGTTCCCGGTAGTTGCTTCATTGCGAGAGCTGCAGAATGCAGAGCAAGACAGAATGTCACCGCACTTTCTTCCAGCAAGAAAAGTAGATCTGGATCCTGAACGTGCAATTGTGGTAATGGGGAAGGGAGTCAAGGTTTAACATCGGACAAGCTGTTGATGTTGAAATGAAGGCTACTCCGCGCCGATAACAAAGCAGCTGTAAAAGCTTCGAATGAATTGTTCTTTGTTCGATCCAAAGAAGATAAGACGAGGCAGCTGAACAAAAATCGGTACTTCCTGGCCTTTCCTCGCGGAAAAAGTCTCACTATCCAGGTAGTTGAGACATTCTAAACTTCGGTCGCGCGCCAAAGCGGCCTCGAGCAGGCTTTCGTGTGGCTGATTCAAGAGATACTGCAATGTTGCGACATTTACCTCGAGAGTGTGTGAGCGGATGCAAGTGCCAGATAGGCCCTCGTTCGCTACATATGAAATGGAAAGTCGAACGCAAATTGTTATTGTAATTAGGTACTCTAAGAAATAAGAGCAGCAGTACATACCCGTCTCTTGTTGGAAAGCAGTGGCTGTAGTACCTGTGTTTTTGCGAGTAGCACTTTTAGAGGCCAGTCGTCTGGAGGAACTACGCCTGACTGTTCCAATGAAAGAGCTCTTCGCAGATGCCCAATGCCGATCTTGTATTGCTGCTTATTCCTAAAATTCAAAAAATGAACATACAATTAGAAGCACACTCCTTTTTGTTGAACTTGGAAATATTTTTTTTTTCGTCAACATGGCAATTATATTGTAGAGGATTTCTTTGATATCATGAACAACTCCTAGTCCTAGATGAAAGATGAAAGAAGGAACATGTTGAAGTGAAGAAAATCGTAGAGTCGCCTCTTGTTCTTCTACGTCCGGAGATACCTGGCATGTTCAGCGAGCCTATTGTAGGTGCTGATCGCAGATTCTAAAAACTCCCTGTCCAGATAGTTGGACAAATGTGGTCCGCGCGCGACAAGGTCCGCACTGTAAGCGTCCGGCCCAACGGCCGAGTCCGGCTCAGCTACTTGTAAAGCAACTGCCTCTTCAGCATTCGGGTCTCCCCCCTGAAACCCCTTTTGGATCTGCTTCTTTGCGAGCTTGGGGTCTAGCGCCAAAACATCTTGCTGCTCACCACTGACAAGAGATTCGGCCATTTTCTGTTTGTCTGGACTTCGCGCTGTGCTGGACGACGACCCACCGATCTGTTCACTACCAGCACCATGGCTACCCCCACGTTGTCGCTCTTCGTCCCCACCGACGTCTTGCCCAGCGTCTTGTGGTACATCGTGCAAGATGGCCGAAAATTAGAACCGATGAAAGAACAACCAAAACTTGGTAGCACGAGCTACATCAAAATTGATTTGCAATGTTGAGTGTGCTTCGATGGTCGTTTCATCTTTCTGCCATGTTGCATTGGTGTCGACTCCGTGGTCACCGGGACCAACCAAAGTATATTAGCTGAAATAAAACGAAATGGAAATCTATGTTGAGCCATAATTAGCCTTGCTGATCGCTGCGGTCTGCTGTTCATCGAAAGACTGGATGACACCGCCAAGACCCCGCCGCACCAGATTCGGGTCCGTGACAGACGGTCCCGCATTCCTTCGGCTAAACAGAGGCTGGGCAGCGCGCGGACTCTCTCCTGGACTAGGTGGCATCTTCTTGATCTTTTTCTTGAAAGCTTCTGTACTCTGCCGACTTGTAATATGTGGAATTGTTTCTTCGACGTTATTTCTACGTTGCTGTGTCTTCTTGATGTTGGTATCGGAATCCATTGGTATGAGTATCAGTTCTTCCTCAAACAAATGAGACTTTTTCGTTTCGATGATCATACTTATCATTCAAGGAGCAATGGAATTAGAAGGGCGCTTCCGTGCTTATATTTTCCTCACAGTCACATTATCAAGCTGAAGCTAACAAGCTTTGATATACAACAGGGAAGCCAGCAGAAGGTCCATGCTAATAGACATAATATGTGGATGTGCCTGTTATGGCAGAAACAAGAGAGGGTTTGAGACGTGCCGTATGGGTATGCTCCACGCTCATATATTTCAATCATTTTCAGTGGAGACTGACCACACAAAATGTATGGGCATGACCGATTTACCACTCCCACAAGGCTCTCATCTCAACCGAAACCAACTAAAGACCGACTTGTTCCGATTGTGTAGATGTAGTTCATCGATCCCTATATTGATTCCGTCAGACAAAAAGTCGTCGCAAGACCGAAGGGGAGGTCTCAGTGCAGATGCAAATAATAATAAACTCTCAATTCAGTATGCGATTTCGCTTAATAAAGCTTTCGCATGGAGAGGCTTGATGTCTCGTTTCACACACCGGAAGGTGTTCATCCGCTGTTTCTGCTCCCGCTCTCCTTCCTTCCTAATTGGATTCGTTTTTCCTTCGAGAAATGCTGTCTGACTTAGACGTGCATGATTTCTTCGATATTGGATGGAGACATAATACCCTGACGTGGTAATCTCAGCCGTCGCCGGCTTTGTCTTTGTTCTGATTCTGTTTTAGAAACAAGTGTACAATCAATAAGCTACCCATGCATAGGTAGAGCTCAGCAATGAGTTCTTGGAGGTAAGGATAAATTGATATTGTTATCCTCCCGTTAGTCTAATGCTACAACAGCAGACTGCACTTGAATCGACTTCTTTAGATTTTTACGGACCTAGCTAAATCGTTGTCGTGGCAGTGTCGTAGGCTAGTACCGGGAAGCATCTGATTGCGAGCAGCCGCTAAGCACCGGAGTCTGCCCTCATGTTGTCGGTCATCCTTACAGTCCCGGGGTCCCGTCAAAATCCTCGACTTTAAGGTCGTCTCCCGCGAGGCATCTCTGCACGACTTGAACTGGTGGAACTCCATCTCCTCGAATATTGCGATGCGTGTTGTTGTTTCTCTTAAGCTACTGCGGCCTTGGCCACGGTCCGGCCATCTTGAAGTACTTCCTGGAGCAATTTGCGGAGATACTCTCGGAGCCGGAGGCCCGCACTCTGTTCAGAGATCACGTCAAGTGGATCAGTAGTTTTTGAACTCTGCTGAGCCGCACCTTTTGTACCTTCTCCTTCACCTCCTGCCATTCCGTCATCTTGATCTTCTTCCTTCGTCTCTCGTACCTCTTCATGCTGTGCGCCCTCTTCCAGTTGCTCTTCACCTTCACGACTAGCGCCAACCTGAGTTTCAGGTTCAGCTCCATGTTTAGCGGTATCTGGATCTTCTGGTGAAGCTGAAGGAGGATGAGTGTCTTCTTTTCCTGGTTCGTGAGAAGAAAGACTGCTCTCAGCGGGACGCCCAACAGGAGTGGACCTCGACGCATGCTCGCCATTGATATTTGTTATTGCTGCTGGTGATGCCTCCTGCTCCGCAGAAGATGATGAACCAAAGTGTTTTAGGTCAATACAAGGAGAACCGCCTTTCTCATGAAAAGCGTTGGGAAAAGCGCTGGAGGGCTTGTCCTTGTTGAAGCCGCTAAAATTCACCTCTAGCTCTTCATCTGACTTGGCCTTCCATTTAGACAAAAGCTCGTTGAACGCGTGTAGTATCTTGTTCGTCACTCGAGGAGATACGCCTCCGAGCAGATCGGACAAGCTAGCCATAGCTGCCTTCAAGCCGCCCTCCACCACCGCATCGGTTCCCTCGTCAGGGCAGAAAGTGCCGGATTTATCCCTATCATATTTCTTGAGGTTTGTCGTCAGATCTCCCATGCCCCACTCGGCAAATTTTCCCAAGTCTTGACCCATGTTGTGGATAACAAGAAACTTCTTCCACCCTGCACGTCTAAACGCGGTCTCTGCTGCCTGGACCGGATCGGGCGCGTTGATGAACGTGATCCGCTTCTCGCAACTTCCCTTTTCCGCACACTGTCTCACCGCTGGGCTGACCTTACAATCCCCTCTAAGTTTGTTTAGAGAGGAGAGTGCTTGATTTCATCATGGTGTTCCACCAGTCCCGATGGATACAACCCTTCCCTGTGTAATAAGTTGTCTACGGGACACGGTGTGTCCCGAGATGCTCTGGAAGGGGAAGACGATGATGAATAGAAGCTGGCCATAATTCTACTTGCTTCAGCAAAGTTGCTGCTATTCGTTTTCGCCGTTGATCGTTGAAACCCTCTGAGAAAAACACTTTCTGGCAGCCGTGCAGCTCGTGGCTTTTCTCGCACTCTTCTTGTGCGTGCAGCTGCGTACGGATTGATGCTGCTCGTCTGCACCCCAGAAGGTCGACGAGGTCCAACGCGAGAGAAACTATGTGAATCTGTATCACCTCCCTGGGCCGTCGCTTGCGCACCCCGAAACGCTCGCGCAGTGGTTGACATGGCGTCCTGCAGAAGCTTCAGAAGCACGCCCATCCTTTCTCAGGATCTGCTGCGTACTTTATCAGCAGTTACTTATACTTGTCACCAAAGTCGAACACGCACTGCCTAGGTAAGACGCCTGGCCTAGCGTGACACGATCACTATTTCCAACTTGAGCGTGCTAATTTTCATGAGTCACGCTTCGTCCTCGGACCACCACGACCACCTAGTACTATCAGTCAGAGAGGTACCCACTGTGTCTGTGATGCGTGTTCCCACTCACAAGAAGGGCACAGCCTACCACGTCATTGAATGACAGTCAGAATCTTGCTCTTCCATAGTCAAATCTCTGCTAGATGTAGGCTTGATGTTCAAGAACGTGTCATAATTCAGTAGGCTTCTCGCGAGCTCTTTCTCTTTGTTGGATGTTGTGAATTCATAAATTTTCGCTGCTTGGGAGGTGCATGGGCACGGATGTGGTGGCGGTGGCGGATGTGGTGGATGTGGTCGTCTGGTGCAGTGAAGTGATCCGAGTCTGCCATACTATCAAAACGCCATCCGGCTCAAAAGTTGGCCGATGACAAACGAATCCTGTATGCTTTGTCCAAGCTCGTGGAGATGCAGCTGATCTCTCTCTTCTTCAGCATGCATCGACATCCAATTTTCTAGTTCAACTTCTTTAGATGACCGATTACGAAGCACCACAGAAGATCTGAGATGAATACTCTCTACATCACGCACTCGCCATAACCGACGAAGCACTCCCCTGGGGTCCTATGTCTAACGAAAATGGAGGACTAGCCGAGCGCGTGCAGCGACAGACTCGCGTATGTTGATGTTCATTTAATGTTGAGATACCAACAAACAACTATCCTCATGCCCGACGTCGAAGTGCAACTACAACGAACTCATACAACGGAAGCAGTATTCTCTTTCTCACTAGTGAGCTTGTATTTGGAGAAGTGCAGCTGTCGGAGTTTGCGAGTGCATGACTTCGGCATCAGACGGAGGCCTATGCATAAGTGGTCTCCTCGTCGTCATTGTCTTCAGAAACGAGTGCACAGTAAACTACCCAGAGGGCAGAGCTCAGCAATTAATAAGTATTATGATTATCGTCCTCCTGTTAAATATGCCCAGATTCATTCGTGGTCGATGTACGACAGGAGAGAAAGTGTCGATATGCAAGCTTCTTTTTAATCCGCGTACCTATCAACACTTCTTACTTCGTATTCAACATGTTAACGCATGATCATTTTCTTAGTGTCACGGAGCGGCACGGGACTAACACCACAAGAATAGGCGTACAGGTACAACATTCTTCTACTTCTACTAATCATCTACCATAACACGTTTTCCACTTGAGGTCGTCATCATCGAGAGATTCGGACTATCGGCACCCACGAGCTGCAACACCACATATCTCTTGCTAGCAGCAACATGGACGTGGACAACGATAGAAGCCACTAGGCAACGACAACCCACTTAGTCAGGCCTTTGTGGTCGGCATGGCTAGCTCAGTCCGTCTCCGTGCTGTCAAACGCCACGAAATAGTCCACCCCTAACGCCATCGATCGTCTCAACTTTTCTAATTGTGTAACTGTTGGCCATGACCTGAATCCTTGAAATTGCACCAAGATCCACAAAGATCCAACGGACGCCGATCACCATCAAAATGACCAAGATCGCCAGGCGAATAAGGTAACCCATCGGCACCATTCTCAACGCGTTGGCCTTAGTTGGCGCGGGCGTCGATGGTTTTCACGCATCTAGCAAACCCAACCGGGGCACTATCCAAACGCCCGACGGGTTTACCGTTGCGCGGGTGCCTCTGGCTTCTCCTCTCTCTCGTTCGTCGTTTCAAGTCTCTCAATAGATACCGCCAAGGACAAAGCACCACCAGAAAGACCCCCAGGAAACCTATGGACCTGAATGCGTACAGTTCGAAGGTTAAGGATCAACAAGCTAAGGGCCTTCAACGTTTTCAGATAGCAGAGAGGGCGCACGCTCACAGCGTCAGCTGTAGCCAGGTCCATGCCGTCCTGTCAGTTCTAACCAGTTCCAAGTGCACGAAGAGACCGCCGCAAGGTACTCTCGTGACGAGCTCCGTACGATCTGAGGCATATCCATCCAGTAGGTTCCGCCAGATCTAGACGAGTACCGACGTAGGTGATCATAAAGATCCGACGGCGATGGCGTAAGGATTTCCATACGAGCACGCGAAACCCTCCCCATCGTGATACATATCCCCCAAAAGAAGTAGAGACTTCAGCGCAGCCCCGACGAATATGATACCCACAGGGATCAAACCAGCCCGAGGCCACTAGTCTCAAGCTGTAAGCTCAACTTGCGCCAGGAGTAAGCTAGGGCCTTGCTCAGTGTTTCTCACCGAGAAACTACGCGCGACCTAGCAGTCTGCGTCCTTGTGGTCCAGCAATAATTATAGTAGAAGTTGTACATAAACCACCTTGGTTTCATCTGTTAATCCTCGAGAGTCTCTGTGAACCTTGACTGCGATCTCTTTTCTACTTTCTTCGAAAAAGCGTGTAGATGTGTTTAAATATTTCGGTATCAATATTAAAGTTCCCGTAGTATACATCACGACTCATTCATCCATCGATTATATTAGGCATCTAAAGCTTCTAAGACATTCTAGCAACCTATTTTTTCATGACAACTTAAGTAATATTCACTCATCAACCCAATACATCGATATGCTTTCAGTTTCTACAATCCAGATAGCTCTTGCTTGCGAAGAGTCGGATTAACTGTCTATCGCGGTTGTAATTCTTCTATTCTTGAATAATACTACTCCAACTACGATTATTGATGTCTCACGATCGAATCTTGTGAGCGGAGGTCGTTTGATTTAAACTTTGACTATGATCTAGTATGAGTTCGAAGAGTTCTAATATTACTTCTTACTACGATATTACGTCAGTTCACTCGCATGCACTTAACAAATTATATTAATTACTACCTTCATCATTATTCAATTTACTACAAAACATACCACACACCTGCAACGACAACGTATTGAGTTGGAATACGACTTAGAGCGCCATCATAAATACGACTGACTAGCAGGTTATTTTTCCTTCTAATTCAATGTAGTTCTAATGGCTGAAACTGTACCACGCAACGCCAAACAAATTCTTCATGATCATCCAGGACAGTTTGTCTCAGCATTGCGTGTGAGTCTCATCTCCAATTTTCTGTTGATGGTTCATTTCGTGTCTACGTCAACGGGAACGGGTGCAGCTCAATTTATTACAGGACTACGTTTTCAGAATCAAAAACCTGTGTGTTGCGGTGGAAGTATCGGTATGCTCGATAGTAAAGATATTTACGTTTGGAATTCTCGACGCTACAAGTCTGTTCATAGTGCTGAGGAAATACAACATTGCCATACACTTGAGCTTGATGTGCATCAATAAAATTAGTGATATTAATTGATCCTTCATCTTCCTTATCAATCCTATTTTTTCATCCTTACATTATCATCTTACAATTCATGTTGTTCTAGTTGTAGATCTAGTCAAGTCCGTAGTATAGTCTCTTTTCTTCTCAAATTTAACTCAATATTCGTCTTCATTTCTGCATTTGCGTCACTGACATTCGACAGCGCTCTTCATAGAGGCTGCGGCATCTTCCTCCTTGATCGGCGCGATGTTAGCGGCGGGATCACTGACCGTCGTGCTCGTCTTGGAAGCCTTCGATTTCTTGGAAGAAGATTTTTTTACATTATCCGCCTCAGCCTCCTTCAGCTGCGCTTTAATCGTGTAGTCAATCTTTCCTTCCTCATCGGTGCCCGACGCCGAGGTGAGCATTAGACGAGAAGAGAAAAAATAAGCCAAAATGAATGAAAGAAAAAGAATTAATCCATACATAGCACCAGGGGTTGCTGTTGGAATCGGAAGATTCTTTCCGTTGTCAGAAAAAAATATTCAGAGTTCAATCAGAAATCCAAAGTTAAGTACCGAAATAAATTTGACGCAACGAACTTTCTCATGTTGATGAGGACGATGCAAGTAAGGAACGTCCATCCCGTAAAGTCAGCTGGCTTCCATCTGCTTTCGACGCAGTCGCCTCCATTACCATCATAGTTCCTCGGGGCTCAGAGGCTGCACTTTCCTCCTCCGAAGAAGTTGGCACACGCGACGACGGCAAGGTAGTGACAAAGACAACCTGACAAAGGCAATGGCAAAATGTCGACCATTATAAAATACTAGGACTATTGCCCTTGTGCCACAGGAAATCATGGAAATACCCAGCCTTTTCCTATGCATCACTAAAACACAGTAGATTCATATTGTGCAGCGAATAGAGTAACAAATGCATGATGATGATGATGATGATGAAGATGAAGATGAAGATGATGACGATGATGATGAACACGATTTTCTTCGTATTATATGTACTGTAATTAAGCAGAGAAAGGATCCAAGGAAGAGTACCTTCTCGACAAGGGCTTCGTAGTAGCCACGCATAAAATTCGTCTCAAAGTTTCGCGGCAGCTCCGGGTTCATCGGGTGATCGTTGTGACGCACGACAATGTGTTTTTTTACCGCCATGTAGTCTGCATAGTCCGTCGCAACCTAAAGTTCGAGTAGAATTTCGTGATACTGTGGATGAGTTTTATGATTTACATCATATTAGAGATAAATATACAACGACACCATGATTAACGATGGAGACAATCAACAACACGATCAGTTAAGTATTCTTACGACTGTCGTTCATCCATGGACAAAAGCGTAGCATAGAAAAGACTATCTCAGGGATACATATGTAACATACCTGCGTCAAAAGGCGTCGGACCAGCGCTTTGGCGAGACAGTAGCCTTCCTTGGTCGGGCAGGAAATGTTCAATTGCAACGGGTGATGGTGGTCTTTTTCCTGATGTAGATTAGTGGGTGGAGAGACAACTAAAATGATCATGGTGGCCTTATATCTCCACCTGATACTAATGATAGATTATGAAGACAAGAACTAGTACTCCTTCAACATATAACAAACATTAAGTCTCAATGTTTGTTATATATTGAGCGATTGAGATACATATTTATAAGCAAGAAGAGTGAGGAGAGTCGTCTCCTGTATGAAATACCTGAAATCCCTCTCCGCGCAGGCGCACTTTGCCGCCCATAATCATGGATGCGACCAGCTTCATGTTGCGACCGCCCGGACCAATGATGCGCTTGGCAGCACCAAAGAGCTGATCATTCTGGATGCCCACACGGAAGGTGGCGAGAAATTTTTGCGACGTGATAACCTCTTCTTGGCCTTCGCCATCATTGCGACGTACGTAAAAGCGTTCGCGCTTCGACGGACCACCACTGTAAGCGCCAGCATCCTGGTCCTCCTGTGTTTCAGCTAGCGAATGAGTCTTCAAAGTTCTTGTTTATTTAGATGTGTTTCAATACAAGATAGAGCATCTAGTTTTACGACAGAATATATTCATATTGTTGACCTAGAACGAATACGGATTACGTTGCTCGACGAGCCTGTTTTTCTTTTTCTCGTCTTGTTTAATACATTACACATAAATTGATGTCGACAACATCTTTACATGTTGAGACTGGATGAAAAAGACAAATTCAAATTTATTACGCAGCCCGAGGCATCTGAGAGAGGGTCATATGCCGGCTTTGGATGCATCGATGCTGCCCAGTCGGCGGCGGAGCGAATGTGATCCTCGACTTTCACGCTCAGAGCTTCCAGCTGCACCTGTGGATGCGGCGCACCAGGTCGCGTACCCATCATGGTGGGGCTTCCCGTAGAACCACGACGAAACATCTGCAATCCTTGTTGCGGAGCCGCGAAGTTCTTGTTGTAGGAAGATGCCTTCCCTTTCCCCTTCGCAGTATAGTACTGTTCGGCCGTGTAGAAGCTGTCTTTACCAGACATCGAGTTCTTGCTAACACCATGCTCCATTTCATCCTGAGGGACAACAGATTAGATATGCAACAGCATCATGGGACTCAATTAATAGAGTATGTGAGCGTGAGGTAAAGAAGAAAATGAAAATGCAACCACTGAAGATGAACAAATCAATATTGAATCAACCCACAGGTTCAGAAAAAAGTTAAGTACCTTAGCGTAGTCCTTCGATTTCGTGCTCGATTTTCCACGGAAGATCACAGCGGTGGAGCTCGAATACACGCAGGGCAGGTTGTCGACGCTTTCCTCACCAGTCTTACTTTTCGGATTAGATTTCTACTACACTCTCACTCATTGCTTCAAACTTTGTTTCAGTTTTCACATACGATGCATCGCAGCAAAGATAAAAAGAAGACATACACATACTAAAAAGTACTTATATTTTTAGTTGTGGATGGTGCGGACGAAATAGTACACCTACATTTACACACATTCAGAAAATAAAGCCACGGGTCTATTCACCTTGAGATCTGGGGTACGTCTAGGCATGCGATGAAAGAGATATCGTTATCTACGAGGAAGCGACAGTCAACATAATGTAGTTCGCCTTTTTCGATGTTTTTTCCTGCTTGGCGAAATTGTGGATGTGGCGCTTTTCCTTCTTTACTTTCTGGTTGGATTCTTCGTCTTCCGAGGTCGGGGGTTCTTTCGGCGGCGGCGGCGGAACCATCATGTTCCCGGTCATCATGTTGGCGGGATTACTCGGAGCGCCTTGCGCGCCCATCATCATTGCGGGGCTCGGACAAAAATGAAGGGAGAAGACCATCAAGCAAGCAGATTTACTTACATACTAGAAACGCCCGAAAGTTCCAGTGACTACCTGCTTATGTGGCGCATCACGTCGATTCTCGAGGTAGATGGTATTTCCACATCAAAAACGAGCAAGGCCCTAAGGGTAATGACGCTGAATGAGTTATGAGTATGAGATTGTATCTTCGAAATTTCCTTTTCCACCTCTAGTGCTGATCGTGTCCATAAAATGCCGTGCCGGCAGTTTGCATCTGTGGAAATGTCGGCGTGTGTCCCATAGCGTACATCGGATTGAATGTGGAGGCCTGCAAGTAATGCTGCAGCTGATAGTTTTGCTGCTGGAGCTGTTGGGCTGCCGCCTGCGTCGCGGCCATCGCCCAGAGTTGGTTCTGCAGTTGCTGGCGCCCTTCCTTACTCGAAATCTTGGAAACCTGCCCGCCAGTGTTGGGCGCCGTCAAGCCCGGCGGCACATCGATCAAATTAGAACAAAATTTACGCGGTGCTGGTGAAGAATAACTGTAACTACTTGTTGATTTTGCAGCCTGAACCTGAAGATCATATGATAATGAATCATGTCGTAGTTGTGAGCATGATTACTGAAAATCATCCAATGCAAATGCTTCACCTTATTCATATTCTTTCACAAGCAATGTATCTATTAGTGTATTACTCAGCGTGTCCTTTCTGTAAAGAGCTAGGAAACTACTTTCGATCATAATCGCAGAAGATTCCGCCCCACCCGCCGACTTCTTCGAGGCAGTTTTGCCGCTTTTTTTGCTGTTCGTTTTAGACGTGACAGGTGCTTCTTGCCCCGCTGTCAGAGCGGTTTCGGTAGTACCAGTCGGCGCGGAATAGTTCTGCAGCATGGAGGCTGCAGCAAAAGCGTCCATTTGAGGTGCCATAGTCGAGGGCAGCATCATGCCATTCGACCCGGCAGGAAACATTCCTGCGGGCTGCACCGGGAACATCATGTTCGATGTCTGCTGCATGTTTGCGGCAGCGAAGAGCGAGCTCATGTCAGCACCGGGTGCACCAGCCATCTGTCCCCACTGCGGCGCAGCTCCATACGGAGAAGCGGCAGCCGGCATCATGAACATACCATTCATGTTGCCATTGCCCAAAAAGCCTGCAAAAGGGGCTCCGCCACCCATAGCTCCAGCCTTATTCATCGCGGCTGCGAACGCATCCATTTGCTCTGCATCTGACTGCGTGTTGTTCGCCGATGCGTCGTCCGTTCCATTCCCAGCGATGTTCGAGTTTTCCCCTTGCTTGTTGTCAGTCTTGTCCTTGGTCGCGTCCTTGTTGCCCTTGCTGTCGCCACCTTCCATCGGCGTGCCTTGCGCGTGCTGTTGATGCCAGTAGTAGTCACCACCCCAGGCAGCGTGCTGGTCAACGCCCCAGCCAGCATAGCCCATCATGCCAGCCGCGTTTGGATCCACCATCTCGATGCTTGCGAATGCTATTCTTGATGTTTAAAAATTGAAATACCGGATGAACCAGCCTTCCCACAACAATGAACAGATACTAACAAATTTTTGCTAACTAAATCAAAGGCACTCACTCAACTATCGTGAAAATGGAAATGCTGTGTCAATTTCAGTAGCTGATAATCGATCTCAATTTTAAATCTTTAGAATTTTCGATGCTTGTTGTGCTAAGTCATTGAATTTTTTTTGATTCGGCTTACGCGTACATAAAAGGTTATTTCTTATCAACAGTTTTTTTGAATAAGGAAAATATCGTTATCGTTTCGATGCTATTGAAAATGAATGTAAATGATGAACTTGTTTCAACTACGATTGATTCTAAATCTGTAGTAATTCACTGAAAACGTATAGCTGTTGTTCAGTAGGAAATGTGGTATATGTTAGGAGACTCGACGATATGTTGCCATGAATGTGAAGTCATGTGGTGAGGTGAAAATTATATGCTGCTCGCTGTAGCTGGAATATGAGAAAGTGAGGGAGGACTACGATGACTGCTCTGCTACAGTTTCAGTTCCTGTTCGTTGTAGGGGAATGATAGATAATGATCTTGTTGGGTTTGCCACATTGTTTGAACGATGTTGAACGATGAATTGGCGGGTCTCCTGAACTTATTGATTTAGCAAGACCTTATTTGCTTCTTGGTCTGCCTTTTTCAAAAATTCTGATGAATGAGTCAATCAATAAACAACATGTACAAATATATAATTCGTTTACAATTTCTCCTGTGTTTAGTCGCTACTTTTGATATTTTCAACTTCTCCTCAGTTTTCAATGTTATCTATGTGTAATTTATCCTTAGATTCTTTTCTTTTTTTCCTGCGCGTGTTGGTTTGGATTGTTGAAGTAGGAGGTTAATGAATAGACAATGAATGTTGTAAATTTTTGTCAGTTGTCAAGCTAGTTCTTATATCGTTTGCATGAGTCCTTCAAATATCGTGATGGGTCTGAAATTTGGGTCTGCTGTTTCAGTTGCATGCTCAATCTCAGTAAAAAAAACTACAACCAACGTACTATCCTACGAGTAGATATATGGGACGAGGTCGGTGGTACGAAGGGAACGAGAAAAGATGGAGGTAGGACGATTCAAGGACCAGCTCCGAAGTTTTTAGGATGTAATCCGATTGGTGCGAAACCGAAAGTTTTATCGACGATGTACACGTAGTTCCTTTAACCGATCACGTCTCTCTTTGCGGCCTCATCTCGTTCGCGTCATACGACACCAAGGGAAGATAAGGGCACTTCATCCATGTGCTGACGATGCTAATCTACTCGGTGATCTGCCTAAGATTTCCCCGGCGAATCTAGCTTGTTGTTGGATGGTTAGTGGTCTTTCGCCTAATGCGAAACGACCGAGATGACTTTGACCATACGACACATCACCACGATCGATATCAACACGTTCCACAGGTGTGTGCCCCTTTTGTGGCATGATGTTCTACATGGCGAGCAGACGAAGCAGGCTCTTCAACGTTTATTCCACCGAAACAATCATGCGTGAAGTTCGTTCTTCTTCAATTTTATTGTCTATGTCTTCGCCAACATTCTTTCCGAATTATACCAAATATTTATATATAATTAAATAAATCTTCTGTCACCACGACAGCGAAGAATATGTGCCTCTGGCAATGTCACGGAGTTGAACATCGTCATACAGATCAACATGGATCCATTTGGAAGCACTGAAAAAAAGCTTGGCACGCTTGAATATTGAGTCACAGCAATCATGTATTTTCATCCGCGAGTGAAGGAAGCAAATCGCGGCCATCCGGTAGGCGTAGTGGCAAAATGCGTGTCAGGTCGTCATGAATAAAATGCATGAAAAAGCGCAAGGCAACCGCGACCATTTGCTGTCCCCTACTGCTTTCGAGAATTAGCGCTAGGAATGAATCTGATACGTCTCCACATGCGATCCTCGTGAGGACGTCAACAGGCCATAATAAATTATAAGAGATGTCCTAGTCCTAGTTCGCTGTGTCTGGTACTGGTACATATTATACATCATGTACATTTCCATCATGTAAATCTACATGTACTCGTCGAGGAGGAAAAAATAAAACAAGAACAAGAAGTGCTCGCCTTCATAATTGCTCGACTGTACTTTCGGGTTGGACGAAGCGCAATCCTGTTGACGCTAAGGAAGCTCGCAAAAGGGACCCATTGAAGTGCTGTAGGACCATAACATCTGGATCCGGGTCGTCGTCTACCGTTATGGTATACAGAGGCTTTGCACTACAGAGAAGACTGCTTAGATTTTCTCGGTGTTCGAGGACCTGGATGGCGAGAGATAGCCACCCGTTACCTGGGAACGTTGTTGTCAGGGGTACATGCCACGCGTGGTAGGACTCTTTGCTAGAAAAGGCCGCTTGCTGGACGACTCGTTTAATCCCGAGGAGCATGTGCATGAAGAAGCAGGAAGCCAATAGCAATACGATCACTATGTAGATGTACTATGTATGGGTTTAATCAAGCTGGAGGTGAGGTGGTCGTGATCCTCTTGATTTTCTACTATTTTGCGTGCTTCGCTTTTCTTCTCTCTCTCGTATTCATGTAGTTAATAACGTAAATTGTTACTATTACTTTTGGTGAAGGTTTTTAACCAATAGCTACACACTGTTCATTGGACGAGAAAGGAGGACGAAGACCGACGTCCGCACAGTAACGATAAGTACAACTGGCGGGTTCGTTTTTTAGAATTCCCTCTTCAATCATAGTGAATGCCGTTGGCTCTCTAAGGCCGAAGAGCACAGTTGCAGATACCGAAACCATTTCCATGCTTACTGCGAATCCATCTCCGTCCAAAACTGGCCTAGTAAAGAAACTTCGACATGTGTTGCAACCGTGGCGCACCAAAGCCTCCAGTTCTGCAGCGGGCGATTGCATCTCGGGAATTCGGGCGCAAATGTGCAATGAAAGGGGGCGTGGGGCTAGGATGTACGCCTGCACATCCAGAGATCGTCGGATTTCCGCGGGCACGTCTGGATCCAATCTGTCACGCGTGAAAGCCAGTAATCCCCCTTCATACCGGTAACCAACGTCCTCACCCATCCTACTGATCCTCCACGTCGCTTGTTCCCTCTGGATGCATCGCCTTCGCCAAACATCTCGTACCTGCCGGCTAGCCGCAAGCACCGCAGAGGCAGTGGTCCTCGTCTGCGCGTCTGTGACTTCTCCTCTAGTTGTATCTGTATGTTGATGTTCTTGCCCAGAAGGTAAGGTAAAGTTTTCTGTCTTTGTGTCTGCAGCGTGACCTTCTTCGTGACTATCCGACACAGACACTTGTTCTCCGCCGATGTAATATAGGCTCTCGAGGTCACTGACTGACGTCGGAGCTCCTCCTAGGGAATCGGAGGAAGATGAACCCCGGGACAGAGTAGAACGAAGATTTTGATTTTCCTTTGCTTTTCTCGTTTTTTCGACTTCACGCACGCTTCGGGGCACGCCCGCAATTGTCACGTTGCGTTCCAGGTACGGTTGTACATAGCATACTCGCCACGCGGTTTCGAATACCAGCTCACCGTGCAAACCCTGCATTGCGCGTACGCAGGTTGCAGTCGCTTCCAGCATAGCCAACGCACGCACATCGAGAAAGCTGAGAACGCTGCAAAAAAGGAAGAAATCGAGCTGCGAGAGGAAACACCCTAGTGGATCCTCTCCGCCTTCATGCGGATGCGGTTCATCAAGATTTACAGGTGGCATGTAATTCTTGTTTCCGAGTGATCTCTTCGTTTGACTGGTGTTCTTTCTTCTACTTTTCGATATGTCCTCTTTCTTTGGTGTATTCTGGGAAACGTCACTTCCAACACCATCCAGCGACGCTTCGCCCTCCTCTCTTGCGTTACTGCCATGCTGCAGCGACGCCAGCCATCGGGCCCGCTTGCGCTCTGCGTCGGATAAAGGTCCATTCAGTTCTACTTGGCCTAGGGCCTCATTCGCATGCTCGTCTGCTCTTCCGAAAACCCGTCGGGCGAACGCCAAGCAACCTGGGATAGCAGCTTGTTGTATCCATGTCGAGCTCCGGATGTAGGGTAAAAACAACCATAGTGAACCGCAAAAAACGACAACAATGCTGGTTGCCAACGTATTATCTCCTTTCTCCATGTGTCAGTATGATCTTAGGCAGTTGTAACATGATTTTCCAGGGCTTCACTTTTGAATTTATGGCCTGGCGAATTCTACCTTAGTAGAGATTAGTTGATCTACAGGTAAACAGAAACACACGAGACATACGTAACTTCTAGTATGACGTCGATTTTGGATTTGGGTAAGTAGATGTAAGTAGATCTAGATGATGAACTCCACTTTGACAATTATTTGATTACGTATTTACTTGAGTGCTCATGTGCGGGGTCTTCTCAGTGTCAATCTTCTCCCAGTCTGCTTTAGAGGTTCGTACTGAGAAAAAACGTCAACGACGGTAGCTTACTCTTGACAACAATTGCCTTGGGTAGATTCTCTCGACCGAGTGGGCATCTAAAGAATCTGCCCATCTTCTTCTTCCAGAACTGACCTGCGATCATACAAATATAATGAATAATGAATATATTCGTCATATATAACTACGATCAGCACTGGATACGGCGAGCACCCACTTGCTGGCTCAGATTTGTTCCGAAGGAAGGGAGTTTTTCCATCTCCCTCCTGCAGTTTTTTGCTGATGTTCTTGTGCGTAATTCATTTTATCACATCATTGCAAAAAGAGACATAACAAATGGTTTGTGTAGCTATGAAGTATGTAAACCCATGGATAAAGTATGAGTATGCTCATACGTTCCTGACAATAGCAGCAGATTTTTGCTGCCGCTGGACCTCCACCAAGGAAATAGCAGAACTAACAAGAAGGTATATTTATATTATACCTATAAGTATTTTACTTCAATTTGGCTGAATTGGAATTACTTCATATCAGACTAAGTAGAAATCCGAGACCATACTTCGGAAACAAATCCGAGAGCATACTTCGGAAACATCATCATGATCACGCAACCGAAAAAATTGAGGACTTCTGAAAGAGGAAGGCATAGGTGAGCAGGATCGCCATCTATTTCATGATGAAAATTTTCCATGTAGTAGATGATAGCATCGCGCTGTTAATGATATGTGGCCGCCACCTCCCCTCAATAAGCGCAAATGGATAATCGCGAAGTCAAGCATCACTTCCGACAGTCCTCATTCAGCGGCCTCCAGCTTCTTTCGCCTTCTTTTGTCGCTGACGGGCTTTCTGTCGTGCACTGAGTTCGGATTTTTCGACTATATCAGTCACCTCTCGGGTTTCCCGCTTTTCCTCAGCCTCAAGGGCCGCACGTTGCTGTTGCCTCATGTCGTCCTCCATAGTTCGTAGGGATTCGGTAGCCTGTTGTCAACATTGAACGTAAATTTGAATTTTATTACTCATCCTCATTGCTTTTGTTATTTTTGGAATTTGTATTGTAATGGCAGTTCCTAGTCATTTTCGACAAAAAGAAAACCAAAATCAGTACGTAGCAGCATCGTGATATTCTTGTGCCTACGTACAGCCCATAAAAACTGATATCAAGTAAGAGATGAAACATGTGATTGATATTAAGCAGATCCAAGAGTATGCATACCGTATGCAGCTCATGTTCGACTCTTGCACGCTCCGCGAGCTTTTGTTCTTGGTTTCCTTGCAGTTTTTGTCCTTTGCTCTTCATCTCCACCAATTTCATGATGTCACGCAGCTTCTTCTCAAGTTTTTTCTTCTCTTTTTCCGTTTCCACAAACCAGGGATCTGTAGTTAGAAACTCCCGCAAAAGTGCATCCTCCTGTTCTTTAGCGCTCAGTCCCTGCGGAGCAGAAGAACCTTGCGTATCCGTATCGTTGTCACTCGACGCCATCATGTGTAGGTCCGAGGTAGAGAGTGCAACTTTGGAAGTCTCTACCGCCGCGCCGCCTTTGCTTTGTGGGACCGGTCGAGACGGTGGCGCAGTGGTGGTACTGGTCCCCTTTTGGGCAGGTGCTGGCGCACTACCTTTTATCTTTGGCGCCGCCGCTGTTGAGCTCGTGGCGGTTGTAGAGGTGATTACGGACTTTGCCGTTGTAGTGCACGCAGTCGCGGATCGCGCCTTTGCTGCGGCACTAGTTCCGGGATTGTCCCAAACACTCAAACCCGGACCGCTTGAAACTGGGATCGGATTTCTTGAAGCAGTCGACATGGCGGGGTTGGCAACCTTTGCCTGGGCCTGGTGGTGTTCAGTAGTTGCGAGTATTTAGCTATGAATGTCATCACGAGATGAAAAGATGTGGATTGTGAAGTAATCGTGTAACCAATCATTCTTGGTATCCACAACGTCGACATGAAAAAAAACGCATCATGCGCTAACGTCTAAGTCGTGGGAGATGCAGTTCTTCCACTTCGTCAAAGTCAATAGCAGAAAAACGAAGTGATTAACATTAGGTTCCCGTTATCGGAGACGAAAATACCTTCTTTCCGCCAGCGCTAGACGCAGCTGCTTGCGTCAGAGGCTTTCCCGGGGTGATCTTCGTACTTATCGAGGTGACCGCGTTATTTGTTTCTGCCCAGGCAGATGATGCTTTTCCAGACCAAGTTCCGCCTTCGTCACCGCCTGCTGTGGTACTGTCGTAGTTATAGCTTGTAGCCTGCTCTGGTACGTACCGTGCACTGTCGACAATGTGCGCGTAGCGGCGTCGGTCTGCGGAAGTGCCACCTGTCGAAATAGCTTGGTCCAGACCTTTCACCGATTTCGTCAGCGCCGCTGCTGGTGCCAAAGGATCCAGAACTTTCTCGCCTTTTTTCTTCTTTTTTGCCGCTGCCGCTCGCGCAGCCAGCGCAGCCTCGCTTGGAGTGTCCCTTGTCCGCGCAGCCGGATCCTCATCCTTGTCGCCAAATGACGAGGCCATGACTTTCGGCTTTACGAACCGCGTTGCCTGAGGCGGTGGTGGCGGGGGCGCAGAAGGCGCTGCAAATGTCGCCTTACTACCTCCTCTCGAACTAGTTGCACCAGCAGGGGTTTCACCTTCCTCGGTACCGGAGTCTCCCTCGTCAAGGCCTGCCGCAACCGGAAATCGGCTGGCTGCAGTACCCCGGGCAGCAGCTTGCTTCGGATGCTGTACCGGTTGTGCCACTGGTGGGTGGCTTGAGGGTGGCTTTCGTGCTGTTAGCTCATCAGGAGCACTAGATTTAGAAACTTTTTGTTGTCCTCCTGCGTTTCCGCGAGCAGGTGCAACGGGTGCTCCACGAGCAAGATCCTTATCGCCCTCTTCATCCGTTTCGTATGAGGATAGGAGCTCATCCTCGTGCTGAGGGGATCCGGTGGGAGGCTGATTTGGGATTGGCTTGCGACTGGGTGGCGCAAAAGACGTCGACGTAAAAGGCGCGGCTGCAGTAGGCCTCCTCGCACTGTCGGAAGATCCTTGCAACGCGTTTGCAGCTGTACTAGAAGAGGTTGCGTTGTGAATGTGATCATCCTGTTGCTTAGATGTTGGCTGGGCATTTTTCATGGTAGCCACTTGCTTCGTAGATATGGTCGGGGGCGGCAAAAGTGGGCGCATACTGGCTGCCGATGGTGGCGCACCCCACACTGATTTTTCCTGTTGCTTGCGCTTGGGTTGCTGCGAAGCAACTGAAGTACTCTCATTCTTGCTCGCCTTCGATGGGTTTGTCAACTGCGTTTGCATCTGCGCCTCCTTCGCCTTCAGCTCCTCCTCTTTTTGACGCGCACGCTCCAGTTGCAAGCTAGCGTGCTTCTGTAGATCTCGGGCTTTCCGCTTCTCTTCATTAGCCTGTTTCTCGCGTTCCTCAAGCTCCCGCTGCCGCTGGGCATCGACTTCAGCTTGGCTCCTGTAGTTAGATGTAGATGTTGACCGTCGAGCACCATGATGATGCGAATCTACTCGGCAATGAATCTGCCTAAGATTCATTCCGCTGACGATTTCTAGCCGTTGTTGATCGTCGCACATAAAATCAAATTAGGACGATAAAACATTTTAATTTTTATCGTACAAGAACAAGAGAGTGCCAGGCTGACGATAACCAGCATCCTGATGAAGACGCCGTCTGCTCCATCACGGAACGACAACAAGAAGATGATAGACAAGATCAGATCAAAATCTAAACAAGCATAGAAAGATCATAGGGAGATATAAATACCTCCGGAGTCGCTCTTCAGTTTCTTCCAGCAAGCGCTGCTTTTCTTGTAGGCGTGCCTTCTCAGCTTCGATGGCAGCTTTTTCTGCTTCGATACTGGCTTTTTCTTGCTCTCTTCGTCGTCGGTCCGCGTCCGTCTCCGGCGGCTCTGGCGCAGTCGGATTGATGCTCTGCGACAACACAGGCGGCGGCTGGTGCGTGCGCCAGTTCTGGTGAGTGCCGCCCGCAGAAGGCCCACCGAAGTAAACCGATGGCGGCGGAGCAGACGGAGGTGCACTAGCACTGTTCCAGTAGGAAGATGCACCAGGCTCCACGTTTCTGGGCGTCAGAGACGATGATGATGAATCTATGGTCGTACCAAACTTCGTGTAGTTTATCGGGACAGTTCCAGTGGCAGAAAAACCCGGCGAAGCAGTCGCTGCAGTCTGTTCCTGCTTCAGGCCGATGGACTGAAAGCTACTGTAAGGGTCGGCGTCATTATTACGTGGGGACTTGAGAGCCTCCCAGCGAGATGCACTGGGCGGCGACGGCCTTCCTCCCGCACTACCGGTCCAGGAGGCCTGAGTGGCAGCGCGGTCGAGAAGTGATGACGGAGACGTTTCCGTAGCGGCTCCGGGATGGGTTTCGCCGAAGTACCACGACGACGCAGTTGGACCGTGCACTTCGGTACTGCAGTTACTGATGTATGACGTGGTCGGCTGCATTTGTCCCCTCGGCCACGCAGTGCGTTCGAGTGAAGCGCGGTATGACGGAACTCCACCTCCAACACTTCCCATTGTACCAGTCGTGTCAGGTCCACAAAGAGCTGCTGTGGAATTGTAGAAAAACGTTGATTTTGCATCAGCATCTCCTGTCCGACTTTCCAGGGCCAGTCGGTAGCGCACGAAGCCTGCCCCAGCAAGTCGACCAGTGAAGGTGCTGTGGAGGCCCGTGAGCGTGGTAGCTGTGAGGCCACCAAGGTGAGAAGAGTTGAGACACGGCCCTCGCTCCAGCTCACACTCGCTTGCTACCACAACTTCGGATCCTAGTAGCATCGCTACCTCCAGATCCAGCAACTGTCCAACGCCATCTACTGTAACGAAAAGCGAGGGCACAAGTCGCTGCACCTGCGCGCCGAGACCCGGAGTTGAGCAGACAAAGGTGTACTTTTGGCAGAGCTCCTTAAGAAGCTCTACGCGAAGGCCGGTCTGCTCCTGCCGTTTCAATTCTTGCTCCGTAAAGTAGGCCGTGCCTGCCGTGATATCAACTTCCACAGATCTCTCCTTGCCTCGTCCTTTGCCTTTATTCTTCAGATCTGATCTTTCAGAGGCCAGTGCGAGGTATCGTTTCGCCATTTCGTTCCCAGCAGCAGCCGCTTGGTGAACACGTCCTCGAAACGTCAGGTCATAGCATGGGTCATCCGGAAAGATCGCATGCTTTTTGGACGGCAGCCACAAGGTGCGCTCACGGTCCGAAGTATCGGCAAGCCGTGTCACCATTTTCTCGACCTCAGCGTCGCTAGCATTGCAAAGTTGGATCACTCCACACGTAGTTCCTGCTTTGTTGCTGGTCGTGGCAGAATGTGCAGATTTGTGTCGACTCCCCACAGCTCCATGGAGTCTGGCTTTGTTTCTGCGTGCAAAGCAGCGTGCTAGCGCAACCTGACATCTATCGTGTGCTATGTCGAAGGGGCCGTGGAGGAAGAGAAAGGACTGGGGTTGCAGGACCGCAACAGCCTCAACAATGTCATTCGGCAGTAAATCGTTGTCCACTTCTGCCAGCACCGGTGGGTACTTTGCACCAGCTTCAAAGTCGAGTTCTCGTAGAGAAGACAGGTTGCCCATGATTCGCAAAAGTGGTAAGACGCGGTCAAAATCTTCGAGTTCCAGCATCTGGTGCAGCTCTTCATGTGTCGTTGCGTAGATGAACCGCATTTGCGTGATCTTCATCAGCTTCATGGCCATCGGTGACATGAAGACATCAGACACGATGATGGTCCAAACTCCATTGGACTGGGTGGCGCAGAAATGCTGCTCCTTGCCTTCGTGCTCGAAGAGCAGCAGGATCTGACGCATCTCGGCGCAGGGATCTTGCGGCTCGATTCCCGACTTCAAGCTGAGTTTTTCTCGTGGCGGAACCGTCACAGTGTAGGTATATTTCATTACCTTGTTATGCTCACTTGATGTCGGTGTAGCCTCCGAAGAAGCTCCTCCTGTGAAAGAAAGCGAAGAGGCTTCGCCAGTTTGCTCGAGCTTCACCGTCGTTCCCCAGGCACATTCATAGGTTGGCATGTTACGCGTCATCGCATTGCAGTAGTCTCGCAAATTCGATTTCATGTGCTCGATAAAAGCCTTGCCAGATGGCACATTGCTCTGGTTACTCCAAGTGCGCAGTGGCTGTTCCTCTTCCTTTTCATGTCGGAGCCACGATCTTCCTGACGCTTTGCTGCACAAGTACGAACTTGATGCCTCAGGAACAGGAGCCTGATTCGATTGGTCAGCGAAGTGCTGGCTCTGGTTGTTATGTTGTGCTCCTGTTGCATTTGATGTCTCATTTCCAGTAGCACTGGAGGAAGCGTCTGGAGCTCCGCCATCTCCGCTGGCGGCGGGCATGATCGCACGACTCCGCCAGTTTGTATCAAGGTCTTGCGGTCGAGGCCGTTTATCCTTACTTGCATCTGCGCCGCCGAAGTCGTGGTTCTCACCAGTAACACCGAGGCCTGGCGGTGGTTGCAACGCGCCACCTAAAGGTTCATTTTTGATATTCTTGTATGATAATGCATTACAGCACATCACTTGGGTAATGCTAAGAACAAATAGCGCCGGAAAAGAGTAGTCGAATCGTCTATCACTATCTTGAGCTTGCACATCTTGTCCATGATTTAGCAAAGCTTTCAAGACATCTACTTCTACATAGCATATACGTAGATATACGTTCAGTCTTTCTGGCGATCTTCTGCTTCCGCTCATCGTATCTTGCCTGCTTCTGGCGCTGCCGCTCTTCCTCTGACATTCGCAGCTCCGTACGATATCCAAACTGGTTGGTTCGAGACCCGCAAATGTTCTTATACATCTGGTTTCATTTCAAAATAAACGGAGTACTTTTTACTTCAAGGTTAGGACTTTGCTTATTGCGGGGTTTGTTCAACATACAGGTTGCCTAAACGAAGATGACTTTGTAAAATCAAAATTCAATGCTTCTATGTATAAAATGAAATGGACGAGGATAAACTAGTGAAGCGGACCAAGTGGTAATGGTAATTGTAATTCACCAGTATCTGATATACCAGCAGTGAGTGCCGCAGAGCAACTATGACATATTGTTCGGGATCAGCCTCGCGGCATTTGGTCATTTTGTCGCCATGACTTTGGTAGTTGTCGTGGAGGTACTTTTGAACACGCTTCTTACCAGCCAAGACGCGCTTGTCGACACCGCTGTCTTTATTCATCATCAATATTTCCGCAAAAGCCATCTGCCAGTCAGCAAGTCCGAATGAGGCCAAGGACTTTCGCGTCTTCTCGCTCACTGGCGGTGCCGCAGGGGGCGCAGGATAAGACCGATGTAAGCTTAGTATTTTTTCTTGGTTTTCTTCTTGTTCCTTAATCGACGCAGCCTCCTCTTTCGAAGAAGGTGCGAAAGATCGCTTCGCTGGTGACGACACAGCTGCGCCAGGCGTGGCGGCCCCGTCTCCAGGTTCTTGATTTTGTGGTTGTTGCTGTGTTCTTGTACTGCTACTAGAGCTACTACTTGGCTTAATAATTGTCAGTCCTGGGACAGGGACAGCAGTTGCTGTACTAGATTTCGGCTCCACTGGTCCACCAGCCATGTTCAGGCTGGGTGGAACACCAGGCGGCGGTGAGGACACGACTATCACTGGTCTTTCCCATTGCGACTGCTCAGTCGCGCTGTTCCAATAGTACAGACGCCCAGATTGCTGGTCTACACCTTCATACCAACCGGGAGGCAAAGGCGCTTGTCCGGGACTCCCACTTTGCACTGGCTGTTGCTGATAGACCTGGGTGAGCATTTCACGATGAGCCCATGTCATCAGAGAGACAGCTGCTCGCGCACAAGGTACAAAAACCAAACTAGTTAGTACCTACGACAACTTTATAGTAGTTCTTGAAAAGGACTCATTTACAACAATTCATTTCAGCGTCCGATCCCGTTCCCGATAGATACTATGTTTAATATAAACCGATCAATGGTTGTGTTAGTGGTCATTATCCACGTTGAGAGTGTGAGTTCACCTCAAGAGGAAGTACTAGTAAGCACCTGCTGGTCATGTGGAAGATTGTTCATCCAGTCGTTGGGGCGGATCCAATTGCCCGCCGTATCTCTGGTCCAACCTTGGGCCTCCCACATGGAACCGGCACCACTGTTCCAGGTAGGAGACACAACCACTCCGTCCACCTGCTGCGGAGCATCTACCTGCGGTCCGTAGTACGACTGCTGCACTGGCACAAAAGCAGGGATCCCAGCTCCGGCATGCGGCGACGCATATCCAGCGATAGGCGCTACTGGATTGGCGGCTGTCGGCGAGGGATTATAGGCAGCAGTCGGCGACGGATTGTAGGCAGCAGTCGACGACGGATTGTAGGCCGCGGTATACACGACAGCTCCAGGAGGTGCTGGTGGCGTTGCCGTTGGAGGTCTGTGTGATACTGAAGCAACCGATTGTTGACTCCCTGACGGCCACTGAGCGGCATAGCTCCCCGCATCGGCGGTAGCTCCCCATGACGATCCCTCTGTCATCTTCTGGAGGATGCGCAACCTCCTGCCTACGGGTACGGAGTAAAAGAAGAAGCCAAAGCAACAAGCTCAAGGGAAGATAATGCGTTCGTAGCTGCAGCTGCTGCAGCGAAGTTGATTTCTTTCAATCTGCCGGGTGTTCAACGTGACAAGAGCAACAAAGCCCGCTCTGGTCGAAGCAAGCAGTACCAAGGATGCGACATCAAAGGATCGAACGACAGACAAGCGTCTTCATCATTTCTTTCACACGATGTGGAAAATATCTGTATCTCTCGGTATCAAGCTCACGAAATCTTCATCCACATACCAACTGTTCTTCTAGAAGTTGTCTTTAACGGGTGACTTGCGCGTGCATACAACCAAATGAGTATACACTACATGCGGTCCTCGTTGGGAAGTTGTATACAAGATGCTGTCAATTATTAATCATAAATTTTCATTCTACGCGTTTCTGGAAAAACTGAAATGATCAAACGAAATACAGTAAGAGACTCGGACTCCGTCTACTAAAGTGAAAAACGAAAATCAAACACGAACCTGTGTCAATCGTAAGTGTCAGTGGAACGCCGGTTCGGTTGATGCAGACTTGTATGATTGAGAGTCCCAGCGCTCAGGATGTTTATCATGATCATCATACTGCTCAGAGAACTGTTTCTTAATCGCCACTTATTTTAGCTGAGCAACAGAGGTAAGATCTTCTCTTCGTGTGATTGAAGTGCAGACCCCTTTCGCAACGAAATGTTTGTCCATAGTGACCGTGGCTCATTTTCATTCTTTGTTCACATTACAATCTCAATCCATCGTTGATCTTCATCTTTGCTGAAATGCGGCCCAGGGCCGGCAAAAACTTTTTTTCCCGCTAAGCTCAATTTCATCAAAAGAAACGGTAGCTTTTCGAAGATATGCAGCCATTTTTCTATATTTGACACTTTTTCATTTTCCTATGCCCCATCAAACTCAGTATCACCCGACCTTCTGTTTTTCCCTTGTGTTCACTCCTCGTAGATCAGACAGAGGACAAGAGAATCACCTGAGGTACAACTTCTAAGTACCTCTAGACCCGGATGAGCGGAAGATTGGGGAAAATAAAAACTGTGCCTGACAAGATCCAAAGAAAACACCTTGACTCTGCTTCTGCTGTTCGTCCATCTCCAAGAGATGCACGCTTCAAGACACAAAACCCCGGGAGAGCCTTCACCTCGAATTGCATTTTCTGATCTTTTCGTCAGTTGGTCAGTTGTATACAAGGCTCTTCAACTGACAAAGTTGAGCAAGGCATTATCCGCAAACATTTTCCTGATCATTTGGCATACAAAGTGCATCTATCGTGATTGTTGCGCATGAGATTGAGAGAATCGAAGCCGAATATATAAGGGAATCTGTTCTAGAACTAGTCGGAGTCATGAACCAAAAGCAAAACGACCAATAGACGTTCATATGAAATGTATGTCTATGTTAATTGCTATTGCACGCACCACAAAGTTAAATAGCACGCACAAAAAAGGATCATAATATGCGTCCAGCACTCTGACTCAGCGATCTTTTATCTCATATTTTTGTGACTCATTGCGTTATTGACCAACACAAATTCGTTTTGATCCTCGCTGTACGATTTGTATAGATACTCTTTCGACCTGTCATGGGCTTTAGATGACAAAGAAATGTAGAATCGATATGAGCAACTAAAACTACTAGTTGATGTCACCAGTACAGATTCTACTTGAACTCGTCTATCATGTCAGGTATCGTAATCGTTGTATCTACAAGAAATATTTTACACTTTGTCGAAACTCTGGCTTAAATCTTCTACGGTCCCAGTGGGGGTGAGTCAACAACCTCACTTGCGCCTAACATGTTGATGTCTTCCTCGTCCTCATCGGGGGTTCCGCCAGCGCCTAACATGTTCGCGTCCTCCTGAGCAAAGAGGCCCGACTCGTCTATCCGACTCGTTCCCAATTCACTCTCTCGCACCGATCCAACAACTGGCGTTGCCGCGATGTTTTCAGCTGCTGCATGTCCTCCAGCAGAACCCATCACACTTTCTGTGCTACGATCTGGCACGCCTCCTGGTCCCTCCGCCGAGGAATCAAGAGGAACTACGTCATTCATCATTCTGCTCTCTTCTGGATTGTAGAATGCGAGATCTTCGTCATCGCTTTCCTCGTCCGCATCTGCAAGTTTTACTTGGCTTTGATGCGCCGCGCGAGTTGGAGATTGACCTGCTTGTTTACGATGATGACTGCTACTTGTTGTTTCCAATTTTTTGCAACGTGCACTCGCAGTGCCAGTGCCCACCGCTTCTGCTACTTTCATACTGTCCTCCCGCAAGTGAGTGGAACTAGAAATGTCTGAAGATGTACCTCCTCCATGATATCCATCTTTACGTTTGCCCTCCACCTTCTGCTCTATCAATTTCGCAGCGCTAAAGCTTGTACTTGAAGACGAGCCTCCACCTCCAACGGCACCTGCTGCATCATCCTCTACTGACATCATAACAGCGTCGCTTTCTTGTGTTCCGGAAGTTGCTGCGCCAGACTTTTTTTCTTGTTTTCCAACTTCTTTTATTTTCCCACATGAAGAAGCTGCAGAGGCGTCCTCCTTGCCTTTGGTGTCATCTCCCTTGATCGTCCCATCACCAGCGTTTTCCTCTTCGTCTATAACAGCCCCATCCTCGAGTACATGCATTTCTCTCCGCAGCTCGTCCTCCCCATTCTCCAGTGGCGCTGCGTCTTTCTTGTTCGGCAATAGACTGTCGCGCTTTGCTTGGTAGGTCTCGGTTTTCAGCGCCGTGACCGCCTCTAGCACTTGTTCCTCCACGGCGTCGACCTCTTCTTTCGCTGCATCGATTTCATCGTAGTCCTGAAACAAGTCACTGTAATCAGCGAAACCGTGGAGACAAGAACTCTTCCAAAATGGGTTGTCGTCAGCGCAAGCATGAAAAGGAAAAGATGTAGACGACCAGCGGCAGACACAAAGTCAGAAAAGCAAAAGTCGATGTGGAGTCATAAAAAAAACACTCTTGATGCAGTAGATCAAAGTTGGGCAAGGAAGTATACATTTCATGAGTAGGAGGTCTGGGGCAAGCTTTATTTTTCTTGCGTAGGCATGTTACATGTTCTTACAAGATGAATCAATCTACGTAATATTTCACTCATACAGTTCGCCGCAGTCTTGCACTAGCTGTGCTTCGACCTTTTCGGAATCGTTTTCGCAGTTTAGGAGTTGCAGCGTCGATCCAGTCTCGTCTTCCAACTTGGAAAAGAGCGCCTTCATGTCATTAGTGTTGAAATATCGTTGCTGGTTCTCACGTCCGAGCGCGGTTTTGCACAAGCCCTGCTTGAAGACTTGGACACGGAACATCTTGTCCTCTATAGAAGCGTGACTGATCACACGATAGACAACGACATCCTTCGTCTGACCCAAACGGTGTGCGCGATCCATAGCCTGAAGATTGATCATGATGTGTACGGCTTAGTAAACAGAAAAGTCTCTTTCCACCTCCATCTTTTTGTATGATGTGATCTATCGAAAGACATCTAGTTGAAGTGGCATCCTCTTCCCCTCCACGAAAATGCAAGTACTTACATGAAATTAATAGTACCTGCTGGTCGATGGCTGGCGACCATCCCGGTTCGACAAGAATGACTCGATCCGCGGACACGAGTGTCAGGCCTACGCCCCCTACTTTTGTTGACAGGCACATCACTTGCCACTTGTTCTGCGCATCGTTCTCAAATTTGTTTACTTTCGCGTCACGATCTTGCAAGTCCGTACTTCCGTCAATGCGCAGGAACTTGATTTTGTTAGGCCGCAAGACGGCTGACTGGATCAGATCTAGCATACGCGTTGAATACGAAAAAATCAAAATCCGGTGTTTTCGTTTGGCCAAATTCGAAACGAGACTGTTCAGGAGAACCAGCTTACAGCTGAGTTCCACGGCGCCACTCGCCTGCTCTGGGATCTGATCTACGAGACTCCGCCAATCGTAACCCTTCGCGTCGTCGTCACCATACTCGTGCTCATATAATGAAAGCAAGGCAGAAAACAGCAAGAGTGAGAACAAAGAGCTGAGACTCTCTTCTTCTTGGGTCTCCTAGGTACTTACCTGATCCTATGCTGTATGACTAAGACTAAGACTATGGCAGAATTTGACTTGACACCTCAACATACACGTTCTTCTGGTGTATCGACGGTCCCGTCGCCACCCGCAATCATGCCCCACTTCTGCAACATCTGCCTGTGATACGGCTGGAACGGCAAACACATGAGCGGGTGATCGCAGACTTTTTTGAGCAACGAGATGGCTTTAAATGCGTCAATGCCAGACTTCTTCGCCCGTTTCGCTTCCCTTACTATATCGCTCTCCAGGAAAGCGCTATACATCCTTGTTAGAGCTGCAAGAGCTGCCCACCACCAATGATCTTTCTATCTCGTTGGAGGTGTTTTTTTTGCACTCGCACTTGTAGAAGTTACGCTCCCAATACGAGTACGACTAGGTATCCTTATATTTTATCGAACAAAATGAAAATCGAAGACAATGAATGATCACCTAGTAGAACTGACATCTGCGCAAAAAGACCAAGAACCATTGAGCATAATTTTTTCTGATTTTCGGAGAGCTCGCAGAAAAGAATTATATCAGTTTTCTTCGGAAGTGCTAGCCTGCGTTCCTGCGCGAATACCTCTGACTTGTTCCGTCGTAGAAAATGATTCGACAGAATCGTCTTCAGCTGTCTCGACAGTTTGTCCTTCTTAACAACCTCGAATGCCGCTGCCGATTTTTTTGATCCCGCATAAATCGGTCCGGCGAAGGTCTGCTCAAAAGTTTGAAAATTGCCGAGAATACCAGGCACTGCTAAATCGGCTAAGCTCCATATCTCTGCCAAAATTTCTTAGAATCTCACATTGAACCAAATCGACGAAAGCAATTACAATTTCTAGTAATCATTATGATGTCCTTTTCCTCTTGTCTTATCTAACTTCCAGCGGAGCGTGGCTTCCATGATAAATCATATTTGTGCGCCGTAATTATTTGTGTATGGCGTTCCGGTGAGGAGGAGCCTGCATTTCCCCTCCATCATTCGAATCGCTTTCGAACCCTTTGACCGTCTGTCTTTGAGCCCGTGCGCTTCGTCGCCTATGGAGATGTAATTGCATGAAAATGTATCACTGACTCTGACACACATACTAGAGCGAGTCGTAATTCTACATAGATACACATACTCAGTAGTTGTACGTGAGAGTGAGTACTAGATAAATCTAAGTATACTATCAACAAAAATCTCGCTCGATTTTTTTTGCGTGCAACATTGTTGATAGATAAATGATGAATGTGCCACAGCGTGACAAGCAGAGGGTCCTGCCCGTAAAAGAGAAGGAAGAAGACTGTAAGTAAGTACAAATGATGCAGTCCCATGATTTTCGTTGCACGAGAAGCTGGTAGTTTTTCTCCTCTTCCTCTTCTTCATCGAAGTCATCATCTTCAATGGCCGTTTTCTTCTTTCGCTTTTTCTTTTTATCGTCTTTCTCCTGCGGTGGTCCGACGGACTGCAGTATCTCCAGATGCGTTTTTGCCATGCCATAGGATGTTACAAGGGCACCCCCACACCGTGCAATCTTCCGTACAGATTCCACTCGCTCTTTCTTGGTCGAGCCACCGTGTAAGAAACGAATGTAAAATTGCTTGCCATCGGGTGCATACGGGCATACCCACTTCTTCATCTCCTCGGTCCAAGAAAGAAACAAAGTGTTTGGCACTACAAGCAAAAAATGCCGAGCCAAGCCAGACTCAATCAACCCTGCTGCGAATTAGAAGAATGACTCAGATGCCAATGAGTTCTTCAGTAAGTATCTGTATCTGTGCGAGTGAGGCGGCCTTGATATTTGTCCTTACGTTTTTTCAGTGAAGGCGAGTGTCCTGAGCTCATTGTTGAAGCCCGATTAGAATGAAGAAAAACAGACTCATGCATACTAACATTAAGCTGTATGATACATAAGTATTGCATAGTTAGGTAGCTTAACAAACACACTCTTTCTCTCCATGTATGGGTCATAAAAGAATGCCGAAATCATCACTGTTTTGCCGAGTCCCATTTCATCTGCGTGAATGCCTCCCTTTCTTTTCCTGAATGACTCCCACATCCATGCCACGGCGTGCCGTTGATAGGGATACAGCTTCTCGTAGATGGAAGCGGGAAGCTTGTAGCGCGGTTCGGAGACTGTTTTTCCCGCCTCCTTTGCCTCCTCAAGTTCCCGCGGTGTCTGCAGAAGATAAAACTTTCCATTTTTTTTCCAGCTCACTTCAGCGAGACCTACGTAGGGGTAGTTTTCGACCATCATCATTTTTGCAAAGTATGTATATGTAAGTACACTATACGACTATAACTAATTCAGAAAATTTTCCAAGTATGTGGATACATATTATGCTTCATCCTCCTGCCTCCGTATATGGTGTCGATCGTTAATCAGATGTCAAAAAAAAAATCAGATTTGCAGAGCCACATCAGCATTTACGACGAAAATAAGCACCTCCGTTCCACTGCCAATCTTCGGCTTCCCCTGATCCAGATTGTTCCATTTCTTCCTCCTCGTCATCTTCCTCTTGTCGAGGCGAGGCGGCGACGATTTCTTTGCCAGGGGCACCCTTCTGACCAACCTCTTGCGGGTCTGGATCTGCGGGAGGAGGTGCTAGGTCAATGTCGTCTTCAGCGGGAAGCAATCTGTCTTCTGCTGGCTGCTCCGCGACTCTCTTCTTTATCTTTTGGTCCTCGTCTTTATTTTGGTTTTCTTCTGGTGGTGAGGGCTCATCCTCTTCACTCTCCTCGAGTCTTTCAGTTCGTCGACATTCGTCGAGCTCTTCCGTCAGCTGAGCTGGACTGCCAAGAGCACCTCCTTTCTTGTCGGGAAAAGCCTGCTTCAACAGCGCAGCGGTAAGCTTCGATGGTCGATATGAGCTGGAAGTAGATGAAGAGGCCCCACCGGCAGTTGCCGAGGATGAAGAAGAAGCACCAATAACCTTCGGCGCCTTTGCCGGTCTTTCGCCCTCTATATTCATCGCGACATCGCGAGAACGTTTTCTGTCGTCGTGTTCGGAAACGCCCGACATTGGTCGAGGCCGGCTATTTGCTGTCTCCTCCGATTCCATCCGTTTTTTGTGTTCAGGGAAGGCTGATGCTTATGCTGTTGCTACTAATACTATCGTATCATTATAAAGATTAATGATGGTCAGGAACAATATGAAAGATTTTCACAAAAATAACACAACAGCGTGCTGCGATGACCAAACATGAATTTCCATAAAAAACGACGAAGGAATTAGGAAAGTAGTCAGAATTTCCGGGACGGGGTTAACTGCAGCATTCGTGAAAATCAAAGTGGTGACTTCTGATGTGCAAATTTCGCCATCCCCATCCTGTGCATCACGGTTTTGTTATCCTTGGTCACGCCATACTCTCTCACCTTTTGGTCAGTGGTTGCGGCAGCTTAGTGCCAGGCGCGGATATCACGCCTCGCTACAGCTCCAGCGCTGCATCACACATCTTCAGAAGCAAAGGGAGGGCCAGGGCTAATCTTGCATATCTTATGTCGACGACTCAGCCGTCACAATACTTAGAGTCATTTACTGCCACACGGAAGCCACAAATCAATCCACCATCTTCATGAAATACACAAAGGACAATCTCAATGCGCAGGAAAAAACAAGAAGTGTTCTTTGCTTTTCACAGTCTACTGTACAGAAACCATTGCTTCGAGGTACTACAAAGATTACAGTGACTACAAACGAATGGCTTAGACTAGCACTAGAAGTTGAGAATTGATGTGATGATCTGTCTTCAGTCACCTATTGTATTTTTCTTCTATTTCTCTTTTGCATATTATTTTAGAACAGCAATCCCACACAACTTTGAACGATGAACTTCAGTTTTCCCCGACGGAATTTCGACCAAACATGCATGGACAATAGCAGAATCTCTCCCTCGCAGTTGTCTGCAGGAACGATATCGGATTCGCATTGACGCGCGGTCCTCTGCGCCCTGAGTTCATTTTCTGTACACTGGTGGATGCGCCTGTAATCGTTCGCGTGGCCAGAAGGCTCGTGCCTGCCGACATCGGCGTGTTCAGTTGTGCTCTTGGGGGCATATTTGGGTAGGATGCTGCTTGCTCCGCGTAGTTCGTAAAAGCGTCGAGTGGTGGTCTGCGTGCAAGGAACGGCTGCCGGCCCGCGTACCAGTTGCTGTACAGTCGCTGTTCCTCTTGCTGCAGAAGAGCCTCCTGTTGCCACAACTGCTGCTGCGTCATCTGCGGCGATGACTGCGTGAGGTTAAATGTTGAAGATCGATGACTCAATTTTCTTTTCCTTGGATACAAAATCAAACGTACGTGAATCGGAAATGCGCAAAAATTTGTTGCTGTGTAGATCCTGATAAATCCTCCGACGAAAAACTTTCCGCATCGTTAGACTTATCAGAGTACCTGATAGCCAAAAAAATTTGCCTGCTGGGCATTCGGAAACATGATTTGACCCCCTTGGAACGATATCGGTGCTTGGCGCAAAAAAGGTGCTTGGCTGCCGTAGATCTGTTGGTGGTTGAGAGGTCGAGGCACATGAATATGAAAAGACCGAGGCTAGCGGGTACGGGTAGAAAAACCAAGCAAAAAAGGTGCAGCTTTGTTTCCAAAAATCTATTTACTTATTCTGCTTGATAATGTCCAAACTTAATGAAGATATGTTTTTGTATCCGTGGAAACGAAAGGTACGTACCTGTTGCGGTCCACCTGGGATCGGAGCGGCTGAGAGTTGCATTTGCTGTTGCAGGTAGCCCCCATTCGGAAAGCGGGGTTGCGCGGCGTTCATTGTTGCGGCCGACTTTTCCGAAGAGAAAGGTCTCACCTGCTGATGCCTGGATATGACTGTCTGACCCAACTGCTGGAGTGCTGCCGGAGGCATCGCAGGAATAGCAGATCCAGCACTGCCTGCCATCGGCATGGAGCCGTACATCGGCAAACTACCCGAAAACGCGATCGGTAGTGGCGCTAGTGTCGGCAAGTCGTCGGCTGAGACCTCAGGCATGGGCGGGAGCGCCGGCAGTGGAGGTGGTGGAGGTGGCGGGGCTACTGGCGGAGCGGCTGGCGGGGGCGGTGGCGGAGGTGGCGGGGGAGCGACCTGATGTTGAGAGCATACAAGTAATTTTTAATTTAAATATATATTTTCAAGATTGTCCAACGTAGGTAGAAGATGAACCTAGAGATTACAGTGCCACCAACACAAAATGATCGACGATTGAAGTTTTCTTCAATCAAACAAAAAAGGTCACTAACTAGCAACTGCATCATGTGTCAAAAACTGAAACATTTTTACCACTACAGGTGGAGACGGCGGCGGCGGAGGTGGTGCGGCCGCCGCAGCGGCACCCGCGGCTGCAAGTGGTGGTGCTGCTCCTTTGTTGCAATGGCAGTTACAGTTGCATGGCTGTCCTGGAGGGCATTGGATACGGAAACCGCACTTCTTAAAGGACAAGAGATTTACGCATTGCTGTCGCTTCTCTTTTTTCGCGCTACTTGTTGTACTTGTAAAAAATGTTGCCTAAGACACTTGTAAATGTACACATAAATCAAGAGATATACCGACCCCGATGTAATACAACGCCCCCATGGTAATACGACATATGATATCTAAATCTGTATGTGATTGAAAATAGAATACCCAGCGATGGCTTTCGCGGGGATCGAAGTAGAAGAAAGACAATGCCAGTGCCATTGCCAATGCATTTGTCTTAACTTTACTTTCTTCCAAGAAAGCTACATTTTGCTCTTTCCTGCTGGATTCTGGAGTCTCGGTCGGAAATATTTCCCGATCCAGCTCATTCAGGACAGCAGCCGGGTCCTCTTGCAGATCCACTCCCACCGTTTCGTTGGCTGCAACATTTTCCAAGATCAGCAAATGCACAGATGAACCAAACCAGGAGAAGACCACGCAAATGGCGCCGAGATGCGACGTGCGCCGCATTCTCGCCCTCATTCTCCAACACCCGACAAAAACTAAAGACAACTCTCTCAAGAACTGCCCTGGATCACAAATGTCCCTCGGTAAAGATTTGTTGATTTTCTTGTGCGTATCATCTCCAGTTCGTTGTGGACCATTGGCGTTGGACCTCGGTCTCTCTCTCCCTCGCGTCTCGTTCTCATGTCAGCCTCTTACCGATGAAGCACCCTGTTGTAGCAAGCAGCTCTGCTTGTAAATCGTCGCGAGCTGTCTACTTCTCCAACTTTCATGAGAAATGATATACTCGCCTGTACAACCTTCCCGCGGCTGTGCCTCTTGGCCACCGAACACACGGACCATTGATTTAGAGCTCCTGCAACGATCGCAAGGTCGATCGCTATTCGAAGGCCCAGCACTATCGTTCATCATTCTTGAAACTGTAATTAAATAGAATAAAACAACTGATCTGGGACGAATGCTGAAATAGGATCATTTTTGTTTTCCAGCAGAGGAACGTCTCCTGCTTTCTGCACCAACGTGCAGCGAAGATGCGCCAACAGCAGTCAACGCTAATCCGATTGCGTGGAATCTTCCGAAAGCCTTTGGGAAGATGAAATAGCTCAGTGCAAAGGTGAATAACTTGCGACAGCCGCATATGGCGTTTGCCCTGGCGGCATCGAATTCACGCGTAATCTTGAAAATGTCACGGATACCAATGAAACTCAGAAAATTATCTAAAATAGCAAGAAGGAGCACCTTATTTCCTAGAGAAATGGTGACCCCGATTTCAATGTTATCAGACGCCGAAAGATCGCTAGTACTGTCAAAAATAGTCTCCCCAAAAAAAGCAATAATACGAGCTACTACTTCATTTGATGGTACAGAAAACCCCAAAAAACTTTGCTGTGTACAAGCTTTCGTATACCATGCCATAGCGACCTGTAGTTCCCCCAATAGGAGCGTGTAAACGACTAATAGCAAAAGGGCAACACAGTATTGAATCATCATTAGCAAATCCTCACGAGGCAGCTTGACATGATCACTCACGTTTACGTTCATCATCGTTCGTCCCCCTGTCTTCTTTTTGGTCTCATCTGTCGCAGTTGTTACACGATGATCACCAATCGCTGTTTCAACGTTCTTGCAGGCAGATAAGGGGGCGGCGGACTCAGGCTCTCTAGTTCCCTGCAAAATGCTTTGTTGTGAGTTGGCGCCGTAGCTTGCGACACTTAAATTTAGGCCCATGAGTACAACTCCAGTAGTGCTAAATCTGGGACTCTCGAATTGTTCACCAATACCAAAAATCGCTAGACCTGCGAATACGCAGAGCGATCCGAGCACTTCTTTGTAGGTCAATTGGTGCGCATTAATGTTCTTCTTGGCGTTGGAAGCATCATCTACTTTGCCACGATTTGTTCTTCGTTCATCGAAAGCGAAACACGCATGCCACCTCCCCATCAGAAGAATGAGCGGCACTTTTGCTGACTTGCACAACATACCAAAAATAAACCCCACATGAGCTGTGGCAGCCAGTCCGGACCCGTGCGATATCATCACCAACACCCCACTCAGTAGGGCGCTCTCGTAGTGGAAAGCCTTCGCAACGTCATGGCTCCGTGTTTTGGCAGTGCTTTTCCCAACAGTAGCAATATCTTTTATTGCTGAAGATAAAGCAGTAGTAGACTCAGAGCTCGGCTTCTCCGGCCTCTCCACAGCGACGCCAGTCTTCTTCCTCTTGTCAATAGACATTCCTCTTTTATTTTTTGACTTCCGTCTGCGAACATTTTTCGAATTTGAGCCTGTCCGTCTTCTATCACGCCCAAGTACTTCTTCATCTTCTCTAGTGCTAGTACGGACATCAAGTTGTGGAAAAACGTCTTGCCTCAGATTTTCACCGCTAATGCTCGAGATAAAGCTACTCCTACCTCCATCGGTAGACAACTCGCCATCGCCATGTTTTCGGTTATAGTGAATCCGCTGAGTCGCTCGGACGATAGCCTGTCGCGCTTCAGACATCCCGAACCAGAATCCTGGATTATTCCAGTTGAACACAGGCAACACAATGGCGTAAAATAGGAACTCGAAGAGTGCATATACCCATCCCCATTGAAAGCCTGTGGCATCATGGAAGACGGCTTCCGTGAACACAGCCGCAAACCCATGAAGCAGACACACGCGAAACGCCAATGTGAGCAACCGCCATCCTCGTGAAAAACCGAGAGAGGAGCGTAAGGTGCGGACGAAGGACAGCATCATATTCAAACTTGATAATCGACGACATTAATATCCTCTAATATCCGTGGTAATTATCAAGCGTTTCAAAATGCATCAAAGATTCCAAGCAATGCCGATAGCCTAGAACCGTTAAACATAGAATTTCACGCCCAGCACAATCAAGAATGATATTCTGAATTCGGAAAACCCGACTCGCAAAAAAATTGAGATGGGAGACCTATCAGACTCTTTCGTTGCTCTTCCGTTTTGTCTCTGTTCCTACTCTCACTCTCGCACACTCTCTACCTCTCCTCTACATCTCCTAAGAAGACGAATAACTATAACTCCCAGTCTCCTCACACACTCCAACACCAACAGAATCACAATATACAAAAGTAGCAATGGTTCCGCGATACTATCTTCGAGAGAACACACGGGAAAAACAAAAGTCGTGCGTAGATGTGTTTGTTGAAAACCTCCTCATTAACATTATTGACTATTGTGTGTCTGTGGGCAAAGAGTATGTCAGGAGGAGCTAAGTTCAAATCATTCTTGCATGAGGAAGTGGGCCTTATTGTGAGACCGCCTGTTTCTTTGATCTCTCGTTCGCGAAACAAGGGGTGTAGAGGAAAGTAGAGCAAAGGGAGAGGGAATGGGTACGGCGAAACGGGAAATCTCAATGCGTTTTTGAAATAAAATAAACTGTTGTATGTAGTTACATGTAGTTCTGGTAATGACATTTGTAATGGCTCTTTGGCAGAAAAACAGAGAAATTAGAAGTTGTAGGGGGACAAGCTGGTAAGCGTGATCGATATGTCATTTTTTTCGGCACCGAACGGCTTCACAGACAACGGACAGTTTGTTTCGTCTCACAAATTTACGCGTATTCGAAAACATACTAGAGCTAATTGCTTCGCAACAACTGCAACAGTAATATGTGCCCGAATCTTTAAATGGTCGCAATATTTGAATTTGTCTCGTTAGAAATGGTGCTCCAACAAAACTCAACCTTTATGTAGTAAGATGGTGATCACGATCACCGTTGTCAATAAGTAAGAGTAAAGTATGACTCCGCAAGTGCAGGAGAATCGCATTTGCGGCATAGCGATAATTTATGCTGCAATTCCATGGCCTGGAATCATGTTTATGCCATGGCTCACTAGGTGTTATGACAGCTGCACATCCTGCACCAACTTTGAGCAGGAAGAAGAAGACCTACTCACTGCAGAGAGAAATGCGGGGTCCACTTACCTTGAGTTTATCAAATAACTTAGAAATGAGAAGATTTATTGTGCTTTGCTGGGGAGAATTTGGAGTGGTAATCCTGGGGTTCAGGTCTACCAAAAGCATCGCCGAGACCTCTACTTCCATCTGCCGCGGTGCCAGCACTATCCACAATCCGAGTTCCAAAAACGTCACGGATACCACGACCTTTCGTCCGATGTTTCGCTGAGGCGGCCTCAGATTTTTCATCTCCCGCGATGGTTCCGCTCTCTACCAACTGTCGATGCATACCTCCGATCTCCAAGACCGTCCCAAACCACGCGGCAAACCACACAGAGGAAAAGAAGAGGGACGCAATGGGATCGAAGAGTGGTGTGTTCGCGGCACTGTTAACACGGTTTGCCAAGGCTCGAATCAAGTTGCTGCCAAAGGCGCTGATCCAGCTCTTCGCTTTCACCTTTGCAACGCGGGATGTCTGAAGATACAAAACCTCCACCATAGGGTTGTTAATTGCAAAAACCACCACGTTCGTTAGTATGCTACAAATGCTGACGAGCAAAAACAACGCCAGATGTGAAAACATACTGGATCCGCCAGCGGTACCGCGCGTCCGGTGGATGTGAATCCGAGTACTGCTCGAGCCAAATGGTGTCATCGGCGAAACGCCGTCTTGCTCAATAAAAGTGTCATGGTGAAATTCGCGGTCCTCTCTGTCCCGCTCGTGCCTGCTGGGCTTCTTATCTACTAACTCCCGTGCTGCTGCATCATACTCTGTGCGATCTCGTTCCTGCCCAAACTGTAGGAAAGAAAACGACGCTGCACTAAGCGATGCTGTCGCCTCAGAGTGTGCATGAGAACCGTAGGTCAAGACATCAGAACGGGAGTCATGATCGCTGAGAAACTTTCGACTTCGATCAGTAAGGCGGCGCCGTACGCCAGCATCGACATCAATCTCATGACTTCGAAAGTTGTTATTGTAATCGCGCTCGGAAACGAATAGCGTGAGAATCTGTGGTACTCTCTGCCGATTTTCTGGTGCGTTTGTTGGCGTTACTGCGTTTACGTCTCCGCGTAGTCGTTCGACCCGCCGTCTCTTCCCTGGATTTACGAGGACAACAGCAGCAGCGCCAGCGCTTTCCGCGTCCAGAACCATCTCCAAAAATCCGCACTTGGGCTTCATTGCAAAAAAGCGTGAAGACGAGGAACCCGGCCGTTCTAAATGACTCATTTGCGTCTGCGCGTCTTGATCTCGTTCGAGTTCTTGTTCCGTATAACTAGTTACTGAAGTCAAACTGGTCGTCTCTCGAGGACCGAAAGCGGTGCTAGTACTCCTAGGGGAAGAAGATGCTTCGAGAAAACTCTCGACGTCTCGCATGGGGTTGTTCGGGGAAAGAAAGTTCTCTCGTTTCATCGCTTCACATGCATCCCACTCAGTTAAAAGCTGCCAGAAAGCGGCACGCAACTGGGCTTCTTGAGAGCCTCCAGTGGCGCTTGTTTCGTCCATTTGCGGATTTGAACTTAATGCGGCGTCCTCTGAGTTTCCGTCGTCACCGCTGTCAGGCAGATGGAAAAGCTCACAGAGTCTCACACCAGGGCTACTCAGTGAAACATAGTTACAGGCTGGAAATCGAGATGCACATGCGGACCGGCATCGGCTCAGCATCTCTCTTGCAGCGTAGGGCATTTCAATTGTGTCAAGCACTTCCGGTGTTTTCAGATGTAGCTCGTGCGAAACATCACCTGCGAGTGCCTTCCGCCTTTCAGCGTTTTCTGCATTGTCCACGATTCCTTGCGCCCGCATCAGTGCTTCTAGCTGGCGCAAACGGTCCCAGAAATCGGCGTTGCGGTTAGACAACGCTTGAAATTTCGCCGAGAGGTCGCCACTGCTCCGCGGGTAAAGCATCTGGATACGCGCAAGTGCCTCCGCGACTTCTCGCCCACCTCCGCTGCACTGCACTTCACGTAACTGAAATACACGCTCAAAAGATTGCTCTTCATCATTTGGGCCACTCCGCGTTGCAGATCCAGCCGAAGGGTCATCGGTAGCACCGGTCGAGGTGCCCCGCCATGAAAACGCAACAACCAGATTGCGACCTTGCAGAACCTGTCGTAAATCACTCACATGTGTCGTGCACGCCTGTACATGCAGAATGCCGTCTGCTGAGAGCTCGTCCACCCCAATGTTGGCTCCTAACGCAGCCGCAGCACCTTGGTGTTTAGAGTTCCGAATTGCCACTGCGTCGCCCATTGTTGCGTCGTCATTCCAGGATACTTGTGGACGCGTCAGTACGTAGGAGCCGTCATTAACGGTTAGGTATCCCTGCCGCTCGCCGCCAAGAGCAGCGCAGCAGAATACGCCCATCATGATGAAACAGCAGATGGGGTTCGCGCGAAGGACGCGCCCAAGGCCGTAGCTACGCACGAGTTCAGATGTGCCAAAAAGCGAAACTGCTGCGGACAACACACCATTCAACAAGAGCATAGCACCTGGAGAAGCAACATAGCAGAACAAAGATAAGTAAGATGCAAGCTGGTCTAGAACTAGAATTTTCCTTTACAAGACAAAATGAGTCTTTAGAGAAAACTTGTACTACTCAAATCAGATGCATATGCAGTGGGCTTGCGGTCAAGGACGAGCTTCTCATCTGTACTTGTGTTTATCTTCATTAGGAAAGAATTGAGAAACGAGTAAATACTGATAAGCCGTGTTCTGTCGTCAGCGACCCGCTTCGGATTGGGGCCTCTCAAATTGAAGCCATCGTCCGGAGGATACTGGTAGACGTAACTCACCAGCACGCTCCCTTGGAGTTCGAGGAGAGTCCGTATTGCTAGGTGTCCCGAGCTGCAAATCCAAATCAGGAAGACATAACGTGTCGTCAGTAAAACCCTCAAGCCCTCAGTGGATCGGTGCAAGGTGTCCATGCATGCTTGCCGCATCGTCTTTTTTGTTTCTCCCACTAGAAGTGACGACCCGCGTCTCCGCAATTGGGGCGCTGCGCCACCTCTTCTGCTCGTCTCTCCATCGAATTTGATGTTGCTGCTAGTTTTATAGAGTTGGCCTCGTTCCATACGCTCTTGGGCACTGATTAGCGCCTCTCGATCGTCCTCCATGTAGGGGTCTGCACCTTTGGTGACTGTAGACGGAAACATGCGTGCGCGATCACGAAAACCTGACCCAGCTGCTGTCATGTGATGCAATTCCCGATCGTCTTGATCATACTCGAACTCGTCCGCGCGACTTCTCCGAATAAAGTCATCGCCTTCCGAGGTGGTTGACGAAAATCCCGACTGCGGTTTCAACTCTCCACGTTCTCGATGAGGCGCTGAAGTGGTCTCTGGCCCTGCGTCGGATCTGGCAACAATGAGTTGATCCGTCTCGTTTTCCTCCTCTAACAGACGAAAGGCAGGCAAAGCGAAACGAGGCACCGCAAGGGTACCAATCGCGATGAAAAAGTAGAGGACGGTGCTGCCAGTGATGATGTGCGTGGAAGCTGAAGCACCCCCTATTGGCACCTGCAATGTCTTCGTCAGTACACCACCCACTGCACCCAAGCAACCTCCAATTTGGCACCAAAAGTTCAGATAGGGATAGACAAACTCCGCACCAGAGGTTGAGCTGGTTGTTGTAGTGCCTCCAGCAGTAGCAGGAAAGCCTGCATTTGTGGCGCCTATTGATGGAGACGTAGCGGCAGGAGTAATTGCGCCATGATTTTCTCCACGACTTCTAGAAACCGTCGAGTTACTCGGGCCTTGTGGTGTTCCAGTATTTCTCGTGCCGGACGACGAGGAGGCGCTTCCCTTGAAGAGGAGGTGGACGCAACTCCAAACCATGCTAAGGCAAATTCCAGCTTTTGTGTCGATTAGGATGTACAAAGCGTACATGAGGAAGCGCCTGAGGCCTCCGAAAACGATCCACTCATGCGCATCTGCGTAGCTCAATTGAAGCGCGGTGGATAGAAAAGGCGAAAGCATCCATATTTCTTGGCTGTTCTTATCGGGGTGCTCGCGAGGTACATCTTCAGATATTGTTGAATGGGAGGAGGAGGACGAGGCCCGCGATGCGAAGGAGCTGCCGCGCGCTCCTCTCAATGCAGTTCTTCTAGTGGTCGTTCGATCCCCGACTGACATAGCGTTGCTTTCATCATGCACATCGAGATAAGCAAGGTAAAGGGCGAAAAAAAGGAAGGCGAGGCCGTAAAAAATGCTCACGTAGTTGATGAGACTCGCTTGATCGTTGATAACCGAGGCCACGATACTGTACAACAGTACCACGGGAACCATGAAGAGCGTGCTCAACTCCTTCGCGTGGCTTTCCTCGGAAGGCGAAACGTGCCTCTGGAAAGCAGAGGAGCGAATTGGCTGCGCCAGCCATTGCGTCGCGATCAGAAATAGAAAGGCCACTGCAAGGTTCGAGTACGCTTTAGTTCGTCCAGCACTGAGCTGCGGGAACTTGTAAATCGTCAGCCCTCGTACCACCGGGAAAACGAGAAGCCACAACGCTACCGCCCATCCGCCCAGCGCACAAATGAAGGCTTGCATCTTATTTTTCTACCGGACACGCTTTGAAATCTTCCCTCTTCCCTAAGTAACGCTCACAGCTAGCATCGTCTTGCGGCAATTCTCATCCTCATGTTCGGCAGCGACATCCTACGTAAGGACGACCATAATTTCTGCTCTAGTTCTATTCAACATAATGATGCTAGAGATCATCTTAGACGTTCGTGTTCCGGAAATCTTCAAAAAAGCAATAGGACAAGGATACTTAAAATCAAATTTGTTCTTGTCGCTTAATTGTGAGTAAACCGAAGCAAGAAAAGAGAAACAAGAAGTCAACAGCTAAGTGCAATGTATTGATATTGTACTACTTTTCTGACTTGCGATGTCAGTTACTTAACTCGGATCTAACAACCGAGGAGGACTTTCCTGCATATATTACTTCTAATTGTGAATAAGCAAGAATGGACACAAGGCACATCGGCAGGAGCGCGTTGTCTATTGAGGATCTTCTTGCAGAGTCAGAACCACAAGACGCTGTTTTTGAGACAATTTTCTTTCTAGCGGCAATGGCAAAATAACAATTAGACTGTACTTGAACTTGGACGTGACAGATGATAGGTCAAACTGCCCGATTTCGATTTCATTCGTCACCATAAGAATTATGAGCAAGTACAAGGTGACGATGATGGCTCTTCTTGTTCTAGAAGAGGCACGAGGACGCAACGATAGGAAATGTAGCTACGATTGTCTATTGCTTGTTTTTGTGCATAATCATTGCGATTTACTTGGAGGGTCGTTGGGAAGGCACACTCAGGGTAGGGAAATCGAAATGGTGGAGTGACGAGTGAAGAAGTCAGAGCTACAAGTACAATTCCTTTTTCAATGAATGATGTAAATAACACCGATTTCCAGAATCAGTCTTGTGTGAGTGTGTAGCAAAAGCACATTCGTTCAGATCTCGAGAAACGACGTGCGAAAAATAGCGAGCGTGCAGAAGGTGGTGCGAGCTTGTTTCAAAGGGTAGAGACGAGACTAGAAACGCTGTACCGTAAAAATCCTGCGATTTTTAGAGCCCGAATTCATTGCAAGCCGCGACAAGGTCTATCGTCATCATGGCGTCCTCTCATCTTTAAACCAGTTTCTTGATCGAGGATGTTATCCTAGTACAGTAGGATAGGATAGTAGTTAAAAATATAATATTGCTATATCAGTGCGGTTTAAGCAATGTGTTAGCAAGATAACGTCTGGGCAGGCCTGCACCTGCAACCTCATGATCTTGAGGGGAAAATAAATGAGTCTGTAGAACGGGTTGGCATCCAGCGAGCCGACGAAACAACAAATGCGAGGCACCCACCTCATTTCTGGAGGCCACATACGCGATATCTTCCTGCTATCGTTCCTTCGAATATCACACTAAGCCTTTGATGTCGTGTCTATCGTATTTATATTTGTTCTTCCTGTTCATTGAAAGTGACCCTGTCACAGCACTAAAGCGTGCGCCCGGCTCATACTTGCCTTAGGATTAGGAAACGGAGGGAACTCAAATAGATTTCTGAATGGTGCCCTTGCTTGTCACTTCACCCCGATATATTTCTCATCTGCTACCTATGCATGAACGATTGAAAACAGAAATTGCACTACTGACTTGCTAAGCGCACCGATGTTACTCGATATCACTACGTACATACTTCTTGTTCAGTGCTGGGCCTAGCTACTTCCGTAGAGGATGCGGCCTGTTGTAATCTGGAATGACAATATCACAATGACAATGCTGGATGAAAAAAACAGACTACAAACTACAACACTGATACTCTTAAAAGTGGTTTCTGACAGACTGAAAGAGATTGCTAAACAGAAAAAAAAATATTGTTCGTCTCTGTCGCGTTTGTTAGCAAACGAGAGCAAAAAAGAAAAAGAAAGAACGACAAGAAATTACACTTTACTCAGTGGATTTACTGAGTTCAACAAAACACGAAACAAAAAACATAAAAAAACTTCACGCCAACTTTATTAACGTGCTTGGATGCGCTCCGGGCAACGCGTACGATCTCGCCGGATTTAATTGTGCTTCTATCATCTACCTTCTATTTCGCATTTACTGACATACTCCTTTCTTCACAAAAAAAAGAAATTGACTAGGTGAAAATTATGCCACACTCCCCGCATACTTTTGCACTCCTAGCAACAAATACTAACTACAAGAAGTAAAGTTCAGTCCGATGAAAATGAATCATGTAGAAATAAACAGTTCCTCCATCTTGCACTTGCTCGCGGTCTTCGATGGTCCGTTATATTGATTATTGAACAAGGTGATACCCATAATCTATCAATAGCGAAGAAACGACGAAAACCTAGTTGCTTTCAAGTTTGCAGCATAAATGTGATATCCCAATCTGATCCTAAGACTAAGATCATCACCCTATCGAATTATTACGCAACGCTAATCATCATGACGTTCTTCAACATCAACTTCACAACCAAATCGTATAAGTCATGAGTTCGAATCATATAGGTGGCATCCATGCTTTTGTCTTCGAAGAAGCTCCTTTAGTATCAACCCAAAATCACGGCAGGGTCTAAAAACTGATCGCCCTGCGGACCTGCCCCTGTTGCTGCGCGTGGGCAAGCACTTGCTGTTTTTCTTAGAGCCGCGCATGTATCGTCAGCTTACTGCCATTCCCAGTGCTGGTACCAACTACTTTTTAAGCCAGGTGATACTACCAGTACCAGCTCCTTATTTTTTGATCCTCGACGTCCTTTTCAACTCGAAACTAATGCCTTTAGTACTTGCGTGTGCGTGCGTTGTTTTTGATATACAGATCGATAGATACATAAACATTTAGATAGATAAAGCCCCACTCCATAACTGTAGTACTCTTCTTCCATCCGTGCTTGTTCTTCCTCCATCGCCTCCTCGTCCTCGCCTGAAGACGCAGGATCGCTCTCAACCCAGATAAAGGATTCATCCAGCTCGCGACAAAGGCAGCGTGTATCTACTGGAGGTTTTTCCAACGTTAAAGCTACATAATTTGAACTTCATGTCCTCGATGGCCTATCTATTCTAATAAGACATTGTAAATTCCAAGTTTGCATATCTGAGAAAATTCCAAGGCTCCATATCTGAGACCACACCATGGAGGCAAAGAACAAGACGAAGAGGATGATGATGATAATGATTTTGTCAAGGATTATCAACCTTAGCTGCCTTAAGAATGGGTCCTCGTGATACCACGTGCCGCTTTGATTCAACAACTTCATTAACGATGTGCTGGGAACCTGATCGGTTGTGGTGAGTTATTTCATGAAAAATTCTTTGCTGTATTGCAACAATATGATCTACAATTTGTACATAGGTACACTCTAGTAAATCGATCCTCAACCCGTAGCTGTACTTCTTTTTTCAAGAATATTAAGGGACCGTGATTTGTAATCAAAGTCTAAAAAAATAATATGAACCGCATCTGGGTCAAACGCGGAGCTCTGCATGTATATCTGGTCTGCCGGCTGAAGAAATCTGCAATATAGCGGGATTTCATGTGCCCTCTCTGCATCATTTTCCCCATCTGAATGAAGCAAGGAACAGAATAAGTTGGCAACAAACTCATTTCTACTATTTCCCCCTCGGCAACTTTCATTTACATATATCTGACATAAAAACGTTGACATCTGTATTACTTATGTTCTCAAGCAGACTTGCTGAAACGAATTCATGGCGAAACACGTTGAAATTGAGTGTAAAACCAACAGGTTCCGTTGTCTTGACAAACAGAGAATCTACCTCCCGCCTCCTCGGCGCCGGTTCCGTTTTCACCGCCCTGTGAGTCCACCTCTTGCTCCGGACTCGAAGATTTTTCACTTGCTGCTTTGATGCGACTTCTCACACGGTTCCGTGCCTCTTCCACCAGAGAATTCACGGTTTTTTCCTTCATCGCGGCGTCCATCTCGCAGCCCATGAAAGTAGGAGCCACGCCTTCGTTATTAACTACACTTGCATCTGTTTTAGCTACATCTTCTGCTTCTGTACCGGACGGCGCGTCTGCAGCAATACTCGACGACGGTGATTTTGCAGGTTTTTTATCGTTGTCCTACTCTTAGATGCATGGATATCAATGAGACGAGCACGGTACTTATATCGGGTAGACATTTGATGGCATGGCATGAGTCTCACATAGTCGCACACATTCACATACTATTTTGGAGACTAAAAAATATCCAAGGTGCTAATATGTCTAGAAGTTGTGGGCTCCTCCATGAGGTAATAGGGGATCATCAAGATCGAGACAGGGTCGTATATATATATCAGAGTGATTTATAAGGTTTGCCAGCTCGCATGGCATGTAGTGCATGGATCGCATGGAGCTAAAGGGGGCGCTTCTTGCGTCCCTTAGAGGTCTGCGCTCCATGCGCTCCATGCTACTCCATGCACCATGCGTTCTATAAACTGCTCTGATTATATGTTCCAGGGGCCAGGAGCCAGGAGCCAAGGCCCTTCCCGATCTAACTTTTTGAGGGGGGAGGGGCCTCCCGCCCCGGGCCCTTTTTCCTGACAGACGGCCAGGCGGGAAGGCCTCCAAAAGCCCACCGCCGACCCCTTCCCGCTTCGTGCCTCGACCCTACAGAGCCCCCATCCCTGTGGCCGTGGTTCAAGCACCAAAGGCCGGGGGTGCAAGGCTTGCGAAGGTGGCAAGGCTGGGCCCCCTTTGGCTTGTTGCGGCTTGTTGCATGATGTAAGTATCCGACAGACCTCCACTCCAGGGCGCGGGTTCCTCACTGGGGGAGTCTCTTGGGAGGTGAAAGGCCTCCGAGAGAAGCAGGTGGCAAAGCTTGACCCCTTTCGCCGTGCTGCATGCATCCGACAGAACCCAAGCGGGCACGCCTTGCCCCCACTCCTCCGCCTCCCTGCCTTTGGTCCTGAACCCCCCGGGCGTTTGGTGGTGGCGGAGGGACGAAGGCCAAAGGGGCCAGGCCTCGCGACCGTGGCCGCCTTCTTCTCCCGGAGGCCGTCCGCCAGATAGAGTCCAAGAGCCGGGACGCCTGTCAGGTACACGCGGAGAGCCGCCAGGGGCCTCCGGCTCCGCCTTTTGAGGCCTTGGCCCCTGGAGGTCCGTACATGTCACCACCGCGGGAAAGAGGGCGCGCGGACGCCACCGCCGCTCCATCCACAGGGGGGGGAGCCTCCAGCACCCCTGAGACGTATCTATATGCCTTAAGGCTGCACGGTGCCCCCCCTCCCTGTGGTATGGTCTGCGGTGGCGCGCGCGCGCGCTTTTCCGCGCTGATTTTCACGGATTCTAGTGTTGGAAGGCGTCAAAACTTGGCGCAGGCGGTCCCCTGTGCCTCTCTGCGTGCTCCTCAGGGACCTCCTGGACTCTGCTGGCCCTCGCAGGCGGGAGGTCTCCGGGGTAAAAGGCCGCCGAAGGCGGCCACGGTCGCAAGAGCCAGCAAGCTGATGACCATGGGCCCGGAGGGTACAGGCCGCACGGCCCAGGGGGTCCAGCCCCTCGCCTTTTGCCGCCTTCGGAGGCCTTCCACAGCCGGCGCACTGCTGCGGCCGCGAAGCATATCGGAGGCACTTAGGGCACCGGCAGGCACCTGGAAGGGGGCGCAGGCGGTCCCTTGGGCCCCTTTTGAAGCCTCCCACCTACATCGGAGGCCTGTAGGGAACAGCCAGGCAGCTGGAAGGGAGCGGAGGAGGCCACTTGGCCCCCTCTTGAGGCCTTCCACCCCCGGTAGACGCCTTAAAAAGGGGCCCGGGGCTGCACGGTAACCCCCCCCACGCTAGGGGGGGCACCGTCGCCCTGAGCCCTGGATCATATATAAGAAGACAAAGCGCGGAATTGCCCGCAAGTTAGGAGGTTTCTCATGACCTTCCGAAGGTGCTCCGCTTGCAAAGGAATATCAAGGCGGCCTGCAAATTCCATACTACAACCTACTCTCGTCGGCGAGCGACGGCACAATGAATACGAATAGTCTTTTTCGCCAAGACCATTTGATCTTGTTGGCCCTTGACAATCATAGACTTATGCAAAAAAGCGAGTAGTAGTTATATATTATATAAGCTTTGGAGCGGAGAGAAAAGTGCTTGAAATGAGTGAAGACGACACCTAGAGGTAAAGAACCTGAACCGGAGCGCGTCCCATCATAGACATAGTACTATCCAGAAAAAACACGGAGGGAAGGGGTTCATTCAACAGAAAGAAAGACAAAAAGTCATATAAGTATGTGCGTTCTTAAAGGGGTATTGCTTTTTCGGTGGATGAAGGTTCGTCAGCTTCCTGCGAGACCTCTGACAATTCGCCTGCGGATATTTTACTCGCTGCAGCGACACTCTTAATATTATCCGAGGCCTCATCTTTTGCTATTCGTATTTCTTGCTCGCCACTGATTTTCATCTCTTCAGCAAATGTTGCTTCCCCTTGTTCATCCATCCCCACCTCGATACTTGCGGACTTCTTGGTAGAATCTTCATGTTCCATCTTGTTTTCTTGCTGCTCATCCTTTTTCACTTTGGAGGAGTCGCCTCCTGAAGGGCCCCGTGCTCCAGAACAACTGCTCTCCACCTCCAGTGCCGCTAAATCGCTCAATAACCTGGCTCGCACTTCCTGCTTTTCCTGCAGGCCCATTGCCCTCTCCCCAAGAGGACTCGTCGCCTTTTTAGATGAGTCCGGCGAACTTCCGCCCGAGCCCTCTTTGGCTTGTTTCTTGGTGCTATCTAGTGACGACTTCGCGTCACTTGGCGTCGACAGTTGTTGGTCGGAGCAGATTGGCGAACCCACGCCAGGCAGCAGCGACGCAGTCGCATCCTAGTCAGTGGAGAAGTGGAAGTGGGAGATTAGCATGATCCCGAATGTATCTATTAATCTAAAAAATGTGAAGGGACTAGATTTTTGACTGATTAAGGACAAAGCATAGCCTTGCCAGTAGTACGATCATATTCATAGCCAAGACCACGAGGCAGATAATTAAATATAACTCGAACCGGAATAAACGGCTACAGTGCTCCCCTGTTTGTTTTTACACTGGAGCGCATTGGAGCAGCAGAGTAGTCAAGGACCCATACGCTCATACGAGAACGAGATAGACTAACTATTTAGCACAAGAATAATGCTACTTATATATAAATATATGTTCCAAGACGCGGGGCGACGCCCCCCCCTAGCGGGGGGCGGGGGGCGGGCGCCCTGGCCCCCTTTTTGAGGCGTCTGCCGGGGGAGGAAGGCCGCAAAAGGGGGCCAAGGGGCCACCCCCGGCCCCTTCCAGGAGCTTTGTGTCCCCTGGAGGCCTGGGAAGTAGGTGGAAGGCCTCAAGGTCAAGGGGGGGCCAAGGGGCTGCCCCCTTCTCGTTTGCGTGTACCCTACAGGCTTGAGGGGTTAGATGTTGTAAGTGCGCGGTTGGTCTTCAGGCTCCCTCCTCCGCTCCCTTCCAGCTGCCTGGCTGTTCCCTAGCGGCCTCCGATGGTGGTGGGAGGCTTCAAAAGGGGCCCAAGGGACCGCCTGCGCCCCCGCCCAGGTGCCTGCCTGTGCCCTCAGTGCATCCGCTAGGCTTCGCCGCCGCAGCAGTGCACCGGCAACGGAAGGCCTCCGAAGACGGCAAAAGGCGAGGGGCTGGACCCCCTGAGCCGTGCCGCCTGTACCCTCCGGGCCCTTGGTCATCGGCTTGCTTGCTCTTGCGACCGTGGCCGCCTCCGGCGGCCTTTTACCCCGAAGGCCTCCCGCCTGCGAGGGTCAGCAGAGGCCAGGCGGTCCCTTAGGAACACGCTGAGAGGCCCTCGGGGAGGCCCTCGCCAAGTTTGGACGCCTTCCACCACTAGAATCCGCGAAAAATCCGCGCGGAAAAGCGCGAAGGCGCGCCACCACAGACCAGACCACAGGGGGGGGGAGGGGGGGCCGTTCGGCCCTGAGTCATATATAAGCAAATCACCCTAACGCTGACACCACATCCACCACGCATAGGCCGCATGTCCTCAATTGGCCCGGGCGCAGTTTGGTTTGTACAATACCCGCCCCAAAGTACACACGCTAAGCTCGTGCGTTTGGTTTGTACAGAAACCCGCCCGCGCCCCAAAAAACACCGATAAGCGGAGACGACACAGCGTAAGCTCGTGCGCAATTGGAGGTTATTTCACTCACGGCACTTCGAGAACCCTGAAGCTTTTCAACAGGTAAAAGTCAAGACCGGCAGGCCCAGGCAGCATCGTGTTAAAGCCATCGCCACAGAGAAAAGAAGTAGCTCGAAGTATGAGCGTGTGGTGGCATTCGCAACAAGTGCGAGAGGGGACTAGCAACATCCCACCGGCGAGGGCGAGCCACGCCCAGAACCTGCATTCGTCTAAAAAAATACAGCAGCAAATAGAAATTTCACTTATCAAATATGCTTTGAAGCGGAGAGAACAGTGCTAGAAGAGAGAAATAAGCCACCAGCAGCGCAAGCCATCATTTACTGTCAGAAAAAACAGGGGGGCGGGGGAATAAGGGTAACCTCATCAGTCAAAAAAGAGGAACAAACACTTATCAAATGAAAGATGATCTTGTAGTAGTAGTTGCAGACAGTCAGATGACAATAGCAGCAGTAGTACCCGATCGTCTCCGTCTGTTTGAGCACTCCCGGCTCCCTCCGCAAAAGCGTACTGTTCCTCCAACGTCTCCCACGGAATCTCGCCTCGTACACTTTTTCCATGCAAATCTAGATTTCGCAACAATTCCATGATTTTTTTGCTTCTTTCGTCCTCTCGCTTGCGCGCCGCAACCTCCGCAGCAACATGACGTTCCCACGCGAAATACATTCGCTGCTCCCCAGGTGTGGGTATCATATACATCTCTTCTTGTGATATTCTTGGCGGGTTTCTACCTGACGAGAGCCTCAATATCAGGAACTCAACTACAACAAGAGATACAGCGCTCATTAGAAAACAGTTCTTGCAGCTCGAATTCTGCGCTACTACACTGGATCCTTGTTGCTTTACTTTTATTTCATCTGTGCCGCACTAAGCAAACAGGGGATCTTCATGCGACCATGATCACGGACTGTTTGTACGAAAAATCTATCAGCTAGTTCCCGCAGTGCAAATAACAAAACCTGGCGACTGGCCGTGGTTTGTCCCTGCCATAGCGAGTGCCATATTCCGTGGAGAAGCACCGAGTTCGGGAGAGGCTTCAAGCATGCGCGAAACGCCACTGGGTGATTTGGCGGAAGACGCAAAAGAGCCAGCTGCAGCATTGAAGTCAATGCCTTGGCGCTCTCGGGATCGACGACGTGAAGCATTTCCGGGTCTTGTACGATATGCTCCGTCCCCTCCACCCTGTCGTGTAGCAGGACCACCCGGCCGCGTTCTGGCAGGGCGCTGCATTCTCGTTGGCAGCGAGGCACCTCCTGCTCCACTACCGCGAGTTATAGAAGCGCCGCGAGATCCCGACCGGCCGCGTGTTGGTGACAGACTTTTGTCACGCAAGGCCGTTGTGCGCGCACCCCCTTGTGGAGTGCTGCGACTCGAGGGACGATAGCCTGCGGTTGCCGATGGTGAGGTAGTGTCTCCAGCAAAGAGGGCGTCGTAGTTTTTGGTGCTGTAGCTGGGGCTGCCCATCTCGATATTGTAGAATGTGAACGGCTTCGCGACTTTTCCATTCGTCTCTACGGGTGGCCTGGCTCCCCTCGACGCTGGTCGTGGGACGCGTCCGCCCGTTACTCCAGGTGGATACTTGTGTCCTCCGTTTTGGACGAAGACCGCTTGGTATTTGCGCTGCTTTTTTAGCGAGTCAAGCCAGACAGGAGTTGTGGGTCGCGACTGCGGCCGTCTCTCACCTGCCTGCAATCCGCCCTCCGCTCCACCAAGCTGAAGTCTTCTCTCTTGTTGGGACATGGGCATACATAAGCGGTCGCTGATTTCACGCTGTTTCGAGGCAGAGACAAGTAGCTGCCGACTGGATGACTTGCCCGTACCTGTTCTTCTTTGCCTTTGTTGCTATTTCTAGTTTTCCTTTTCCCATCAAAATTAACAAAAAAATTTCCCCGATGCTCTCGTGGTAAGAAATCAAATAGAATCCATTTCTAGAAGCAGGTCACGTGCAGATGACACTACCTTTTCCCTTTCGGGGCTTTGAAACTTGCTCCTCAGGTACTTTCCGCACTATCGTCGACCGCCCTGTCTTAGGGTCAACGACCTCCCTGAGGTGCATTGAATCGAGAACAGAGTCAAACTCGGTCAGCATCTCAGGCGAGAGCATCTTTCGAAGACTGTCCGAGTCCGAAGAGACACGCTGATTACTGCTGGTCAGAAAAAATGGGCGTTCCGAGTTGGTGTTTTCATTCATCGAATCCTTACCCTGTACGCCACCCGCGCTGGAAGCCGTCGTCTTCGGCGTAGTTTGCTGCCTCATCGAAGGCGTTGCTCTCTGACTACTAGAGTTCCCAGTGGTGCGCGAAGCCGTCGCAGGCCGTGAGCCCGAACGCTGGCGCGACGCGGAACTACCCCCTTGTGGATGTGGACGTCGTGTAGCCGTAGTCGTCCACATTGACGTGATAGTTGCACCTTTCGACGCTCCGGTCTGACTGTTTTTCGCTCCAGATAAAACTACAGTCTTCGCTGCTCGATGTTCCCCCGCTCCTGCATGCCCACCATCAGCCGCTCCACTGGCACTAGGGTAGCCTCTGGAGCTCTTTTCTTGCGACATCTTCCTGCTCTTTGCCGACGTCGGAGTGGATCCAACAATTCTACCACGGCCGCTAGGTGATTCTCTACTCAATGGACTCACCCTGGTACCCGATCCAGTCTGCGGGCTGTCAGACGTCTTTCTTCGGGCTGCTCCGGTGGTAGGCTCTGGACCTGATGTAGAGGACGAAGCGATGCGTGGATTCATAAAGGAGCCCCCGATGCGAATTTCAGATGGCTCCTGCCCTGCTTGACCCGGATTGTCACTCGCTGCAGAGCCACTAGTGGCCGACTCTTTGACATGTACGGTTCCAAGGCCTACGACTCCCGCCGCGGATGCACTTGTACATTCAGCTGCAACCGCGAAAACCTCTACGCCAGGGGCAGTATGATCATTCTCGTCTGTACCACCACCTGGAGGAGATGTTAGTAGGTGCCGCTCAAGCGACTTACTGCTTCCAGGACTACCCATACTTTTCGCCAAATCATGCGGGCTGCTAGCTGAACCTCTATTCGCGGTTATGACACCGGGAAGATATACATTGTTCGACCCCGTACCTTTGCTCGTTGTCGCGGTTGGGGAAGATCTCGGGCTTACTATTCTGCTACCGCTTGCACTTTTGCTCTGCGTTGCGGTTGCGTCTCGAATCCCTTGTTGTTTCAGATCAATTATGGGCTTGTCTCCATCGCCAAAAATTTGCTCCTTTATTTCCCGAAAGAGCTCGTCGCGCTCTCGATCCATTTTCTTCACTCCCCGTCGCTGGTTACTTGACATCGGCCGCTGCGGGTGCGATACGCTAGGAGGCCGCGGCCGGACGCCCGAGGACGTCGCAGGCCTTGTCGCGCTGGCATCTCCGGCAAGAGCATCCGCACTTCCCGCGCCACGAGAACGGGTCTTCATCCCCGTGCCAAGGGCCTTGTTTGATCCGGTTGCGGTTGCGCTAAAATCGATCCCACTCCTGTGCCCTTCCTGTATCGGGGCGCGGCCTCCACCCCCTTGTATACGTTCGCCAGCAGCGTAGTAACTACCAGGAACTTTATTTGGAACACCGTTGCGAGATGCTGAACCTGGCTGAACACCTGATGTTCCGCTCGCAGCTGAACTTCTCGCGGCCGGTGCTTTCTTTGTGCTTGGGCCACTCGAGCTCCTCGGTGAGGGAGATACTCCAGTGACCGGGGTCGTGCCTGTTCTTGTTGTCGAAGTAGTCTTGGTAGCCTCTGCTTTGTTCGCTGACTGTGGACGATTTACGGATGACGTGACGAAGGCACGACCAGCCGGGGCCTCAATGCGCGATAGAGCCACAGGTGAACCTGGAATATCCGCAACGCCTGACGCGAATTTCACGCTCGCAGCATCCGTAGGTAAAGATTGTAGGCAGTTCTCCGCCACACCTCCACCTCCGCCCGTCGAGTTACCCCCCAGACCTTCGGAATTCCACAAGGCCATGTCGCGATCTAGTTGCGCATTGATTTTCGCGAGAACCTGGTCCGGAGTTTCGCCTATGCCAGTCGTGAATAGCGAGTCAGCGCCACCTCTAGCCGTCGAAGTGACACCTTGACTATTTTTGGTCGCAGTTTTGTTACTGCGCGGCGGTGAGAACTCACTTGTTGACGATACACTCATATTTGTGAACTTTTTCTTTACTAATCGCTGTTGACCAGCGCGACTACCGCGTCCTGACGCCGACGAAGGCCTTGCCATCTCACCCGCCCACGAGGAGCTAGCCGCCCCTAATTGTTCTATGCCGCCGTCCCTCTGCATGTCGTCACCCTTTTCACCACTGAAAAGGAACGCTCGGTCTCTGCCGCCACCTCCCCCTCTGATCGTAGCGGGATGCGAATCCTCGAAGCCTCCATGGTTGCCGCTACCCGACCAGGCTGTCTTGCTTTCCTGATCTCCTGCTCTTGACCTGCTGGAACCACCCAAGACGCTACGCTGTTTACCGACGGCCTCGAGAATACGCCGGATTCGACTTGAGGACCGCGGTTCACTTCGAGTGCCTGCATGCGGAAGCACTCCCTTGAAATCGGAATGATTCCGTCTCCTTGAAGACCCACGAGCTACTTGTCCATACGACCCCTCAGACATTTCGAAATACCACAACAAGTAGTCCTCCTAGGAGCGGCACACTACAGGTAGTACTAATCGAGGTCTCATGCTAGAGAGAAACTTTAAAAATCAAGATCGGTACGTCTTCGTCCAAAAAGCAAAACAAGTAGAAGTCTGCATAGAATAGTGCCCTTTCGCTTGCTATTTGTTTCAAAGAAAGCGCCGTCGACTTCAGTGTCTAATTCCCTCTACTAACTTGTACCTGTGGACAGCGACAAAAACAAGACTTCGAATTTAGCGGGTGCGTCCATGCTCGATGTGTCACTCGACTTGTGCCTCCATTCATATAAAGTCTTCTCAGACGCCTGGATGCGGAGTTGCGTGACAGGGAAGCTACTACTTCAGTCCTCTAGTATTCTTAGCATATATGTTCCACCACCGAGTTGCACCACAGACCAGTCCACAGGGGGGGGCGTGCGGCCCCAAATCATATATAATTATAGGCGCGGTACTATCACTATACAGCTACAACTATTCTCTGCGTTTTACAGGGGGCAGTAGCAGTCTGCAACAGCGCCTCGATAGCGCTCTTCGTCTACTTTGTTCGGCTTCTGATACTTGTATGAATCAATTCACAAGGGAAACATCTGCTATTGTTTTCACTCGCCGGCGCTCGTCACTCACTTACATGCGTCTCAAAAGGTCACGCATATACTGCGATCTCTCGATCTAAAACTCACTAGGCCTCTCTCTGAATCTGACTGGACAGAGTGAGCAGAAATGCGCGTTGACGTGTCAATAAATTCAGTGGCATGCTTCCTCGTCATGTAGAAAAAAAGAGGGATTTCAACAACTCCTCGAAGTCCAATCAGCCAACGAAAAATGCGCCAAACTGTCGCTAGTTCTAGCGCATGTAGGCTGTGATCACAACCCATACGCGAGTCCGGGTGAACAAGTACTCCCACCTGGAAACGGCAAACGACGGGCAGTAAAACCTCAAAAATCCCATTTACTCTGATGGTGATAATATATGCAGAATGTAAAGACCCCGCAAAATGGCGCAGGATGTATATTCCTATCCCAGAGCAATTTATAAGGTTTCACGGCTCGCATGGCATGGAGGAGCATGGAGCTAAAGGGGGAGCTTCTTGCGCCCCTTAAAGCTCTGCGCTCGTCCATGCACTCCATGCACCATGCGTGATATAAACTACTCTGCTATCCCGTTACGCTCTAAAATTCTGCATATACCCAGAATTTAGGGGTGAAAGGACTACTAGTTAATTATTGTTGCTGCTGGTTCTGTTGCAATTGCATCTCTTCACCACTTCCTTTTTCTTCTTAGCGGGATCGGTTTGTTCGCGGTCTCATACACCTGCCCAGGTCTGGATGAGCCTGGCACTAGATCGATGCAGAGGCATGAATTAGCTTTGACTCGTTTTTAATCTATTTATTGTCGGCCCGCTGTACTGGTCAGTGCAATGACGCATATTCATCTTTTCCTCCTGGGATGGGCGACCCCACAGGTTGCGCGAATTACCATTGATCCGGGGCCAAAATGATGACTGTCAGAAGCAAGCAAGTGCGTACAAGAAGGAACGAAATCAGACAACTAGTAAGTAACAGAAAATTGTATAGAATCTTAGATTGTGATTGAACTTGAAGCAAGGTAATCATACACACGACGAAGTTCACAAAACGATATATTGTTCTTCATATGTTGAAATTAAAAAGCTAGTGAAAGGAAAATCAATCAATGGCCATGACGTGTATCTAAGCATAATTAGACTATGGATGCCATTGCCATGATGATGATCAAATTCAATGGGAATGGCGCATCATAATTTTTGAAAAATGGAATGGAAGATTATGTCGATTCACAGCGCTACCTACATGTCATGCCTAGTAGGAAGTCTGAAAGTGAGAGTGAAGCTCGCATCAATACATAGTAGCCTACTAGTAGGAAGATGTAAAGACAATAATATGCACATGCACTGGGATAGAGAACGCTGAGGATGATGATGAAATACCCAGTCCAAGGACAGGCTTACTTCATCACGAATGGCTTCAGCACACAGTCATGCTATGTACGACAGAGAATGAAGAGAACAACAACAAGCCGGCAGCAAGGAAAGTATAGTTAGCACCTTGCTACCGCCCACCCAAAAAATATCAACACTTGGTAAGGTTAAGACGATATCTAACGCATAGCAGAGAGGAAAGACCTTCACATTGATTACATCGATGCACAAATTATATCCTACACGGACAAAATGGATAGACCAGCAAACATATCACGCAAAGTAGAGTGTTGATCTTGAAGTCATGTGCTGACTGAAATAACAGTGTCCTAGCCTCGTGTAACGAGGCGATTTCGTTGTCTTTCCCACCGCGGCCAGGAATGCCTTCTGCCTGCCCCGCAGCAATCCCAGGAGGAGCACCAATCTTCATACATTGTTAACGTGATTATCGAGCTGCGCGCATAGCAGCGATGATGAACGAGGAAGCTAGTAGCACAACTACAAGATATATTCTTTGTCATAACTTACTACAGAACGATGGTATAGTGGTCTACTTCACTTGTATATATTGGTTGCTGTGGTTTTATCGTTGTTGCGAGTAGAAAATTGTCAGATTACCAGAGGTAGAGCACGATTCCGATGAAAACAAAAACATAAACCTAAACAGTGTAGATCGTACATGCTAGCGACGGTCTTGATCACGTACTAACTCACTGCAAGGTGAAGAGGGTGAAGCACATAGATTTACACGTAAACTAATTGGTGCCGTCGGCTTCGAAAATAGTCTGCCCACAAGGGGTTGACGTCGAATAATTGCAGTTTCTTTTCTGAATCATAAAAAGAATGGACCACTCACTTTGACCTACTTAGACTGGCATTACCACGTCGCTCACAGTCACACAAAAACAGAAAACAAATTCATTGCATTGCTGTTGTGGAACGGATCGTAGATACCGTTGTAGATAATACCAATCGAGGATCCCAATTAATACCGTACAAATTCAATTCTAGTAGTTCTCTGCGATTTCTGTCATGCCGATAAAAACTAACTAACATCGTCTCACTACCGACGTTCTAACGTCGCCATCCGCGCATCACAGGCGCTGGTGCTTCTTAGTACCAGGAGTTTCATACGCCAACAGAACAGGATCGATTATCTGCATCAGTGACCTCATTACATCGTGCAAGACCTTATTGGCTGCGTGCCTCGTTCTGTTCTTGTGGTTTGGATCTTGTTTCGGACCCGCTCGCTATACCAGGCGAGATCGTGCATTTTTTTGGAGGCCTTCCGACCGCTTTTGCGCGAGGACTCCGCGTTTTTTTGCGACAAATAGGTGAAATACACTTCCGTTGTCTCGAGCATAGCTAGATCCAGGTCTTCGCGTTGTAACGCCATATCGAATCCGTCTCTGCAGCCAACCTGAGGAAAAAAGTGGATGATTGTTAGAGTCCTTCTTACTATTTGATATTGTAGTCCTTGTATGAGTATGATCACGACCAGTGCTTACTAGAGATAGAAAATTTCTTTTCTTTCTGGAGAGTAAGTACCTGGTAGAAGTTGGCGAGACACGTGGAGCATGTCCTTTCGGTGACGCTGCAAAGCGTGGAGACGGCATTGAGGCACAACGAGGAAATGCGAACACACTGGAGGCACTCGGAGAGAAAACTGCCACCGCAAAAGAGTCCTCCCAATATGAAGCATGTTTCATGCGTTTCCGGGTGGATCCAGTTCAGCAACTCTGCTTCTTAGAGGGTACGGATTGACTGTAACAAAGACTGTGAACAAACAGAAGCTAGATATGCCTATCCAGGACGAAAAACAAAATGAACATCAATAACAATATCTTAAATATTAAAACCTTCATCTTTACGTTTATTAGTGTCTCCTATCTCCCACCTAAGTAGTACTAGTTGTTGCTCCGTACATTTCCTTCGTGATCATGAATATGCTAAGCGCTTAGCCTCTAGGCTAAGAGGAAGAAGATCATGTAGCATAATCTATGTCACTGCGATTGAGAAGTTTCTTCCGGATGCGGGCTGAGAACTCTGCTTTCCGGAGCAGAAAGAACAGAGGAGGCCAGTTCCTTTGCAATCGGCCAAGTTGGGGGTGTGAGCCGGGTGACCTATGCAGTTGCTCCAAAGACGATGGCCGTGCGATGCCGCGTAAGTTAGAAATTGAATATGATTAATATGAATGTTATAAGCTGGGCAACGCACGGCTATCATTTTCAATGACAGAGCAGCGGTCGGAAGGAAAACAAACGAATCCGAAAAAAAAAGCTGGACATAACATGTTGTCCCCCGCCGAGTCCAGCCGAGGGAAGCGAGTGCACGGACGAACTAGACACTGATCGGCCGCTGTGAGTATCTTCGTCGCTGTACGGTTCCGGGCTTCGGCTCTCAGCATTGCGTGGCAAGTGCTCCGTTTCACCCCCACGCTTGTACTCCGATACCACATTCTGGTGCACAGAGGTAAAAGAGAAAAGGCTACTGAAAACACATACGTACTCGTCGTCCTTGTTTCACTTTCATTGAAGATGAAGAAGCTAATAATTTATTATAATCATAAATACTGATTGTTATGCTTCATCTATTTCCGGATGAATTCTGTACGGCGAAAGCAAGGCACGGCTGCCGGCGCTACTGAACAGACTCAAAATAGTGAGTCAGACCGAAGAAGTTCTCTCGAACAAGAAAGTATGTCTATAGAGTCAGAGCACAAGCCTTTGCGCTGAAGCGGATTTGGGCACAGAAGTGACAGAGAGAGATCGAGAGGCCATCTTTTTTCTTTTTTTTCTATAGTGGTAAGGTGGATGTCCTACAAGGATTGTTTGTGGAAAGGAAGGAGCGACGGCCATATTTAGTTAAAAGCAGCTAAGAAATATACTCATATGCGCATATTACGGACTGCTTCTGCCCCTGAGGTCCTTCCTTGGTGAGAAAACAAATAGGAAGGTGCTCGCAATGTCCTACAGATTCAAAATAGTCATAATCCAACGTCTTGATGAAATTGAACAGCAAGACTACATATACATAGCTCCAAGATACCTCAACATCCAACAATGCCGCAATCGGTGTTCGGTCTTCGTTCTCTAGATATGCCTCTAAGAGGGTATCGAGTCCAGTCCGATTCGCGAAATAGCACAGTAATGTTGGAAGGGATTGGTTTGTCTTCAAATACTCCTCTTGATACACAAAATCGCGGCAATGGAGCTTTCCTGATTCGCTCAATCCACGCCAATCGACTTCTGTCGGCTGCCGTGGAAACCTGGAACAAGATCGCGATTTTTTTGATGGATAATCAAATCTTAAAATGCAGCTTCGAAAAAGAACATGAGTATTCGAATAGTTATGAGCAATGTCAGATTCAGTTTGAAAGAAGCTGAGAGCCAGATCCGTTGCTTCACGCCACCCAGCTAAAGGTAGAGTTGAAAATGAATTAACGCGAATATAGCCATCTGAGAATTTAGGGTCGTGCAGATAGTACTTGCTGAAGTCTCGAATGGTGACCATGAGTCGCAGTGTCGGTACGCTTCCGTAGCGCGAAAGCAAGACGTCCCAGTTCAAGGGTTCTTCGTCTGCAAGAAAGCGAATTCTGCCTTCTGGAAGGCTACTCCGATCACTAGTCGCAGTGTGGCTACCGGCATCACTAGCTCCGTCACCAGATCGCTCTCCTCTCAGCAGATGGATCGGCGGTAGCAATAAACGCGAATCCTGTGCGGCGTAGCCATTCGAAGTACTATTTGTTCGCGATCTGCCTAATGAGCCGATGGGCTGCTCATAGTTCCTGCTAAGGCTACCACCTGGGGAAGGCGCTCGTGGTCCTCGCAGTGGTTGAGGCACATTTTCTCCCCGATGAGGCGTCACACTTTTGGATGCAGTCGCGATCATAATTAGATTTGAGGTGATTTCGCCGACCTGATGATGAAACGGAGCGGAACGCGAGCCAGCATCGCTGTCCTCCTCGTCGGGTGTTGAAAGAGCGGGATTGCTCTCTTGGTCGTAAAACGTGCCATCAGCGTTCTGAAGGTGGCGCTTTGTCGAGGGAGCATCAATAAATTTCTGGAGGGTTGTTTGGTGAAGATTGGCAAAGCTGGCGGAAACATCTTGCATATGCGCATCGAAGTCCGCATAGGGTGCTCCTGCTCCTCTTTTCCCCTGTTCTTTGTTTACAAATATCGGGTCGGTAGCTGGATCGGCAGTGGGGGAATTACACATCATTCCATTCACAGTGGATTTCGCGTCGCCGGCTGACCGGTCAATCTGTGGCGACCACGACATATTTTCGGGCCCTTGACGAGCCATTTCGCGCAATGATTGGCCAGTGTCGTCTTGGGGCAGGTGCGGTCTCTGGTTGTTTTGAGATTCAGCTTCTTGGTTGCTAGATATACTACCACGCGTGCCATTGTGTGCGCTCAGTGTCAGCTCCTGACTGTGAGCCGTCAAAGGGGAGGCGGGCGAGGGGGAGGATGTCGTGTTCATGTCATGTCGAGCACGCTGATGCTGATTTGACGGAGCAGGTGTAGTGACCGTCACCGTCGGTGAAAAAACTAAGCTTCCCCCGCGAGCCACTGGAATCCCAGAGGAAGGAGCGGAAGGGCTAGTGCCGACGATCACGCGATTATATTGCGGCGCTTCGGGAAAAGCTGGAGGTGAGTGAGCCTGTTGCTCCTCCTGTTGTTCGAGTTCACCAGAAGGTGGTCCAGTTGTGAAGCCATGCTGGGAGGTCCGAGTATGCGTACTAGTAGAGCCACGATCTACGTATCCAGCTGCAGCGGTGTTCCAATGCTCGCGCTGACTCGACGTGAAAGAGGCTCCCGACATTGCCGGGCTTTGCACCGGGGGCGTTGCATCCTGTTGAAAGTAGATGCCTCCTGACGTTGTGCTACGCACGACTTCATCTCCTCGAATCGACTGCGGCACCGAGGAAGAGGCATTAGACGGCGTGCGAGCGATTGAGGGCGCCGAGGTGTCCCAGTACAACATACAGAGATTCTGCGGCACCTTCTTGCTCAATGCAACCGCCCGCCTCACGTCGCTCCCAGTGGTGAATGCACCGCGTAGGAAGAGAAAATCGCCAGACAAGTCTACGACCCGAACTTCCTTCATATTGGATGGAACATTATCTGACCCCACAGGCGCCTTCCCATTGCAGCTGCCACCCCGGGTCGTGGCACTGTCCGTCTCCATCTTCGAAGATCCTCAAGTGAGGTCATAGAACTACCATGTCCTGAAATACTTCTATGCACTCTAGCCTCTGGAATGATATTTTTTGTACGAATCAGCACTGAAGTTGCCTAACCTTTTTGGCTGCTTCCTCTTCTTGCGAAGGAGCGAAATAAGAATTGAAAAATTATAAAGACGATGCTGGACTCTACTAAGTCCTAATCATTCGTCGGCGTGCTACAAGAACGGTAGGAAAAGACAGTTAAATTTCGACGCCAACCCTGGCTGCAAAAAGCTAAGGCAGCTCTGTATTGAGGACATCCTTGAAATTATCAGAAAAGACGCTGGGCCGCGGCCGCAGTGTCATGATGAAAACTGCTAAAACTCAATTCATAACAAAAGCTCAAAACGAATATCTTAGACTACATCCCTCTACTCTCTAGCTTAATTTTGTTTTACTGCTAATACAAATACTTACATCTTCGAGTCGCGGCCATTTGGATTTGCATTTGCAAGCATCGGCTTCCTATTTGATCGGGCCAAGCTTGTTGATGTTGGTTCTTGTTTTTTGCAAGCTCTCCTTCTATTTTGATTTTTCCTGAACGCCACTTTCTATAAATCTAGGCTCCACTTCAGTTCAGTGTTCATGGCGCTCGGTTACTGATTCCCCTCATGCAGCATAATACATATATTATAATCGTGAAAGACTTCGACTTCGTCACACCGATACTATTGTGGAAATTGTGGGTTTTTGCGCATTTTGACTAAGCGGTCTATAAACAAAAGACCTATAATAATTGTTCTTGCTGAATGTGAATTTAAGCTCTCCTTCCATTGGGAAATAAGAATCAAGAACTGAAAGGCTTGAGCTAGGGCGTGGCTGAAACGGAAGTGGCCTGACCTTGCATTTGAAGCCTAAATAAAACGAGATGGTAGTCGTAGAAGTAGATCCCAGAGGACACTCCTTTGCAGTAGGAATAGACTATAACTTCCAAGTTCTCGTCTTAAATCTAAATGGTGGTTTTCATTAGACGTGACACTGTTTGAAGATGAAACTGACACAACACTCGTAAGTTTCAACGTTTTTATGAAATCTGAACAAGATCAACAAACAAACATAACTTATATATTTTCCAACACCAGATAGCAAGCACGCTCAACCGAAGTGGAAATTCAAAAAATAAACAAAAATCTAAGTACAACGGTGTATGTTTTTTTCTCGTGACAACTCACAAGACTGCAGTACTCGTCTCTCGGCTCTGTGATCATTAGCGCGCACACAAGGACATTCTCATAAGCACCTGGCTCCTGCCATTTCTGTTTTTTCACTCAAGACTTAGTGTGACTAGACAGGTTTCATTATACCGCCTCGTAAACAAATTGCGACTACACTTTCTGACAACACGAAGACCGGTTGCCATCTAAAGATGCACCGAACGAGGTCAAAATGACTCAAAAGAACATCAATGGAAATCGAAGCTACCTTTTGTGCTTCTCTTGTTGTTCCAGCTCTTGTTGCTTGATTCATCAAGGGAGAATTCATAGAACGCAAGCGCTGTACACATCTCAAGGAAGGCAGGTAAAAGGGTTTGGGGCTGAGCTGGAGGGGGTGACGGTGTGTGAAAGATGGTTACGATACGAAGAACGCCGCCCTTCGACTTTTTTCAAAGAGTGAGGAACGAACCCAACTTCGCATTTTAGCGAAGCCCCTCCTCAACTACGTCGTCACTGCGGCCGTGTCTTCTGGTGGGAGCAGCCGCGGGCTAACAGCTTTCTTTCTTGCACTGTACTTCATAAAGGAAATTATCCGAAGGCTAAGGATTAATCTAATTGAACAATCTTAATCAATTCTATCTATCTAGGGCTACGGTGTTGAGATATAAAACAATTTTTTTCTTCTTAACCATACCATTTCAAACACGAGGCGGGGAAGGAGAAACAGATTTAGCACTCATATATTACGCGACGCGCTCTCGTGACGGGTGTGGCACTCGCTCTATTTCAACCAACTTGAATAGTTAAAAACTGCCGAGCAAAGCGCCTTCTCCTCGCACTGCGCGCGCACTGACTACGAAGGACGTCAGAAACAAAGGCGCCAACGCGAGCGCAGCCAAACAAGAGACAACCAAATACAACATCACTAACGTAGCTCAGCCTCAGACCTGACGTTAACAGCAACGAAGTCAACAAAGAACGTAGTTGAGTCATCAACAACTTCTACAAAAGTGGCAAGCTTTGAACGGGGTCTTTTCACCGCCGGCCCCTTAATTCACAGTCACGCAGCAACTCAAGAACAGTACAAGTATCACGTTCCGTTTTTAGCATTCAGAAATAAACAACATTAAAAGCTAAGTAGCTTTGAATGTCGCTTTCTCTAATCGCCAAGTTTCAAGTCATGGCTGCTCGGGATAGCCTTTATTGACATCGTTGTAGTAGCCAGCATCGTTGTACCCTCCGTTGTCGCTATTGAATCCGTTGGGAGGTACTTCTCCAGCTGGGAAATTACCGTTAATATTATTGTTATCCTCGTTGTTGTAATATTCCTCGTCATCGTCAAACTCTCCTCCAGGATGATAATATTGCCCTTGGTTTCGCATAGCCGGGCCAGGATCCATATTTGAGCCTGGTGGCGGAATGTGCGCAGAGTTGCCCCTTCTGCCTCCTAATGTTGAGGCTGGCTCCTCGCGGCGGTACCTGTGATTCCCCCAGCGCGGTTTTTCGTACGCGAAATTTAGCCTCTCGGTCGGACCAAGATCGGTGATGTAATAATTAATCCCTGGGAAGCTGCCTAGCTGTCTCATCTGGGGATACATATGGCCATCATACTCCTGGATCCACTGATTTGTGACAGCCGCGAGCCGTGTAAGACCTGTGCAAAGAAATGGGATGGGAGAGTTTTTGTTCTCCTTAAGAGTAGCATCACTTTAACATTTGCAAATAACAAAGGTTGCATATTCGAGGACTTAGTAATCTACATAAAAAACATTGCTGTCTGCGCAAGCAACCTGTTGCCCATTGAAAATTTCGTTAAGCTAAATACTCGGTCTCGAAAACGATTCTAATTCAACATCCGGAAAATCTAATGAGTAAGTAATTAAAGACGAAGATCGTCGATTCATAGGAATTTAAAAATACGTCTATATCTTCCCCCAGGGGTGAGGTAGGGCGCGAGGTAGCAGTTTCTGCCCGGAGTCTTCACACCTTCAAGAATTCGAGCTCTGATTTTAAGACCTTCTACTGAATTTCTTGTTACTTGTTCATTGAGCTTCGCGAGGGCAAGTTGACCATCTCGCATGTGTGCCGAATGCTTCAGCCACTCCTGTTTATCCGCAGCCTCCAGGTTCTGAAATTTTAATGTGTGAAACCTAGACAGGAGGTGGAGGAGGAGGAGGGGGAAGGAGGAGAGGAGAAAAAGAAAGAGAGTGAAACGTGAGTACACGTACTTAAACAAGAATCCTCAAATGCCAAGCCGAAGCTAGTCGTGGTGCAGAAAAAGACCTGAAGACGATGAGAAAGCAACTTGATCTGAAATGCCTTAAGTCACTGAGGATTTCAATATATATTTAAGAAAGTACCGAGCCTTGATGCTGCCCCGTTGCGTAGGACCAGCTGGCATCTAGAATGAGAACGATATCCAGCTCTGGCCAAATTGAGTGCCGCAACTCCATCAAGGTGTCGAAGATTTGGATCATGCTTCCTGGACAAATATCGTGACCCCTATCGTCACGCGCAACTTGAACCTTCCAAACTCCTGCTCCTTGGTTTGGTGTATACCTATAACGTGTGAGTGCAGAGTGTGGAAATCATGTCACTGAACCCTTTGGAAGAAGACGATACTACACTTTCTACTGCTACTACACATTGATAATTTTCACTGCCAATCACATAGACGCTTCCTCTTGATCTTGTTCATCTACTTGTATATATAATCTTGATCAGTGGCGGGTCATCTCTTCATTATTTCATTTTCATATTGTAACATTTTGAGTCTGTCATAGCCCAAAAAGTACTCGTTCCGCATATTCATCGCTCTGGTCTGCTGCTCATTCACGGGCATGATATCTCGCTGGCCTACCAACGCGTAGAAAACGAGCGTGTGCATGTCTACTTTTCGGCCGTCTACAACTTCCTCACTTATGTGCGTCGTAAGGAAGAGCAGCTTTCCGCTTTCGCCCTGCACAACGCCCTGTCGCAGAACACTAACCATGCTCTCAACTGCTTCAAGGATTTCTTGCGTATTGGTGGTCCCCGCCTGAACGCGCCGCTCGCCTTGGTTCGTGTCTGTGACAAATCCGTTTGGAAGGATCTCTCGCCCACGAGGTAAAGGCGCACGTTCTCCGTCTGGGAACATGAAATGGATCGACTGAAAGTCTCCCCAACGTAACCGTTTGGGTTTCTGACGCCATGCCTGTCTGACGAGGTCGTCTTTGGCATCCAGCAAGTCAGGATTGTAATGCTCCTCAACCGGATCACGCAAAAATTCCTAGAATTATTTTCAAAATTTATGTTAAGAAGTTGTATGGGTCACACTCACGGCTTAGCTAGTTCTTCTACTAGTTAGCCGCTGTTAAGTTGTCTTAGTCTTTCTCTTTGCAGCTAAACATATAAATTTAATACCATTAGAACTAATGACAAAGTCCGTCGATTTCACTAGATACACTTGCGAAGAGACTGAGACATTTTCTTCCTTGATATAGCTAAGTAGTATATCTTAACCATTAGGCAGAACTTTACTTCAATCTAAATGTGTTCAGTTCAATCATCTTCTAGTACCTGAGCAAACGCCCTCAAGCATTTGTCGGCGTATTTTGGGTCCCCCGTTAAAACGAACATCTGAAGCTTCGTGCCTTCCGCATGTGGAAGGTCATTCTTCCCGCTTCGGCCCTGGCAAAGGTCTATAATGTGTTCTTCTTTGCTCCCGAATCTTTGGGATATATCTTCAGGATTGTCAAAACGCCAGCCGTAATCTACCACTTCATCTGTGGGCTCAATCGGCGCAGGTTGCGGCGAGTTTAAAGGATCAGGCACTAGAATTGGGCCATCCTCTGTTTGCTCAAAGATTCGAGGTTGCTTTCCCAACTTCTTTATTTTCCGCCCTGCAGCAACGTACTCACGGAGCTTCTCTAACCGCTTCTTCATGAGCGCATTAACCTTGTCCGCGGGTCTTTGCCCTGGGCCAACTATTCTATTCGAAGATGACGAGCTATCAGAATTTTTTCTGCGTCGGTCTTTTGCCTCTGCTTTTGCCGCTATCGCTTCTTTCTTCAGTTTGTCGGATAATGGAATGCCTTTTGGCTTCGCGTTTGGCTTTACAAACTCATACTCTTCGTCTTCTAGCGCGGTTTCTACCGCGTTTCGCCGAAGGTCCCGGCTTGGTGGAATCTCAAAGGCAGTTTTTGTCCTGCCTAGGATACTATTTCTTTTTACCGGTATAATAGCCAATTGCTCGTTGTTTTCTTCCGCACCGCGCGTGAGCGAGTGTGCTCGCAGTGATAGCAGGAAAAACAGGACCGCAGAAGCCAGTAAGCAAAGTCCCAACACGGCTATCCATTGCCAAAAGGGAGCATCGCCGTGCCCGGAAAAACGGCGTTTCCTAGTGTCTTCCACGTCAAAGTGTAATTCTTCCTCTCCGTCAAATGGAAAGAGGTCCTCGCGATGCTGCATCTGAGGAAACTTCTCTGCTTTCCCGCCCGTCTGTTGATCATCATCGCCTGGATATTCATCGACGTCTTCTATGTCGTCGTAGTTGCCGGACCGGAGCAGATGGGCATCACCGAAGTGCTGGTATCCGTTGTTATTTCCAGCTCGTGCTCCTGTATTCGGTCCTGGTCCTCCTGCGGCAGTAACATCGTTCAACTCCCGCGCACCTCCACCTCCGCCACCAATCCAGTCTTCATCATCATCGTCCCCAAAGACGAGATCCGAAGACCCGCGCCGGCGAAGCATTGTTCTTTTTAGTATAAACGCTTCAGTGCTGACGGCCCTGCTCACTTAGTTGACACCTCGCTGATTCCCTTGTTTCTGATTTCGGCGCGGCAGTCTTATCTTCTTGGGCACTGTCTATGACAGGAAAACTACTGCCTCTCACACTGCCAGTGTCTTACGACGCGGACTTGTACGTGCACTGCAAGCCACCACAAGGCACAGACGGCCTTTTCCTTAGCACGACATCACTTCTGTTCTTACAATAACCAATAGATACACAGCAGAGACGCGCTAATTTGTTATTGTTGTTGTTATTGCTTAAAGGGATCTGGATCAAATATATTTATAAATATAAAAAAAATGATTCAAAAAATCAAGAAAAAAATACATACTCGAAAAACTAAAATAACCGAGTCGGGCAAATAATAACTGCGCGAGAAGTCACTCGCGCCTGCGCACCTCTTCCGCGGAGTGTCACCAGCTTGAAGCATTTTGCGCGCCTGCCTCCTGTGCTCTATCGATCGCGCACAAAGCCCCGCAGGAGGGGCGAAGAACCGTCCCCCAGCCCGCGCGCAGAGCTCGACTCGCGAGTCGCAAGCGCATAGCGCAGCCCGCAGGGGATCGATAGTGCTGACCCCGTTGAAGCATGGGGCACAAGATTGTAGAAATGACCGACCACAAGATGCCGCACTTCTACGACTGGAAATTTCGGGGATCGAGGGGAAGGCGCAACGGCCTTTCGATTCCCGGACTTTCTACAAATGACTTGCTGCCTTGCCTGGAGCGGTTGCCATTGCAGACGCGGCGCTAGTGCCCCGAGACCAACACGGCTAGCCGCGCAGGGGCCGGGCCATGGATCTACCGTGAGCGACGGGCAGGGCACTGCAGGCGGGCAGCGAGAAGCCCTGCCCTTGTGCCCCATTTCGCAACGAAGGCACCCAGAAGTCAATCACAAAGGGCAGGCCTGTAGAGCGCCCGAAATCCGTGAAAAGCGGGCCGAGTGTAAGAGCAGCAAGCGCTTTCTTACAGTTATTCTCAAGCTAACTCGGTTATTTCAAGTTTACGAGTAGAAAAAAAAAAGCCGGTAATGAAGGAAAAAGGATGGAAGGGGTGGACTTTAAGCTAGTATCGCAGTACGAATAAGCTAAGTACCTAATTGTAAATCTAGGTAAGACTTATCGAATTGCGTCTACTCTGAACGGGAGACTTATCCAGGTTGAACGACGACTAACACAAAAGAACAAAAAGAGGAATTTGTGGTGATTAGTGCAATTCATTTCAACCGCCCAGTAACGCTTTGATGAAGACCGTGATGCAATATCCGAGTCGCCCGCGCTGAAATTACACACGATGTGCAGACAGAAGCTCGGCTACGCTCTAGCGGGAACGAACACGAAACTAGTACGACGATACCTACTAAGTTAGCCAGGGATCTGGAGGTCTATGCCAAGTTCTCTGCCTATGGAATATCGATTCTTATATATTGTAACATTTCTCAGATGAGTTATGCTATGCGTGGATATGACAGCAAAAGAAAGCCAGTTGATGTCAGCCAACCAAAGGAGCTGATTCTCACTAAACAGCGCAAAAATTCAGCATAAAGACCTGTCTTCAACTACTACCCAACGTATCCCTTCACTTACAAAATGAGTCAAAACATCCTTGCCAGCCCTGCATGATTGTGGGTGGTGGGGAATGGATAGCGGTCATGTTGTTTTCGGAATCAGCCGCAACATCATCAAGAAGAAGAAGATCCTGGTGGACATAAAGTGCACTGCGTAAAGAGATAATCCATGGCAATAGGTCATTAGGAGTTTGAGAAATCGCGTAAGGCTATGAGGGATCACTTTCAATGGTATCTGCAACGGTATGTTTGAGAATACTTATAATCCAAATTGTGTGACCTCATGTACAGCGCGTGCGTAGGGCAACTAGCTTTCAGCTTCACAGAGCACTTTGTTTGACAGAAAAGCCCTTGAAATTTTTCACCTGAAATATATATAATTTTCAATATCTCACTCAGCAAAACAGACAGAAGTGTGATTCTTGCATGCAGAAGATCTCTACTGTGAAACTTTCATTTTTGGATTTTCTGGATCTGGATCTGTGTTTTCAAAGAAGCTATACGCTGCGGCGCATGCAATACTCACGCGTCGTGATTTCAAGGATCTGGTTGATGGCATCAGCCATGACACAGCCTCTACACAGTAATGATCAATATTTTTGGTGCGTCAAGAGAAGCATCGCATTCAGATTCAAAAGTAGCTATCATGCGAGGCGAAGGTGCCTTTTTATAAACGCAGTGCCCCATTCCTGTGGGAAAAGCGATCATTACCGAAGAAATGATTATATAGTGTCTGACATGATTCTGCTTTTTCCCACTCTGTATCCCTGATGGAGTAAGAGAAACGAAAACCCGTGGCGATGTACATTTTTTTCAAGACACTTTCATTAAGTTTACTAGTTGTAAATACCATTGCTTTAAGTTAATACTCGTGTAATTTTTGAATTTGAGCTTAACGACTTTATAGAGCCAGCCTCCCAGCGTTCTTTACGATCAGCATGAGCATTTCCTCTTCGTTACTAATAGAGCTTTTTTCCTGACCGCTCATACCTCAGAAATTCTTCGATTTCGTACTGAGCCCACGACTCGTGATGTTTGCGCTCCTTCTCGCGTTCTATACGGCGTACGTTGCGAACGCGTTCCCGCACCTGCTGCTTCAACCATTCTTGGGCTTGAGCGAAGTCGAATTGTTGTTCTTCGCTAGAAACCACGTTATTGATGATAGATCTAGAAGTGCCGGTATCCTTGCGTTTGCTTTTTGTGCATGAAGATGCTGAGAGAGGAAGGCCTTCGTTCTTCACTAGGATCCGCAGTTTTGATTCCTCTGAGCGGCCGTCTTGATGCTGCTTTTCAGATGATGAGTGAGCGGTCTCGTCCGCCTTAGTGCAAGAGCTGCCAAAATCGTACTGGCCAGAACAACAAGACATGCTATCTACTTCCAAACTTTTTGTAATTTCCCTTCGCACGAAGGCCAGAACGCGGCCAGGCACGTCAAGCAGCTTCGCCACATGTGCTTTGAAGCGGACTGACGTGCGACGGCGTAGATCGAACAATATGTACTCTGTTGCAGCCCCGACTTTACCGGCACCATCGTCGACTTCGACACCCACACCGAGGGCGGCCATTGGATTTGGAACTGTGGCTGCCAACGCGGACGTCGAGACCCGCCCGTTGTTCCCGTTGCTCATCGATGAAATCGCCAATGCAGGTAGCTCGTCAACAGGAACATGGTTGTTTTCGGTATCCATACGCACCACCTTGAAAGAGCTCAAAGTACGCAGTCCGAGAGCTAACAAGTTTATCAGCAACAGATGGGTGTTATGCTGTGCGCGCTGAGGGGAATACAGTTCCAGTAGTATAAAGCGAATATCCTCCTCCGTACGTTCTTGCTCGTATAGGCCATCGTCAAAATGGTCTCTCTTTACTGACAATTCTACTTCAGGTGTAGAAAATTTCTCATCTTTATTCTGTTCCATCTGCAGCGAATCCGAAGCTTGATCTTTCTTGGAAGATATCCCTGTAGGATTTGAGGTGGTCTTCCAAGGTATATCCTGCCAGAAGAGCGACCACACTGTTTCCTGGACTTGTCCGCGTCCATGGGTCCACTTGTATTTTGGACTCAGGTCGTTGCTGCGGTAAGCTTTCTTGAGCTTCCCGCTGAAGTAATCCTCGACAAAATTTTCCATCGAATCATAATCGCTGGGAAAGGATGGAAAAGCGAAGCGAGAAACTGCTGGAACTGCTGAAGTAGACAATGCACTAGATGTAGATGCAGATGATGACTGCTTCTTCTGAAGATTGAGTTGCTCTTTCTTCTCTCTCTTCTTCTTCACTGCAGCTGGTGAACTAGACGAGCCAACGAGTCCTTCGACGTTATCCACAATGCCAAAAGCTGGTACGTGGGAAGGATGCAAGCCGAAGTCCCGCATAAAAATGCCTTCCGTCTTTACGTTGAGCTGAGCAAACGCCATTTTGCCTTCGTACTTTCGCGCCAAGCGCTCCACGATTCTCAACGCGGCTGCGCTTTCTTCTTTGAGACGGTATTGTTGTTCCGCATGATTTTCACTCACCTCTGCGCCATCTGCAGCAATATCTTTTTCAGCTGGTAGATCGTTCATGTTTTCCTTCGACTCAGTGGTGCCGCTGTCGTCGAGCCACAAAAGACCAACAGGCACGTCTAGCGCCGCCAGTGTTTCGCGGGCTTGAAAATCAAAGTTGGAAACCAGAGGAACGCTGAGAGATTTACTGAACGCGGTCAAAGCTTCAGCAGACATTTCTCCGTGATACACAACGGCCCTGCGCTCTTGTGGTTTGAATATGACAATCTGCGGCGCGAAGTCTGGCTGTGCAAATATTATATTCTGGAGTTCCTCAGCAGACTCTGCGGAGGCTTCAGACCTTTCTCGTTGTTCTGTAGAGGTGGCACTTCTTGCATCTGCAACGTTTGCAAAAGAATTTTCCATACTTTCAATGACGAATTCGGCGGGGTAAAGATTGGTTGCTCCGCATAACGCGTGGCCGCGCATTGCTCGAGAAACTTGCAGGAAGCTTTGCCACAGAGGATCAGCGCTGAGTTGATACAACGTCTTTTTCGCGGATGGGCCTGCTTCATCGTCGTCGTTTTGGTCTAAATTGACCAAAGAGCGTGGTAAGAAGATTGCGATCGACGTATGAAACGCACTTCTCCACTTTTCAAATTCTGCGCGTGTCCGGTGTAGCGAAACAAGTGGTACAGCAAACTGGAAGAACTCGAGCAAATACTCTTCACTCCATCTCTTTCCCGGAATCGCGTAAAAATTGTCTAACCCCTCTTCCCGCTTGAAGACATGCACTGGACACGCCCCCCGGGGCGCGGCAGAAGCCTTTGCGAGTCCTACATGAGCATTGGCGGTAGCCTGAGTTTTGCTGCCAGCACCATTTGCAGCAGGTGCATTGATGTCGTCATCTCCGTCAAAGCCACAGTCTGTCCCATGAACAGCAAATCGGCGCGCAACAGCCTTGTGCTCCCTCGCGTCGACGACCGCATATTGCGCGAGCCCCTGAGGCAGGTCACTACTCTTGAATTTCACGAAATTCACAAACTCCTTGTCTTTCGCTTGACATGCATTGCACCACGGGTACCGAAACAGTACAGCCAATAAGCTGCCAGCAGCAGCGAATGGCTTCGATCTTGTACTTGTGGTACTGGTACGAAAAATTCCAGATACTTCATCTTCACGTTCATTCACGGAAGTGCTTCCGCCCGTCATACCAATGATCGTGCCTTTTTCATTCTTCTTGTTCACTACCACATCAAAGAATTTTAGAAGCTTTTGTCCGCTCATGCGCCGCAAGCCCTTTCCTGATGGCAGGTCGAATTCTTCTTCACTTTCCAGATCTGGATCCTCGCGAGACCAGTCTTTTTTCAACAAAACGCCCTCTGGTGAAGCCGCTGATGCCAAAAGTCGATCCCAACGATGAGAAACGACCTTGCGCAACGTGATCTCTGCCTGCGTTTCGAGATCGGAGGATGAGGTGCTGCTAGAAGATGGGCCGGATGCAGAAGATGCTAATGCACTTGCGGTATTAGCGAGAGTAGTTTTTTTAGCGTGATTAAAGGAGGCTTGTCGTTCTATCTGCACACCAGTGAAGATTATTTTCGAACCGGCTTGCACGAATTCACGTAAATTAAGATCAATATTGCGAAATGTTATTTGCTTGCACTGTGCGGACGAGAACAGGTGGGTTTGATCTGACGCATCTTTCTCGTTTTCGGCAGCAAGCTGCGCCGGAAGAGTACTAGAGATGCCTTCAAAGGTCACTCTCACAGCGTCATCCGTTACCGTGACGGCCACTGCATTGGAAATCGACTTTCCCAAAAACGCGAGACATTCTTTCAGCTGCGAGGAAAAGGAAAGGGTCATGTAAACGTTCTCCTGCGTTTGCGCCCACGAAACCTGATAGATGAGATTTTCCAATGGCGGGAGTGGCGTGTCTGATTCAACTTCTGGATTCATCGAGTTGGAGTTGTTCGGCGTTAGATATTTGGATGAACTATTCTCCAACTTTCCTTTTGTAGTTTTGCTTTCGGCACTCTCTCCCTTCTCAGCATCTAGGCTTTTCGTTTTCCTAGCAGGAACGTCGATCGTGCTCCTCCGCTTCGCATTTGCTTTAGTACTTTCAGCTAGAGTGCTAAGTTCTTGTTCGGCTCGTCTTTCCGCTGCTGCAGCACGTGCTTCCAATTCCGCACTCCGCTTCTGCGATGCCGCGTCAGTCTTTTGTAGCTGGTACTCTTTCCCAAAGTCGCGGACCCTCTTGTTCATCCTTTCACTTGTCTTTTTACCAGCTGCATCTGCCATGTCCGATTTTTTCTTCTTGGAAGAGGTTCGTTCACGCCACTGTTGTCGAGGAGACTTGTCCTCTTTTGCTGTAGCCACTTTCGCCGCGACATCGTCACCTCCAGAAATCTGTTGCATTTGCAGGGTTTCTTTGATGTCATACAACCCTTTTTCCTGCTTCAATGTTTTCATCATTTTGTCAATAGCCTTCTGCTTCTCTGCCTTCGCAGCCCGCTCGTTGTCATCTGCAATGCGTGCTCGCTCAATAATCTCAGGCTCAAAATCCCGCACTTGTTCTAGTGCATCTTTCAAGTTCAACACACCGCTGTACCGTGTTTTTACAACGGAAGGCGACATCAACGTGGACGTTGTTGTTACTCCTGCTCCATGAGTTGAACCCGAACTCGGTGACGCGTTTTCTGATTCACCAAATAACCGTTTATGCAACCAGCGCACAAGTGACTCGACCGTGGGAAGTTCGTTTGCAGAGGTCGTTCTCATTGCTTTTCTGGCAGAAGTAGAAGAGGAAGTAGTTTTTGACGTCGAAGTAGAGGAAGTAGACAGTACTGGTCTATAGTGAAACACTCCTGGTGGTCCGCGCAATGAGGTCGTGAATGATCCAGCACCAGACGAAGAGGGATAAAAATGGAACAGGGCACCAAAATTTAGATCATCCTTCTTCTTTCCTACTTTGAAAGAGTCAGCCAACTTTTTCCCGAAGACATCTGGAGCTAGGTAGTTTTCGCTGACCTCGTAACGGAAGAATAACACTCCACCTGCGCTATTTTCGTATCCACCCGCCTTTGTATCGATTGGTACAACAGAAGTAGCTTCTGTTCCTGCTTCGCGGCTTGCTCCGTCTGATATAGCTGCACCCTGAACTTCGGCTGAGGATCCACCAGCAGGTGAGAATACTAGTGCCGTCGTATGTAAAAGCGCTTCACGCTCAAATTTCCTCGGGCGTCCCTTGTTGTAGAGCTCGATCACGACGTGACTCTGCGAATGCGCATCCAAGGTCTGCCGCAAGTGCTTCCAGGTCAACTCTCGCACAGGCGTGCGGTCAAATCCAGAGAGCTCTTCCGACTCAGTCGGACCACTCGCGTGTGCTTCCGGAATCTTTTCACGCCCTTTTGTAACGTCGCGCAGAAAGCGTCGTAACTTTTTCGGAGAGAAGCACTTCCTGAACTTTTTCAAACGCCACTCGTAGTCGGAGGTTTTGACATTAGCAGGAGGTGTTTTGGTCTTCCCAAGCCACTCAGCGCAGTTGTCGGGCATCACGAAATTTCGGCCTTTACCGAGCTCAAGTTCTGTGCGCAGACCAAACGTTGGAGAAGGATAATTTCCACGGTGATATCCGAAATCCTTCAGAAAATAGCTCCAGGTCTCATCCAAGTGCACGAATGCAACCCTCTGCGACCCAGCTGCGTCTTGACGCGAGTTCCGGATCTCTGCTGCGAAATCCATGACAACTTGACGTGCCCACGCATTCGCCTTCCCAACTAGATTTCCAGTTGAATTAGTTGATACTGCGCTAGGAAACACTGGCTCACCTGCGTCTTGCTCTTCTTCGTCGCCTAGTGCCCCTGCACGACTAGTCTCATTACTGTCAGTCAGTCTCCCTGTCGAGCTTGCGAAGGCACTAGTCGAGTTATAGTATAGCACTGCAATCCACGGATAGAAAGTTGAAGCAGATTTCAATTCTCTACGAAGAGAAAAAGAAAACGTCCGCAGAAGTGGTGCAGTCGCGGCTCGCAGAAACGATCCTACCTCCCTCGAAGAACGCAACGCGACATCAAAACTGTGCGAATCAGAGCGGTGCTGAAGCGTGTTATAGACTGTAAAGATCGATCCTGTCGTAGTTTTCTTCGGTATTGATTCTGCGCCGGTCATCTCCTGGTCTTTGCTACCCCTTAATGCCGATGGTGCGTGACACTCCTCTGCTGGAGCAACGCACAACGCAAAAACGACATTCTCACTTTGTCGCATTGACCGCGCTTCCATCAGCCAGCTACTGAACGTCTCCAACTTCGTTGATGTGCTGGTCTCAAGAACCTGCTTTAGTACTTTCGTTCCTGGACCTGACTGTGAAATCGAAATGCCTTGTTCTCTGTCTATTAGACCTCGTCCTTCATCTTTCGTTGTGGAAAAGTGTTTTCTCATGCGCTCGAGCAACGCGTGGCGCCATCGAAATAGTGTTTCCTTCGAATCTACGCTATTGACGAGATCGTTTACCGCACTTTTAACTTGTGGATCGACGATACTCAGAAGCCCAACGTTGAAGACCGAAATAACAGGCCACTTTGCGCGCGCAGCAGCCAGCTCATCGGCACTCTGTACTACGACAAATAGATCCGTATCTGCCAAGGAGAGTACGTGCTGCTCAAAGGCGTCCAAGTCCGGTTTTAGTTTGTCATCTCCTGGTGAAGCTTGGCCTCCAAGTGTTCCAGCCGAGCCAGTACTTCCTCCAGGTGATCCGGCCATAGAAAACAGATCCATATCAGACATTTGGTAGTTGTGTTTTATTTTCGTCAGGTACATCTCCGGTTCGTCGCTACGACACACAAGTAAGTTGCAGTCGTCATTGCAGTCGAGTGCACCGCGCGATACGTAGGGGCGTAAAAAATCCCGGTGCTCAGCGGCATCGAGAGTAGCTATGGCGATGTCCGGTCGAGTCCGCCGCAGGCTCTTCGCGACCTGTTCCAGTTGTAGAAGAAAAGTTATAAGATTCTAGCAGCGTTTGCGTTGTGGACACGCATATAATCTTGGAGCTAACAGGTTTTAAGATTTTTCATTTGTCTGATGTTGTGCATGTGAAAGAAGATGCACCAAAGTGAACATTTTGAATCTAATCAGCGGCCGTACCGATCGGAGCGCTTTGTCTTTGTGCAGGCATTTCGCGCACCACCTAAAGCGAGGCGCCAGCAAAATCGTCTCGGCAGTGCTTCCTCGAGATTTCTTCTTGTCAGCGAGATATGTCACGCACGACTCGGCTTCTTTTCTCGATTCTCGGGTTAAAAAGTCGGCTAGTCTCGTGCTCTTGTGTTTCTGAATCTCCAAAAAGCGATTGCGCAGACGATACCTTCGCACTGGCTCTGAAGAGGGCTTTCCCGATCCTTTGTTGAGGAGCATCACATCTCGATTGTTTGGCAGATCCACACGATCATCTTCGTCTTCCGTGCTATGCTCCCTGACGCTTGATACACCTTCGAAAATTCCCTTCTCCCAATAATGCGGGAAGCGCTTTTTCAAGCGAAGCCTAAGCTTCAAGAATTGTTGTTCTCCATCGGTCCTTTGTTGAGTCTCCTCAACTGAAGCCCCTGTCGCGTCGATATCTTCGACAAATTCCAAAATGTCTGCGCATTCTGGTAGGCCGAGCCCAATTTCCCCTAATACTGGATGCTCCTTTTGGAGACAGCGGTGGTCGGTGCTTCTGATCTCCACATCAACGATCAAGGTGTCTCTGGTCTGCGAGAAACGGCCAGTGATGTGAAGCTGTTTTGAAACATCGATGCTATCCTTGAGGGCATTAGCATCAACAAGGAGCGAGACTCCAATGAAAAACCAAAAGAAGAGGTTGCGGAACCCGCAACCCAGCAAGGACGACGAGAAACGCGGCTCCATCGTACTACTAGCTAATGCCAATTACTAGCGCCTGCCAACGAAAGTCACAGTGCAACTGCCCCAGCAGACGAAGAAATTCTAAGATAAAGACGAACCGACTGATTCTATTTTTCGTTGTTTAGCAGCTCCCGCTCTCGGAGATCATTATTGCGGAGAGACAGTCCGCTATCATTTATCCCTTTGAAAAGACCAAAAAACGAACACATTGTCAATTGAATCCTGTCCGCAGCTCGAGCAGAAACGCCCTGTTGAAGATATTCCGCAAGCTTTATCATATATCTTCCATGTCATTATATATTATACTACATGAAATCTATACAACAGAAATGAAATAAACGATACTCACTCTATGACGTGCGGGTGAACCGCGGTGCTCACATCTTGTCCAATTTTTTGAGTCATCCGCCGATAGGTCATTTGTTTCTTCTTTCAAGTCCATGACACTTGGTAGCAGTGAGGCCAGCATCGATGGGTACTTGGTACCATTTCTGCGGCCCGTCACAATCATCTATCATTAACAAGCTGCCAGAGGGATATATTCTCAAACTATGGCAGGGTGGAAAAGGGTTTCCTACTTATTCTTCGTAGCACTACTTCTATCTGAACATTTACATTATCTAAAATCTGTATGTGAACCTTGAAATTGGATGAAGATGAGTCGAACTCTTAGTACTACAACGACATCTGATTTCCCTTTGCATTTCATGCCTGTCCTCTCTTAACTTATTCATCAAGTATGTCTTGAAGCAGAGAAATTAGTGCTTGAACAAACGACTCTAAATTTACACGACCTATCAAGTACCTATTTTATGCTCTGATATTTCCTATGGGCAGCAATCCTTTTTTAGACAGCCCAAAAGCGGATCACACTTCTTATTCTTCTTCACTGCAGTGTTGAGGTCCACCGCCTCACAGATGCCTAAGGCAACCGCGCCCTCGATGCACGTGAGGTCCTTGATCGTACTCTGCGCCTGCATCGCCGACACCACTTGAGGTGAATTAGAGCTCCTGATTTTGCTCATCAGAAACCTTCTTCAACAAATTATAGCAATTGGAAGTAACTAAGTCCTTGATATTGCATTTTCAGCGTGGGAAATTCTAGTACTGTTCATGATTAGGCAGAAAAGAAATCTTCTCAAACGAGCCATAAGCACGAGCTTCCACGGCCCGACCCATTTCAGTTCGTCACGTTGGTTCCGGAAACAGCCGAACAGGTCCTTGGTAGCCTTGTCTTTAGCCAACATGGCTTCGTCCAGCACGGCACCAGTAGCGCCCCCAACACTCTGCCCACCACAGCGGCAGCTCCCGTCTGCCGGTGTCGGCTGAAATACCCTCAATTTCCGCGACGCCAGCTCTGGAACCTCTGCCACAGGCCGCCAACGAGTGTCGAACTTCGGTGAAGTGCACTCGGGTAGCATGCCGACCAACGAGTCGTCGGTCTTGAAAGTATCTGATGTGCTTCATGTATGATTTATATATATACTTTCGCGGAGTCTAGTGGTGGAAGGCGTAAAAACTTGGCGCAGGCGGCCCCTTGCGCTTCTCTGCGTGTTCCTCAGGGAACTCCTGGCCCCTGCTGACCCTCGCAGGCGGGAGGTCTCCGGGGTAAAAGGCCGCCGAAGTAGGCGGCCAAGGTCGCAAGAGCCAGCAAGCCGATGACCAAGGGCCCGGAGGGTACAGGCCTCACGGCTCAGGGGGTCCAGCCCTCGCTTTTTGGCGCCTTCGGAGGCCTTCCAAAACCGGCGCACTGCTGCGGCGGCGAAGCATATCGGAGGCACTTAGGGCACAGGCAGGCACCTGGAAAGGGGCGCAGGCGGTCCCTTGGGCCCCTTTTGAAGCCTCCCACCTAGATCGGAGGCCTGTAAGGAACAGCCAGGCAGCTGGAGGGGAGCGGAGAGGTAACTTGGCCCCCTTTTGAGGCCTTCCACCCCCGGCAGACGCCTTAAAAAGGGGTCCGGGGCGGCACGGTGCCCCCCCTACGCTAGTGGGGGGCACCGTCGCCCCGCGCCCTGGATCATATACAATTGAAAAAAGAACTACGGATATCGTTCCATTTCCAACATAGTGCATTCTTCTATATCATCTGCATGTTGCAATCAGTCACCTTCAATAAATTATTACTGCTAAAAATAATGAAATTACGTAAGAGTAAGTAAGTAGTACTCTCCAAAGTTGAGTGGAGCGCGTTGTAGATCTGCTTCATCATATCGGGGAGCGCGGCTTTTTTGCCCTCTTTCATAACGCTGTCCTTCAGTTTTTTCTTGATTGCCGCTATGGCGGACATATGATCCGCGGCCTCGCGCAGTAGCCCCATGGAGTCTACAGCTTTCGATGCTGCATTTGGAGACAGAGATGGTCCAAACGGATACGGAAGCTGCTGTACTGCACCGGCGGCAGCGCTACCGTAGAGTGGACCGACAGGCGGAACCACTGGAGCCAGGTTCATTTGCCCAAGATATGAAAGGAGAATTTCTCGCTTGTAAATTGGCTTACTCAAGCTCAACAAGTAGTCCTACAGATCCACCTAATACAAAGGCCATGTAATTGAGGACATCGACACGACGCGCTGATGATACAACTTGTTGAAATCGAAAATGAAATCAAGAAATGAAATCATATGAATTGGTCCAAGGGCGTGACTTTCATCTTCATCTGTGCTTCGAGATCCTTGCGAGCGTCAGCTGCCATGCGCTGCTGGGCCGCGTCCAGGCGTTCCTGTCGAAAGTCTGGACTGTAGGCTCCATTCACGGCGCCGGAATAAGCCCCCTGTGGATTCAGATACTGCAGCGGCTGCGTCAGAGCTGAGGCGGGGTAGCCCGGAAGTGGCGGCTGGAGCGGAACCGATGGCGTCGGTAGTGCACCAAGAGCACTCTGCCCCTGAGGCGCAAGGGCTGGCGCTTGCGATACCAGCAGCAAATTGGCGCCTGCGCCTCCTTGAGCCGATTTCTTCTGTACTACAGCTTTATTCGCCTGGTCAACATTCGACTTTCCGCCAGAGCCCGCATTCTGTGTTTCGACTACGACATTCATGGTTTTTGAGACCATGGGCGCTGCCGCAACGCCGCCTGAATGCTGATTCATCAACGACGCTGCATTCACTGCACTACTGACGGCTCCCTGTGGCTGCAAAATTGCACTCGGCAGCATATCAGCCGCCGGCTGCGGAGATGCACCTGGCTGGAAAGCAAGTGGCTGAACAGCGCCGGGCTGCAACAGTTGCGGACCACCTGCCTGTGCTGGTTGCGTCTGTGGTTGGGCTTGTGGCTGCGCGCCGGCGCCAGCCTGAAGCGATTTGAGCAAATCCGCCGTGCTTTGGAACGCACCCGCTGTCTGCACGCCGCCATACGGTTGCATGTTGTTTGGCGCAGCAGACATCGCACCTACGCCCTGTCCTGTTGCTGAGCTCATCAGATAGCGTCGCTTCGACTCCACTGGTGTGAGCGCGACCATGTAGACGTCCTCTTCGCAATCTGGCACCAAGTCGACCGAAACGACGAAGTGCGTGCCTTTCTTCTTCTTGATAGCGTCTTTTACAGCCAGACTAGCAAGCCAACGTGGTGTGTCCACTTGGCTCTTCTTCTGCACGGAAAAAGGCAGCTCTGCTTCTCGTCTCCCCTTTTTCTTGCCGGTGACTGGTTTTGCTGCGGGAGGCGCCGCCGCTCCAGGTTGCTGCAAGAAAACGCCCTGCTGTGAGAAAGGGTGCAAGTGCAACTGGGTAGATACTTCTTCGTCCTCTTCTTGATGATCTTTGCCTTCGACGCCTGCCAGATGCTGATTACGTGTACTCGTTCCATCGTAGAGGAAGTGTTCTGTTGCGATAGGTCGGCGCAACTCTTCTTTGTCTTTACCGCTTGCATCCCCCTTGCGGCCGTGGACAAGCCCCGTTTGTGCCTGCAAAAGCGACGGCGCTGCTGTCTCTTCAGCAGAATCCTCTCCCGCGACTTGGTAGAAGTAGTACTCTGTCTTGCTCCTATCACCCGTTCTCTCTGCTCCGGCAAGTCGCGTTGCTTGAAAGGTAGCTGCGCCACTAGTTCCTTTGCGCAGAGTATGCCGCGTGATTATCAGCGAAAGGGGCTGCGCCGACTTCGAGGCTACGTGATGATCCTCTGAAAAATGCCGGAGGAGACTGATAACATCTCCCCTAACATGGGCAGGAGAGTCTGTTGTTGTTCTGCTTCGCGCACGCCCACCAATTTTCCGACGAAATGCTTCTACTCGAAAAAGCTCTGAGCATAAAAACGCGCACAGCACCAACGATTTTGTGATCTTACCGCCGCATGCTCGGCTATTCCGCGAAGAGGGGCCGCCATCTACGGCCCACCCCCAACCTACCATTTTGTCAGGGTGGGAACTTCTGTGCCCACTGAATTCCCGGTAGCATTTATCAATTACAACAGAAAACAAAAAGTGAAATTTGATAGGACAAGCTAGTCCTCAAGGAGGAACGATAAAGACACCTTTTATGAATTTCTATAAAGTTTGTGTGACCCTGTCCCCAACATTGTCTTTGGCTATGCGATTGCGAACTTCTCCAAAGCGTCCTCATCACGGCAGCTTTTCAAAGCAGCACCTGCGCGATTTTTTCATTCGATACATCGTTAAGCAAAGCCATTTATTGGGAGGTCCCCTGGCTTTGGCCCCGATCAGTCAGAAATATAAACTAACCATGGATGAGCCGACGAGTATTTTCGATTGCGATGCAAGCTCGAGCCATTGGATATTGTTCTTATGACCGTAGCGTCAGCGTGTTTGTGCTTATGCAGAATCAACTTCAGCAGCTGCCTGGAGGTGAATATTGATGTCATGATGGGCCTTATCCGAGTCCGTGTCATCTATACATTTATCTGTGCATCATGAACCAAGGTTTGTTTTCGTATGCTGTACAAAAATGTAGCTAGGTATTAAAGCTCTCCGCTGTACAACAAGATATGAAGAATTGTATGAGTCTTATCCTCCGAAAATGACTTTCATGCACAACATCCAAGAATGCCGCTACTCACTTCAGCATGATGTTGATGCTGATGAATGGAAAAACGAGCATAGGGTCGTAGTGTAGTTATATAAATATATCTTTGATTTCATTGTTACGACCTATGCTGGCATCTACATTGTAATATCGCATAAAAACTGTTATATCGACCTCTATTTTTCATTACAGATAGTACACATACATTTCTATCATTGTAATAAATTTTGTCTCAGAAGATTTAGATTCCTTAAGTAGGTTACCGAACTTCAGATACTGGTAGCTCGTGAAGAACTACTGACAGACTTGACGTGCCTGTATTATTTCTTATTTGCTTCGAGTTCGATTTATCTATTCTTAGTAGGATGAAATGGAGAGTATCAGCATCTATTACTGAGAAATATTCGTGCGTTACACGTGGCATCTTGGATGCTGTCCCCGTTCTCAGATGCTTATTCGATTGTGCCCCGTATGAAATGATCCAGTCCTGATTTTGCATCTTTCCATCTAAGTACTTAATCCAAAAATGTGACTCGTGTGCTGTAAATACTGAAAAAGACTCTGCATTAGAAACCGTAATTCTGGTAAGTTGTAATCATTGTGGTAATCTCTTTGTTGTTGTTGTTGCTCCACTGCCCCACCACGACTTCAACTCTTCTTCACAACAAAAATCGTGACGGGTCTGTTTCTGTCATACCACCACCATCTTCAAAGGAGCCTTTTTACACGCTGCTGTGACCACTGCTAGCGGCCGGTGCATCGAGCGCCTCCTGATTCAGGCATACCGGACCGCCATCTGCACGCCGCTCTTGCGCTCCTGTCGGATGCTCGTTGAAGTAGACAATGACCGGCACTTTGGATGACGAGGCTGGTTGTTCGTGCGCGTCCTGATGATTGGTGCTCCCTCCCCCAGCAGCAGGCGCAGCGTTCGGATTGTACCAGGCGCACCCCGTCGGCGCATCAGCCAAAACGACGCGCTGCTGCAAAACGTGGACCTTGTAACTGCCGATCTTCATGCCGTGGAGGCGCAAGCACTTCGACTTCGGCACGACGCGGCTTGGGTCACAGCTCATTGATGTTGCCATATGACCAGCGTGATGTTTGTTGCCAGATTCATCCATCACCTCCGTTGTTCTTTCTACTGGTACAGCTGGTAGGTTTTGTTCAGAGGAAAGTCCACGATCTTGATGTTGTGTCACTGAGGACAACTTGTAGTGCTTGCTACCATGGTCTCCGCGAATCGCGTGGCGACTACTTGTTTCAGCAAGCGCGACACTCAGTCCCCTGCTTTTCTCTACGCTCTCCTCGGCATGCTGCCCTTTCACTTTCTGAGGTGTTCTACCTGCTGATGAAGCATTGGCTCTAGAGGACGATGAATGATTATCCTTTCCATGGTCGCTGTTGTCCTGCAAAGAGGTACCTGCTGCGGAGAGAGTGGAGATACTAGACGATGGGGCAGTATCTTCTTCATCTACTGCAGCGTTCTCACCGAATTTCGAGAGGAAGTCCTTGTTCTTCTTTGCTGAAGAGCTTTGATCTTGCAGCTTCTGAAGTGCCTCCCACTGCTTATCAATCTCCTTTCTCCTGTTTTCGATACCCAAGAAATCCACATGTGGCGTCCCACCTGCAACAACAAGTTATGGTGAATCATCTGTATTCAAAAGCAAGGACAAGCGTTCGGTTTTTTATCGGGCCAATATATATTCTCAACATGCAAGTGAACGAAGACAAAGTCGTGAAAATACTCTGATTCGCTTCGCTTTAGCTGTGGCTGTCAGTATTTAGGAATAAGAATTAAGTTTTACCCATTTTCTTGCCTAATGCAGCGAGTGTTTTCTCTTCCAACCTTTGTTGGGCGTCCAGCATTTCCGTTTGTTCGCTCTGGCTCCTGAGTTTTTCAGCTAAACGCGCGATGGTGTCCTTCGCTTTCTCGGATGCTGCTTCGATCTGCTTCTTCTGCACTTCGTGCTGCTTCCACGACAGTTCCACGTCATGCTCGAAGCGGTGCTTCTCTCGTTCTAGACTCGCGAGAATTTCTTCAGAAGAAGCACTAGAAGCACCAATCTCGTTCGCGGCTTTCTGGAGCGCCTCGCTGGCGGCAGCTGAAGCTTCTGGGGACGTCATGGATGAGCGTAGTCCGCTCACTGTGGCGCCGAAGGAAGGCAGTGCGCCCAAATCAGCCATGCCTAACTGCATGTCTTGCGGCACCTTCGCCTGGTGCGCATCGGCCGCGGCTGCACTGCTTCCTTTTGCGGACGCACCACCGTTAGTTGAGCTAGTGGTTTGCTGCGCGCCGTCCTCGGCAGCGTCCGAGAAGACTCGTCGCGATTCCGCAAGTGCTAGTCCGCCACCTAGCAAAGAGCCTGCGGCATGATGCTGTAGGTTAGCCAATGGTTGCCGAGGTTGTCCGGCGAAATCCTCGAGGCCGTGCTTCATCGCGGACAGCTGCGCAGCGTCCGGTACGGCATGAGAGTTGTAGTAGATGGGGGATGACGTTGGAGCAAGCTGGACCTCTTGTAGTCCATCTAGCGACGAGCCTTCCAGTCCAGCAATTGATGAAAAAGAAGAGGTACTACTTGCTCGAGTAGATACTGTCGGAGGCGTCGAGGCCAAAAATTCTGCTGAAGCAGCTCCATGAGGATTGTTTGGCGAAAGAGCACTCCCTGTCACAAGCTGGGACATGAGGGACGTAAGCTGTGCCTGGGATTGCGTGTTGGCTGTTTTGACAGCTGCCATCATTTCTTGCTGTTTTCGGATGTGATCCTGCATGTCATGGATCGCGTTCACCAACGGCGCTGTATTCAATGGCTGCAGCCATGAGGCCTGTTGCTGTGCATACGCTTGCTGTGCGGCAAATGGATTCATCGGTTGACCGGGCATTCCGGGTGGTGTAACTGGCATGCCATATGGCATCGCGGGTGAAAAGCCCGGGCCTCGTGCTGCCATCGTGTTGTAACTTGAAGCAAACGGGCCAAGTGGTCCAGAAGAGTTGGGCGTCATCGCGCCAGTCACCGGTGTGCGCGAATGAGCATTCGCATTTCCGCTAAGACCAGCAGTAAACGTCGCGATATTTGGTGCCCTATTGGGAACGAACGGTTGCCTCGAAGACATGGCAGCGAGGTTCTGTTGAGGGAAAAAGCCAGAAAAAGGCGTCAGCGGCGATTGCTGATGCTGCTGCAACTGCTGCTGAAAGAGAGTCGTCGGGACGACAGACGCTCCGTTTTGTGCGAGGCTGATTCCGCCATGCATATCATGTGGAACCTTTGGTTGATATTTGCATGCATGCTACAGCTTTGCCAATAGAGTTTCCTCGCATTTTTACACAGAAGATTCGGATCATGTGTTATATCCGAATAACTTTCACAGAATGAATAACTTTCACAGGGCCACCGGCCGGCAGGGGTGGCCCTGGTGCCCACCGGCGGCAGGGGTGGCCCTGGTGTCAGCGCCCTGGTGTCATTGCCCCGGCGCTGCCCCCGACCGACCGACCGACCGACCTTTTACTGAAATCACATACACATAGGAAACTACATTTTTGAGAAAGTAGTTTCATACCTCAGACACTCCAGTAAGAAGCCCAGATCCCATGAGCTTCATTTTTGTTCCTGACGATGCTGCATGTGCAACAGCTGGGGTTCCTGCACTCGCGTGTCTATTCGCAGCTTCTCCGATCAAGCAGCCAGCATCGGCCTTCCTCATGCACGACACCTTGTTGTCCACCGATTTGTTGCCGAGTACTCTATGCGTTTTGTAGAGACAGCAGACACTCGAAACGATGCTGTGATCCAGCGCCCGGCATCCGTGTGTTCGGTCGCAGAGCCGCTTGCATTCCCCCACCGTCTCTGAAAAGGAGCACTTCGCGAAATCCGGTGACAGAGACCCCGTAGTAGTCTGCCACTTCTCCTCAGCAGCATAGTCCTCCACGCGGTCGGATCCATGCTCGTTCCGGCAATAGCCCGCTTCCTCCTTCTGGTACGAGCAAGCCTTCGTTGATGAACTAGCAGAACCAGAAGAAGATGAACTAGAGGAAGTAGACGACGAAGAAGAACCAAAGCCGTTGGCCATTTCGGCTGCAGTGAGCTCCCGGCGCCCAGTCTCGCTCAATGTCGGACCGCCGCCGCTTGGCAAAGTCGGATACATCCCCCAGTCGTTACCTTGCGAAACAACACGCGTTACGCAACAATGATAGGAGAAAACAGTCATCAACGTCTCGTCACGAGTAGAGCGAGAGCAAATAGCAACAAGAGGAACTGTTGAGTGCATAAACAGGCGTCAAGCGACATCATCCACTTTCATCAGCAGTAAAAAACATACTTTTCCAAATTTATAACAAACTCATACCTCCTCCGGAACCCATGCTACTACCACCGCCGCCAGAACCCATGCCACCGCCGCCCATACCCATTCCGCTTCCTCCGCCGCCGCCCCCTCCCCCACCAAGGAGTGAGTTCAGAGCTGACGTTGCGCTATTTAGACCGTTTACACTCGCTTGATTGGCTGGACTGTAGATCACAGGAGTTGACTGACCCAGTGAAGGTGCAGCAGCTGCATTTGCTGTTGCATTGGCTTTGTCGTCGGCATCACCAGGAATGTCGCAATCCATCATACCGCTGACAGCTTTTTTCAATCGCAAGAGAGCAGTGTCAGCGCCTGACCTCGCCTTCTCGATCTTCTTCAGTGTCTTTGTAACCTCCGAAATTGCAGTTGACCCCGCCTGGTGTGAGAAGCGTTTGCTGATGTAATGATCATGATAAACAAGAACAAAGCAGGAACTTGGAATTCGGTTTCTCGTCTTTCCTTATCATTTTTGTCTACTTGTTCATGCTCAATATATAATCACACTGAAATTTCCTAAAAACAAACATCATTGGACAGCAAATGAGTACCGACTCCCATGCATCGCTAACGCCAGAATCGCCCTCTTTCCATTTTTTTAGCATCTCCTCGTTCTTCAATGCGGCCTTCTGCACTTTTTCCGGGTTCGAAAAAGGTCCCGCTCCGTTCACAGCTGCTAAGTACATCATCCCTCCGCTCGGATCCATGTCGGGGCGGGCTAGAGTGGCGACCTGGTGAAAGTATGCAAATACAACATTCAGGATAGCGGCTAAGAGTACGAGTAGGTAACTCTTCAGACAGCTGCAGGTACAACTACAGGCACGTCAAGCAGTATTACGCAACTACTCCATCGAGCTTACCATAGTCTCATCATCAGCGCCAAGTTTTGGTCGGACTTTTCCGCTAGGAAGTGGCGGCAGACCTCTTGGCTGCGGCACTAGTGCTTGGTTGCCCGCTGCTGCTGCGCCTGTCCCTGGGGGAACCATCGACGGAGGCGGCTGGAAGATGCCGGCGGGTGAATAAGAACCTCCCATGTTGCCCATGGGCGCAAACTGTTGGGCCGCTGCGAGCTGCTGCGCTGGCATACCCATTCCCTGCGCCCACGCAGGTGGAACGCCGCCTGATGCGACGGCAGCTGCTGCCGCTGCCATATTCGGATTGACTCCGCCCATTCCACCCGTGTATGCGCCCACGTTGTTGGAGTTCATGCCTGGCATGGCCCCAGGTGGCACCTGTCCCTCCTTACTAGTTGCCTCAGAGGACATCTCGGCCGCAGATTTCGACGATGTCAATGCAGAAGCCCCTGCTTTAGTACTCGACGACGCGGCAGATGCAGAAGACGCCACAGCAGACGCAGACGCTTTGTTGAGTGACGAGGAGGCTTGGATGAGTTCTAGATTCTTCGCCCCTCCGACTGCATTTTCCTGTGCGATCGAAACATATCCTGCATCGTCGGCGTCTGCAATAGCACTCGGGGTCGCAGGTTCTGTTGCGAGTCGAGTCGATGTTTCCGAATCAACGAGTATTGTATCTTGTTGCTTCTTCAACGTGGTGCCATCAAGGGATGAGGCGGTGACGAGCGGCCCCACGACAAATGTTGACGAAAGGACACAACGCCGCACGACGCTGCGGCTCTGTGCTTGGTGAGCGGCGAAAGCCGCCCTCGCGTTTCTCCTAGCCATCTGCCCCACGCTCACTTATGCAAACCTTACAGTGCATCTGGACAAAACGGAAAAGAAATCAGACAACTGACAGAACAATCAACCTGACACAAACGGCCAGACCAAGAAAGCAAATGAAGCACAAAAGTGTATTGTATGAATGAAAGTTTGACGTCGACATCAAAATCCTTTTTCGCTCTCAACAACTATGTGCACTCGGACTCGCGGCCGCAGAAGCGTCCGTTCTCTAGTAGTACATCATGGCAGTCATTTTCATTTTTCGACGACTCTTTCTTCTGTGTGATCAGACACTTCTTTATTCGCAGCCAATTTTTCGCTTCGGCTCCTCACTTCAATATTCTGTTCTCTCGCGCTTGTCAGTCAGTATTTTCATTTTGACGAGATGGCTATCCGCGTCTCACGACTCGTCTCTCAGCTTGGTTGGTTGATGAATAAGTTGCTGTGTTGCCCTCAAGAAAAACAAATAGTTTGTTCGACCTGCTCCTGACCTTTTCGATTTCACGATTTGAAAATTGAATGGGCAAAAGGAAAATACGCACTCATTTCATAACTATGGACCCTTCGAAACGGCAGAGCCAGTGGCGTGAAATTCGCGACTGCCTTGTCCTCTGCTGTCGCTGTATTAGAAATAGGAACGAATCTTGGCGTGTAGAAGTTTTCAGTCTCATCGTCATCGTCGGGTTCGGTCTCGTGATGAAAATAACAATACCAACGGTTTTGGTTTCGCGATCGCGTGTAATAAGAATTAATGAGTATATAGATTGATGAGTAAGCAAACGAAACACAAACAAAGCATAGTGAATATGTAACTAGTGCAAGTGCATGCACGCTTTTTTTGCACAAGCACGAATTGAATGAAAGTGCGAGCTTAGAAGCAGTTATCGGAACATTTACATGGCTATCGCCATAAATGAGGATGAATGACATGTACGTAGAAGGAAGACTAAGACAATATATCATGGTTAATTTCAGGACCTATTTTCATGCGAGCCATGGCGGATGCTTTAATTTCAAACTCGATCAACATCGATATGCAAGTCAGTGCAAAAAATAAGACGATGACGCAACGATGTCGATGACCATGCAACTGTAATCAAAAGTAAACTAATACGAATAGATACTAATAAATATGGACCGATTTCTGTATGGGGATAACAAGCGCAACATGCTTGCCTTTATGAAAATCAAAAGGATTTGGAGACCAGTGAAAACTAGCCACGGAAGCCGCGCAGGGAAGACCCTACCTCTCAGTCTGTATTAGACAAACGGCAGATAGTCCTCTGGTGTCGGAGCCTTCATACCAGCTAGATAGTTACTCCCACTTGCAGCTACCTTATCCTTGTTCTTCTTTTTGTCCTTCTTCCCTGACTTCTTTGCATTCGCCAGCTCGGTTTTTTTGAGCTCATTGTATTCTTCGCGCATGTCAATGAATTGAGATCCCTGTTCAGCATTATTTTTCGCCATTTCGAAGTCGTTGTTTCGAATGACCCAGTAACGCCAATGTCTGTCTGGGGGGAACTCCAATAAGTCGAGCTGCGCTGCTTTGCGTTCTGCCTGAACGTAGATGTTGTTCATGAGCGGACCCGTGCCTTCGCTCCAGAACAAAGGCTTACCGATACTATTCGACCACAGGTGTTTTGTTGCATGGTACAAGTAGTCCTCGCAGTAGGTCTCGCCTGCTTGATGCGGTGTTGTGCTATACACATCTCGAAAATCGATCACCTTCTTTTTGCGCGCCGTAAAGTACTGCTCGGGCAAAACGGTGTCGCGGGCTAGTTCGCTCTTTGTTTTCTGTTCCCCATCAAAGGCACTATTCAGGAAAATTTGACTCCAAACAGAAACATCATTCACAGCAACTAATGGGATTGCTGCCGTGTAGCACGCTATGTCGCCAGGAAAAAGTTGTGGCGTCTCGCGGCTCTTCTTCGTCAACAATGTGGAGAGATAGACGCACCACTTGTCGGGCAGCACGAGCGCAAGTGTTCGACAAGGCACTTTCTCCAAGTCCTCCTCGATACCTTAGAGAGATGAACAGGCTCAACTTCAGCATCTTTCTTCATGAAACTTGCTGTTAGTTTCTTGTTAGTTACAAATACAAGTGCACGCGAGAGATAAACTACTGACTCGTACCCATTCTGAGTAGTTGGTAGTACTTCATCTACTTGACATCTAGATTTAGTGCTGCAATATGGTGCGACAAGAAATTTGGCTGATAATACGATAGCTAGGCGGAAACACTTTCACAATGTTTTAGTTTGCGTCATGGTCATAAGTGTCCAATAATTTTTTCGCTTTCGCCGCAGCTGCATTTCCCCCATCTCCGACGCCCATAGTGCTGAGCTGCTCCTCCTCTTGCGCCCGTTTTTCTCGCAGCTTCCTACGACGCTGTCGCTCCTCATCCGGTAGGCCATAGTCTTCATCGAATTCAGGCGTGGTACGAAAATCCAGATCTTCAAGTAGCGTTCGCAATAGCCTAAAAACTTTAATGTAACTGCAAGTGGCGTCGTGTCGCATATCGACAACGTCCTCGTCAATTACTAGCGTTTTCTTCGCTTCGAGTGCCCAGGCAGCCTGCTCGCCACTGCAACACGCAACGTGATACACGTAGTCCTGATCGTGATACGAAATTAGTCACGATGAAAAAAGCAGGTAGACATGAAGATACCAGATCAAGGGTCTCTAGCCAGAACGAACAGCTCTACAACTTCGTTCCTCTACCTCTCACGAAAAACGCCAAATGATGTTGAAAAATCAGTAGGCAGTACTGGTTGCCAGCCTCGCTCTTTCAACTGCTTTCCTGCATTTATCAGATTCGGCGGATCATCTGCTTCTAGATCTCTCAAGTCCCGTTTGTCATGATGGTCTCGTTCCTTCATCAGTTTGAGAAAGTCCATTTCGTTGCACATGCTATAGTTCTCTTTGCTAAGTCGCATCTGTAGAGAATGCCGCACAGGCGGCGGTTCTTCTTGAGCCTGGTACTGCGCGGTTATCCCATGATGCGCTGCGCGGTCCTTCTCCCAAGACTTCTTGGCCGCCTCATAGAGGCCATAATGAATTCGGCTGCTAGTCCATGGAGGGTCTGGCCTACAACCTGGGCACGATTTCGAAGATGAAGAGCTACTAGGGATGTATTTTCTTTCTTGCGATTACTAGCCGGGGGACCCTAATCATGAATGACGAGTTCAATATTTATGTTTCTACTAAGTACTAGATCGATAAAACTGGAGGTCTGTCCTGGGACAGTAGTTGGTACCTTTCTTCCATGCCTTTTTCCTTTGCACGTAGTCTAGCAAGCCCTCCGCTCCATCGATAGCGTGCCGTGCTTCTTTCCTCTGTTCCTTTGTCTTACGGCTTCGAACCTTCACCTGTATTTCACCCACTTGCTCGTACTCCGACTCACTATCTCCTTCGCTGTCTGACGGCTCGTATAGGTGATTTTGGTCCTTTGCCGGTATTCGATAGAGCAAAAATTTTACATTCTCTGCGAACTGGCCCTCGCGGCGCGCGGTCTCAATGTTCCGAGTCATCCACTTTCTATACAATGCTCGCATCAGCTGCGGCGTCACCTCTTCAATGCCCCAAAGATCGTAGACACACTGCAAACCGTACTCTTTCAATTTCGCTTCCCGAGCGATCTAGGATGAATATGAATTGCGATTTAGACTTTTTACCACATTTTTTATTGACCTGTTGATTAAAATGAAGTTACTGCGCGCATGCGCCTGCGTTGCGCATTAGATCCTCCCTAGATCATTCAATCATGTATCGAGAAAACTAAAATCAAAATCTATCTACTTAGCAGAAGCCTAGACTCACGTGCTCCTTAACATCACAACTTCTCAAGCAAGATTCATGAACAATCTAGAGTACCGAGAGCACGTCGTATGCTTCTTCCCCATCTCTAAAGGCTCGCTTGCCCCTTTCGTGTACGTGATCGCGAAACAGGTGATCGCACAGCTTTCGGACTCGTTTGTAGAGGAGATAGGTTTGGATCTTAGTCCACCAGACAAAGACTTTCGCAGCGGCGAACTCACGTTCTTCATCGGTGTACTCTCGCTTCACTGGCTCGCTCCCCGATTTGTTCTTGTCAGAGTCGCTCTGCTTACCATCTGCCTTTTTTGTATCGGCCGGCTTTTTTGCGGCGCCCTTCGCGGCCGGCTGCTTCGCTTTCGGTGCCATAATGATTATGCTTTTCGTTCGCTGCAACCGTGGTTTTTACCAGACACGAAGGAACTGACTGTTCACCAGCTGCTAGACGAGAGGACGCTTCCCGTGGGGATCTCGCCTGTACGCAGATCCCGAAGCACGTGGACGGGACTGCGCATCTTTTTGCTTTGTGAGTGATGTTGCTTATGCTTGAGCTTGATGTATCTTATCTACTTATAATGCATCAGCAATAGTCTCTAGCTAAGTACAAAGAATCAAGACCACTGCCTGGCTCTACTGGTCTGTGCGAATTGAACAGAGTCTGAGGAGAACGCAGAGATGGAATAAGCAGTTCGCGTAGCCCAAATTTATCGCCAACATACTGCTCCAATAGGAAAACGCTACAGCAAGGGAACTGTGGGTGTAGCGCATGATTGAGTGCCGGACCAAGAAGGAAACCGATTGTTTACAGCCTTTCCGAATGAGTGCTGCAGAAACAGAAAGCAGGCTTAGAAGCATTGAAACCGACACCAGAATCCATCACATTTGATTTCAACACAGAACTCTACCAACATCACTGCTGAGACTGACAAGCATCGGTAGACCGAGGTGTTTTTGAATCGTCCACGTGGTGCTCTCAGGACTCTACACTAAACTTTCTGTTGACCGACTCTACGTGTTCACGGATCTTGTTCTTCTGACAGAAACAGGTGGACGAGGCCGCTCTATACCGACGAATGCCGTGTTTGTCTCTGTTCCACTGCTCCAGTACATTTAACTCAGACGGATCCTGAGCATAGCTGGCAGCTGCGCAACAATGAGTGACAATGAAGCTGCAACTCAGAATGATTATGAGAATGATCTTGATCTTCCTTTCGTCGATAAAAAGTTGACCTCATTGATGTTGTTCGTTTTGGTTTTCCGCGACAGTATTACAATTATTTCTATTATTTCAGAGTTTCATGACTAATATAAGTACCTCCAATGTTATTTCTACTACATAAGCCCCGCGCTGTTCTGGATGCATTGATGTCCTACAACAGAATATTTCATGTTCTTCAACACCTCCCGAGGTTGCCATTCGTAGTATATACTGGAAACAATCAGGAACCTACATATACAAGACCAAAAACTATACATTATTACAATCAAGCTACACTATACATAGGCGAGCACGAATTTTTGAGATGTTGACCCTTCACTTTTACAGCATATTGCATGCTTGCTAAGACGCGATACGGACAGCATGACAAAGATGAATCCACCTAGTATGCAGTAATTGTAATGCGATCTCTAAGAAATCGAAATCGGTAAGAACAGATTCGGGATGCAACAACCTGTAGAATATTCTCAAGACGGCACAGCTCCAGTACACAACGTCTCATTGAATGCTGACTTGGCATCGATGTAAGTGAATCTATCGTCATGTCGATGCCTCTGTAATGTTGAATGAACAAAAAACATTTTCGTGTAAAGTCTTTAAACTAGCGAGCCCGCGACACCCGGGTCGTATTCGGTTTCATCGGCGACACGTTGTATAAGGTTGGAGAGAAGATCCCGCCAGCACCCGTATCGCATGTTCCCGTGCATGCAGCGGGTACACTGCAGCAACCCATAAGGAACGGATTCGAAGAGAACCAGCCTGAGAGTTTTTTCGTCAGGATGAAAAAAGTTGAACCGCACTCATAGTGCACAATGACGATGTAGAAACTTGCGAACTTCTACTGGATTTTCTGTTCTCGATGCTTGTCTCGTCTTGATGAAAGTGTTTTTTCTTGTGCGGATTTACACTCCTCGTATTGTCGTTTTCGTGATACATTTTTTTACCTCTAGTACTAGTATTGTACGCGTCTGTTGTAATCGATACTGGAGAGGTTGATGATGTTCTTTGCGGGCACCCATGTTGTTGGAACCCTCTTTTTGTGTTTTCAATTTTCTGACTTTTGGATTTACTTGACCACGCAACCCCAACCCTTCTTGTAGGACTAGCATTCTTCGTGTCGTAGTGGTCTGAAGGTGGATGTTGGAAAGCTCCACTTTCAAGTTCAAAAGGATCGCCTCCTTTCTCCCACACGCGATGAGATTGCTCATCCTCCTCGGAATCGAACTCGTGATCGACCCCACTTCCAACATTGCGACTCGACGGCTTGCTTGTGGGAGTCGTCGCGTTGGTCCTGCTAGTGTGGTTCCACTTCTCAACGACATTTTGTCCACCGTTGTCTTCTCTGCTCTTGATGTTCATCGGAGTCGAGAAGGACCACGGGTCTGTATTCTCATATTCTATTGAAGAGGACGAAGATGTGATTTTCTTATGCGCAGAAGTCTGTCCGTTTCCACACCTAGGGCGATTTCTAGAAGAAGATGGAAAAGAAGAAGCAGGAGCGGATGCTGTAGTACCTCCTGCGGCACTTCCTTTGTTGGATTTCGACGCAAGTCCGGTGCTTGATGTTTGTTGCCCATCCGCCTCATCGAATCCGAACGCCTCATCGTCATCTCTTCGTGAAAGGAGCAAGGCGTCGAGGTCCTCATACCTTGGAACACCCAATCGCACAACTTCCTCCTCTGCTTCTCTGTCTCCTCTCATATTGCTAAATCGATCCTTTGCAGCAGTCCCTCCGCTACCACTTTCATTTGGGCTGCCGTCGTCACTGCTGGAACAAAAGCCAGCGTCATCCATCAAGCAGTGGTCTATCTTGGGTTGCGCACTCTCAGCCATCAAAGCACGTGGGAGCGAAACTGCAACGACTGGGTCATCTAAATTTGAAAAAATGAAGAAGAGCTTTTCACATCTGAGATGACAACAGCCGCGAGCACAGGCGCATGAATGAGAGTGGTTCGAAAAATATGTTGGACGCTTCGGCTCATTCTATCAACAGAAGAAGTCACATCCGATAAAATAGCATCATGCACAGAACCCGACTCGCTAGCCCTGCGGCAAGACGCTATCATTTCATCAGCGGGAGGCGCGCTGGACGGTCGATATTTTTTCGCTTGCAAACCCGCATCTGACGGCTTTGCCGGTGATGTATCGGGCCTGGAAGCAGGAGAGCGGCCCTCTACTGGTGTCACTGGTAAGAGTTGTTTCTTGTGCTTGGAAAAGTCTCCATTGCTGCTACTGCTACCGCCTCCGCCTGTCCATTTTCCGGTCACGAGTAGTGACGACCCTTTCTTATTTGATGACATTTTGTCGTCTTTTCGGGCCTATTAATTATGGCTACAAGTCGTGCTTTTCTCTCCCGGTGTGTGGCCTCAGCGCTTTTTGCAGTGAGCTAGTACTGCTACTGTCTACTGTCTGGTGGCAGATAATTTACTCTGAATACCTGTAGTAGGACTTAAAAGACAATGAAGAATTATATATAAGGCAAGTACTCACTTTCGCGGATTGCAAATTTTTTCCATTTTGCGGGCGGTTGCTCCTTCTTGCATAACGTGGCTATCGCTGTTTTATGGTTATGGTTAAACACATTAAACATAAAAACAGGAGACACATCTTCCGTAGGGACTATCCAGCACCTGCAGCATGATCCTGAGTCCGATCAGTACTGTGGTGTGTCTCTACTGATTGAGCCTAGTACTTGATGTCTGCGCTGTGGCTGTGGTGATTTTCATGTCCATTCACGAAGTTTTCGCTTCTTTCATTTCTTGGAATGGAAAGAGAATATATAAAGCTACGGCCTATGAATATGAAGAATGAGTGCAAATACGTTCGTTGCAAGACCTGTCTGTTGGTTTACAGACGAGGTATTGACTCCTATTGCTATGAATGTATGATGTTAGATGGGAATGGAAATGTCGCCTGAGAATAGCTTAACCAACATGATAAGGTGGCTCATAACAACTCTCTATCATGATGAACTATTCTATCGCAATGAGTGGCATCGAAGGGTATGCATGACAAGGAAGTGTGAAAGTATGATCATGCTTGAACAATAGGAGACTGGACGAGACTACAGGCAACGAACAACAGCTCGAACTATGCACCGCGAGCGCCAAAAGTAACGCGCTTCTGGTCATTCATCGAGACACGCTGCTTGCGCATCAAGGCTCGCTGTTCAACTTTCGTCATCACCGCTTCGCCTGTCGCTCGGTCTTCAGATGCTGATGCACCGCGCGCCGAATTGTTGTTGTGACCTCTTCTCAAAGGCGGATTTGCGTTGCTTGCTTTTCCCGCCCAAGACGCTGCGTTTCGTTGTCTTGCAAGTCCCTCATTGGCGTCTAAGTCTCGCGCCTCTTGCTCCTCCTGCGCTGTGTCCTCCTGCAAAGCCTTAGCTATTTGGCCAAGCTCTTTCACCTGTTCCTTCCATGCGGCCCTTTCCTGCAGCATTGCTTCCAGGTGAGCCACTTCTACTACTTCTTTGCTGCCGCCAGCCCCGACATTCCGAGCGAAGCGCCTCAATGTCTCTTTTCCCAGCACTAACTTTTGCGTCGTTTCTTGGATGCCCTCTCGCAGAACGTCGATCCATGTCGGGCCCTTGCGTTTATCCAGGAGGCTCTGAATGTGTGTGTCTGATACCGCAATACCTACTGCGACTCGAATTTTCGCAGCCTTGGTCCTAAAGCGGCCTCGTTGGAGACTCAAATTGAACATGGAATTAGGGTCCATACCGCTTCCTGGCCGCATCACCTCGAGCCATACGCCTCGGATCCAACGTAAAGGATCACTCAGCACCGAACGCAACGAAACATACCTGGTCGTGTGATTATACCATGATTACAAACGTAGTCACAATTCTAAATCTACCATTGTTCGAATGGAAGTACGCCGATCACACCAGTAGCAACACTTTCATCTGAACGTGAGCTGCATCTACTGCCATTGGCAAAAGAGAAGTGGGCACTAACGCAAAAGAACAAGAAGGAACATGTAGCATTGGTACGTTTCAAGCACTTGTGTCGGGTTCCGCTTGTTCTGCACTTCTATGTGGATATACGGAAAAACTGCCACCTGGGATGTGAGCTCCAACTCTGCCAGCTTTCTCAAATTGCGTTTACGCCGAAAGAACTCGGAAATATCCCGGTCCCTCGCAGACTGATAGGGCCCCGGAGGCTCTACCACGTCATCCACCGCTTTTTTCAGCAAGGAATCTCCGCGTGACATGTTGAGACTCGGTCTCATTTCTTGATCGGATTCGGAGTCCTCTTCTTCGTCCTCGTCAACTTCGTCGTCTAAAGTCAAACGATTGTCGTCTTCAATGGTGTCAAGCTCCATCAATCTCGCTCCCCCCTGATCATCCTGAAATGCACCCTGCCTGCCTTGAACAGAAGGCTTGTCATCTCCACGCTCGCTACCTGTGAAATCCTCGTGCTCTCCCTCGGCGACCGGAGCTAGACGCTGTTTCCCGGGAGCTGCATTTGCTGGATCAGCGTAAAACATATGCCGCTGCTGAGTCGGTCTGACTCGGCTGGTACTGAACCGGGACCTATTGTTCGCACTCGCTGGAGAAGTTTTTCGCGGCATATTAGATGGTCGGACGCGCTTCCGACCCGGTATCGACTCCTCGTCCGCGGCGTCAGGGGGAAACGCAGATTTGTGATTCCCTTCCCTACCGGGAAGTTGCAGGCGGCTCGTCCGGGAAACTTCCTCGACAGAATCTACAACTACCACTGCACTCTTCTGCTTTATTGCATACTCCCCGGTATGAAACTGATCTCTGTGGTGGCCAGTCGTCTCTCCGCTATGGTGATGATGATGCTTTGTTGCAGACCTGTGACTGTGAAGGCTGTCTTCATCTTCTTCGTCTGCCCCAGGGGGAGGTGGACTTAGGAGTGACTCAATAGCATCTTCGCGCTTTTCATATGAGTCCATGTTGAGCCGAATATCGTTGATGAGGCCCTGCGTGGTGTCGTTTCTCCTGAGTTGCTTTTTGTTTTTCATCTTGGACAGTGCTCCTCGGCTAGCCGATCCTCCACGTCCGCTGCTCCCAGCATCGTTTTCTTCTGAGGAAGAAGGCTCACCCTGACGAAGACCGGAACAGTGGCGAAGAAAACTAGTGGGACCAAGTCCCGCACGAAGGTCTTCCTCTGCGGTTGTTCCCAGTAAATCCGCTGCTTGCTCGAACGTGCGTTCCCAGTTCGGGTCCTTCCCTTCTGACTTGACACGCTTCTCACCCGTTGTGACATCGAATCCGCGGGGATCTTCGACGAGCGGGTTGAATTGCGCGCCGTGCCCGATCATGCGTCGTCTATCACCCAAGTGAGCTGAGGTTGGTTGGGAAAAGAAAAATGTCAAATACGGGATGCGGATCGAAATCATAGTCAAAATTCATTTTCATTTTTTGATGCACTCTTCGAAATGCGAGTCTCTGCTTTCCATTTTTTAGTAGCACGACAACTCCAGCGGAAGAACCTGTTGTTCCAGATGGATTTTTACTTTTAGTTTTTCGGACTAACTAGGTAATAACAAAAACTATCGAATACGAAATCGAGCAGTGTCGAGTATGAACGCTTGATCCGAATCTCGTATCTGGAAATCTCGCAGATTGTCGTCGTCCGGAAATGGCGGATAGAATTCAAACACGTTGACGTCGGAACTGAAGAAGTCCTCCACTACCTGCTGATCCTTGCCTTGCGATACACGATAGCTGTCGTGCTCTTTCTCGACGCATACGTGTCGCATCACAACCCGAGTGCGGCCAAAAAGCCTCTCGTCCGGTCTTTCTGGGTTCTTCCCGTCCATAATTGCGATCCAAAAAGGGTACGCGCCAGGGTGTTGCGTAAGACTCTTCCAACATTCTACGCGCACCTGAGCGCTGATACCATTAGGCTCACTCTGATCAACCACCATCGTCAGGATCCTGAATCTCGCTGGCTAATTAGATGCAACGTATCGGTCTTGTTGTCAATTTCTCAAAGTAGTAGTCTAAATAAAATGGAAATGCTTTAATGCATGGTGACACGGCGATCGGAACTCTTTCGTGATTGTCTGTGTAAATCATGGCAACTACTAACTTAAGTTATTCGGGCACCTATTGTGAGTGAAGAGCAGATCATCTGTTTTTCACATGGATCATCTTCTACCAAATACAGATGAGACACAAGTGCTGCGTTCAGAGCAGGGAGAGAGCCAGCAAAATTGGACAGCAAAATTATACTATAGATACCTATCGTTTCTAACTCTAGATCACTATGACAATGACTATGATACAGCCTCCGATATAATAGTGTCGCTTCTTTAGTTGCCGACTCAGTACGTGACCGATCATAGCATACATAGATGAGACAGACCGACCTTAGTAAGAGAAAGCGTGGCGTGGCATTAATCTCGCTCTCACAGAGTCAGATCGGCTACCGCTTGAACCACTAAAAAACCGACATAATGTGTAAAGGAAGAACGAAGCCACTCACGACATGGATCACGATCTCTACAGAAAGAAGCAGATCTGCATTAGATCTACCGATGTGGCGAAGTGAAACCGCGACCGATTCCTGCATTGATTTTGCTTTCAGGCGTTGATACCCAGGCCTTAATGGGCCGTTTGACTCCTCAAAGGTCCTCTGAAAAACATCGCCAAATCGGTAGTGCCAATGCCGGTATAGGGATCAAGCTTCCTTGCTAGATTGGTGTCGGTGTCGCTCTCGCTTGAAAGTAGTGGAAGTAAGAACGCATCGAGCTTGCAATGCGATGTTGCAAGTGTCGTTGTGAAAGTCAAAACTTGTTAAGTCGAAACAGCGCCGTCGCAGCATCGGTTGGCGTTCTACTACTTTGGTAGTTTATATTGTAGCAGACAAGTGCGTCTATCGACGTAAGTGAAAGTATCAGATTGATCAGAGGTCAGTCGAACTACTAGGTGAATCAGAGAGAAAAGACAGTACATGTTGGTTATTCAACGTTTGGTATCCTTTTGATCAGAGAGATATAGAAGCAGCACGTAATTATACCTTTTCTAGAGATACAAGTTTTCAGTTATTGCGGCTTTGCCCAGAAGACTTTCGGCAAACCTTCCGTCGACGTTGGTAGCTGTGTACTCTGGAGCTCAGCATCATTCTCGCTGAGTCGGTAGCGCGCTCCTTCCAGTTTGCTTCCCATAAAAGACGCAAACTCTCGACCAGGTAGCGACTGGCTCAGACCTAGTTTTTGTTTGCAAAAATAAAGGCGGTCGCTTGAAAGATATTGATATCGATCCTTACAGGCGGGGGTAGCTATCTCGCAGTCGACGCGGATTCAACAATTATATGCCTCAAATCAACTTTGATGTCGCTGGAGTAAAGGTAAACTGATACTCAAAAACAGAAACCACGATGACTCGTCACGAATCAAGATGAAGTAGGTAATGCTATCACATGTGTCACTCAGTACCTGTCGCGGCAGTAGTCCCCGTCGTGCCGCTCTGACCAGGGGTGGCTCTAGCGCGTCTTCTCCTCCTATTCGCTTTGCGCTTCGTGCGTTTATCGGCTCGCTGGTTACCGCGAAAGAGTATTCTTGCGAGACGGGATCTCATGTCTTGCCAGACTTGTGCTGTGGGCGTCGCCATTGGACCGGGTAACCCTTTGATAGACTGGAACTTTCTCGTCTTCTCCATTATAGTCTCCTCCTGTCCACGAACCCAATACAAAATGTCATTCGCTTGCGTTGCCAGCCAGGGTTTCAGCTGGTTGCTGTAAACCTGAAAACAAGGTGAAACGAGCAGATCGATGCGAAGACACTAGAAATGGAGAGCATAGCACTCTGGCAACCGTACGAGCGTAAGCGACAATATCTGGGAATACTTTGATTTCAGAAAAAAGGTGGCATGTTCGTTTCCGAAACGTAAAAAAAAGTACTTCAGGAATGCGAATCGGCAAGTCGTATGCTGGCAACTGCTCGTCAATCGCATTTTGCTCCTTCAAGTACGCCTCGAAACGGGTGATGAACTCGCGACTTCTTTCCCAGTCGGCGTCGTCTAGGTTGTCCAGCTGTGAAGCTAGGTCACCGACGGTTCGTGGCGGCCTCACGTCTCTTGGCGAGTTTCCTAACGTCGAGGCACCGACAGTATTACGACTACAGGCGGCCTCAACACCGTCCCGGGAAGCGTGACTGGTAACTCCTGGCTGTCGTCGGGCACCACCTCCCGTACTGGTTCGTGGCGACAGAGAGCTTTGTCGAGATGCCGATTTCTCTCCTGGTTCCTGATAACTGGAAGTCTGCGCTGACTGGAGGAAGCGTTCCGGTGAACGATACTGCGGGGACCCAATGCGCTGTGGAATGCCGCATGGAAGATCGTTGGGTGCCTGTCCCTGTCTCACGGCGTGGCGCCATCCGAGTCCCTCCGTTTCGAACAGCGAGTCTCTATTTGTTGCTCTAGCGCCGCCTTGCATCGTCGTCATGCTGAAGCCGTGTGCAGCGCTTCTGCTCGTGTTCAGCATGTTCCGATTGAGGTTGCCTCGACCGCGGGACCGGAATGCGTCTAATTTGCCGACAACCAGATATTTGTCGGGCCGTTTGCGCTTCTGCTTGAAGTACATGCCCCCGTCCTCGGTCTGCTCAAAGATTGGGTGATGGTCGAGGCTGCCGCGGGCGCCTCGCAAACTTCTAGGCAGTACTGGATGCAACTGTCGCCCGATAGGACCGGCCTGGCCTGCGTGCCCGCAAACAAGGACACTTCCTGCCGCACCGCCGCGACCTAATCCATAAGAAGGCCGCTGCTGGTGCTGCTCGGTGCTCCTAGCCAGGTCTGGAATAGCAGTTGACGAGGACGCGCCGCCAGCCCCTACCAAACCCAAACCCATACTAGGAGAAAGCGAGTGCGCCGCCTTGCTTGAACTCGCATTCAACTGTCTGAGAGGACTGAGACTTCCTTTGCGTCGCTCAACTGTGCTCAAAAGTGCTGATGCTTTGATCGGCGTTACCTTGCTCAGATCGCCCTGCAGTCTCTTGGCGGCTTCTAGCAGCTGCAGAATGCGGTCCCTATTGGACACCTTCTGCGCCGGGAACAAGAAGACAGCTCGCATATCGCGCGTGACCTCGAACATCTGCCGTTGAACGAAAAGCAAAGTTTCTGCCTCGGTCTCGAAGTTCACACGGTACCACTTCTCGAATTGCTTTCCCTCGTCGTCTTCATCGTCCAGAACTTTTGACGGAGACATCCCGGGTCTTCCAGCCAGCCTGTCCACTGACGATGAGTGATGCGACTCCTGGTGTGAACGACTCGTCTGGTACAGCTGGTCGGCAGCTGCCATGGCCGCAGCAGACGTCGAAGACGAGGACGGAAAAGCTCCTGTTGGTCCCACGCTCCGCTGTCCTGGTCTCGTCGATGGCGGAGCAGCACGGGCTGCTGGCTTCGAAGGAGACCGACTCCCGCCCGTGCGTTTGGCGGACTGCGTGGGGTACGCGCCACCGGGTCTTCCGCCTCGTAAAAACGAAGTGGATGTAGTCGAAGCCAACGCTGGTAGCGTAGACGCGTCAGCCCCCCGTGGAGAAGTGCCCGCCCATGGCGATGCTGGTTCCAGTACTCTGCTCGTGCTTGTGCTTAGTGGCGTATTCGCGCCGTCGGCTGGAGCAGTTGGTGGCGCCACGAACTCAAAATCGTCGGCAGCTAGCTCAAAAAAGAGCGGCGGAAGTGGTTTTACAGAGTCCACGTCGCGCAAGCGAAATTCCTTCGTGGTCAAACCCTCAGACCGCGTTGTGTGGAGGAAAACCACTCCAAGGAAGAAAAGGAAAGATGAATAGCTCAAGTGACACCATATCACAGTCAGATCGAACAAAAAGAGCGCAAATTGATCGAGACGCATCCGCCGTTCAGCAATCGGAATGCTAGAGCCACCTGCGGTGATGGAAAGGTATGCTTTGTGAATTTCTTGGCGACACCCAAAAACTGTAATCTTCATGTGAAATCTATGAGCTTCCGGTATTTGTTCTCCGTCTATTGCCGAGGAGAATCGAAATGCGCTAGTAAGTAGTGAAAAGTGTTTCTACTGAACGTAATCATAGTTTCGATATCATGAGAACAATACATGGCTCATCTTTCATCGATTCAGCAGAGCTTTCATCTGTTTGCGTCGCTGACGAACCGCACGATGATGAGGGTTCGTCTGCCACATTAGTTGACTCGATCCAATCGGTGACAGCGGATGCTCGCGCAGTACTCAGATCCAGTTTCTGTTCCTGCAACAGCACGCGTTGCAGCAAGATATTGAACTCGAGAAAGGTATCTGGTAAATGCGGCAGACGAGGAAAGAGTCAGGAGTAGAAACATAAGTTGGTTTTCTAGTATAATTTTGGACTCGCTACAACTTGATCTTCAAGGAATAGGAAGTGTGTCAGAGATTTCCGTCCTAATGTTTCTTCAGTATAAAACAACAGCAGATACCCATCCCGATCGTGCGCGATGAGACCGCTGCATTTGCTTGAGGCGATCGCACTTCGCCTGCACGCGGCGTCGAGGCGAGTAGGGTTTTCCAGAATTTCAATAATGTGAGCTGGATCGTTGGTGTTTGAAAGAGGCACAGTTTTCTCTCAATGTTGAGAATCTCATCTTCGTCGGACTCAGCATCGCTTTCGTCGCTGTCGTCTCCACCCTGTAAATGAGCATGAACAGAAGTAGATAACTGCGGTCCAAATGCATTCTCATTCTGTTTGTTGCTAGTTGTTTCATCAAAAAATATCGTCGAGGCTAGGCACTGACAGTCAAATCACATGTAAAACGTCAAACAAAGCTCAGAACGCCATTACCAAGTTGAGAGCGCCGTCTTCAGCATGCTCGCCGAGTTGGACATGATTCGCAACTTCATCTCGGTTCTGCACGAATTTGTTTAGAAACCCCTCGTCAAATGCGGGTTCTTCTGGCTTTTCCTCGCCCGGCGCTGCTGCTGCCGTGACAGGACTACTCGCGTTCGAATCCATCAGGCTAAGCTGGTTTTTTGAGGAGGATTCTACCGCTTGCTAGTCGTGACTTTGCAGAACAACTCGAATTTCCGCTCTTGTCATGAAGCCGATGTGCCTACTGTCAAGGATCCGATCCAACTCTCAAGGTGGTCTCCTAGTTTTCTATTCCTGCCCAGGAGGACAGCAGGATGTAGTCATCTTGCGTGACGTTGGCGCAGAAATGGTTGTTGAGTAGCGAGAATGGTCATCGACGTCGTACCGTCGTCACTACGAAACAACAAGCACTAACGTGAAAAACACGAGTCACATTAAAAAAGACGCACCGCAGAAGAGACAAGCGATCAGAGTGTGTTCGTTGCGTCTGAAGATGGAGAGACAGAGCGATATTCCATTGCTGCGAGAATGTGAATGAAGCTAGTCTATGTCTTCGCCAATGGATTTCTCATACTAGTGCCAGCCTTGCAATCCTTATGAAGGACAAAAAAGCGGAAGCGCCTTCTTGGTCCTACGGTCTTAAGTAGTTTTTTCTCTTACACACAATGATGAATAAAGTACCTAAAAACGGTGGAGGCAAAGGTGGATACGTAGCCGCAACATTGATACAAGCTCTCAATATCATTTGTTTCAATGTTTGTTGGGGTTTACAAGTGGGACACACAATCCAGAAAAGGTATCAGAGATTCACAAAGGTGGCACTGCTCGCAGAGTGAACAGCATTCCGCTCAAAAACCGATTCTCGGTATTTCGGATTTCACCACTCACTTCGGTGGTCCGACTCCATATTCCCAGAATGTCTATAAGCATCGTGAGATTGAGCTGCGCCTTCCACGACCTGCGAGGACTACGACCGACGGATGCTGCAACCGATAATCGCCTGCACAGAAGAACTTGTTTGCTCCTGTTGGTTCGTTGTTGTACCGAGTGTGCTGCTAACCGAGTGCTTCAACATAAATGCCTTATCTATTTTGTAGCATGCATGCACAAAGAGGGATGCTCTCGTCCAGTATTCTTTCCGATTCACTGTAGAATGAAGACTTTTCCAAACCAAAAGTGATCATTGTCTGCCGCGGTTCATTGATTGTTTCGTACACCGGTCGGTATCAAAAAGATGCAACCAACCACCAATTACCTACTGCTCACCTAGCTATGTGCGAACATGATCATCCCAGGATCAGCTGCTTCTAGCAAGGAACCCTCTTTGTGAGCGATCCCTTGCGTCGGTAAATCTAAGGGATGCGTCTCGATGAGCTTTATGCGGCCTAGAAGTGATGCTGTTCCTCCACCTCGCGCAACCTGTTTAGGACTTGGTCCAACATCTGTCAGTGTGAGTTCGTACCAATGTGGCGGGTCATCCGGAGGCGGGCAAATCTGCAAAAAATCTTGTTGTGTGCCGCCTTTCAGGGCTTGTGCGTACGTCGTGTAGAAGGGATTTGTTTTCAGAGAGAAGTTCGGCAACTTCGTTTTTCCACCCGCCGAGCCACCGAGTGCACTCTCCACCAAATCACTTAGAAAGTTGAACGTGCTGCCTCCTGCTTTGTCTGCGATAGTGGAGGACTTGGCAACATCATCTGCATCGCGGAAGTCGTACACTGCGTCCCAGTGGACCTTTCCTGTGGTCTTATCAACAAAGTGCGCGTGCAGCGCATCGACAGGCCGTGTGAATTCCAACAGAGGCTGCTTGTCTAGATCGTCGGTCACGACCCACGTCTTTGGCGGTACTGCATGGCCCGGTCGCTCGGGACATATGAAATTCTTGTTGAATTCACCCTCCTCGTCCACGAGATTTGTTCGCGCGAGAAACGGCGGTCCCCCGCCTCCCGCTGCGTCTCCTTGATCCTCGGTCAAAACCGACACTCTTAGATTGTGTTTGTATGCCTTGTGGTAGTTATTGAAAGACTCCCGGACGTACTTCAAACCCTGATCGAGAAAAAATTCTTGATTGTCTTTCGCAGCATTCTTCAGATAGTTCTTGGCTAATGGCACCGCCGCCAGTGCTTGTTGTTGTACGTCGAGTGGCATGTTTTTCTAAATCTCCGGTCCGAAGCTCTATCCATTGCGGAACGCAATTTCTTCCGTCTCCAATCATCTGTCAACCTAGTTGTAGCTGCTATCTCGTTTGAGTTGGAAAGAGACTCAACAAATCCGATTGATCATGTTGGTCATCTCTAATATGTCACTTATATTTCGGACGACGGGGCCAAGTAGGATTGATATTGGCGTTTGAGGGCTTGGGCTACGTATCCACTTTATCCGTTACTGGAGACTTCAGCTGCCAGACCGATTTCGATGCCGTCCATCGACAAAAGACACAGATCGATGCGAAATTGTGAGTAGCATAAGATGATCACGATGCTCATGGAATTTATACAGCTAGAGCCACAGAAGTTGTGATATCATAAGTACTTTTATTACATCGAGAAGAGACCCCAGCAAAAACAGAGTGAAGCTACTCCAGACCGACGGGGCGTTTAGTTCAGATGAGAAGCTGCAGCCTGCAGCTCTTAGTCTTACAATCAAATCGAAACAACTTTGCTGGCGATGACAATGATCCGGCACTTCAAGAAGTTACTAATGATAGGTATTCCATACAAGATTGAGAAAAGCGCAACGGCTGTTCACAGTTCACTGTCAGGAATCAATAAAACTGGAAGTGTTCACATCACACGTCAATCATTGGGTCTGCCAACATGCAACGAACAGGGTCATCATTATCGCGGTGAAAGAAATCAGCTGATCATACTTCTTCCCTATGAACCTTCTACTTCACCTAGATTGTTTTTCAACGAACATCATATTGGACACCCCCAGTGCCAGTCACTGCCTGAATAATTATTGCCATCGCGACTTCGACAAAAAGCTGCATCCTCATAGACATCTCGTCATCGTATGTTTTACGACGCTTGCGCCTTCCGCTCTGGTAAGTTGCTACTTGTCGTCTTTTTTCCCCCAAACTTTGAAACAGAATTTACCTTGCTTGCAAACCTTAAACTGTTTATCGTCTCTGAAAGGCATTTCTCGAGAGGGCTAACATTTGCAAACATCAACGTCTTCGAATCTCCTCCTAGACTGTCCTTTAGCAGTAGCGTCAACTTGGAATTGCGATAAGGTACCTGGATACGATGTTAGTTTGGTAAAAAAGTAGCAATCAAGAGGGACATCGAGATTGCAATCCATCCTGCTGATGTTTCGAAATCAGTGTCGCATCCATGGGCATGGTCTTTTGCTTACAACAACTAAGTACTCGTACTGAAAATATCATTCCTCGTACAAACAAGCTTGAAACTTCGCCTTCAGGAGCGGCACCAAAAAATATTACATGTCCGCTCTTTTCCGCGAGTGCCGTGATGACATCGCCGAGCGCGGACAAGCTTTTGTTGATGAACTGCGACTCTTTGAGCCTCTCTCCTTGTACCTTAGATTTCTCGACTCTCTCGCTACCGGCAAGATCAACAAGGGACAGCAGTCCTCGAAGCGTATGATTCCGTGGACCTCTTCCTTCTAGCTTGAGTTGAAAAACGGAGTGTGATCGCGAACTTCGGTCATTAAGCGCCGTCGATGCGTAGGACCGTACTGCATTTGCCTTCGTCAGCGCAGCAAACACCTCATTTTCGTCTTTGACAACCAGGGTAGAACCTAAATTAGTGAAGGCAGATTTTAGGTCTATTTTGTCCATCACGGGATCGATGCATCATCGTAATTGCACTCATGATAATGTGATACAACGACAACCCCATTGCTTCATCTGACCATCAGAACCAGAAGTGATGGGTATTTCCTACGACGTGGTCGTGTCAAAAAACGGATAGAAGTTGTAGTACTGTTCACAACAGCTTCTTGTCCTGCCACTTGAATCTCGACTTCTTTTCCTTTGTTTAGGAGGTCTCGCACCGTCTCGTTGTAGATCTCGACAAAGCTGACGCTGCATTCGAATGCCCAACCCGATGTGTTTTTGATGTGTTGGAAGATGTGATGAACCGCACGAGGAATCACGCCCGCCTTCTGCTCGAAATTGCTTGCGGTGAGCGTGTTAATCGGAGGACCCTCCATAGTGTAAGTCTTCCCGCCACCGGTTTGGCCATATGCGAAAATGGCAACCTTGTAGCCGTCCAGTGCGCTCTTGACCAGCTGGGAGATTTCCTCGAAAACGCTACGCTGTGGGCTATCCGTGTTGAAGACGCGGTCAAAATGGAAACCCCAAGTGTTGGTTTGCTCCGCGCAACCACTGACGTTCAAAAAAGCTTCTCCTTGCACCTCAAGTGCCCCACTGCGCTCGTCGCAAAGCATTTTCGCCCTGTTGAAGGAGAAATGTTGTTAAGAAAATTACTGACGGAGATGAATACTATTGGGGGAACACAATCAATCATCACGGTCTACTCATCCTTTTTGCGTGATCGAACAGTTGTAAGAGACCACACTGCGATTATCACAGTGAAAGCAATCTTCTGCCAGTGGTCCACAGCAAGTCCAGATTGAAAAAGAAATGAAGAGAACTGAGTAAAGCCACAGAAAAAAAGTACGGCTTTTCTTCGTTTTCCAGCAGCGGTCGAATACGCACGAAAACTCGGATGTTTCCCTTCACCTCGATGTATTCGTTGAATCGTTCCTTGGTACGCAGCACTAGCAACGAACGCTTTTGAGTGAGTTTCGCGTGGTAAGCGCGCGCCTCCTCTATTTTGGCTTTCCACTCTTCTATTTCAGCAAGCTTCGTGATTTCTGCGGCATGCGCCTCTTGAAACTCTCTCTCTGTATCACGCTTTCGGGCGACTTCCTTCTCGATCCCGCGAAGCTCCAATTCCTTGGTTTTCGACAAAGTCGCGTGTCTAGCGCGTGCCGTTTCTAAAGCCTCGCGTGATGTCGCAAGCTCCTTTTCCATCTCAGCCTTCGCACGCTTCTTCTCGGCAAGCTTGCGCGTCCAGACCTCTCGCGCACTCTCGAGCTTCTGCGTGAATTTCTCGTATTCACATGTTAGCAGGGGAAGGTTCTGTAGCACTCGCTAATACAGCAAGCATGAGTACACTTTCTGACGGCACTAGATCTACAGCTCATAGAACATGATATAGACGCCGTAACATTTCAGCAACTTCGTAGCGCTGCACAACTTGCTGTTCTGTGCTTCGCAATTCTTCGATACGCGCCACAGCGGCCCGCCGTCGCTCGATGAGCTCTGCAAGTTCGGTCTCGAGAGCCTCCTTTTCCTCTTTAGCCGCGACTTCCTCTGGCGAGGGCTGAGGAATCAACCGGGAAGCGGTGCCGCGGTAGGGATTGCGTGCCTGTCGTTGCAATGACGAGAGCGGCTCATGGTTCCACTAAGCACATCATGCCTCGAACGAAGAAGTGGAAATTGCGAATGCGATTCTCTTGATGTGAGACAAATGATAAGTTGATGTAGATAAGTCAATGTCGAAAGTCATAGAAACATGGGGCTTGGATTCACAGCTGTACCCCTGGCGAAACGCCTCTTGCTTTCGCCCCAACTGGTCCGCCAATCCTCGGTGATGCACCGCGACCTGGCTGCTTCGGTTTTGCACCGCCGCTTCCTGGCGAAGCCGTGCGTTGGTAGCTCCCAGGCGATGGTCCGCCCCGAGCGACGAGGTTTGTGCCAGGACCCGCATTAGCACCGGGCACACCTCGAGGCGGTGTACCTCTCCGTGGCGGTGGGTTGTAGCTACTAGTTGCGGCTGTGCCTCTGCCGGTTCCTGACGTCGAAGTTTCTCCGTAATTTACATGCGAGGCCGTGCCTGAGCGCGTAGAAAAAGTGCCAGGCAACCGCTGCGCATTTGATCCCGAAGATCCGCCGAATTGTTCGGAACTGCCAGATATCGTAGAAAACGAATTGTCGACTAACGTTGCGTAATTATCCGGATAGCTGGCACCACCGGGCGGTGGTTGACTACGGCCAAAACGTGCTTGTAACGTCTGACTGCCGCCTCCTCCTGTCGTCGAAGAACTCACCTGACGAGGAAGATCATTGTAGTTGTGATGGTTTCTCTTATTGGAATCAACAGACTGTCGCTTGTTGGCTATCAAGCGATCAACGATCCTACGACAATCTTCAATCTCTTCTGACTGCTGCTGATCGTGCAATCTCGAAGAGTTGTTGCGACAATTGACTGCGCAGCCTGTATTCCTTGAAGCTCTTCCTGAGAAAAATCTGGGTGTAGTCAGACCGCTCCTTCTTCCGCCAACATGCCTAGCGCATCCAGAAGTAGCTGTATCTTCAACTACTCTTGTGCCCCCGCTAATGAATACACTAATATGCCGCTCGCAGTTTCTTGTTGTAGTCAAAGATGCTGCTCTTCGTTCCTGTTGTTTTTCTCCAGCGCCTTGTTCATTTCTGTTGTTTCGTTTTTTCAACCTTCGCAATTCCTTCTCATCTGGTAGAGAGTGCCAGACATTAGTTCCTTTTGACACGGTAGGTTGTGTAGCGTCCATGCCGTGTTTTTTACGCGAGTTTTGCTTCATCGTAAGGCTTCTTTTTGTTTTTGACAGAGCGCTTTGACCTTCAAGACTTTCAACTTCTACCACGCTTCCAGCAGCTGCGAGTACTCCGTCTCCACACTGCTGCTCAGCTTCGTGTCTTGAACACACCGTATATGACGAATTCCGTATGCTTACTGGAGGTGCAGTACTTCTGCCATCAAAACTGCTACTTCGCGAGACGTACAGGGGCCGACGGATTTTGCTAGGCTTGTAAAAACCAGGCAACGGTGGCTGCTGCTTCTCCGAGATGGAAGCCTTTCGAACATGCGGTGAAGTGCTTACACCGTGGAGATCCTCATCCAAGCCGAATTTTGCTCGGCAGAATGACTCCCCACAAAAGACGTCCTCGGGATCCTTGATTACTGAGTAGGAAGAAAGGTCATCCAGATGGGTGGGGGCGCGATCTCGAAGTTGAAGTGGCGGAACAAGATGCTGAGAACCTCTTTTCTGCTGATTTTCTCGGCTTTGGAACTTCCCGGCGCCACCAATTTTGTCATGGTCTTCTTCACAATCATCATCCAGAGCGAGCAAGCTGCATGTCTCCGCATGGTCGAGGTCAGCTTGCTTATCAACATGTTGCGCATCTTTATCCACCAGTCCTGTCTCTTTTCCAAAAAAGTCACTGAGCAGTCTCTTCGAGGAGGAACCTGAGCTTCCTAGTGGTAACTTCTCAATTCTAACTTCATCGTTAGCAAGCAATGCCAACTGCTCCGCTGGTAGCACTCGCGATGGTGACGGCGTAGTAGAGAGCCCTCGTGTCCCGCAGTTTGTATGGTCATTCAAAGATGAAATGGACGTACTGACGCTGGACGACGGAGCGGTAGCAACGTATCCGCTGGAATCTACGCGCGAGCGATCGCCGACATTTGAATGACACGACATTATGGAGGATACGCCACAGCTGAAGGTCGACCCTCGTCCGTCAGTACGCGCTGAAGACGGTAAGACAGATCCATCATTCGCCGTTGTCGACCGCGTAGACAGGCTAAGAGGATGGGGAGCCATCTTGTTTCCAACCGTCAAATGCTGCGTCGACCGTTTTTTCACAGGCCGTGGTGGTGATTCGCTCAAAAATGGAGGTTCTCTCTGTGCTGTCCCATGAGGGACAGGACGCATCATAGCGCGAAAAAACTTTCCTGGCGTGCTTGGAGGAGTGCGATTCGGGCTACTGCTACTTGCCGAAAAGACGTCTGCTGAATCTCTACAACGTTGCACTTGCACCACCACGCGACTTTCATACTCTGGTTCGATATTTTTCAGCGATTTGTAATCTTCCCTACGACCATCTGGAAGAATTCTCGCACTTCCGCCTTCCTCGAGCTTGAGATTTACATCTCGTTTATCGACACACAATTTGTAAGCGTTATCACCCTCTTCAGCTTCTTGACTATCTTCATCATGATCCATCAAACGCACCCCTTGTTGTGATCCACCTTGTTCTATTTCCTCTGGCTCTGCTTCTCGACGTGGTGAAGATAATAAAACGCGAGAATCATTGTCACTGGCCGAAATCTCAGATGAGGAGCTTCCTTGGTCAGACCAAGCAGACCCACGACTCTTTCGCCAACGCATATACAGTGCTGAACAGTCGGGATCGATTTTTTCACCATTTGACGCCCTTCGCCGTATGCATGGAGAATCGAAAGCTTCCGTTTGCCCAGGGTCTACTCTCTGTTCTTGAAAATGTCGAGCTTGTGAGGCAGGTCCCAGATCTTTTGTTTGGCCAACATCCTTTTTCTCTGTGGTCAACATTGTGCGCCTGGGTGATACTGATGAGAAGCTTCGCCGAAGATCTTCTTTATCTTGCTCACTTTTTTTTTGCTGCTGTCTTTTTGTATCCTCGCTTTGGTCTCCTTGTGCTTTATCATTGTGCTTGATATTTTCTTCTTCTTCGTGGTCGTTGTGGAGTAGAAGTATCTTGTCCGAAATCTGATCATTGTTATAGAAGGTCGAGCGAGAAGAAAAACCATGATCAAGAAGCTGATCTAGACGAGAATCATGACGAGAAAAAGCATCATGTAGTAGTACCGGTCCACGGGATGCTCCGTGGTCAATCCTGGCGCGTTTAACTTCTGCTGTTTCGTCCAAAATCGCTCGTAGCTCTTCGTCTGACACGTCGCCGCTCGCGCGCTTATATCGACGAGTCTCTCCTGCATTTCCACCCTGCGAAACGAGTGCCACCCTCGGTTGACTCTTACTGCTGTTCGTGTCTACCACACCAGTTGCCGTTGAAGATGAGGGCGGCGGTAAATCACCGCCGCCACTGTCTCGATGCTGCCCCCGCGCACTCCTTAAAGCCGTGCCCTCCGCGTCTGCGCCTCCGCCTGCAGTCGCAGATGCGCCAGCGGAATTCAAAACTGATATGGAAGAGGATGACATCGTGTTTGCTACGCCTCCGTGGCCAATGGTGGTCCCTCCAGAAGTAAGAGATGACGATGCCCCACCCGAACCTCCGGCAGGTCCATCCAAATCTCTAGACGTCTGCCGACTCACGGGACGCGGTTGAAGTAGTCGACTGCTTTTCGCGTTTCCCGAGTCTGCACGAATGCCGTCCAACAAATCTGATGCTGTGCTACTCGTCATCTTTATCCATCAAGACCGGCATTAAAAGAGTTCAACGTTTTGCATTATCCAGTGGACCGTGATGACGTGCCATGTTTCAATGAAAACAGATTACAGTGAGAAGGATTTTAGTACAAGAACAGCACAGGCACATCGATCAATTGATTCGAGTATAGAAAGAATCAACGAACAACAGTTAGACTAGGGTTTGACAGAATCAAACGTTGATGGAGAAACCAGCAGGAGCAGCAGCAGATGAGACTAAAGTATAACCTACAAATTCATCTTTTAAGTAGACTCTTCTAGGGGAGACCACGCTTTCATCATCATTAAAGACAAAACTTTGCAACACCACAGACTCGATTTTTCATTTTCGAGTTCGAGCTGATACTGAAATGACCATACTTGCTTCTCGCCGGCCAACACTAGTAGTGAATGCGATATTACTAGATGATAGATCAGGAGGACTATATCAGCCGAAAGTATTGACATCGACACAACCAACCGACATCGAACAAAACCAACCGACATAGAGGAAAAAACGAGTACGGGGACTTCTTTTGAAGCAAGTTGCCAATAGCCAGATGATCAACATCCTGAGTACGATAGTCGGTCTGCGGTTGCACGACCAGCCATGAAGCGAACACACTTGGCACTTTTACCTTCCTTGCAGTGCGAGCCCTGCCAAAAAATCTTCGTTGCACACGGGTGCGGGTCCCAAGTCATCGACGGCGATATCGATTATGTATGTATCAAACTACTTCTACTGTACTCAGTGTGAAGCTCGTTTCCCCGTGCACATCATATCATGCTCAAAATTGACCCAGAGCAACCGTTACCACACCATCATGGACGCAAGCGTGCTAAGATCAAAGCCCGCTTTGACTAGTTCCTTCGAATGCACATGCAAGAATGAAATCTACACTCCTACTCAGAATAATTTGCAGCCCTAGCCCATGTCTTACATTCTTCATTGAGTTGAGTTTATCGATAAGTATAATATGCTGTTATCTTCTGCGTAAATCATATTCACACGCTTGCGCACTTCCACTTTCTGTTCTTGTTTCAGCACCACGTCGCGAACTTGACGATTAAGTCACTCGATAATGCAAACGGAAAACTTGGACAGCAACAGCCTAAGCCTAATACTATATTCAACTATGTATATATAAGTACAACTTGTTACCTGTACAAACACTATTCAGATATACCGCCTCTGGCCGCGATGATCAATTTATAATAACATGACCACGACATAATTTATGCTTGAACTTGATCTTCTGGGCTTGTTGTTGATGGTGCTGCATTCTGTACTTTTATGCTGTATACGACACACCATCACGTTTGTCCTGCGGTATTTGGCCTCGTCACGACGCTGAGAGCAGTACCGGGTCGGCTGTTTATGGTGGTCGCTAGAGCTGTGCCGGGTCGGGTGGACGCTAATCCCGCAGTACCTGGCCGCGTGTTCGTAGATGCTGACCAGGGCCGTACATTGGGACAAATCTTGCGCAAGTACGCGCTACGAGGAGAATCGGAATCTCCCGGAGCCCCAAAAGAACAATGCAACCCATCAACATCCTCCAGTAAGGTGCCTGCTCGATAACTATTCTTGCTAGGAGCGCATCGCATAGAGCTGGATAACAACTGGCTCTCTCCTAAAGCGTCTCTGTCTCGTCCTAAATACTCCACCGCGGTCTTTGGTACCACTGGCATGCGAATCGTTGCATGCACAGAGCTACCTCTAGATCCCCTGCTCGGCGACGACGTACTTCTCGTTTCTAGTCCAGTTGCCGCGAATTCGAAATCTTCTGTGGTCTCTCCGCGTTCCATGCAGTCCCTCAGCGCTCGTGCTTGCGCAAGCAACTGTTGCTGTAACTGCAGGAGCTCACGTCGTGAGTAGTCCTGCCTATGCCACCTGACATGGCTTGGCACGTAATGCAAGCACGCCATCTTAAAACCCTGTAAAACTTGCGACGCCTGGCCACTACATGCCAGACATCGCGGGTCGATGGAGACCGCTGCTTTATTACCTGCACTTAGTTTCACCCCGCTTCCTCCCGTAACGCTGCTGCGCTTTGGTGGACTCGCTGTACTACTTGCCCTTGGAGAAGGCCCTGCCATAACATTTTTGCGCTTCACCGGTGAAGGTGTCGACGTCGAACTATTACCAGGAAAGTGAAACGTTTTTCGAGGCGAGATCCTTGATTCCGGACTTTTCGGTCTGATGCGCATTACTTTGCTGCTGACTGGGTCAGGAGCTGGAGGTCGGCCAGGCTGGTTGCCGTACCTTTCAACACAACTGCTTTGCACAAACCGTCCGCTAGTGTCGAGATCAGCTTCGTTCTGATAGGAGGGATTCGATGAGCTGGACAAGCCTCCTTGCTGTTGTTCTCCCATTTTGTCCCGAAGCCCCAATAAGCTGATGCCGTCTCGGTCGCTCTCGTCTTGCAACATCAGAGCTGTGACAGAATCGCAAGCTTCCGCCATCAGCTCCAGGATTTTCCCCACTCTTTCCCGATTCGCGTCTACCTTCTGCGTCGCCGCCAGCGCTGTCTCGACCCGTCGCAGAAGCGCTTGTCGCTCCATTTTGCCGTCGTTCCAGTCCCTTTGCCACTTTTTTTCGCGCGCAAGCAGCTCTTCACGCACGACCTGCACCTCCTCTTGCATGTCGCGACGCAACTCCGCGTGTTGCCGCGGGAAATCACGCCGCTCCAAGTCGGCCATCGCCTCTAGAAGTTGCTTCTGTGAGCTTTCGTTGTCCTGAAACTTCCTCTGGAACTCGTCGCGCGCCTCTTTTAACAAGGTAGACGTGTTCAAGGCGATCATGTTGGAAGCTGTCTCAAAATGTCCCTTCAATGACGTGGCAGATTCTTCAATGCGACCTTCCAGCACCGCGTTCGCTTCGTCCACTGTGATTGAGGTATCAGTTTTGGGGGTTACCTGACATCAACTTATGGCTCAACGATTCGCGACTCCTAATTAATACAGAAGGTCTACTAAACCTGATCCTTCTTATCACCACTCTAATAAAGTCTAAGTACTTACGTGCATTGATTCTCGTGAAGACGTTTCCAAATCGCGTTTTCACTTCGCTTTTGTCGCAAGCTGTCGCCTTGAGCTCCTTGAGCTCCGCTGCGTGAGCGTCGACTTTTTCGATCGTATTCTCGAGTGATCGTGCTGCGTTCGCCACTTGTCGTTCTGTCTCGAAATGTTGATCTACTATACGAGCCAAGCTGTGCTCTTGACGCGCGAACTTGACATCCGTTGCACCCTGGGCCTCAGCAAGTTCGCGCGAGCGGCGTGCAAATTCGTCCGCTAGTAAGCGCTTCAGCGACTGGACTTCCTCATATTGTCGCGCTTGTTCTGCCTGCTGTTGTTCGAGGCGCCGCTCGAGTTGCAGCTGCGCGCCCTCATGCTGCTCACGCTGAAGGCTCATGCCTCTCAACCGATCCTCTAGCGCTCGAAGTTCATCTCGTAAAAGCGTGCCGTGCTCCCTGTCATTCGATGCACAGAGCAAAAAATACGCTGAAGGTAGTAGTAGAAGAACCCCGACATATCTAGAAATGTGCAGCACTACAAACTCTCCTGCCAAAGTCAAAGAATACGGATTCATGCTGAGCGAAGACTCTGAGCAGACAGAGAACTAGTACCTCCTCTCGCCGTCCGACTTCGTGAGATGCTCTCGGAATTTTTCGATATGCTTACAATCACGACTTGCTTGCCGCGCCACATCACGCAGTCCGCTGATGTCCAATCGCTGTTCCTCGATCTTTCGCTTCAAGGCTTCGATTTCATCCTCGTAGACTTTCGCTCTTAGAACCGTCGGCTCCATCAGCTCCATCGCCATCTGACGTAGTCGGACTTCCATCTGCGCTGACTCCAAAGCCACATCCGTTCCTCGGTTCGCTGTCGAGGCATCTTGACGCCGGCCCTGCAGCTTTTCTCCATGGTCGCGAGAGGACGTCGCAGAGACTTCATGAGCGTCTGGCGCTTCTGGCTGTTCCATCCTGTGCCGCGCGATTCAGAACGCTGGTCTCTGCTGAGCGTGGTCGATTGCAAACGCGAAAGATTCGTCTCCTGGCAAGAAAAACCCGAGATAATATCTCTACCACCCTGGGGGCGGCGGATAATTCGAAGGCAATGATGGCACTTTCCTTGTACGCATGAGGCTGAGTGATGAACGTCGATGAGTACGTCTTATACATTTCTTCTCTACCACGGCCACTATCAGCCAATACCTTACGGAGTTATTGACTTTTTGCACGAGCAAAAGCACCGAACGTGCAATCAAATCCTCAACACAGATACACATCATAAGATCTACCATCGCCAGAACATATTTCGCCCTCAAGAATGGCATTGGCAATCGGCCAGCACAAAACAAAAACTGTTGCGTCGTCAATGAAGAGTGTAAGTTTGTGGAACTTGTCTTTTCTTCGAACTCCTGTCTTCGACGTCATCATGGTGACTCATCGCCTTATGCAACGATCTACTGGAATCTTGTATATTGCCATGCCAGTTCGTTTTTGAGATGATAATCCTATGACAGTGGTATTATGCGCTAGGAAAGTGTTAAGATGCAGATCATCGCTGTTTATAGCTTCTTCAAGTACAAGATACATTCAATGCAAGTTTGATACTTTCACAGTTTGGAAATCTTCTGGAATTTACGTGTTAAACACAAGCTCGATCATGGTCCCCTCAGGAGCGGACCATTGATGATAATGATGCACATGCGAGGAAGGTAAATGATAACGATAGAGGGACACTCGATAAACGTACTGACAGACTCGATAAACTGAGCATTTGATGACAAGAAAGACAAAGAACTAGAACTCTAATTTGCGTACCTACTTAAATACAAGAAATGCACATGCACATACGCGACGACTTGTGACGCGCCCTAGAACTAGGAAGACTGACTCAAGTTGTATCTCTCACGAACTGCGTCACAGTTGTGTTCTCTCCTCCGCTAGTAGATGCTGCAGCTCCGCTATCTTTTGATGAAGATGTACTTTTCACCATTCTTTCACTTTCTGAACCTGGAGGCCCGCTTGAGATTTTTGAACTATTGCGTTCTTGGTCATGGAGAGTCGTTTCTTCAGCAGGTATGCTGACTCGGTCTCTCGGGTCCTCAGGCTCCTCATCACCGTATGCCATTCGTACTTCCCGACTCCGCTCCTCGTCCTCCCGCAGCTTTCGTCTGAGCTCTTCCGCGGCGTCGATGTGCTCGCTCGCACGCTGCTGCCGCCCCGACAACTCCAAGTTGGCGGCATTCAGCGTGTCTAGCAACTTGTTGCTCTTCGTCTTGAACTCCACATGCTCCGCTCGCTCTTTGCGAAGCCGCATTTGCAGCTCAAATTTCTCTTCCCTCTCACGCTTCAAAGCTGAGTGGACAACGTTCTCTCGAGCCTCGACCTCCACCTCGAGCTGTGCGATCTTCTGCGCGCTGGCTTGGAGGTCGATACGCATCTTTTGCATCTCGTTTTCGAGTAACTCGATTTTCTGCTGTCTCCGGGCGCTTATCTCCGCCACACGCTTCTTCTCCTCAGCCACAGTCGAAGTTTCATGCTGCTTGGCTGAAGTTTTGTAAATTTCACAATAAATCTATGTATGGAGGACGATCTTCATCATGATCTACATGCAGTACAGCTACTGCTACAGCTTTGTGTACTACAACTAAGAAGGTAATTATCTTCGAAAAGAGTTTCGAAGTACCCTTCCTCGATTTCTCGAGTGCGTCGACGATATCAAGAAGAGACGGTGCGTGCTCCTCTGCAACCATACTTCGCGTGTGCGGATCCAGTAATGCCAACAACCTATCTTTCACAACCGACGTGTCCTTCGCCTCGTCTGCGGCGCGACGCAGAATCAGTCGAGCTTTACGTCGTGTTATTTGCTCGCTCTGGTACATCTGCTGTGCCGACAGCGGCCCGTCTTTCTCGTCGCTAGTAAGCGGATCAAGATTGTCGAGGTCACCAGATTCCGCGTCTCCTGGCATCATCCCACTCGAAACCTGAAACTTGACCAACTCCTGGTTCACCGCAGATGTGCCCTGTCGCGACAACAAGCCTCCGTGCAGGACGAGCAATTCTAGCTCGCGACACGCGTCTGCGCGGCGGACTAACTTCGGCAGCACCTTTTCCTGCAGAATTTCCAAAGCGCCACGCGAAAGCGCCTCACGCTCCGTCGGACTGATGTATTCATCTGGCAATTTGCCCGCCACGTCCTTGGCGAGATTGAAGCATGTTCGTTGGACAAAACTCGTCAAAACCTGTGCCACCAGCGTGGGTGGAATCTCTTTGCCGTCCTGCACCGCGACCACTCCCGTCTTCTGTAACTCCGCGAATTCCCACGTACTAAGGGTGTTCGTAATGCTCCGTCGATCCTCCACAGAGAGATGGGCATACAATTTGCGCTTTTCGGTTGCAGGCAAAACGTCGTAGAAGCACTGGTGCGCGCTCATCTTGGCACGATGGAGCTCTGTGAGAAGATCGAGCACGTCGTGCACTTGCTGCTGCCGAAAGTGGATCAATTCCTCCGCCGTCGGTTGTTGGATTGGACCGGTTAAGACAATCGCTGCTGAGGAGGGGTCTCGATATGAACGCGGTCGGGGTTGCGCTCGGTCCCATTTTTCTTCTAACTCAGTCCTGTGCCGGTTACTAGGCACCAAATCAAGCATCGCGTTCCGAATTTGGCTCGCTTGCTTCTCAAATTCCTCGGTCAGAGCTCTATTACGATCCAAGGCGTCTCGTACAAGCCGTACGATTTTCTCGAAGTCTATTGTAGACATTCGAGAGTCCTCACCCCCAGCGTTTTCCTCCTGCTCCGAGCTGCTGCTGTTCTCGCTGTCGGTGTTACCCGTGCCCCCTTTCTTTACAAAAAGATCCTCCTGTGGGACAAGTTTCGACAGTTTTCGCATGAAATCGGATAGCCCCAAGACTAAGGAAGCTTGTTGCAAAAGTGCCCCTGCCTTCTCATCGAGGTTCACACAGTCTCGCGCATTCTTCGATTGCTCCGGCAAAAGGTCCACGTGCGCCGCGCTCGCCTGACTACCTCCCGCCTCCTCGTTGTAGAAGGAAAACAGCGAAGGCGCTGCACCCAATCCTGCGTCCTGAGCTCTGCGCCTTGACTCTTCCTCGGACAAACTGGCCTTGACACTTGTCGTCAAGGCTCGAAGATTCTCTAGCACGTCATATAGGGACAACTGCCTGCTCACCTTCGGCTTGTTCGCAGCTGGAACAGAGGAATAATTGAATCATTCTTGGAAACAAGAAGAATTTGAATTATTGAGCTTGTTGTTGTTCGTTGATTTCTCATACGATGATAGAGAAGATGCGATGACAAGGACAAGTTCCTTGCTATCATTCATAATCAAGTACATCATCTGTACGTAGTACAACTATGGATACCTCGCTTTGTAGAGCGTCCACTTGAAGCAGATGCTGCAGTGGTCAATTCTTCTCGCGCGGCTCTAACGTAATCGCCTAGATCGATCCCGAGATCAAGGTTGGCTTTGCTCTTGCCTGCGTCGTACCCAAAGTCCCGATTAACATGCCTCGACGATTGTGCAATCGATCTCAGGACAGGCGATAGGTCTCGGGACGTGGATGTGTGAAGATCTCCAGAGAACTCCAAGGCTTTGTCTAGGTCAAAGGTTTCCTCGCTGCTTAGCTTATCTCCGAGGACGTGTGGACTCCGATGTACCCCCTCAAACATTGGAAATCTCGTTCGCTCTAAGACCAGTTTCTGCGGAGACCGCTGCGGAGGAGACAGAGACCGAGGCGGAGCAAAAGATGCGATAGCAGCCAAAGCGCGACTTGTTGGAGACTCGCCTGCCTGCTCTACTGCCGCTGCGCGCGCAGCGCGAGCAGCAACTTCGATGGCGGCCTCTTGATCTCGCGCAGACCAAGCCATTGGCTTCACGCCTTCGACCTCCTCTATGTCTCCCCCTGCGGGAAAAGTAACGCGCTTCTTCACAACCTTAGAGGTAGACGGACCGGTTAAAGATGTGTTAGTTTCAGCCGTGCTTGTTCCTCCTCCATCCTCCGGCTTGATGTCTTCGAAACTACTTTTGCTGCTACTTTGCAAATCGCTGCCGCTGTCCGCAATGCCTTGCGCTGAAGAAAGGCGCGGCGCAAGAATCTGCGCAGCGGATGAACCGCTCGGCCGCGTTCTATACGGTGGTGGTGCGTTCGCTCCCTCCCAATTGTTGGACAGTTCTGCACTCTTCATCCTAGTGCTGCTAGTCGTCGCGGTTGATGAGGATTTCGTCGAAACCATGGTCCTGGTCCTTGGTCCGCCTTGATCGTCTATGATGCTCGGAATCTGATGTCCTCTGCCAACCTCATCATCATCTCCACCACTGCTTGTCTTCGAATCAGACTTGCCACTTGATGCGCCTCTATCAATCGACGGCGCACTTGTCTTAACGACCTGCTTGTCGTCTCGTAGAATGGCCTTTTTAGCTGGTGGCGGCCCTTGTCTTGGCCGTGCTAGAACTTCACTTTCGCCGTCCGAGGTCGCCTCATCCACAACACGTTCCGGGATGTCAGGAGGTGCCGGCTGCAGCAACGCATTTCTCAATTCGCTATGCTGTAGCACAGGGAGTTGAGGCAAGGGTTCCAACGATATGGCGGAAAACCGTGTCGAGGAAACAGGTCCTCCAAGCCCAGAACCAGATCTCGGAGCTGGAGTATGCACCTGCTGATAGTTATTGATGTTCGGCTTATTAGTCCCGGAAGGTGGCAGCTGTTGATGACGCTGCTGCGATATCGCTTCGCGGCCCTGCGGTCCTCGGGCAGAGGAAGACGAAGCGCCACCACCGCTGTAATTCACCGAGTGGCCAACTTGCGCTCGGTAAATAACAACCTCCTTCGGTCCTTCGCGGTTCGGACTTCCGTGCCACACTGAGATCAAATCTTTGTGGGAGCTGATCTTGGAACCGTTGACCATCAGGATAATGTCTCCTCGCGAGAAGAATTCGTGGGCATCGCTGACAGTTGCCGAGCCTTTAGCTAGAGGAGGCAAATCAACACCCCCAGGCACGAGGATCGTCTGCCTTACATATTCGATCTCACCGGGACGCGCCATCTTCTCGCCCGTCGATGGCTCTTGTATTTATTTACGTGTGAACCATGAAAGCAGATACGAAGGCACGTCTAACATAATGTTTGCTGATAGGGATTCTAGTAGCAGAATAAATCATGCTGCAATAGCACTGCTCAGTCTCCGACTGGTGTCTTTTACGTGAGCCAGCTGCGGTTGAAGCATAAGTTGACACACGATGAGTTATTATATATAATGTCAAGTAGTTGAGTAAAGTCTCAACAGCTGCACATGCACTGTGAGAACATGTAGTTAACAGCAAGATGTTCTTTTTGATCATGCAGGGTTATTCGTTGCAGTGAACGCGACAAAGTATGGCAAATCATAACTACAAGAGGGTCGTCAGAAGCAGGTACCGAGAAGACGGTGTACTGGGTGCCACAATGGAAGCTGCACGCCCATTTTGTGAGTCTTCCAAGTCCAACAAAAGACCGATGCACTTCTCACTACACTTAACACGAAAGGCTAATCCAAGCAGGAGGAACCGCAACCGAGGACAGAAATATTATAACTTACCGAACCACAGCACTGCCAGTTGTAAGCAACGTCCGTTACCGAAATATCTACTCTCCTGTCTTCTTCTGAATCCAGATATAATTCTATGAAGTGGCGCAGGAGCAATGGGCTTCAGAACTGTAGTTGCTGTTCTGCCCCCCCTCACCGACTTCTTTATGGGTCGTGGAATGATGACTTGCAGTTAGTCCTCGAATAAGGCACCAAGACAGAGACAGCGGCACGCCGATTCTACTAGCATATGCCTGGGTGGTGGTTCGTTTTTCCATCTTCATTTGCAACACAGTCGCCAATCACAAGTCACAACGTTACTAGAAATTTAAAGTTACTTACAAGAAGGCTCGTCCGGTTTTCATTCCTCCTAGGAAGGGTCGGTAATGTGGTTGCTCCATAGAGGCGTCACCGCCAAGGGCATAAGCTGATGTTGAAAACGGAAATCCCATTCCTCCATGGATCCATGAATTGTTACATTCGCTAGCTTCGTCAAACTTCCTCAATCTTCCGCTACGGCCAGCCATGCGAGGTCCTTCATCCATCAGTCTTCGCTCCACCGATGACCTGTGGTCGTGGTCTGATGCCTTCTTGTCCTTGTGCGAAGCTGCTGATTTGATGGCACTGCCGCTAGTCGCGGACCTCGAAGTCGAAGAGCTCGTTGCGTAGCTAACAAACAAAGCACCGAGCCCACCAACTGATGCTTGTTGAGCGGCCGAAAACGATGCCTCTTCAGTACTAGCGGGTCCTGTTTTCTTCACGACATAACACAACATCGGTGTTGTGAACTCCTCAGGTGCAAGCTGAGAAAGCTTTTCAGGATCGATCGAGTTCGCCAAAACCTGGCTCGACATTTCTACAGTCTTGGCACCACAGAAGAAAAAGGAGAATCAAAGATGAGTAAATGAATTGACTCAAAGTGCTACGAAAGGGGTCGTCTCCGTGCGCCAACGCACTTCGCCCGCATAGCTACTGATTGAACCGGTTGTGTGATAATTTTGGTTGATCTACAGAAAAGAAAGCAGACGAAGCCGATCCACTGCTCAGCCTGGAATCGCTTAGAGCGCCTTTACGGAGCAGTTCCGAATTCTCTCATACGGTATTTACACCTTTCTTATATTACCTGCGTTGTTCGGTACCGAGAAATACAGAACCGAAATCGATCATGGCAGCTGGCTGCTTGTTCTTTACCGAAGACCATCTGTTTCTGATTCACCAGCCGAAAACCGTAAGAAATTTCTACACACCTTTCATGGAACGCAGTCGATCATGGATGTTCAAGAATAACAGATTCTACATGCGACTCACAACGAACACTTAATGAAATCTCGATCAGCAAATACAAGTCCGACTGGTGGTCTGGCTGCGGGAAAAGGTGGTGCGCTCATGAGAGTTTCGGTTCGTTTTCTTTCAACGCTTTCGAATTCGAATCCAATCGACTTGTAGCTCTAGCTGTTTCTGGCGTATCATGTGATCTTCTGCCCTATGGGTTTGCATATAGTGTATGGGGTTCGGGATCGGGATGCATATCACAATGATAATGATTTACTTCTTACAAAGCGAGATACAGTATGCAAGCGACTATTTAAGCTATTTAGAAGTTGCGATACTGCAGCGCGACCGATCTGTGCACGGACTGTATTTTACTTGGTAAAAAATGGGAACATGATAACGGTTTTCATTCACTTGATAAGTCGCAATACGGTGTTTATGCAGTAGAGTTCATGTGGTTTATCTTCATGCTTCACTTCATTTACATTTTTCTGTGCACCATCTCAAATAGCATGGACCCGAGGGGATTCCTTTTCGGTGAAAACTTTCTTATGCACCGGTTGCTAGCTTTTAATGGCCGATGTTCGGTTGAAAGGGCCGTTCAGACTGGACCTCTGGGCCTTCTGGTCCGTTACGTTACTCGTTTGCACCATACCGCCGAGAGGAGGGAGAAGGATGGGATTGGGAAGCTTCGGACTTTCTCTGCTGGCGCGCCGGCTTTCTAAATGACTTTCAATCTCCATAAATGTAAGAATCCCGCCGTCGTCGTCATCAGCATTAGTAAAATCCTCTATGCACTGCCTTATGTCAGCAGGAGAGACAAGCCCAGCAATGATCAGACGGACAACAGTGAAAGAGAAAATATCGATACCGGATTCGGTATCGGTTTCGTCGCCCGCTTCAGCTTCTGTTAATATCTTTGACGAAAATGAAAAAGAATTATTAAGAACATCAAGATATAATTACGAATGCGTGTTTGTACCATATGCATAAATAAAAGCACGAAAATATGATAATGAAAAACGATGATTCACGTGATACTGTTCTTGCATTAGGGCCTGCCAGTGAAATGAGCAACAATCTTAAGGATGACGCTATACCCTCCAAGGGGCCTCCGCATAGATATTGATATACTGAGCAACAGGCATTCACATCTAGTTTTGGATTTGGATTTGGATTTGGAGATTTCAGAAATTGTTTCTGGCCACCTATAGGGGCGCAGTACGTTTCGCAATCAACAAAAAAGCGGGAGACAGCACACAAGAAAAGATTATTACCTGTATTGCTGTTGCTCACAAGGGCGAGCGCCTCCCGAGCGAGCTCATCCGACTCACAGTTCGCACGGCCGTAGATCTGCTCAATGACTAAATCGAGAGACGCGAGATTTGCAATGCCAACCGAGAATGAGAAGGTCGAAAAAATGACTAAGATCGCCCACACCCAGTGCACATCGGCGTCCAAAAGCGCTAAATCTCCATACCCCGTTGTTGTGCACATGACCACGCTCCAATACAGACTATCGACCGTGTCAAAATCCTCATTCGCAACGACTAGAATTGCAGCCACCAGCGCGACTGGAACGCACATGATAAGGAGGAACTGAAAAAACTTCTGGAATTTCAGACACGAAACATATCGACGCAACGAAGTATCGCCGAGCAGAAAATCGCGCGCGCGCAGGTACAACCATGGTTGCTCATGCGGCTCCGCATATCATTACAACAAGAGAGAGGCTCCGCATATCATTACATCATGGTTAGAGAGGCTCCGCATATCATTATTCTTCTATTCTATTCCATCCACGTCCACCACCCTAATAATTTGTTATCCTACAGTTCTTATTTACAAACTATGCACACCATAGTGCTCCCACTTGGCCACATTGATTTGAGCATTTAAGACACTCACTTACTCTTCACAAAAAAAGGCTCATCCTAATCGATGAATGGAAATATGTACTTAGATTGTCAATACCATCATCATGAAGATGTCTATAAAAATCGGACTATGATGACCCGACAAAGCCATAATGTACACGTCGTCTGCCGATGTTCCTAGCCAATCGGGTGCGGCAGGGTTTAAACTGCCCATGCCACGCAACATCGTTCCTACACCATGCGCGATAGTAGACACTCGTTCCGTACTTTCTGCTCTGCTCAACTCCGATGATTATCGTTTGGAGCCGAGTCCTCCCGTCGTTCTTGTCGTGCTGCGCCGCGGAAATAAAATGGGGTTGGTGGTACTTGGCGTCCCTCTTCTTGCCGGAAAGTGAAAGAGGAAGTCACCGGAATCAGTAGAAGATCGTTGTGACGATAAGCTTCGCTTTGATGGCGTTCTTCTCATCGCCTCCGTAGCAGTTATATTTGACGCCTGGTTGGGGGCCGTGAATATCGTGCCTTGTCCAACTCCCGCATCTTTAACATCATTTTCTCCATCTCGTTGGGTTTTGTCTTCAGGCTCGACATTGCATGGCTCATTCCTCTGTTCATCTGGTGACTCCTGTGCGTCTTCGTATCGTGACTCTATCTCGAAAGCATCATCTTCTCCGAATACCACTTGTTGCGTTTCCCTACTGAACTTCCCGCCTGCGAGGGCTTCGTCGTCTTCGCCGTCGTATCTCTGCCCATCTCCTGGCTCAATGGGCAGTGTGCCGTCTTCTAGTTGTGTCTCACCGTCACCTCTCTGGTGGCCGATAATGAGGTCCTCCATATGAGTCGCACTGTCTAGTTTCTTGATGAGCTCTTCTCTTTTCGCTTGTTCTTTCTGCTCCTGCGCCGCATCATCTAGGTCGCGGCCCCAAGCTGAACATCGTTTTCCTTTTCCTCAATGTGATCTATAGCCCGCATCATATCTTTCAAGGGTAAAACCAGGACGCCACCGAGCATAGGGATGCCGAAGAGCAGGAGCAAGATCGCAAACGGATTTCCCACAGTCGTACTCGGGGTCACATCGCCAAAGCCCACCGTGGTGATGGAACTGGCGACGAAGTAAAAAGCCCGCCGGACATCCATAACTGTATATCATGCAGAAGCTTCTCTACTGTTGGCGGTCGATGACACACAACGTCATCTGGTAGCCCGGTGCAGTAGAGTGTAATTTGTGCGGCAAAGAGAGCCACCAGCACCAGCAAGCTTGCCAGCACCGGATGTCCCTCGACGAAACTCGGATCCTCGTACGTCCACAATTCTAGAAAGTGGCTCCAATTCAGGGTGCAATCGTCCGTCATCGGGTCTAGCGGCAGCCACTGTTCGCCGTCCCGAATATAGCAAAGCATGTCCTCGAAGATCGGAGCTTTCGCTGTCACCGGTGCTTGCGTCATCTCGCTTTCAGGCAACAGCTTGCCTAAAGTGCCTGGTAACGCTCGCGCCAGTTCGCTTTGCCTCTTGTTTTCCATAACCCAATCAAGCTATTTCTCTAAAATCCAACGAATATCCTGAGCCCCCAGTCTCTCGCGCTCCCCGCACTGATCCTTGATCAGCCGCCGCAGGAAAGCCTTCGTCCGCCTGCCCAGTCTTATGCGTTGCGCTTGCGCGTGCGAGTCCAAGGCGTCGAAGTACCTAACGATGTGCTTTGCGTGTGCCAGGTCCACCCTTCTTTTTTCCGCAATATTCTCCTGCTCGGACAAAAACCCGCGCGGCTCCACCATCATCGACTTGACGCCACATGCACTGCTGATGCTGACTGTTGCTGACGTGCCCAACGCACGTGTTTCTCTAGCGCAGGTGTTGGGGGTGGCCATACTTCTTGTACTTCCGTTTTGCGACGTGCCGCCACTTGGCGAGGACCGCAAAGTGATGGCTTTACCTGTTGATCTCTCACCCGATAAAGCTGTTTCCCTCGCGAAGGCGCTGGGAGTGGCCATGCTCCTTTGACTTCCGTTTTACGACCTGTCGCCCTTCGGCGAGGACGTCGTAGACGTTCCACAAAACGTGGTACTACGTGGCCACCGACGTCTCATTTTGACTGGCTGCGTTAGATCGGGCCCAAGAAGACGAAGAGCTGTCTAACCAATAGAATGCCGTCGTGGCAGGCCAGCACCAGCATGCCTGAACGAAAACGATATCGACATTCTCTCGTATAGCTATTCTTCACCAGTAAGTGTCTCGTCGCCAAGTACAGCACTTCTAGGCAGCAGCTAGATGAAGATTCTCCTCTTTTATTTTAACAAGCATTGCAAACCTCAACAAAGTCCATTGAAGAATAAGAAGATGAACTCATAACAATGATGATGTTCATGTTGATGAAATAATAATCGGGACTCCGCCAAGAAGTATTTAAGTTAGTCTGTAAAACTAAAAGCCAAACCAGGGATGCCCCCGTCGACCGACGGTCTTCGAGTTCGAGCAAACTATTTACATTTAGCAACGATTGGGGATTGGGAATCTAATCTCTTTACTTGTAAAGTTTTGCCTTGGTTTTGATTTTTACATTTTGCGTTTTGCTTTTGATTCCATATTTTGCGTTTTGATTTTGAGTTTTGATATTGAGTTTTGATATTGAGTTTCGAGTTTTGATTTTGAGTTTTGATTTTGAGTTTTGATTTTGAGTTTTGATTTTGAGGCTTGATTTCGAGTCTTGATTTTGAGTTTTGATTTTGAGTTTTGAACTTTGAAGACCAAGACACGCGGAAACAACACCGCGAAACGCGCAGCGTTTTGCTTTTCTCACGAACGTGGAAAGCTAGGGCATGAATTGCGAAAGTTGAGACGTGAACCCTGAAAGTTAAGACGTGAATCCTGAAAGTTAGGGCCTGAATTTTGCGAGTTAGCTTAGCCCGTGAATTCTGAAAGTTAAGGCATGAATTTTGAAAGTTAGGGCATGAATTTCGAAAGTTAGGGCATGAATTCTGAAGGCTAGGGCGTGAATTTTGAAGGCTAGGGCATGGATTTTGAAAGCTAAGGCATGAACTTTGAAAGTTAGGCCATGAATTTCGAGACTTAATGCGTGAACTGTGAAAGTTAGGCCATGAATTTTGAAGGTTAGGGCCTGAATTTTGAAAGTTAGGACATGAATTTTGAAAGTTAGGACATGAATTTTGAAAGTTAGGACATGAATTTTGAAAGTTAGGACATGAATTTTGAAAGTTAGGGCATGAATTGCGAAAGTTAAGGCTTGAACTTTGAAAGTTAGGACGTGAATTCTGAAGGTTCGGATATGAATTTCGAAAGTTAAGACGTGAATTTTGAAAGTTAGGGCCTGAAGTTTGAAAGTCTGGCGTGAATTGTGAAAGTTAGGGCGTGAATTTTGAGAGTTAAGACATGAATTGGCAGAGGTTAAGACATGAATTGGCAGAGGTTAGGGCCTGAGCATGAATTTAGGGCATGAATTTTGGAAGTTAGGTAAGACATGAGGCCCACAGGTTCAGGCGTCCCCCGGTGCGCCCCGCTCACTTTTCCCGGCCCCGCTCTCTTCTCCCGGCGCCATCTATAAAAAAATGGCGCTTCCGTAGTGATTTGCATCCAGTCTTCTACTATTGCAGATTCTCATACGCATTCCCCGATCGACATTGTCTACAGATCTGTGCCTATTTCCTGTCATGCGTTACGAGGACAAGAATACGTATTTCCCTTCTAATCCACCCCCACAAGATTATGCGCCGCATTTCTATTCTGTTTCACTGTAATAGGTAAGCTGTCAAGCATTCTCTTGGCGCACATTCATCACGCTCCTTCTCAATTTTGGCGCTTCTTCGAGCACCTCCATGTCTGTGTTTGGTCTAGCTGACGTCTCGGGTTGCTTTCGTATCCTTCCCCTGAGGAACCACACCAGGGGGCTAGTTTACATCAGCAGGAAAAGGGTGCCGACTGCGTGACATCTCTTGTAGTACGTGTTTGTACAGAATGAACGTAGCTTCGGGTCTGTGAGACCTTCATCAGGCTAGCTTGACCTCACCCTTCATGGTGCAGATTCGATTATTCCATTCTACTCATCTGACAGAGTTACTACCATCTACCACCACAGAGAGATGACGTACTTGATGTGAAGGGATGTCTCTTCTTCTCTCTCTCCGACTCGACTTTTCAGTCTTGTTCAGATGGTCGCCCTGCGGCGCTTGAGTGACAGATTTTTTCCATCTGCTCACTGCTCATCCCTCGTACAGAAGATCAAAATTCAGATCCACAGATTCGATCATGCATCAAGATCTTCATGATTCAAGATAAAACTAGTACATGTAGTAGATACTTATTCTGTCTCAAATTATCGCAACGTGGAGTAGAGCCTCCATACAGATGGCCTTCGTATGTAGCGCCAAGCGGGAAGTATTTGATAGATCCAATTCTCGAACTTCGTTCAACTGTCGAAGATAAGGATAACTGCTTGTCGGACGCTATCCTAATTTTGATTTCGTACTCGGTCTCTCTCACTGAGTATTTCTTTCTTACAAGAACCTGGCGGGTGCAGGCTATGTTGTGAAATATTGTTGTTGATGTCCTAGTAAATTTTACAATCATACACTAGCTGCTCTTGCGGCAGTTTGTGTTCGAGAAGATGGTAATTTGAGTTTCTTGTTATTTTCACAGTGAAGAGTTTCTCTCTCAAGTCGAAATAGTTTCAAAGTAAATTGAGTGCTAGTTGTACTTGCCTTATTCTAGAAGCACATCTGCTGACATCGATAATTCCTCAAATCTATACAATCCACCGATTGATTCCGAAGATGCAAACATTTTCGTTTCGTCCTGTTTGAAAACAAGAACCACTTCCTAAAAATGGAACTGCAAGTACTCATTTGTACAACATCAAGATAGCCAGGATAACCAACGGGATGAAATCGTACTATATATAACATTCATTGGTGTCCACCAACTCCAAACCGACTACTGGGTCGATCATGTACTACTTCCATAATAATTTCTGTCGAACAATCCCGACCAAGGAAAGTACTGTCAAAGTAGGGACGTCTTCACTCGTTGTCACTAGTGGAACTTTGGGAAGTTGAGGACCCTGACGCATCCATCCGCAGACCCAACGACGAATGCAGTCGCAGCTGCGTTGAAGTTTAGACTGAAAACCGGTTTGGGCGTAGAGACCACACCAAGGCACTGGTGCGACTTCGCATCAAACACTTTTGCTTCGTTGTTTTGCGACCCGCCTGCAATGATGTACCTAGATGAAGAAGAGCAACAAGAAAAATTGACTTTAATCTCTGTTCACTCAGCGCCTGCTTACATGTTTCATGCTCGCGCCAATGGATTCGGAAACGCCGTGGCTCGATCACATGCTATATATGACGCAGGGCCGGACGGCCCCCCTTCCCCCCCTGTGGTCTGCTCTGTGGTGGCGCGCGTGCGCGCTTTTCCGCGCGGATTCTAGTGATGGAAGGCGTCAAAACTTGGCGCGGGCCTCCCCTTGGGCCTCTCAGCGTATTCCTGAGGGGCCTCCTGGCCTCTGCTGACCCTCGCAGGCGGGAGGCCTCCGGGGTAAAAGGCCGCCGAAGGCGGCCACGGTCGCAAGAGCAAGCAAGCAGATGACCAAGGGCCCGGAGGGTACAGGCGGCACGGCTGCGGCGGCGAAGCCTAACGGATGCACCTAGGGCACAGGCAGGCACCTGGACGGGGGCGCAGGCGGTCCCTTGGGCCCCTTTTGAAGCCTCCCACCACCATCGGAGGCCCCTAGGGAACAGCCAGGCAGCTGGAAGGGAGCGGAGGGGGGGAGGTCACTGGGCCCCCTTTTGAGGTCTCCCCTCCCCCGGCAGACGCCTGAAAAAGGGGTCCAGGGCGCCCGGCATTAGGGGGGGGGCCGTCGCCCCGCGCCCTGGAACATATATAAACATCGGTCATGAAAAGAAACGTGATTAAATATCTACCTAGACCCAGGCTTCGAGTATTCAGCGGTAAACGCCATGCATTCGTTACTAGAGAGATGACCCTGAGGTCGCCACGGAATCGTATCCTTCAGCTGTCCAGTACCGAAATCCCATACTTGCAGCGTGTCCTGGGATTGAAGTTCAAGAACGTCAAAGAAATGGCGATAAAAATGGTGGACATGGAGAATAAGAAAGAGGCAAAATTATAGAATCACAAGCTCAAGAGCTGTGTTCCATCGTCTACTGCAATTATTCGGGACACCGCGAACTGACGCTAGAGGATTGGTATCTATGTATATGTAGAAATGGGATACAAGAGACCTCTTCAGCAAAGAAGTCGCAGTACCGTCGTTCGATAGGATGCAGTCAAAATATCACTGCTTTCGTCGTTCAAATCGATAGCATCACCGCAAATGTATGCACCATAGATGCTACGGACACTTTGTCCCTTCCGCGTATCCCAAATTTGGACCTGAAGTGAATGAAAATCTTCGACCTAACTTTCTCTCGTTCTATACATTTAGTGCCAGAGCTTGGCGCTTATCATCATGATCGTTCTACTTCAGGTCTCTAAGCAGGTGTGGCATGATGATCATGGCTGAAGAGCTCGAGGGCTGGAAACATCGGAACCGTCAGCCGTCAAAATGCAAGTACCGTGTTATCCCATCCTGCAGAGACCAAAAGGTTTGGATTGCTTGAATGGAATTTGACGGAGAAAACCCTATTCGAGTGCCCTGCTGTTTTTTGCATATCTCCACCCTCAAGAGTCGTTGTTAGCCGCTTTGTTGCCTCGTCATACACTCGAACTTTGTAATCACGCCCCGCAGTCGCAAATATCGATCCATTATAGTAGTAATCCAAGCAGAATATTTGGTTACCTAGTGGTATTTTCAAGAATATTGAAGATTGTCTAACCTTCTATAAGTTGATGTCACATGATTTCCTTTGTAGTTCTAGAAGAAGATGTCGCGCAGCTGTTAGCCTTCGGCTTTCATCCTTTCTGAACTTCGCATTATGCTGAAAGAATCTTCAGAGGTAGTGCACCCTGTTGTAGTCATCTTGATAAAGTACCTGCTTCTTCGATTGTGTGGAGGCACTTCCCACTCTTTATGTGCCAGTGCTGCACCTCACCGTCATTTTCTGCGTTTACAGATATCAGAACGTTTTTAGTGCGACTTTCAGATCCCGATGGTCGCCATCGCACTTGCGTTGTCGGAAATGTTGGTGGTTGCATTCTGTAGGAAAGATATGTACACGAGTCAGACACCGTGGCCCAGTGGGAGAGGGAACTATGATGGAAATAACTTACATGCAACTAGCTGGCTGATTAGATCCGCAACACAATGTAGCGGAATGTTGCCCAGCTCAGTATTCCGAAACTGTCGACGGGACTATTTAGCAACACAATGAATGAATATGTCTATGTATCTATACGCTTTGACAAGAGCATCTTCCTCCCCCTCGCCTCTTGGAGACTCCGTTTCCGCACCAGCATCTTGGCGGTTGTTAAGCGTGAACTCTTCAGCGCCTGTGTCAGCATCGAAGACGCGAATAGTTCCATCTGCGTACGAGACTGCGAGCATGCTGTCATCTGGGGAAAAGCGGCAGCAAAATACTTCTGCTGGCTCTACATCTTTGGCGGGCTTAATTACATACTTCGGCGCAATTTTTACGACGCCTGCGGCCTCGGGAGAGGCGGCCATTTTTGATGCCGATACGGACTGCTCTTGCGCAGACTGCTTCGATACTACACGAGAAAACGCTGAGTCCTCGAGACTAGGCATGCTTTTTCATTCACAGTTTCCGAAACCTTTCTTACACTCTAGCACGTTCGTTGTAGTTCCAAATTCGTTGTTTCGCATGTCTTACTTTGCCGAGGACACAATTATAGAAGCAACAACACGGAGATGTCACCATAGTAAAGCGGTTCACTAGTGTAAAAAGTTGGTCCCTCGTCCTGGTTCTCGTTCTGCTTTTTGACTTTTAGCGGAGGTTAGCGACAGCTGCTCTTCGACAATCTCGGAGATGTTACGCACTCTAACATCAGTAGCCTATTTTGGCGCCAATCCAAATCCAAAATCTCACATCTCGTAATCATTTTCACTGAGCATTGTTTTCTCTTTCACATTCCGACCTCTCCCTTTTGCTCGCTCAATTTTCTTTGAAATTTCACATCAGAATGAGCAGAATAGTCGCGAATGCTGGCGGATATTGCAAATACTGGGTTGTCGGCACGACGAGCGTCCTACTTTTTCGTCAATCGGATGCGCATGGCGCTTTTTTGGTCACGTAGGCCAATGGCTTCTCCTGGTATACAAAATCCTAAATGCCTGTTAGGTGCTTCAAAATTACGAGGAGCGGTACCGATGGATAAAGGTGCGTTTATCAACAAATCGTATCTTCTAATACTAGCCAGCGTGTTCGCCTGTTCAATCATTGACCTGGACGTATACCGATGGGATTGGGACTTTTCTCTGCTTACATTGAATTTGATTTGGACCCTTGGGGAGCCCTCGTCAGTTTAGATATGTACAAATAAGGACTCATATTTGACAAAATGAAACAAGTCCTCGATATAAAATAACTCTTCAGCACCTATGCCCATACCTACTTCCCTGAGTACTGAAACTGAACTAGAGGACCACATCGACTCATCTGATACTATTTTCAATTTGCAAAGCCACTCGACACGGACGCTTCAGCGCGTGCGGATCAGAGCGTCATAATTGCGTCCTTCTGGTTCAGCTCAGGCACACCCCTGCAATACCTGCCGCAGAAATCCTCGACAGAGCCTCTCGGATAGAGGCCTGTGCCGACAGTCGCAGATGATAGAGGCAGTGTACTACTTGCTCTGCCCATATTTGGCTGTCCACCAGAAGACGCACTTGCTGTCGCAGAAGTCGCGGTTGCCTTTTCGCCATCTTCCTGGGATTCTGTTCCGTCAGTTCCACCAGGCGCATTTTCCTCCGAGGCGGCTGCGGGGCTCAACTTTGTAACGTCGATTTCCTCGATTGTAAAACGAGCGTTGGTGGCAGTGTCCAGATCAGAGGCGATTGTGCACGCACGAACCGCGATCTCTCTCGCGTCCAGTGCTACTCCAGACTCGACCAGCGCTCGGGCCGCTGCAGTCGCAAATGCCCCACCGGAACCGATCTGAATAATGTCTTTGCGTTTCACAACTTTGACTTCATTTCGCAATTGATTGTCACAAAAACTATGCATAGGGTAAATTAGCATCCTCCAAAACGTTGTAAACCTAAAAAACCGCACCATCATGCGAGAGAATAATATTTATAGTCATGGATGTCTGATAAAGATAATCACATTTAGTTTATAGTTAAATATACGCCAAGAACGCCATCATGCGGCTCGAAGCAATCTCCGTTGCCTGTAAGTTCCAGCGTTGCTTCCGCATTTGCGACAATAACTGTTGCGTTCAATTGTCGCAGCATTTTATCAAGTCGCCACGCCTTTGCTAATTCAACACTAGCGCGGACCAGCTGGCCAGGATATTCCTCTAGTTTCATCTCAAGCCGCTCTAACAGAGCCAAGCAATCCGCGGTTCCGCCTGCGAACCCGGTCATGCAGAGATTTTTACCTAAAACAACGAACAAAGCATCAATCATGGCTCTCACAAACCAAATGATAGAACCATTTCTGAAACATATTGCCAGACCAAAAGAAGTAGCTAAATACCTTTTCCGATTGTCCTCACCTTTAGCGCGTTGGGCTTTACCTTGTAGTGCCCCGCTGTCACCAAACCATCGCCGCACATAACTACCTTGTTATCCTTCCTGACACAGAGAATCGTCGTATTTCGACGTTGACTTCGAAAGGCATCATCGCATGTCTTACCATGTGCCCTCGACCAAGAATTGGTGAGTGCAATCAGCGATGCCTGTTGCGGCATCCCTCGCGCTGGCACTGGAGAGCGCATTAACGACTGCATTTTTCGTAGCTGCTCGTTAGGTCTGGGGAAGAAGAATCGTGAGTCTCTCAACAATTTTTGTCTAGCCTCCCTTCGATGTTTTCAACATTGAGGGTGCCGCTTTGACACTCCCCTCGTCGCATTTCTTTGTCTCACCTCAAAAATCATCATCAAAGCGTTTTCCTAAGTACAAGTTACTTCAATATTTCGCACCCCCTCCTCGTTTGTGACACAAATGATGAACAAAACGTTCCTGACCGCGAAAGATGGTCTCCATCGCTGGCAGTCTGCCAAAAATTTTAGGCTCTTTCCGAGCAGCTGAACAGTGTCCTGAGTTGATGAAGTCGAAAGTTGGACATGTACCTCTCGACCAAATCGTCTCAGGTCGAAGCGAAAAGTGAAAGCAATAACAAGTGACAGTCTGTCACATGACTGATATGTTGAGATTCATCTTCATCTGATCATGTGTCGTGCACGTAATGGCATGAAATAGGGTATTAATAAGCGCGGCACAATTATCTTAGTGACTCGGAGGATCTAGCAGGTCCATATCGGTAAACAAGTTCGAAAGTTCGCTGGACGTCGATGCCGACACGAGTTTAGTTGACAGTGCCCTCGCGGGTAGCCCCTGCTCGTCAACCTTCGCACCTACCGGCCCGTCCACCTCGGCGGCTACACTCGCCATCGCAGCCGCAATCTTGCGCAGATTTGACGAACGGGAGAGAGACCTCAATCCATCCAGAGCATCATATTGAGAACCAGAGCCAGACACCGACGGACTCCGCGACCCCATTGGTGCCGCGTGGTCTTGCATTGTTGGCGTACTGGAATCGTTGATCTGAACGGAGGGACGACCTGACGACACTGCATCTCCGGCACCCGGCTTCGCCGCTTCGCCGGCTCCCCCGGCCGCGGTAGTTAGAGCTAGATTTCTCGCATTTTGACTGTTGAGCCCGAGGTCTAAAATTTTGACTGTTTGGTCCATATCATCCCAGGGGGCGATGGACATCACAATGGACGGACCATTACTTTTTTCTGTGTCTTTCCGCGCCTTAAAATGGGAGTCCCCGAGTCAGCTCCGTGCTGTACGCGAACGACAACGTACTCGTAATAGCGCCTACTTCCACCAGACGTTTTGGATTGGATTAAGTCACCTGACGAATTCTGCTTCGGAAGGGCCGCCGGCTCATCGCTGTTAATTCCTCTGAACGAGGCGAGAGAGCCGCCTTTGGGGCCCTCTGGTGTCGCGGCCTCCACAGCCGCTGTTTCAGTAATTGGCGCCACCTCGCCAGCTGCCTCGTTCTGGTTCTCGCCGTCGTTTTGACTCTCAGCTGCGCCGCGGCTCAATTGGTGCGATTCGTCCACGACAACTGGTCGGCTCACGCACGTGAGCAAGAAGAATGAAGGTGGAGTAAAAACTCGAACTTCGACTTCCCAATATGTAACATTCTTCATCTACGAAAAGTATAGGGATTCTACTTTGAAACACGCGATCGTAAGTATCGACGACATCGACCAAGGCTAGTAAAAGAACAGCTAAGAACTACAAGTGTTCAATTGATAGGCGATTTTTTCACGGACAACTAAGTTCCCCTTCATAACCTATATCGGTCCTCATCGCAACCATATGTACTCGGAATCAACTGGACAACTGTGTTGAGCGGTATGCTAACACCTGGCGCTTCTTCCCGAGAGAGTCCCTTCCAGTAGGCATAGAGAATCCGCAAGACCCCCTGATGGCCGATCACCAGTAGCCTTTCCCGACATCTTTCCATATCTAAGATGCAAGCTTCCACCCGCCCAATCACATCCAGATACGATTCTCCGCGTGGATAGCGGTACCCAAGCTTGTTCCTGCAAGTTGTTTTATCAGGGATAATTATATTTATATAATATTGCTTTCCGATTCAAAGTTATACCCTCTACTACCTAGCTCTAATAGGAATAGCACTAGTTTCTACCTCGACCAAAAATCATCAGCACAAGAAGAACAAAAACTTGTGTGTGCGTGTGCAGTTAAATAAAGTTCTCCTAAATTGTGTACTTACCTTTGTCGTTCTCTGAATTCATCTGGAAATTGTTCTTCGATCTCGCGATACGTCATCCCATCGTAGAGTCCCGCATAGATTTCGTCGAGATTCCGCCACTCTTTTTTCTTGAACTGCTCCCACACAGAGGCGCCGGTCTTGGCGTTTTTCACTTTTAGATCTTGCGGGATGTAACCGGCAGTATCTCGTGTACGTCGCAGTGTCGACGTCCACAATCGCGCAGGGACGTCGCGGCCATCCTTGTCCTTTGCAATATAGGAGGTCGCAAATTCACCCAGCGCCTTCGCATACTCGTTGGAATTAGAAGAAGAGATTTTGATGGTGGTCTTTAACATGATCAGTTGACAAATTGCTGTAGTCGGTTGAATGACTCAATGATGCGAAATAATCCATAACGCCAAGCTCAGTGAGTCCCGAATCTCCTCCGATTTTCTGTAGTTCGTTGTATTCGCTTTGCCCGTGTCTCGAGAGGTAGAAAACTCGACCCTGCACTTGGTCTACATTCAGGTGCATGAGAAACTGCACCATTTTCGTTGGGATATAACCCTTAATGTTGTTCACAATGTGCCTGGACAGATTCAGCACTTTCACCCACATCTCGTTGCCTTCTGGCAGTTTGTTACTCTCGTCCAACGTGGTGTATACTTCCTCGTAGAACTCTATCCTTTCGCGGAACTCCTTGTGCGCCGTCTGAGCAGAGACCTCCTGGAAATCCGGACATTTCAGCTTTACGGCCTTGATGTTCCGTTCGACGATGCTGTCGTCCGTGACCACACTCTCCAAAAACATCACCTTCACTGCGACAATATGCCGCCGAACTTGGCTCATCACCTTCGCATATTATCATGCAATCAGAAGTTTTAGTTTTCGAGAGAAAGTTTAAGTCATAAAGATAAGGCAAAGGCGCTCCTACTAATTATTAAGTAGGTGTAGGCACGATTTCCCGGAACAACAACAAGAGCAGATACCTAATGTGCGAGATAAGAGTCAGCAGGAAGATAATCGGAATTTTCCAGATTCTAGTAGAAACACGACTAGTGCTTATGTAGTACAAAAAGGCAGTAGAAGGTACCCACTCCCGCCTTTCCGGCGTCGAGTTTGTGGCGTCGAAGAACGCGACTCGTTTCCCTGAGTCCTGGCACATCCAGTGGATGAGGTCCAACATTGCCTTTTCGCAAGCTGCATGCCTCGCAGCGACGTTTTCGGGCCTCTGAGGGTTGAAAAAGCTGGGATCTAAGTGTCGTCCGCACATTTTTCGTCGATACTCACCGACATTGAAAATCTTGGTCGTCACGCCGTGGAAGAAATCTAGGTACCGCGCTAAACGTCGACTGAGGTACGTCTTTCCGCGCGCTGGCAAGCCCACCATAATCACCACGAAGCGATCATGGTACAACTCGCCCTCCCACGTGCTATTGGGGTCTAAATTCATCGGAACCGGCTGCGGGATCGGGTTCTTGCGCGATCGTACCAAGGTGTACTTTAGACGAAGCTAGTCGTGACACCATCAGATAGCTCAATGGGGATGGTGTATTTTTCTAGGTGTTTATGAATTCCACCTACCATGAAGATGGGTCAACATCAAAATATATTCCTGATCACTAACGAGAGCTTTTGAATACTGTGGTCATTGAACGCACATTGATAATGCGAACTCGTCGTAAGCTTCTGTGCTCCGAATCGCCGGAAGCGAAAAGTTCGGTAAACTGTGCGAGACAAGCAGTGGACTCGTACCGGGAGGCTGCCTCTAACAGAAGAGCTACGTCCTCGATGGAAAGGAATCTGGCGCGCAGAATCTTTTGTACCGCTCTTAGGTCATCACGCGATACACACCAAAGTGCATAAAGCAAGTACCCGCGCCAGATGTGGTGGCCTTCAGCAGCCTCTCCGTTGGTCCCGAATCCTTGCAGTTGTGGCAAATACAATCAATGTGTTTCTTTTGGTGCTTATTTGTGAGCAAGAACGCTGAGAAACTCTTTGCTTGCTTTTTGGAAATCAGCCGTAGCTGAACTGAGAGCTCTGGTAATAAGTCATGTCATTGTAGCATTATATGTTCGGTGGATAAGAAACTAAGCCGTCCCTGGAGTACTCCGAAACTAATGGCCGCTGAAACAATAGGTACCAGCCTGTCCTTGGTCGCCTGGCTCAGGAAGGCTCGCGAGACGGCTCATTCCACTACACGGTTGAAAACCGTTTATTCTGGTATGGTCGCTGCCTGACCCACTTGCACGCCCGAGGAGCCGCTCTGCGACGCTACCAGGCCCTCCTGGAGAAGCGATGACACCCCTACTTCTGGCAGCCGAAAACGCCACTGTGCTGCTTACGCCTGAAAGGCCACTGAAAACGCGTTCGCGTTCGGTCCCAAGTGTTTCTGAAGAAGTAGGTTCTGGCACGTCCTTACTGGATAAGTTGGGGTTCCCCGCCTTTTCTACTACAGCTGTTTCTGTATAATTAGCTGTCGCAGGCAAGACAGTGATCGCTTGCATTATACCACCGTTCGCTTCAGTTGTATCACTTGACGGCGCGGTCAGTGCCTCCAGACTACCATCGGCAGAGCCCGAGCTGGAACTCTGTGTCCTTCGCGCTCCGCTATTCGAATCTATACTGCCTGCGCTTCCGGGCTCGTGCGACAAAAAGCTGTCTACTTGTCCGTCTTTGAATTTACTTTTTGAGACCCGGGGCTGCGGCGTGTACGTCGTCAGAGGATCCAAAACGATTCGACCTAGCTTTCCACCTGCTTCGCCCTTCGTGGCAAAAACACTCGGCGTAGCTGATGCACTTCCGCCACCTCCAATTTTGGTGCTCGACGAGGCTGCGCCATTTCCGGCTTGTGGACCTCCTAAACCAGCATGCTCGCCCGAAATACTAAGAACGGATGGCACTCCGCCGACAGCGTTAGGCGCAGAACCGGGACCACCTATCGCGGGGGCGTCTACCGTCGGGTCCGCTTCCGCAACGTGCCCGTCGGCGTTCAGAAAAAAACTCCTGCTCTGCCGCCTGTCGTCCGCACCTGGAAGCATATTCAGCATTTGGTTGCTGACCATTCTTGGCGTTGTATCCGCGACACCTCCTATTGCCGGTGTAATGTTGTTCGTGCGACTATTACTCCGTGACGAAAGTCCGCGGGGAACAACGGCAGGTACCTGCAGAGCCTGACGCGCTGTATCTGGCAGTGCGTCCTTAGTAGTTGAGCTACTATTACTAAGAGACGAAGAAGAGCCGACCCCCGGCACAATCGCGCTAGAGCTGCTCTGCCCTCTCCCGCCAGACGCAGGACCCTTCAAGTTAGAAGTCCAAACGAAGTAGCTGCCCCATCTTCTTTGTATATTATTTCATAGTAAAAGTAGAACCTCATGCTGTGTTTCACCTCTTATGAAGTTGAAAGACAAAGCTCAAACTTTTTCCACCAAAAGAACTTGATACGAGTTACCGCATTTGTAGGTGAGCCTTAGTCGAAGGCGAAGCTGCCGAGGTGCCGCCTCCAGGTGTGCCGGCACTTGGAGTATCTGCAGCGAGTCGAGAAAATTCAGGACCATGATCAGCTGGCGTGCTCTCGGGTGCGACGATACCGACTGTCGGTGATGCTGGTGCTTCTGCCCCATTGCTGGCAGTCGACAGGACATTCTGATGCTCTGTATCTCCAGCAGTCTCAGCATTCCTCCCAACTTGTCCGTTTGTGCCATCACCATTACGACGAAAATCTGCCAATATCTCTTCCCCGGATTGCATCAATCGTTGCAGTAACTCGTCATCCTGCTGGAACAGCTCGATCAGCTGCAGTACTTGCACCTGCGCGAATAACTCTGAAAGCAACATCAATGAATACTATCACTAAACGACGTAGAAGATCATACACGAGCGGGTCTACAATATCCCATATTAACATGTAAGTGAATCAATTCCTTCCAGCTGCGAACGCCAGAGCGCCAAGATTTCGGCTCTGTTACTTTGCTGAGGAAAACGCAAGGAGAAGGATTTTCCAACCATAATTCCAGCACGCTATCTTCGTACGGGGTCAACGATGTCGACACCCCGTTCGGCGCACCAGACGACGTGGCCGTCCATTTCCCTGGTTCGGCTTCCATAATTCACATCGACGCTTCGATCGCTTTCTCTTGTATCCACAACAGGTTTTTTTCAGTTCGTGAAAAGAAGACAAGCTTACCTTGACCACAAGTGACACAGTATCCATGTCCCACCCAAGTTCGGTCAATCGATGTTAAAGGACGATACATCCACCACGTTGTCTCCTGTCACGCCAAGCGGGAACTACTCATGGTCATGATGCCAATGGGAATGGGGGACGCCCATAAGACCTTCCATTGCGTCGAGCTCAAGAACCCAAAGTGTACTTACTCGCAGCTCGGCACCTCTCCCGACTTCCAATTCTCATGGTCGTCGGGCTACTCACTACACATCCTTTTGATTCCTAGAGATTTCTGCATCTACATCTGTTTAAAAAATAAGTACGGCGTATACTGCGCATAGGCAGGCAGAGGCATATCCAATACCTAGAACTGTCAGAAAACTAATGCAATAACCAAAAACCTTCCAAAGGAAGCTTCTTCGGTGTCACCTGTTCATGACGAGTGTCTTACTTTTTTTTTTTTCAAAGTCTTCGGCCAGAGGGCCAGCGCACCAGCTAGGGTGGGCGCAGAGAAGTCTTACATTTCACGGACGATGCGCCGGCCCGGCATATACCCGAGACGGCGCCAGTGCTCTAGTGCAAGATGAGGATCTCTAGATTTTTAAGAAATCACAAATAACAGGCGAAGGGAATAGGAGACGCGAAGTCGATAATAGGGGGGACGCGAAGTCACCTAGTGATTAGACGCGAAGTCAATCATAAAATAAGACGCTAGGTCAGTAAATAGTGCTCGGACAAGTTAACAGAGCGAGAGAGATCAGTCAAAATTGAAAGCGAGTCCGCCGACGAGAGACGAGAGAAACAGATGATACAGCAAGAAACGAAGAAAAGCAAAGATCTAGCAAGGAAACCGTGGAGATTCACTCAGTCCGCATTCAGCTTACACGTCAATGCTTGACCTTCATCGACTGGGCTATTGTTCCCGAGAGCCTCACGCCGCCGGAAGCGCTTGTCTGTTGCATAGCTACCAAGGCAAAGCACCTCAGAGAGAGTTGCCAGCGCATATGGTACCATCATGCTACGCGAAGAAAAGCGAAGAGGAAGACCAGTACACCAGGATAGACGAAATGCAAGCGGCACCGACGGAAGTTCCGAGTTAACCAAGAAAACCATCACCGCCAGGCAGCTCGTCAGCAGGAGACAAAGCAGCATATCGGAGGGAAGCCTAGAAGGCCTTGCACAGAACAACAACGAAGGTCGACATATTTCTCATCCATCTATATCAGATTGATGCCTTGTGATCTTGAGCTTTTCACTTTCTTTCTGGTGAAGCTTCCACGCAAAATAAGTATTTGTTTTCTTCAAAACACGGATACCCTTACAATTACAAATTTTGCGATTTAGTTCGACGCACCAGCAGCGGTGGGCGCAGAGAAAGCAAACACTTCACAGACACAAAGAGAAAGCTATAGAGAGACTGAAAAAGGAGCAGGAAACTCAAGTGAACTACAGAACGCTAAAGCTATCAACTTCAAGTTCGCTAGCACAGCCGTGATATTTTATACTACGTTCAACAGATTAAAAGCAGACTACACAGAGAGGGAAAAAACGAAGTTGCGAAAACTAGGTGCGGAATCAATAGGCTGTTTGGTTGTAAAAACTTGTTTTTAGTTGCGAAAACGAGATGCGATGCGAAATCTCAGTCTGACACTTGCAGTTCCATTTCAAAATATTCAATATTAATTGTTTTTGGGACGTTTCTCTAAAATGATCCATTTCTCAAGTCGTTCGTGGGACGGGATGCAGGAATCAATTTCTATCAATGCTTTTCAGAATTCCAGAATGATGTTTAGTCCACCTCATGTCGTTCTGGTCGCTCAACCTGTCGTGAATCCTTTTACCAACAAGACCGATGACTGCCTGTACTCCGCGTGATGAACAATACCAAATGATCCATTTTCCACCACGTTTAGTTGGTCGATCATACTAGCAACGATCTACGCGACTTTCGATGAGCAGTGCTGCTCAAAGAGAAATATCGTCAAGTTCAACAAAGATATTCATATTTCCCAGTCATTTCATAACTTTTCACCAAGTGAAAGTTCGAAAGATTTAGTTCGTTATCGCTAGGTGTGAGTGTCCTGAGATGTAAGGGGGTTTTACTGCAACAGGTTTACTAAAATGTAACTTTGATTGGATATCCCTGGTTCGGCGATGTTTGGTGTGGGAGGGCTATAATCGGGCCGAAATCAGAGGGTGAGAGGGGATGTTATAATCAACACGACTGACTCGTCGGAAGACCGTGAAGAAAAATCGTCGAGCACCATCTCCATCCTCTCCTCGACTACTACAGAGAAGAAAAATGTCTGTTTTTGCTTGTACTGGCTGCTTTTCCGCCATATGAAATATAAGAAAGACCGATACATGTGGATTAGCGATACTCCTCCTGTGGCAACGTCGAAGAGAGCCACGTATGAAGCCAGGAGGTACACCAAAAATATCGATAGGTAACAACTCCAACAAGCAAGAACAAACTTCAGATGAACCAGGCATTTTGAGGAAACTAAAAAATACGGATACGTACATCTGCTTGAAGTTGCTAGTTCCTCATATTATGGTGCGGCGCCTTTTGACGATTGCTAACTTCGATCTAAACAAATCTTGATTATTGAGATATCACATGGATACAACTAGTAAAATATGGGATGAGGGTGACGGGTTCTCTTGATCGGGCAGGATAAGTGTTTTAACCAAAGGGTAGAGCAAACAAGGATGCATATTTTTTACGTTACTGGTGTACGCTTTTTTACGTGTTGATCATGCAAATTTGTCCCCAATAAGTGAGTCATCAATAGGTTCCAGCTACGATGGAGTGTGTTGTAACGCGGCCTTCGCTTCAGTCCAGAAGGAGAACGCTGCTCAGCACGCCTGCCTTGTAGTAGTTCTTGTGCTAGAAAGAAGGTAGAAGATACGATGACATCAAATAAGTGAAGAAAGTTTAGTTTTTCGTCCAAAAATAGATCGCTCGGCTGAAGACCGAGGACGCAACATTGCTGCAGCGGTCCACGACCAACATTTCAATTATCGACTACAACATCAAACAACATATTATTCCATTTGAAGATAATTGTGATATTGGGGGTAAGTATTTCAACAACGTCAGTCTCTGTCTCTTATTCGTCAGCTGCAAGCATGCTTGCCCTAATTTGTGTAAGGAGTTTAGATTTCCAAAAAATGTTTGTCAGTACTTTGCTCGTGGTAATTCAAATCTCTACGATACTCAACCTCGATTTACTACATGAACAGACCTATACCTTCAACCTGACCCACCTGCTCCTCCCGCGGCTTTAGTCTACTCGAGCCGACTCTCTGGGCGTGAGCATCGATGGGTCCTCACCGTGGTCGGAAGGAACAATGATCGTTCCTTCTCCAACAAGCGTGTAATGATCTTCAACATCAAACAATAGCAGTCCTCCAAGTGTAAAATCTTCATCAAATTGACTCGGCTTCTTAGTCATCAAACAACTACAAGAGAACAATACATAATTAAGTACTTACGTCCGCACCTCAGGCTACTTATGAAGAGAGATGAATTGGATTGTGATGTCGTTGCACTTGCAGCAGTTCCCACGGACGACCATTAATTAAGTTTCTGTGGCGTTTGTTCGTCGATCGTTGCAAAAAATGTTTGACACGCATCAATCACGATGAGTACGACTGACTATTTAGAAATTCCCTACTTCCTATTCATCAGCCATGCATTCTGCTACGACGAAACAAAAAATACAACGAGCTTTATCCCAAACCAATCACCTGCCTAACATATGAAACGGAGTAGTTTGCGCTGGGCAATTACATTGAGGACGCTGATCTTCCCTGTACTTCTAAGTGTGCCATTACGTGAAGATCAATGATCTCCTCGTTGCAGCGTACTACCAATGAGATTCAAATATCTTCTTCGATAACAATGAATTATATCAGTAAATTCTAGTTCAATTCTTTCCAAAATGAGAAAAAATAGATGTCATGGAATTCTCCATATGCACCCAGTTCCTGTGTTTTATCTGTTCATAGCACGACCATCTCTATCCAAGTTCTTCTAGTTACGTTCGTTTAGACAGCGAAACTACAACGTCTCAGAGTCAGAATAATTTCAATAAATATAAGTGTATGAATGACCTGAGCAGACATCCCAGGCGAAATTTAAGATCAACAATTTTTAGAATTTTCATGGTCGTCGATGGGGATGAATATTCTTGCTTACCTCGAAACTGTAGCTGCGGCGGGCGTTTATTGTCGAACTTGTTCTCGACAACATGGTCATCTTTATTGATGTCTGTGCAATAAACAAAATACTTGCGAATTGCAATACTTGCTCCTCAAGTTCTGAAATAGATCGAGATGGAAATGTTGATAGATCAGAAGTTCATTGTTCTCAATTTATTGGACACTTGTTTGATTATATCAATAAATTTAAATGCTAGAGGGATCATAGTTAGTAGAACGAAACCATCAGAGCAGTCTCATACATGAGAGAGAAAATGCTGAAAGCAAGTGCAATTGCAAAATGTCAAGCTCACATCAACATCTAGACAGACCTCTAGAATCCATTTGAAGTCTTGCCGTAATTCCAACTCAGTATTCCAAACTCAAGTTCACCTTTACGTTCATTAGGTTTAGTTCTCGTAATTTTTCCGCGAGGCCTCCCTCTCTCACGACCAGCTACAACTAGCTTCAACATCTTCGACAATTTTCACCTCATTATCTATTACACGACCACCAAACAACCTCCACCTCTTCAAATATTCCTCGTATAGCTGTATCATCCTCAAAATTATACCTACAACGTAGCACCCTGAAGGGACAGGGTGCTTGGTGGGCAATTTACTGATACTGGTATCCCATGTACATTTGATGCTGCTGCGAGTCGTCTTCGTAACCCAGCATTTTTTCTTAGAAGTGGTCATTCCTCATCCTCATCCTGAGTTACCACGTGATAACTCTGTGGAGGGTGTAGCAGTCAATGTCAACCTGAAAAAGAAAAGCGTCAAATATTTCATTTTCAGAGAATTCCCAAGTAAGTGAAGCTGTTGAACTTGAAAACGAAATTAGAAGAAAATTGTATACGCATTCCATTCTTTTAATTAAGATACTACGCATCACGGGACGATGAATCTCGACAGTTGATAAAATTGCCATAATTTTGCGGTGCCTGTCCCCAGGTCTGGCGCTTGGGCATGGCCGCGCCGTTCATTTGGTTATGGTTACCCATTTGGTTGCCGCTCATTCCCATTTGGTGGCCGCCGTGGTTCAAGAGCTGCAGTGTTTGTGTGAGTAAAATGATAGTCCCGATACAACTCAAACTGCGGTAAATTACACTTATTTCGTATACAACATCAATGAGGTCCTGCTCCAGCATCACAAAAAACAAGAAGAAGATAAAGCTAGAAATCGTTCATCTTGTTTTGAACTCGAACTGAGAAATAACTGGTGCTTACCTGAAGAGGGTTCACAGCGCTTTGGGGTGTCCAGGTGGAATTCGTAGTTCCGGATCCAGCGTTTTCCTTGTTGCAGTACCTTGTTTCGATTTAAAAAATTGAGTTCGAGCTGTATCATGCACAGACAAAAAACCTATACAAAGTTTAATTACTTTCTTATTCTTTTGAGATCCTCCAGAACCAGATCAAATTTGAAAGTGCCGTCCGTGTTAATGAGGATTAGAACCAGTCGTTGGGAGATCCTGTGTAGTCGGATGGGGAAGAGGCAGCCGACACCGCAGCGGCAGTAGCAGACGCGACGGCAACATTGTAGGCGGCTTGAGCTTGTTGCTGGAGCATGTAAGGATTCGCAAACGCCAACGGGCTCAATCCACTGAGAGGGCTGCTGGCCAACATACCCGGGTTGCCGTAGCTTCCTGGATGGAATCAAGAAAACACGGAAAATGAAGTACTTACATTGAGTTAGGAGAAATTGGAAAGATCGATAGATAAATATATACTGACGGAAATCGACAAGATAATCGTAGTACTCTACGACGTGATCAAGAACTTCTTACCGGAATACATATGGTCCCAGTTAGGGAAAGATCGCTTCGGGCGCATCGGCTCGCGCTTCTCAGCAGGAGCATCCAAGTCCAAGGGAATAGCAGTTCCCTGGTTGTCGAAGAGAAGCGGAACCTGAATGATGTGTTGTTGATTGGGGTTGGTTTTCCCTATCATAATTCCTTCTTCTTGATGACTAGCAATACTGATGCATAGTGCATTTGTTGTACAACCAGACACAGTCAACGGACTACTTTGGAGGAAGAACTTTTTATCAGAGGGTTTCCTAAACCTTACCCAGTCCGGGTGGTCCTTCAGGCGCTGCATGAGCATGCTCATTTGGCGGATTCTGCGAATATTCTCGCGTGCACCCTGCACTTTCGCTTTGTTCACTTCACACACTTGCTTGAGAACCTGGTGTTTGATTAACGATGAAGTTTCTATTTCTTTTCTAGTCTTTACGTCAGTTGTGGATCACAGGGGACGATGAATCATGATGACATTAATATTCAGTTTATTCCAGATTCAGAAATAAAGCCAGCAAGAAGCTTTCTAGTTTGCTCCACTAGGTACCTTTTTGCTGTTGAATCCCGGAAGCACCTCCTTCACTTTTTGGTTATGGAAATGGCGGTAAAATCGCGCGCGAGTCTCAGCGGAGCGCAAGTTGATGAAAGCATACCTGAGCAGAAAGAAAAATACGACGTTGCGGTCTGGAATTCTTTTGAGAAGAAATCTATTCTCCAGAAACAAGCAAAACTATGATCTCCGAAATGCAGATAGATGCAGCTGTTAACTTCAAGTTCAACTAGGGACTGCAAGAACTTCCTTCGTATATCGTCCAACATATCTATAAAGAGAAAGAAAAATCAATGCAGTTACCCGACATTGCAGTGATTCACGAAGTCGACCGGCAGGTAAACGTAGTCATACTGTTTCGCGAAACGCTTGTCCAATACTGCGAGCAGCATCTTGGTTGTGTACTTGTTCGGAATGTTCCTGTGAGGACGTAAGTACGTGGATTGAAGTCTAGCGAATGCAAAAATTCGTGCCTGGCCTCTACGATTTTTTATCATGAAATTGAAAAAAATTGTTCCAACCACTTTTCTAATGCAAATGCAATAATCACTGTGAGCGAATAGGTACCTCAGCATGACGGTAGTGAAGTTGGGGTCGACACTCAGACCCGGATCATCGACCGAGTATGCTGCCGCAGCTGCGGCTTGCTGATGCATCTGCCAAAGCGGAAACATTTTCTGATCGTTCTTGTTGTTTTAGAGATGGTTAGTCTTCGTCGCTTGATAGATACCGAGGATTTGGTATCAGGTGGCGGAGGAGTTCGTTGAAGATGATATTCGCTAGATATGAGGTAGCTGCACAGCCCACTTCTATCTTTGAGGACGAAAGATTATCTTTAAATCAAAAAAATTCTCTATATTACACAATGAGGTGAGGGTAGCTTCTTGAGCAAGAACAAAGTGAGCACTTAGTAACTTGAAATTGAGATGAAAATCGCATTCGCTTTCGAGAATGAATTAGGGAAACCGAAATCTATCCTAGAATTAAGAACACAGCTGCGACGATTGACGACGAGCTTCGACTAATTTGCAATGCACAACGACACCTCGTCTCTCTCTGTACAACAACCACCACTACGTTGTTTGGATGGGTATGGGGGCACGACAATGTTATCAAGAAACGAGGACCACGATTCGATAAAAATGAGGTCCGACGTAAGAAGCTCAATGAAATTTTTGATGCAATGAAGGTAAAATACTAACTACTTCTTTTCTTCACCGCAAAAAGTGCACATAGCTCGGAAATTAGCGAACCGTTTATGAACACAAAACTAGGTGAACTTTTGTCTTGATGTCTCTCATGCATAAATAAATCTATGAAGCTGTATTCTGACTGATCTAAACCAGAGGACAGACAGAGAAACAACAAAGACATAGAAACAAAATGTTATAACCATAGATAAGTAACACTAACATCTACATCAGTTGGAAGCTCATACGAAATTGCGACTCAGGTCCTTTTCGAATTTGATGTCTCTCGTTCACCTATCTCGCATTTGGAGTGCCAAATTTGCCACGTATTTGTGTCCCTCACTCTACACCAGGGTACCTTAATATTATCATAGGTCCGTCACTCCTGTCTCCGCTCGAATGCCTTCAACGCTCCCACGACTACACAAGGTGACGCAACATGATGCATATCACTGATGTTCTTTCCGTCCTAAAGCCAACGCAAATATTCGTCATGCACAGCAGTATGCTGTATAGCACACTTTTTGATGAGGCAATGGACGTTTGCGGAGGTCAATCATGATCAGGTCAAGATTAAGATTAAGAGACTTCCGGCTTGCGACAGGCAGCGGCCAGGGCTCCAGAAGTCTGGGCTCAGAAAACATCAGTTCAGGCTTCTAGGTCATTTTTAGGGAGTCCGAGTGGGAGATAAGAGAATGAATGAGGGGGCGCGGGAAACATTTTTCTTGAAATGAGATAAAGGCTTCACACATCTGGTACAATGTGGTCATAGGGGGTGGGGGCACCCAAAGCGAAGAGCAGGAACCTGGGGATCGACAATAGCCACACCCCTCATCAGCCTAGTGCCCACACAATCGCAAAATGAACAAACAACTGTATGACATACATCGACTGCGTAATACTAGTAAGCCTTTCGGAGAAGAGCCACGTTTTGAAGTTCGTACACGAAGATATCCTACCCCGTACAAGCATCCCGCGCAAAAACAACATCATGAGCTAGGCGCAACCGGTCACAGCACAACATACTCCGACCGTGTTGACATTTGATGCTTATGTGCAAAATCTTGAATCGATTGTCGTCACCCGTGTGGTACTTCTGAATCAATCATCGAAGGGATACTAGTTGTAATACTTTGAATGGCGAAAATCATCAAGCTAAACAAGAACTAATGTGGACAGATTCTTTGCCTATTCCAGAGAGGGAGGTCAAGGTTCTATTTTTGTACAGAAAAGAAAACGAGGAAATTCTACGACTGGGAAATAGGGGTGATTTTTCGATGTATAGTCAATTCATTTTATGCATTTCTCGTTACTACGTTAATAATATCTGCGTGGTAGATAAAATGACAACAAAATAACATGCTGATCATGATGATGTCATGAATGAAATTTCTTTCTCTTGTTGGTCAAGGTGTGACATTCATGATCATGCGTTACTGCTTTACGGAAATTATAAGCTCTTCTTCGACTAGACAAATTGTTAGGTCTTAGGTCCATTTTCTTGAAATTGAGTCTGCCTATATGATCAGGGATTGGGTTACGCTAATATCTGAAAATAACAGTTCGCATTATATTCTGATTGCTTTATGACATAATGTTGAAATACGAAGAAGTTCTACGAATCCTGGATGCTACATTCATAACATACGTTGGTTAAGCCGAAGAACATTTTTCTGTGCCGAGATGATCGATTATGAACATCATACGAGTCATTACGTAAACTTCAAGCTCTCTACAACAGTGTAAATTCATTCTGCGCTGCGATTCTCCATGCCCATGCATTACAAATGTTGTGCGATTAATTTCAAAAACTCTTACCAATTCCTCCACATGTACACCCTCCTCCTCAACAACAACACTGCTCTAATGCAGTATTGATTTGTTGCCTTCGGCGACTACCTACTCGTCGCAGTCGCGGATCCCGCCGTAGCGCGGGTACCAGTCGACGTTCTCCGGGTTCTTCTTCGCTGCCTGGTACGAAGCGACGGTTTTCCTCGGGTCTAGCGGTTTATTCAAGTCGTGATGCAGTACAACCTGCTTGCGTACCGTGGTTGACTTGTCCAGAAAGTCCCTCCAAGCTAGCCTAGTTTCCGCTAGAGGTATTAGAGATAGAAGTCGGACGGGGTGACGACAGAAATAAACGAGTAACAGGAGAAGTTTCTCTTGCTTTCGATTGGTTAATCACAAGCTCGCGGCTTCGATTTATAATTCAAGAACTACAAGAACGAGAAGAAGTGGCTCATAATTCGAACCTGATCTTTTATAGTCAGTACACCTTGTTCAAGCATAAGGTTAGTCTTTTCACTGCTGCGATCTTCTTCCATTGCAGCTGCCAGTGGCACTCCCTGAGTTCCTTGCCTTCCGTCCGTGGCTCGTCCAAAACACCGGCAAAATGACCCATCTCCGAACCGAAGGAGTCACCTTTACTCGACAGCTTCTGGAGAATGCTGCGGCGTCGCGTTTCAAACTCTGCTTCTGTAACGCCATCAAGAAATTTGCCGAATTCTATGTAGATGTGATTCTCGATCTCCTTCATCACTTCCTGCAGATCCTCCTTAGTCGTCTGAATCATCACGTCAACACCGAAGTTGACGCCTGACCCACCAATTGAACCAGACACCACGTAGCGCTGCTTGCCCTGCTTTTCAAGGACCAATGTCCGTAACCTGATAGATGAGAGAGAAAAAATAGTTGTTGTGGTCGTTATTAAACTTAATCATCCTCAGGTAGTTGTAATAATTACCACTACTAATAATTACCACTACAGGGCGATGGAATCACGTATCGACATCTTATCTAAAGGAAACTTAATGTGTATCAAGTCGTAATCGATGTACCTCGTAAACGTGAAGCTTCCGAACATGACGCCGAGCATTCTGTGGGTGAAGACCTCCTGCAGGTCGACTTTGACCGATCCGTCTGGCAGCATGACACTTCGTTTTGAGTTTTTCACGAGGCGCACAAGTGTCACATCATTGCTGTCCTCTAGGCGCTTCGTGTGAACCTGTAGGTCAATCGGGTGCTTCATGCTTCGTCGCGACACTTTTCCACCTGGAATCGGATCCCAGACAATGCCTTTCTTTTCTCCGCCTGGAGTAGATGCCGAGACTGCGTTGGCCACTGGCGGAGACCGGCGCTCGGCCTCAAATCGTGCGACGATGGTATCCCGCAATCGACGCGCATCGCCCTTTGTGATGCCGCCGAAAGCCATGCCGTCTGCGTACAGCGTGTCCGCCCTCACTACCGTGTCCTGAAGTCGGTCCACGGCAGCGATGGAAACGAGGTCGCAACTCGCGCAGAACAAGCCGCTGGGTTTTTTCGGTCCCGCGCTGTTCGATTTTTCCGCGAGGTGCTCGGGCAGCTGCGTATTTGGACCGACGATGTACTCTTCGGTTTTGAGCAAACCATTCGCCTCTGGCAGTGCCTCTCGACCAATCTTCGCCAAGTTCTGGTCCCGGACCTCCTTCACGGTAACCACCAGCGCCTCTCCCGTGATTCCATTTTCGCCATTCACTGTGCCTAATGCACTCGTCGCGAAGCGGAATGGCATGGAACTTGTGTGATCCGTCAAATCCAAGTAGAGAGCCTCCGAAACGCGTCCCACCAAGTCCGTGCCCCGCAAACTCACTGCCGCGCCCTTACTCGGGCCCTCTTCCAGCTTAAAGAAAACGTCCAACACCTTCTGCAACTGCGTATCGCAGGCCGCACTGTAGTAGCCACCGACCGACACCTGGATCGACATCAAGTTTTCGAAACCACCGTCGATACCGATCCCAACACTACACGTCTCCGCCTCGTCCATCACCGGTGCGAGTTTCCGTGCCAGCATGTGGCCCCAGAGGGTGCGGAAAGCTGCGTGACGCTCGAAGGCTGGGTCTTCGGCGTAGCTCCATGTCATGCGCGCGAAAAATCGCATGAAAAACTTGAACTGCGGCTCGCGCGTTGTGCTGCCCCAGCGGTACCAGATTGTTCCCTCCAGACGTTCCGGCGACGGCCCGAACGGATACTCTTTGCTGTATTGCTGCGCAAAGTGCTCTGGTGTGTAGTCGATCACCGGAGGCGGCTGTAGCGGGTTCGGTAGCGTGTAGCCGTAGTTCGGCACACTCGGTTTTTCGGCGACGATTTTTTGCACCTGGCTGCTGATGTCCCAGAAACCCTCGGTGTACTTCACCCCGTAGTACCTCAGCGTCTTCACGGGCCAGCCTTCCTCGGGAGTTCCGTCCGGCGATCCCTGTTTCTCAGTGATGAGGATCTGCATGCGTTCCGGCACAATGTCGGTCAAGACGCGTCGCACAATATCCGGATCCATCTGGATTTTCCCAGACATGAGAAGGTCCTCCGGTGGATGATTGTCTGACAAAAGCTCGCAATAATCTGTTGCAAGATCTGCTCGATCACCATCGACTTTATTCTGTTGAGAATTTCAGAAAATTGGAAAAGGAAATACTTCCACACTAAACTAGAAGGTGTAGTGTAATCAGTCCTTGCACTTGAAAGAGTTGAAATTGAATCGACATCATCCAAAAAGTCAGTTTGCAAATACCCACTTCCAACTGAACGCAGACACTTTTTCTATCGCTTGGTAGACATCCATCCGCACTTCCTGTTTGACCACCTTCATGTAACGCCAGAACTCATTGACAACTTGTTCTGCAAACTGAGGGTGCCGAAGCGACGCCGAAAAACTCAGTGTCGTCAAGTAGTTGCTCGCGGACACACCGAAGCCGCTCCCGAAAATCCAACCCTGATCCAACATGTATCCTTGAAGACCTTGCTTCGCGGCGTAACCCTCGAAATTGAGCAAGTGGTTGAAGTAGGCACCCAATCCGCTGCGGTAGTAGGGACGAAAATCCATCTCAATCGGAAATTGAAGCTGCAATCGTGGCGTCGGACTGTTCTCGTCGAACATGTGGATGTAGCGACCATACTGGGGATTTACGATGTACGGCCTTGGATCAACGTACGGCGTTCTGGGGTTGCTCTCCTGTCCGAAATACTTCGTTGCCCGAGCAAGCTGCACCGAGAGAGGATCAGGGGATACGGAAACGACTGTCATCAGCGAAGGATGGTACCAGCGAGAATGAAACTGCTTCAAGTCCTGGATAATTGTCGGCCTTTGGAGTGTGGCGCGGTTACCTCGATGGTCAACATAGTAAAAATCAATAATTCTCGATCACTGCCGAGAAGACAAATAGAGGTTGTAATGTGATCATTTAGTCAAGATCGTGAAACGCTGAACCTCGAACCTTTAAACAAGAATAAAATAAAGATGATCTTTGATCCTCCTATTATTTCTTACCCGTGCTGAATCGTCCCAAGCCCTGCGGGTCGAAAACAAAATCGCGCAAAGAGTTGATGCGCCAGCCCGGAGACTGGATATTTTTCTCGTGTTCCGCTTCCACCGCATTGATTTCGCTGTCTGCAGTGAGAGTCGGGCGAAACATGAAGTCTGCAGTTCGCTCAAATGCACCCTCCAGACCGTCATTCGTGAGTCCGATGTAGTACACCGTCTTGTCGTCTGCAGTAAAAGCGTTCGAGTTTCCGAGATATTTTTCTTGGAAGTCGTCCCATTGTGTCTTGCCCGGGAAGTTCTCACTGCCGATGAGCACTGTGTGCTCTAGCAAATGTGCCACACCCTCCACATCGTCGGGATTGCGCAAAGACCCAGCTTCTACGAGAACCGACAGAGCAGCGTTTCGTGAGGTAGCGTCCTCAATGGCAAGATACCGGAGGCCGTTGGGAAAAACACGATAGCCGTAACGGCGCTCATCCACAATAGGCTGCCGATCCGCCGGAACCACATAGTCGAAACGTGAGGCGTCGCCAGACCACCAGCCGCTTAGGCATATGTGCACTACGTAAATGCCAGCGATCAATAAAACAACTCCGATACACCGTGAATTCGAACGGAAAAAGGAGGGCCTGTCGTGAGAGGAAGAGGTTGGTCTTGGTAATAAATTAATTAGCGTATTTAGGTTTAGGAAGGCGCGCACAAAACAAAATATTTCCTTTTAGTTAGTTGATAGTTTTGAATTTGGTCTACTTGTACTTCTCAAAGTCAAATTGTCATTTTCTTGTGAACTCTTGAAGCAGAGCATCTATTTTTGTGTCCGACCATGAACAGCAAAAGAGTCGGCGCTTGAGGGAGCTCCCAGCATCCGAAGTTGGCGGAGAAACACGCGTGTAAGCAGAGGAAGGCTCCTGAACCCCTACGGGCTTTTTTCCTGCTCCCCCCATCTCGATCGCACGCCCTATCAGCATAGGAAGGATGAGCAACGCTCTTTCTGAGACATGATCTCAGACGAACAGGCAATGAGATCGACGAAAAGGATTTTGGCTCAGCTTAGTTCTAGTTGCGTCTGCTATCCATGTCTATCATGTCCAATTTTTTGTTGTTGATCAATGTCTTATCAACACCAGCGGTTCTACGGCAACGTTGGTATTGGTAAGCAAGGTAATGCATACTAAACAAGCCTAAAAATGAACCTCCTGGCCATTCTCGTTACGTCCCAATGATGATTTTCCTTCATAGTTAATTGTACTTACTTAGTTCTTGTGAAGGTCCAATCTCTACATTTATCTAGGAAAAATAAAAAGATGAATGGAAATGCTTCAGCTATTCCAGGAAACATGACGAACATCAATCGTCCGGTGAGATCGTTCGCGAGCTAGAAGAAGTGGCAAGATGAACTGTAGGAAGGGCATGAAGCATTTGATTATCGCTCTTCCTCTTCCATCCAAACAGCGGGATCGAGATCTCAAGAACGGAGAAAAGCAACTAGGCCGCTAGAGTGCAGAACAGAAAGTATCTGCGCGTGGGTCACCAAGCATTTGTCGAAGCTGATGTTGAAGAGCGCGGCAGGCCTAGGAGAACAGGAGCAATTCTTCTGAGAACAGAACGAGGTTGCTTTCCGTCTGAATGAGGAGGGTACCACGGAGAACACGAGCTACCAATGGATTGCTTGAATGACGAGAGGACGATAAGCTGTACAAACGTAAAGGAGAAAAATTACCCATTACGTCTGGGTTCATTCTCAATCTGTCTCAAGGTGTCATTTCTGTAGCTCTAGAATAATAAAGATTCACTTCTAAATCAAACAATGTTGAGGAGAAAGCAAAAAAAAAACTAGTACTTTCTCTCATTCTGTCCGACTCCGAATTGCCCTTGCTGCCCGCGCCAGGCTGCGGCCATTACAGCTTCATCATCTTTCAGGTTGAGAGGACTTTCTTCATCGAGTTCCTCAACAAACCCTGCACCTACTGGTGTAGACGGCATTATCCGTCGTTTGGGACCCACCACTTCTTTTCAACTCAATTTACAAACTAGCAGTTGTAGTACAGCGAGCTAGGACTGTCGTCTAATCTTGCTCTGAAGCTTGAATAAGAATACGCCAGGAACCCTGGTACTTATCCAGGAAACGGAATCCAAGTCAGAAGAACCTAATAAATTGGGTGGAGAACTAAACGTAAAATCTTCGTTTGAGAAAACCAAATGATCATGGGAAGGCTTTCAATATCTGTCCGATCATCAAGCATCGCCTGCAACTGGAAGCGAAATATGATATATTATAAGTAACAACTGGGTACTTCAAAATCCATGCGAAGAGGCGCGAGAGAAATGCATAGATATTACAAAGATTTTGGGGGAGACATCTAGCTTCAACCACAACCGATTCCACTTTCTCTTCACCACTATCGACAACGAGCAAAATCGAAGCTACATTCGTGTTACCAGAAGTCCTCGTTATGTCCTCTGCAAGCCTACTTCGTACTGCTAGTAAGACGAAAAAGATCTCTACCGACACACACTACTCCAACCGAAGTGCGATGAAGACGCAGCGATGATATCCGATAGGTCTCCACAAATCAGACCGACCGTCTGCATAGTAATGCGTGAAACTTCGATTGAGCGATGATAAACGAAAGACGACGATCAAGAACAGTTGAACACAGAAACCCAACGGAAGTAGAACCAACTTCGCAGAGGACAGCACCGCGTAAAAGGCACAACCCGTCGTGCTCATTTTGGAGTCGTCCGACAACGACGGACAGTGTGTGCCGTTTATCTTAATTTGTTTCGGGTGGGAATCAAATATTGAGCTAGGTCGTGTCTGTTGATAGACGATTCGAAATTGTGAGTTCTGTCGGGGTTGGCGTTTCTTCTTCGGTGGAAGTACCCATCGTTCTGACGAGAAAGACCAAGAATTTAGTAAAAAAATGTACAACGAAATAGAAAATTGAAGCTCTGCCATGGTCCTTCAAAGCAAACCCCCTCGTAGCAGAAAATACTAGCAAAACTGAAGATAGTGTAACTTCTGGTGGCAGCTTTTTTGGCGTAGTTTGTGTTTGATGCACGCCTGCGCGTTCAGTAGAGTATGGTTTTGCGCGCCGAATCGGACATCACACGATTCTTCTGGCTTCAAGCTACTCCATTAACCATGAAGACGGGCCACATCAAACTCAGTGAGTGGTTCTTATCAGGGGTGTTTAATGATCTCTGAAGGGTCGGCCCTTTGGCTAGAGAGTGCAGCCGATGCCGCCGTCATGGATGAGTCTATGAAGATGCTTTCTTGTTTAAGGAGGTTCTTATTTCAGCTTAGCACACGCCCGTAGCCACATATGTTTTCCTCTTTGTGTAGCACCAGCATGCTTTGCTGCGGTCAAAACTTCTCAACATAAAAATGCCTGAATTCGTTGATTCCTGCACGTTCATGCTAATGACTACATCCAACAACAACTAGATGAACTTTCTCTATGGATAAACGCAATTAGAATGTACATGACAACCTCCCACGTGAGCCTTTATGCTGGTGCCAAGTTTATAGACATCTGACATAAGTAGTTCATGCATTGATTCTAGTCCTGTTGTACTGCAATTTCTTCATCTAAAGTAAGGAAACCGAGTTCATTTCTTGGCCAGCGCCGGAATATGAGATCATATGCTCCGAGAACGAATGCGGATTCACTGCATCATCAAAAGTAGGAGCCTCCGACTCCTGCACATCGATGCTGAATTCCATTATCTTCATGACGGATCGAACAAGGTCTTCCTTAACACCTCGAGACCGGAAACGCCACCAACGTCTTGTTCTGCACAATCTTCGACGTCACAATCACAACATCTAACAAGTTGAGTTCTGCTATCGAAATCACCATCTATCTTAGAGCCCATTGTTCTCATCCCAATAGCCGCACAGCGTAGGTGGGTGATTCGTATCTCCGCTGTCTTCTAAGGCAGCAATCAGGAATTCCATGGCAGGGCAGCAGAGGAGGGGTACTACTATGAGAGGTATCCTTACTAGGTAGTCGGGCAAGAGCAGGATGCTGGGATTATATCCCTGGATGTGCTGCAGCGAAGAAACAATGCAAGCAGCGTTGTTGAATTATTTTCCTTCTGCGATCAAAATTTGCACGCGCGACACACTAGTTTGCCATTCCGGCGCCACCACCGTCGGAGCCGCCTGCTTCGTCTGATCGATCGCTGTCCGCGCCAGCGCCTCCTGCTGGTTTCTCATTCACCTGTAGATGTTAGCTTAGAAATCAGCTTCATTTGTTGCTGCAATTCTCGACGAGGAACATACAAGAACTTACAAAGGGGTCAGAAAAAAATCAGAAATTTGATAGATACTATTTGCATTCGCGAGAAGGTGATGTGGTCTTAGAAGTTGTACCTTGGGTCCTCGTGATTGGAGGTACATCCATGCCCAGAGAAAGGCGAGGAAAAGCATGAAAAGATGCAACGGGCTTGCCGCCACACCCGTGCCCATGAAACCATTGTTCTGTCCAGGTATCGCCAAGGTATCCGTTGCTCCGATATCACTGATTGTGTTCTGGTTTCCGAGCGACTGCAGCACGCCTGTCAGGCTCTCCGACTGTGCTCGGAAGAACTGACAGACACATTCGAACCACTCGCCAGACATTTTTGCGCTTCAGCAAAAGAATTCTTTAAAGAAGCTGACAAAACTTGTGCGATCAATAACCAATGACCTTCTATCTAATGACTTCTTTCTTGATATTCTTTATTGGACAAAAGGGATCCATTGGGATATAGATACATCAATATCTCTAAATATCGCTCTTCCTAGTCAACGATCTTGTGCTCCGTGAAATGCTGAAACTCCTCTTTTCAAATAGTATTACGACGAAAGAAAACGACACCGATAATATGATCCACGAGGCCTAGTCTAGATACTCCAATTACGAGAGGAAACAACGAGCGACTCTATGCAAAGAAAACGAGCTATACAAAGACGAATAAGTAAGGAAATAAGCAAGAGACAAACCGTTCGGAACGATAACAATCACAAACGATTCAAAATCAAAACACAGAGGACAGACTCATTCAAACGTTAATCACGAGAGTTCGAATTCTAAAACCATAAATTGTCAAACCAACGAGAGAATCGTATTTAGGAGCTCGAATCTTAATGAAAGTTCTTTTCTGGCTGCACAGTTGTTGGTTGATTGGCTTAGAAGAAAAGGCGATTTAGAAAGGTGATTGCTATCGCCAAATGTCAGTCCATAAGTTGAACTTCTTTTTGATGTTGCTCTCTCTCGTAGATTTGAATTGTGAACACATTTCCGCCCATTTCTCAAGACGAACTGAGAACCTGTCACTATGGGATGTCCTCCCGCGCACTCCGCAAGAATGGGGGGGAAATAATCACCAACAGTACCGGATCAATATTCTCATTCGCATTCCACATGAGTGAGTGAATGGATGAATGAATGTACCCACTCCAGGGGTATACCACAAGCGATCAATTATTTCAAATGAAGAACTAGAACGAACATTTGACGGAAAATACTCACTCGGCAGACTCTCAAAGGCTAGTCACTCAGCAGAAAGGCCCTTGAAAAATTTAGAGAATGACCATTGGGAAGATTACAGCACCTCGAGTTAGTGCAATCAAAGTCGATAAATGCCTGAGGCACTGAAATACCAGTCATTTCTCATTAAACTTGTTCGAGTTTCAGGGACGGGTAGCGCGTGTGGTGGGGATTTGTGAAGGTGACGCGGTATTTTCTCTTCGTATCGAGTCGCTGGAGCATCAGACATGCGGTGGAATTCGCCAAGATCACTCGATCTAGGGGTTCGAAGCTATCCGGAAGTCCTGCCGAGCGCGCTGTATTGTTTGACGACTTCATTTCAAAAATCGAACGCTTTATCTCTAACTAGTATAGTAAGTATGTTTGAAAATCAACATCGGCATAAAACTTCTGTACAGCAGGATACAAGGTGTTACTAACTTTCGAGACAGACGAAAAAAACCAACAATCAAACCTAAGCAAAGTTTGTCTACCTTCAGCCATAAACCGTTTCGCGTTATCGAACAAGTCCTTAATCTCGGGGTAAGCAGCATTGGCATCTGCATGTGGATTGTGGTCTAGAGACCAAATCATAACCCGATACTCATCAAACAAATTCTCGATAGCGGGGAATGCAAAAGTCGCATCCATCATCCGAAGTCGCAACTCAAATCTGTTGGTTAGGTAGGTAGGGAGTTAGGTAGGTAAGAAGACGTCTCATTTTCTTGTTTCGTTCAACGTTTTGTATCTTCGTTTAGTTTGCTCTATTAATTCATAGGACAGACGCATCGATCAATTAGTAACTACTACCTACATGCATGAAAAATTATCATTGAATCGGCATCGGCCATCGGGGTAGCAAACAAAGTAATAATTCAGCATCACTGATGAAATTGAAGAATCCAGGTATGATTGTCTGAGAATACCGTTGCCAGCAAAGCTCGAGGGGTTCACGCTCGATAATGTTTTTCTGGGCCATCCAATACAGAAGTCTGCACATGGCTTTTCCAAACTGCATTTCTGCCATTTCATACAGGTGGAGCGGGTCTTTTTCCAGCTTTTCCTTCACAGCTATCGCAGCTTGGATTTCCTGCTTATGCTTGTTCTTATTTGCGGCTGCTGCAGACTGCTTCCCTCCTGCTTTTTTGGCTACAACTGTGGTAGATGGTGCAGCTGAGCAATTGTTTGCTGCCTCAGACTCCCCTGTGGCTGGTCCGTTTAGTATGCCATGTTGTGCCAGAAGGTGCGTTCGTTCCATGCGCTGCTCGTGCCTTCTTTTCTGCACGAAAGCGACGGCCCACATGATCAGTAGCAAATCGGCATCGTCGTAGATATCAAGGGAAAAGCCAACCAAGAGCTGCTGCAGCACAAAACCATACGTCAGCTCGCGCGTAAGACAGCGAAGCGGAGACGCTATCCGTAAGGTCTCCACATACATGACGCGAATCGCAAGGTCTAGTGGCTGGACAGACCTCTCCACAAATAGCCCAATTTCCTGTTAATGTTGGTAGTGATCCAGCCAGTCTTATGGTTTGATTCAGCATTATGTATTTTTCATCACACACGCAACTTCATCTTTGACGAAGTGAAATTCTTGAAAATAGATGCTGATAAAAATGGTATGGAAATTATTTCTGAATGAAACTGTTGTAATTTCAATTTGTAGTTCGTCCCCTTTTCTCGTATTTGTGGAATATTAAACGCAGTGGTAGTACATTCCACAGATGTATGAGCTGGCGATGTCGCCTCGGTCCTGTCAGGTGTAGGATACGGATCGCCCAAATGCAAATATCTTCGAGTTTTCGGAGTGCTTCATCGTAAAGCACCTCCATAGTCCAACTTTTCTGCGGATCTCCACCTTCTGTGCGTTGAGCAGAGGCAAGTATCTTCTTCGCACTATCTGATAATGCGAAATGTGGGTGATTCAAATGCCTGCGGCAGTCTGCAAACAGACCGTAGTCAGTGACCAAGATATTGTGCAGAATCGACCGAAGCGGCCGTACTACGACGCCCGATAGTTTCTGAATCTTATCGTCGTTGGCCTTCTGTGCGGCGGCTTGCTGCGCTTGTACACTCATCCCTACCGGCTGTGGAGCGACAGTTGCATCCGTATCTGTTGATGTCTTGTTAGCTTCTGATCCTGCTGAGCTGCTATTTTCACCCTGCTTTGGAGGCTTGGTTAACGCTGCAGACTTCGGAGACGCCTGTTCGTCGACCACCTCTACCCCGAAAGTAGGATCGCGACACCCCCAGTGCCAGTAGTCGGTGCGCGCCATTGCGTACAGACAGGCTAAACACCGCGTCAAAAGGTCCGCATTCTGCGCATTCGCGGACTGCGATATAGGTGAGGCGCCGAAAGGACCCGCATGGACCTTAGCGGCCGATGCGTCCAAAGCGTTCTGCAAACGCGCGTAAAGTGCTAGCGTGTGCCCTAAGGGTGACAGCGAATACGGCGTCTGGTGCTTCGTGGAAACTTGGGATTTTGGATACCCGGGAGCGTTACTCGACGATGAGGACGACGCGCACACAGGCTCTGCATCCTTTTTCGAAGGGCTATCAATCGTTCCCTCGTCCTCCACAACCAGTTCTCGAAAGTCCTCCTCCGCTACTACGCCAACAGGAAGACCGCCCACTAGCACGTTGTGGTAGTCCGTGTATACACACCGAATACCCTCGATGTGCCGCCGCCATAAGCGCCAACCCTCGGCAAACGTAGTTTCCAGAGGGACCCGGGGTGGGCCTCCGCGGACCAAACGTCGGTTAAAATCAATCTGACATACTTTCCGGATGACTGCGTCTTGTGGTTGTGGCGCCTCATCCGTGGAATCCTCCGGAATCTTGAGCTGCTTCGTAAACTCCGCGATCAGCGGTAGTAGTTGGCTCGTCAACCTCACCGCCTCGAGACGTCTCTGGGTCATAACTTCAAGGCAAGGTCCTGCGACTACCTGCTTCTTGCTACCGCCATCCGCTGCAGCTGCTGTGGGCTTCTTTCTCTTCCTCTTCTTTTTGCCTGCCGCAGTCGAAGCTTCAGCCTCCGCGGCCGCGGCTTCAGCCTCAGCTTCGGCAGGAGGTACAACTTCGTCTGGCTGGGGCCGATCCTCCACGCCGCCATGAACCTTCAACGAGACCAACTGACAATACGTCCGTATAAACTCCAAACGCTGCGAGTAGAGTTTTCTCTCTTCGTCCGAACAATCCGCGAGTGCTTTCGCAATATCTGATAGTTGTAGAAAAAACTGTCAAGAGGAAAGAAACCCAAACCTCACGCTTCGAATTATACCAGCTCTTGTAATTTTGCTGAATTAGAAATAGAATACCAAACCTCATCTTATCGTACTAGTTCTTGTTGTAGGTGTAGTGTATACTCTTATCGCCGTCTCGTTCGCCAGCAAAGCGCTCGTCTTCTGCGGCTTTCTTCGCTGAGAGTAAGAGGTCGCGCGTGTCTAATACGGCTGACTCCTCCTGTTTCAGCTGAATCTCGTCAGCATCCTCCAACTCTGCTTGTACTACCACGCCTCGAACGGCCAAACAGCTGTGTATGACTTCGAGCATCAGCATTGTGAACAAATAGGATCGCTTCAACGGTTCCACATCGAAGAGCAAAACGCATGTCCGCAAGGTCTGCTGAAACATTCTTCCACCACTCGCCCACACGAGATACCTTGGTTTCAATTCATAGGGTGACTTCATGTCATGGAAAGGAAAATGTTTTTCATGAATGTTGAGTAAACAAAGTTTGCGAAAAACATAGCACAAGAACCGGCATCTTCTGTGACTGTGCTATGATTCCAAATCGGCTCTAAAATGCAAGAAGTACTGTTTCGCACACTCGTCGAAGACTTTGCAAACGTCGGATATCCTCTTGTCATCCAGCAATTCGTAAAGCCCTGCTCGACGCGCCTTTTCTATTGTGTTCAGGCTCTCAGCGGATTCAAAGCCAGAGTCCATTTTGTATTCCAGACAGACGATAGCAGACATGGCATCGAAAAGGTTGAATTGTGTACCGCAAAGCATCTGGCCGTCTGCCATATCGGCGCATTCTTTTCTAAACACTGAGTCCGTTATGTCGACCCACTCATCTTGGTCGCACGCTTGTCGTGGATCGCCCAGGGCAGCTCCGCCACTACCAGCGGCACTGTGTGATGTTCCACCTTCCTGCATCGGGCAGTTGCGGTCCCGCGGGTAAGGCTTCAGAGGATTCTCCCGCCCACTCCCTGGACTCGAAGTTGTGTCCTCAACGGCGCTCCTAGCATTGCTGCCGTCAGTCCGCGCGGGTGGGGCAAAAGCTGCCGTGTCATCTTTCCTGTCGGCATTGCCGTTCGCAGTCGCAATGCTTGATGATGCGGAAGCACCGACGCTCATTGTCCCCGGGAAGTTGGGCATACCAGAAATCGACGCCCCTGCAGTGCCGCTCCAAGGCAGTCACCTAATGTGGTAAGCGGATTGCACAGCGGGTGCTACACACAGACTTGGGACTGCGAAGACGGGTGCGCGCTCGATGCAAGCAGACACTTCATTGTTCTCCCTTCATGACATCCGCTCTTCAGGTTCTATTTTAGAAAGATGTAGCTTGGGGATGAGACTCACATCGAAACTAACTATTTTCGTCTGTATTTCAAAGAGAGGAAAAGCAACAGGGACAACAAATTACGACCTCAAAGCCACGAATCACTGAATTAAAATAACAGCGGGTACTATCACGGGGGTCGGGATAGAGGAATGGAAATTACTTGTCTGGTAATCATATGTAAATCCCTATTTGTACTTTCCTGATTGTTGGAAGACACGCAAAAAGTCATGGTATTGGCATTGGCAAGCGGCATCACTGCCAATAAGGAGGTCAAGAAATCCTGATTCTTATCTATCATGGCTACAGCTCTAGCTCAGCTGCATCCATTTTGTGCATTTGTTATCTTAATGTGTTCTACTTTTGCTGGTGCTCTACGTAGGCCGCCCTACGTAGGCCCTACATAGGCACCCCTTGAGAAGAACCGCTTGATATTCCATTCAAGATAACGCTCAGCACGAACCGTAGATCGGCCGCTCAGTCGTGAGGGTGTGCTCGGACAGATCCAAGTGGTAGTTCATTTTTTTCTGACGATTGGAATTCACTGCGGAATGCAGCCACGGAAGATGCGGATCGGAGAACAGAACTGCAACGCCTGCTGAAATCAACGTAACCCAAAATAAGTGGCAGCACAACATGCTTTGCGCTCCGTGGCCTTACTAAGCCGCTACTCCATTAAAAAAATTCGCAAAAACTTTCCGAACATCGATCAGGGTTGACCCTTCAAAATTTTCTTACACGGGTCGTTCAATCCTCTTCATGAATCCGACGGAAAACGAGAATCCAAGCAGCGCCTGTTTTCCTCAGTCAAAAGCTAGCAGAAGAAGACCCCAACCCCTTTTCCATGCGCCTTCGTGAGGCTGTGGAAAAAGGACATGTATGTCTGCGCGCCCGTCACCGCGCCCACCTGCGCAGGATTCGAACGCACAGTTGAAACTTTGAAACCGTTTGGTCCCTCAACCTCGACTTCTATTTCGTGTGTTTCCGTCAAACGTGTGTCAGCAACCAGTCTTGATTCAGTCTTGTCAAAACCGAGGTTCCACGCTGCGATTGCGGCACAGGCCATGGTGTTCACGTTATTCGGGGCTAGGGGACAAAGGTCGCGGACTGGACCCAAGAACAACACGTTCTCAGGACTTTCACCCGGTGGACCCGCTGCAAGTTTCTCACTGAGCGGCGGAACGAGCCGTAGAGAGTCGGGATGCTTACGCATGGTCACGCGAAGACCTTTGAGGGTTCCCAAATCAGCCATGCGCTGGATATCCACTGCACCCCACAAAGCGCCAACGGGAATGTACCTGTGAGCAATTTTGGATGATGTATAATTGTGAAGATGCGCCAGAAAGTTCGTACCAACAAGTTAAACATCTATGCTGTGGTGATTTTCGGATGCTGAATGATAAGCATGAGACAGCCGAATCAAATCTAAATTTTGCAGCCATAAAAACGTACCCAAAGCTCGTTCCAATTCTAAGTCGTACGGTGATATGCAAGATCGTTTTCGCTTCGTAAAGGAAGCCAACAAGAATCCTGAGTCCTGCATAGGGTCTATGTCTACTCTGTCGTGGAAGTCATTTCAGATTTTCTGTTTACATGTGCAAGCATACCTATCGAATTTCAATGCTGTGACGTGGGAAATAGCAACTATTACAAAGAAAGAACAACTATAGAAAGGAAGGTGTACAATGATCCTTTTATGGCATCGTTCTTCGCAGCTCCCTGTAGTTTTTCGCAAAGAGTCGCATCGGCCATCGCAGTCGGCGAGCCCATGTAGTAGTCACAAAAATCCAAAAACTTCAGACCGTATTCCTTCGATATATCTGGATGTGCTACTTCGACTACTAGATCAAGTGGCTCAGACGCAAAACCCTTCAAGTCGTCAAGAATCTTGTACTTGTCTGCTGGTATCTTCGAAGCCGTCCGGTTCCACACCCAAGCAATCTCCACTTCTTCATTACCTTCTAGCTTGTCGCAAAGAAACTCTCCCAGCTTGCCGTAGCCGACGATACCAACCCTGCGCTTCGGCGCGCCCTTAGCAACATGACCATTCGACGGAGCACTCATCTTGCTTGTGTTTGCTCCCTGTCATCCATGCGGAAGGAGACAATTTGGAAAACCTAGCTAAACAATCGCTCTAAGGCGAGGGAGTGGATTTTTCAAGTTAAAATCAAAGCGCCTTCTTTTTCTATAGTAGATGATAGTCCTTCTCTGAATCGTTTCGGACGCACGTAGACAGGAGCATCTGAGAGTAACATTGCTCTCCGCATATCCAGACCGACATCTACATCATGTTCATCCAGAGCGACATGTCATCATCTGGTTCTAATTTGATATATAATAGGGATAAATCTAGCACTTGTCGGAGCCAGTCATTGATTGTTGCACAATTTTCCGTACACCCGGTGGTCATAAAGACAGACACAACAAGTGGTGGAAAGGAAAGGAGTGCGAACCCATTTATTCTAGCACGGTATACTATCAAACTCTGGCCTATGAAAAAAAGGCGCAGTGCTAGCGAATCCGTGCAAAAGTTTACCAGGTTTCTGAGTCTTAGAATTTACAATGAAAGACAAGAAGTGTGTAAAAGTACGTTGTTGTACATTTTTTTTTTTTATAGATCATATGGAGTATTCCATTATCGACCGAACAAAGCCCGGACCGAGACCAACATTTGAATTTCCTTTTCATGAAATCATGCGCAAAATCTACGGTTCTCCAAAAAACTAACCGACAAGAAATTTCGCGTGAAATCGCACCGCCTTGATCGGATCATCTCTCACAGAAAACGGGTAGAAGAATGCGGAAGCTACTGCTTCCCTGTAGACACGGATACGAAAATGCTCATCCATGTGGAGATGGTGAAATTACTTATGATGATTCCCGATTATTCTTTCGAAGTACAAGGCGAAGTCGCAAAGAAACAAGGGGGATCTGAAGTAGTCGAATCGTCATGTGCGTCCTCTGACCTTGATGTTCTGGGAATAATTTCGAAGACCTGGATCACATTGGAGGTATCTGCGACTATGAGATGTGTTTCATCTAAAAAGCGCAGAGCATTGATGCTCTCCGCAATTTCCACTTCCGCAAGCAGGCTCCAAGAAAATGCCGGAACCACCTGCTGGACACAATTCTTTCTTCTTCTTCGGTGGCTTACGCTTCCGCTCGACGATAACCGGCGTTCCTCTGCTAGCCCATTCCGAATCACTGCCTCTTCACCGCCCTCTCGTAGCCACACCTTCACGCAGTTCTTGTGTGCAGTAGCAACCTTATCGCACCCGTGCACAGCTAATGCCGCTATCCCAGCACCATGTGCTTCAAACTGCGACAAAACCGCGTAATCTTCGTCACCTCGCATCTTTTCACAGTCCAACTCTAAAATTGAACCATCCCCAAGCCCAGCTATCAGCGTATGCTGGTACGCAGCAGGTACAGGGTTCTCGCCAGCACCGGATGCAATTTCGTTTTCCTGCGGGTGTTCGGTTTCTTCCCTCGCTCCATCTTTCGCGAGTCGCGCTCTCCCCTGCCGCCTGGACCCAAGGGCTGACTTGACGCATGGAATATCGCTGAGGCTCTCCGCGGCCATCAAAGAAGCAGCTGCACGCCGACTATTCGCGGCCACTGCCGCAGCAGGCAACTGTAAATACTCAAAGTGCGTTACAAATGGCGGGTTTACAGCCATTTTCTGCGCCTCTTCAGGCTGGTCGCGACGCACGTCAGCAACGGTCCTTCTCACCAACGTTAGTCCCCTTATTTTGTTGGCGCTCAATACGCCTCCTCCATCAGCTTCCTGGGCATTCCTCGGTTCCGCTTTCTTTCTCTTCTTCCTAGCTTTCTTCTTCGCGTTTGCGGACAGAACCACAACAGCGACAGCATCCACCGTGTTCGCGCTTGAACTCGGAACGCCAGTAAGATCTTCTCCTATGGATTCGTCTTGCTGCCTTCCACCTCCATCTTCGGCTGGTCTACCCTCACCGCTTACTGCAGTTTCATTGACAACGCATTCCCCCGGAACACCGTATGCCTCTTGATCTTTCAGCTTCGGCCAGACCAAGCTGTGAGTTGCAAACACGTGATCGTAGCCACCGGATATAATTCCGAGTGTTTCGTGTACGGACGTTTGTTTCGCCCCCATCGTCCAGCTACCAGCCTGTTTGCGGTCTGCAGCGACGAGCGGAAGTGCGTCACTGCAGATGTTGGCATGTACGGTGCCGAAGTCGTGACATAGTCGCAGCGTCCTTTCCGGGTTTTCACTTAGGCTCCGGTCGCCCTCACCGCGATCTTGACCATCATTTATCGAGGCGTGCGCATCCGAGACAGTGTCCTCTACGACAAGGACGTGGCCGTCATCACATGCCAACACCAGTTTTCTATTACTGTCTGGAAGCGGTCGCTTCCTCGAGGTAGGTGGCACAATCCGTATACTGCTGATTTCCTCTTCGATTAAAAAATCCCCACATCCCACTGGTTTAGTAATCACCATCGGCTGTGTTCTATTGGAAATATCCCGAAGGTGGTACACCAAAACGGCGCTCTTCGACGAGGATACAGACGAAACCGTCGTCGGAGTGCCTGGGATATTAACGCCATTTTCTGACGGTCGTCGGGCGACCTGTCTGCTCCCTTCAACGAAGTTGATTGACGCAGTTTCCGCAACTACGGCATCGGCCACTCCTGCTACAGTCGCACCAGCTTTTGTAACGCACGCACCCGGGACCAGCTCCTCCGTTTCGTGTGTAGTAGACAGAGCTACGTAAACAGTCAATGGCACTGCTCGGTCTTGGTCGCTGGACTCGTCATCTTTGCTCTCCGCAATATGTGTTAATCGCTCCTGGTGTGGGTCCTCGCAGATTGCCAGCATCCCTCTGGAAAAATCGAAGGAATCATGTTCGATAGCAGTGATGTCCCCCGCGCGCAGTTGCGGGTCGCAGATAGCAAGCACAGCCCGCTTCGAGCCCTTTGCCCATAACCGGACTGTTCCGTCTGCCGAAGCGGACAAGAAGAAAGTCGACCCGGAGACGTGGAAGGATCTGCTAAGGTGCGTCACCTCATCCCGATGACCAACGAAGGCACCGGACAAGTCATCAGAAGTCTTCATTCTAGCCCAGAAGTGAGGTGCAACAATATGCAGCTACGAAGTACCACAAGGGTTAAAATAATGGCTCACGGAATAAATACCACATGAGTTTGATCATGGTGTAGATATTTCTAGAGTCAAGGCATACCTGTTCGCCTCTACAAGCGAGGATACGCGGCCTGTGAAGCTGTAGTCAAAGAAGAGATATGTGGGGTTTCTAGAGTGAAGGTGCGTGTTCCGGAACGCCGTCCTTACGCAGCCTTGACGCGAAAGTAGGAACGCACATGATCCGCCTGGGGGAACTGGATCATCGAGAACTGCGGCATCATCACAAACGGTGCAACATTATATTGCCGAATTTTTCATAAATTTCTAACTCCTAGCCTTAAATTCGCAACGTGAACCGCGTTCTCAAGCGCTGATCTGGGCCAGGCCAGCATTCCTTAAGCAATTTATTTGTAGCGAACCCCAAGGTGATAATCGCATTCTGTTGCGTGGTTGGCATCAGTGATTATGATTATCCGCTGGATCTGAACAAACAAACAATGAGATCTCGACAAAACAAAGCAGATATAGCATTTCAAAACGCCGTCGTTACACAGATGAGGTGCCTCTATATCATGCAAATTGGTTGGTGACAGCCGTCCCCTCCGCAGACCAACTTGCTACCGGGGACTGGCGTAAAATACCCATGCGACTTGCGTTAAAAAAAGACTGAGCGATGTAGTGCTTCGCCTCAAACACCGAATTTGAGACGTTAACTTTCTAGGCCCCCCATGTGTCAACAACTACCAGATCTTCATGATATCTTCTTGTACTGAGGTGGAATGGCGAATAGAAAAAGAAAAACGGGATCTTCAACGCATGTCGATGATTATGGTCGTGCTACAGCGTCTTTTTTGTGGGTACCCTGTTGCAAAATCATATGTGGATCGTGTCGTTATGCATGATGTTCAAGGACTGTCCATCTTACATCGTCTATCTTCAGAGCTTGTGTTTATACGCTTCGTTCCGTGCCCACTCCAATAAGAGGTCCGCATTATGTAATGCAAAATTTCGCTTATGAAGTGGTAATCGTTCTCCTTACTCGTTGTAACAAGCACTCTCTACTTCTTGCTTTTCCCCAGCTTTTCCCTCGCGAGCCTTTCATGCTCTTCGACGAAAAACATTGATGTCTCATCGCCTTCTTCTTTGCGGATCGCCCACAACTCGGCACACGTCTGCAAAACCTTTTTCCACAGCTTCGCTTTGCGCAACTTTGGCAACTCGTCATCTAGCCGGTCGAAGCGCCTCCGCCTCGCGTCACTTTCTGCCAGCTCAGACGGTGGTAGACCACAAACCGGACATTTGCAGACGAAACCGTAATTACCCTGCAAAACCTGTTGCCGGAAGCGGTGGTCATGCCAGAACCCGATGTAAGAAAAGGTGAGCTCTTCGCCTTTCTCGATGTCTCTCGCAGCAAAGACCGTGACTTTTCCACCCGTGACACGTCGCGAACAGTTCGGGCGGCAGGAATGATTCAGCCGCGCGGTCAGCAAAAACAGCATGTCGCTGGCCAGACTTCCCGTGCTCGCGTCAGCCACGTCCGCCATCCGCGTGTTCTCCTCCGGTCCAAACGAGTTAGTAGCGAAGGTTTGGACGAGCTCTTGTGGTGGCGGCAGAAACTGATTGTTCTTGCTTGCTAGCGACCATAGTCGGCCCTTGTCGTTTTCGGCCAAAGCGGAGAACTGGTCCCAGAGTCTGACGATTTCTTCTGGATCCCAGGATGGGCTATTGGCAAACTGCGCTGGTCTGCAGTGGGAAAGCACAGGCGTTTCGACCCACAGTGCGTCTCCCTTCTTCAGCATTTCCAACGCAATAACGCCCTTGCCGCGTCCCTCTACCTCCATCACCCTGAAAGCATTTGCACGGTCACTAGTTACCCGACTAGTCTGGAGCTCAGCGTCGGCTCTGTCTGCTCCTTCGAACTGCAAATTCGTAGCCTTCACACTTAAGCACGACTCGTCGCTCGCAAGACGGACTTGGAAGCGATTTTTTTCGGGCAGGAACTTTAAAACTTTGCCTCGTGCTCCGTTCAACTCTGGCCGGCTCTGAAGTCCCTCGATTGTGGCTTCGAGACCGGTTTGCGCTTCGGTCAATTGTGATGATGTCATGTCTATAGTCGCAAGCGCCTAAAAAGCTCCGTCCGTAGTTGGCGACACACTTGAATCATGATATATTTGTAAAAGTAAAATTGGCCTTAGAGAAGGGCGCAGAAGTCCGCAGAAACATGTTTATTTTCGTTCGAGGAGCTGCAGGAAGAAAACAAGAGCGACAGATTGAGTTAGACGTTGTAGCCTTGGGACCTGGAGACCACAATTGAAAAAATTCGGATTCAAATCTTTGAAGAAATTCTTTCACATTCAAATCGATACGCATCACCTTCTTCAAAAAATCTCGAGATCATCCTGGAAATTCCAGCATCGAGATAGCGCGGAATCCTGCAGAAAAATGCGCTTGCAACATATGACCAAAAGATTTGGAAGCAAGAATCCACAAATCCTGCGAATTGATGCGAATAGTGCCTCCAAAGACTGAAGATAGTAGACTCCTTCTCATTTCATTTTTTGAATTCATCTACACTATGTGTATGAGAAATTATTCCTTCTCTACAAGTCTTTCGAGATCTCGAAGTGAGCTTCCTCTGGAAGTTTACTGAGTTCTCTGATTTACTTGTGAGTTCTTGCATAATCAATTGAAATTGTTTTGAAGCTGAGCCAAAGACAGAAGATGCGCCAAGCCTTAAAAGTAAACTTTCTTGGAATTCATGAAGAATTAACGAATATTTCAAAAGATGATGAAGACAAAAGCCACTAAATTGGTCACCAAATGGAAGATGTGAAAATGGAAGATAAAACCACCTTCAATGCGCATGACAAAAGGCACGATTATCCAAAATCGTTTTATTTAATGGTGATGAAGATCGATGGCATTTCCTCAATTTCATGACACAATCACTAAATCTAAATGGTCGTTCAAAGAAAATGAACACTAAATCTAAATGGCTCAACCTCATTCTTTAGAAAGAAAATGAACACAAGGTCAAGTCGATACTACAACTAACAACAGTATCTATGAAATTGAAATTTCATTTTGTAGTCACGCGGAATATATAATTATAGTTATCGTTCACGGGCAAAAAAGTCCAACATCTCTTTGGAGGAAATAGAAAAATTCGACATGCATGTAAAACCCAAACTGTTCGTGTTAGGCCTTGCGGTCGTCTCCACTATTTTTCTCCGCCGACTTTATGATTTTTTGCGAATTAGTAGCATGTGGCAAGGCTTAGAGAAGACTCTCACTTACTTACTTGGATCTGACAACGCTAGAATTATTAAATAGTAACTGGTGCGATTCAAGAACTTCCGGATTCTAATCTTAAGACACCGGATTCCCGAGGCCTTTATCCAGCTCATCGCTGCTGCTTTCTTCAAGGAGGGCCTGGCACGATTCTTCCAGCCAGTTGGAGGACGCTGGACTGAGCCGAAAGTAGTTGTTGGAAGACGTTTCCGCCGAACTTTCCGAATGCTTTGTGGATGACCGTTTTTTTCTGCGTCGAGCAGCTTCATCCTCAAGCTCCACATCAAGCACATGAAGATCTGTTCCGTCGTCGGGCTTGTGCGCGTGCACGACGGGTTCCTCAGGTCGGTGTGAAGTACACGCGAAGAAAAGCGATTCCTGAAATGGGAAAAGCACATTGTGCTTGCAACCTCCGATACCGGTCGGCACGAAGTGGGTCGTCGGAGGCGCTAGCACAAACCCCGGCCCTCGTTGTCGGGCGTTCAGACGGTCGTCGTAATCTGCAAGCCTCAACCAATGTCGGCCCCGCAGGTAGAACATATGCACCAAGGAAAGCTCCACACCCGCCTGGATAAAGTTCGTCGGAAGCGAGGTGGAGAGAGGTACCACATTTATATCTTGTGCCTCAAAGAGTGGTCAATACCTTTTCCTTTACAGAGGCTAATTATAAAAGATGTCCTAGTTTTGGATCGGCTCCATTCCGTATAGGCCTTGCACTCGTGATCACCTCCATTTTATGGCACTAAAAATGCGAAATAGCAGCAGCTTTTGTACCCTGTATTCCATGAGCGCTACGTTGACCTTCGCCGCGGTGCTCGCCGTGCGAAACGCTTGGCTCCATTTCCTAGTACGGTATTCAACATAATCTCCGACGCCGAGGAGCCCAGTTATGTTCAGGCCGCTGCTGTCGTCAGCTGCACCCTCCCGCTTCTGCGAGCTCGGATTACTGCTCTCGCTGCTGTGCGTCCGATGCGCGTGTGGCTGTGGATGTCGCATCTCTATTCCGAGCAATAAGCGGTCACTGGAAGCCATAAATTTCCAGCAGCGGTCCTGCGCCTGTTGAAAACAGATTTGCTCCGTCTCGAGGTTCATGCTTCCGCCGTAGAGTCTCTGCCTGCGGTCGTGAAGGAGTTCTAGACCTTCATTGGCATGCCGCAAAAGACTTTCTTCCATGTGCCGGTGTCGATCAGCCAGATGGTCTGGATCCAGCTGTAGCACGTCCCAAACGGCACCAAAATGGTTCTCAGGGTGCGACAAAGCCATCATGTCCTCGGGAGAATTTCTGTTGCTATCTTTCACTGCCGGCGCCGAGCACGTTGATGCTGCTGCACTTCGCGAGGAGAAAACGCCTTTCGCAGCTCCCGCAATGTCCTTTTCCGAAAAAGCAGTAGCAGCATTCCTTATATTTGCTCCGGCATCCGTGGAGGTGAAAAAATTACTGCCACTATTTTCGTCCGCAAAAAGTTGCGGCGCTAGAGCTACGACGCCTCGTTCATCATCCTCCTCACCAAAATGGCTCGTCGCTGATGACGTGGCGAGAATCTTCGATGAATGGTATTTTAGAAGCGGCAACAGCGTGGGCCGTTGGTACAAGAATCGGACAAAGTCTGAACGTAATTCTCCGGATGCGTGCGCATCCTGCCATCGCTGACTATGCTCAAACAAGGCCACCTTGGATATAGTTTGGTGCTTGGCGTGCAAGATGAGTCCTTTGAGCGTCCCCACTACCACGTCGTAGATGTCCGCGTCTGGCGCAATCAAATCCAGATACTGCCGTGATCCGTACTTGTCTCGGAAAAGTAGGCTAAAAGAAAGGTGCCCCAAGGGAAAGAGATTGTCTCGGCAATCAAATCCCGGCGTTTGCTGTCCGCACAGTAGAGTGCACACGGTGAAATCAATATGCTCTGATGCAGGAGAAAAATCCGGTGACTCGTGGAGGAAACACTTCAAACTCTCGCGCCGCTCGGTAACTTGGAAATACCGGACTTCGGGGCGCCTCAAGTGCGGCGTCACCCAATATAACTGGAACCCTCGAGTTAGAAGCATCGTGCAACCGAACGTCATTTCTAAATGCGACATCGCCGAGACAAAAACCTGGCCACGGTGAAATCACAAAGCGTCCACGACCAAGTGGTTACTTACTGCTTTCTTTAGAGATGTGAAACCAAGCACCACAATGAAGAACTTATTCTAGAGCAGTATGAAGCAAGCTTACGTCATCGCGACGCACCTACTACAACTACATCGCTACTTCTATGAATTCTGTAAGTATGATACGGAGAGACAGCATTAATTTGCAAGAAATAGTACATTCGCACCGTAGCTCTTCGTCCGGAGTCGCGGTGGATCGTTTCAGCTGCTTTTTTACGTTTCTTCTTCCGCGCTGCCGAAAAGGCGTACTGGTGCATGCCACCTTCTGGCTCTAAATGAGGCAAGTCGTCTTCAAAAAGCGTTTCACCCGTCCTCAAATCTCGCAGGAAGTAGCCAGCGAGTCTCCCGGTAGGCTCTAGGGACGCTTCTGTAGTGAGACCTAACAGGTCAAGAAGCATTTGTCCGCACTCGGTTCCCGAGAGATACGGCCATCGCCCGGGTAACCACACGAATCGAGCGAGACCATCCCGGAACTGCAAGTTCAGCAACGCTGCGTCCGGGTCGCCTGCTGGCGCCCTCGCCATGGCTTCCGCATATGCTATTGCATCCTTCCGTCGCATATTGAGGCCGGTATACTGTGAGGGCTTCGGAATCCGAGGGCTCGACGTCTTGGATGGAAGACTACCACCAGAGGACACACTGGCACCCAGAAAGCCTTGCTGCCCCCTGATCGGCGGCAATTCAGAACCCTGTAAGCTAGGCACGATGGGACTGCTTGGGACGCTCCCTCCAAGCGCCGCGGAAGGATCGCCCCGGCCGATTTCGGGGCCACCACGGTAGCAACACCCAGGCATGATTTAGTCGAATGTCTTGCTGGTGCCAGGCTTGGTGATCGAAAAAGTCCAGCAGGACCCCATGTTTAGGTGGTGTAACTACTGTATTGGTTTCCGAGCGCAAGCTAACAATGAATTATGACCACATGCAACTGACCCTTGAGCATAAGACCGAATTGTGAGGAAAGATCGGACTATTCATACTCAACAAAGGTTGCCAAGCTGAAACGAGCCTCTAGCTCTATCCAATCAGATTCAGAATCTACTTATGCCAATAGCTACTTTGCAACTACCTTCCGTCCCAGCTACCATACCCACCGCTCCTTCAGCGAGCCAGTTATAACTCCGATCATGCTGTTCTGCGTGATCAAGTGGCTCCTCGCTCGTCTCAGAACATCGTGAGAGAGAACACCTCCAGGGATGTCCTGATTCCTGCCAGATGCAAAACCAATGCATCACTACGTACCTAAATGCTTTGTGTGATTTCTGTGGGCAGTAGCTAGAATAGCTAGGGATAGGGTTGGAATTTATCTTTTGCTTTTTGTCTTGGCGATACACAACCCTATGATCTCTAGGAACAAGCTCAGGCTTTCATGATCTGATGACGCTTACATGCCATGCCACTCAGTCAGGAGCGCTTTATTGGTTAGAAGATGTTAGTTGTCAAGTTACTCGATGATTTTTGTTGTTGTGTTAGTTACAAGGATCAACATGCATCTTGTCTTTGTGCTCAAGTTAGCTGATATAATATAATGTTAGAAGAAGAAACGTTGGATCATTCTTTCACTTTGACTTATTTTGAGACTTTTGACACGGGACAAACGAAACCGAAGACACCAAGCACTCGTTAACACTAGTCGAGTAAAAGATATCAAGCGAGCTGCTGTGACCTCTATGTTTTCCTTTTCGATCAAAATTGTAATATAAGTCTGAATTCTCAGATAGAGACCCTCTTAGTCTAGCACAGGCTGTAGTTCCACAGAGGCCTAGATCAAGGGGACTCGTCCTCGAAGCACTCCTCCTCGTAATCTTCGTCATCTTCATGCTGCCTTAGCATTTTTTCACGCTGTTGCTGTTCATACACCTGCGAGTGTGTTGATATGCAGACTGGTTCCTTGCTACGCTTTTGCTTCTGTAGTCGTGGCGTCATCAGTTGCTCAAGCGCCGGATCTAGAGTAGTGCTTCCGCTGGCTCCCTGATGGTGAAAATTTGGACGAGCCCATCATACGTAGATCATGCAGAAATCGCTTCATCTTGGACAATTAGTCGAAGTGTAGCAGGCATGCAAGATTGATTGTTCCATTAACTAATGAAGTTAGCTACAAATCAAACACTCGTCATCAAGCATGTACTAGTACCTCTCCCGTTTTCGTTCCTGCAACGGTCGATGAGTGACCACCGGAGCCTCCTTTCTTCAACGCATGAAGCGAATTGTCTAATATCTTCGCTATTTGATGTGCTTCGCCGAGATACTTCTTCGCCCATTTTGCTCCTTCGGTGTACCTGATGAAAGCGATCTTAGAGGTAAGTTTTTGGTGTTCTTATATCCCGCTTGTTATGGCTGTCCCCCTTAGTAGAGCCATAACAAACGGTAACAAAAGCACCTTTAACCTACCCTTAATGATCATTACTAGCCGTAGCGGTGACTGGGCATCCAAATACTTAGTAGATGATCTGTGTCGTACAGAAGGTCTGGAAGCAAATCTCAAGAAGAACGTACTTAAGTGTATTAAGACCAGGTAAAGATACGATCCTATCGCTTCTGGAAGCTGTTTTATGTGCTCATGCTCGACTCCTTTATTGAAATAGGCGATGCACAACACCGAGACTCGCTCGCGAATCGCCGGTGCTGGCTCCTCCCCGGGCACGTGCTCTATCAACAACGGGCAGAGGAATTGGTATACCTGAAGTGAAGCGCGCGAAAAACGACCATCGTAGGTGGTAGTACTTCTTCTAGAGAATCCGACTCGTGAGCGACACGAACTTCGGATTTGATCTATACATCTTCCAACATAGGTCATGCTACTGTGACAGCGAAGATGCTCGTTGTAGTAGAGCCAAGTTACCTTTATCACCGCTGTCTGCGCATGATGCAGCGCTTGGTCGTGTTTGTTCAGCTGACTCATCGTCGCACAAAGATTTAGGTGCGTCTGTGACACGTCCGAATTCGGGAAACTCGTCTCTAAGCTATACCTGAACATCGATCTTGTGGTCGTGCATGATGCCGTTTTTTAACGAGCCTCCTTCATAATTACTTCTTAAACAGCTCTGCTTCCGCGTCTGCGTTTGTTGAAATAGAAGAAGGACAGGGCTGCTCCTTTGAAAAACGCGACTTTTTCTTTTACCTTTACAATTTGGCTACTAGTTTGTATACAAATACATTAATTACGCCTTCTCCAGGTATGTGAGCGCTATCCGCAGCTTCCCTATTCTCCTGTAGTAGCATGCTAAATTGTTGTAGGTTATCGCTTTCTGCAAGTTTGCAAGATGGTTTACATCCAGCGCACGTTTCAGCAGGTCGAATACAACCTGAAAGAATGTGATGGCAGTACCAGTAGAGAATGAAAGAAGACGAGAGGGGCTACTAGAGCGAATCATATTTATTATATTGAGGAGTGAAGTATTTAGAAACCGTGAACGAGGACTTTGACTCCTCTGCTGGTGAAAAATATTTACAAGAAGAAACAATTGACCCAATACCTGTGTGTTGTTGAGCTGGAGCATGCTAGTGGCCACATAGTTGCAGGCTTCTACCAGTGATGTGATGGCATCGTGAACCTCCGAGCTGTTCGGCGCGTATATCTTCTTCCTGAGAAACAACGATTTCTCGTGAAATTCCAGTAGTTTCTGAAGATCTTTTCTTTCTTGCGCTTTCTCGATCGCTTTGTCACACAGTATTATCTCCTCCTCAATGCACGCTATCTCCTCAGGCGGCAATGTTGCTGGCATCGTCGAACGCACCATCTTGTTAGGAATCGAAGCGAGGACTCACTTCCCCTTCGTCTTGCTAACGTAGATCGATGAGATCCAGGAAGGGGCACTCAGAGTCGCAAATCCGTCGTCGGAATATCGTATTCGAGGATATGTATGTGGCAAAAGAAAATGCTGAGACAACAAGTTGCAGACGATGCTGTTGTTCAACGAACCAAATTGATTTGTTGTGAAGATAGCCACGTTTCAAAATGAAGATGATGTCAGCGGACGAGTTCTTTCCACAGTGATACGCGTCGCTCTGCCGTCGTGCTCCACTTCCACAAGGCTGTTCTTCTCCTCCACAATTACCCAGTATACCGTCACGCTTGCGCCTGCTTCGCACCCTTGCTTAGCGATAAGTCGCTAGGTAGCCAAGCTTTCTTCTCGTGTACGACTCCCGTTTCGTCTGTGTCGTGATTTTCATGTGCTTACGTCGTCGCCAATGTTGCCAGCTCGCGGCGGACGATGGTTATGCTGCTCTCGGGGAAGATGAATCTTCGAACTTGTCTTTGACAGTGCGCAAGAACTCCACTTCTCGGAGACGGCCTGGCTCTTAGAAGAGACCAAGCGACGACATGCAGTCGTTGCAGTAAGCAGCTACGATGGTTGTAACGGCCCCTGCTCGGCAAAAAACGATATCTATCTCGTTCTCAAGTCCGATCATGTGGTACAACTCAAATGCGGTTTCAAAGCGCAATCCTCTTCCACCAGGCGCGCTACGACTAAAAGCGCGAGATACCTCCGCCTTAAAAGGAAACAAGAATAGGTTTTTCGACGGAAGGCACCATGCATTGAGGTTCCTTCGACCACCTCGTCACAACATTTGTTCCATTGATTCATTCCTTTTTGGTAGAAACGGGCCCTTGCTCAAGGTAATTCGAGTTCCAAGTAATGAAATGTTTCTCCACAGAAATGTAATTTCAAAAAAAAGTTAGCAAAATGACCACACGACTACAAATTCACTGTGGGTTGCTGTCGGGATGCTGCTCTTCATGATCGAATTCTAGCACAAGTCTGGAATCAAGACGACCTACAACCAACTTGCTCTTCGTCTACATTGATTTATCACCTTTCTCCTCTACAATTGTGCTAGCTGCAGCTGAATCAATATTCATATTAAACTTCTGTGAATATGAAAGCGACCTCATGTGTGTCTGTCGAAACTTTGTTCAAGAAATGACAAAGAAAATACTTAACAAGGTATGGGGGGGATTGCTTCCTTCGGTGAGGTATCTCTAGAGTTCTCCTTCTCACCTAAGACCTTGTCAAACTTACGGTCGCCTTTTCATCTGTTATAGGGCAAGTTCGCTCATCTCTGTACCAGCAGCAGCAGTTGAAATGGTTTGCCCTAGTACAATTCACCCATCAATTCTGCTAATACGAGTGATTTTTGTACTCTCGAGCCGACTTCAATCGACCGATAAGTTCGGATGGTACGAAGATTCTGCGTAGGATGCACAGATCTGCAGTTAGTTTGCGCTTCCCTCCGTCACGAGTGTTTAACCGATCGACACAAATTCACCTCCTACACCGCCGAATACTTTGTTTTACAATGTCGACTAATTTCAATATCGTGCAGTACGTCGGAACAAGTAAATGTGCGTCGTCGCTTGATGCTTGAGTGCAGTAACCCATGCTGATTCTGTAGTGGTCAGAAAATGAGAAAATATACAAAAATGAAACTTTGTTGCGCAGACCACTTGATACTCGGCTTGCAAAGAGGAACTAGGGAGAGGAAAAAAGTTGCGGTTCAGTGATTTGTGTTTCATCGTCCTGCTTCAGCGTATTTTGTGCATCGCACGCGGTAGCACGCGTTCCTGAAGACGAAAAAAGAAGCGGATGAGATTTTCTCGACACCGGAATGCAGCCCACAGGGAAAGAAGAATGCCAATGCCCACCAACACAAGACCTACCATCACGAGTGATACCACCAAACTTCGGTGATTAGAGAGAGCGTTATGCGCCGTCGTCCATCGTTGTGCGTTGTCTGTGTGTAGTATATCAAGCTGCGACAAATGCTTCCTATGGCTTGTAGCTGCTGCCTGAACAAGACGAGATCTTCACTTTTCTTAACAAGCAGACGAGTATAAAGTTAACGTGCAATTATCGACCTCGACGTGGAAAGATAACGGAAAGAAGGTAAACTCCCAAATCAAAGAATGAATTAGGTCCGGTAAAGAGCGACCAGCATAATTTTAGTGCAAGCAGACCATCGTACTCCGCCATCGCTATTTCTGTCTTCGTCGCGAACTGCGATAACGCTCATAAACGCAGCAATCACCCAGCGACGATCCTCGTTCGTGAGACTTGCGCCACCCGTCGACGTCGTAGTTTCAAAACTGACATACCATTTCTTCTCGTACACGGGGCAAGCCTTGTTTGACAATTTATTTTGTAAAGTGCAACTAAGTCTGAGTTGGATTTTTGTTTTTCAGCGAGTACTTCTATACGCAGAGTAATTTATAAGGTTTGCCAGCTCGCAGGGCATGGAGTGCATGGATCGCATGGAGCTAATGGGGGCGCTTCTCGCGTCCCTTAGCGATCTGCGCTCCATGCACTCCATGCGTGCTACAAACTGTTCTGTTATAGAAATAGAATAGGAATTCAGGAGCACGTGAATACACAATATTCAGAGTTGGTGGCAGCTACCGGATAAATACTGATCTTCTCCTAGCCGCACACAAAAGTTTAAATTATCGACTATGAGCAGGACTATGTAGAACTAGAAATACATCCGAGGGTGACCACGCTCCGTTCTTTCCGAGTGTTGCAATCGTTTTCCCGTTACTTGGATCCACGAGTTTAAAAGATTCCGCAAACACAGGAATGTACGATGTCACTGCGACAACTACTCCACTTTTCGCTATAATTTCGTATTTCAAGTAGACGTCGCCACTGCATCCGCCACTGTAGTGTAGAAGTACATGTCCACATCATGAAAATGCCATTCTACATCTGCATTTGGTGGACTCACGGTGTCAACAATGAGAATGGAGTTGTAGTCTTCATTTCTGTAGACGTTTTCGCAGCTTCTTCCCATTTTCAAGTAGTAAGAACATGAATGAAGCAAGAACATCAATCACACATAGAGGCTCAAGTTACAAATTGTACCCTCCGAGGATTCCGCTTGTGCTTTTGCAAGATTGAATACTTGATCCGCTAAGATGATAGATCATCTCGTGAATCGTGTAAACAGTGTTACCATTGCAGTCAGTGAGATCCACGATGTTTGTGTAACCTGTTGGTCGTGTCCAGGCTTGCGTTACTGTGCCTCCCGTTTTCTTGTCCGTAATTATGAGATTGGGTGCGTTTAGCTGGTAACATTGTTCAGTCCAGGTCTGCAACTCAGTTCCAGTCGGCGTAGCGATACCCGCTGTTCTTCTAGTACTAGTACAGCCAGTCGGAGCGTTCACGACCACCGTCTTCGGTAAAACAACGCTCTGGGTGTTGCTATGGTTCTTGTAGTAGTAGTTTATTGATATCAATTTTTATGCTGATCACTTCCTACTCTTCCAAAAACTACTCTACTAGTATTTTTGATAAGAGTCAGCACGGACATGTTCATGAATGAAAAGGCTGAAGTACCGGACATCCATATGCGAGGTCGAGGCTTTCCTGTGTAGGCAGCACAGTAATATCGCTTTTTACTGGTTCCTCAATGAACTTTTTAGTGATCGCACTACCAATCCACGTGTCCAATGGTTGCATATCTCTCGCTGTATCGATTGTCTGTGGAGTCGGGTCATTGGTATTTGTCACTGCTGTTGCCGTGGGATCCTGTTCTGCACGACGTCGCTCGAAAGCTGCATCGGTCTGCACCGCAGACAAGAGCATGCCCCCTGGCCTGAGTTTGCCGAGCGGGCGTCTAGAATCCACGATGCCGCTTGCGACATTGCTTCCATACTGTAAAGTGAACTGGGAAAACTGCGCGATGGAGCCAAGCAAAGCGGCTAGAAACGAAGGCAGGGATGCGGGCTTGCTGAGCAACCGCATCGTCTCTGGGCTCGCACAACGTGGCCCACGATAATCACATGCGATCACATGTTGATCTTCTCCCACAATAAGGGCCCAAAACAATTCTTCGCTGGCCCCCGTACTTCAGATTTCTTTGTCACAGCATCCAACTCCGATCAACAATTATTAACGTTTGCCTCTACTTGCTTCTTCATCACAGAAAAAGTCAGCTATCTTTTCGCATCACTTTCAAATTTATTGCATTTCCAACCTCAAGCCAGTAAGAGCTTTGCCTCTCTACAGCAAGTCACGCGTAGTCTTCTTGACATTGTCAATTACATTATATGCGGGATTTGGAACGGGTGACTTCCGACAATTTCGCAACCAGAAACTCACGCTCAAATCCATACGCGCAGTCTCTAGAAGCAGCCTCCAGTCTCTAACAGTACCAGTAGCCGCAACTTTGGTCATGAAGACACGTTGTAGTTCGTTCTGATCTCTCGCGTAATACTCGCTCCTTCCAAAAATAATTATTTCTTCAACACCGAAGGGCGTTGCATGAGCATGATGACCCAAGAGTACTATAGCTATACAGTATACCTTCTGCAAAAGCACTCTGCAGAAGCTTTATTTTCTTGAGTGATAAACTTTTTTTATATCATGATCCTGATGATCATTTCTTAGGTAGAAATGTCATCACGAACAGACAACGTGGTAGAAATGTCATCACTAAGAACAGACATTTCTTAGGTAGTAATGCATACTGCTGAGTCTTTCACGCGACGACATTGCGACGTCCTTATTTACTGACAACACCATGATTCGTATAGTGTTTAGCATCTTTTACTTTTTCTTGTTTTGAGAACAACTTCCTTACTCGTAATACACATTGCTACTTTGAAATCACGATTTCCTTACACATATTAGTAATTATGCTATGACTCGCTATCTATAGTGTTTAGTATCTTGGATCTGCCTGTGAACTTCCTTGTTATCGGTAAGACATACTCCTGAATCTTTGATATTGCGACTTCCTCATTTATTAGTAGTACCATGATGTTGACTCGTAGGTAGAGCGCTTGATAACATTGAAATTTAAGAAAATTAAAGAGCTAGAGAAAAAAGCGACAACGCCCCCTCCAATCTCTCAACCACACACACCCGAACCAAAAACACTGGAACAGAGACACTCACCCAACAAAACCATGAACCTATAAACCTCTGAGCTTCTATACGACTCCAGGCCGAACGGCCCCCCCTCGGCCCTCCCCCCCCTGTGGTATGGTCTGTGGTGGCGCGAGCGCGGGCGCTTTCGCGCGGATTTTTCGCGGATTCTAGTGGCAGAAAGCGTCACAACTTGGCGCGGGCCTCCCCTTGGGCCTCTCAGCGTGTTCCTAAGGGACCTCCTGGCCTCTGCTGACCCTCGTAGGCGGGCGGCCTCCGTGGTAAAAGGCCGCCGGAGGCGGCCACAGTCGCAAGAAGAGCAAGCAAGCCGATGACCAAGGGCCCGGAGGGTACGGGCGGCACGGCTCACGGGGTCCAGCCCCTCGCCTTACTTTTGCCGACTTCGGAGGCCTTCCGCTGCAGGCGCACTGCTGCGGCGGCGAAGCCTAGCGGATGCACTTACGGCACAGGCAAGCACCTGGACGGGGGCGCAGGCGGTCCCCTGGGCCCCTTTTGAAGCCTCCCACCACCATCGGAGGCCCCGGGGGAACAGCCAGGCAGCTGGAAGGGAGCGGAAAGGGGAGGTCACGGGGCCCCCTTTTGAGGCCTTCCACCCACCGCAGACGCCTTCAAAAGGGGCCCAGGGCGCAAGGGGGGGCACCGTCGCCCCGCGCCCGCCTGGAACATATATTAGAGCAGTTTATAAGGGTTCCAGGTCTGGAATGGCATGGATCGAATGGCACGAATGGCACGGATGGCGGGGGCGCAATCCGTGACCGCGATCGACCTCGCCATTCGTCCCATTCGTGGACCAAATAGACCTTCGAGAGCGGGGCGCCCTTCGGGCGCCCTGCGTTCCAACGCGTTGCTCTCCCCACTGGGTTGCCACTTCCTGCTCGATGCTCTACGCCGATCGCCAAGAACCCCGCGGGCGCGGGGCGCCCTTCGGGCGCCAAACCCTGCACTCAGCCAAACGCACATCCCTCACACAGTTCCACTAGGTGCCAAGGCTGCCCCCCCGCTACGGGCGGGGCGCCATGCTTCGGCGCCACCTCTTCCCTTCTTCGTCGAAACGGTGCGGCTTCTCTCATGGGCGGAATCACTTGCATACGACGGATATACTCGGTAAGCGAATGAGACCAGGGGCGCCAGCTGGCGGAACCCTGTCAACAACCTGTGCCATTCGTGCCATTCGTGACACATTTGGGGTCTGTTGGGGTGTGCCATTCATGCCATTCGTCCCATGCGCCATTCGTGCTATAAACTGCCCTAATATATATAAAAAGGCAACAGCGTCCCCTCCAATCTCTCAACCACACACCCCCGAACCAAAAACACTTGAACCAAGACACTCACACAACAAAACCCGGAACCTATGAACCTAGGAACTTCAACTTTCTTACGAACCTAGGAACTTAGAAACATAAGGACTTCGTAACTACTTATGCACTTATGAACTTACGAAGTTCAGCCTACGCACAGCCAATCACGGCCGCAGGCGACTCGATTCAAATTCTAAGCGATATAGTCGATAACTTTCCTTCTTTGCTGGGGCTAAGATAGCAAAGTTTTTGACTTTACCAACCAAAATCAAAATTATAACTTTTTACAGTCAAAGCTGTAACTTTTCAAAGCCTCACGCAGGCCCAACACCTCGGGCGTGGCATGTCATTGGACTACGATCAAGACACCAGCCAACGCGCTGCCAGTGATGTGCAGCCAGAGAGCTTCGCTACTGTGGGCTAAAGTAGCAAGGCTCTTGACTTTATCAGCCGAGGCTAGGCGTTAAACTCTTCAAATTCGGGCACTCAGCTCCAAAACCTCAGGCGCAGCATGTCATTCGCCTACGATCACAACTTCGGCTAATACGCTGCCAATAATATGTAGCCAATCCATCGCGCCCACAGGCGATCTAATTAAAATTCTAAGCGATGTCTGCTAATATTTTGGGCTAGCGTAGGTGCCAAGTTTTTTCATTTTATCAGCCGCGGCCAAGTTTCAAACTTTTCAAATTCGAGGACCCGACTCCAAAACCAAAACCACAAGCCCAAGGCCTCAGGCGCAAGACTAAGTAACACTTCGGGCCCAAGGTTGCAAGCCGAAACCTTCAAAGCCAAGGCCCCAAGTCCAACACCTCAAGCCCAACAATTCAGCTCCAAGCCTTCAGGCTGAAGGCTTCGCCTTCAAGTCCAAAGCATAGCGCCCAAGGCGTGAAGCCCAAGCCTTCAGACCCGAAGTCTCAAGTCCAAAACTTCAGACAAAACCCCCCAAATCCGACTACGCTCTGCGCCCAAAGCTTCTGTTTCAGCTTGCAAATCCAAAGCCTCAAAATCCAAGCGCCACGTGCGAAGCTTTAGGCCTAGAGCTTCGCCGAAAGCCATGGGCTTCAGTTCAAGCTGCAAGCCAAAAGCTTCAAACTCGCCCCAGGGAGTGAAGCCCCCATCCTAAAAAGCTTAAGCGTAACGCGCTGCACTCAGGTCAAGACCTCCAATCCAAGAACTTCCACGACATTCAAAAGCAGACAAACCCAGAAACACCTCAAAAAACTCAGGGCAGCGGCCTCCTCTGTCAAATCCCGCGGCGCCTCTGCCCCGACTCCTCTTCCGCCGATCAACTCCGCCAAGAAGAAAGCGCCGCGACCTGGCGGAAGAGGAGCGGGGGGGCGCGTCTTGGCGGAGGAAATGCATGAAGGAGGTGGAGGATTCTAGTGGAGGGAGAGCTATTGGGCGCTGAAGTCTAGTATTTATGAAGAAATGGCTATTACTTAGTGCGTATTATCTTTGTTATCATTGATGAAAGAATGCATTATGAAGACCCTACTACTTTATTCTTGTGTTCTTTTTTTCCCAAACTTGTTCCGCCGAATGCCGAGTATTGCAGACCGCCCTCGCCCCCCTCTTTTGCGTACTTCTCACTTCCATATTTCGCGCAACGCGTTACTCTACTGTGTGTCCGTTTCTCTGTGGAATGAGGTGTAGATTTGAAAGTGATAGAAAAGTCAAGCATAAGGATAATCAACGGATCACGTTGTTATTCTTGGAACAAGTTAAACAAAAAGGATCAATATATGTACCAGGGAGGGAGGCCTCCCCCCCTGTGGATGGATCTGTGGTGGACCACGCCAGAAGGGTCCACCCTTGCCACCTTTGCCAGGTCTGTCGAAGGGCTGCCGGGCGGGATCGGGAAGGCCTCAACGCGCCCACTTCTGACCCCTTCCCGCTTCCTGCATGTACCCTACAGATCTGGCAAAGGTGGCAAAGGCTGGGCCCTCTTGTCGTGTTGCGTGTGGCCGACAGAGCTGGCAGAGGAGGCAAGGCGGGACCCACCCCCTTGGCGTAGGGTTGGGCGCATGCAACTCGCCAGAGGGGTCCACCCTTGCCACCTTTGCCAGGTCTGTAGTGTTGGGCACATGCAACACGCCAGAGGGGTCCAGCCTTTGCCACCTTTGCCTGGTCTGGAGGGTACATGCAAGAAGCGGGAAGGGGTCAGAAGTGGGCGCTTTGAGGCCTTCCCGCCCGGCAGCCCCTCGCCAAGAGGGTCCGGGGCTGGGAGGCCCCCCCTTCAAAAAGTTAGATCGGGGGGGGGCCTCCCGCAGGACTTACGGAACGCCGCAGAGCTGTTCGTGACGCGTGACGCCCACCGCGTGACGCCGAGAGCTTCGGGGGGGAGACGAGACGCCTGGGCTCAATTTCAAGCGTGACGCAGCACGCAACTCATTCGCGCGATGTGCTTCGCGTGACGTGTCACGCGGCGGCCGGCGCGTGGTCCGTGGGTCTTTGAGCGATCTGGGGATCTTTAACCGATCCGCGGGCCTTTGATCGCTCCGCGGACCTTTGATCGATCCGCGGACTTTTGGTCGATCCGTGGGTCCTTGATCGATCCGCGGGTCCTTGATCGATCCCCGGCCCCGTGGTCGGTTTTGGCCGATCCGTGGATCCTTGAACGATCCGCGAACCCTTGAGCGATCCGTGGATCCTTGGCCGATCCGTGGGCCTTTGATCGATCCGCGGATCCTTGATCCAGCCGCGGGCCCTTGATGGATCCGGGGATCCTTTGTCGATCCGTGCGTGGGTCACTGATCAGCCCGCGGGTCACTGATCAATCCACGGGCCACTGATCAATGCACGGGTCACTGGCTGAGCCGTGGGTCTTTGAGTTGATCAATCGAGCCACGGATCACTGACGGGTCTGCGGGTCTTTGATCAGTCCGCGGGTCACTGATCAATCCGCGGATCACTGACCAATCAGAGTCAGCGGATCACTGACCAGTCCGCGGATCACTGACCAATCCGCGGGTCACTGATCGGCCCAAGGATCGCTGAGCAATCCACGGATTGCGGATCGCTTCGCGAATCACTGACCGACCCACGGGCCCCCGATCGATCCGCGGATCCCTGGCCGATCCGTGGGTCGCGCGTGCCGCGTCATGGGTCACGCGTCACGCGTGGCGCGTCATGCGTCATGCGTCACGCGTCTCGCGTCATGCGTCTCGCGTCATGCGTCTCGCGTCATGCGTCTCGCGTCATGCGTCTCGCGTCATGCGTCTCGCGTCATGCGTCTCGCGTCATGCGTCTCGCGTCATGCGTCTCGCGTCATGCGTCTCGCGTCAAAGAAGAGCAAGAGGGTCACCCTTTTAGTAGGGGGGTTACGCGGCGGGACTAATGTGGACAGCTCTACGGCGTTCGGTCCACCTTACGGGGGCCTCCCGCCCTGAGCCCTGGAACATATATTCATATGCGAAAGAAAAAAGGCGGGAAAGTAACGAAGCAGAATAAAGGAGCGAAAATATTCCAGAGACTTCAGGAATTCTATCGGGCTCGTTTTCTCGAGGGCGAGCCGGACCCGGTCGAGCTCTCTCTCGCGGGGACCCTCTTTGTAGATAGTTGCCAGGCCGTCGCGCATATGCGCCGCCGCACTTTGTGCACCGTCTGCGGCCCGCTTGTCAAGCGCTGGTGGCATTCCGGCACGGAGGCCTTCGATGCAGCTAATCGCTGCGAGCGCCTTCGCCGCCGCCGCCTTCTCTTGTTCGATTTTCTCGCGCAGATTCTCCGTGGCCGCTCTGCTTTTCGGGCTCATCTCCTCCGGCTTGATGTTGAGCTTGACAGGCATTCTAAAAAAAAACGAGTAAGGAATCAGTATGATTAAATCGGTATAATTACGCAGAAAACAGCAGCAAAAATCTGGCAAAATGATGAACAACTTACTTGCGAGTACGTTCGGTATGCGTAAGTATGTACTTGAGTACCTGTTTTGAGCAGATATGCCCTTCCCAGCAACTACGTCTAAAACTATGATCTGGGATGACGTGAAGACGCAAGTGCAAGTGCTTCCTGCTCATTTTACCAGCCAGATGAAACGTCATGGCTTGCGTTGCCGGAGGCTTTTATTATGCCGCGATGCGATTGTCGCGATAGCTTAAAGTCGACGTAGCGATAAAACGACATAAAACGACGCGATATTCGGTTGACCCTCTCGACATTTCGAATCCAAAACGATCTGCCCTTCGGTTGACTCCCACGACATGTCTGATCGATCTTTTCCGAAAGTAGGACGTCGCCAACATAGAATTATACCCATGACTATCCGTGAGCTTGTTCTTCTATTTTCAATCCTCGCGTTGCCAGCTCCGTCCCCACAGCGAATCTATCCACCAATCGTCCCGTGTTCCTCTTGCAGCCGATAAATGGCGATTCCTTGGCAATTAACTCGATCCAAGTTTTATACACCTCATCGTGCAGTCGTCGAACCGCAGTTGTAGTTCGCACCAATTACATGACCACGGCGCAACGGGCCTGGCTGCGTAAATCGTCGTGGGAGGAAAGCGGACAGCGTGCTGTCTCGAATTCAGTTTGAGGTGTTCGTTGCACCTCAACTACGAAATGTATATACCCCTGAAAATATTCCAGGCTCCAATCAATGCGTTGGTTCACGTGTTGTGGATTGAAGGTGAACAATGCTTTTTAGAGTTCATTCGTTAAATGCATGGGGCAACGTAATATCATGATTCATGCTAGCTGTGTGTGTATTAGTTCTTCTGTGTGTATGTGATGGGTATGCGTAGTCAACCACGCTCTTTTTTATTCTACTTGCTCTAACATCTTCTATGCTGATGTAGTCTTCTTCTACTTGTACTTACAAAGAAATGCACCAACGTGCATCTTGAATCTGCATGAGACGAGGATATGGCATGCTGAAGGAAGATATGAATGATATCAATCTACGTTACAATGTCGGCTAGCATGCATGGGTCTGTAGCTCAACTTGTCAGCTACTTCAGTGAATGATCAACAACAAACTATGCTTTTGCCATGATTGACAAGCAATTCAACAATGAATATCATTATGAAATGATGTCAGTGTGATATTCTATTAGTTGACGCAGACGAGCTTTCAAAGGTCGTGGTTCAAAAGGGGATGAAAGGAGAAGGACTAGGCCCTGCAACATTCAATGACAAACGCTAGAATTCTGAATTCAGGTAATTAGAGTAATTTCCAAAAAGTACTGCAAACACTTGAAGAGAGTTCATGTTGTACTAGGATTCCTCCTTGTTCCTAGCTTCAAATTCAATGTCATCATCATCTTCTTCTGCAATCTCATGGGATGGTGGAAACGAGTACGCATCAACAATGTCTCTTAGAGACTTAGCTCCCCCTCCATCAGATATTGGATGTCCAAAGGAGGCGCTTTTAATGCCCATCTTTCGTTTGTGGGCCCAGGGTCACCATCAAAGCGAGCACAAACGCGTCTGGCTTGTTCCTCCCGCCGCTGCAACAGGCTCTTCAGTCGCGAATCAAACTCTTTCGAACCCTTGATGTACCTGGTTTCGATTGCATGCATTTTTCAGGTGTTGCAACAAAAAACATTGTAGGTGAAGCAGCAGGTACTTAATCAGTGGAAGAGGTATAGAACCAGCCTAAAAGTTTTGAGAAGGTGGATATCATTGACATTCATTAGGTTTCTTTGGGTTTGGAGTTCTTTCGAAAAAAGGATGGTCGTGTCGTGAACTGCAAATACTAATACAACAGCAAAGTGCACATGAAACAAAAACATGTTATCAAGTACTCCGCTTTTTCCTTGATATCTCCGAATGATGTGCCATTGAGAAGATAGCGTCGCTCCTTGTCTGAAATCTCGGCAGCAGTTGTCGGCTCTGCAGTGTCGAAAACTGCACCTGTGGGGTATTGTAAGTTTTGTTTTTGTCTAACAAAGAAGGTGTCAAGATTTTTGTTTTCGAGTGTAGTGCTGGCCAAAATCATCACTCTCCCATTTTTTTCCTCCATCATGGTCAGCACTACAATATACTATCCTTGTTACTGTAGTCGTGACGAGTTACAACCTAGTATTAAGATATAATAAGAAACAAAACAAATATTATGATCAAGCAAGAAGAAAAATCACCAAGATCCCCTTGCGTCGCAGAATCGTGGAGACGTGTTGGTCGTGCGTCATTTCGATTTTCTGCTCCGTCCACAGGACGAAGCTTTCCTGAGGGCTTACTTTTGCGTTTTAATGGTACGATGTCTTCTCGCAAAATAACCTCCCGTTTTTTGTGCGGTGGCACATACCACAACGGCTTTCGTTTCTTCGACAGCTTAAACGGCGCACCAGCCGCAGAGTCTGCCGTCATACGTAGTCGTATGGAGTGCGTCGCAGTCGACCTTAAACAAAGTACTTAGGTAGTATGCATAGTGACTGAAGAAGAAGACTCCGTGACGGTGACATTGACATTAGATCTATCATGACTGAAATTGTTGAATCTGACCGTGACCAACCACCAAATCATCATGTAACGATAATGTGCATGTAACAATAAACTACATATTTATACTCACTTTCTTCTAGTTAGTAGATAGGAAAAAAATCATTAACGAAGGGTACTTTGCCAAGTCATGATCTTGTGGCATCTCCATGGATATCCACGAGTTCTGAGTTGACCGCCCGCGAAATGGCGTTGTGCCGTCCGGTGCATCCATTATTGCTAGGGGCCCACCAGTGTCGTCCGGATACTCACCCGTCGCTTCGAAGTACTCTTCTCGGCGTTCTCGCTCCTTCGCCTGTTCTCGTGCAACCCACTTGTCAGCCGGCTTCCAGTTCATTCCATAGCGTGTTGGCGGTGGCGGCTCGCGGTTCTTCGCCGCGACGACAGCCCGGTCATAACTAATGACATCTGCGGCTGTCTTACGTGGTTTGGTGAGGGCCTCACGCTCCTGCCTCAGGATCTCCTGCCGTCTGGCGGCCGCGATCGCCTCAGCTCGATGCGAATTCAGCGCCAGACCTTGAAACATCTTCGTGTTCGATCGTAGCTTCCGGAAACGCAGGAATTATACCTTCCAGCGCAAGCGGGCTGCAGGACCGGTTCCACTTATGGTTCACACACGGAGGCTGCGTTGAGCTTCTGTACATCCAGCAAAGCTGGGCTTCCAGTTAAAACAAAAACTTCCTGCCCCTTGTACGACAAGATATAATATGACCTCTTTTTCAAAAATAATACTGATGTCCTGGAGGTCCTGCTGGTACTAATAATGCTTGCTTCCTGACCAACTATAAAAAATCAAGAACAAGTTTTTATCACCAAAAGAAATTGAATTTCCAACCGAGCCGCGTGCTTCGATTGAACAGCCGAGAGTCCGAGGCCAATATTCGAGGATAGCGCTCCGTCGAAACGATGCCGAAGCGGAGCGTCTCACGGCTGCTTCGGTAAGCTATGTGTCTTTTTCGACAGCTTCCGCGGTTTTCGGATCATCGTCGACAAACTCCTCGTCTGCTACTGCTAGTTTCCCGAAAAAAACTTGTCGACGAGGCAATGCCTGCCAGATACGAAACACGTAGTGCAACCCGATGAAGTCTTTTCGAGAAATGCTGGTAGGAAGAAATTAGCGTACCGTGGAAGAAATGGTGAATCTGCCTTCACCTCCTCAAAGATGAAAGGTACTGTAAAACAACAAATCAAAGTGCGCGCGTCCTTGACAGCGAAGGCTGATATATTTATTACGGGAAATTATGGGATGCATGCAGAGAGGGCCTGGGTGTTGCGAAGGTAGGAAATTTTGTCACGGACTTCGACGTTGCGGGCTGTGGTATGCTATCAAGGGTGACTTGGATGAAGATGATACGTTCACTGAGTCCCTCTCAAACAGTGCGGTAGATGTTGACGGAATACGAGTATGAATGGTAGTAAAATTGGAAGCTAAACCAGCAAGAAGTATGAAAGTCAAAGTTGCAAATGCAATTTATCAATTTACTTAGTAGTGTATGCCACTCAACATGCGTATGCTCATGTTGAAAACTATGCCAATGCCTACCGAAGTTCAGATTTAATTTCGAGTTCGACGAGTCGTGGTGGTCGATGAAATGCAACAAAGTTAATTTCTGTCTCTGTCGAAGCAGAAAGCACAAGCGGCAGTCGAACAGCGTCTGGAAATAGCGTAAATGAGGAGGTCTATGTCTATGACAGTTAGAAAAGAAGTATTCGATAAACTGAAATAACTGAGTTACTGACTGAAATAAGGGAGGTCGCTCTCACAGGGCTACCCTTCCTTGTTCAGTATCTCGCTTATTTTCAGTACTTACTTGCTTATTTCAGCTTTTCGAATAATTCAATATTTATACCGGGCAGCAACCTCGCACTTCTACAGGGAAATGTGCAATCACGTGAAGTTAAGATGACAAGTAGACTGTCTGGTCCTGTGTGTTCACATGAAGTAGTTAAGATGACAATCAATTTATTAGACTGGTGTGGTCCCCTGGAATAGTAAGTGCTAGAAAGCTGAGACAAAATATTTTCAATTTCGTACTTGATGCTGTGCCTATTGTTCGGCACCTTGGTGATGTGGCTACTCTAAACGTCCTCTGAAGCTGACTTTTTTTTGCTGTTGTTGTAGTCTTCAGCACTGAAATTGTTGATGAAGTTGATGACATTAATATGTAGCGGTTACACTGATTCTTACATAAAAATACTGAGGAAAAAGCTTTACAACAAGTATGTAACATATTGATATCGTTATATATGATGAATTTAATTTCTTTGAAAAAACGCGACATCTCAAAGTATTCCTGTCCTCCGTGCTAGAAAATTTCCAAAGATGGAATTTTCTCTCGCATAGGCAAAAAGTGCGTCAGTATGCGAAGCTCCTCTAAGAATCGGGTAAGTCGTAATGCTGCTGTAGGTTCAGACGGCGGCTGCAGTGTGAACTCCTCTATCACAACCGTTTCCTGCAATGCTCGTGAGAGCTCGATACTTTTCTCGAGTTCGCGGCTCCCCGCCTTCGCCTTGTCGATGCCTTGGTTGCGCATGAGATGAAGGTACTTCTCTCTCTTCTCTAGCGGCGATGTCTCTAGGTAATCTGCACCGGACGCGTAATCCGTTTCCTCGATCGGCGGCGCACCATACTGGGAAGTTGGTGCAGGTGGAATCGGTTCGCCATTCAGATACCTGTGATCAGGAGCGGCCACTCGATACAACTAGATTCAATTAGAAAAATAACAAGGAATTCTAATATCAGCAGGAAAACAGTACAATTGGATAAAGTAAGCAAGAAACAAAGAGGCTTCCTACGGCTTCCGATTCGCCGCGTCTGCGGACTCTGGAGGTAGCAAACCGAGTTGTTGTGCTCGCACGGACCCTTGACGAGATTGGCTGTATTCTCTTCTTCGCACTGCGGTGCGGTTCAGTATTCGAATCAGACCGCCGTAGCAGACTTGCAGGTTACCCACATCGACACGAAGAAGAACGTCCCGACTTGGAAGCTCGCGTACTATGAGCAACGTCCGCAGCATGTCCTGACACGGCGCCACAGTTGTGTAGACATGGCACTGATCGAAGGTGCTGCAATTGTGCATGCGCGTGAAGGACACTTGTATCTCATCAATCTCTGTGGTCGGTTCATCGTGCGCCTCGAACTCCTCATCGTCCTCGAACGTGCCATGCTTTCTGCTACCCTGGAGCATGTAGAAATCGCGACCTAACTCATAGTGCCTCCTCAAATCTTCGACGTAAATGGCCTGCAGCTGCTTCCTCGATGGCATTGCGACCACGCCGGTCTTGCTCCCGCCGCCGGTTCCAAGGCGCGTGCCGTTTTCTCTTGCCGCGGTTCCTCTCATCATATTCATATCACTGCTACCATGTTGCTGGATACCTCCAGCGTCTGCTCCTGCTGGTTGATATCCTCGCGCTTGGAGCTGCTGCACAACCTCCGCTGTCTGAATCAGACCTCCTGGGGCGGGCACTGCGGAAAGCGCGTCCGCCACCTCTCGGTCACCGAGTCCAAATTCCGCTAGTAGTGTTCGTTTCACTGTGGATAGTCCAACTGCCTGCTCCAGTTCGTCTCGCCCACATGTGTCCCCAAGAATTAGACAGAAGGAGAAGTAGAAGTAGAAGTAGTTTTGCAATAAAGTGCTTTCTTAGTTGTTAATATGTGTTGAGTTCCCCTCAATTATTCGTACTCGAGAGAATCAGTCCTGCAGACTTCAGACGACAGCACGACCAAGTACACTTCAGAAATGAAACACTGTAGCTGGGTCACTTAAAAGAAACGCGAAGAAACCGGCAAGCGTGCGCACGGGTCCTCCACTTGGGCCCGAGGGTGGTCGCGGCGCATCGCGCATAGATATACCGCCATCATCGCCGAAAAAAGCTTGGGAGGAAGACGACCCCATCTCGTCGTCTTGATCCTGTCCGAGGAAATTGTTATAGTTTCCGCTCTCCCCAACGTCGTCCAGACTAAGGGGCTCCCGCGGAGCATCGGACGGAAGATGAAGTGGCACGCCGTCTCGAAATCGCAGTTCTACTGGAAGCTGTTTCACTATCGCTTTTGCATTATTGCGACTAAAGACCGCCTGAATTATAATATTAGTAAACGAAATGATATTATCAGTGCTTTGGTAGGAGGAGGAGCTTTTACTATTTATAATATATCGATCGCAAAGTAGAAGTCCAAATCGTCAGTATACAAACTTGATTTGCCTTCAGTTGTAGAGTGGAAAAATATCGATTTGTGACCTTAGACGATTGTAATTTTGCGACTTGTTTTTTACCTCATCAACGAAGAGGTTGAGTTGCAGAATCAGGCAATCTGCACTTGGAAATGGTGGACGGCACCATTCTAGTGGATTCCGAAGGAGAAGGGGCATATCCGGCATCAGCTTCTTCAGAAAGAAAAGCACCAACTTGTAATTAAAAGCAAACTCTGCTTGTGACTTTGGTCTCCCGTACATTTTCGGAATGAGGTCGCTCTCCTTCACGAGACCCAATACCGTGAGAACGATCGCTAATGAGGTTGAGGACAGCATTGATTAGGCGACGATAAAATGAACAAAACAAGAAAATCTTCAGAATTAGCCGGCAGCGTTATTCTGGTGGAGGTACTGATGGGGAACAACAGAAGCTTAGCTAAGCTACACGCAATGTTAGAAAGTGGATACCAAGATTGGTTCCATCAGCGAAGTCAGCCACGAGGCATTCGTCAAGGTCGTAGTCCTCCCAATCTACAGTCAAGAAATCTCGATAAAAAGGTGCGAGCATGGAATTCAGCTCCACCAAGTAGCGACAGGCCATTCCCCGATTTTTCTTGAAGACCCAAACCTGCATCATTTCGAGCACGCACGGAAGGATCTTTGTCATGTTACCATGATAAAAGTCCAGTGGCGTGCACATATACGTTGCTCGGGCTGACCGAGACCACATATACCTGGATATTCATTGTCCAAAGTAACGGAATCGAGCCCACAATAGCAGCATACTGTACTTGAGGTAACGATATAACTTCTCTACGGACGCCTTAACCTAAATCGTCTCAAGAGAGACGCAGTCATGATTGAAGAAGTACAGCACTAAAATGGTAAGGAAAGTGGGGTCGTTCATGTAGATCAGGTAACGCATATGAGCAGTGCGGGAATGATCGCCATCCTAAGATCATTTTTGGAAAGTATTTTGCCCAGGGATGAGCTCTCTCTTAATTTTAATGTCTTTCACGTACTGAATTACACAAAAGGGAGCGTCTGCTTCTGCCCATAGGGACTCTTTGGGGGAAGTGCCCAATCGTAATGTAAGAGTGCCCTCGCAAGTAGGACAGGCGTAAGATACTATACCTATGGGCGCATGCTCACGATTGTATCTAGTCCATAATAAAAACGAAAGTACTAGATCACGAACTAAGCGGCACTATATATGCTGTAGGGCTGCACCCCCCCCTGTGGTATGGTGGTCTGTGGTGGCGCTCGCGCGCGCTTTTCCGCGCTGATTTTCGCGGATTCTAGTGGCGGAAGGCGTCAAAACTGGGCGCGGGCGTCCCCTTGCGCCTCTCTGCATGTTCCTCAGGGGCCTCCTGGCCTCTGCTGACCCTCGCAGGCTGGAGGTCTCCGGGGTAGAAGCCCGCCGAAGGCGGCCACGGTTTCAAGAGCAAGCAAGCCGATGCCCAAGGGTTCGAAGGGTACAGGCCGCACGGCTCAGGGGGTCCAGCCCCTCGCCTTTTGGCGCCTTCGGAGGCCTTCCACATCCGGCGCATGTAGGGCACTGGCAGGCAGCTGCAAGGGAGCGAAGGCGGTCCCTTGGGCCCCTTTTGAAGCCTTCCACCATGCTCAGAGGTCTGTCGGGTACCGCCAGGCACCTGGAAGGGAGCGGAGAAGGCCCCTTGGCCCCCTTTTGAGGCCTTCCACCCCCGGCAGACGGCTCCCGGAAGGGTCCGGGGCTACCGGTACCCCCCCTGCGCTAGGGGGGGCAGCGTCGCCCTGAGCCCTGGATCATAAATAAAGGAAAATTGAAAGGAGAGATAGTTCGTCAATTTCCTCAACAGCTTTTATTTGATGTGTCTATGTTGTATAGTATGCAAGCACTGCACGACTTTACCTGAGTGCTATATCGAGGTTTTTGAGCATGATCGCTTGCGTTTTCGGTCTTTTGTTTACGCCTCGAATCACAAGAGCTTGATCAGGGTCATGGCACGTTGCTTCGTGAATCTCAATCAGGAGAAGACCATTCTGCAATGCCTCGAAAAAGTTGTATGGAGTTACTTTTGCCTGTTTCTCACCCGCCTTCATCCGCAGAGTCACGTTATTCAGCGGCAACTTTAGACTGTTTATCCATCGCACGACGTAAGGAACCGAAGCCTGAAGGCTCTTCCGGAACTCCAAGCGGGCAGTGGCATCATTCCCAATCGCTGGGGAAGTCAGCTGCTTCGTGCTCCCAACCATTGCTGTACTACTACTCATCGACATGTTACCTTTCTCGTTAGGCCTAGGCCTCCATGTCGAGCTTTCGAAGATAGCTAGGATGTGCGCCTCGGGCCGATCTGAAGAGTCGCACGCTTGTATTCTTGTCCGTGGCTTTCTTAGACAGGTTGTGGTGAGAGGCGTCGCGGCTTTGGGAAGAGTTGCTATCGCTGTTGTTCGAATAATCAAACTTCGTGAAGGACAACATCGACCGCATCAATCGCAAAAATGCACGAGATTCTCGGGGAAGGTCCTTCAACGGGCGCAACATACGTTGCAACCAGCAAGATGGTACCAAAGCAACGGGGCCATGGGCCTCTGTAAACTTAACTCAAGAGTGCTCTTTAATAGACAAATTAGCCTCTATTTTCAGATAATCGTCGATTACTGTTCAGGACCGAGCAGCGGTCATCATTTTCTTTACTACCATTTATTGATGAAATTTGAGCAACAACTCATGGTGCTCCACCAATTGCAATGTACTAGAAGCAGAAGCTGCCATGCTAAACCTCCTTGCGTGTGAGTGACGCTGATGTCCAAGAAAAGAACACAGACCAACTATAATAGCAACGTCAAACTGACTGGTAGGGACAAAATATTCGTAACGAATTCGCGGGTGCCACTAGAAAGAATGATAGGAGAACCGAGAAAGTAGCATACAACGAAAGAGGAGGAAGTGGGCAATTGGTAGTCAATATCCAAGCGCCATCTGTGGGAAGATCCTCTGGCTTTCGCTGTTGTCTTAGCAGATCCTGTCCAGTAAAGAATCTTCACACAGAGAGACTAGAAGAAAGGTCACAAGCTGCAATATACATAGTCAGCAGAGTTACAATCTTGAAACCGATACCGATTCCATATCAGACAGAGTAAATTGCAGATAAACCGAAGCAAACGGAAACCAATATTTGTACTTTTTTTCAGACGTGACCGATTGAGTCACGGTAGAGAACAAGCATAAACTCCATCAGTGGAAACGAGCCACTAGTGGCAAGCGTGCTACAAATGATGCCATGCTCTGGCTCTTCCTGCGTGATATCTATGATTGAGAAATTTCGCCCCAATGCCTGACAAGCGAAGTTTTGGCGCGACAGCTGTTACTACGAAGAGCGTCGCCGCGGCTAGCGAGTATCGTCGGCCGCTGCGAGCACCATCCTCCAGGCTTGGGATTTCACAGCAAGCCGGCTGCCTCAGTTCGCGACAACCCCACACCAGCCCCAGGGACAGCCCCATAGAGCCACACACCCTCACGCCTATGCTCGGCGTGTTGCCTGGCTCTTGGTGCGACTGACGCTGGCAGACCGGTTCCACGGGTCCCCCCACCTGGTGGCCACCAGCATGACCCACCCACAGAGGGCGCGCGTGTGTTGTACAGGTGTGACAGTGACCCTGACAAGCCACCGCCAGCGAAAGCCATCGCAGCCCGGTGTGGCGCATGACAGGCCACCTGACCACGACCATGACGGTGGGCCCGAGCTGCCACCTGGATTTGGCTTGACCAGTCGGCTCGCTGTCTCACCACATGCCCACATGCGGCGCCATGGCTTGAGGACTGCGTGACCCCTACACACAGGCCCCGCGCACGTCAGCACTGCCCACGTGGTGACTCTGGGGCGACTTCCACAAAGTGGCCCCAAGTGCTGGGGGGGCCGCCCGCGTCCACCTTATCGACTGTGGTGCTTTCTTGTTTTCTGCCACTCGTCCCGCCTTCACTGGGCGGGTGAGGGTCAGGGGTTGAGCAGCGCAGACACCCCCGGCGAGGGATCTCGCCAAAACTTCCTCTGTCATGGCTTGGGGCGAAATTTCTGAGTCATAATATCAACACAGGAACATATGGTACCTTATTGCGCAACGAAACGCTGATGACAGCACAAAATATATTTCATCTTCATGTTGTACTAAAAAAATAACGTATTTCTTTCACCATGTCAACATTTGTTTACCGATATTACAACCAGAACTCCTACTAGTGTGGAAACATCCAATTCATTTTTTGAAGTGTCCCATGCATGTCCTGTCACGTAACCCCGCTCACTTGCGACCGCCTCTGCTGTGATGCTCTGTGATAAATGTGTGACACATCGCTCACCGTTCCACAGCTCCCGCATCTCACATAGTGCGTTCCCCACGGCGCTGATTTGATGTCATCAATAAGTAGTACTTCTAGGAGGAACGAAACGATTACGCTCGCAAGGAGAATATGGATGCAGTTCATGCTTCTCGATCTCAATACTCGTCATCATCAAGTGATTAAGAAGTACCAAGATTTGACGTGCCGCAAACAGCACAAAGCATGTTTATTGTCCTCCCTCCTGTCGGGTATTCCTGATCCCCGTCCCCTGGTGCTTCTGTGCTCACAACGGCGTTCATCGCAGAACAGACGAAACATTGCACGTAAGAACCTAGTTTTGAAACCGGACAAAACCTAAGTCATAAGTCGGAGAGAGAAAGATATTTGCCTACTTAGGTAGCTAGTGCGAAAAAAATCCAGATCACCACGCATTAGCTTTTGTCAGAGCTTCAGTGAGAATACTTCCATCCGGATACTCGAGAAGCGTTCGGCAATGATGACACGTTATCCTTGGATTTGCTGGTGGCGGCTCGATGGCGTCTGCGCCCGCTATACAATTCACCTGCCCGCTTGGGTTCAAGACGAAAAAAGTGTCCATCGAAGGAGCCGCGAAGGGGAATGAAGTAGTCGCCATACTTCTTATTTCTGTTGTACTGTACGTAATCAACCACCAGTGGATTGGATTTTGTACTTAGAATGATAAACTTGTTACGGAATGCGTTGAAGATGTAGAACACGTTGTACTTACATGCTCTACGGGAATTAATATATGCACTTTCAGATGGATGTAGTTGATAATCACCAAACAAAGAACTTCAGATTCGTCGAATTCCGGAAAAACCTTTTTATTTAAGGATTCAATGGAATAAGGAATCGATAAAATTAAAAGCTGTGGATATGTATCATTAAAACCCACGACTGAGACTGCAAAGCAATGCCAGCAGACAATCCAAGCCTGCGCGTTTCTCAACAAAGTCAGCTATGCGTTTTGGGCAGGGTGTCCGAACGGAATACTCGTCGTGGTCAACAATTCATTGTTGCGAAAGAAGCATCATCACCGTCTCGGAGCTATTTTAGAGGTAGAATTGGCACTTTGTTGTAAAAAAACTCAAGCCACGTCTTCATGGAATTTCTTTAGAAAGGGACTGTTTCCTCTGCTCCTTTTGTGATAGTACCTAGCGCCCTCGTTCTCTCCGTCGTGCACGTTTTTTATGCTAGACCTCAAAGCGGCGCCTTCACAACTTGTGTACTGGCTCGCGTCTGCTCCTCTTAGGTATATTATATCAGAGCAATTTATAAGGTCTCACAGCTCGCATGGCATGGAGTGCATGGATCACATGGAGTAGCAGGGAGCTAAAGGGGGAGCTTCTTGCGCCCCTTAAAGCTCTGCGCTCCATGCACTCCATGCTACTCCATGCGCCATGCGTGCTATGAACTACTCTGTTATATATTTATATATGTTCCAGGGCTCAGGGCTGGAGGCCCCCCCCGATCTAACTTTTTGAGGGGGGGGCCTGCCAGCCCCGGCCCCTCTTTTCGAGGGGCTGCCGGGCGGGAAGGCCTCAAAGCGCCCACTTCTGACCCCTTCCCGCCTCGTTGCATGTACCCTACAGACCTGGCAAAGGCAAAGGGGGCAAAGGCAGGGCCCCGCTGGCTTGTTGCATGTACCCGACAGACCTGGCAAAGGTGGCAAAGGCAGGGCCCCGCTGCCTTGTTGCATGTCCCCTACAGGCCTGGCAAAGGGGGCAAAGGCAGGGCCCCGCTGCCTTGTTGCATGTACCCGACAGACCTGGCAAAGGCAAAGGGGGCAAAGGCAGGGCCCCGCTGCCTTGTTGCGTGTACCCTACAGACCTGGCAAAGGGGGCAAAGGCAGGGCCCCGCTGCCTTGTTGCGTGTACCCTACAGACCTGGCAAAGGTGGCAAAGGCAGGGCCCCGCTGCCTTGTTGCCTGTACCCTACAGACCTGGCAAAGATGGCAAGGCTGGCGCCCTCTGGCGTATTGCGGCACTCGACAGAGCTGGCAGAGGAGGCAAGGCGGGACCCCGCTGCCTTGTTGCCTGTGCCCTACAGACCTGGCAAAGATGGCAAGGCCGGCGCCCTCGTCTGGCGTGTTGCGGTACCCGACAGAGCTGGCAGAGGAGGCAAGGCGGGACCCACCCCCTTGGCGTGCTGCATGTGGCCAACCATACAGACCGCGCAAAGGTGGCCAGGCTGGACCCCTCTGGCGTGGTCCCCCACAGATCCATCCACAGGGGGGGGGGGCCTCCCTCCCTGGTACATATATAATAGAATAAGGCACTTTTTGACCCGTATCGGGTCGAGTTGCTCGGGTTGCTCGAGTTGCTCGAGTTGCCCACCCTAATTTTTTGCGCGGCGCCCTTCGGGCGCAGCTTTATGAGACTCCGCGAAACCTTAGCAGGAGCGTACGACACTGCGCGCCGCGTCTCTGATCCTTGATTTTCTTCGCAGTGCACCCTTGAGACAGGAGCTAGTGACCGTCTCGGGCTCGAGACTCATTGCAGCCACTTGCTTGGTCATCTAATTACTCACGACATCTAAAGAAGGACTACGCATCTAGTGTGATAATCCACTTCCAACTTCCGCCCCCAGCTGGTGCTTTCTCTAGTCTACTCACCCCCAAGCAAGGCTGGACGCGCCGCCCTATAAAGTAGACGGGGGCTACTCGCTCTCACCCCCGAAGTAGATTTATTGGGAACACATCCGAAGAAAAAAGGGAGAGATCGCCACCACACGCCACAGCGACACTGACATCAAACAAAAACAACAACGGGCAGAGCCTTTCGCCCCCTTGGTTGTGCTTTAACAAGCGCGCGCTGGCAAGCTACAGAAAAAAAGGCATAAGGGCCCAGGAGCCCTTCGCACCCGATTGCCCCTTTCATGAGCAACAACAAACGCAGCACGCCCTTACAATTCCTTCGCCACTTCGACCAGCTGGGTTTGTGCTCACACCGCCCTGCTTCGCTCCATTTCGATGGAGCGGACACCTCCCGGCAACTCGTGGCAACTCGTTCCAGCAATGAAGCTCTTCGCTTCGGCAACTCGAGCAACTCGTGGCAACTCGAGCAACTCGAAACCCGTTATTGGCCTTACTCTAATATAAGTTCATATCTCTTTCTTTAATCATTACATTACTAGAACGAACAGCGTGTCGACGTCACTCTTTCTGAATCAATGGAAGAGAAACAGACGCTCACCCAGTAAACGCCGATAATGCGGGTTCTATCCTATCAACAAACCCACACTCCAAAACCAAAAGTTGAATTTTTTAATGTACAACCTACCAGATCGTTCTTTGAGTATGGCGCGAGACGAACTCTTCTATCTGAAACTAAAATCCAATGAATAGCGTGTCTAACTGAAACAAGGCTGGGCGCTTACCTTGTATCGACAAAAAGAACTAACTAACACCTGCACCTACCGGGACAAAAACGTTTACGAATAAGGTGTACTTCAAACTTGTTGATACGAAAAATCACAGTGCACGAGAATGATATAACGATATGCTAATTGCGTCTTTCAGTATTTGCTAGTGCGTCAATGACCTATCATGACTAAATCAAATTACATCTGCATAAGCAATTCATTAAGTGTGGAGGTCACGAAAATATTAATTAATATTTTTCACTAGCTGGTGCTCGGGCCTTTGCTAGTAGTTGTAGAAGCAGCAGTTTTATTCCTCTTACTCGCGGCCAACAACGAGGTTGATCTTTGAGATGAGTTAGCCAGAGAACGAAGCGAGGGAGTCGCACTCTTTTGGTGGAGTTTCGGTTGTGTGATACTCAGCGACCTGGTGGATGGAGGAGTGGTGCATGCGTCGTGTGACGACGCCAGCAGGGGGGTGGATACAGCGGTCGTAGCTGCGACCGTAGCTACAGCCTTGAGCGGTGCTGCCTGCTTTTTTACCACAACAGTATTGGTTGTGCCACCTGTTTTTGGCCCTCCAGGCCGTGAAGCCTGCACAATGACGCGCGTCTTCGGCACAAATTTACTCTGCTTCGAACCAGAACGACTGCTATTCGCCGAAGACGCTCGACTTTTCGCTGACGCCGCACTCGCAGACGAAGATGCGCTACTAGAGATGGGAGTAGGAATTTGTGGCATAGCATCGTGTGACCTTCGTGATGCTGAGCAGTCAACATTGACACCACTTCCAGGAGGTGAACCACCTTGGAGCAGTAGATCACCTCCAGATATGACAAGCGAATCCGTGGGTCCATGCCGGGCGACACTTCTCTTCGCGTCTCTAGTGTCCTGATTGTTCTCTTGATCGTTTATGAATATGGGAAGAACAGTCGCCGTCGTTCCACTGCTATTGCCATTGTGAGAAGAGCCCTCGTCCTCTGTCAGATCTGGAATTTCCGGTTTCTTGCCATTTTTCTGATTCAATGCCGAAAGCTCTGAGTCCAGTACTACCTCCGATATCGTCGATAATTCAACGCCGTGTTGTTCTTCTCCTCCAGCATAAAACAACGTTGGCGGCTTCATCAGCGAAGCACGCTCTTTCGAATTCGAATGCAAATTATTGTCGCACCGGTCCGGAAAGCTGCTATTCGTGGGCACCGCAGTGGCAGCAGTGCTCTTCATCCGCGCCACAATCTTACTAGCAGTCGCTGTCTCCGGATGCACAAAGGAGCTCGTCGGAAGACTCGGTGAGACGATACGCAATCTAGGTGACCCGGGGGAAGCTGTGCGAATCTCGGAGTTGACAGGGGAAATGGTCTTGTCAGAGACCGCACCCCAAGATACCGAAGACAGCTTTTGTTGTTGTGGCTGAGCGCCCAAGCGAGGACTTACGATCTGCATTTTCGCCGTGCGAATATCCTGGCGCTGTTCTTTGGAAATAAGCAGGCTAGCATCGGATGCTGAAGAATAAATAACTGGTGTCGACGCAACTACCTCTGTTAGGGGTGCACTACTAGAGACCCTTGGCGGCAGAGGATTCGCGTTCCCCAAACGCGACAAGTTCGGCTCTGGATAGTGGAGCATCGCCAGATCTCGCGTGGACATACTCCCCGGGCTTGCTGCTGACGAAGGCTGGCGGCTCTCAGATGCCATCACTTTCGTATCGGAGCCGGGAGTGGCGCCCGCGGCCTCGGATCTACTTCGATCGGGACTGCGCGCTCGCTTGGCTGCATTCATCGCTTCAGGAAATACTTCCCATGGATCTTGGTACTTCTTCTGCTCACTTCTACTTCCAGGAGGCACTACTGCTGCTTCTGTAAACGAGGGCAGCTGCGGACCGCCTCCAGCGGGTCCCGAACTTCCTGTCCGTTCACCTGCACCTCCTCCTCGGGCGCCATTTCGATTCAACGACGCAAGAACTCCACCCGGTGAATAACTCTCTGGTGCAGACAGAATCTCCTGCCCATACTTACGTGGACCATACGAGATGCGATCCTGACTGTCGACATCCTTCGACGCTAGACGTGGCCCACGTGCCACACTCGTACGCTCCTCTAGCGTACGGATAGCTTGCGAAAGCTCCTCGATCCTGTTTTTTGGGCTGTTCGACTCAGTCTTCCGCGGAAGAAAAGACATATCGTCCTCACGCTTCGTGCCTGGAGACCGCGGAGCTGGTACAATTTTCGCTTCGCTCGCTGCTGAGGACGCGAAAAACCTCGAAACTGCACTGCCGCCTCTATTGTCGTCGACCGCCCTCGACGAAGCACTGCGTCGTGAAGCCGTTCGTGGTGACGATGCGCCACCACGAACAGCTTCTAACGTGGGATCTGGTTCAGCATTTGGCTGCGTTGCTGCACTGTTCTTTGGAATTCCATACTGCCTGCTCGACTTTCTCTCAGAGGGACTCGTCTGCAACTCCTCCACCGTGAGGGGCATTGACCGCGCTGACCGTCGTGAAACCTTGCGCACTTCGGGAGACGTGTCCGCAGCTTCCTCCAGTGGTGAAATGGTGCGCTTCGACACGGAAAGAAGACCTGTGGAGCCCTCTTGGACATCCGCAAGGTGAATAATGGAGGCACTGGTTGCTGACGAGCCAGAAGCGTTGTCGTTATCCTGTGGCTGCGGACCAACAAAGTTCGTCGCAGAGGCAGAGGGCAAGCTTAGAACTCTCCTGGGCGGAACAGAAGAGACGGCGAGGGCTGCAGTGAGATTTTTGCGACTGGAGTCGCAGGTAACTTCCCCCTCAGCCACGAAGCCAGCTTGAGTAGGCTCCTTCGATGACGTCAGCGGCCCGCTTTTAAGTTTACTTCTGAGTTGGCTTGGCCCCCTAGAAACTGGAGACCCAGTACTATCTGAGGTCTTCTGCATCGACGCAACCGCCAAACCTGACTTTCCTTTGTCCACGCGCATTTGTTTCGCGGTGTAGCTCGGATCGGGTCCTGCCAGAGTCCTTGCCTGAGACACAGAAGCAGACGCCGCATGAACTCCTACGAATTCTCGTTTACCCTGCACCCCGCCCCAAGCGAGTTGCTGCAGGTCTACTTGATCGACGACTTGACTCTCGAGCGGGCTGCTGCCAGCTGCAGCTCCGTAAAAAACGCCGAGTGGCTTTGCAGCGCTCGCTTTGCCAATCAACGCTTGCTCGAGGACGTTGCCTCGTGAAGGAATGGGATGTGCGGCCGGCGGCTGCCGGGGACTCGGTGGCGCTGACGTTATGGACTCATCACCAGAAGACAGACTCAGCGTTGCGCAACGCGGATCAGCATTCTGCATTAGTTGAGGTGGTCCAGAACCTGTTGCGTCGGGCGCTCGTCGTGGAGAACTTGCGCCAGCGAAGCGCGCCTTTCTCGCGCTCCCAACCGTGCCTAACCTGGTCGCGTCATTGCTCGGTGAGTCAAAGTAACTTCGTGGAGGGGGGCTGTGACTGCGCGCGCCTGGAACGGCGGCACTAGAAGCCCGACCCCGTGTGCTGTACCGCGCACCCGACGTTCTCGAGGACCGTGAAAGGCCACGCTGGCCTTGCACCTTGCCGCGGTACTCGTCTAGGTCTTTGTGCATCTCATTCAGCGTTCGATTATGGCACGAGTCCGCAAATGCTCCACCAAGTGCACGTGTCGACTTTGTCGGCACCACAAAGAAGCCTGGCTTCTTCCCCGACGCCGCAGAGGCGGCCGAAGCCACGGAATTTTTGGAATCTCGCGCGCTTACACCGAATCCACTCCCCGTTGGTGATCCCGCGGACGCCGGTGCATACGAGCTATAGAATGGCGGCCGCTGACATGCTGTAGGCCCCGCGCCTCCGACAGCATCCAAAAGCAATGGATTTTCTAGAGTAGGAGACAAGAATGTCCGTCGCATGTTGCTGCCTCGTCCCTCACTGAAAGACACAGACTTGCTTCGAGCCTTCGCACGTGACGATGCCGTGTGCATCGCAGATGTCAAAAAACCACCAGCAGTGTTCGGTAGGTTGAGCATTCTCGAGGACCTTCCCGCAGTCGACCACCAGTGACGCCCTATGCTACCGCGCTTTTGCGGTGTCGGCGCGTTGCTCAACATTGGCCCTATGGAGCTGAGAATGCTACTGTTTCCAACGAACGGGGGGGGATCCAACGTTGAATTGCGTACGGAGGTGGCGCTCGGCCTGTCAAAAGGTGCTTTACTGGTTGAAGAGGACGTGCTTCCACCTTGTTGGAGCGAACCGGCACCACGAACCTTGATAGATGTTGATGCGCGCCTAACGGAGACCGCCGGACTCGATGGCATTTCTAGAGCGTCTTGCTCGGCGCATTCCAGTAGATCAAACTGATAGGCAGGCAAGTGATCCGCAACGCTGCCAATCATTCGTGCCCGCAAGGCCTCTCTGTAGGGTGAGTAAGCGAAGAAAGCGGAGAAGTCACGAACTTTGCGCCGCCTATTCAACAGGTGAATGCGATCCTGGTTCTTCAGTGCAACGCTGCTCCAGAGGCCCAAAACCCAGGTGCCAAAACGAATCTTAAACTGACGCCGAGCCAGAAAGTGCCGCTTCCACTGTCCGATGGCGCACTCCGCCAGCGCGAAATAGAAACTAGGCTTTCCCTCTTCGTTTCGTTGCCGGATCCGCCTCTTGAGCGCGACTACGCGCAAGTTCTCCCTTGTGCGCTCCGTCTGACCGCGCCACAAACGGAAGTACCGCCAAGTGCTGGCCTTCAAGTAACCTGCCAGCTTGGACAGCCGCCAGAGCTCGCGACGTTTCACGATGAGGCTCAAGTGAAATAGACACCTGCGTTGCAAAAACCGCGAGCGGAACAGCGCGAAAAAGACGCGCTCGTGCAAGCCAAAGAGACACTCGCGGAGCCGCCGCGCTGCAAAATAGATTCGGGCGCGCCGCATCTTCTGTCTGCGAGGCCGCTTCAGTTCCCGCCGAGCTACTAGAGCTGCGAATGTCTTCTGCAGTAACGAAACCTTCCAGCTACGAGCACGAACCACGCTCTTCCAATGAGCAAGCGGGATGTAGCGCCGCCACCGGTTCCACGCCTTGCATCCGCGCAAAAAAGCGATAAAATAGTGGTGCAGTCGCCATCTATCTTTCTTTCTTTCCCGGAACCGCGCTCGGACTTGCTCGCGCATGCACACCAGCCACGGAACGAACAACGCCGCGCGTCGTTTTCTTTGCATGAGAGTTAGACAAGCACGACACCGTTTGCGGTGCTGCACAACGCGCAGCCAAGCCTTCAAGGGGCGCACAACCTGTGATAGTTGATGTATTCATCAGCGCCTCCATTTCATAACGAACTTGTTTTAACCATTAAAAATGCAGAACTCGCTGATCTGACAAATTTTTGTTTGTTCTTTCCATGGTTTGACCCGGTGGTTTAGCCACAAAATGACCCTACACTAAAAATGTGCATCCACCGCGACAAGGAATATGAAAAGAGGAATTTTAGGGAGCGAAAGTGCACTCAACCCAGAACCACTTATTCTAGGACACTTCCATGGCAGAGGAGACAACATAGAAGCTCATAGCTTCGTTGCCCTGCATAAGTATGGAATCGCTACAAGACATAATTGCATCGAGTAGCATTGTGTCCGGATACTCATTATTAGATCGTGAAATTTGCTCTTGTGCAAAACAAGATCTTCATTTCTTGTGCATCTTTAACACATTTCAACATAGTCAGGACTGGTTATCCAACGACGCTGATCAGTCTCAGATAAATTACTACCAGCCTGAGTGCTTGATTTTCGTCTGCCCAACGTGTTACGGTAAGGAGCATATGCCATTTTCGCATGAACGTTTGTTTCCTGGCCCGGACAAATTGGCGCAATCTCGCTTCACGGCTGCGGTGGCCCTTTCTCATACTCGAGACTTCCCTGTTCGTCGTCATTTGATGGTCGATGTTGTGAGTGGAGAGGAAGCAGGTTATACTATACATAGAAGTCATCTCGGAAGGTAATCGGTCAGAGATCACATAGACATCAGCTACTTTTCGCAATTGTTGGACAAATCACACCGACAATACACTTGTATGTTCGTCCTACATCGATATCCAACAAAAAATTTTCATCCAAAGTAACCCTAGGTTGTTGATAGAGAAAAATTACAGGCGCCATTCCCGCCAAATCTTTTTGAGGAGCCGCAAAGCGCACTTTCGAGTAAGAAAAGCGCCCAAATCGTCTCGCTGCTGGCGCGATATGAGGGCATATTTCCACAAATCGAATGCTCCCCTCTTGCTATTCGCCGAGAGGCGTTTCAGGATCTGAATGAAGTGGTGCGAATAACAAAAAAAAAAACATTATAGTATAATATACGAGTATCCATGATTCCCATGTATATTAAGTGTCAAGGTGACGGTTGATAATAGACATCAAAAAAGCATCACTCAAAGATCATACAGTTGTCAAAGCAAAAGAATGGCTAGTACGGAATTCTCCTGAAGGAGAAGTCTCATGTTTAGGAAGTGGCTCTCGACCCATCCGGTGAACGCAATGCGTCGCAGCCGCCACATGCTCGAGCCGAATATCTGAAAGAGAAAATGGGTAAGCGTAAACGAAAATGTACTAGTCCGTGTCCCACATAGATAATGCAACATTGTGAAAGTGATGTATTCCGCTCTTCAGATCTTACTTCATGTCGTTAAAGCGCTGGGGCGGCGCCATTGACATTGGTATCGCGGGTGCAGGTGGGTTGAAATTATAATAAATCACACCTTCGAGGCAGCGTTAGCAAGTCGCCGTAGATGACGCGCAGTCTCCCGCCACTCCTCGAAAGCGGTGCTTATCAGTTCCGTGTAACAGCGGGCGGCACTGCGCAAGTGCAAGTCTATGAGCGTCTTTTGCAAGCGCGCCAATTTCTGCCAGCGTCGCAGCACGAACCGCGTCCACATAGATTCAGCCCGTAGTCGCTTCTCACGCTTCCCTCGACAGATGTGGATGTAGCATTCCCAAGCGGAGTAGGTACGACGCACCACGGTAGAAAAAAGATACTCTAAACATTTGGAGCCACTCGCGCGCTCACGTTTGGAATTTGCGACGGCCTGTTTTTGCAGGATGATAATGATATGCGTTCATCATGAGTGGCAGTGACAGTAAGCGATCGCTCAGGTGGAGGTGCGCTGTGTTTAGCCACAGGGATGAGGGTGAGCGCTTCGTTCACATTTCTTCACTGGATTGGATAGTCATAGGATGATCTCGAGAGCCTTAGAATTCAAGAAACGTTCTTTCTAACAAAAAACAAAGGATATATTTTGCATCTTGAGAGAACTCAGAGTTCTTTTCCTTCCGCTTCTGCACTGCATGAGGACATTTTTCTGTTGTGTTCATTCCCTAAGGGTGTTCATTCCCTTGGATGAGGAGAAAAAAAGACACGGCACTTAAATAAATACAAGGTCAATTATGTGAGGCAATAGTAGTAAGATGGGAGAGAGATTAAGTGCTAAAAAATATCAGTTTTACAAGCGGCGCAATCTGGATAGTCATAGGATGAATAAAAAAGCAGCATTTTACCAGTCTCCACTGTTTCAGGCCCATGTGCTTACGGCCACTCTCGGTATGCGCACACAGGGAAGCAAAGCGAAGCTCTAACCTACGTTCTTCCCTTGCAACACGCCGTAAGCCGTGGAAGGTACGACTCAAAGTCGTCAGATATGCATGAAGTTCGGCTGTTTTGGCGTTTTCTTCAGCTCGCGCCCTTTCCAAGCGCTCCCTTTTCAGGTACGCACGCCAAGCTTTGAAGACACCTCTGAGGAGCGGACCACAATAGTGCTGGAGAACCTGAGCAAAATTTAGCTAAGTAAGTAAGTGGGCGGGCGGTAGGTGGCCCTAATCCGTCCTTCCTGATCCTAATTCGACGGAGAGAAAATGAACTAGAATTACCTCGGGTGGCTATTCGGAAGTACCAATTTTGCATATTCGGCCTCCTTTGCGATTTCTCTTAGCCCCAGCTCCCATGCATACAACGCGTTCTTAAGAATGCAGTTTCGGCTGTTTCCTGCTACAACTATCGCAGCAGTGCGCAGTTTCTTCACTCTTATGAGTGCCTCCCGCCACGGAGTCCAGCCGTGCGTAAACAAGAATTGGAGCGACGCTTTGTCCTGCTTCACGCGCTTCATCTCGCATTCCGCCGCGGCCTCGAGCCACTCTCGGAACAGATGTTTAAGCGTCAATGTCCGGTGCGCGCCGGAGCGAAACTCGGTCTCCAGTCGACGACGCTCTCTGCGCTTGAAGTAAAGCTTTTTCCACGCTCGGAACATGCGATGAGAAAAGTTCGCAGCTAGCAGCGAATTGCCCTTCAACTGGTTTTCTCGCTCGCCAATAGCCTCGCGAACGCACTTGCGCCACGCTGTCAGGTAGTTGCGCTTCGTTTGGCCTGCGGACTGTTTTGCAACGTTGCCGAAAAGGCGTCTTAGACGCTGCTCCTCATTTACGTTGTCACGGAACCGGTAAAAAAACTTCTTGATCATGATTGTGCGTTCGTACTTCTCAGCAAGTTGCGAGTGGCTCCTATGACTCAGCTCCTGATCCACTATGTGCCTCCAATCTTTAAAGATGACACGCAGCATCATATCCCGACTGCCTACCGCGACAATGCGAGCTGAAAGTCAAGATGGACCGACACAATACGTGTGATCCTGATGAAGTTACGAATAAACGAAGAAATACGTTGACCGTCTGCGCAGCTAGTGAGGTGATTTCATGAACACAAACATGTAAGAAGACTGAACGCATAGATACGATGAACGAGCATACCAAAACCGCGAATTTTCTTGAGAAAGGCGAGGCTCTCGGACCACTCGCGAAAGGCGCGCTGTCCGAAGCCTCGGCGAATGGCGAATCCCGTCCACTGCTCGCGCTGAATGCGTTCTCTTTTCTCTTCGACTACGGAGGTCCGCCATTCTGTAAAGCGCAAACGCAGAGCCATTTCCACAGACCACTCAGCCGCGAGCGCGCTGAATCTCCTCGCCAGCTTCACATCGTGCACGTCGTCCACCCAGTACTTGAACGCGGGCTTGAGAAAGAGGTCGGTCTCTATCCTCTGCTTGATCGCAGCGAGTTCCCGATCCCGACGCTGCTCGGTTGCTTGCTCGAGCCACGTATCGAAGGCGTGCTGGACACGCTGCGCATCGGACTTTTCCGCGAGCAGATAGGCGTTATTCTTGGCACGCTGTTGCAAGTGGGCATGCTGACGCCACGCGGCAACGCACTGCATCAAGAAGGAACCGAAAAAGCTTTTGGCGTAATGTTCCATCGCGAACTTGCGGGCCTCCTTCTCTCGCCGTTTCTGCTCGTGCAGCGCCATCCACTGGCGCCACCCGAATTTAAGCAACGCCCCAGCAGCGCAGGTTTGGGCCATCTGTGTGAACCGCCTCACCTCGCGGGCCATGTGCACCGCCCCGCGCCAGCCGCGCGCGCTCTCGCGAAGCTTGTACGCTCTCTTTTGCTTATCGGCAGTGAAATTCTTTCGCTCGACTTCTGCGTAGAGCAGCTCGAAAAAAACGGAAAAGACACGAAAGTAGCACCAGCGTTCGCGCACACGACGAACCTTTCGCCTGTCGACGCAGGCTTCACGCCACCATCGAAGCAGCATTTCGTGTGCGCGCACCCGCTGGTCACCTCTCCGTATTCTCCGCGCGCAATAAGCTCCCCACCACATGCGGAACCGCTCTCGCTGCTTTTCAAATCGTACCACTTCGCACCGTTCGTCGTCACGTCGCCGTCGCCGCACGTAAGCGCGCCACTGCTCGAAGGCATTTTTGCGCCCGAAGTGCGTCGTAGATACAGTATTCCACAAGAACCGCTCAGTGCGAGCCACACAGTGCCACTGTCGAAGGTAATAGCTGGCTGACCTGACTGACTTCTCGACATTCCGTAATTCCACGAACACTGCTTGCAACGTGGGAATCTGAACGTCGGAAAATCTGTCTCGTTTTTTCCCTCATGTAAAATTCGATCGGCGTAGTCCTAATGTCTAGATTATCTTTATCACTCATGTCCTTTGCATCATGCTTTTTCAAAACTAAACAAAAAATCTTCTCAAAGCAACACCGGGACAGTACTATAAGTTGGTACCTGAGCCGCTACTTGCAACCACGCGTGCCAAACCTTCTTGAGCGCCCGTGCGCGAAACCAGCTGCCAGCGAGTTGGAACCGCGCTCTAGCAACACGTGACGCACTGTAGGCACCTCGCCATTTCTGCCACAAATCGCGGACCCAGCGGCGCTGAACCTTCCGTGCGATCAGCTCGGGAACGACACTAGCGTCTGGGACAAAGAAGACATCCTCATCATGATTGTTAGCATGCATTGAAGGTGCAGCTAAGGGCCCTTCTCCATTGTGTGCAGCTTCATGGCGATGACCATAGTTGTATTGACTGCTGCCGAGACCTAGTGAAGCACTCAGCGAAACAGCAGGGGGTCCTCCATTCATGTCGTAACTACTACTTCTGACAAACATCGAGTCCTGGGGAGCTCGTCCAAGGGACCCGATCCGAAAATCGGCCGGATCAGTGCCTAAGGATGACCATGACTGCAAGCGCATTGAGGAAACCTCGTTTCCGAGAGTAGTCCAAGGTGGCCCCCTTGAAGCTGCATTGTAGTTATGCGATAAGCCCACGACACTTTGCATCGGCTGGTATGGTGGGTTGGCAGATTCCTTGTTCAACAGTCCATTCGCGCCCTCTACGTCCCTCGCTCCGAAGTCGCCACTCCATACCGGTTTAGATGTCGAGGACGTGGATTTCGTTCGGCCGAGAGGCTGCGGATCAGCAACAACCTCAGGCTCATATACAATGCGGAGCCTCATGTCTCGAGCACCTAGTCGTGGCTGCGTTCTTGCTTGATCGCCGAGCTCCAAACTCGCCCTACCAGCGGTACCTCCCATAGCCATGCCGATATGATCCGCTTCCATGCTCGTCGTGCGCAGAGAGGTCACCCGCATGTGATCTGCCGTCCTTGGTGCATCATTTGCTGCGTTCGATTCTTTCATTCCTGTAGTTTCTGCTCCTCTTGCACCGCCGACACCGAGAACGTCGCTCCTCTGAGACGCCTTTGAAGTTGCCGCTGCGAGTCTGCTTTCGAATGCTGCCATATCGTCTGGTGCGTCAATAGGCTTATCTGCCAGCAACGTTGATATCATCTAACATCCACCTGCAAAACGGCCATAAAATCACACACCGTTCGTTCGTGGTGTTGTTCGTGTCGCTTTGAAACAGGGCCGCTTCGTTTCTGCGCGATGCTGGTGCTCGTTTTTCGATTCACCGAAATCTGTGCGGTTGCGCGTCGCTATGCGTTCGAGCTTTTTTTGCGGAGGACGGAAGCGAACGAACCATGCGCGACGACTTTCTTAAGATTTCATATTTTTCGAGAACACTCTCATCATCACAGAACAACACCGCATGACGCAATGAATCAATAGTAAGAACGATAAAGATTTACCGATACAAATTTGCGATTTGTACCAAATGAGAACCGCAAATTCTCGCGCACAAGAGCACATCAAAAAAAAGTTCACAAGGAGTCCCCTACAGTTTTCTAATTGTCCATATCAAATCCCAGAATTTTTCCGTTGTCCTTCATCTCATTGTTGATTATCATTACCTCGAGAAGAGGACAATATCATCGCAGAAGTATCATGATTGACGTCATTGGTTGCTTATTCTAAAAACAACATGAGGTAGCACAGTGCTCTTGTCGTCAATAAAGCTCTCAAGCATATATTACTGCTTTTTTCATGCTAGCTAGGGAATTCTCTCCGCTCGGGACCATCAGAATTCGTCGGCGTGAAGCCTCGGTTCTCGCATTGCAATCCCTAGGAAAACCGACGAGAATGACTCACCACAAAAGACGAATGATCAGAGTCGCTGACGCGCGATGACAATTTCGACCGTAATCCCTCAAATACAGAGACCTCCTAGTTCGACATTGCACCACGACGAGCAGCCGACGCGTACCAGAATCGGACGAAGATCAAAAAAGCAATACTGTGATGCTCGTGGTGTGGTACTACTAGTAACAAACCAAGGGAAGAAAGAGTAAGAGAAGATATTGCGCAGATTATTCTCTAGTATTCTGACCTGTAGTTTGTTCCGCGACGATGACGATGTATCAGCAAACTATATCAACATCATAGGCGTATTTCTCATTCGCTAGTTTCCATGACATTATTAATAAATATGTAGATAATCCATCGAGAATGCAAATGCGAAGACAACAATGCTGGAATCAGCAGGGTGGTAATATGTTCTACATAGTCGACAAAGATAGTAAACTAACATGGACTTCTCAAGCTACTCGATATTATTAGAAACAAAAGCTCATAGGTGGAGTATTCCAGTACAAATTGAATGAACATGACTTAATGAATGTTGCATTGCTATGCTTGGTAGAAGAAATGAGGCTAGTATAAATCGGGGCAACCATGTGTGAAGGGGAACAACATCCTCGAGCAGACTTAGATGTAATTCATCATGAATGGGGACACGGAAACATGAGATTCCTAAGAGATGCACAACCTACTTACGGCGAGCCCTGGCTGAAAGAAACCGCTAATATTTCGCAATCTTCATCTTGTACTATGAGTACTCCGCGAGAACACCCACTATATATAGTCCAAGTAACTCCATTTGTATCTTCATGTAGCGCATAGCTATTATCTGTAGTTCTGTGTTCAGGTCGTCAACCAATATTAGTATCACCCTACGATCGGTAGAAGTGTAGACTAGTCTACTGCTTTGGATTGGGGTACAAGTTGAAGGCAGACTTAGAGGTAAAGAAGCCTTTCGGCATTCGCGCGTGCCCGTAGGTAGGCTCGTAGTTCAACTTCGTTAGCACCACGCCGTCTGCGCCGAAATACTGTGGCTGTGGATGCTTCGCCGCTCTGGCATCATCGACATCCCTCCAACTCACGAATTTCGGGAAAGAGTGACATCGTGGATAGAAGCGTCGCTGAAGATAAATGTTCAGAGACAACATATATAAATATGAAACGACGTGCCGGTGGCTGGCTCAATTATAAAAGTTAGTTTGCATTGCTTCTTAATCATGTCTATTGCTCGTGCGTCTAAAACTACAAGACATTATAAGCAATCACCAGCACCACCATTAGGAGCAGAACAATAAGTACATTTGCAAAATGCGTGTTTCGTGTGGCGTGAACTTTCGCCCCCATGTGACCAACTGTTGGCTCGCCGTAGTATCGTGGTTGTGAACCCATGCCCCTCTCGTAACTGGTTTTGAAGTACATGGTGTCGTATACCTTCCTCCAATTTATACACGGAGCCTCACCCGTCCCCATCATGGACGCCATATTTTCGGGTTATAACTACCTACCTTCCTTGGTGTATGTCCTTACACTACTTTAGGAGTTTGTGACGCGTGTATTGAAGGATGGCCATAACTTATATATCACTATTCTATTATTGAAATCAGAATGAAATCCAACGATTGGTCTGTAACGCGCATGAAGATCATGGAATTGAGTCGCTCGATGTTCCACATTCTGCTCCTGGTTCTTGTCGGATCGGAGTAAGTTGGTCTGTTGGTTCTATCGTCGTGCCCCGTTCTCCTTCTGTCAGTCTCTGAGTGTTCCGATCCCCCTGGGTCTTCTGATGATCACAGTGACCAGGATCCGTAAGCGGATAGGAACCCCCTCAAGATGATGACGCACGATGATTATGGGCAGCCATTCATTACCGTACCACCATGAGAAAACGAACAGCATCAAGCTGCGCGCTATTTAGGTTGTGGATTCTACTCGGTAACACCACCATCAAACACAACAAGGACAAGCCTGCCAAGGACATAATATCTGGAAGGCTTCGGCCCATAGCATTCATCCACACCCTTAACAAACAAAATGGCAAACCCAGAAAACGACGGCGCAGGGGGAAACCCCAGCCAGCCATTTGCGGCTGGTCCATCAAGGCAACCCGCACTCAGCCAGAACCCTGCCCAACAAGTCCAACAAGGAGCACCGCAGCCCGGAAATCGCTACCCGCCTCAAGGAGTTGGACAGGGTCAGCCTGGAAACGTTTACCAGCCTGAAGAAGTTGGACAAGGCCCGCCCGGCGCCATTGGTGGAGGCGTCGGGGGCGACGTTTCAGGAATGGACCCCGCAGCCTCAGGAACTTGGAGCCCTTGGCTTTGGAGCCAGATGGCCACCGCGGTCAACACCTTGGCACAAGCAACGAGCAACAGCGGCCACCATGGCCATGGTTTAGGAACTTAGACGGGAAAGAATTCAGGAAACAACCGCAAGAGCAACCCAACGGGAAGAGGAAAAGGCGGAACGAGCCGCAGAACGCGGACGCAAAAAGAGTATCCATCCTGGTCACAAAAAATTACTTGAAATATAGCTAGAACAAATAGAATTTATGTCAGGGAAAAAATGTAAGGGGCCGACTCGTCGAAACGTAGGTAAATGGGCGTGAAAGGGAGTACTAAGTAAAGTACTAAAAGTGTCTATTTTTCCTTCAGAATCTCCTTGCAGCGAGACAAGCTTCTTACAAAGAGAGAGAGAGAGAGAGAGGGAGAGAGGCATTGACATCCGTTGGTGACAGAATGCAAGCAAAACCGACAAACGGAACTTCCCATTCTACTCAGAGCGTTGATACCGAAGTGTTGCTTGCCAACAAGATTCTTTAGATGACCGACTTCACCGAGACTCATTCCGATCCATAGAAATCAGTAGTAGCAGCACTTGTACGTATCAACATCAACGGTGTTGCCGGCCAGTAGGGTGAACGCTTCTGTAAGACGGAACATGAACATGATCTTTTCTACACGTTGGATGCTAAGTAGAAAGGGCGCGTATCAATCAATACTCTTGTCTTCAAATAAACAGGAATTCTGACATTATCAGTTTCGGGTCAGCGATCTAATACTAATTTAATGGAGTCATTGCTCAGTTGACGGGCGCGGAAGGAGGGACGCGGAAAAGGTTCCATGCACATCTAATATGATTGAGGAAACGCCTAGTGCAGAGCGGGGTGCGCAAAGCTTTGTGATTTCTTTCTTTTGTGGGTAGATAGCGTCTTAACAGCATTTCTTCTCGCATGGCGGCTTCTCGCCGTCCATATACGCCTTCATAGTGCCTGGTTGAAAACCGGTCAAGTCTTGCACCTCTTTGCCGTCCTCGTACATCTTGAATGTTGGCATCTGCTTAATGTCGGCTCGAAACGCTACCTGTGAAAAGTTTACAGCTACCAGCAAACGAATTCCTTCCCTATTAATAAGCGACAAAAAACGAGGCCACACGCCAGGGCTTTAAGGCGCTCCAAGGTGAATCTCAAGAGGGACAAAAACAAAAGCCACGATCTGCAAAGTTTAAGGCGTGGGGCCTAAAATCACAAGGTTCACCACCGAGCGCGAAGTCTCAAGGTTTTGAGGCCTTTCCAGAGAAACCGCACAAATGTCAGGGTTGGCTTCTCAAGGTCACGAACGCCTTGTCTCTTCTCAGGGTTTTGGTCGCTTTTCGACTTGAAGCCTTCACGCCTCAGGGTTCCTTGCACGCCAATGCCAACGCTTGCCCCTCTCTCTCAGGGTTTCAAAGGTCAGTGCTTGCCCCTCTCAAGGTTTTAAGGGGGGCACCTGCGCCTGCTGCTCCTCCCAAAGGGATGCCGTTTGGGATTGGGTGCCTTGCAGACCAACAAGACCACCGACCCAAGAGGCGCCAGCGCAGCATTAAGATACGCACGCAGCGGCCGGCCTCTCACCGAGGTAGGCGACAGCAAAACCCTCGACAGCAGGCAAAGCCGCTAGCGGCCTAAATCGCGCACGCGGTGCACGCTTTGTCCCTGAATTGACCTCCGCAAGTGCTGGAGCAAACCGAGGCGCGCGAATACCGCCAGACGCGCCGCGGGTAAAGCTCCACACCGTCCGCATGCCTTTCTTTGGTTTACGCGCAGCCTGTCGCCTTTCAGTGCAAGACTTCGCTGCCTCCTCTCGCGCCCGGTGCTTTGCCTCGTCAAGATTTGCCCCCTCCGAGTTGCCCAAACAACTTGGAGGGCGCCAAACAGCTCGCAGAGCGACTCGGACGAGCGACAAGGGTGGCAAGCGGGCAGCCTCTGCCTGCCTCAGGGTTTCCCAGGGTTTGCGCGTCAGGTTTCCCAGGGTTTGCAAATCGATGGGCGGGAGCTGCGGCCTCAGGCCAGAAGGCCTGCGGGTCAGCGTTTTCTGGACGGCACCCACGTCCGCTGCTACGTACTGGACGGCACCCACCCACGGCACAAGCCGGCCGCTAGCGCCTGGAATCGCGCACGCAGTGCCCGTCTTCGGCTGCTAACAGCTTCAAACCGTTGCGCCGCAGCTCCAGAGGCTCCCGCATTCGCAACCCCAATCCGGTGCAACGGCGGGGACGGCCGCCCCGCGCACCAACGGAGCACGGACAGAAGCTCTCCCCGCTTGGTCGCCTTCAGCAAAACAGGCCCGCTCACCTGCTTCCGGGGCCGACCCATTCCGCGCCGCGGCCGGCACTAGCAGTCTCGCCCACTCTCTCTCTCGTCCAAACACTTCCTCTTCACCTCCGGCCCCTCGGGTCACGACTAGTGATAATGACGATGTTCGTTTGATCCACCATCGGGCAGGTTGGCTTGGCGATGGCGATACCTCCACGATTTTCTAGAACCAACTTTTGCAACTTATCATGACAGATGATCCAGTGTACTAAAGTAAGTACGTCTTTCGCCAGGTCAATGTCGACTTTCGCGAATTTCCATCCTTTGGGGTCGTATTCTTCACTGAGCTGTCCGTACGCCACTGAGCAAGCTCGACATGGGTAGCACCACGTTGCGTAGTAATCCACGACACACTTTTTATTGCTATCCAAAAATTTTTTCCACTCTTCTACTGAGCTCAGGTTTGTTACTTTGTGCCCTGGATGCTCCGGAAACGGCTGCTTTCCCACTACGTGTTTGTATATGAAGTACGCCACGAGCAGGAAGAAAAACTTGTTGTCCCAAAGAGCCTGCAAAGCCCATTCATACTGAGAACTGGGCACCGTCGACGTCGTCATTTTGTTGTTTCAAGTAAATTGTACTACTTCGTTCTAGATGTAGGCTCTCTAAAATTGAGGTTCAACATGAGGTTTCCTTCGAAAATCCGATGCTGATTAAGTTACAAAATTTTTAATCTTCGCATGTACATGTCACTTCAACACTACCTAGCCGTCCAAAATATTTATCCTGCTCCAAAAGCAGAGTAAACACTGAAAGACATTAAAGTGAAACTACTCCAAAAAATAGAACTGTTCAGAGTAATTGCGATGGTCAACTGTATTTCTCCTGTCGGATTCACCGCAAAATCAAAAAGTATGGGGTCCAAAAACTCGCGGTAATGCCATGGATCTGCCATTGGATGATCCACGATGATTGATAGTAGCGCTACTACCGTCAATACGCTGCCATCAATTGATGACCCAACCAGGATCGAAGAAGGAACAAAAGGCTTTCATGCTAGACTTATAGTTCGCCTGTATAGAAGTAGTAGCATTTTTGATGTAGCGCAACACTGTAGCTTAAAGAACACGAAGACACTTGTGGTTGCCCTTCCCCTCGTCCGGCAAGAGGGCGGACCTACTTGATTCTCGCTCACACAGACCTCACACATGAATGTGGAGAAACAACTTAACATCTAAGTCGCGTCTGGGAACTGATCTTCGATGTCTTTTTTGCAGCGCGCCAGGTAGAGGCGTAAACGCGCGTTCTCCTTTTTCTCGTTCTCCAGCTCCACTTGCGACATGTAGTTTTTCTCTTGCAGTCCAGCAGCAAAAGTTCTGGCACTTGTAATGACGGTTTCCTGACTCTTCATTTTATCGGTCATCTTCATCTCGAAGAATTTTCGTTTTCGTTCTATCTCTGCGATTTCGGCTTCAAGTTTGGCAGTCGCGTCGAGGTATTCCAACAGCTCCCCCTCGGTCTCCTGCTTGTCGACAGTGAATTGCACTAGAAGCTCTTCCAACTGCAAGATCTCCTTAAGGAATCTGAATTTGTTTTCGATGGGTCTTTTGCTTGCTGTTTTATGATGATAAAAGCAGTCATGCGGTTACTTAGTTTCCTCGCCCTCGTACTTGCTGAGTGTACACATCAAGTTTAAAAGCACCTGAGCATGCTCATTAGCGTGAACCTTGAGGTGAAAAACTTTGGTTCATTTGTAGACTAGAGCGCACTAACGACACGCATGGGGATAAAAAAACGAAAAGGCAAAGAACAAATGAACTCTACTACATTTCGATTTAGATTAAAAACTACAGGTTTCAGAACAAAACAGTCACACCCTGCTTCTCTCTCCATGCCAGCGTAATTGAGGACTTTTTCTCGATCTTCAGCTTCTAATTTCGCTATCTTGGATTGCATTGCGCGCAGCTGGAGTTGTTCAAGGTACACACAAATATGCTGGAGCGGAAACCCAAGCATACGAACTTTTTTCACGCAGGGATCCTCTATCATCTGTGCTCTGCTCGCTGCCGACGCTACGTCTTTGCTTTTCACTATCATTTCCCCAGTGTGCGCATCCACCGTCACTATCGAATCCCGATTGCGCTGGACCTGAATGATGAAGATGGCGCCTTTCTGTTTGGAGAAAATACTTGGTTAGTCTTCGACTAAAACTAAAACTGCAAGTGGTGATGTTGTCAATTATTCAATTTCAACTCTGACTAAGTTACACTAGTAATGAGTGCACAAAACGCCCAGCTATATTTTTCATTTCTTCAACGATTTCTAGCAGATATCTGGAAAAGGACTCCATGAGTGGTATGAGCATGCATCAGGCGGTACTTTCGCGTCTATTTTTGCGACCATGTCTTCGGTCATGCGACAGTAGTGGGTCTCCAGGTTCTGTATGGTGAAATTAGTCCGCATTGCGTCGAGCAGCACCCGCCCGCCCTTATCTGATATTTCGTTGTTAAACGAGAGAAGAAGCGTCAAGATATGCCGATTGCTGGTCAAGTTAGATGAGGCGACAAACTACCCACAGCTTCTCTAGTGGTTTCTTTATGAACAGCTCAAAAATGATCGTCCTGCAGGCACGTTGCAACGCGAAAACTAGATGGATTACCACCTCCACGACCCACCCCACATAGATGATTTAGAACGAAGTGCATGGGGAGGAGCAAGGACACTTCTTTTTGCCATAATCAAGATGCGTTTGAAGGCCGGCATGTGGGTGTCATGTAGTCGATTAAACCGCAAGTCCAAATACTGCACTTTCGTGTTGTCGCTCATTGCATCCGCCAATGCCTCGACGCCGCGCGTACTGTGCACGTTGTGTTCCTGCCCTACCGTGTTTAGCTTCAACGATATTTTCTTGAGTCCGACGCGATCGTGGTGCAGGGCATGCGACAAGATAACCAGCGCTGACCGTGTGGGATAGAATTCTATGATGTGACGAAGGACACAGAAGACGGGCGATCTTTAAGTAGTAGTAGCGGTGCTTTCTTATACCATTAAGTGAAACCTGAAAAAGATTTGAGTATCCTCGAAAGTAGAAAATGCATAGTATTTAGGCACTAGATGAAGCAAGGAAGTATTTCATTTTGATGTCCGTAACAATCAAAGTCATGCGGGGATTTGAAAGATGTTTTACCATCGGGGCCTATCATGTTGCAACGCAAGTCCACCTCTTGCACGTTGTAGAGGCGCATGTGGCGTATGACAGTTCCAATCGTCTCAGCTCCGATACTACAGTATCCCATATGGAGAATTTTCTGAGACATAGCATTTTGTCTCGCCTTCTGAAGCTTCGTGTTAATGATGATTTCCTTCGGATTTAACACCGCCTTTTCTCGGGGAAGCCTTTCTCTAGACTGTGGCCTTTCGGAGCCGGTAGTGTTGGTGTCCTGCGCACCACCTCCAGTATCAGCCGGCATTGTGTGTTTTTCTGGGGATGCTAGTGGCGGCACCAGCGTCTTGATGTAGATATATTTGTTTCTTCCTTGAGCAGCGTGGACCCGTCTTACTCGAAACCTGGGCTAATTTTTTCAACGCAGCCGCATATCCCTCGTTGTCAAACTTGTTGATATCTTTTCGCTTACTCTGCGGTTGAGCAGCACGTTGCATCAACGCAAAATCATGCTGGATTTAACTCATCTGCAACGCCTGGAATCGTCATCTCCCTTCCGGCGACCTTGGCACTACCATTATATATATATACTTACACGAAGGCGCAGCGTAATGCACTCGGCATAAATGTCGTGGTATTCTTAGCGTGCCCGCAACTCGTCATGACTGCATCAATAGAAGCATGCGCTCACAAACCTTTCAGCACTAGGTACGTGTCCGCCATCTCCTCTTAACATTTTTCAGAAACCGCGATGATTATAGCGAGGCGCAACGTCCTAGCAGCGCAGAAGCGACCACAGAGAACAACGAATGGCACGTCAGCACATCCAACTAGTCCGTCGGCAGGTCCCGCCTAGGCCATTTCATGAGCATGCACGACTAACGAATACGAACGTCCACGTCATTTTGAATCTGTATCTCATAAGTCAAGTTCCAAAATGGAGGACCATTGTGAATGCTCTTTTCGTGTTGCTGCTCGCATCCGATATCGGGGATGTACCTGGCACTCGTGGAAGATTCTCCAGCATCCACTGGCTTAGTAACTAGTACAGCGCGATGGAACCAACTGGAAGTAATTGTCGTGCGAACTACTCAAAGACAAAGGAACTACTTAATTATAATTTTGAAAGCAGACAGAAGTCATTCTATTCAAACGACCTTCGCTATTGAGACTGAACGAGAAATCATGATCGCCCCGGTACTTCATGTCTAATTTATCTTTTGTGACGCGTTGACATGACGCCCTGCTCTCGTTTTCTTGAAAACCGATCACCGAAAAGTTGAGGCATCCCTAGACCAGAAGCATCTTCAGAGGCATTTATAGATACTATAGCATGCCGTCATTAATTTTGATCTCGACGGTTCCCGTTCTACGAATACACCGATCTATTGACTTGTAGTACAATGAGCGTTCTCTTTTGCAGTAAGATTAGATAATATTATTAACCGAAGAAAAACTAGTCCGTACAGATTTCTTAATCTCATCCGTGAGTTTGTCTCACATTTCGCTCCTTCATATACCACAATGTTGAAGACAGAGTAGTCTTCAAGAGAAAGTCTTTTTTTACTGCTTCTGATGCCAGGCGATGCAAATCTCATAGGGCACGGACGGTTGGCGTCTGAGTTCTCGTGGGCTAAATTCATTAGTCTCATGCGACTTTTCTACGCCGGGTGGTGCGTGCAGTTTAGTACATTGTTTTTCAAATTTGACTTTTTGTAGGGCTTATCGGAATCAAATCAGACAAAATCGTCTCGACGCAGGGGAAGTTATGACAAGTCTTTCTTTCGCTTTTTAGTCACATGATTCTTCAGCAATGTGCGAGTCTTCGTCGGACATCGCCCATTATGTTCCAGCTGCCGAGCGTCGTTTCCTGATACCATGTGGAGACTGCAACAAAACTGCGCTGACGACTTGTCTGCATATTGATGCAATAAAACTAATTTTGTCAAATACCACAACGTCAGTCCCCGCGCGTCGCGTAGTTCATGAAGTTCAGCTTGAAAATACGAATAGGGCAGACGAAATATTTTTTGTGATGAAGCTTCCACAATATTGTTTCATGAGTGTTTGCGTTCATTTTTTGATCACCTGTACTACTGAGAACCCGAACATGCAGGGTATACATAGCTTTTACATTAATTTTGTTTTCTAGAAGAACCATTTCTACTGAGTAGGACCACGTTTAGTACGACCAGTCCACCACGCCCAGTAGAACAGAGCTTGGGCCATTAATATGCTTTGATGTTGTTTTCATTGATACCCTTCTACAGTGAGTTTCCTTTGTTCGCAAGACTAAGTTTTGACAATCATAGAATGGTATTCTTGAATCGCGTAAACGAAGAGACTTTATCGAAATCGGAGTTCAACAATTGACTCTTTTTCTAATTCTGGACCGTCTAGTAGAGGAACTAATTTATGCTTGCATGACGAGTTCTGAAGAGCGGAGTCTATCAGCAACATCACCCGTCGCGGAAGAGGTCTCATCGGATACGATGCAGCCTCCACGAGCGGTTGTTTACGCTCCTTCTCGGAGACGATACTGTTTCAGTTCTTTGATGAGCGGAATCACGTTCTTTCCGTCCTCCGCGTATTCGCGGATCATGGCCTCAGCGTACTTGTAGTACTCCAATGAGTCTAGCTCAATAGCCTGTCGCGCCTTCTCTACTACTAGCTTTTCTACTTCCTTCTCATGCGTGTCACGCTTCTTTTTCTGCTCAATCTGTTTCAGATGCTCGCGCTGCAGATTTTTCGTCGCCTGGAACCGCAGGTCGGACTCCTGCTTCTCCTCGTTTTCTGCGATAGGTAGATCATTCAATAGGTGGTAGGGGATGCAAAAGGATACGATAGGTAAAGGTGCAGGTGCATGTTGAAGCCATCAAATAGACAAAACAACATTTTGGTCTGAAGAGTTGGTCTTTCCGAAAACTTCAGCTAGATAATTGCATCAGTTTCTAGCATCTTCCGTGGTATTACTGGGAAAGCGAAGGGGGATGAATCAAATACCAAGATGCTTGCACCAAAAGGAGATGAATCAAATACCAAGATGCTTGCACCATTGCGACCAGAATTCGGACATTTCGATCTCCTCTTTTTTCTCTGTCTGTCTCTGCAAGACTTTTCGCTTGATTTGATACTGCCGACTCTTGTCGACCTAAGAAACAGAATCGAAAGTGGATAATGGATTTGGATCATAGTCATCGCTCTTCGTAAATACAGTACTCATGCATTGACCCCTCAAGCGATGCAAGGAACCGAAATAATTACGATTCCAAGACCAAATACTTAGAAAAAATCGAAATCAAACAACAAACTTTAATTCTTGTGTCGTCAATGCCAATGATGATGATCATGATGCGCCACGTCGCTGCATGCTTCAAAATAAAAAGTAGTAAAGAGATGGTGCACGATAAATACGTCGTCCTGCATTTTCTGCAGTCTCGCCTCTTTTTCGAGGCGCTTCTTCTCATCGGCTAGCTGCTTCTGAAGCATTTCGGATTCGACACGAGCGTCCTCGGCATTGGCAGCGGCTCGAAGCACCGCAGCCTGACGTTCGATCAATCGCTGCTGCACCATCATCTTGTTCTCAGAAATTTCCTTGAGCCGTGCCTTCCTAGCTGCAAGCTGCTTCTCCTTCTCTGCCGCGTACTCATTTATCTTCCGCTCTGTGATGTCGGAGATTAGGATTTTGCACCGGTCGTGCCGAAGCAGAAGGAAGCTATTCAAGCAATACATAGACACCAAGCTAATACTTCTTATCATCGAAAAACCAAGTGCATAAATATCTTTTTTGTTGGATTTCTGTGTGATTCTGATCTAGTCAAATTTCATCATTGAGAAGAAAGTAAGTACGTTCTCTATCTTTCCTTTTAGCGTCCTCGTCTCGGCAGCTCTTCAAATAGGCATTAGCTTTCTGCGTTTCTACCATCGCTAATGTTGCTTCCGCGCGTCTCTTCAAAATATTCTTTCTCTCCTGCTCTGCATCTTCTGCTGCTTTCTTTCGGAGGAGCTCACCTTTTTGGAAGAAATTTTCAATTTACCCATACGAATTCCATTTCAACACCTCTGGTAGGTCGTCATTGATTTCAGAAAAATTGTCCAGGAGGAAGAAAATAACTCCGTCAATCATAGTTAGTTCAGCAAAACTACAAGGAAGTTGTAGACACCTTCCATAATGTCCTCTTCCAAGATTACAAGGCGCTTTTGTTTCGCCTCCAGCAGTTGCTGTTTCTGCACTGCAGTTGCTTTCCCAAGCTTGTCATCGTACTCGACTTTCTCTCGCAATTCCCTTTCCAGCATTTTTCTATAATTATGCTTGTCCATCTCAAGGAACCGCTCTTCGCGAATCTGCTCTAGCCTGAAGGTTAGTCAGTCATTGTGCTGTCTACTTCACGTTAAGCAGACGAAAACAAGGACTTTGACTTTCATTTTTACGCACGCATCAAGTCAACAAGGAACAAGTAGGCAACAAGTGCTAGTGCATATGTTTAACTACTGACTTGATTATCACATGTTGAATGTTGTATACTCAGACATGATTCTTAACTAATGGGAACGATTTTCCCACCCGAAATCAGAACATAGATATTGTCGAAAATTATTCAGCCCTTCTAGGTGCCTGGTAGTACTACCAATCATGACCTTTAACATCCCTTAGTGTTAAAATTACCTGTCAAGCTCATCTTTGAGTTGAATTTGGGCTTCCCGCTCTGCTAGAGTATCTGAGTACTGCATCTTCGAATGGAAGCTCTTAATGCGATCGCTCTCATCGTAGAGAAGACGATTCGCGCGTGCTATTATTCTCTTCCTATTCTCCAATTGAATTTCCGCCTCTTGGTCATCGAGCTTTTGCCGAGCTGAAATAGAACAAAGTAAATTTCTATGGGATCGGTTGAAAACGACGACAAGTAGAAGGACCCAACGACACCCAAGTAGAAATAGCACATCTTTAGATAGATAACAAGTTAGCGCAGCATATCACATTCTGTTTCTACTATGTACTTACTTAATCAGTAGGCAAGAGTAAGTACCTGCTTCTTCCTTGTCCAACCTAGCTTGTCTTGCAGCAAGATTCGCCTTTCTTGAACCTTCGAGCGTGTTCGTCCACGTGCTGGCCTTGGCCTTGGATTTCCCTTGGAGCTCCACTGCTCTCTTTTTGCCCTCATCTTCTCTCTTTTCGACAGGCAGGATTCTCCGCTGGATGGCCTGAAGCTCGGAGAGGGGTATTACCGCCTCTGCGACCATCCTTAAAGCTGCTCTTGCTAAGCAGACTTCTCTTCCTCGTCTTGATGTTGATATGAACAAGCTGATGAAGCTATATGAATTGACAAGTGCTTGCTCTGCCCTCTAGCTCTACTTTATTGTCACGATGAACCGAGGGTTACTACTAATACTCGTTACAGGTCAAACGATGTACTGATTTATCATACAAGAGCAAGCCAAAAAAAACTGTGTCTCGGGTCTCCTTCTCCTAAGACGAAGTAGCCGAATAGTGGAACATTTACAGTTACAGAACCCGAATGGAGCGTTTGAGTCAATGGGGTTCATGGGTGGACTGCGGTAACTTCTGGGCAGGACGACGACAACGAAGGAATGTACAACGGTCTTTCTGATGTTAGACGTACGTTTCAGGACATTTTTGTTTCGAAAAAGGTGACATCAGTGGGGTCTACCATCTCTTCTCTTACTCTGGCGCCTCCCACTCAGAGACAAGAACAAATCTAACGACTCTTTCATATTCATTTCCACCTACAATCAATGTCATGCTGGCTGACGATTTTCTACTCTCGTCTCTTGATATGATATCTCGACACATCTAAATCTGTAACCGAACGACGATATCCCTCAAACGAACCGACGCATATTGAATCAGTCTCAACGACCACAAAGATTCTGTCCTTCACTTCTAATCTCACCGACAAAACACCCCTATGAAATTGCATCAATGACAGATTTACCTTTTACATATCCGGTATCTTCTGACACCAACAATCTCCCTTATACCGCGCGGAGTCTGGCTTGATCTTAATCCCAGAAATTGTGGTGGCAATATTCAATCATCCTTCATTCATTCGAAACACGATATTGAGTGATGACGTTGATGTGCCCGAAATGCAAAGGATACTTAAGGATTCTCAATATTTGCTCTGGTAACGTATCGGCTAAATACTAGTGCTGGTTGTATTTCGTCGGCATTGGGGCACTATACTTAGATGATTCGCGATTTTTCCTACTTTTTCAAATACTTCCTATCTACCTGCAGCAGGAAATTCGATGCCATTCTTTGGTTGGGCTTTGTGCAAGCAATGGATTGCCACCGAGATTGGAAGAACCATCCCATCTTAGGAGAGTACGAGCCGGCGTCACCCTCTGACAACATCGCTGCGGACGACCGAAAGGTCGAATCTCCCACTTTTTCGTCGCCCACCTCCCACAAACTGGCAGTTCGCGTCGGCGGCGTTGAGGCAGTGGCAAGCTTCTCATTATGTTGATGTGGTTGCAACGTCGAGTCGAAATTTGTTGGCTCAATCTTGTTCAGCGGTGCGTTCTTTCGGTGTGATGCGTTACTCGTCTCGCGTTGAAGAGTACGAGCTTGTTCTGCGGAAGATCGTTCTTCATCACCACGGCCGTCACACTCATATACATGCATCTCCTCGATTGAGCTTCCCCGTCGACAACTCGATGAACTCGAAGACGTGGCAACCACGTCAAGGCCTTCGCCTGTACTGATGTTCACAATCACGCTCCTTGCAGTGGGAGTGCCCGCGTCCTCATCTGTCACATTTTCTGTGCCGTGTTCCGCTTCATGCCTTTTTTTCCAATAGCCAAGAGAGGGCCGGCCTTTTCTAAAACCTCTCGTTTCGACCCACTCGTCGCGGCCAACAATCTCAGCCACTCGCTGATTGAAAGTGACGCGACCATCCGTTTTTTCCTCCTTATTTACAGGTGGACACAGGTAGGGATCGAAGATGCGTTCATAAAAGGGTTCTAGAAGCTTATCAGCCGCAGTCCCACCGTCAGCACCAGTGTACTCAGCTGGCTTGTGTGCCTCTCCTAGTCGTGATGCGACTTTCATATTACGACGTTTATTTTCCTTGCGCGCAAGCTCGTCACGGCGTTGGTGAAAGACCGGTGAGCGAAATTTCGCGTGCCACTTGGGCGCGAGCATAATCTTTGCGTGTTCCTGCGCTGCATCGGCGTCCTGGCTAGTTATCACCACCTCGCCCCCGGGCTTGAGGATCGCGAAAAGCCCAAACAGTAAGTCGTCAAGTTCATCCCGGATGGGGAAATGAAGGTGCACGCGGTCCACGCTGTGCTTTGGGCAAAATCGATGCACGAGCCATGGCCAAGAAAAAATGATGCGTAGATTTTCAAAAGTGCGACCGGCTTCTGGAGGTTCCTTCGAATTCGTAGAGGCTTGTGGAGGAGCGCCAGAACTCGTGATACTGTCATCCTCGAAGGATGTAGACATACTAGACTGCACCGGATCTCCAAAATTATCCACATCCCTTTCATTACGCTTCTCAAACAAGCGATCGCTGGGAATTTCAAAAGCCTGAAAGGCTCGGTAAACACTCACGAACAATTGCGCGTCGCTGCTCTCCATCAGCACGAAATTTCTTAAAGCATCCTCCTTTGCCCGGGCAATGGCCCAAGTGCCACCACCGACCACGAGGGATACCGGTACATTACCCGCTTCGCCTATCATGGAGCAGTCTCTGCTTTCTTCCTCTTCGACTGGACTCGTCTCTGCCGGCCTTCTTCCATACCTCCTATTATCGGCGTTTAAATCATGGCGCGGACGAGGAGGTGGCCGCACTGTGTATGTTATGAATGGTGTCTATTCCATCTAGCCAGACCATCATGGCTACCCTTTTCCCATTGAAAACGTATAGCATCAAGGGGAGCGCCGCTGGTCTTACGGATGGAATGAATACTATCCATATATGTAAAGTCGAACGCGTGGTCCTCCCCGTCAGAACTGTGTGGACGGCTGAAGAAAGGCGAGATTGAATCTCGTGACACGAGATGGCGGCCGCTAGTCGAGTCTGGAAACCACCACTTTTCTATTGCGGGGGCTTGATTAGGCCCAATATCGTAGTGATACTTCCACTGTTTCGCGAAGATAACACCAGGGGGCATCCACACCTGGTACTTCGTGCCATTTTTGCGCTGATAGTACCATGAGCGCAGCTCCGTTCGAAAGAGCCGCTGTGTAGCTGCATAAGTAGAGGAGCGAAATAAGGCCTCCGCCGCGGCTTTCGACGGGTTCTGGAAATTTCTTCCTCCATCGAAGATGTCCAGGCAATCGCTATCGTCCTTTTGCCCGGCTACTGCCAATGCCTTTGCACTGTTACCTTCTAGTTCATCTTTATCCATGCCATCGGCAAGAGCTGCTTCCTTTCTTCTAACATCGACACGTGCAACCACCTCTTTCTGAGAACCTCGCTCCACCTCCTTTGGAAAAAGTTTGGGAGAGGACACCAAAGCAGCGCTCTCGGAAGATGCTCCTGAAGCAATTATGTTTGGCCCCAAGAGTTCTTTCCACGCTTCCGCCTGTTTCTGGATAAGAAGTGACGCGACAACGCCCTCGGACATCGTCTTATGAGTGGAAAAAGTGCACTCACACTCAAAAAAGTAGCTACTTCTCTACTTAAATCTTAGCCAATTTCTTGAGTGTGAGTGCACTTTTTCCTTTCATACGTCTCCGCTGAGATACAGTCAGCGGCTCGCATGGTCTCGAAAACGTTGTGAGCTGAAGGCTTCTCGATGTATGAATTGTTTGAAGGGACGAACCTGGGGTGATGAGGGAAGAATTAACCGGCTTCTCGATGTGTGAAGAGGACTAGACTATGAGTTACTTCTTGTGGTGATGTCTTTGGACTAGTTTAACTTTAAGTTTTGGTATTGGTCAAGTTCTTAATGATTCACTTTGGGCTTGAGCTGGCCTACGATTTTCGATTTCGTGAGTCTCTTTTGCGTTCTTTTAACTTCTCTGATGTTGTAGTTCTTGTGCTTCATTCTTTTTGAAGCATTATAGTACGTAGTATCACCCGCAACTCCATACTCCTGCACTTACATCCCGAAGACGACTCAAACACGCCTGTGGAACCAGTTGGCACATAATCTTCAGCTATGTAAACCTACAGGGTTAAGGATCTATGATATAAATATCTCTTATATATAATTTTATTTCCTGTACTGACATAAAACGACATCATTGATTCCCTCGCGAGGAGCAACTTCGACCGTTTCACTTCGCGTCTCGGCTTCTTGGAGCTGAGAAGTCGTTGTCCCAGCTGATGTTGGCGACCAAGATGAGCGAACGCCCTCCCGCTCTTCCATACCACACAGTCTAATGGAGATGCATCGCCCTCCTTCAGCATCGACTGTCGCCTCCTTGTCCGCGTGAACCAGCTTGAGATCCGTCGCAAAAGCACGACAGGAGTTTGAGACCAGGAGAGGGACGCTCCGAATTTGGCCGTCGCTTTTCGAAACCGTACGACTCTTCGAGGCCGAAGAAAACACGCGCAGCCGAAGAGAGGTTGTGATTCGGGACATGCCGTACGCTTCCTCATGGCCTTTCCGCTTTCACCTAAATAGAGCAGACCCGTCGTGGGAAAAGTCTACGGTGTGAGAAATTTACGGACGAGGAGATGTCGCGCAAAGTCTACTGCTTCACCATGATAGCAAGATCTAATCTCGATCGGGAAAATTAGAAGCTGAGGGAAAGATTACCGTCGTCGCTAGATGACTTAAGTACAAGTTATCCCGTGGAGATCATGTCGATGTTCATCTACAGATGAAGTGCATTATCTTCTTGCTTCCCTTTGCAACTAGCACATGAGGTTCATCATAGAATACGTAAGCCGATATACCATTATGAAGCCTATCAACATGGTCGTACCAAGAAACTAAATAGACGATCACTCGGGTGGGTAAAATCACAGCAGATCGCCCATAGGCTGGTGAATCACTCTTGACTGCGGCCTAAATATTGATCTGATGTCAGTTGTGCTGGTTGCCCTGCTTCATTCAACTTGGGGATGTATCTCCTCATGTCTAGCCCTCAGACTCCAGCCTCGTCAATCACTGAGTCTCCCTATCGATCCTTCGGCTTGCACCTTCGCCGCGCACAGTGATTTATTTCTCGTCTCCTCAATAGCACTACAAAACTGTATGGCGTCCCAAGTTGTGTAAAATTTCTTGAGAAGTGAGTGCCTGGCGTCAATCTGAAGAACACCCCGTTGTCGGTAATAACAAGATCAATCCTGATTGTGCATCAGCACGACCGACGTCATCAAATGAGCATGTTGTGTCATCCACACAAGTAGTTCACTTTTCCATGGTGCGTCCTCCTCAACAATATATATGGTCGTAAATAAATTTTGCTTTGTCAGTTCTTGAGAATCCCGATCACCCCGATCCTCGGTCATGCTATGACATTAATATATAACATGATGATGTAGCCCAGGCATCAGGGGTTTAGTCAACCACTATCTGTTCTTTATAGAATTCGTTCTTTCCTCTTTTTTCTTCATTGGTCAGCTTGTCATGCACCCTCTGAACCGACGTAATCAGTCCACCAGAGACCGGGCCGTATTACGTTATTTGAGTCTTAGCTTACGAGTAATATGAATAGTTCAGTCATAACTCAATGGGTACTGTAAAGAGATAAAACGCGGGAGATAGGGGGATTCAAACAACTGGCGCCACTCGGATATACGTCATGGATGTATCTTGCCTCTTAGTCTTTTCCTTTTTCTTCTTACGAGAGTAGGCCAATTTCGCCCAAGATAAATCAAATCCCAACATGCTCGCTTGCGTGAATGTGGTTACCGCTTATCGATCATCCTGACAAGCATCAATGGAATTGCTCCCCTCATCCATACGGGCAAGCTTACTTATTTCAAATCCAATCAACATTGATGAAAATGGACAAAGGTTTGATATCAGTTATCTGCTGTCATAATGATCAATGTACTTATTACCTCACGCTCATTCTCGTAGATATGTCTTAAAAAAGCTCTACTCGAAAAGAGAAGAACTATAATGAACCATCCGTTGACTTTTTGGTGGGTGACAAAACAAATCATCACGAGAGGGAGGATAATGCAATTAATAATATACTGGTGTACTTACAACGAGCGGCGGCGGCAGGTGTTGCAGAGGGGTCGGAGGGCGCGACCACATAAAAAATTGTCACAGCTTTCTTCGCAGGGTATGGGAACCTGCGAATATCACCTGCAATTCCAGAGGGATGAATATCCTGCAGTACAAGACTTTAGAGTCTACTTCCAAATATCGAAATCTAAAGCACTCTATTTTATTAAAGTTCGTTGTGTGTCAAAAAAATACAAGCCACATTTCTCTGATATTGGTACTATCCGATCGGTCCAAAGTTATACTTAAAATTCCTGTGGTCTTACTCTTAGTCAGTGATTGATGTTTCTAGGTGTCCACATCTGCCATGTAGAGCACGCCACGACCTTTTTATCTACTCGAAATATCATGCAACACAGAAGCCAACTTGTGCCTTTTTGTATCATAATCCCCAACTACATAGATACAAGATTTCATACATATTTCATAAGTTTCTTTTAAGTTAGGTTTCAGTGACAGCGCATGCGGACAGAGCTTCACAGCGACTGCACTATACGACGCAATAGTAAGACTATTGATGGACCTATCAACTCACTGTATAATTTAGGTCGGATCTTCAAAGAAACGCACTCTGTCAATCCGCGGAATAACAACAGTCTATCGTCAGATCGCCCTCATTATACTGTGAATGAGTTCCTTCAACCACTTCTGCTACCAAGTTGACACGAGAGGAGCAATGACCGAGCAAGACCTAAGAAAAGGAGCTAGTCTCCGCATCCGGCCCCCAATGTATCCATCAGCACAGCATGCGCTCTGGATATATTTCGAGCTCCAGTAAGATCACCTGCACTACCCCAGTTCCGAGCTAGCGCGGAGCTCTAGTTTTTCTTTCTATCTAGCGGGTGCCCCTGTAACACTCAGGAACTCAGCGCCCGTTTCTCGACAGTGATATTGGAATCAAATGGCTTCACAACAGTTCCACCAAGTACCCCTCAGCCTGTAGGGATGCGTCTTGTATATCAATATTACCACAAAGGCTAAGGCATCCTCCACATCAGAGGACACGGTAAGTATATCATATTTTGTTGTCTAGCGGAGAGACAATCGTTACCGACAAGTAATCACTCGTTTTTACGAATGCCACCCTTATCCTTCATTGTCGAATGAAGCTTTTTCAAGTTGTGGACATGGGTCTTGATTTTGTCCTCAATGTCCGCCGCTCGTGAAGGCTTAGGCAGTGACTGAAACTGGAGGATGCGCTCAAGATTCACGTCTTTGCAAATAATTTCAAGCGTATTTTTCACTGCTTCCGTTTCCGAGCGAAGGCCTTGTTCTTTATCTGTTATCAAATGCCGTGTGGTGGAAAGAGCCTGGCCAAGCATGTTCCCAACAGCGCGGATCCGAAGGTCGAGCCGCAAGTTCCAACCCGCATCAAAGTCAGATCCATCCTTCCATTTCTGGGAAGAATGGTGGTGCAGTTTTGACGTCGCTTGGAAGGTACTGTTTTGACGAGACGGCGGAATATTTTCAAGACATGTTTTCTCGTTCTGCTGCATGCCAAGGCCGTCTACTCTGTTCGACATCGCGCACCGATGGATGTGGTAAGTGTCAGACAGCATTGGCAACAACCAAGAAAGGCAAAACAGCAGATCCACCCTTACCGTCCGCTCTGTATGTGCAGCAGCCCAATGGAGGTTTCGCAGAAGCTCAAACATCAAATTCGCCGTAGTTGTCGCGTTTGCCCATTGAGCGACTGTTTGATTGTTGCGCTGCAAAAACGGCGCCGCCGGCGTCACTTCCACCGGATCCCATGGAGCGACCATTTGATCGTTGCGCTGCAAAAACGGCGCCGTCGCCTCCACTGCGTCCTCCCTACCGTTGGCGACCGCTCGAATAAATTCATAATTCGGCAAATCTCGCTGCACCGAAGTCGTTAGGCCTTTTACAAAGAGGGCAATCAATGCGCTCACCACGACTAAGCTAATTCTGACGGCTTGGGTGCACGGAGCTGGGCGGTCGAAAAGGGTAGGCCACGTTTGTACCCACTGCCTGGATATGCTGCCACGACTAGATTTTTCATAGATGCTCGCCGTCAGCGAAAACAGAAGTACCTCCCGTCGAGGAACGTGAGCACCGTTTTCGGGCTCCACATCTCCTTTAATGCTTGTCCGGTCTGTTGCAGGATTAGCCTGAGCAGCTGGCGACGCCCCTGCTCGTGTTGCTATTCTTGGCGTCAATATCGCCCCATAATTCATATTTTTTGCGGGTTCACAACTTTCATTTCTCGTGAGATGGGCCTTATCGCAGTTTTCAGCATAAAAACCTAAATTGATCAAAACGCTCAGCACGATGTGCAAATATTGATACAGTATTTCGCTCAGTTGTGCATGCCCTAAAGGGCCTTTGTCTGCTGCTTGCGGAAAAAGCTCGAGTACCTTTTCCTTCTCTTCTTCAGTAAAGGTCTCGTTCACCTTTCTCATTTTTGGAGGCACGCGCAACAAGGTCGCTAAAGCAGCTTCTCTCCCTTGGTGTTGCTCGGGTTTGGCATCCAAGAAGAGTTTGAAGAGAACCGATGAGGAAGCAGCGTCTTGTGGGAGTCGTATTTTCGAGTCTTCCAAAAGTTCGAATAATGCTATATTTGCAATTATTCCTTTGAGGAAATCGTCGCCGTCCACGCCTGTCGTTGCCAGGGCACTATGCAGTATCCAACTCCAGAATTTCGTAAAAACGAAGAATGTCCATGCCCTGCGATAGCAACACAACGGAATAACACAGCCTTTGTCCTGTATTTGAGAGACCACCTCTGGATTCCTCTCTAGATTCCGTTGCTGCTCAAACCGGTCACCTTTGACCTGACAAGTTTCAGCCTCCTGCGGAAGTGTGCATGCTTCATGGTCTAGAAGAACAGGAAATCCCTCAATGACTTTCATTTCTCCCTTCTTTAGTGTTTCCACGTAAGCGTTGTCGCCCTCGAGGACCCAGGAAAGGGGGTACAGCTCAGCAGTTGACATACCAAGTATACTCTGCACAGGCTCGTTTGAACCCAACACGGCCCCCGTGACTTCTGAAACTTCGTGCCCCCCTTCCGCCAATGCCCTGAGGACATCAAAAACGGTCTGCGTTGTGCGGCACCGCAGTGCCATAGTCTCGGCCAACACATTCCCGGCTATTTGCGTCTGGAACGCATCGCGCAACAAATCGAGCAGCTGCATGGAAAACTTCATAGCACCGAGCGCAATTTCTCGGCAAACACTGTGGATGGCGTCTCTACTATCAGTCCCAACATTAATAGCATTCAAGAGTCTGATTTTCTTGCCTCTCCCAACACCCTTGGCAGCAAGTTGGTCAAGGGCTTCCATCATCCGTGTCGTCAGCGTGCAGAATACAGTTATTAGGCCGCCCGTTGCGGATAAGAGAGCCTCGTTTAACAAAACCCACGCGTGGAAGCCATCCTTTGGCACTTGCTCGACGCCACCCTCATAATTGTCGTATCGCGTCTCCACGTCTCTGGCAAACCCTCGATGTGAAAAATCTTTCGGCGATAGCTCGCTTGTGAAAATGAGCATTGCCCATATTTTGCAGCAGAATTTGTACAAATCAAGATAGTCGTTAAGCGCTTTTTCGCCCTCGTCTGGAATTCCCTGTTGCTTCGATCGACTGTTTGGCGAGGACGTTCGTCGCAAAAGCCAAGGCTCGCTTTGAAGCCTCTCGCCTATCCACGAGATGAGACGATCCAATGTACGCACGCAGGCAAACTTTTCACGCAGCTCTTCAAGAACAAGGTGTGCTGGAGCAGGTGGATCAAATTCCATCGGACTCTTTATCTCATTGATGCGTGGCTGCCTGTTGACTGTAGTCCGACTATGCACAGTTGTGTCCACGGTTGTGATGTCGTGTCCAACGGCTCTGGTACTCTGCCGAGCGTCAACGTTCCTACGGCTCGGGCCTATGTTGCGTATCATCCCCACATCACTGCGAAAACTAGTAGTTGTTGTGGGAATGTGCATGTCATGAGCACCATCATTATTGTTTGCAGATCTTTGTGCGCCTCCACTTCCTCCGCGTCGAATTGTGGTCGGACTTGGTCCAGCGGCGGGTCTGTTGTTACCTGTGGCTCCTTCGGGTCTACGTGTAGCGGATTCCCCGGCTCTTTTGGTTTCACTTCTAGCGAGTGTCATCCATGGCGCGCTTCGCGTAATTCGTTTATGCAGCTCATCAAGCGCGCCCCAGCTGTACCCAAACCAATTCTCGTCCCTCGGGTAATCGGGCCAAGATGAAAAGGAAGTTTTTACTATCACGACATAACAGCAACTTACTTTATAAACATTTCTATAAGCGGGTAAACCTTAGATAGTCAAAAATATTCTATGAATATTCTAATCAAGCGTTTATTCAAGTTGTACTTGTAAGGACAGCTAAACTGTATAGATACTATCTTACATCACGAATTGGGACTCAGATGAACGCAAACGGGAAACGGCCTGCATGAGTCAATCGCTGGTGCAAAGAAACTCCACAATGGGCCTCCCACAGGTATGCATGTGGCTTGAGCGTGCCTAGCCTTACTACTGACTCAAAATAAGATTAAGTACTTGAGTTTTGTCTATTCATTGCTCGTGACCTAAAAAACTAGATCATACAAGAAGACGAGGCTTCGTATGCATTACTTGGCTTCTGAAACTCATGCCCATAAAGAAAAGAGTTGGTACGCCGCAGTTCCCAGGTCCGACGCGTAATAGTAACGGAAGATTTCACTGTGCAAGTTCTCGCTCAGGCCAGGCAAACTTGGGCTCATGCTTCGACTATTTCGCGGTTTTTGTTTTTGCGGATTTGGCAGCCGCAACGGACCCGCCATCCCCACTTTCAGCGCCTCAGCCACATCTCTGCCATTCAGGACCGATCCGATCTGCAAATCTCGAAGAATGTTTAACCAAGATACAATATTGCGGTCCTCATCTTGATATGCCCTTTGAAGCGCGCCAGCGATCTTGGCGAATCCGCCATCTTCACTGACGTCTTCTACACTCGCGTCGCTGCAGCGGATTGGGCATCCAATGGGACCGAATTGGCCACAACAGCTGCAGGACACACTGCTACAACATGTGCCCACATCACGACGGTCGCTGTAGTCGCCGATCTCACGCGATATCATTTCAGGCGAGTAGTTCGAAAAAGAAGGCCGAAACCGGAGCGCGTTCACCACGAAGTTCAACACCACGACCACTCGACACCACTGCGCGCGAGGGCGCAGAATCTGACATCGAATTTCCCTCGTCATTTTTCAAGTACTGGCTCAGACGCCGTCAGAGCAATACATACAGTAAGAAGATCACAAAGTCATCGATGCAATAATTCCCAGCCCCAGTTACCATTTGGTATCACATGCATATTCTCGTTGCTCTAAAAATTTTTCAACGACTCATTTGCCTCCGCGTCTTTTCTTCAGCACTGAAAGCTGGGAGACCAATGACTCTTCCAGATTTCGCCAATTATGAATGGCAAAAGTTAAAGTTTTGGTCCAATATTAAGCAATGGTGATGATCGATGATACATAATTGTTTCTTTGAAATCCTATCAATCTGTGAGATTCGAAATTCAAAATCAATATCAAACCTACAAATCAATCGAAATTTGCGAACAATATAAAAGCAATCACTCGACGATAGGGGTGTAACGAGGCCCTTGAACATGCAGATGACATCGTTGAACTTCTCGATTAAACACTATGACAACACACTTCCTTGCACCGACTACATCGCAATATCATATCTACATCACGATTAAGTTAGTATCAGAAGGAGTAGATTCACGACAAGTAAAAGGGTAGGATTGTCTAAAATGCACGAGCATATACTAACATGAATTTAAAATCATTGATTGGGTACATATCAAGAGAAGCCGAACATGATCAGTGTACTAAAATTCTACTTATCAAAACAGCCTCCTGAAAAGTGTCTGCGTGTGCGTGTGTGTTAGTTTGTGTGTTTGTCTGCTTTCCGATGGGACATCGGAAGAATAATCGAACATGCAGTCCTAAGGTCAGAAACTCTCGACCGTACTAGTATGGATCCACTATGAATTATGTGCTACTGAATTCAGGAGAAGGGTGGATTTGCATTCCGTACGCATTCGGTTATCAAGATATCATTACCCAACCAGCTTGGCTCTGTATAGCATGACTAGCCAGAACTGCCGTGCCATTTATTCATTCACTTTTACTTTGATGTGGATTTGAACAGTCCCTCAGAAGTAAAGGAGGTAAGTGAATAAATATTGCAATGAATTGCATACTCTCGCAAATGTGTTCCAGATCGGTCCAGATTCAGAATTATCTCCCCTGACGCGTCTAGTTCATCGAGAAGTTTGTGTTTCATGAAACGTGCTCCACACAAAGGACCACACCACGGGCGCAATTCCACCCTTTCATTCATTCATTCATTTACCTGTTCGCGAGGTGGTGTCCAGAATATGGGGATTCAAGGGCATGTGCCTTCAAAAATATTCCGAAGTTGGATCATAAGCATCCGTGATTGATTGAAATGAATTTGCTACCACACACTCCAGTTAGAGCATTGATACTCCAAAAACTCTCGCACTTTTGAGTGAGATCTGTCGTTTTCGTGTCGCTTCGGAAACTACATGTTGTGTTTGTGACCTTTGTGAGGAACGAATTACGTGCTTGCTACTTTTTTTCTCAGCTTTCCAGTAAGTTGTGGTTTTGATTTTCATTTCACCAAGGCAAGCCACTGTTTTGATCGAGATTAGCGAATATGTACACGAACAACCGCATATCAAGTAGATATTGTTTATAGGATAGACCGCCGCACTAGACCTTCAACATATCTTTCTCTACTCTCTGGCTCCGGTCAGGAGACGGCCTCACGCCTAAGCTCGGGCGCAGTGAAAAAAGACCGAATAAAAGTACTCAATCGATTATCAACCTCGATTAACTGGTAAAGTGAGTAGGCGAATGAAGTGCATGCTCATCATAGCTGGGCCCTCTCCCTGTCGGGATCAAGAGAACACTCGGGATCCTTCGCTGGGTCACGGCGGGTCATGGTGTGCGCTATTAGCGTCGAAGAGGACGGAAAGAGTGGCTTTTGGATGCTTGCATGAGCTCCAACGGACGGGACTCGGAACGACGTTGCAGCGCCACACTATTTCTGCAGGTCTATCAGTCATTCATTTAAGATCTACTGGCAAATCCTCTATCTCAATTAACACCTCAGCCCATGCAAGATTTGCTTTTCATACATTCCTCACGAAGGTAGATCGGCTGGGTTCGGGCGGGTGGTGGAAGATACCAACAAAAAGTCCCCTGATGGAAAGAAAAGTCCGGCCTTCCGTATATATAACTACATTCCTACTATTCTTCAGCAAAAAGCGAGCCGCTACCCAGCCTAGTGTATGTGTTACGCATGAAGACCTTCAAGACCCAACCAAGTCACTCGGTGCCCCGCAGTCCCTGAATAGAACCGCCGGGGCCTTCCTTCTTGGTCTGTTGGTTCTCCGCTTGCGTTCGTCTTTCTCCTTCTGAATGTTCTCGCCCAATGTATGACGTGACTCCGATCAGGCTCAGGCAAAGCCCTGCGCCTTCTGATGATGATCAGAACGACAGACCGAGATCCTTATGCGAATGGGAATCCCCCCACTATGCTCATGGAACATGGTCAACGATATGGCCGACAGCATAAGAACACGAACAACATGAACACGCACGCGATTGTGGTTGTGGATGTTACTCGGTAACACCACCACCACAACAACAAAGACAAGCCTACCAAAGGCATAACACCTGGAAAGCTTCAGCCCACTACACTCACCCACACCCCTACAGCAACAAAATGGCCAACCTCGAAACCGATGGCACAGACACGAGGAAACCCCAGCCAACCTCCTGCGGCTGATCCACAAGGACCACCCACACCCAGCCAAAACCCTGCGCTGCCCAACAAGTCCAACATGGTCAACCGCGAAAGGGTTTGCGGCCTCAAGAAGTTGGACAAAGTCAGCCCGGAAGCGTACGCTCAGCCGCCTCAAAGAGTTGGACAAGGCCCGCCCGGCGCCATGCATTGGTGGCGGCGTCAGGGGCGATGTTTCAGGAACGAACGCAGCCCAGAAATTTCGGGACTTGGAACCCATGGCTTTGGAACCTCGGCCAGATGGCCACCGCGGTCAGCCTCAACACGTTGGCGCAAGCAAGGCAACAGCGGCAACAAGCGACAGCGGCCACCGTGCGTGGCCATGGTTCAAGGACTTAGACAAGAATGCGTTTAAGAAACAACCACAAAAGCAACCCGGGAGGAAGATAGAAGAAAAGGCGGAGCGAGCCGCAGAACGCGCACGGAACGAAAAAGGACGAAGAGGACACCAAGCGAGCAGCGGCAGGCGCCCTCCCGCAGGGCTGTCAAGAAGTTCGAAGGCCACGACCAGGAAGCTTACCACAGAAGGCGCGAAGCTTGGCGGGCTGATACGCTGAAGGCGTTGAACGAACCTTGCAAAGCTTTCGGGGCTTCTTAGTGCAGGCGCGGATCAGCTGGAACATCTTGCACCAGAACAAGCCGAGCGAGTTCACACCAAGTAGGCGCGAACCCTCGGGGAGTACTTCTAAACACAATAGAAGGCGAGGCGCACCAGTTAGCCAGACAGGGCGACACCAGCGACCACGAAAGGGCCCTGCCTTGCAGATTTTCTCGAAGCTCAGGCTGGGAAAAGACTGCCCAAGCCTAGCAAGCACGACCACGAAGGCGAGAATTCAGAAGGCCACGAACGTGGCAAACAACTACAACAGCAGCGCCAGCGGGGCTATCTCAGGCGGTCTCTCAATTGATCGATGGCTTCGGTTCGCGAGGAAATTCGTGGCATGAAAGTGAAAGGCGTCAAGCCATACCCAGAGGCGTCAGCGATCGCTAGCATCTTAATCAGCCTAAGCCCGTCACACAAGGACGCTGCCCCCTTTCTCCTGGACAGAGCTGGGCCTGGAGTGGATGCGGACGTGGATTTGGCTGCTGTGGGGGCCTGCCTAAGGCAGCGCGAGGGAGCAAGGCCTTCTTGCGCCAGCAAGAAACAGAGGAAAAAAGAACGACAAGACGCACTACAGCGCTCTCTCTACCTCGAAAGAACCCAAGGCAAGGGACCCGGGAGAGAGGGGCTGGAAATGCAGAAAGTGCCAGACAAACGGCCACGGGACGGCTGGCACAAGTGCCCACACAACCCCGACGCAAGAAAGTTAGCGCGCGAATTTTGAAAGTTAGGCATAGGCCATGAATTTTGAAAGTTTCAGCCCACATGGATAGAACTCCTGTCCTCTGGGCTGTTTTGTCTTCTCCGTCCTGTGTCCACTCTTCACGCAAACCCACGAGAAGCAGACGGCGCCGCCCGCTAGACATGACGAAAGCGCAGACGACCGACGACAGACGACGCCCGACGACAACCGACAAGGGACAACGATCGACGGCCGAGGACGATCGACTGCCGAGGACGATCGACGGCCGAGGACGATCGACGACGACCGACGACCGACAGCCGACGACGATCGCCGACGACCGACGCCAGGCGGCGATCTTCGACGACAGAGGACGAGAGGAGACGGTCGACGACGATCAGCGCCGCGGCAGTTGGTTCAAAAGAAGCAAATCATGGGCGAAGTGCGACACTTCAAAAATGAGGACCACGCGCCCACCTGCAGCTGCATACTCTTTGCCCAAGGGTACACACTTCGCAAGCAAGCACCTGAGTGGCAGCGTGTGGAATCTTCTCGAAAGACAGCAGCCAGACTACCTTCCCAGCAAGGCTAACTATTGGGGTAATGTAGTCACAGCGGCAGCGCCTCAACCTTCCACGAAGCATTTCCATGGCGATCGACCACAAGCATAACGCGCAGCGCAGTCCGCCTCTCACAGGTTCCCACGAAAAACAGACGCCAGACCAAGCCCCCCCTCCACTACCTTCCCAGAGACGACGCCGCCGACAGATACCTCACACCTCATGGGCAACACCTTCACCACGACGACCACAGAAGAGCCCAAAATATCCGCAGTTCGCGGGGTTCCACGAATTGCAGGCCCCCCCCGCCACTTTCAAAACGAAACGCAGAGGGCCCAGGCCCCACGAATTGCGGACGCTGTCCAACCCCAAACGACACGCGCAGGGCCCCCGAGTCCACAACTCCTGGGTCCCCACGAACTGGCCGCAGACACCGCCCCGCCCAAAACGACGCGCGCAGGGTCCCCGAGTCCGCAACCCGTGGGGCCCCGCGAATTGTGGACGAAGGAGATGGAGAACACAAAACAACCACGACAGCAAGCCCTTCGGCCGCGTTTGCTATATGGGTTAAGACGCGGCTGAATTTTGAGAGTTATTAAGGCGCGCACTTTGAAAGTTGAGACTTGAGTCAACTACCTCCAAGTCCTCTATCGCTAGGGCATGGCCATGAGTCGCGAAAGAGCGGGCGCGAATTGTGAAAGTTAACAAGTTAGTAGCTAAAGCTACGACCCAAATTGTGAAAGTTACGGCGTGAAGCCTCAAAGTTTAGCTACGACGCACATAATTAAGTTAAAGCATGAAAGTAAGGGCGTGAATTGTGGGGGCCAAGAAATAAACAAAACTGCGAAAGTTAGGACACGAACTGCGAACAAAGTTAAAGCATAAACTTTGAAAGTAAGGGCAGGAGCCTTGAAAGCTAGGGCGCCCACTTTGGCGCCCCGCTCTCCTCTCCGTCCCCCCTGCTCCCCTGGGCTCGCACGCCCTCGCGCTGGCTGCCCGCTGGATAGTGCGAGGCGGCGGCCCGGTGCAGTCGCGTCACCTGCTTGCAGCGCCACGCCCCACGGGCAACGCCCTGCACCTTTGAACCCCCGCGGACCCGCGTGGCCTCTGAAAGCCTCGGACCCCGGCGGACGAATCCGCCCCGTTCCCGAAGGGCATGCGCCTGCCTATGCCTTCCGCTTGAAGATAGGCCCGCAGGTGCTGAAGCCTGTCCATGTATGTGCTCTGTCTAGCAAGTTTCTCGGGCTCCCATCACGTCCTTCGTCTGGGGAACCACACCAGGGAGAGCTAGGCGATTATTGATTACGCTGCACGCGTTTCGATGAATCATCCGGCTCGCTGTGCCAAGTGTCTAGTACCAAAGAAAGATGACAATAGGGCCCGCCGCTTGTTACAAGTCCACTCGGTTTACCTGCGTAAACAGCGCGATCGTTAAAAATATCAATAAAGGCCTGCCATGGGCATCGCGTCACACATGACCGAACCAAGTCTGACGCGTTACATCATTGACAGCGATGCTACTGATGTGTGCAGAACGATAGACGGAAACGGAACGATAGGAATAAACAAAGCGCCCCAACATAAGTCGCAGCGTTAAGTAGGGGCAGGCTACGCTGGAAAACGCTGCGCAGTCATACCATTCGAATACCAGTCAAGACGCCAGAAGTAGCATCATCCGAGCATACTGGTACTGCTGCGACCTAATCGAAAGGAGAAGACCGAGACAGAAGTGCGCACAGATCATGAAATCACTCAGAGCACTCAGAATCTACTTGCTGAAGGATCGGCGCGACACTCGTGGCACGAAGGGCACAAAGAAACGACAGGCGCAGAGGGTGACAGATTTACGAGACAGATGGCACGGGAGCACAATCCGAGTCGGCGCCGCGTCAGAAGGTTAGCTTTGTTCTTGTTGCGCGGGAGAAAAGAGCGCCCCGAAAGCGCAAAACTAACGAGGCGGGCGCCCCCAACCAATGAGAAACATAGCAAACACCCAACGACGTAGCTATAGCGACTAACCTCATGGAAGTGCGCCTAGTGTTTCGCATTCTCATGGCTTCGAGAGTTATCATCAAGAGCGGCATCCTTTTCGTTATACATAGACCACAAGCATCGCCATACTTTGCGAGCTAATTCGTGCGCGCTGTGCTGTGCTTATCCTTCGCGCTACTTGTTTGCACAAGAACAAGCAAAAAAACCAGACAAGCCGAAAAATGAAAAGAGCCAGAATCTTCGAAAACGAAGAGAGTGGCGGGAGCTCGTTGCGTCATGTATAATATAAAAGCTAAGAACTTGGGGGAGAGGGGGGAAAAAAAGCAAAGGCGCCATGGATGGACTTGAATCAGAATCGAGCCAGCCGGCTGCTGTGTCAGTGCGTTGCCAGTCACGTCCAGGCTTTCATCGTAGTCGCTTAACTACTCAACGAGACCACTCCAGGGCTTCAGCTTTTGTATGACTCAACCCGCAACAGATCGCCAGCAAACAGCTCAAACAAATTCGGGCGGTGTGGACTTCTCTCACATGCGGCAACATGGGCCGGGACTAGCATAATCAGCACAGTACTCATCGCTACGAACTTAAGTCAACAAACAAAAAGACCAGAAGGCGACGCAAATTAATAAGTACTCTCAGCAGACTAGCCACTACGTAAACTATGCGAACGGCCTTCGCACCTTTTGCGATTTCGAGCCCTTTCTTTCACGGGTTCCGCTTTAAACCGACTGCAGAACGATAGACCAGAGCACGACCAAGGAAGCTCTTCGCTGGATCGATAGGAATAAACACAGCGAACAGGCAAAATTGCGCACGACTTTCACAACTCGGGGCGGCGTTGATTCCTGCCGTCGCGCTTCTCTCTATCGTCGGGGTCGCTCGGTGTCAGGATAGGAATAAACACCGCCAAAATGGCACAGGATGTTTAATCATTACTATCGCGTTACGCTCTAGAATTCTGCATGTATGCAGGTTACTATAGGTAGACGACGCCGACACTTTTGGTATCACGTCTCGTTTCTTGCCCTTACTACACCTTAGACAATCCATCTTGACGATTACGCTGTCCTCTGCGTCGTCCAAGTACTCACGGTAGGGTTAGATATTCGAACAATATTCATTCGGCATTGGATTATTGCGAGGTATGATTTTGGTTGCTTCTCTGCACCGTGATCTCGTCCCATTATGGGGGAAAACGGGGGGACGAGTGCACATGTCCATGGCTCGAGGATTCGCGAGCACACACACGTGTATGCTACAATGTTATCGAACTTAAATAGTATAGTCTAACTCTGTTCTGTCTTGCTCCTGGCCCGCCTTGAATCAGTCGGTGACAAGACTGCCTCCAGACGCTTTCATGATTAGATTACCGCGCATCATATTCCTCCAGACGCTTCCATTAGAATAGAAATTTTTCACCCATCATATTCATTCAATCTTGGGATTCACGCGCGTCGCTATATCTTGCTTTCCTCGTGCTCGATAATACCGATCGGAGAAATATGAACGTTATATCACGTGCAACTTAGTCAAAACCAATTTGCTTTCTTGAATCACGTAGGATGCAGTAAAGATGTAGCGTTCGCACTGGAAGACGTACGATAACTCAGTAGGCGATGAAGTTTGATCATCTAGTGCTAGATCAGGATCTACTCTGAAGGTTATAATATAATGACGGTGAGGCAGAAAGTAATGAGGTGCACAGACAAACCGCGAAGGCGAATAGTACAACTTCTATATAAGATATTTATAAATATATCTTCATGCCTGATCTACACATGACGAACTTGACTCCGGATAGTACTTATCTTACAATTTCCAAGCATCACTTTGGAATATGCTGTTTCGAGTGGCTGCCTCGACACACTCCACAGCGAAAATTCCCTACCTTCGTAGAAAACCACCACAGATGGTAAGCACGTATATCTGCAGTGGAGCATACGATCACTCATTATCACCATAGGCGTGAAATTGCGAGTGATGAGGGATACATGTTTAAGACGGCGGGGGCTGACCTTCATTATATTCTTTGTCTAGATATTGTCATTTTTTATGAAGACTGGCACCCACTAGTATCTAGAAGTTGTGGACCCTAAGAGATAACGCGCGCGTGACGGATTTCCTTAATCATGATATGTGACCACGACTGCGCGTGAGAAGAACCATCTAAAAAAGAGCTCAGGCAGTGCCTACCTGGTGTAGCTGCTCCTATGCTAGGCTAGTTCATCCTCGCTGGCATAGTCGGCGAGACACTTCACAAATGATTACGATGATGGGCCTGGCCTATCCAGCGAGGGGTCTTCAGTTCCTTTCTGATCACCCTGAACCTCGCTGGATGGCGCTTCCGCGCCACCAGCGTTACGCTCGATGTAATCGTAAGTAGCAAGCGCCGCGTTATATCTATCTTGTGGAGTCTCGTATAGTGTTATTCTGCGTGGCAGTATCCTGCCCGTGGGAACAAGCTGTCTTGTCGGTTTGAGCCATGATGGCTCAGGTGACTCCGTTGACGAAGACTTTTCTTGTGCGCTGCGTTTTGCAGCCTCATCTGGTAAGCCCTCTGTTGCAATATTTTCTGGTGAGCGTGGGCTCTCTCGTGTACCGGCATCTTGTCCGCTTCCTGGAACAACGACAACACCATCAATTCCATCGCCGGGTGAAATATCGACAGTGCCATCTTCTGGCAAACTCGGGACATCATTATTTGTTGGCTCCACTTCCTCAGAGGTCAATGGTTGTAGTTCTTGCGATTGTCCCGCTGCCTCAGGCGCCAATGGCGGCTGCGTAGGTTCTCCAGTATCTGGCGATGACAAGCGCGCAGCAGAACCTGGGTGCACACTAGGCAAGGCACGATCCGCTGGAACCTCGGTTGGCGTGGAGGCTTGCCCGCCGTCCATAGGGACTGATACTGGCAGGTGCTGACCAACACCTGGTCTCATCGAAGCAGGTGCCATGTCCTGCGCAGAGGAAACTGGAAGAGGCATCCAGCTCCAGACAAAAAGAAAAACTTCAAATTGTTCTTGTTCGCTACGGCTGTCCTGTCTTGCTGGTGCTTGTACGCTATTTGAAGACGGCTGTTGTAGTTGAGCTTGAGGTTCACTTGGTGGTTGTTGTGCTGTTGCATGTTCTACTCCTCTATCTCCTCGCTGGTCTGCAGCTGGTCCTCCTTGCGCCTCCCTCCCACGTCTACTCTTCGGCGCCGACTTCTGAGTCGATGCATCCGCGGTTTTCCTGAGAATTGTCTGCTGAAGTGGCGGTGCTTGCGCATCAGCTACAACGCTTTCAGAGCCGTCTGCACCTCCTTTCAACACAGCACGCACAGGCAAAGCGACATCTGGACCACCTGAATGCTCATGCTCTCTGTGCTGCTGTGTAGTGACTGGAGGCTCTCGACGAACCGCTGTAATAGTTGAAGGCAGCGCTTGAGAAGCGGTCGACTGAGTCGAGACCACAATCGGCGCGCGGACCGCAGGCGGAGCGCTTCCTCCTTCTGCGCTTCCGTTGGAGGCTGGCAATATTGGCGACACGGGCGGCGATGACGGAGGATGTGGAAGGGTCGGACCTAACGCCACGACAGGTGAGGTCTCGTCCACCGGACTTTGCACCGTTCGTGCGGCTTCCGTAGGGGTCGAGTTCCGGTCCCTGCGAGTTGTTAAGAAGCCCACCTGGTGGCCGTTCGCGGCAGCGACGCTTGGAGTCGGGGTTGAGAGAGAGAGCACGCCGTAGTAGATTCCCAGTGAAGCTCCCGTAGCGCAGATGACGGCTAGCACCACCCACAGCCAGATATGAGACCCGCTACAGCAGGAAGACTTTGCCTCAGGCGTTTCCGACATCGTTTGAGGCGGACCGATCGTCGCAACACTGCCTGCGTCTTCCCACGCAGCTACTGACTCGGAAACGGATCCCGTTGTTTTCGCGCCGTCGCGTAGTGGACCCGCGATTGTGTCTGCTCGAGCCTGTACATCAAGCAAGTTCTTTTTCTCTTCCGGCATGTTTGGATCAGGCTCGCTTTCGGCAATATCCACCTGTCTGTGGTGCAGGATCGTAGCACTCGCCGCGCCAGCCCTCGCCGCGGCCACTGCCCCATGCGCTGGTCTCTTTGCGGGGACAGGCACAGGAGGCAGTGTACACTGCGTGTCTGGTTTCGTGTCGCTGGCAAAGCGGACCGACTTTTTTGCCTTCCCAACTGACGCAGTATGCGGGTCCTGCTCATGAACTATTGCATCGTCCGCCCCTGCGTCATAGACTGCTGCTTTAGTCTTGTGCGGCATGATATTTCTGTCTAGTAAAAATACTTCGGTCTCATCTTTTTGCCCCATCTTTTGTGCTCCTGCATCTGCAGCCTCTCCCATGGGAGTTGGGATTGGAGCTGCAGAAGCGTTGAAAGCCTCCGGATTGAAAGCGAGCGGTGCCGCTTCCTGTATTCCGATGAACGCTTGCGACGCGGCAACGGACGGCGCGGACGGTGCGGTTTCCCAGGTATTTTGAGCATGTCCCTTTTGTTGGAGTTCCCACAAAGAGTGATCGTAGTCAATCAGTTTACCCAGGTATTTCGAGGTTGGTCGTTTCCGTGATTGCCTCGTTCCGGTAGCGTTGCGGTGTTGTTGCTGAGGCTCTTCCGCCTGTCCTTCATGGTGAGCTCCTACACAGTCGACGGCCTGATCCTGTCGTTGATCGAACATACCATCACCAGGTGCGCCACCTCGTGCAACTCTTGGGTCGGCCTCGTAATGAAAGGGAGAAGAAACTGGCGGCGCGTCCTGCGCATTTTGCACTGCAGGTGCCCTCTGAGCTTCAGCTGCTTCCTGCTCAGGGGAGTAAAGGTGTCGCCCATGCGCGGCAGCAGGCAAGCCCCCGTTTGGGTAAAGAATGCCGCGTGGCTTCATGTACGGATGTACGCCAGCGACGGGTTGTTGGGCGAATGCAGTGAGACCTTGGGCGGGTCCGTGCCGATGCGGCTCACAAAGCATTCCTTGATGGGCTCCTCCGGGTTGTCGTAAATTTTCTGTTGGAAGCGGACCTTCCCGCCTAACCCATTCTTGTTGGACAGCTGGGCGTTGAAAATGAGGTAATGTCGCGTTATTTTGGGGATTGTTTTCCACTGCGTCGATCAGGTTCATTCCGTTGTACAGAGTGCTTTCCTGTTGTCTGCCAAGCACGTCGCTATTGTACTCGCCAAAGCGCCGCTGTTCTTCGAGAAAAGCAACCTCAGGCTGAGTGCTGCCGCGCAAAAACGCGAAGGACGCGGGTGGTGCGGTAGGATGCATCTCAGTTAGGCCTCGGTGATGCGGCAACTGACAAAAGCCAGCATCTCCTTCAAAACCATACGCCTGTGCGTTGTCGTCGTTAAAAGCAGCTCCCGTCAGCAGGTCCGGTGGGAAATCCAGGTCTAAACCCCCTTCACAGCGGAACGCCGCTTCCGCGTTGCCGCACAAGTCCGCCACTCCATCGCGTATCTCTGGGTAGTCAGGCGAGACCTGACCTCGTGCGGGCGATTGTTGTTCAAAAAAGGGGCTCCCATGTTCAAATTTCAAAGCAATGTTGGGAGTGGCCACTCTGTCATTAGGTCGTCCATGCACCTCCACGTTACCGAAAGCCTCGTTTAAACTTTTCTGCTGGGTGTTCCCGTTGCACTGGGCTTCGTAAGCAGTGTGTCCTTGTTCTCGACTTTGGTGCAAACCATAACCATTTTGGCGTGGAAATAATTGCGCGTCCACCTCTATGCGCCTTTGGGGGTGTGGAGGAGGGATCAGGAGATGCGGAGCCAAAACATTTCCTTTTCTCGTCTGTGCTCGTTTCGTATTCGCATCTAGTGCGACGTCGTTTTCCCCCTGTTCTCCATTCCTCTGCATATCCCAATTACCGTCTATGTCAGTGTATGGACCAGGAGAACGTCTCAACGACGCATTCTGGATCTGAACTCCATGGTTCGCGAAACGAAAACCTTCTCCTTGTCTTGGCGATTCTCCGGTCAAGGAGTCCGGAGTATCAGAAGACTCTGTCGTGACCTCGAAGCTGCTGCTGTCGGGTAACACACCCATGAGAGGACGATCCTCCGTCTCGGCAGCACCCGGTGTCCTCCTGGTGTTGATAATCTCATCATGCTCGGGTGTAGAATCGTGCTGATGACGGACGTCCCGTCCGGTCCAATGATCAACATGATCCCGGTCGGCTTCCATTTTGGTTCGATCCTCGATCCCCGAGTGCGCGCTGAAAAATCTCGCGCGAGAGTGAACTGGGTGGTCACCAGATCGCACTAGCAGTGGTGCCCCTGTCTCGCGATGAACTCCTTGTTCTTCATCTTCTTTGAAAATACGCTTTTCACGACCTTGAACATAATCTACTTGTCTATCCACATCAATGAACGTCCTCGTAGATGGAACAGGATGGAACCAAGGATCACGCGAGCTGCAGGTTCTCGCATGACCAGGGGGTGAGCGAGGTAACAGAGCGGAGGAGCCTTCTTCGCTCTGGTGAAAGGGGCGAAATTCTGCGGTCGATATTGTCGCCAGCTGTGCATCAGGTATAGGCAAGAATAACTGCCCAGGGACGAGCTCTTGAGAAGTAGGCGCCGGGGTGGTTGTAGTGACCCCTCTTCTCGTACCAGAGTCGTCTTGAAGCACCTGAGGCACTGCTTCTATTCCTACTGCTACTAACTGCACGTGGTCCCCGCAAGTAGCTACATCTCCAATTCCTCCGAAATGAAGATCTGCATCGTCACCATTGATACTCGTTTGTCCAGCGTCTGCTTGATGACCTTGGCCGTGTTGCATACATTTCGTCCCAACTCGTCCATGCGCCACCTCAGTTCTTTTTATGTCTCGAGTCGCCATCGACAGCTCCCTATTGTCGTCCCACAAGAGCCCCTGTGTCTCTCCTCCTCCCGCCTGCGACATCATTGCTAAAGGTTCTGGTGGGGGCTCATGCAGAGGCATCTCCGGTCTTCTGTAAGGGCCGCGTCGATTTCCACCACGTGCACGCCCTCGAGCAAAACCTGCAAAATTGGACTTAAATTTCTGAGACTTGAAAGAAAAAGAGAGACTTCATCGAGGTCAAGCATATCATTAATGAGTACAAGTAGGACCACCACCGACCACGCCCCTTTCTATACAATTCAACTATTAACGCGAAGCTTTAATATTGTATACTGCACCAGCTCACACGCTATAATCATCTTTATCTTATTCATTTCTACCTGAATCAGCACCGCGAATATCGTCATCGACCATCCTCGTAAAAACCCGGTACCTGAGTGCGACTAGTAGACGTGAGACTTCCGCGTATCTTCCAAAAAATCAAGCGCAATGTGCGTTCATCATTGCTGGTCGAAACCACACCACGCACAGTATGTGAGCTTTCTATTTCTTAGCCAAGATAAATATTTCTAAGATATTTATCACTTTTGAATATGGTTGGGCTCAGCTTCCCCAAGGCACTTTTTACGAATACGCACTACAGGACTGAAAACCTTCGTTGTTAATAGCATCATTGAACCGAAAAAGCGTCCAAGATTGTCCACACTGATCTATTCGGCTCAAAACGAAAAGACCAGCAAGCAGGTCAACCGTATCTCAAATAACAATAAACAATATTTGCTTCATGTAAAACCCCCTACAACCACGACACACCAGCCACCCATGAACCATACTAGGCTATAAAATTAAACACATCCAAGATCCCCATCAATTGAAAATGAGATCAAGTTCAAGTTCAGGGTATCCCCGTCTCTCGCCCCAGACCTCGGTCTACGTTTTTTTTTTTTTTGAATTAGGACTCTACGGCAGCACTGAGGGACGTTAAAGGTGTCTACTCCTTCGAGTAGAAAGGCCTGGCCGACTTTATCCGCCCGGAACGCGACTCTATAATTTAAATGGCTATTAACTTTGCGAAAAGAATGTTTCCCTTCCTTCTAGATAAAAATATCCGTGATCGGGGCCAGTCTATCCATCATGGTGTACTACAACAAGACTGACCAAAATCCTGTAAATACGATAAATATAAGCCTCTTTACAGCGTTATATCGAGATAGAAGGTATGGAGAGATTGAAACTTCAATATGCTTGATTTATCACGGAGACGGAACCTTACCAACGACACTGCCAGCAAGGTACGCTACTCTATATCCAAATCGCGCCTGAGCGAAATCCCTCCTGAGCAGAAAGAATATACAGAGCTACAACTAGGAGACCCAACAAGAAAACTAAGCACCAAAAATCACTAGCCACCTAAAATCAAATTCAAAAATACGCATCGTTTAGATATGACATGATATTACGACACACCAGAATAGCAGACCACGACTCCATGAGCGTCTCCATTTCCGCTTATAACAACCTCCAATGAGTAGCCACCTGAGGATGAGAGCGCAACTCATCTCAGACTACGAGAAACATGGATATCACTTCTACAAACCCCATTGACTTCGAAGGCAGAACAAATGGACATCAATCATATATATATTACTCTACCTGTTCCACGAGCACGAACGAAAGCGAAGAAGAGCAGCAGTAAAAAGTAGTAGAATAGCTCAACACAGTAGAAAGATGAAAATGGAAATGAATAAAGGTGGGGTATTTCGAACGATTTCAATGTCGCTACATCAACATGAATGTACATTTTTTCATGAAAGATTAAATCTCCGTCGCAAGACGAGTACTATAACGAGATGATACATTGATTATAATGAGACAAGTCGCTGGGAAGGGATTGACATACCAAGCGGGGAAGCACAGTGAGCCAGAGGATCTACCGTCGCGCATAATCTCCACGGGAAGAAGAGATGATCACATAATTCTCCATGATAAAAAAACATGCCCTTAACATCAAGATGAAGATACAGCCTTATCAAGAGTGACACTATCAGTTGTATCTATGTCTCCTTATTGTACGTAAAACGTAGTATCTGTGAAAAGTAGCGAGCATAACAGCATGAAAGTCTCTAATATATGCTAAGCTCCTACTTAAGTGGAAAGAGACGCTAGATTCCAAGTAGCAATGTAGCACGACCCGAAAACATGCTCCCCCAAGATAGTGGCTTTCCCCATCATTTATCTCAATGTTGTCAAAATGGACACGGCACTCCCCGCCAAATCCTGCAAAAGCAAAAGTCCATCAAGAAAATGAGCATGATTCTTTTCATAGATATATTATTGTACAAGTATTTACCCTGAAAGAAAAGTTGGCAATCATGCACAGCGCAGAACTTCTGCGTTGCCTTGTTCTTCGAACTTCACATCGATCCTCCTCCTAGTCACGCGTGAGCGTGTGTGCCTACCCAAACAGGATCTTGGTCATCTTTGATTTTTGAGATTTCGGAGACGACATCGGATAAAGCCACGCAGTGGCTGCAGTACTAGGGCAAGAAGAAACGGATCTTTTCGCAATGGAGAGTTTGATCTACATTCAAAATATTCCAAGAAATGCAAGACATGAGGAACACGAACAAGTGGTAGTTCTTGCTAACAGGAAGTATTGTAGTATTCGATTTTTGTCAAAGATCATTTACCAGCTTCGATCCTCAATCGATTCGTGTGGACACTTCTGACATCTAGAGCAATCAGTGGAGATCTGCCACGTTGAGAACATAGAACCACAAGGTAGACTGATTTGATGTATGTAAGTGAGTGAAGATCCACCTCTACAGTCTTCATATCCTCATTATGATCAGCCAGAGTTCTAGTTGATAGATCTTAAGAAAGGGAATTCTTTGCAGGAAGTGTCTGTTCATCTACGTGATCCATTTCCACTGGAGCGGTTCAATTCCAGTGCGTCCCTGAAAATAGGCATATGGAACCTTCACGCGGGACGAATCCGCAACAGAACAACGAACCACAAGACCGTAGACCGAGAAATACGGAACGTCGTCTGAAAACATCACAGGACGTACTTACATCGAAAACCAGCAATGGCGAACATTCATGAAAGCCTGACCCTGGTGGTCAACGAAATGAAAGTTATGCAATTATTGCGGTGTTCTTGAAGACGTTCCCTTACAACTACACAAACAGAGATTTATTGGTGCAAAGAAATTGAGGCTTCTTGTTGGATAAACAACGGATGCACGTCCACGCAAGTCGGTCTCACAGCTATGAGGCTGTTGTAGCAAAATTTTCTACTTGTTGTCAAACACCCATACGAAAGAAGCATCACGCATAAGTAATGAAACCACCGGATCCTGAAGCATATTAAACTAGAAGCAACACCACCGGATCCTGAAGCATATCAAACAAAAAGCAACAGACACAAAGACCGGGACTTAATCAAGTCGATTTCTAAAACCTCGCACTTATAACATCGTCCCATCGACCTATAGTCACTCCTCCTAACGATATCAACGCTTTCTCTAGCAAAAGTGTGAGTAAGTAGTGAAAATGCTTTTTTGAGTAAACGCCGTAAACTACATCTTCAAGCGCACATGAGTATAATGAAGGAGCTGCGACGAAAGGAACGGCATCTCCTCGTAGACTACACGCCTCGAAAAATCTCTTCAGCCTGTGCTATTCGACGTTCAACCTCTGCCGCAACATCCAGAGCCGACGAATCGGCAAGATGGCCTTCTTCTCGAAGCTGTGAAGTGCGTACGGTCCCATCGTCAACGGAGAGCGCCTGTGAAGGAACGCTAGTTTGCGGATCACCGTCAAAACTTCCTAAGGTCGGGGGGTCCCCTGCTCCAAGGCTGCCAAAGATACTCGACACAGTGTCGTCGTTTGCGTAGATCTGAGCAGCGTGATCGTGATCGCCTGCAATGTATTCTCCCGAAGTGTCGTTGAATACGGCAGCTGCACTGCTTGGTTGCAGCCGTATTGAAGTAGGTGCACCGCTCTCTATTTCGTACTCCGCCTGTTCGTGGTTGTTCGCCGACGACCCCCTGTCGAACGCGTGAAGTTCGCTGGAAGCAGGAGGAACGTCAACTACTCGATCGGAAAGTAGTGAGCTAGCGGTAGAGGGCTGGAGTTCAGCCACGCTTAATAATGTTAGAGCCTCCTTACTACAACGAACTCGGCATTTCGTTTCCAAATCACGTTCTATCTCTAGAAAATTTCACGAGGAGAGAAAAGCGGAGCAAGAACGGAAGAATTGAAATTGGTATATATTCATACTTATATATATATGTACCAGGGAGGGAGGCCCCCCCCCTGTGGATGGATCTGCGGGGGACCACGCCAGAGGGGTCCAGCCTGGCCACCTTTGCGCGGTCTGTATGGTTGGCCACATGCAGCACGCCAAGGGGGTGGGTCCCGCCTTGCCTCCTCTGCCAGCTCTGTCGGGTACCGCAACACGCCAGAGGGCGCCCTTTGCCACCTTTGCCAGGTCTGCAGGGTACATGCAACAAGGCAGCGGGGCCCTGCCTTTGCCACCTTTGCCAGGTCTGTCGGGTACATGCAACAAGGCAGCGGGGCCCTGCCTTTGCCACCTTTGCCAGGTCTGTAGGGTACATGCAACAAGGCAGCGGGGCCCTGCCTTGCCTCCTTCGCCAGCTTCTACGTCCTCCGGTTTGGTGGCACTCTAGGGTACAGGCAAGAAGCGGGAAGGGGTCCGAAGTGGGCGCTTTGAGCCCTTCCCGCCCGGCAGCCCCTCGAAAAGAGGGGCCGGGGCGGGAAAGCCCTCCCCCTCAAAAAGTTAGATCGGGGGGGGCCTCCAGCCCTGAGCCCTGGAAAATATATACAGTTAAGCAAATTCTACGATCTCCTTACGGGTGGGCCCTCAAGGGAGCTCCTTAAGGAATTTCCTTAAAGGTGTGCCACCCTTAAGGAGCTCCCTTAAGGACCCCTCTCTTATTAAGAGGGGCTATTATAGCCCCCTCCTTAAGGGCCCTCCCTGAAGGAAGCGGCTAGCGCAGAAGGTGCGACAGCTATGACAGAAGCAGCTGGCCAGCCCGTGGCCTCTAGGCTACCGCTCCCTTACCTAGGGAGCCGCCCCAGGCTTCTAAACATGAACTCGCTGGCCACGCAAGACCGCACTCTGAGCCAACTGGCCAAGGCTCCTGAGCTAGCTGGCCAAAGCTTCTAAGCTCGCTGCCCGTAGCTTCTGAGCTGGCTGGCCATGGCGCTCCCTCCCGCTCCCCCTGGCTTCCAAGCTGCCTGGCCATGGCTTCCAAGCTATCTGGCCATGGCTTCTGAGCTAGCTGGCAAAGGCTTCAGAGCGAGCAAGCCGGCGACGGTTCCTGAGCTAGTCAGCCATGGCGTTCAAGTTCATTGCTTGGCATCCGAGTAAGCTAGCAAGTTGGCCGCCAAGGCTTCAGAGCTAGCAAGCTAGCCAAAGCTTCAGAATCAGAGTTGCCTGGCTTCGTAGCTAGCTGCCCAACGCCTCTGCGCTAGCTGTCTAAGCTTCTAGCTGGCCATGGCTTCAGAGCTAGCGCGCGATGGCCATGGCTTCCAAGCTGGCTGGCCATGGCTTTTAAGGTCTAAGCTAGCTGGCAACGCAATGGCTTCGGAGCTCGCTCACCATGCCGTCCGGGATGGCTGGCCAGGGCTTCCGGGCTAGCTGGTCATGGCTTCTGAGCTAGCTCGCCATGGCTTCCAGCAAGCCAAGCAAAGCTGGGCTGGCTGGCCATGCCCATGGCTTCCATGCTAGCTGGCCACGCGTTCGGAGGCCAGGGCTTCCAAGCTCGCTGGGCATGGCTTCTAAGCTAGCTGGGCATGGCTTCTGAGCTACCTCGCCACGGATGGCCTCCAAGCCAGCCGGCCGAAGCTTCTGAGCTCGCCGAGGCCGGCCTTGGCGTCCATTGGCTTCCAAGTAAGCAAGTTGGCCAAGGCAGTAGCCATAGCAGTAGGCAGCTGACTAGCCTCGCGCCGGCCTTTCTAGTCTTGGCGAGCAGACTTGGCGACTTTTTTCGTTTGTCTTTCTGTGTCTTAGCTATCTGTCTAGCTGTTAACCTATGCCCAGCGCAGCGGGCCCTTGATGGGCCCGCTTTACTCTGGGCATGTATTTATAAGGATGAAGGAAATCAATTCTAGCGCGTGTGGAGAGCCTTAAAACTCCCGAAGCTCCAGAAGAAAAGTCTGGCTCTGTTGGCTTGCTGTTGATGGGAACATCGAGGTCAGTCGCCCGCGCAATACGAGAAAGCGGCGGCTCTATCCTCAAATCGCGCAAAATTCGTTGCAGCTTAGCTCGTCCCTCGTCTGCTGACGGCAACAACGGCTGTGGGTGTGGAGGATTGCAAAATAGATACAGAATCACAAAAACGTCATCCAGTGCCGCGATTGAGTATCTTCACATTTGCATAACTGCCTTGCAATTAGTTACCAAGAATTCTTGTTACAAGAACAACCCACAGAGCATGTTGTAGACCCACGACGATTGCAAAAAACAAATACGCGCTTTTGATCTACCTCATCTGCGGAAGCAGTAGGGACGTTTCCCTTTTCTCCGGCTAGTTCTTGAAGCTGCGAGTGTGCCGCAATAGCGGCTTTCCTCTGCTCCTCTAGCAGTGCCTTCGCCTCTGCGTGGCCTTGATGCAGGTAGTAATCAGCGCATATTCTTGCTTCCTGAAGCTCTTCCTCGGTTTTCTCGACTCCTTGTGGCGGTTCCCACCTTCTGCATGCTTTTGTGACTTCCAGTATGGCCGACGAACCTGCATCAATGTGTGACGCGCCCACCTCGTTCTGCTCTAGAGGGTCCGCCGACGCACCTTTGGCGCGACTCTGCAAACCACCCCCAGTGGCGACTAGAACCTCGCTGCAACTAGAGGTCGTTTGCTGTTGTTCAGCCGAAGAAGATGCTCCCGCATCAGAATCTTCGCTGGAAAGCGCGGGTGGTTGTAGCTGCTGCCGTTTGCGAAACTCTTCGAGATCTCCAACAGCAACTGCGCGAAACTGCTTTGACGCGCCTCTTCCCGCACCAGACACAATTTGGTTCAAGTCATACTTTCGCGACAACGCGTCCCGGCGCACTTCTTCATTCACCCGACTCTCCAACGAACAGTCTTCGGTCCTAGACATATCCCACTCATAGTCACCGTCTCCGACAGCGGTTTTGCTCGAAGCTCTGGCGCCTCCTGTGCCAAGCACAGGCCCCCGACTGGCACTCGAAGACGAAACGCTACTTCCAGCTTGTTTGTTCGGTCCAAGGGCGTCTGGCGCTGCACCGCGGTGGGCCGTAAAAGAGGGAAGGCCGTCCTTTTCACGAGCCTGCATCTGTCGCTGAGCGGCCTCAGCCAGAATCTGCTCTGCTGGTTTGGTAGGCGCCCTTCGTCCATAGGCTGCTTCCGCTTTTTTCTGCTTTACAAGTTGCGCACTACGCCCAAAACCAGCTGGAACAAACACAGCGACTTCCTCCTCCGCCTTCGCCGTTCCCTTTGCCAGAGCAGCTCCACCCTTTGGCGCAGCTGAAGGATGTCCCGCAGCACCCGCTCCAACGCCTGCTGTAGTAGAATATTAAAGAGCCAAGTAAAAAACCAACAACGACCCCGCCAACCTCCGAACCAGAAACACCTGAACCAGAAGCACTTGAACCGAACCAGAAAACAATGACCCCAGGAACCTCCGAACCTCTGAACTTGCGAGCTCTCGACCGTGGCATGTCATTCACCCACGGCCGCCACTCCGGCCAACACCCTTTCCGTGATGTGTAGCCAATCGCGACCGCAAGCGATTCAATTTAAACTCTAGGCGATAAAGTCAAAAGTTTTGCTATTTTGCGCAAAAATAGCAAAATCATTGACTTCATCAAACAAAATTAAGTTTCAAATTTTTCAAATTCAAAAACTCAAATCCAAAAACTCAAGCGGGACAGTCTTGGACGCGAAGTTTTGGATTTGATTCAAATAAAAGAATTAAAATCCAAAACTTCAAGTCCAAGATTTTAAGTCCAAGACTTCAAATCCAAGACTTCAGACCCAACCCTTCAGATCAAGCCCAACACTTCGAGCCCAAGGCTTCAGGTTCAGCTTGCAAGTCCAAAGCTTCAAAATCAAAGACGCCAAGCTCGAAGCTTTACGCCGAGGGCTTCGCTGAAGCTCAAAGCGTCACACTGAAAACGGCCACAAGCTTCAAGCTGCAAGCCAAAAGCTTCAAACCCGCCCAAAGTCTCCATCTCAAAGACTTAAATGCAAAACTTTGCACCCAAGGCTTCTAATCCAAAAACCTACACTACATTCAAAAGCAGGCAAACTTTGAAACATCTCAAAACCCTCAGAGCAGCGCCCTCCTCTGTCGAATATCGCGGCGCCTGCGCCTCTGTTCCGCCTCCTCTCCCGCGGATCAACTCCGCCAGTAAAGCGTCGCGACCTGGCGGAAGAAAAGCGGGGAAGGCGCGTCCCGACGGAGGAAATGCTTGAAGGATGTGGAGGATTCTAGTGGAGGGAAAGCTATCGGGCGCTGACACCTACAGTATGTAATTCATGAAGATACGACTGCATTAGTACATTACAGTAAACCTCACTGTCCATTTTTCGAGCTTTTTGAGTGCTTTCTTTCCATCTGCGGTCGTCCCAAACTGTCCAAGGGCCTTTCGTATGCGATAATGGAAAAAAGAGCAATCAATTGACGTCCTATCTCGATCCCCAGTTATTGAAGTCACAATATTTAGTCGCGTTACCTGTCTTCGCCTGTGTCTGAGATAGCGCACGTGGTCGCTGGACGCTTGTGTAGGCTGCCACTGTCTTTTTATCAGCTGGTGCAATAGCCGCTGGAGCTGCCTTCTTTTCTGCGGCTCGCTTCGTATTAGTGGACCCCACTCCAGAGGCCCCTCCAGATCGCTGTCCGGTCGGTCTTTCCCGATTCTGATTGGCAGCGTTTCTTCCAACAATACGGACCCGCGCAGCCATCGTTAAAGCTAAGTAATTCATTTCCTCAACTCATCATACTCTCAGACTCCCAGAAGTGGCGTTAGATTGATCGGAGAAAGACATGTACAACAACTCGAACATCCACATCAGCAAAGGGGTGTAGTTGTGAGGAGAATCAATCTTTGAGACGAGCAGCCTTATCATCGTTCCCCCAAATTCTGCATCGATTTCAGCTAGCGCACGATCTAATTCTCTACGCTTGGCCTCGGCCAGGGCTTTCGGATCTTCAGCCGCGGTTGCGGACGACTCATACCGGTCTTTCGTTTCCTCCTCCGCACTGGATACAGCAGGCGCAACGGAGTCAGTCATCTCCACATCGCGACAACTTTCGCTTACTACATCTGGATCTTGGTGACCCCACTCCTCTAGATGAATGTTATCTTGTTGGCCGTTAAGAATGTTAATCTTCTCCACGTCGTCCAGTTGCGTTCTCGCACTTAGCACGTTGCCACTTTTTGTCAGCGAGTCCTCCTTGTCATCAGCAGAGTTGTAGGTTCGCACGCTCGACCGCGTTCGCGCACTCTCCACAGCATTGTCCCCGTCTGCCCATGCGCTCTCGAAACAGAAATTAGACTATTTCTCGACTTCTCCCTTGCGAATATTCATATTGTACTAGTGGTCGAAAACTTCAAATTATTCGTTGCTTGGTACTTCTACTTTCATCAAAACATAATTTGCAAAAGGCGTGTCGCGCGTCCATTACGGAGGAATCCCACTCTCTTCGAAAAAGCCTCTACATCTACTTCTATAACTGATAGGATAGATCAAACTGTTCCTTCAGAACAAAAACGCGTGACGGATTTGGGATTGGATTTCCTTACAACGCACGAAATAAACTTCTTCACCTTCTAAGTCAAATCATGAACACGCTGCCTCCGTAACACAACCTACGGCTCCTTCACGCTCCTCGTCTGTTCCACCTCCAGATCGGTATTCTTCGGCAGCGGCGAGAACTGTCCTCTCGCTAGCTTCCTCTTCATCCTGGGGATCCCACAACATGCCACGTTGGATCAGCTGGTCAATGGGCTGGTCAATCTGTACCCTTTCCATTCCAGCAGCTTCCTCCTCTAGCAATTTATCCCTCTCTTCCTCGTTAAACTCCTCGAAATCATCCGCGTAGATATCATCGTCCTCCGCGACGATCCCATTCGTCGCCGCGCCCATGGAGGACGCCCTTTGAGCCGCGTTTGTCGTCGTGCCAGGTAGTATGAAAAAATGAAAATTTTCTAACGCTCTCTTTAGATATCTCATGCAGAAAGCGTGTCCAAGAAGAGGACGACCTTTTGCGAAAAGGCTTCTAGAGTACCTGAAGATGGAACACAGACTTTCGAAGCACGATCACTTTGGTCGTGTACCCAAAAAGAACTAGTTGTACTATATGTTGTACTACTTCCACATGCAATACTATGCCACGTACAAGTCTAAAGGTAACGATTGGTAAACACGGTAAATGGAGCCACTTCGTCTCACTGTCATCTCCATCCCATAACAGCTGCACCTCTGGGTCCGACTGCTCGTGGGCGTTCGCAGCAACGCAGTCTCATGATGCGTTGTTGATCTTCGTGGTCCTGCTGGAGTCGCTTTCGGTCTATAGTGGAACGCTGTGTCGTAATGCGCTTTAGCAGGCCTTGGTTTTCCCGCTCGATGCGCTCCAGTTCAGCACGACGGGCAGCCGACATCTTCGCTTTCGGTCGTGTGCCCACATTCTGTGGCGCCTTGGAGTCGATCTCCATAAACCTGTTACGTTTTTCTAGGGTGAATACGTGGTACCAATTTGCTTAGGCTAATATGATCTCCCCAAAAACGACACAGAGAACAACATTAATTAGCTTTTCAGGTCTCTACTTTCCCCACTACGTACACGTGGTTCTGGTTGGTTGTCTTGATAATGCTTCATGGTAATATGTGTTCGTGGAGTCAGTCATTGTTCTCTTGATGGATAAAGTTCGCCAGGTCACCGTTGAAGCAAGCGAAAGTTTTCCTTTTCGATCTGCGTATGTTTTTCGGAAATCTGCTGTTCCCTTTTCGCATTTCGCAGACTAGGTTGTAGCCGTTGGACCTCGCGATCATTCCAACTCGATGTGATGCGGCTCTTCGCGCCTGTGATCTTCTTACAGTGCGCCTGGTATATTCGCTGCTGCTCCTGCTCTGCCACCGTCTTGGAGGAGCTTTTTCCGTGCGACAACGACTTGATCATGGTGATGATGGTTGATCTTCAAGATGGTAAAGGTTATCGATATGGGAAAAGAAAAGGCATGGTTTGCAAGACACACAGCCGTGTGCTCTTTCTAGGTGTCTACTTAGGTTACACAAGCTAGTTCCGACACTTGTGTGGAACTATCAAAAAGAGGTCGGGTTGCTGCGTGTGTCCTATTGTCAAGAACAAAAAGACTTGAGTTGTATATAGACCATTCGAATACGCCTGCGAAAGAAAAATGCCAAGGAAGGCGCCATTCTTTTTTAGCATGCACAATTTGTTTCTTTGTTTCAGTGTTTTGGCACAAAAAAGAGCGACGAGTAAAAGCTAACCTTGTTTGTATATTGAATCTACTGACAAGAATCCATGAAGATGCATGTATATTTACTTTCAGTTTCGTGATAAGTTTTCAATTCCTCTCGTCTAGCTCTTTTTGGTCATGGTAATGTATGAGCGTAATTTACAGGAACACTTCTCATCGTGAGCGCCGAATATTTTACTCGCGAGATCTTCACGAAAGCTTAAAAAACCTGCGGTTCTTTGTGCACGTAGAACGGTTACAACACTCCGAGCAAATCAGCTGTACAGCATCGCCGCGTCTTCAGTAACTTACCCACTTTTTACAACATTGCCGAAAAGACGAAAATGTTCCAACCTTCGTCTCTATATCTTCTATCTTTTCTCGGAAACTGAATCATAAAAATCCAGAGTCGCGAACTCGTCTTCGTCGCTAGAAATATTAATCAAGACGTAGGTGGCGGAAGTGCATCTACTTCATTTGCAGCTGCTGCAGCTTCGCGCATAGCCTTCTCCCTCAACATCGCCTCGTTCGTATCGCTGTACCGCTTGTTTGCCATGTAGCATAAACCAGCCGGCAAACAGGCCGCGGCCATCATGACAAACAGAGTAAACGTTTTCTTCGGCACTTCCCTTAGAAAAGTACTGACCCATCCCCAAGTTGTATGTTCTTTTTCGTGCTACAACAGGAAGACAAACACTTCACCGTAGAGGTACTACATTGATATCAAGTTGTAGTCGGCACCTCTTCGACATGAATTACTTCTACTTGCATTTTTTTCAGGACCAAATTCAAGTCGTTTATGGTGGGTCGCATAAATAAAACGAGCTTTGCTCAAGCATAGAGAAAGGGTGTCTCCCGTCCGCGTGATACAGGTGATGTGGATGATGCTCTAGGCGTTTCCCCCAATTCCAGTTTCTGTCCCGTGTCTGTATCGATGACTGCTTCGCTCCAACTGCGAGGCTCCGACGCGGAGCGGTGCTGCTAAACACATTCTCCTCGTGATGTTGCTGCATGTGGGGACTGTGTGGGCTCCACACCCCGAACCACCGCCCTGCAGCCTGTGAAGAAGATCGTGAAGAAATAAATTAACGAAGTTTGTTATTGACACTAACAAGTAAGTAATTACGTTATTCCATTCATTCATTTACCTGTTCGCGAGGTGTTGTCTCGAGTGCGGGGACTCATTTGCAAGGGGAAATTCAGGGGAATAAATGCAATCTTATTTCTTAGTGCTTTGGTAGTGCTTGGTCGTAAGCTTTTGATTAATTATGTTTCGTTTCGTGTTACTTAGACTTACTTGCACATGAAAAACAAAGAAGAGTGACCATGTACTTCTAGAAAATAATGAGGATGTCTGCCGGTGCGACGTTTTTCTTTGACAAGAGGCTCATGATGAAAGTTTGTGCGGGTCTCCTACAAAAAATGAGCGATACCAATAAGCCATTTTCCGCAGTTTCATACACATAGAATGCAGTCCAGTCAAGATTCTCTCCTAATTTTGCGAAAAATCCCTGTGGGCCAGCCAGCTGCAGCGAAGAACCGCGTTGGATCATCGACGTTGCATGGGCCCAAGCTGCCTGCGAGTGCTCGGCCCAGAACCAATAGCTAAAAACGCTATGCCGGTGGAGTGGATCATGTCCGGGCTCGAGTCCGGTGATAGGATCAATTTGTTGTCGCGAAGTGGAAGACAGCAATGCAGAAGACGCAGAATGTAGTGCACTTCTACCTTCTTGTCCTGCATGAGCATTCCGTTCCTGTCGCAAGTGCTTAGTGCTCTCTTGACTCTTCATCCGATCTTGCTCCTGCAACGGCCTCGGCTGCTGCATGCCCGACACGTGACATTAGAAGACAGTGAGGAGAACGTAGATGCAGACTGAAGATTTGGAACATCGAGGTGTTTTTAAGAGATGAAAGCTACTAGATTCTCGTCGGTATACATAGATAGACGCATCTTTTACATACTTTCTCTAAAAAATAAAAATCAAAAAAATGAAAACTGCAAAGTGCCTTCTCTATGTATCATCAAGGACCCGTACAAATAGCATGTCAAGCCCGTCGCTTGCATAAGCAGCATCGCCACCCTCGCGCGGAAGCGAAAAATTGACATTTCCGACGAGACGCTTCCGAACAACATCAAGTTGCACTTGAACTTCTTGTTTTGAATCCTGTAGTAGATCACTTCTCGCGACATGCATGCATTACAAACAAATCATACACAACTTTAAGCCTTTTTGTCCGTTCAGGCATCAGCGAACTATGTGCCTTTTGTGAGAGAGTACCTAGGAAGTCACGACTGTGCAAAGCTACGTGGTTTTCAAGAAAAGATGAAGATATTATAGAATATAGATACCATCAATTGAGTACTAATTCCTCGTACTTGACGTAAATGTCGTATAAAAGAACTAACTGACGTCGTAGAGCAAGCTCATCAAAGTAGCGGAAAACGTGGGAGATTGGGGAAATGGGGAATCAGTGTGCTTGGAAGAAAAAGGATCAAACATCGGAGAGAGCATGGTTGAAACGTCAGCTAGATATTACGCAGACAGAGGAATCCACCGAAGCACAACCGAACTTGCCACCTCAGCTCTGATGGGGCGCTCCTCTCTCATCTTCATGGTAAAAAAACTAGCCTCAATTGAAATACCGTTTGAATAAGTTGAGCCGATCGATCCAATTCCAAGGCCGAGCGCCATACAGCAGTTATCCTTGTTAGACTTTCCGGGGCGTCTTCCTTAAGAACAATCGGCTTCGCATCAGTTCACCAAACACAGCTGGTATGTTGTTGCAGTTCTTCGCGCAACATCTGTAAAAATTTATAGATTTTTCAGGATGATCCTCAAATGATCTCGCCCATGCAAACAGCAAGTCCAGGGTCTACCTCTTTGTTTTAATAAGGAACTACTGTTTCTCGAAATAAGGCAATGCACTCTGATGTAGATAGTGCGCGGTCAAAAATCTGCAGCCCCTTAACGTTCGAGGAAACGACTTCAACATCAGCTCCCCCGATCTCGCCAAACTCTCTCGGCAAGGAAAACCAGCCGCATGGTGCCGCATTGTAGAGCCGGTCATTGATAACGCATGTTGCAACCTTCGGCCCGCCGTCGCAGACAAAGCAGAAACTCGATGTCTTAGAGTGGGAAGCGCCAGACAGAACCTCGTCGCAAGAAGACAGTCACTAAACAGGAATAAATGCAGATGATTCCTTCCTTTTCTCAGTTATTCTTTCACTACAACTTTGTGACGACGAAAACCTGAAAAAGACGAGTGGCGATGATCATTTTCATAATTAGTGGAGGTCCAGTCGGTGCGCTTGCTAACTGGTAATACGCCGTCTGCGCTGGGGAAGCGACAAGGCTCTTTGCCGAGAGCGTCATAGAAAATTGAATTTTGAACCCATCAGTGAGTGAGAAAATCAAATCTCCATTCGCTCCGAGCTCGATTGTGTAGCCTTTCTGTATGGTCGGACTGTCGCACGCGACCACGTCTTCTGCAGGCTCGTCCAAAGCTGACGACGCGGTGGTAAGCCCATTCACCAGCATCGTTCGAGGCGCATCTTCACTGTTGGCATTCCCCGTAAGCATGGCTTTTGGATCGAACTGGTCAAGCACGACGCGAATGGTGAAGCCGCCACCGCTTCGCAGGTCCGCAAGAACCGGACAGCGCAAGGTGGATGAACTAGAACTTGTCAACTGAGCGCCAGACTCATAGCTTTGCACTAGACTGTCACGGATAAGTCTCTCACGCATTCGCAAGGTTTCCTTTTCGTTCTTCTTTTCTTCATTTACTTCATCTTGTTGAACTTTGTCTACTTTCGGTTGTTCCACGAGCTGCAGCTTCATCGATTCCACAAGGTAGGTGTCGACCCGGTGAAAACGAACAGTAAGTTTATTGGATTCCACCACTATCAGCTCCCCCGTTTCCACGTCCTCCTGGAAGTCTGCATATCCTGGGCCATCGACAATAGCATACTCCTCCGACCACTCGCGGGTCGAATCGTCGAAGCAAACGCCATCCCAAAACAGGACTATCTCGGGTTGCGACCATCGAATATAGCGTTGGTCGCTTTCACAAGGAGCCCGAAGCAAGTTTTAGACGAAATAGATTTAATGTGGAACATTTGGAAGGAACATCTAAATATTCTATCATTCCTCGAAAATGTGTCATTGTGACACAGAGAATAGAGTAGTAAGCAGCAATCGCGAACAAACTTAAATTTTTTTTCTTCTTAATTGAATGTTTAGACTGTAGGAGGTCGAGGCAGGACGGCAGAGCCGGAGGAAGGGTAGCACTGATCGGAGGTAGTCAGATGAAAGAAAGCCCAACGAAACCGAGAAACCGATGAGCATACTGCACAGTGCAGAAGAGAGGGCCAGGGTCATAGGCCATAAGCACCCCCTGCGGCCTACAGCTCCCGGCTTCTCAAGGATTGAGGCGCCACCCCCGAGCCAATCACTGAAGAGCTCCAGCCCAGGCGGGGCTGTGCTCACCCATGCTCCGCAGAGCAAATGATCACAAACGAAGAAATGAACTCTCAAAGAGAAGACAACGATGATCACTCGCGAAACGCGAGTGGCAAAGCCAAGACGAAGAGAACGCTCTGTGTAGGCAATGATAACTCGTGGTACGAGAACACAGAGGAAAGGAGAAGGCTCACTCGTCCACCCACCTCTATTAATACTTTAGATCTAGCATGTTACTTACTTTCCAAACTCATTTTCTTTCTTTATGTTCAACCTCAACGATCGATTTATACTAAGGCCGCAACTGCTTAGTTGGCCTAGGATTCGTAATTTCGCTCATGAGTATTAATCAGAATAGTGCGAGAGGGTTATTTCTATTCCTATCTTTTTAATATATAGTACAAGATCCATGCAATTGCTCTCAAGTCTGCAAGATCAGTCTTCATAAAGATGGTCGCTTTGACAAGCTGCATTTGCAGAGTCAGTTACAGTTGTGATATTGCCAGAGGACGTTGCTGAAGAGCCGAGCTCGCCTTTTCGAACAATTTTACCAACGCTCAGCCAGTAAATAAGACGACATGTGTAGCCAACGCGCTCTGTTCGTCCGTTGTTGTAGTACAACAACACATAATGACCATTCGCGAGCCGAAACGGCGTGAAAGCACCCCGAGGATGGCGCATTATCCACGGATTGTCAGCTACGAAAGCCGCGTGTTCCCGAGAGGTAAGGTATTCCTCGCGATTCCGCATAAACTGTTCGCCGCCACCAGCTGGCGTCAGCCCGTTCAACCGCTTGTCGCTGAGCAGCGCTGCGTTCAATTTCGTGTCGTTTAAAAGAGAAACATCAACATCGCTACCGCAAGCTGTACTAGAAGTACTAGAAGATGGAGGTGGCTCGTAAAGTAGCGGCGTGGGCAACGGAGACAAGTTTTTGGTGCCTATCGTAGGGTCGTCCCGCACCCAGTTCTCGCCGTAGTCGAATGACACACAGGAGTCCAAGAAACCCAGCTCCGTGCGCCAAACGAGCAACATTTTTGCACCCGAAATCTGCATGATGTGAGGCTCTTCGCCGAGAAGAAGACCTCGTGGCGTCTGCAGCCCGCTGACCGTGCCTCTGGGAAAAACCTCGAACTCAATCTCGAACAGTTTTTCGGTCTTGTGCTTTTCCAGGAAGTTCCGCGAACGCACAACGAAGACTTCGCTGCCGTAGCTCTCCCCATTTCCATCCCGAGTTTTCTGAAACGCAAAAAAAAGCGTACCGTCGATAAGTTGTGGCTTGTCACAGCAAAAGGCGCCAATAGTCGGCGCGCACGGATTGCAACGGTCGATTTCTGTGCGCGGAATCGGGATGCAGACGCGGTCCCCCGAAAAGCTTCTTCCGGCGTCGTCGCTCCATTTCATCCAGAACCCTTCGTCCAGCTGCATGTCAGTCCGCGAGATCTGCGGTCCTCCCGCTGGTTGGCTCCCCCGGTTGCAGCCATAGAAGAGATATATCCGCGACCCAACACGCAGTTGGTAACCGTCGTGTGACTGCGGTGGATACGTCTCGACTGGGATCAAGGGAGACCATATTTTTCCGCCGTTGGTGCTCCGCGTGTGAGAAAGCGTGAGTCCGGCACCACCCTCACGATTGTCCGAGTGATGCAAAACGCAAGAGAGGACGCTGCGAGCCAGTCTCTCGTCGAAAATCGAAATTATGTTCTGCGAATCGTAGTAGCCATTCAAGTCGCTGACGACGCTTCCCGCCTTCAAGTCCCGCGAGTCGCAACTGCGCCCCGGAGGGACAAGACGAGGGACTGGCATGCCACTTCGTCGAGAATTGCTGCGAAATTTTGCAGACTTCGAATATTTATACTACTCAGAGGTTGCTAGTCTTGATAATATAGTACACAGTCTCTAAAAGCAGACACCAGGATTGACCAGCTCCTTCCCTTCTAGACATCTTCTTCCTTAGTGGACTTCGGGGGACTGAGGCTTGTGCTGGTTGAATACATTTGTTTGTCGCCATCGCTCTTTTCGTTGCCGCGGCTTACTAAAGATTGGCGCTCAAGGCCTTCATGCTGTAATCAAACTTTTATCATGTCTTTCATTCGTGAAGAAATCCTGCATCTTCACCTCATATTTCTTTTTGAATCTTGATCGTGTCTTTCACTTTCATGCATTGTTTTGCTACTTTGGTATGCTTCTCTGTATCTCAAGAGTTACACTTCCCTCTGCAAAAGGTGTTCCAGAACTAATTTTTTAGCAAAGAACACTAATCAACGTATAATACGAGAGATGCACTGAGCAATCTTCACTCATCTTCATCTTGTTCTTAGTTGCTTGACTAGAACGTCAACGATACGGGACTAATACATTCTCCGGGGAATCACCTCGAGAGGAAGTTTCCTGATCCTGCTCCTCCTCGTCATCGGCGTCCGCAGTTTGCTTGTGCTTCCTCTCGTTTTTGCTGTTGTTGCGTCCAGTTCGTCCAACCACGTCTGCGCAATCGTCTCCCGCGCATTTCGAGTTATCTTCTTCATTGTACCTGTCGTTGCGATCATTTTCAAACGCGTCGCTTTTACCGTCATCGCACCTTTCCACATTTTCATTGCCGTCGTAGTCGTCGTCCACGTCGCTTCCCTCATCTTCATTTTCGCCTTCGCTTGCCCCATCCTCGTCATCATCATTGCCATTTTTCTGCACCTTATCCTCCACCTCGGGCGTTCCATGACGCGAGCACGCTATCATGTGTCGATTAAGATCATGATTCTATCCGAGAAATTCGCGCTCGTCGGTTGTCTCATCTGCTGAAAGCTTCCGTGCCTTCTTGAGCTCTGTAATGTAATCGCGAAGGTCTGTTGGAGATTTTGCAGTGCCTCACCCGAATGATGCGAGTGCTTCACGCTCCGCCACTTTTCCCGGACGTATGACTAACTCCGAGGTTGAGAGTCACAGTATGCCAGAATCGAAGTAAAACCCACCAATTCCTCCAAATCACTAAATCTTGTTCCCTCTGCTCCACTCGGCAAGCATATATTAGCTAGTATCTCATAGAGCAAAGTACTAGAAAAAACACAGATCTGCTTTCTCGCTTTCTCCTTCTCCCATCGTCTGCACCACTCCTAAGATCTTCGAAGCTCGCGAACATCCATGATCCGGCACACTTGAAAAGAGAAAAGCAGATCAATCTGAGCCCATTCGAGTTGTTTTCCTGGGAGATCTTCATCTTTCGGCATCCTGTTTTTCTCAGAACACACACCGCCAACGTGGCCAACGTTTCTATCCTGCATCGGTTGCCGGAGCACTCGCGTGGCATGCCATATGGTTTTCCAACTTTATTTCATTATGTGTCTCAGCATGCGAAGTTTTGGACATCACCAACTGACATCAAGTCGGCTTCGAAAAAACATCCGATTTACCACCCAAAAAGCAGCGTAACCACTCACAACTAGCTAGAAATTGAACAGAGTGACTCACACCTTGCTAGATGTATGTAAATGAAGTGCTCCAGAGAAGTCCTGGAAGATATTGTCTGATTTTAGTGCTTGAGGGTCACGTTGAGGAGGAGGGAAAAGAATCAGAGACGCTGCTCTCACACCTAGCTAGATGAAATTGAACAGTGTGTGGGAGCATGAAATGACCAAGGCAGCACGTAACACCAGCTGGTGTTTTCGGATGAATTACTGATAATCAAAGCTACTTGATCATCAAAATCATCAACATAGTAGTGCTGACATCCATAGTTACAACAAGCAGAATGCATGCGCCTGTGCATTTCCATGTCTTTCATCACCAGTTGCATGAGCAAGACGACGGAAAAAATCCCACCACCACCCCCTCTTCACCCTCACCTTTTTCCATGGTTGGACGATTAGATCGTTCTCGTTGTGGAAGATAGACGTACCAAGAATCGTGCCCCGAATTTTCATCCTTAGCAATCCGCGTCTCGAGAAAGTGAGCGCCCGCGCACATACAGCAGCGGTTGTTCCGTGGGAATCGGCTGTTTTGTACCTGCGGGAGAAGTGCTTCCTGTACCGTCGTTCGGCAAGGAAACGCCATTGATGATGACAACGTCGTCTGCAAGTTGTGTCTGGCTTGAAATCGTCGGGGGCATCATCTCGCTAGGCGATCGCGGTTCCTCCGAGCATCGCTCGGGAGCCTTCCTGGGGACTAAAAAGACAAGCGGAAAGTAAATCGCCACCCCAACAAGGTAAACATATCCAGTGTACCGAAACGTTTGCCTGTAGTCAGCAGATACATGAAATTCCCATAAGTAAAGGCTTCTTCAGTATTGAGCCACGTGCTGGTAGATGACTAGTCAGAACCTTAGACAGAATTTCTTCCCTTTTTCTGGAGGTTCAAATTTATATCATTTAGGACTTCTACTCCTTCGTTTTGCTTCTCTTTGCTCTACCCTGCTGTTAGATGACTAACTAAATGGGCACGATTGTTGTATGTGCTGAGGGGTCACAAAGTATCTAAATCCGTGTCGTAGGAGGTTGAGGTCTCTCCGCGTGAGGTTTATCATAGCAAGATGCACGAACTTACAAAACCATGGAAGAAGCAAGAATAAAATCATGAAGCCAAATCAAAAAATAAAAAATGTGTAAGTAAGCAAGATCGCGCACCTATTTTCTCATCGGTGCTTACCTGTAGTCTTTCACATCCGCTATATATCCACCCAGAAAAGCAGAGCCACTCCACGTAATGCTAGTAAAACTTTGGACTGCATTCCAGAGACCCCGCTGCGTTGAGGGTGTGTAGTCCATCAGTATAGACCGGTCCAAAGGGTTGACGCCATTCGCCATACCCCCCCTCAGCAAGAAAACGACGACTAAAACTCGCACGTCCTCCAGCGTCGACATCAAAATCATGCACAAAGCATTGATCGTAAAGGAAACTGTGCGAATGGTCGTTTAAGCTTTTTTCGATGCATTCTATCTTCATCGAGAGTATGTTCATGATGCTGTTCGCAAGAACGTGTGAGATGTTCAATATCAAGAAGAATTTCAGTCAAGAAAAAGCAGAATTTCTCGTTATCGGTTCGGCATCATCAGAAATATGTCCGTTTTTGTTGCGGATGTTGGAACGAAGTCTCTGAAATTACCATGGGAAGATCATGTCGATGAAGCTTATCACTCATATTACCAGCACTCGTCTGCGCCCTGCCGCACACTTTTGCTACGGCCGCTAAAAACATGGTAAAGAGCGCTATCGTTAATGGGTAAGCTGTCTGCAATGCACAGATTTGCAACGGCGTAAACTTGTAGTCCTCGATGAAGAAGAGGTTGAAGAACTTCACCGTCATACCAGCGCCGACCGCTACGATGAAGTCGCTGATCCCGCAGAAGAAAGGTACGAGTTTCTGCGCCCGCGTCAATTTGCGCAGATGTCGCTCATCGTCGGTCTCTTTCACCATGCCCTCAGCATCCTGTTCCTGAATCAGGTCCCGGTAGCCATAGATAAAACAGAAAATAGGCAAAAACACCGCGGATCCAGCTAGCAGTACTAAGTGCATGAAGGCTAGGCTCCACGGCGTTTCGTCTCCGGCGGACGCAGGGTCAGCACTGGTAGTCCCTTCCATGTGGTCTACAACTTCCTGCTCTACTTTATTTAGACTCGAAGAGGTAGTTCTTCATGATCATCTGTGAGTGAGTGAATCTCATAGAATTCCTCGTTTTGTTATGACAGGAATCCATTCAGGCTACTCCGCACGCCATCATGAAAAACTAGCGGCCGTATCATTTTATGCTGCGTGTCTCCTATGTCTGTTCTTCTGGTACTATCTGTCTCAGGCAAAGGCGTGGTCGTTACCTCCGAACGTAGCGCGGCACTCCTACCTCCGATGCTAGACATGTCGACGCCGTCCTCCCCGTCATTTGCCTGTGCTGATTGCACCGAAAGTGAACTTCGCCTTTTTTTCTCGGTGCTCTCCCTTTCCACTCGCAGCCCCGAAGATCTTCTAATAAGATCGCTCCAGCTCCAGGCTGTAGTACTTGCAGCGCTTCGAATCTTGTCAGCTGAATCGTTTTGGTCCGCAATTTCGATTCCACCTGTTCTAACAAGATTTTCATCCCTACCCCGCGTGCTCTTATCAGACGATGACGATGATGTGCTGTCTTCGCCGAAGATAGTGTTATTCCAGTCTTCTGGAAGCCCCTTCTGAATCATGGATAAGAGTGAGGATGGTGACTGTGGAAATTGTACGGCTACATTTGCGATACCCATCTGATACCGATGGACAACCGGAAACGTCGATGCAAACGACGGGCGTTGTGGATCAACGGATACTGATTTTCCGTCTGACAAAGCTAGCAAAAGCGTCAAAAGTGGACCAACACCGGCTGCTACGGTGGTGTACACTTGCTTCTTCACATACCACGCAGCACGGTCACCGGTGACCCCGGCACTGAAAACAAACAGGAGAAGATTGGTTGATCTCGATGCTGCCACATGAAAGCTTCCCAGATCCAGTTCCAGCAGTCATTACAGTTTATGCTCATGTACTTACTCAATCATATGGTGCGAAGTGAGAGTTAATACTCGATGACCGATCGGTACAAACAAAGCTAAAAATACCTATCCGCGAACAGTGCCTCCGAGGCTGAGGAATATGCTCATGTACTTACTCAATCATATGGTGCGAAGTGAGAGTTAATACTCGATGACCGATTGGTACAAACAAAGCTAAAAATACCTATCCGCGAACAGTGCCTCCGAGGCTGAGGAATAAAGTTCGTAAAACAGCCCATTCATGAAGAGTGCTGGAAAAAGGACATAGAATGAGTCCGTGAGTATCGCAATAACGAGGATTACGAAACCCAACAGCAGCAGCGATGCAGACTTCAGCACAAGCTTCGATCGCTTTTTCAGGTACTTGTCCACCAGGAATGCAACAGGCAGGAAAACAAGGAGACTAGTAAGACCGCTCGCAGACTCCACCAGCCCAACGACCCAATTCCGGTCCGACAAAGTGAGAACATATTTGTCGAACACTGGGCCAAACGTAATCGTGCTCCCTATCACCAGGAAGATATTGATCCACAGGGTACGCACAATATTGTTTCTTGCAATAGTCGTATTCACGTCGCGATCGGAAATAAAGCCTCCACCGGCGGAAAAAGAGGACATATTTTGGTTTTGGTCTTCTTTACCAAAGAATCCTTTGTTCGTTGTTGAAGGGCTTAAAGTTGTACCAAATGCTTTGAAACAATATTTCTGCTTCTTCCTCGGATAAGGCTATTTCTACAACCCTCAAACTTTGAAATTGGAATTTCAGAGCCACGACCCCACAGTATCATCAAAATCAAAAGAATAGAAGTTAGTAGATCTTCGATTATACGATAATGTGAGGGTGAGGAAGAGCCAAACTATTAAGCGAAGTTTCTCGTTTTTCGAATGATCAGTATCATCATTTATCTTAACATCGTCTGTGTCCGTGCCGCAAATATTTTTTTGATTGCTTTTCGTGACAGATCCTCTACCTCTTCATCTTATAGTATACTATACAACTAGGATAACATCTGATGTTTGAAAATATCATCTTTTCATCATTACTATCCAGGTATGTTATATTTGATGCCACGATAGGACTGCAAAAGGTAAAAGCTCATCGAAACACTTAGCGCTCTACGCTGATTACAGGACTACCATAAATCCCTCCCTTGCTCATGTTCAGCCCCAGATCGCCGCTATACAGAAAAACCGCAGTATGCACTGCGTAAGCACCCCATGGGAGGGACACCAAAACCGAGCGCATCAACTCACTCCTACCGACCAGCCGCTCTACTTCCATAAAGAAGCCTGAATTTATATGTCATCTTAGAGTTGACGTCAGGAGCGCTGCATTACTTGGTTTAGATAGTTGAACACGGTAGTTAATGAAGAAGTTCAAAACCTCATGTAGTTCCGCAGCCTACGATATCGTTCACTGTGGAATTTTTTCGGGTTGATGAACGGAGACGAAAGGGAGACTAGGTGGAATAAAAACTTCATGTGGCAAAAAATTCACAAGTGGAAAAGATCTAAAGCGAGAGCAAAGGAACCCCACGCTGTTCGAGCAGTCTCGTCATTTTTGGGATCATGCCTCGAGAAATGAAACCTCTACTCAGAATGCGTACTTTCGACACACCTTCTGGACAGTAATCGAACCTTGTGGTTAGTACTTCACGGCGCCTCTGCCCTCTCTGTTCGGTCGCAACTTCTTCTGCCTCTGCACGTTGCGACGAAGGACGTTGTGGTGTAGTACTTCGGCTCTCACGCGATCCTGCAGAGGAGCAAGCAGACGATGACCCCAAATTGCTGTCAGGACCAGACGAAGGAGCCTTGTTACAGTTTCGATCATTTACTTCAGCTACTACGACGATGTCGTCGCATTTTTCCGGTCTCGCGGAAACAGCCTGTTTTGAGGATTTGTCGGCGACTCCTTGTAGTTCATCCTCTGTGCTATCGAGACGGCCCACACCACCATGGTCGGCCATGGGGCTATTATTGCCATTCCCAATGCTGTTTGCTGACTTCACAGCCATTTTGTCGTACATCCGCGCTTGCTCCTGTAAGAGAAGGTCGCGGCCGAAATAAGCAATGAGAAGCTTGCGATGCCGATGCGGCTTTACGTAGCAGACACTCTCCACCTCGAACTCGGGAAAGCCGAAGTCTGCAGCTAGCTGCGCCAACTCCCGCAGGTCTTGGTGTCGCGGCAGGTAGAGAACAACGTTCCGTGCTATACCGCAAGCCGCCGCAAACAATTCTCGGATGTCGCATGGTATGCCGGCTACGTCCGTCACAAAAGAAAACCGAAAAACGTCGAGATCCAGATGCTCGGGACCACCCCACGGTGGCGAGAGGAAAACGACGTCAAATTTTCTTTCGCGTTCTTGTTCACACAGGATTTCGCTAGCGTCTAAGCTCACATGGGAGATATCAACCAGTGATGAAGCTACCTTCTCGAACCTGCCCCGCCGAAGATGCATTTCCTCTGATACCACGGCAGTGGTGTTGCCATTGGGCTTTAATGGGCTAACGTCAGTGTGTGCCTCAATTTCTGCAGTGCAATCTAAATTTGGAACAGCAGAAGTAAGACGCGCTCGTGGTGATTCCTTCTGCACTTTGTCTACTCGTCCAGATTTGCTATTACAATCTTCGGGTCGCTCTATCCGACCAGTATGGCCGTAAATGCGCAAATTGTGCGTGCAATCTTCCAGACGAATATCTTCAATATCCACACCTACGAGCAGTCGGTGTCGTCCCGTTTGTCGTCCCAGCTGGTTCCAAGAGTGGTGATTTCGGTTCTTCGCGTTTCTGCTGACGCCTCCTCCAGTAGTGCTTGGCCATCCCGGAAGGACGCAGCGGCCTATTTCGTCAATGATATCGGAATTCGGTCGTAAAAACTGGACCAAATTACCCCCGCATCCAACGGTCCCGTCGACAATGCTCCGCAGGTGACGAAATCTATAGCTGATGTAGGCAGAAATCGATTCCGGAGTCACCTCGAAGAATCCAGCAACATCCATGCGGATGCCGCGGTCAAACCTGCTCCAGAAATAGTGGCGTCGCTTCCAATCCTTCTCCAAGACACCATCGGGCTTAGTGACTAATACAGAACAAGAAGATCCCGCCACTTGTTTAGAGCTAACTGCTCCGGATGAGCTGCCTGACGACGAGACGAGCCTCAAATTGCAGTCAATATCTACGGAACTCACGTGCATCACAACCGGCTTGGAAGCGTGGGCGACAGCAACCTCGACTGACGCCAACAGCGCGGCAGATGTGTCGGGATGTAAACCTGGAGCGAGGGCCGCCTCGATGGCTGCGAGCGTTAACGCATCCCCCGAAGAGGCATCACCACTCGTGTGGTGTCTACCCGACATCTTTGATGAACATGAACTGCCGGCTGCTTGTCAGAAATAAGAGCGAGGCAATGTCAATTAAAGTGGCCAGAACTTAAATCTCTTAAGACAAACAGTGAGGCGACTCGTACTTTCCTCCGCTGAACACAATTATAACTGAGGACGCACAAGTCCCCATTAAGAAAAAAGCACCCCAAAGCCGCAAAGCCACCTGCGTCGATGTAATTGAAAACATGATTGAAGATTACTATCCTGTCTATAAACAGACTCTCTGTTGTACCAAGATGTTGTATTAAGAGCTAGGATTCGGATCTTTTCGACATGCTTGTTGTGGATCAACATGAGATACGCTAGCGTTTCATTTCCGGCGGTCAGTGATCCGATCATGTCTGTAGGTAGCAAAGATCAAAAATTTAAGAGGATCTGGAACTTACAAGATCTTCAGATATCTGAGCTTTTGATGTTGTACACTTTGCTGTAAAGATCCAAATGCACTTGGCTGGTCAAACCTTCAAAGTTTGAAAGGAGCATGATCTGTTGCTTCCTAGGGCTGGTTTGGAAAAGATCGCTGGAATGACAACAGAAATTCACTAAGGCAGAGGAAAGACGACACTAATCTGGACATCAATCAGCTATGAGTGCAACATTCTCATGGGTTGTGGCCGATTTCTCCCGTCTCTAATGAATCAATCAACTTCTATGCATTTGTTGAAGAGCAAGTGGCTGTACAAATTTGAGCCCTACCCGTACCCATATCCAAAAGAAAAAATCAGATCACAGCAGAGCAGAGAATCTGCTAAGATGATATTTCTCATCTCCTTTGATTGTGGGGACCATTTTTCGTTCATTGGTTGTCATGATCTCCCTCTAAGAGATCATACAGGGTTTTCATTCTACATCGAATTCAGAGAGAAGCGGGGACGGCTGCCAATTAGTAGAGGGTTCTTAAGGAAAACAGTGGACCATGCAGATTTACCGACAAGTAACAACCGCAGAGCAGTTCTGTTGTCATGAATCCTGTTCTTGACAACTAGTGTCCTGGTCGTGTCTGCAACTATCGTCTTCTGGAAGTGCGGATTTGTCAGCATTACTCAAACCCGTAGTGTTACCACCACTGGTGCCCGAAGTCGACACAGATTCGCCGAGGCTCTAGGAGGGCGACTGCGTTTCACCGTCCCTTTGATGTAACTGCTGGCCAACATGTACTAGATTCACTGCAGCGCCATCCGCGTGAGGGTCAATACCCGCAAACTCGGCTGGCAGGAACGAGTGCATCTATGATTGCACTCTCCCAACGTTATCGTATGCATAATTTGTACCAACTTCGAAAGGAACTGGTGCTGCTGCTACTGCGTAAGAATCTTGGTCCGTTGGCGCGCACGCTGAACCTAGTGGTTTTCCGTCCACCGTTTCTGCAAAAAGCACATCAGAGCTCGCGCTGATGTAATGCATCCCCGGGACGTAATTTGCGTAGCCTTCGGCCCGATAATTCTGCGCAAACCAGTCACCGGTCTTCGGCGGGTTCTTTTTGTTATTCACATATTTCTTCTGGGCATAGAGCATCACCAAGTTCTCGGCGAAATACTCGTCGTAGTAGCTATAATCCGGTTTCTCAAAGAAAAAGGGAAAAGACTCCCAAGCAACGTGCTGACTCTGCAGCTCCACATAGGGACCGTGATCACCATACACGATGCGAGCATACCTGTGGCGTGTGTTATGCACAATAGAGTCGCCAAACAAAATTCACAAAGAAAACATCGCGTTTTACAGTAACGACACAACAGAACAAGCAATTCTGCTTGAAAACAGCATCTTGAAAACTAGTTCACTCTGTGAGAAAAAAAACTACTACTACAGCATGAAAAAAACTACTTACTACTGCTACTACTACTACTTAATCAGCACAGCATGAACAAAAAACTTTTGGTTATCGTCTTACCCGGTAGCCACGAGTCGCTTTCCGCTGCTTGACGCTTTTTCATTAGTACTACCAGTTAATTTCCTTTCATCGGAAAGAGCATCCATCTGGCTCTGGACCTCAGCTGGAAGGTACCTTGTGTCACCCGCTGCATGTGGCTGAAAATATATTTGCACGTCTTCGCGTCCGAATTCTGGCAACCCTAGAGTTCGCTCAACCCGCTCTTTGTCGCGTTCTCGATTTGGGAGGCCCCGCGTAGTCGACACACGAGTATCTACCCAACCATTGCCAGTCCAAATACGATGCAGCGTGCTGTCCTGCCATGAAAGGGAGCCATAGCTTGAGACTCCTTTCTTCCCTTTCCCATAACAACTGGTTGTCGGTGTGCCCTCATGCTGTATAACCGCAGGACCGACTCCTTGTTCAACACCATAATCCTCTGTCGCGCAGGTGCTGTTGACTCTTGCTGCTCCTTTCTTGCTGCTTCCCTTCTTTTTTCCTTTTTTGCCTTTACCCTTGCCGACTTTACTAGGCGTCCACTGCGATGGAATCGGTGCCGCACACTCGACGAGCGGCATTCTGTGTTCTATCCCAAAACAGAAAGGTATTATTATGAAAAAATCCCGTCAACTAGCAGAAAGCAAATTTTGTCGGCTTTAATGATCTTGATTACCTTGCCTCAAAGAAAAAAGATAAGAAAAGAAATTGGAATCGGGGTCCGCCTTCAACCAAAAATCACATGAAAAGCAGAACGGTAGCCTTTAAATTTAGAGCACTCAGAGGCAGGGAGGTGGACGAGCAGTGAATATCCCAAAAAATTTGTCGTTAAGTTCGCTTGAACAATTTGCTCGCTTAGGAAAATGCTGGACCTCCTGAATCTGGATGTTACACGATGTTGAAAGATGAGTTCATTGTCTATGAAAGTATGAGATGACACTGTTTGTTATCGCTTTAAGAATCCTTCCGCTAGCTAGTATCACATAGAAAAGCCCCGAGATGCACTTTGAGGAACTAGAAAAGTAGTGTAGATCTTCAAGCAGTTATTTCGAAGTAATCAATTCATTGTGGATCTCGATGATCCTCTTATATTACAATTTTCTGACTATGAGCTGAAACCAAGAGAACTTTAAAATAGTCACGATCGCATTATTGGTATTTGGATCAGAGCAAGAAAAGCGTAGAGGAACAGGATCTTAGTACTCTACATAGGCACGGATCTTCGTATTTTTAAATCGTTCTGAGGAAACCAGTACTTTTACGAACATGATCAATTAACAGAATCGATGATTTTGAACATGGAACAAGGGATCTTGGACTCATGCCTGGATGATCGTGCTGTCAGGGTTACTGTGCCTTATTCATGAACAGGTCTTAGCTCTTGGACCTCATGCTCATTGTTGATACCATGTGGATAGGTCACCAAGTTCTCAGCAGCAAGCACCTGAAAATTTGCAAGCAATAATACTTCCCGTCAGGTGCCAAATAGGCTCAGAGGTCCCTGCGGAACTACCGTCAAGAGCTCGCGAGTCGATCCCACCGAACTAAGGCGAAACTGCGACGATCCGAAATTACCGGCTCCCAGAGCGAAAGAAGAAGGTGCCAAAGCATCCTCCACATCTCCTCGTTTGCCAAACGGCATCGCGAATGAAACTTTCGGATTTCTGTTCGCAGTCGAAAACTCTGGCCGCGGTACGGCTGCTGGGCTTGGCGCAACCACTGGCAGGGGCATAGGCACAAACCGCGGGGATGCCGCTCGTGAACCCGGCATGCTGCTCGTCATCTTATTGTTAGAGCAAATCCCACCACCCATGCCCAGTTGCAGTTGCTGCATGCCAGCACGACCAGCAACAAGGTTATTAGCACTTTGAAGATTATTGTCTGAAAGTGAATCGCCTCGCTCCTGAAGATTCATCGCGAATGGGAATGGGACTCCGACCTGGCGCAGTGGATAATTTGGCTTTTGCGCTGATGTCATTTCATCCTGGTGCGCTAGTAGTGGCTGCGCCATGGCTTGTTTAAACATCTGCGCTTCTAACTGACCGTGTCGCCGCTTTCTTTGTTTTTGTAGAACTGGTGACAGAGGTCTTGATGGAGATGCACACCCGTCTACATTTTTATGTCGTGGCGATCGTGTGCGAGGACGCTCTGCTTCTCCGTTGAGCTGCGCTACCAGCGCTTCCGCAGCACGGAGCAAGTCGTCTGCCTCTACCGGTTCACGCTGCAGCCTCTCGCCCCTGCCGTTTTCACATCAGAAAAAGAAATGAATGACGGTTCCGTTGATGAAAGAACAAAACATATCACATTTCTTTACGCCATCACGATCGAAACGAGTATAGGTAGAGCAAATTGACTGTCAACATAAAATTCATCTTGCGATATTCAAATACTTTTGAAGTATCGCTAACTGCTTTCGCACTGCTGTTATTCGCGCGTCGAGCCTTGATACAATGTAGTTGAGTTGGGCTGTCGATGCTTCCTTTTTCTTCCAGATTTGGCTAAAAAGCGCTTCATTTTCCTCGGAAAACACGCGTAGCTCTCGCAGCCGGCGCTGTCCGTCTCCAGTGGCCGAAGCCACGCCGGCTACGGCCCCGAATGCAAAACCATTGCCAGTAATTTGTTGCCCACGAGAGATACCACCGCCTATTCCGGGGGGTGAAATAGCCAAAGGCTTGCCGGATAATGTCGAAGCTTGTTGCTGTTCGGGTGCAACGCTATCACAACCAGAAAGACCAACTTGTTGCGCTTGATCGTTTGTTGGCTGCGGCAACCCATTTCCAATATCGCCATTACGAGCAAGCACAGGAAAGAAGAGCCTCGGCGAAACCGCCAATGAGGGGCTTCGATTTGAATCCCTTGGAGCCGCGGCTCGAAGTAGTCTCTGCTTTTCATGTTCAGGCAAACCCATGTGCATGCGCGTCAATGCTCCACCCAACTCCTGCGATGAAGGGCGCTTTCTACTTGCGTCAGGATCACCTCCAGCTGACATCGACGCTACATCTGACGATTGCGGCCACCCAGTCTCCCTCTCGGGGCGGGCAGCAGCATTCTCAGCTTCATTGTTTTGTGTAAATGCGCTCTCTCTTACTTCTCCCGTTTCATCTGGTACGTCCCCGTTCAGGTTCTGATACTCATCTTCTAGCGTTGTCGATCGTAGCTGATCCTGGTGCCAAATGTAGCTCGGAACGACGGGGGGAACAGAGCCCTGCTCTTGTGATCCCCACTCCTCCATATCATCACATTCTGCATTCAAAGTATCACGACCTAGAAAAAAGTCGTCGCCCCTAGTATCCGGAAATGATCGTGCATCATTCACAGGCGGTGCGATCGGGATCTGCGGTTGACTGTCAGGTCCAGTCTGTATCAAGCCACCCGGATTTGGACCCATTCTTGAGGAAGCAGACGCAGTCCCCGCCCCCGAAGAACCTGCGAAAAGCGCTGGCATGGGCGGTAGCACAGCAGGTGCCAATCTGCGTTCACTTAGCAAAGCCGACGGCCTTGTCGAGCTTGAGGACCTAGCATCGTCGGGCGGTCGTGCAGCAAGAGTGCTAGGAGCTCCCTGTGCGTGCTGGTTTGAGGGCACAGTATCACGTGCTGCGCTTGTCCGGTTATCAGGAAGATGCGTCGAAGGTCCAGACAGATGCCCCGCAGTTTTGCTTAGATGACTTGTCCCTTTCGAACCAGACCCCTGTGGGAGCCCCACTGCCTCTCCCGAAGAGGCTGCAGAATTAGTTCCACCTGCTGCGGTCTGCTGTTCTTGAAGGGTCTCTTTTTCCCCACGCGGTTGCCCACCTCCATCGGCGAATACGAGGTGCATCATCTCTTCGATCCTCTTCAAGCGGTCGCCAAGCTCTGCCGCTGGGTACGCTCGTACCGCCCCACCCAATTTGCTGGCCAAAGCATCTTCGCGACCATCGGGAAGTCCTTGCTCTTGTGACGTAGCACTATCCATCGTTGATCTTCTTCGCTGTAGGCGTTATTCTGCGTACTGAGAACCAAACTGCTTGTCAATCTTGTTTGACGAAAGTCATCGATAGATCAAGTAGAATACATGTCGCACAAGCGAAAAAAACTAACTAATTAGTTCAAAAATAAAACATATCTCAGTCTCCGCGAGACGTGGAAAATAAAGAACTCATTCTTATTACCTAGCTAACGCTATTGACGGTGATGTCTCCATCTCATCGTGAGTGCATCTCAGATAGTTCTTCTCAACTACATACCCATTTGTTTCCTAAAAAGGTAACTTTGTTTGCAAAAAATGCCCTCTAAGTAAACAGTAGCCAGCGTATTTGAATGTAAGTAACTAGGCAAAACACGTATCCTGTGTCCAGTTACCAAGTAGAAGAAACTAAATTTACCTCTTATAGCAAGGAGATATCTTTGGGAGACAGTCAGGTCTGGAGACCGGATGTCGAGCATTCTTCTTCAGACGTGTTTTCGTGAAAACGAAGTTCTACTAGACCGATGCGACACAGATGAGGATGATGATATACCCAGCCCTGAGGCGGGTCTGATGATGATTAGTGCGCCCTCAATCTTCTGACACATCACATTGAAGACACCCACGTGAACCGATGCGCCTTCCTAAGTTGCAGAATCTGTACAACTTCTGGAACGGGAGCTCCATATATTTCGTTCCTCGACCGATACCTCCGACGTCTCACCGATTACAGATGTCAATAGGCAGGAGCGTCAACACCAGCAAGTCTCGGCCAGGGCGGTGCAAGTCGCAATGAAACTCGACGAAGGAATCGCTTGTCAAATGCAGAGAGATGAAAAAAACAATGCTACGAAAAGCATCTACTTATGGTCTCCCGTGTTGCCTCTGCAGCAGAGAAATGTTCATGCTCCCAACCCCCGCTTTTCAAGTAGCTCTTTCTTGGAAATGCAAATGGAGAATACTCGCACTCAATGCACAAAAATCGACTGAACTTCAGAATCAGACCACAGTCGCCGTTCAATAAAAATCAGTGCTGCTTACTACATGCATACATTTCAATGATCTATATCTTCTTTGCAGATTGTCACCTACCCAAAGAAATCGTTTTACTACGTACTACGTATTTGCACTGTAGGAGGACTTGCCGCTTGCTCTAGGCCTTTTCCCGCGCTGCCTGTCGCTTCTCTTTTCGCAAGCGCTTTTTCTCCGCTGCTTTAGATTCATAGACAGGCAAACCGGTGTACCCCTGTTCGTCTAGGCTTGCCAAGGTCGCTGCATATGCTTCATCCATCTCACTACGATACGTCTCGTCACCTTAGTAATTGTGGATTTCAGGCAAGATGTCAACAGAGGGATCTTGAATTCTAGTTTGGTTTCGCGCTTGTCTTATCACAAAGCGAAGTGTGTAGTAGCAAAAACATCTTCAAGTGATTTCTTACAGTAATGAGTGAACGCAATCTACGATCAAAGCAGCGAATTACCTCCGCCGAAGACGGCGGCGACATTGTCCAACCAGTTGCGATTCACCTTATCCGGGTGCGCATTGAGGTCCAGACCAAGCTCTTTTTTCGTTTCTTTGAATGCTCTTTGCATATCGGTTGCGAAACCGGGTACATTTTCTTCGTTTTCCATCGTCAACTGCATAGCTTTCTCCATGTCAGTTAATGCAGTGTCCGCCAATATCTCCTTTTCCCGCTCCGTCAGGTCGTGCAGGCCTTCCGCATCAGACTGTCGATAGAAGAACAAGGTGGCTAGAAAGTGAATGAGTCGCAATGCCCTTAATGTCGATCCCCAAATTATGAATCATCTCAAGCATGAGCATGAAGATCATCCTACCAGTACGGAAGTCAACAACTTAAAGACTTACGAGCATCATGATCAAGGAAACAACAGGAGCAAGATAATCATAACGACAGCAACACGAAGATCAACACCATCAAGATCAAAAACATCATCAACATCAACAACACGAGCAAAGTCTTAAGGTCTTAAGCGTGTGCAGTAAGTAGCAAGTTGATGAGTAACGTAGTCGATCCGGATCCAGTCAGCTTAGGCAGATGAAAGGCACTAAGCCCCAGGGATCTTCGTACTTAACAACAACAACAAAAACCAAATATTTTGTCTTCTCAGATTTATCCTGTGCTTGTGCAGGTTAGCACTAGTCACAGGACAGGGGCGACGTCGCTGAGAATGATGAGCGACATCATTCAAATCCGTAGCCATTGGGCTACCTTACGGTTAATCTAATTTGATGTTCTCCTGGCCGCAACACTTAAATAAAAGACCGGATGAAAAATATTTTAAAGAACGGAGTTCGCGAAATGGATCTTGGTTCTAGGTGGTATTATCAAGATCGTAGCATTGGAATAGTAACATCAAAAGAAACCGAAACATCAAATAGAGAGATCCCCCACAAGGTCCGCCTCCTGCTGTTCCCTGAGTAAGAGAAAAAGAGAGCGAAGCCGTACCCGCTGAGAGATCCCGAAATGGCAAAATGAAAGTGGCAGAGATCCTTACTTACTGCTCTAAAAATAACAAGGACCAGAGGTCCACCTAAAAAGGTTAGAAACCACTAAGAAAGAGCGGGCTGGGGAACAAGACACCCGCGAGACCCAATTATAATATAAATGTGACTACAGAGACGCGCTCTTGTTATAGGACCCTTAGGGCTCTCCCTGACATGAGAACATCTTGGTAATTATAAAAAACTCCCAGCAGGAAGGAAAGGTTAGCGCATGAACAGCGCTTTTTTACAAAGGCGTATGCCACTAAAAAGAAAAGAAATCCAGAAGTAAGGATATCAATCACTTAATAAGCCTACTGGCAACACACCTAACAAGCCTAGAGGCACTACAAAGCAACAAGCTAACCATAGCACAAATAAAGGATGGCCGCCCCACGTGGGATCTTCTGGCATCGTTATGCCGACCCGCAGTTTGGCCCAATCGAAGCGCTTACGCAACAGAGCATGCTGGACATGATATCTATTATCAAAGGAAATGAAGACCTTGTCCTGGGATTTGCGAACTACGGCGTTACGAGCCAGGAGCTTACCAACTATGTAACCACCATCCCACAAGTTGATATTCAAGGTGGAGCTGCTGTGCCGATGGACCAAACGCTGCGTGAATGGGTCACTGCGTACATTGCCACCCACGCAGTATGGGAAACCTTTGGTAACATCCCGTGGCAGGACGCGTGGAGCACGAACGAGCTGGGCCAAATTTGTGGCGCGCTTGGGGTGCCCGCCTACGGTACGAAGGGCCAGAAGTATGCCAGAATTCTCACCCATGCGGCAAACAATCCACCAGCCGTCCCGCCAGTATTTACTGCGAACGCCGGCCTGTACTCGTGCGGAAATGACCAGTTCATTTGGCCGGGACAATTACTTCCGGGGCCAGTAGGACAGATGCCAGTACCAGTGGGCCCGGCGCAACCACCTCCTATGCTGCCCCATCCACTGCCGCCGGTAGTGGTGCAACAGCCAGCGATCACACAACAGCAGTTGATGGACATGTTGAAGAACCTGTTTGGACAAGGCTCTACCGCCATGAACGCGCCGCCGGTGGTTAACGGTATTGCGGCCGACCCGGCAACTGTACACAACCGACCGACCCAGAATTTATTCGGCATATTGGGTATGGATGGCTTTATGGACCATGATCAACCGGGACCTATTCAGCCAAACCAGTGGTACAGCGCGAGGAACCCAAACGGGATCCACCCACCGGGACACCCGAATGAAGCATACGAAACGGTTTACGGCCTGTACTCGGACCCTCAGACGCCGGCTCAAGTCGCCCTTCTTGGGCAAGCCGCACCACCGCATACGGAGCACAACTACATCATCACCTGGATGGCGCGAGGAGGTGCTGTCCAGATGTATGCTAACATGATGCGCGATACGGACTGGCAATGCCACCTGGCTAAGTCGATAACCATCGCGCAACTTGGCATCGCACCGCAGGCGCTGCAAAGGCAGAAATTCGAAGTGGTCGCAAAATACATGCATGTTAGCCAAGCGACCATGGCTTACTTCTTGCTAACCAAGGTCGAGACGGGTCTCGCTCTAGGCCGCCAAGCACTAGTGTTTCTCATGATCAACGGCCTTGAAGCGGAAAAATCTCTCTTCCTCCGCTACGTGACCTACGACGAGCTGCAAAAGGACTTGAAGAACTTCATCGCCTACAAGGAAGTCGCAGGTCCAACCATGCGCATGATGGAAAAATTCTACCAAAATCTCTACAAGGCCGCCCGCAGCAAAGTGTTACCCAACCTGCCTATGTCATTTTGGAAAGGCTGGGAGGTGGACAAGCTGTGGAGACTGGAGGCGCAGATACAAAACGAGTTCGCAGGACACGAGCAGGTCGAGGTCGCCGTCTCTTACCTGGACGCGAACGCATTCGCACAAGAAACGAGCAAGACTATCCTAGAGAAGCTCCCGATCTACGTCGGCGAAGCGACGTCAGAAACGGAAGCTATGCGCATCACGGCCTCCTATAATTTCCTTCTGAATGGCCTTGATAAAACCGAAACTGTATTCCACATCGTGCCCCTCCTCATGTATTTCAAGATCAAGGGCCACACGGCGCAGCAAAACAAGGACGTGATCCAGTACTTAGCCACGAACCATTCCGTCTTCACCACCGAGGTCGAGAACCGCAAGAAACGCTACGGAGCAGCAAAGCGCGCAACGCTGTCACGGAACGACGGGTCTGCTCCCCCGCCGCTGAAGCAACGCAAAGCCGCACACGAAGACGAGACCCCACCGGCAGCATCTCCCGGTGCAAATCACGCTGACACGCCTAGGACTCGCCCAGGAGGAGCAGACGCCGGTGCCACTACAGACACATTAGCGGCGCAAACCGATGCCGCCAAGAAGGCACAAGCGAACCGCGAAGCAGCAAGAGCTGCCTGGGACGCACGACCGAAGAAAGTCGTGAAGTATGCCGACCTGGATCAGAGCTTCACCGGAAGCGACCCGGTCATGGGGCGCGACTACGGCCAAAAAGTTGACGTCACCATGAACGGCTGGGTCGTAGATAAAAATAGCGGCCGCATCGAACCATGCATCCTTGCAGAGCGCGCGCAACTAAATTTCGGACTACAAGCACGGGACTGCGCCCCATTCCACTTAACGGGCAAATGCGCCTTCGGAAACGCGTGCAGCTTCACCCACATGTGGGCGAGGGGCGGTGAGAAAACCTGGAAAGAGGTGATCCAACTACAAAATAAGGCCCAACGCAAAGGCCGCGGAAAAAAGGGAAAGTAAAAAAGTAGAAGTAAGTGAGTAAGGTAGTAAGTAAGTATCAAGTAATACATAAGAACAAGTAAACAAATAAGTAGCTACAACTGCCTAGACAGAAAGACTTGCAGTAAAATACACAGAAGAAACAAGAAGTGAGAAAACAGGAGTGCATAACTAGAGGAAAAAAAGTAAAAAAGTAACTACATTACCAAAGCAAGTACACAAAAAGGCCACCGAGCTACCTAGAAGTATAATTTTATGAAGGCCTAGCCACCACAGCAGCTAGGCTGCTATTATTTAAGAAAGGTCCACGTGGCCTACCACTGAATTTACGAAGGACACTTTGTGATCACCAACCGCAGAAAATAAAAAATATATACTCGGAGCTGCAGACTGCGGGACCAGCGGGTGTTCTGCAGGGAACGAAATTAAGATGAATTAACAGTAAATAGATAAGTAACCACGACGAGAACCCAAGAGGCGCCGGCGAGATCCTCGTAGGTAGTACTAAGTCAAAACAGAGTAGCAGTAGGAGATCGACGAGAGAACAAAAGTGAGAAAAAAGAAATGTACGCAAAAATGAAGGCTCCCATGCTCCTACCGCCACCAAGTGGACAAGCGGCGGGAGTGCCGGCATCGTCGTCAAGTAGCAGCAGCGCAGCGACAACTGCGGCTGCGGCCACTTCCGAAATCGTCACGCGATTCCCTGCACCCGAGCCACCCATGCACCTCGAGCCGTCCACCTTCAAGAAGCAGTCATATCATCAAGCACTCCTACGCTACTGTAGCGCGCCGGGCTTGGCACTGATGCTACAAGCGCACACAGAAGGGACGCTGATCAACAGGTGCTACCGCTTCCAAGTTTTCAGAGACTGGTGCGCCGCGCGGCCAATCCCTATCTATGAACCGTACGAGATCGAGCACATCAGGCTGTACTGCCTGCACATAGCCGCGGTCAGCGACCACTCCAAGCTGGCGCTGGCCGCCTTTACCGCGGTTACATGCCAATGCATCATGCCGCCCATCAACCCGAAGACAGGCCGAACATACCAATGGCTAGCGCCACACCCGTGCGCCATAAAAGCACTAGCAATAGCACATGACGACGTGAAACGAACCGTCAAGAAGGAGGAGCAGCACAAGGCGCCGCCCATCCAGCTACAAGAAACCGCCAAACTGCATACCAGCGACCGGCAACACATCGTAGTATGGACCCATCTAGGAGTACGGTGGAGCAGCTACTCCGAAATTCGCGATTGCGACGTGCAGTGGAAAACTGGTGCCGCTACATTTAAGATTACGGCGGACAAGATACTAGATGCTCGGGATCGATACATCACGATCGCATGCACATGCACGGATGCCACTACCAACAAGCAGCACTGCCCGATGTGCTGCAACGCGGTCCCGCCAGACTATCCAGTGGACGAGACGAGAATGAAGATGGCACTACGAGCGATCCGTGCAACTTTTCATTCCCCACGGCGGACAAATGCCATTATGGCCAGGCACCATATCCAGCAAGGGAAGCACTTCAACTTCGCGAGTTATATGGCGGATAGAGGATGGGTAACGTTGGCCACCTTCTTCGCCTACTGCGTGGACTTCAAGGATTATGATGCGACCAAACTGTTACCCGCCGATGCAAGCCTCAAACGAGACGACACGTCCTCTGCCAACATCCAATTCCCCAAAAGCAAAAAGCAGCTGGAGACGCTGCACGACGCAGCGAGGCAAGCCACCGAAAAAGAGGAAAGTGACACCATCGACGCTATCCTCACACGTAAAGCAGCACTACAGCAGGATCAAAACGGATTCTATATGTCTCAGAACGCGCTGCTGGCGAAGGGCAGCGTCACACAAAGGGGGAAGGATACCTTCGTACCTAAAGCACGAAAAGTAATCCCTATGAAGGCGGCAACGCCGCGCCCAGACGAAGTAGACGCGCTGCCTCCCCGGAAAAAAGCGGCACCGCTGCGCAGAAAACTTGCGGCGTCCGATTCCACGACGGGCTTGAGGGCGAACCGAAAGACGCGAGGCGAACCCAAGTCCGGCGTGGCAGCGACGGGAGCCGGGGTGATGAAGCGCGCCTCTGCCGCTTCGTTGCCTGGAAAAACCAAAAAGCACGTTAAAAGAAAGTGAACCTGCTCACACTGTGCGCCCGAGCAAAGTCGCGCCACGTGCGCCACGGTCTCCACGTGAGACCAAGCTATGGTGGATTTATTGAGCACAAGTGTTCCGGCTGGGACACTTCTATTCTAAGGTCCCCTTGCCTGCTTGGGCTGGTTGAATCAAATAATGGGCTTAGCGGATCCTTCGCGCTCAGATCTAAGCTCTGGCTACTCATAAAATCAAACGAGGGCTGCGATCTGAGAACTCAGCAAATTTATATAGGTATCTGTAGTCACCTATTATTCTACTGGGCCGCAAATGAAAAATTAACCTATTGAAAAAATTCTGGCTACAGGCAGGAGGGACGCTGAGAGCGTTGGTCTAGAAAGGGTAGATCTGTTTTAAGGAACGGAGTTCGCGAAATGGATCTTTGTTCTAGGTGGTATTATCAAGATCGTAACATTGGAATAGTAACATCAAAAGAAACCGAAACATCAAATAGAGAGATCCCCCACAAGGTCCGCCTCCTGCTGTTCCCTGAGTAAGAGAAAAAGAGAGCGAAGCCGTACCCGCTGAGAGATCCCGAAATGGTAAAATGAAAGTGGCAGAGATCCTTACTTACTGCTCTAAAAATAACAAGGACCAGAGGTCCACCTAAAAAGGTTAGAAACCACTAAGAAAGAGCGGGCTGGGGAACAAGACACCCGCGAGACCCAATTATAATATAAATGTGACTACAGAGACGCGCTCTTGTTATAGGACCCTTAGGGCTCTCCCTGACATGAGAACATCTTGGTAATTATAAAAAACTCCCAGCAGGAAGGAAAGGTTAGCGCAGGAACAGCGCTTTTTTACAAAGGCGTATGCCACTAAAAAGAAAAGAAATCCAGAAATAAGGATATCAATCACTTAATAAGCCTACTGGCAACACACCTAACAAGCCTAGAGGCACTACAAAGCAACAAGCTAACCATAGCACAAATAAAGGATGGCCGCCCCACGTGGGATCTTCTGGCATCGTTATGCCGACCCGCAGTTTGGCCCAATCGAAGCACTTACGCAACAGAGCATGCTGGACATGATATCTATTATCAAAGGAAATGAAGACCTTGTCCTGGGATTTGCGAACTACGGCGTCACGAGCCAGGAGCTTACCAACTATGTAACCACCATCCCACAAGTTGATATTCAAGGTGGAGCTGCTGTGCCGATGGACCAAACGCTGCGTGAATGGGTCACTGCGTACATTGCCACCCACGCAGTATGGGAAACCTTTGGTAACATCCCGTGGCAGGACGCGTGGAGCACGAACGAGTTGGGCCAAATTTGTGGCGCGCTTGGGGTGCCCGCCTACGGGACGAAGGGCCAGAAGTATGCCAGAATTCTCACCCATGCGGCAAACAATCCACCAGCCGTCCCGCCAGTATTTACTGCGAACGCCGGCCTGTACTCGTGCGGAAATGACCAGTTCATTTGGCCGGGACAACTACTTCCGGGGCCAGTAGGACAGATGCCAGTACCAGTGGGCCCGGCGCAACCACCTCCTATGCTGCCCCATCCACTGCCGCCGGTAGTGGTGCAACAGCCAGCGATCACACAACAGCAGTTGATGGACATGTTGAAGAACCTGTTTGGACAAGGCTCTACCGCCATGAACGCGCCGCCGGTGGTTAACGGTATTGCGGCCGACCCGGCAACTGTACACAACCGACCGACCCAGAATTTATTCGGCATATTGGGTATGGATGGCTTTATGGACCATGATCAACCGGGACCTATTCAGCCAAACCAGTGGTACAGCGCGAGGAACCCAAACGGGATCCACCCACCGGGACACCCGAATGAAGCATACGAAACGGTTTACGGCCTGTACTCGGACCCTCAGACGCCGGCTCAAGTCGCCCTTCTTGGGCAAGCCGCACCACCGCATACGGAGCACAACTACATCATCACCTGGATGGCGCGAGGAGGTGCTGTCCAGATGTATGCTAACATGATGCGCGATACGGACTGGCAATGCCACCTGGCTAAGTCGATAACCATCGCGCAACTGGGCATCGCACCGCAGGCGCTGCAGAGGCAGAAATTCGAAGTGGTCGCAAAATACATGCATGTTAGCCAAGCGACCATGGCTTACTTCTTGCTAACCAAGGTCGAGACGGATCTCGCTCTAGGCCGCCAAGCACTCGTGTTTCTCATGATCAACGGCCTTGAAGCGGAAAAATCTCTCTTCCTCCGCTACGTGACCTACGACGAACTGCAAAAGGACTTGAAGAACTTCATCGCCTACAAGGAAGTCGCAGGTCCAACCATGCGCATGATGGAAAAATTCTACCAAAATCTTTACAAGGCCGCCCGCAGCAAAGTGTTACCCAACCTGCCTATGTCATTTTGGAAAGGCTGGGAGGTGGACAAGCTGTGGAAACTGGAGGCGCAGATACAAAACGAGTTCGCAGGACACGAGCAGGTCGAGGTCGCCGTCTCTTACCTGGACGCGAACGCATTCGCACAAGAAACGAGCAAGACTATCCTAGAGAAGCTCCTGATCTACGTCGGCGAAGCGACGTCAGAAACGGAAGCTATGCGCATCACGGCCTCCTATAATTTTCTTCTGAATGGCCTTGATAAAACCGAAACTGTGTTCCACATCGTGCCCCTCCTCATGTATTTCAAGATCAAGGGCCACACGGCGCAGCAAAACAAGGACGTGATCCAGTACTTAGCCACGAACCATTCCGTCTTCACCACCGAGGTCGAGAACCGCAAGAAACGCTACGGAGCAGCAAAGCGCGCAACGCTGTCACGGAACGACGGGTCTGCTCCCCCGCCGCTGAAGCAACGCAAAGCCGCACACGAAGACGAGACCCCACCGGCAGCATCTCCCGGTGCAAATCACGCTGACACGCCTAGGACTCGCCCAGGAGGAGCAGACGCCGGTGCCACTACAGACACATTAGCGGCGCAAACCGATGCCGCCAAGAAGGCACAAGCGAACCGCGAAGCAGCAAGAGCTGCCTGGGACGCACGACCGAAGAAAGTCGTGAAGTATGCCGACCTGGATCAGAGCTTCACCGGAAGCGACCCGGTCATGGGGCGCGACTACGGCCAAAAAGTTGACGTCACCATGAACGGCTGGGTCGTAGACAAAAATAGCGGCCGCATCGAACCATGCATCCTTGCAGAGCGCGCGCAACTAAATTTCGGACTACAAGCACGGGACTGCGCCCCATTCCACTTAACGGGCAAATGCGCCTTCGGAAACGCGTGCAGCTTCACCCACATGTGGGCGAGGGGCGGTGAGAAAACCTGGAAAGAGGTGATCCAACTACAAAATAAGGCCCAACGCAAAGGCCGCGGAAAAAAGGGAAAGTAAAAAAGTAGAAGTAAGTGAGTAAGGTAGTAAGTAAGTATGAAGTAATACATAAGAACAAGTAAACAAATAAGTAGCAACAACTGCCTAGACAGAAAGACTTGCAGTAAAATACACAGAAGAAACAAGAAGTGAGAAAACAGGAGTGCATAACTAGAGGCAAAAAAGTAAAAAAGTAACTACATTATCAAAGCAAGTACACAAAAAGGCCACCGAGCTACCTAGAAGTATAAATTTATGAAGGCCTGGCCACCACAGCAGCTACGCTGCTATTATTTAAGAAAGGTCCACGTGGCCTACCACTGAATTTACGAAGGACACTTTGTGACCACCAAGCGCAGAAAATAAAAAAATATATAATCGGAGCTGCAGACTGCGGGACCAGCGGGTGTTCTGCAGGGAACGAAATTAAGATGAATTAACAGTAAATAGATAAGTAACCACGACGAGAACCCAAGAGGTTCCGGCGAGATCCTCGTAGGTAGTACTAAGTCAAAACAGAGTAGCAGTGGGAGATCGACGAGAGAACAAAAGTGAGAGAAAAGAAATGTACGCAAAAATGAAGGCTCCCATGCTCCTACCGCCACCAGGTAGACAAGCGGCTGGAGTGCCGTCATCGTCGTCAAGTAGCAGCAGCGCAGCGACAACTGCAGCCGCGGCCACTTCCGAAATCGTCACGCGATTCCCGGCACCCGAGCCACCCATGCACCTCGAGCCGTCCACCTTCAAGAAGCAGTCATATCATCAAGCACTCCTACGCTACTGTAGCGCACCGGACTTGGCACTGATGCTACAAGCGCACACAGAAGGGACGCTGATCAACAGGTACTACCGCTTCCAAGTTTTCAGAGACTGGTGCGCCGCGCGGCCAATCCCTATCTATGAGCCGTACGAGATCGAGCACATCAGGCTGTACTGCCTGCACATAGCCGCGGTCAGCGACCACTCCAAGCTGGCGCTGACCGCTTTTACCGCGGTTACATACCAATGCATCATGCCGCCCATCAACCCGAAGACAGGCCGAACATACCAATGGCTAGCGTCACACCCGTGCGCCATAAAAGCACTAGCAATAGCACATGACGATGTGAAACGAACCGTCAAGAAAGAGGAGCAGCACAAGGCGCCGCCCATCCAGCTACAAGAAACCGCCAAACTGCATACCAGCGACCGGCAACACATCGTAGTATGGACCCATTTAGGAGTACGGTGGAGCAGCTACTCCGAAATTCGCGATTGCGACGTGCAGTGGAAAACTGGTACCGCTACATTCAAGATCACGGCGGACAAGATACTAGATGCTCGGGATCGATACATCACGATCGCATGCACATGCACGGATGCCACCACCAACAAGCAGCACTGCCCGATGTGCTGCAACGCGGTCCCGCCAGACTATCCAGTGGACGAGACGAGAATGAAGATGGCACTACGAGCGATCCGTGCAACTTTTCATTCCCCACGGCGGACAAATGCCATTATGGCCAGGCACCATATCCAGCAAGGAAAGCACTTCAACTTCGCGAGTTATATGGCGGATAGAGGATGGGTAACGCTGGCCACCTTCTTCGCCTACTGCGTGGACTTCAAGGATTATGATGCGACCAAACTGTTACCCGCCGATGCAAGCCTCAAACGAGACGATACGTCCTCTGCCAACATCCAATTCCCCAAGAGCAAAAAGCAACTGGAGACGCTGCACGACGCGGCGAGGCAAGCCACCGAAAAAGAGGAAAGTGACACCATCGACGCTATCCTCACACGTAAAGCAGCACTACAGCAGGATCAAAACGGATTCTATATGTCTCAGAACGCGCTGCTGGCGAAGGGCAGCGTCACACAAAGGGGGAAGGATACCTTCGTACCTAAAGCACGAAAAGTAATCCCTATGAAGGCGGCAACGCCGCGCCCAGACGAAGTAGACGCGCTGCCTCCCCGGAAAAAAGCGGCACCGCTGCGCAGAAAACTTGCGGCGTCCGATTCCACGACGGGCTTGAGGGCGAACCGAAAGACGCGAGGCGAACCCAAGTCCGGCGTGGCAGCGACGGGAGCCGGGGTGATGAAGCGCGCCTCTGCCGCTTCGTTGCCTGGAAAAACCAAAAAGCACGTTAAAAGAAAGTGAACCTGCTCACACTGTGCGCCCGAGCAAAGTCGCGCCACGTGCGCCACGGTCTCCACGTGAGACCAAGCTATGGTGGATTTATTGAGCACAAGTGTTCCGGCTGGGACACTTCTATTCTAAGGTCCCCTTGCCTGCTTGGGCTGGTTGAATCAAATAATGGGCTTAGCGGATCCTTCGCGCTCAGATCTAAGCTCTGGCTACTCATAAAATCAAACGAGGGCTGCGATCTGAGAACTCAGCAAATTTATATAGGTATCTGTAGTCACCTATTATTCTACTGGGCCGCAAATGAAAAATTAACCTATTGAAAAAATTCTGGCTACAGGCAGGAGGGACGCTGAGAGCGTTGGTCTAGAAAGGGTAGATCTGTTTTAAAGAACGGAGTTCGCGAAATGGATCTTTGTTCTAGGTGGTATTATCAAGATCGTAACATTGGAATAGTAACATCAAAAGAAACCGAAACATCAAATAGAGAGATCCCCCACAAGGTCCGCCTCCTGCTGTTCCCTGAGTAAGAGAAAAAGAGAGCGAAGCCGTACCCGCTGAGAGATCCCGAAATGGCAAAATGAAAGTGGCAGAGATCCTTACTTACTGCTCTAAAAATAACAAGGACCAGAGGCCCACCTAAAAAGGCCCCGTGGCCACCCAAACCTTACAAAAAAGACATACAGGCGACGCCACTATTTAAAAGAAGACCCGCCGAAAATGACGGCGTCACTATCTAGCATAGAGGACATTAAAAAAGCGCTACTGCGCGCAAAGAAGGAACTAGTTGATCCATCCTTTCGCAAGCCGCTCGACATTAGGTTGCGAGCTGACTTTATAAAAGCTATAAGAACGCAAAAGCAAAATCCAGAAAAATGGACCCTCAAAGTGCGCCAGGGAATCGAAACCCTGAAGCGCATCAAAAGCGAGACGCAACAAGAAAATCTACGGCGCATCCAACAGGAAAGTCCGCCTCACCTCCAGCGACTGCTGCAGACGAAGCGGACGCGCAATGCTGTCGCAGTGCAGCAGATCATTGAACTGATTGACCATCCAGACCGAAAGCTGCCGCAACGCATCCTGACCGGGTTCAACGCGATAGGCAACAGCGACGCCACCGGAGTGTGGGCACCAACAGGGGAACCGCTGCTGCATAGCGACGAAGTTGTCAGCTTCTTCGCAAGAGCGAAAGCCTTGAGGAAAAGCAAGCCACCATTCGAAGACTGGCTGCTAAAAGAAATTATCCGCATCTTCGAAGATGACGTGGCAAAAGGTAGATACCAAGAAATTGAGGAATCCGACCTCAAATGCGCACCCGCGTACACGTTTCCAAAAGACGAATGCACAGCCGAGAGGTTTAAAGTTCGGTGCATCGTGGACCAGCGCATGAAAAATCGCCATTGTAAAACGCCGGAGAAACTTCAGCTCCACGGAACCAGGAAAATCGTGGACACCATCGGCATGTACATGATGCCATGCGGACGAGAGGAAGAATACTTCACCACGCCAATCGGACAAGTTAAAAAAGACGTGAACAAGGACGTCGCCGCCGAGCTGCAGCAAGCAAAAGACCCTGCAAACGAGGCACCACTACAAGGCACTATCGAGCAGCATGTCGACGCACTCGCGCAGGAACTGCGAAAAAAGAACGTGGCAGCCCCAACAGCCTCCCACTCGCCTCCCGAGATGGGCTCCGACGACTGGAGCGAAGCCTATTATTTGTTCGGGGTGGATAGCCCGGAGTCATGTCCAGTTGCCGCGTACGATCCTGACACCATGCAATTTCGGTATTGGCTAGCGTTCGCGCTAAACATGGGAGCGGAGCCTAGCGTGCCGGGCTTTTGCCGTATCTCAGAATTCTGCATGGCCGCCTGCGTTTTCTGGGGAGTGCCGATGCTTGCATATATAGATGATCAAAATTATTTCGGCGTCAACGCCGAACAAGTCCAGCTAGCAAAAGACTTCGTCCACCAGCTGGCCGACACGATCGGCATGGAACTCTCCACCAAAGCGAGCGCGGACCAGCTGTCGACCCGAACAAACAAAGTAAAAGCACTCGGACTTATGTACGAGTGGCAACGCAGCACATCAACATTGGAAATAGTGCTGCCGCAGAAGTACAAGGAGAAAGTAGCGGCCGCGTGCAACACCAGCCTCGAGCAGATTAAAGATAAAGCGATAAGCCGCCGCGACTTTCAGCGGACTATCGGGTTGGCGACGTTCGCTACGCAGCACGCGCCGGACAAATGCGGCACGGACCTACTCCGACCGCTGTATCGATGGTGCGAGGAGACGCTATTCGACCAACTGGTACGATCAAAAGAAGAAAGACGGTCGCTTGCGCTGGCCATAGCCGCCTTAAAAGAAGTGGTGCCTGAGCTGCCGCCGGTACGTTTCAACCAGGACACCACCCCATTACACCTGGCAATTATGTGGACCGACGCCTCCACAGACGGGGGACCACAAGGCCAGCCGATGCTTGGTGGATACCACATCAGCAGGTGGGGACAAGTAGAGGCCTTCTCCTACGTGGTGCCTCCGCACGTAGCCGCGATCGCCGGGGGCACAATGCGCATCGAGCTGCTCGAGGCGATGGCAACTTACATGGGGCACACGCTTTGGGCGGAGAGAGGCGTCATGCAGGAGACGAATCTGGACAATATGACGCAGTTGTACGCCCACATCAAGATGACGTCCAAGGCCACCAGAGTACTCGCCGTTGTAACATCCTCGGCCAAAGTCACAAGTAAGCGAGGCTGCCGCGCCTACTACCGCTACCGCAAAACGCAGCTCAACCTTGCCGACGTATTCACGAGGCAAGACAAGCTCATCGCACTTGGAAGCCGTATCGCGACAGTCATCCACAACCCACCGGACCCGGACTGGAGAACCGCACTACGACCGCGAGACAGGGAGAAAACAGGAGCGCAAAAACCTGAGGCTACGGCAACTTTGCCCGAGGCCCAAAACGTGCTCGCCGAAGGAGACCGGAACGCCGGGGTGATGAAGCGCGCCTCTGCCGCTTCGTTGCCTGGAAAAACCAAAAAGCACGTTAAAAGAAAGTGAACCTGCTCACACTGTGCGCCCGAGCAAAGTCGCGCCACGTGCGCCACGGTCTCCACGTGAGACCAAGCTATGGTGGATTTATTGAGCACAAGTGTTCCGGCTGGGACACTTCTATTCTAAGGTCCCCTTGCCTGCTTGGGCTGGTTGAATCAAATAATGGGCTTAGCGGATCCTTCGCGCTCAGATCTAAGCTCTGGCTACTCATAAAATCAAACGAGGGCTGCGATCTGAGAACTCAGCAAATTTATATAGGTATCTGTAGTCACCTATTATTCTACTGGGCCGCAAATGAAAAGTTAACCTATTGAAAAAATTCTGGCTACAGGCAGGAGGGACGCTGAGAGCGTTGGTCTAGAAAGGGTAGATCTGTTTCCAGTCGTGCTTGTTTGGTGTAGTAAAAAACGATCAAAGAAAGCTAGCAAGGTTCATCCGGCTTCCTAAAGTACCTGATAGATGAGGAACGCTTTCTGCATGTCCGTTAGGTCTCTTCGCATGAGAATTTCACGATCACGCAAGGACCATTGCTTTTTCATCGTAACAAAGTCGCCCATGGCATTGCCCATGTCGGCAAAAATATTTCCCTCGTGTGCAACAGCTTCGCCAATACGGCCCAATACCTCCACTGGTGACGCGAACAGCCCGCCAAGTGCGCCAATGGCATCACCCAGTCCTCCAAGACCGCTGTGTATTGATTTTTCACTTTTAGGTGAAGATCTTCAGCAAAGCGGATGAATCTACTGTATAAACTGAGTTGATAAGAAAATCAATCAACGACATCACGCTGTAGAAGCAGGTAGAAGTGGGCAGCGATATGCTAGCAAGGAAAAGCAAGCAGTCCCGTACAGTATCTATAAGAGTGCTTCTTCTACTTTACCTTGTACGTAGTAAAGAAAATTATACATAGTACCGTTTTTTCCTTTCCTTTTCGACTGGGCGTTCGAGGACGTTTCCATCTTCATCTACGTAACTTTCCATTTCGATCTCCACTTCGTCCGAGTCTACCTCACTCTCTGAGAGCATCGGATCGACGTGCTGGAGTATGTCACCATCCGCACCATCTTGTCTGGCCCGATAGAGCATGCGCGCACGTTGAGCGATCGCTCGACCGCGAATCCAGAAAGCGATATAGCCGCCAAGAGTCAATCCAGAAAAGAAAATGAACACAAGCCGGGAATACCTGTTAAATTGTTAATGAAATCTAGCTTCCACCGATGAGGGCTAAAACTTTTTGATTCTTAACTACCATGTTCATCATTTTGATTTTCCTAACAAAAATTATAGTTTTACATGGAAATGGAATCTTCACTCATCTCTTCTACTACTTTCTTCGGCATTTTAATATGCGACGAACCAGTATCCTTTTCCCGGCGCAGCAGCAGCGTGATGCGGCACGTTAGGACATTCCAAGACTTGCTGTGTCACGGCAGCGGCCATAGCACTCTGACAGCCTTCGCATGCGCACGATGGACATGAGTTGCGTTTGTCGTCCAAAAAACTCGTAACAAAATAGGTACCTCCGCTTCGTCTTCTCCTTTGGGAGAACACACATTGTGCCTGCCGTTTCAGTCCACTCTTTGTTGAGCAGACGAATGTGTCTAGAATTGTAGTCGCATCATTGATACCTAAGAACCAACTTGCAATAGCGCTTCCTTTTTTGGCGGACTCGTCTAAAGGAGCATCTGTGCTGCATTGATTCGCGAAACTCGTCGGTGAAAGGGCCACCCGCACGACCCGCTTGCCGCCAACTCCAGCCCTATCGAATTTCAAGTTGATATCAACATCAGCAATCGCGGACTTACGACCACCACTGAAATCCCACAGGGATGTTCGCGACGCAGCAGGCTTTCCAACAGCACCGAACGCAGACGTAAGTGCATCCTGCAAGAGGCAGCCCGAAGGCAAGGAGGACATTGTGCTTGGATGGGAGTTGAGAACCTGGCTGAAGCTGGACAATGGAGTAATTCACGAAATATAATCAAACAAGCTAGAAAGTATCTGCGGTAAGAATTGAAGAAATTTCGAAAAACACGGAACTGAACAACATCACGACGTCACAAACTAAATTATTTCATAGCTCGAGATAGAATACGACGCGACCAGAAACGTAGATCAGGATTTTTCACGAGTCGATTTACGACGACCAAATACATTGGATCACCATTGGCAATGATCGAGGAGTCATTCGTCAAAGTCAAATCGCCGACAAAAAAACAACGACGGATTGAGTGAAGCGGTCTTTGCGAGTCCCACGATGGTATCGTCTTCATCACTCAGCGTAGAACGAAATAATGTCGAAGGACCGTTGTAAGACAACTGCTCGAACATACCCAATTCCGAGAAGGTGCAGAAGCAACAAAGACCCACCCACACAAAACCGGCCGTGAAAACTATTTCTGGTCTGTTGCGGGAAGAATTGGTATTCCGGGAAATAATTTTCTCTCAAAGTTATCAAGTGCTGCTCACAATACATAGAATAATTAATTCGGATTTTTCCTACGTGATCATGTACGATGTGTTCAATGTAAAAAATTCTGAGCCTAGGTCACCCGCTATGATGCTAACTCAAACTCCATAAAAGAAAAATCAATGGGGATATTTCCTTTTCCTTGTCGTCCAACTGGATACTCTAATACAATAGGTCATGGGATGAACACGAATATAAATTTGAATTTCTTAGAAGTTCCAAACAGGTATGGATAATCAAATACATCAAGCGACTGAGAGAAATACCTAACAAACAACGAATATTAGCTAGGTGCAAGAATAATGGTGCAAGGAAGTATTGGGGTGAAGTTCTTGGATCAAGTATGCGCTCAACGTGGGTTAGTAGCGGGAATTCCAATGAAGTAAGTGCAAGATAGATATACACATGCATGATATCAGAGAGTCAATAAGGACCAAACAGAGGGATGCAAGGACAATATCAACAAAAAACTGACAAATCGAAAGCTTGTGCGACAAGACAGGAGACCCTGCATCAAAGTCTCCTTCATAAACGCCTCCGTGCTGGTAACGATATGCTCCCACAATATTGATGCCACCAACAACTAGTCGACCAAAAGTCGTAGTAACGGTAACCTTCTTTGATCTCACATTTCATCTTTTGGATTGTACTGCTCATCCGAAGAGTGCTTGCCTGTGCTAAATTGATTAGCGACACTTCTAAATTGACAATCGAAAGTAAACTACTCACTCATTCATCCATGTTCGCAGTTCGGGCCCGGCCATGCGGCTCGGAACACAGACCCGTCCACGATATTTAGGCGGTGCCTAAATTTAAATGAAGACTGGCTGCCGCGGTGACTCGTGGACTCCCAAAACCTCTTGCTCGCTATGGATGTCTATGCATTAGTGACGTGTCTCTTGCCGCGGTACACAGGGGCGGCGACGCCGCGCTTGCTTCGGTACTCACGAATGTCCGTCACGAAGAATCACTCCCTGCCACACCCCCTCCGCGACCAACCCCTCCTACACGACCAAAAACCCGGACGAGGCCGCTGCCGCCACGACTTTAGCGCCATTTTTCGGACGTTCGCCTAGCAATTTTTAGGAAAAAGTAGGGAAAGAGTAAGTATCATGATTCTTACATACAGAAAAGGTTCAAGGTTCAAGGTGAGGGTCCACTTGCTCGCAGCCAGGCCGCACCAGCAGGGACCACTTCGGTTCGAGTAGAACCACAGGAAAAGAGTACCATGATTCTTACGAACACATAAGGTATATTTAGATTAACATGCTCGTCATAGTGCGATTCCATCTGTTACATGGATGCGTGGCAGCGTACGAAAATATTCTCATGATCTAAGTAATATCTAAAACTTACACTAGATGAAGGGAGCAAGACGACGGAAAATTACATACACATTTCTCGCTTTTTCCAAGAATTAGTAGCTGATTGATATCTACCAGTAACATTACCCATATTATGGAATATGGCATAAAAACGTTGCTGCACTTGCATCTTCCAAATCTAGGCTCCTTATATTAAGATCAGAAGCAAAAAGTGTGTAAAAAAGTACTCGGAAGCACCACGAGATGCCCGCCTTCTCCTTCTGCAGCCTGTTGCGCTGACAATTGGCACACACAAACCAATGTGAGGATCCCGATCAACAAATTCACCGACGTCATTACAAGCAGAGACAGGACATACAGCCAAGCTGGAGGTTGGTACTTACATTGATGTAGTGGCTCGTTTCTACCTCGATGTGCTAAAAAGAACTAGAAACCACAAGTGAATATTTTCATCTACAAGTCTACCGAAGGATGACATTCGACAAATAAATTTGCATTGAACACATCAAGATTTAACAGATATTATATTATCGCGAAGTAAACAAAAATTCTGAGCTGCGTGATACATGTCCATGTGATTCTCAGGGAATGAAACTCGCTCATAGGTTTTCAACACCACAAGAACGCTTACCGTTATCATTCCCCGTACCGTCTTCGGATAGAAACTCATCTTCTTCATCAGCATAGTCCAAGTCCACGCCCTCCTCCTCGGTGACGTCAACCGCACCGTGTACTTCTGCCAGGTTCTGTCCGTCTGCCGGAAAAGAGTTAGAGAGGGCATCGTCGTTGATCAGAAGAGTCATCGTCATTGATCACAAAAATCGATTCTTTAGTAGTATGCTCTCCTACGCTGCTGGCTCTACGTTTCCAACAACCTTGTCCAGTTCAGACGATCAAAAAATGCAACTACGGTGCAGATGAGATGAGAGTACTCCCTTCAGGGAGAACCCATCTACAGCGCCGCACGTTCTAGGCAATCAAAGGGAGGGTCAGACCACTAGTCATGTATTTTCACAATAAATCGCATAACTCCTGCTCCTGTCTCGTTGTTCAGCCCTTCTTGCTTTGCCCATGAATCCATCAATGGCGTCGTTGGTTCTGTAGTACCTTGTTCCATCTTTTCTGTGCTTGCTCTTTCTTTAAGCACGTAGGATGTACTACTGGTAGCTATGTCAAAATGCTTGCTACTTGGATCGCGATGAGATTATCATAAGACGACTCAACCAAACTCGCGGCACGCGCCGTTTTAATGTTATCGAGCATCAGGAGCGGGGAACGCATCTGTTGCAATTTTCCTTAAAGATTTCGAGAACTCGAAACCTTACAGACGAAGATGAGGAAGTTGGAACGACATAAACAGCTAAAAAGCACATATCTACTGAGTCGTCTATTCATCTTAAGCGTAAGCCAGTCTGGTGCTATCATTTTGATTAAATATAGCAAGGTGTGCTTACCCTCTTAATTCAGAGTCAAAATTCTTTGTGGGTAAAATGTTGGGACAAGGAGCACAATCACCGAGTTCCAAAACTGCTCTTGAGCGGTAAAAGAGACACTAATACCGACTTCCACTTCCTGCTAACCGAATGCGATTGACCGACACCACGCATGTTTTACGTATCATAGCGATTAATATATTTATAGGACAGCAAAGAAGGAAGAAACTAATCTAGCGTCATAGGTGGTCAGAAAGACGTCTGTTGTAATATGGAGACCTGATGATGAAGAAGATGATGTGATTGTCAGTGTCAGATGCTCGTAGATATTGAACGGTTTCTCTCAATCAAGTAACGACCGCAGACCGACAATGCAAGACACTCAGCGGAGACTAGATTATGCTCTTCCTGCAGGCTGCATCGCTTTTCTAGATATCAACTCAACTACATTCTTATCATGTGGTCGTGCTTCCTTGTTTGCAATATGTATGGATTGGTGGGCATGATCTTCTGTGCTGGATTTTTCTGTTCTGCTTTCTGATTGCATAGGAGGTTCTGTTGTGGTTTCTAATTTTGCCATTCCGGCCATCTTTTTACGAAAGAGATACATATCAGCTTGATACGGAATGTAGAAGCACACTGACGCGAAAACAACATGGCCGAGCAATAAGAACGGATACAGTGACGGGCCACCACCGTCTTCCAACTCCCTAACACGCTCAAAGGCATTGCCGTGAAAGTCATTCCACTCGGTTTTAATCGGGTCAATCTTGAGCAAAGGAAAAAGGGCTTCCTGTAATTGTCGGCCAACATCCAGCATGGCAGAGGTACTTGTGCGTTCATCGAGATCCCGAATTTCGTTTCGTTTCCCGTCAGCACTAAAGTACCTCCCTTCCCCTTGTTCTTCTCTCTCACGCCGACTCATCGAGCAGCTCATTTCTTCACAGCATGAAGCCTGGTGATCAGCAGCCAGCATCGGCAGAGTAAGCCTATTTGCGAGCCAAAAATCGTTGCAGCCTCGCAGTCGCTCGAGACTTGAAGCCAAACCATATATGTGAGACGCACCACAAAGAATCCCCAACCGCAGCACTTGGCGTGGCTGCGTTAAGCGTCGCTCTATGTCAATAGAGGGAGGCAAAATCTCTCGTTGCCGACGCTGCAACAGAACGGCATCGAGTGGCAGAACCGATTTACCCTCCCCACTTTGTCTTTTTGTTGGTCTGCCCTCGCAGCATTGATCAGAGGCCGCACTCACTGCGCGAGGAATCGTACTAGTATTGGTTTCTTCGACTGCAGCGGCTCTAAGGTCTTCGCACGCCAGCATTAACCGCAATGCCATGAGCTCCTCCCGCTCAGATTGTAGGACGCGAAAACAGTTCTCGCAATCCCGTTGGAAATCTGCCCGCCACTGTCCCAGGCGAGCAAAGCTCTCCATCGTTGGCAAAAGAGCAGGATTGGTCGGACGAAGTGCTCCGCCCTCCATCAAACCTGTTCTCTTCTCGGTTGGCAGCACGTCCGCTTCTTTACCATTTTCCGAATGAAACGGCGTGCTGTTCAAGCGAGTGTCATGTGGGCCTTCGAGGGCCTGCACTCCTGCCCCGCAGGCTCTTCCTTGAACGTCCCCTCTAGAATACTTAGTTCGCGATTTTTCTTTTCCTCCTAACGAAGGATTCTCTCCTAACGTAGGATCCCCATCCGACGAGATTAGTTTTGCGCTTCCGCGGTGTCGCCGGGAACGCAGCAACTCAAGTGGTTGGGCAGCGGCGCGCAATCGCCGTTGCGTTGTCGATGCCGGACGGTCTAGACAGTAAACCCGGCGAAACTTTAGCAAAATTGAGCTTAGTCCAGGCGTGACTTCCCAAAATCGACGTAGTTCAGTGGGGTGACTCTCGATGCAGAAAGCGTCTAATTTGCATCCATTGCTGCGCTCCCATGCACCAAGCAGTGCTGGCACACCGCCAGCTCCGTATACGTGGCTCTCACCGAAATACAAGAGCTCTACTCGCAAACCACCCAGTGGAAGAACCTGACGACAACGTAGAAGCGCCATTCTTCATTCATTCCTGTGACGAGCAAAGATCATCTCTACTGCTTTTACTGAGTCATCGAATCGGGAGTCTATCATCATGAAGCACACCTGCCGCTCTCGAAGGCAATACTCCAATTCAAGTGTCAGATCGAAGGAAGGAGATCACGATTCATCTCAGGAAGCATTCGGAAAGAACTAAGTACTCGACCTTTTGAATTCTTGGCACTTCCCCAAGAAGGTGAAGAAGACATGGTCCTCAGCGAACAAATATAAATATATATTACTTATACTATAAATCATATTATAAATATATGATCCAAGGCTTGGGGCTGCCGGGGTAGCGTAGGGGGGGGTACCGGCAGCCCCGGGCCCCTTTTGGAGGCGTCCGCCGGGGGTGGAAGGCCTCAAAAGGGGGCGAAGTGGCCGCCTTCGCTCCCTTCCAGGTGCTTGGCTCTCCCCTAGAGGCCTCCGACGTAGGTGGAAGGCCTCAAGAGGAGGCCAAGTGACCCCCTCCGCTACCTTCCCACTGCCTGGCTGTTGCCTACAGGCCTCCGATGTAGGTGGGAGGCTTCAAAAGGGGCCCAAGGGACCGCCTGCGCCCCCGCCCAGGTGCCTGCCTGTGCCCTAAGTGCCTCCGATATGCTTCGCCGCCGCAGCAGCGCGCCGGCTATGGAAGGCCTCCGAAGGCGGCAAAAGGCGAGGGGCTGGACCCCCTATGCCGCGCAGCCTGTTCCCCCCGGGCCCTTGGTCATTGGCTTGCTTGCTCTTGCGACCGTGGCCGCCCTCGGCGGCCTTTTACCCTGGAGAGCTCCCGCCTGCGGGGGTCAGCAGAGGCCAGGAGGCCCCTGAGGAACGCTGAGAGGCCCAAGGGGAGGATCGCGCCAAGTTTGGACGTCTTCCACCACTAGAATCCGCGGAAATGCGCGCGCGCGCCACCACAGAACAGACCACAGGGGGGGCACCGTCCAGCCCTAAAACATGTATAATATTCTACGCCCAGTTTCTCTTTTCGTTTGGATCTACGCAGGGTCTGCGACCGCAGCCTCCGCGTACATGCTAGTCGCGTCCTATGTTTGCAACTTCAAAAACGCCTTGGAAAAAACAAATACGATGTGAAGAGGAAGATGTTGATATTATTGATGTCTCCAATAAGGGGTGTAAGGGATCCTGAGCCTGTTGCTCTACGTGTCGTCCTGCCATCCCCGCCGAGCAGAACCTTCAGCGAAAGCCTTTCGGTGGGTAGTCGTTAACTACTGGAATAATTCTCGTGAATTTCCTGTAAACACGCGGCCAGCGGTCTTCAAAGATACTCGTGTAGTTTCCGCTGGTCAAATATGACTGCTCACCATTCTTCACGAAGTGTTCGTCTTGGTATTCTTTCTCTCTAACAAGTTTCTGCACTCCGTAAGTGTGTGCCCCGAAGCGCGCCACCCGCGCGTCGAATGCGTGTTCTCCGAGCACCTTCGTCGGCAAAACAACATGCCACTGGTCTCTTGAGTCCAAGGCTTCATACAAGCGACCGGGTATCACCTAAGACGAAAGTGTAGTACATTCATGTGAGCATGCATCTTCATCGATATCCATATCCAGCCTGTTATTTCAAAGTAAGTTCATCGCCTACTCGCTTCCTGTCAACATCTTCAACAAAGCCGCCAGCAAAAACTTGTCAGTTGGAAAATAGTTCTATGAGACAAGAAGAAAGACCTCGCCCAATGCATCGGTATTCTCAGGCTCTAGTGGCGGAATGTCCTCGATTTTCGCCATAGACTCTGGCGGTGGCGATCCACTCGGCGCTGGCGGTCCAGGAACGGGAACCATCGAAATTGCATCGGCTGGTGCCAAAAAGGGTAGAGTTATTCTTCCGGAACGGGCAATACTCCTACTTGTTTCCGACGTAGCAGTCGACAGTTCCACTGCATCGCCGAACCCGCACCAGACTGTTTGCAGCAACAGAACGAAGCACAACGATCTGCTTGAAGCGACTCTCATGCTTGACACAGGCTCAGACATGCTCAACATACATAGCTTAACTTGGCCGCCTTCGCTCTGTCGAAAAAATCGAGTGTCGTGAGGCTTTACTGCAGCTAGTCAGGTGGTCTGACTAGAAACGCCGTATCCGAAGGCTCAGAGAATGAAGATTCATGCTCATTTTTCACCTTCAAGGACGCTGAAAATACCATCAAAGAAGCCAAATGATAAAAAACATTAATCAACATTTTTTGGATTAGGAGTGATATTCCCTCGCTTTCTCGTTCGGCACCTTCAGTGTCTTTAATGGGGAGACCTTCTTCTCGTGGGCAGTGGGGCAGAGGGACCTCTCTCGCAAAGATAATTCGCTCCGTCTCTCTGTTGGCAATGCTGCAGCTTTTGGGATTACCTTTCATATTGATTGACTGCAAAGGTGATGACGCTTGTCGCATCTATTTTAAATGCTTCAAATACACAAAACTTCGTGTTTCCGGCAACGCCTACGCATTGCCTGTCCCCAAAACAGTGAGTGTCCCCTTTTTAGAGCAACCGCAATGCTGGATTGCCGCTGCATCAGCTTCTGCGTCTTTTGGATGCGTTATTATGTGATTGAATGTATTGTGGGATGGGGCCAATTATAAAGTATGAGAAACAAGCAAGTGAGTTTGTTGTGAGCATGTGCTCCTGGGGAGACTTCAATACGAAGAAAACATGCTTGCTAATTGCTATCTCCCAACTCTCCCAATCGCTCCATCAGTTTTTGGATCGGCCGTGAATTGCTGTAGGCTGTTTATGGTGTCGTTAATCTGCGCCTGGAAATTTCGCATGTTCTGGTTATGAAGGAAGCGTAATATTGCTACTGCCTCCTGCAATCCTCTTGATGAAGATGCTGTATTAAGGCCCTCCACACCAGTGGGGACTTTCTGCAGATCGACGGTGTCTGGTTTCCCTACTGCCGGAGGGAAGAGGCGCGCATGCACGATACCAACAGCAGCAGCTATGTCATCCTCTGTTACGTCGGCGGACAACGTCGGCAAACCGTTTTGCGAAAAAAGCTGTGATGATTTGCACAACATAGACATTTAAACGTTAATATGGTTATCACCACGGACGCTTAGTTAGAAATCTTCCTTCACGATGAATCCATAAATGTTCATCATGCACTTCTTCTTCATTTTTAATACTTTTTACAATGAAATACTGGTGCCAGCATGCGGCGCAAGAATTTAGAATAGAGCAGGAAATGTACCAGATTCAACGGCTCAACGAGCTGATCCAGCGCTAGCCCTCTCTCCTTTCGGCCTACGACGTCGTCTATGACTTCCTCGTCATTTTCCGCTTCCATCTGAGGATCCATGCGCACTACTGTTCCCTCGGCAGCTGCATCTTGGTACTCATCGTGCACAGCCATAGAAGTCAGCAGGTCGAGGACTCTGACCTTAGTCGCTACATCTCTATCCTGGAGTTTTTCCGCAAGTTGCTCGTCTATACCTGTGCTGTTTTGAAGCACACTTGAACTCTTACATATTGCACTTACCTGTTGAGAGACCTTATAGTAGAAACCTTATGAATAATCGTAAGACTCTCCAATCCTTTAATACAGTCCCCTCGTCGTGCTTCTAGGAATCGCAACTTTATCAAGTACCTAGCTCCTTGAGGTATTCGCGCGCAGCTCGATACCACTTCCCGCCTGCATTCACTTCCCGGAGTTTCGATCTTTCTGCTGGCGTCCATAGTCGTATCTTCTCCTCCTCGAGCCACAACAGCGTTCTTGGAAAATTTGATAGGCATGGGTTTGCGTCCGGGCACTGTAAGGTCTCGAGCTTTCGTTTAACGAATAGAGGCAAATCAGGACCGGACATCTTTACTAAGAAATTAGTCGCGTTTTACAACTGCTTGTGTAAGTTTTTAAAAAAATGAATGAGTAGAGTCTGAAGCCGTTGATTTGAAGCTAAGTTAAAAAAGCCATCAAAATAAAGCGGTAAGTAAGAAGAAACTACGATAACCAAAAACAACAAAAACTTGACAACTCACATGCTGCAACGGGATTCGCTAAAACTATAAAGCACTGGAAGCAAAAGCAATAGAGTGATATTTCGTAAAACCTGAATCATGGCTTATCCAGTCGCCTTGACGGTCCAATTGCGTTGTGTGAGGGAACTACATTGACATTGTCTATTCAGAAAAAGCCAATAGACAGATTGATGATGATGAGATACCCTGTCCTGCAACAGACGGGTTTAGAAAGAGAACTGAACTAACACAGACAGTCTTTGTACAACCATAACAGAACGTGACAGGCAGGAACACGCTCCATGATTCAAATTTGGCTAAATTGAAGCCGAGTCATTGTAATTGTTCAACTGGTGCTCCTTGAAAATGAAGTGGGACCTGGATGGAAAACACGACAAAACATTTTCTCTATCCAGAACCAATGATAATTCGAGAGTCGAGATTTGTCCAGAGATGAATGCCGATCGGGTATAAGATTCTTCTCAAAGGCTCTGCCTGTAGGGGTGCGACTTGTCGTAGCACACTTCCAGACAGTGCCGGGCTTTCTCCTCCGCTAGTCTGCGCATTTCACGCCAATATTTGTGGCCGCCTGCACTTCCTTCTAACAAAACGTCGGCTTCATCTATGAACTCCGTCCACGCCAAGCCCGCGGCAGGCGCAGTAGCTCCTAAAACTTCCTCTATATTCATGCAGTAACGCAAGAGGACTGCCAAGCCTTTTTCTCGCTGGTTCAGCGCGAAATATGCCGCAACGAGATGCGACAGAAGGCGATGACACAGATAGTGCTGTGGCGCGAGGTCCCCATTGAGTGCAGGTGTTGAATTGGATTCTTCTGTACCATTTGTAGAGGTAGAAGAGGTGGTGTTTAGCAAGCATCCACTAGTCGTTAGCTTCAATCCAAGTTCCTCAGGCGTTTTGAGCAGCTCCCGTAACGCGACTACCGTCACACCGTTTCCAAGAGCCTCAAACCCTTCACAGCGCTCTAAAAGTGCAAATTCTAATTCACTTAGCTTTGCCGTCTGTAGCTCCCGTTGGTCTTTGCGTGAACATACCTCCTCAGTAAAAACACCAGTTTCGACGTCAACGACGAGATCCGAAGTGGCATCGATGCCCTGGCGGCAGTCGTCATCGAGATTTACATTTTGGAGAAGCATATTCGAAAGCCGATCCTGATGGACGATGTCTTTCTTCTCGGATTTTGATTCTCGCTTGTCGCTGGTCTTGGGCGACTCGAGATCGACAATATGATTGATAGCCGATAAGAGCCTAGACGAGGTAGGGGTCGCTGCCAACGCAGATGCTTCTCCAGGAGGCGGAATATTGTTCCCTTTGTTTAAGTTCTCCTCCGTCTTGCTGGCTGTGTCCGTCGAGGTACTAAAAAATAATGCTTTTCGTCTGGTCGACGTCCCGCAGCACCGGTCGCAAGCGCAAAGAAAATGTTTATGTCGCAACAGCATAGCCCGCCTCAGAAACCTAGGTTTGTACAAATCCTCCGCAGAATCCAGGTAACTGACCAAGATCTCTTCACCCTTCTTTATCGGTCGCAAAGCTCGCATCCGTTTCATACGCAGTGCTGCATGTTGTTGTGCACAGCCACTTTTCGGCGGCACAAAGGTGTACCAATGGGCATTAGGCTGGCAACTGTGATTGGCCTTCGTTACAACTGGATACAAGCCGCAGCGCACCTCGTCCGCCTCTTCTTCGCCGACCAGCATGCTTGTGGCAACATTGTTCTTCAAAATACGGCACAGCTTTTGGTATTCATTTTGCGCCTCCATATTTGCATCTCCAGGAAGAGCTGCTGCGGAAGAAAACCCCTTGTTGTTGTGCCTATCATACCCACTTTCATCACTCACATGGCTAACACGAACATCAGGCGCTACAAAGGATCCTCCACTAGCGTAATCTGCGAGTATGAACTCCTGTTTTGCACGCGGTAGTGCGAGAAAGTTAGTCCATGCCTTCTGCCACATTTCTCCTTTATTGCTCTTTCGGTAGCTATACTCCAAACAAGGTCGGTCCACGCAGATGTCGGCCCCAGGAAGGAGATCCCGCGTGGCCAGCATTACTCGACCCAGCCTCTGGCTGTCCGAATCCACAATGGAATAGGCGAGGTCCATTTTGTTATACCTGCAGCTACGTAAACCTCAGACAGATCAGAAGACTTTAGATTTAATACATGTGCAGCCGAGTACTCAACGAAAAGAACCAATACAGAAGTAGCACTGCTGGGCTCTATGAGAAATCACAAGGTATATTCAATCCTACTTCCAGGCGCAAGCATTTGCAAAAACGGGTACTAAAAGGGTGACAACTCTTCCTGCTTCCTCATTTGTGCAGTTAAATTATGCTTTCCGATGCGAAAGCGAGTGCATGCCCTTGACAGCAAAAACTGATATAAATATTGGATCAGGAAAATTATCAGGATCGCGTAGAACCTTACATGGATCTTCAGATACCTCCTGCCCAACAACGTGCCCGGATCCCTGCTGTGCATCAAAGATCTTGATCTTTCACGAATTTCGTAAGTCCTCGTCAATCAAGGCAGTAAGAAGATGAACAACTACTACTTTCCATAAAAAATCTATGGCTGGAGAATGGATCTTAAGTAGACTCCTGCTAACAAAGTTCAATTTCAAGGTAGCATGTTGTGCATGTTACATGATAATCTTACAGTCTTCAAAGCAATAAATGCGATCGAGATGTGAGTTCCTAGTATCTGTCATGTAGGCAATTCACCAACAATCCATACTAGCCTCCTATTTCTATGTGTAGGCCTATCACTTACGATGATCTAGATTTTGCGCGATACAAGTAGATGGTCGACCACGGCAGGATGGGATGTACCATGATCAAAAAAAAACCCAGAATACTTCGGGCATCAAACTCCGAGGTACTCAAAAATGTTTGGCTACAACAGTGACCAGGGTTTATTTCTTCTCAACATGCTGAAGTTCTTCAAGAAATTATCATGCTCTGTCGACACATGTCCTAAACCTTTGCTCAACAAACGTACGTATAATCACGCAAAACGGTATAATTATACAAGCAAAATCGATTTAAAAGAAATGTATTCCCAACGAGCCTTATTTGTGGGTCAGCACCAGCAGCACAGCGCCATGATTTACAACATGTACGCTTTGTATCTAGCATCTCCACTGCTGGCTGCTTGCGTCCCAACACGAGCGAATGAAATGTCTAAAACATGAAACTAATCAACCATCAAAAATAACCCGCCCACAGCCTCTCTACCCACGGAAAGGAAGCAAAGTGCGTTGACTACGCTTCCTCTGCGATAGGAGGCGATGCTTCCGCACCAGGACTAGACAATTTCGAAAGATAATTCATCTTCTTTTTTGTCAACAGCGGCGTGTCAATTTTGTCTTCATCAGCCTTTTCTAAAGCCTCCAGTTCTTGAGGTGACAGGTCCAACAGCCCACCTCGTCGCATTAGCGGTTGTAATAATCTACTTTGTGCTTGATGCGGTATCTATTAAACACTCCAGACAAGAATGCCGGTTATCGGACAGAAATGCACAGTCATTATGCATAATACAACATAGACCTGTTTTTACACTTATTTCCAAAACATCATAACTCCAAGCTGCCTGCAGACTCTCCGGCGAGGCTGTCCTGAAAATCTTGCATCTGTTGCGCAACAGTGCTTTCCCCTTCTAGCACGTGCTTCACTGCCGCTTGTCCGATCTCCACAAGCAGGTCATAGCATCCTAGTTTTTCCTTCTCCTCCTCATCCATCGTCTTCTCGATGAGATCCACTACCATCATTGCGTGCAAAGCACTGTGCTCCGCGAGGAGGACCCAATGCTCAGACCCAAAAGCCGACGTATCCAGTTCCGCAAGCAACTCAGTTTTGCGCATTCCCGCGAGCACAGACTTAGAAGAGGGCGCAGAAGCTCCTTCGTCCCTCCGGTGGGATTGATAACACTCAAAGTAGTCAAACCCGTGCCAAACAATGATTCTATTTTCGTCTACATACTTCTAGCGGCTCCTCCCTTTGTAAATATCACGATCGGCCATACAAATATCTTCCGGCTCCGTGAGGCGAGCAAGCATCAGCCTACAGGTTTCAAGATCGGTATTGTCGTGAACAGCCACTTGCAATGCGTGTTCCGGTGATAGCGGTGCCTTAGCAGCCAACTCGGGAAGGTGTTGTAACATGCTCGGAAGGTAAGGAGCCAGGACCTGCAGCATGGTGCTTGCTATGCAAATGGTTTCCATTTCTCTTCGATCATAACATTCATGTTCATTCTCACGATCATGCTTAAAAGACGACCGAATACTTAGATGGATTCTTCTTTCAAAATTCAAAGTAGACTGAAACACACCGCTCCGAGTTGATGCTAGGAAACAACTGCAAGCCTGACTAAGAACTGTACCTCTTCGCGGATAAACTCGTTTGTGAGGAGGTGCATGCCAATCGTGCTCAGCGTGTCACGCTCCTCCTTGGGAATGTAGAGGAGATCGTCTGTCAAGACACCATCTATCTTATCAGGACTTCCATTCTCTTCTTCGGTTGAGGCGCTTGCTGAACCTGCCTTGCTTCTCTTCTCCCCAGCAAGAGTGGTGTCTCGGCTGAGCAAGGCTGTTTCCCGTGTCACCTCAGCAGCTTGCACGCATTCGATGAGGCTCATCGCCAGTTCGAATTCTTCTTCGCATCCAGCCGATAATGCCTTCTTTTGCAAAACTAGCTGCTGCAGCTCCTGCTTTTTTGCCAAAGAGAAATGAAGTAGCATAAGGTTCAAAAGTAATTGTTGTTTTTCCTCACATGAACTTGTACCAATAACTCAACATTGTGTAGCTGAAGAATTGGAGTGCCGGTGAGCTATCCAAGTATCCCGGCTACGGCTAGTGTCGTCTAGCAAATCAAGAAAGCTAGTATCCTGTTTATGACCGAGTCACTTGCCTTCACAGTAGTGGCTGGAAAAGCAAAGAAAGTAATATCCATCTCCACATAACATCGTAAAGTTGTGATTTAAGATCCATTTCCTCTTGTTCAACCGCTTGCGATTGCTCCATTAGCTCTTTCAACTTCTCAAGCTCTTCCATGGACAGATTCTTGAGCCACTCATCTCCATCATCATCGTCTTCAGGAGAGGACGCTGTCGACGGGACTGCAAGTGCTTCTTCTTCTCCGGAGGTAGAGTGTTTCGCGCCAGTTGCATTTGCATCAGCGAGCTCGTCTTCAGTCTCAGGAGCTTTGGACTCTTCGCCAAGCGATTCTAAAAGCGCTTGCGTTTGTGCAGTAGCCGCGTCATTTTCTTGAAGTTCCACGCTTTTCTCCAGAAGCTCGAGCTCCGTGTCTTTCAGTCGCTTTTCCAACAGAGACGCGCTAGATCGCAGGGCGAGGAGCTCCCCCCGCAAAGCCTCTTGATTCTTTTCCGGCATGCTTATTTTCGGTAAAACTAACCTACTAGCTTGTGACTCTTGCTTGGACAAGCAAACTCAAATGAATATCAAGCAGCTTTTACTTCAATGATCTCATTATTTTTTCGAACAAGAATAGTACACCACGTCTTTGATTTCTTTTAAGCTTTCTCATACTTTCTTTGCATTCGCGAAGACCAAGTATAGTAGAGTAGTTTTGCTCGCAGCTTTATCTCTCGAAAACAGCATATCAGATTCTATTGCCGTCCTTTTTGAGTAGCTCGTATTTCATCTATGGATGCCTGCTGCATATTTTTACTGAACACAGCAGTTGCTTCCTCGATTATCATCACGAGCGAGCGCTGCGTGCTACAAGACCCATAACAACCACTTTGTGTTAGTCGGCTTGCGAAGCCAAAACTCCACTTGCGGATCACACACATCGATAAAACATTTTCTTTTGATTTGAAGTCAGTAATTTAGGGAGAGGACAAAGAGAGGGAAAAAAGGGAGCGGGCCTGCGCGTGTGACTGAGGGACATGAGAACCATGGAAACAAAAACAGAAACCGTCGAAGGTGTACATTTCTGCAAAATGGCAATGTCATCGGTCCTCAAGTGCTTCTGGTCGCTGATATGTGAAACGTTCGCGCTTCGGCTTGTCTGACGGTCGCGTGAAGTCGCCCTTGCCGAGCACGGCAACATTGCGGAAGCCAGCCGTCTCTTCGCGCAGTGGTAGGTTGAACTTGATGTATGCTCTAAGTACTTGCTGGAAGTCGTGCTCACTCATCTTGCCCTTGTTTTTCAGAATTGTGCCCGCGAGTGCATCGAAGAGCTCCTCGTCCTTAAGCCCGAAGCTCGCGAAAATCGAAACCAAATCTGCGATATGCTTCAAGTTCATACTTCCGTAAATCAGCAGCACGCGCTTACTGATTGCATGGAAGACCGACTCCTCCTGTGGCTCGCGATGTGCGATACCTAAGCCCGCCGCGGCCGACAGTTTGTTCTGATTACTGCTCGTGTCCAGCACCTGCGTGTAAAGCTCGTTAAACTTGTAAACCGCAAACGCAAGCTCGCACATCTGCGCCGAGTCTAACAGGTGGACGCCACGAAGCGTGTCACCATAAAGTATCCTGAAGTTTGTGAGTTTGAGTTAGAAGATACTAGAGACTCCATAAATCATCATCATCCAGCACGCTGTCGTTTGCTTAACCAGAAGTGTATTTTAGTTCATTTTTAATCAAAAACGACATTCAAGTGGCGAACGAAAATAGTACGATGTAGCTAAAAAACTAGAAGTTTCCTATAAGGCAAAGTCTACCTGAGGACGGTCCTGGGTAGTGCCAGCTTGGAAAGCGCGGCGCTCTGGGCTACAAAGTGCTGGTTGCACGTGAGGGCGAAACAGTATAGGAGCATCACTATCGTTCGGGTATTCATGCTCTTGATTTCCTCCCCGTCGTTTCGCATCACCATGTCCTTCAACTTCAATATACAGTTTTTTTCCGCACTAGATGGCTCGAACATCGCGCGATTCTGGTAAGGCACGTCCATTAGATGTACCTGAAAATGAGAGACAATAAGAAAGTAGTTCATCACGAGATTAAAGAAGTGTCAAGAGAGGGAAACCAATGCGCATGATCATTCGTAGTAAGAATGCGAATACGCTTTCTACTTGAACTTGTTGAAAAGCCATCTATGTTAAGTAAGCAGAACCTTCACAACTGTGTAGAGCGCCTTGACGAGTTGGCTTGGGGTCTTCGACCTGATGTTCTGCGTGAGGCCAATCTCAACTGGCCTCACTAAAAATTTGAGCTCGACAAACTCCGGTCCAGGGTCTGCGGCGATGTCGTTTACCATGCCACTGGCCACAGCGGCTTCGCGATTCCGAATCTGCATCTTACTTGTCGGTTTCTCACCTTCGCGGTGCTTGCCCTTATCGATATGCTGAATCAGGTCTAGCGTCAGTGGCTTCGTGAACAGCACAGCATACAGCTCGCACAATTCTGCGTATGGAAGCTGCCGTTTGCGATAAAGCCAAATCTTCTCAAATATTTTGAGCCCATGTTTGAAATTTGTCGCTGCCTCCATCTTCTGTAATTGCGTCGTGAAGGTCTTCAGCCATGCGTCCAACTCATCCGCTTTTTTCGACGCGAGCTCAATCGCGCCTGTTGTTTCGTCAAGCGTCTCTAACAAGGCCACTGGGGTTGATGACGATGCCCCGCCCTCCGTCGCGCCATTGCCAGCGATCACTGCTGATGATCCGTCAGCTGTCTTAACCAACTTAGGCGGCGGACCTCCTGCATCGCCTCCTTCTAACGTTCGCTTTTGGTGCAAGATACCCAGCAAAGCATCCCTTTGTGCTTGTTGAGCCTTCTCGCGGCGTGCGCGAATGGCAGCCATCTCATCCTCTAACGAATTCTCTTCGAAGGGAGAAGTCATCTTTTTTTTGCCTTTCTTCTTGAGTCAAAGCAGTTGTTGTCAATTCATATGGAGGCACATCAGCCTACCAGCTCCAACAGCATCTCCAGCAGTACCCGAAAACGAAATCAACAAAATCTCTTCTCCTCCAGAATACTACTTCTAAAAACGGAAATCAACAAAATCTCGTGTAGTTCTCCAGAGAACTACTTCTAAAAACGGATACGCTGTAAAAGTATGTTTAGGGAGAAGATTACTCTAGTACAGCGCAAGAACAGCTGTAATCTCTACCATCGGCAAGACGAAACCGTTCCTGAAAAGATCCCGAAGGATGGTAAGAGGATGCGCTGTAAAAACAACATCAAGAGACATCTGGAACGGGTCGCTACAACATACACCTACTCAACACTCTGTCCTAGTCCTTATAAGTATATAGGCAGCGGATTTAGATTCACAACAAATTGATGCAGGATCGCAGTGTAGATATGCGCAAGACCAAATCGGCGGACACAATAATGCGCTCGTGCAACTTTTGCAGGCAAAGAACGATGTGCAGATCGTTTCAATACTTCATTCTATGATACACTTTCAATTTCCACATCCTGTGTATGACGTAAACCATTCTCAACAGCCGATCATGTGAATTATCGTCCGAGGATCGGATAATGTACATCTACCCAACATGCAGGAACTTCTATTCCGAAACAACCAAATCGAGTTCTATTTTGCTTTCACCTCCAGACTTTCAACATTGCTATTCGATCATAGGCTGATCAGGCGCAGGTCCTCAGCGACCGACATTGAATTCTTTTACTTCTCAATAGAGGACTTCAGGAACCAGAATCTTTCCTTTCAACAGGATAAGAACTCATTTGCTGCTTATCACGGCAAGTCGCAAAACAGTTTAGCGTCTTGACGCTTTTTTAGCTCCAGCGGGGTGTCTACATCTTTCTGGGGGAACGCGCTAAAATGCGTTTCTATCAGAGTGGGGTCATTCGCAAACCAAGCCTACACTGTCCACGATTTCTCGAGGATCATGCCAGCTTCAATTCATGCAGAGAGAAGTCACTTTGTGTTCGTGCATTACGTGCTTGGCTATTTTACCGCAGAAGATATCAAATTCGAAACCTGATTTCTTCTTAGTTGTACTCCACGACTAGTCCTCCTCCAACCTGATGTGAAATTTTTTCGGCACCTTCCACATTGATACTAATCCATCAGTACTGCACGTGTACAAGATCATATTGTCTTTGCTGAAAACACAGTCGCGGACCCATGCTTCGTGCGCTCTAAAAGCGTGTAACAGAGACGCCTTAAATGCTGCTCTCGAAGGCGCCACACTCCACACTCGCACAGTGCTGTCACGAGCGACAGTCGCAAAGATTCGCCCGCACTGACTGAAAGCCACCTGGAGGAGAGAATCGAGACAGTGAGAAACTAAGGAGAGTGCTTGTTGTCAATGGAGAGAATGGAGAGAACGTAGAGAATGGAGAGAGTGAGAAAGGAGAGTGCTTGTCAATGAAACAAACCTCCAACTATGTATATATTGGTTGAGAATGCATATAAACAGACGGAGGGTAGAAAACGCTTGAATCAAGAATGTGCACTAAGAGTACTTAAGTACCTTGTAAATCGCTTCCTTGTGCCCGGTGAGCTGGTGGTGTTCTAAGTTGTATCCTCGAGGCCTATCTAGTGAGTCGCGAGCGGTTTCCTTCGTTAGATCCTTCAAGTTCCATAGGCGCGCAACACAATCCTCCCCAACTGTGACCACAAACGTGTCATTCAGAGGCGAAATCGCCACTGAATTTACCACGCCCAAATGTCCTTCTAACCGCGCTCGGATGTCGCACCTGAAAAATACATTCGGGAATCTTTTTTACTGTACAGCATCATATGACACCTCGACATTCTACTACTGCACGGTGCAACATCATTTCCTAGCCTTAGTTATCCTCTAGATAGTATAATTATAGGTTGTGCCCCAGTTGTAACGTGATCTTTAGATATAGCCTTGGTTATCTGCATCGGATGAAAATCATTTGTAGTACGTTGGTATCTCCCAATTTATGTGCCAAACGTTGACCATGCTGTCCGCCCCAACGGTGACCATTTTGCGTCCATCCGTAGGTGCAAACGCCAACGCCTGGACAGACTTACTATGTGCTGACTTTCCTAGCAATGGCACGTTCTGATCCACATCCCACAAGAATATACGTGTATCCGCACCCGCCGATGCGAAATTCTGTGAGTTTGGCGCAAACTGCAATGTCCACACCCAATTTGCGTGTGCTCGCAAAATACCTGTGAGTGATGTATCAGGTAATTGGTAAAGCCGTTCATCGCAATATTCAAGTTTTGCAATTCTTGTCAGACTAAGTATGCGTCAGAAAAGATGCTCCAGAGTGAAGAAGCTATTCTTCTTTGATTTTGACCAAGATGCTCCAGAGTGAAGAAGCTATTTCATACACGCAAAGACCAAGATGCTCGGGAGTGAAGAAGCTATTCTTGTTTGATTTTGACCAAGATGCTCGGGAGTGAAGAACCTATTCTTGTAAGACCAAGATGCTCGAGAGTGAAAAAGCTATTCTTGTTTATACACGCAAAAGCCAAGATGCTCCAGAGTGAAGAAGCTATTCTTGTTTATACACGCAAAGACCAAGATGCTCCAGAGTGAAGAAGCTATTCTTGTATATACACGCAAAGACCAAGATGCTCCAGAGTGAAGAAGCTATTCTGATAGGAGAGGATAGGATAGGATAGGATGCCTCGGCTTCGCCGCCACGCAAGGTGACAACACCACTCCGGCAGATCGCCCCTAGAAGGACGTTCTTGGGGGAAGGGTTTGCCGCCCGTGTAGGACGTCGTTTGATCGCACACAAAAACAAAATAGAAGTGAAGATGGAAGAAGTTACTCAGTACTTATTGGAAATCCTGTATCCACTTCCCAGAGACGTATTGTTCCGTCGGACGATGCTGATGCTAAGACTTGACAATCGGGTGAATACTGCACGCTCCAAATCGTGTCTCCGTGTCCCGTCAGTGATATCAGCAGTTGGTATCTGAGGTTGGGCATTGGGAAAAGAGTTTTCATGACGTCCTAGTATTGCGCTGATGCAATAGCTTCCGTTGTAGCAGGGTGGAACTGTTCAACATCACATCTCTTTCGTCTGAGTGCATATAGTTTTGCGTGTTGTATGATAGGATCACGAAGTAGAAAAAGGAGTACGTCATGAGGCACCACAGATGGATTTTGTTGTCGCTACTTGCTGAAGCCAGCTGCTTCCCGTTTGGACAGAGGGCAATGCACCAGACCGGAAAAAGTTTTTCATAGCTTGCTCTATCCTCATCCATCTTATTGGTACTCAAACTCAAGTACAACGGGAAGTGCTTGGGACCCGTTGACACGCCGCCCCCCATCTTCGCTGTTTTGAAGTGGATTAACGACGACGAAGGTAGATAGTAAGCGTCGACTCGGCTGTTGAAAGCCTACTGCTCACACAATGAAGGAGCCGTTGTAGATTTTCCGGCACAAGGTGGAGTTGTGCCAACGACCGCAACGAACGGTGCTGGGCTACGGCAGACGAAAAATATCGACTTCTGCAGCAAAGGGTCAGGCTTAGTGTTCTAAGATATTCGGCCGCGCGGATCTCGGGGGTATACGCACGCTCGGTACATGGACGCGATTAGTATCCCAGGTGCAGTGATTTTCGGAGGATATTAGAAGTCTGATGGTCAGCAATTCGTCTTAGACTGAGCTTTCCACGGCAATCTTCCTCCTTGATTCGTCTTCTTGTACGTGCTTCGTATGGTGCTGCACAAGTGTGATGTCTGCTCTTTTCGTTGGGGTAGTGTACTATTGCTTGTGTGTGCTTTGATTCATCTGTTCTTGTTGATTAGATCCATGTGCCGCTCTGCAATCGCGGCCCTGTAATGAATACCAAGGGCGACTTGAGGACACACGAATCTACAGCACGCCACGCTTTTGGCACACGAGCACGATTGATACCAATCCGTGTTCATAAAGTAGATTGAATGAGAGAAATCAGGGCTACCGCTGTTTTGAATGCGGCACTCGCAGATGCATAGTAAGAGAGAGAAACTAAAACAATTGAGGACTAACTCAACAGTGAAATTGATGTCTGAATCAAAATTTAGGTATCTTCCTTGATTTACTGCTCGTGTTAGTGTCTCTGAACATGATCAATCCATCATCTGTTAAGGGAGTCAAGCTACAGACGCCGGTTAGTATGAATGTAGCAGCCCTCGACAGCTACTTGATGTGCGTAATGTGCCTAGCTGGCTGCTCGACAACGATTAAGTGGACGTCAAATTATTTACGATGCACCTAACTTAGACAATAATGAGGGGCTGCCTCTAAAAATATACTGGAGCGGCAGGTTGGATATAATTGGGAGGACAGGGGAAGTAGCCTGTGACGGGTGGCAAGAGAAGGACAGGATCCAGATTGTCCGGTCAAGTCAACCGAGACCGACTACCAGGTGACTCAAGTCAGACATAATGACAACAAATGACCATAAAGGAGCACAACTTCCTCGCTCGAAGGAACACCATCAAAAGGCATAGAGGTTCCGCTCGATCTGTCATCTTGGAAACTCTCCGAAACACTCCCGCTTCGAAAACAACCGACTCCCGCGGAGCTAGGAAAATCTCTCTCAAGGGAACAAGTGGGCTCAGAGCAATCAGGAATATTGCCTCAGCGTGCTTAGGTCGACGAGAATAGCGAGGATATAATCAATAACATTCTAGCCAACACGACTGACGACGGACGTCGAGCGTCATGCAACAAATTTCGTGTAGTTAGAGAACGGTTTCTGAATCCTATAATTCTGGGTTGTTGTGGCCCAGTTGGAGAATCAAATGATCATGTGACATTTTGACTTCTCCATGCCACAAATTTTACTAGTTCTAGTAGGCAATCGCAATGTTCTTGATGTATTAGTTCTAACAAGTGTCTTGGACTTTGACATAAGGAAACCCTCTTCAAGGACAGGGGTCAATCAAACGACAATTCGAAAAAAATGACTTGCAGCTTGCTGATGACTTTTTTTAGCCCAACAAGATATACACATGATGAGTGAGCATGTAGTGTGTGCCTCGATACGAGAAGGCTGACAATGAGTTCATCAGCTTCTCTAGTATGCGACGCAAGCACCGAAGGAACAAAAAAATACTACAATGCCACCTCGGTGGAGATGAATCACGCTCCGAAACCTCCCATGACAGAAACACTCCTCCTTCTTGCAGTTCTCGTGAAGAAGCTTTTGTACTTGCAGAAAATCAATAGTTTGAAAAATAACCCTTGTAGGTGGGTTGGCATATGAGTCGTGGTTGCGGTCCATCAGCAAGAATTGCTAGGCATGGTGATTAATAACGCGCACGTAAACCCTGTCGTACGAAAAATACGTGTCAGACAAAGCAGGGTATCCTCCATCGTCAAGCTGCGCGCAGAAGTAGAAGATAGACTGGAATCCACTCGACAAAAAGCAAAGCATCTCGTCACTCGCTATCACTCTCCCAGGATCCTGGGAGCTCTTGCACGCGGAGGCTCAAGAAAGTGAACGGCTTGATTCATTCTATGCGCAACATCACTTCTCCTTTCTATGGCGTTTTTGGTGTGGCGAAATTTTTCCCGACAAACAAGGGAGTCACGACCAATGTTAGAAGTTGTACTTGAGATATTAAGCAAGGGGGGTAAGACGATGGAAATTAACCAGTTAAAGAAGTTGTACTAAGGACCTTGATCTTATTCAGACTTGTACTCAAGTCTTGGACAAAGATCCTCTCCAGTATGTTGTCATGCATTTGGAGCGGAAGGAAAAGATCAAACACTAGTCATAACATTGTCACTGTGGACACGAGTTTGATGAGCACGTGGACACTTGGGCCTGCCGTGTCCTTGCAAGGGTCGCCCACAGTGTCTCCGCAAACTGCTGCCTTATGCGCTTCACTATTTTTGCCCCCGTGAGCGCCGGTTTCAACGTATTTCTTCGCGTTATCCCAAGCACCACCCGCGTTGTTAAGAAACAGTGCCATCAGAATCCCAGTCGCGGTTGAAAACATCATGAAACTTGCGACCGCTTCAGCACCTCGGTGATATTGTCGTGTTGTTTATTAGTAGAACAGCTACTACTTGAACCCCGCACTAATACGCATTCTTTGAAGTTGACACTACAACTACCTATTACTTCCCTATTATTCCAACACATGTGCTTTTAGTGTGTGTAGTGTACCTAGTAAAGGCTGCCCTCTTTGCTGGCCGACATGGCGGAATATGAAGCCGACAAGAATCGGTGACAGCGTTGCGAGGAGCGCAGGCTTGACCATTTCTCTTAATGCCGTATTGGAAACTATATTCACACAGGTCCGGTAATCCGGCTTTTGCCGCCACTCTAAGATCCCGGGAATCTCGCGGAATTGGCGTCGGACTTCCTGCACCACCTTCTGTGCTGCTTTCCCGACCGCGGTCATCGCGTAAGACGCAAACAGAAACACGCACATCGAGCCGATCAGTCCTCCAACAAAAACCTCTGGGATAGCCAAATCGACCTTCTCGAATTTTACGCCGGAATAGAGTGAAACTTCGTCGAGAAAAGCCGAAAATAGCAGGAAGCAAGCCAGGGCAGCCGAGCCAACGGAATACCTAGAGAACGAAGAACATGCGAGAGTAAGTGGAAGAAGGAAAGTGTGCAAATCTTTTTTTGATACAGATATGTTATCCACCCTATTTGGAAGTAGGTAATGTAACTACTATGTATATGGTGGCATTGGCATCCATTGAATTTATCATGAAGTGATGGAGCCAATTCTGTACCCTTTTGTGTTGGCCTTTGTCACGTTGCCGACTGCATCAAGTCTGTCCGTTATCGCTCTCACGTGTTCCGGCTGCTGCGACATTTCAACGATGCCTCCTGCGTTATCTGCTATCGGGCCAAAAGACGACATTGCTAAGACGAAGACAGCCGTCGAGAGCATACCCATCGTTGCCACGGCCGTCCCGAAGAGACCGGCTGTTACACTATTTGAATTGCCCGGTACTATCCCGGACCGCATTCCCAAGTTGTAGGACGTGCACTGTAAAAGAAGGGAACAACGCCGAAGATCTGGCTTCGCACGAAAAACGAAAGAAAAAGTAGGATCAGGCACGCGGCAGAACTATTTAATAAGCATAACAAACTACAACTTGGGTGTTTGACCATCATCAATCCAGGAAAAATATTAATCCTTCTCCTGTTGAACGAAATACCAGTGCTCCCGCTATGACGAGTGTCGCCGCACCCGTCGATTCAAGTCCGACGGCCATCCCCGCTATTACGTTTGTTGCCGGGCCAGAAAGCGATGCCTCTGCAATGCCACGTACTTTGGAAAACTCATAATCCGTGTAGTATTGCGTTATTATGACAAACAAATATGCAGCAACGAGACCAACTACTCCGCAGCCGCAATACCAAAGCCATGCATCAGGCGCTTGTTCGGAGTGTAGAAGCAACCAGCATAGTATGAAGAAACCCACGACGCCGAGCGATAACGAAACAAGGTACGCCCTGAAGGATCGTGTGTCGCTGTCTATAGAAGCTGTAAATGCGAGTCGTGGCAACATGCAGCGAGGTACAACAAATGAAGCTGCCGAACTATACTGAAACTCTTCTTCGAAGCAAAGACTAGCAGAGTGCAATGGCCAGGGAAAACTAGAAGCATGATAGGCACCTCTTCATTATGCCCATGGCGTCCTCGACTGCTGCGCCGCCTTCCGGCAAGCCTTTCCTTGTTTTTACGAGCATGATTCCAATGGAAGATATGATTATGTCCATGCTGTGTACTGCTAGCGGAAAAATGACGAATCCATGTCGATTATTTTGCGATATCAGCTTCGCCTCTTCTGTCAGCGCCCCGCCTAAAATCATCGCTGCTATGAATGAAGGATACAACATCAGGCTATGATGGCAAGAAAAAAATTCCTCCCCCGAAGATGTCTGTCGCCGTTTACTTTCTGGCGCAGAACTCTTTCTCATTTCGAAGCAAAGTCTTCTTCATAACATGATTTCTGCTGCTATAGACTCAAACGTGTCCGCACACTGCCCGGCGCAGTCCCCGACGTTGTCGCCTACTAGATCGGCAATCACAGCTGGATTTCTAGGATCGTCTTCAGGTATTCCTGCCTCCACCTTTCCTACCAAATCAGCGCCAACATCGGCGCCTTTTGTATAAATGCCACCACCTAGCTGTGAGAACATTGCTACCAGCGACGCGCCAAAACCGTAGCCTACCTAATATTTATGGTTGTACGAAAGTCCTCTCATGCAATGATCATGAAGATTCATTCGTATAATAGTGCACCTCAATTTGAAGGAGCGAGAAACTACAAAATGTGAAAATAGAAGAAGTACCAAGAGCAATGGCATCTGGTGAAATTGGAGGCCGGGTATGAGGAACATAATGCAGAGAATCATGCATGCTATGCCCAAGACTACGAGAGACACATTCACGACTGCTGTGAAGCCTCCTCCTCGAAAACAGAGCTGAAGTGCGTCATTGTAACACCTTCTTGCGGCTGACGCAACGCGAATATTTGTTCTTACGCTGACCCACATGCCAGCGTAGCCGCTAAGCGCACTTGAGGCTGCACCCACTAAAAAAGTCAATGAAGTGACAACAGCCATGCTCATCGGTCCCACAGGTCCGGTCCCAGCCTCCCGAAAGAGAAACATCACAAACAGCAACATAGAAAAAACTATCGTCACCCGCTCGATGGTCTTGTACTGCATCGCAAAATACCCCTCAGCACCCTCCGAAATAGCGTCCGAGATTAGAACTCGAACAATGTCGACAAAGAACCCATTGATAGTCACGAGCAGTCACGTAGATCAACCAAATTTCAACAGATGATTACAACTCAGTAGATTGAGTCTCTGCAGTTTTTTCAGGTTCTCAGTTGAATCTTGTCATAATGAAATGACCTGCATGTTTTGTGTCCCCTCATCAAATTGATAGATCCACACCAAAAGCCAAAAGCAGAATCCCAAGCCCAATAAGCCGACAAATATTGCCCACATTGTCGCTTTGAAGCCCACGTTGTCCGAAAACAGTTGTATCCCCAAGCAAGCTACCAGCATCAAACCTAAGAGTCATAGGCAAAAAAACTTAGCAAGTGTGCGTTCTGGTTTCGTAATCGCCTTCGGCTTTTGCGAGGGAATCATGGGTACACAACCATGCTATTTCCCTCAGGCGATAAAGAACCAACAAGAATTGCAAAAGACTGCGCGAGGATAATTTCTAGCCAAATTCTTACCAAAATGAGTACCTAAAGGTGGCAATGCTGCGCTGCCCGACCCTGATAGGGCAAGATTTTCGATAAAACTTAGTTTTCTTTTTGGGCAGTAGGCAACGTTAGAATCATGACCAGGCGCCGATGATGCCCATCCATTGCCCATACTGTCGTTGCTAAGACAGCCATTCCCGCCCATACCACCTTCTACATCGACTGGAGGTGGCCCCGCTACGCTGTAAAGCTCCTTGCGGACGAAACCGCCTCCAAACGCATCCACCGTCATTTTCCTTTCTTTACAGTCAGAGTGCTACTCTATCAATGCTGCGCTCTGCAGCTCCTAGTGCTGCTGGTGATAACGCGAACCAGGAGGTACGAAATATTGGTGCATGTGCGCCTGCGACACCCTTTTTACGATGCGCAAAATCACTCTGTGGCCCGCGAACTTAGGCAGAGGTAGGACGACTGAAAGGCACGACTTCCCCCTCTCCGCGTACCAACAGGTCACAACCAAACTAATGCTACCGCACTGCGCCCGCCGCGCGCTTCTCCTCTACGCAAACCCTGACGCACGCCAGCGATGGAGACACCTGGCATACTCCGACGGCACCGTGGATCTCCCATCAAACTGGGTGCTGTCAAAAGTCCTCACCAGACAGCGAGAGAAACTGTCCCATAGTTTTGATTCCCTGGCTCCGAATGAAAAAAAAGATCACCATGTATGAACCGCAGAAACGAATTCACACAAGGCTTGCGACTTCCTTATTACAAGCAATGATCATCCATAGTGAGGGTTGGGTATTCATCATGGAGTTGTTGGCGAGTAATCAAGATGAAAAGTTAGTACACATTGGAGATGCAACACGAAATTAAGTCATCATGGAACAAAATGCGTCAGTGGTTTAGACTCTCTCTAATAAGTACATCGGCACTCGTATCCCTCGCCATTTTCATGAAACATGCTTGAAACCTCCTAGACACAGACTTGCTTCGCAACCGACGAGAATGAAACTCAGAGACTAAAACTTAACAAGTACGATGAACACTGCCGCACATAGAAGAAGTTCGCGTGGTGACTTGGGAAAAACTAAACGAAATTCAGGAGACGATATAGATTCAAATTTAACTTTCATACTTCAAAGATCATATCCATCGCATGTTGCTGATGCGACCATGGCATCCATGTTCATCATCAACTTGGGGTGATGATATAAAAACTTCTTCCACCACAACTTTCGTCATTGAAAAAACCATCACTGTGGCCTGTTCTAGCGCAATGTTAGACGTTCTTTCATTTTTCACGAATACCTCGATCACAACAATAATGGACATTTATTCTCATAATGGCAAATACTTGTTCTACCTCTGGAGAACGAATCCAGCGGCAGAGGAATGGAGATTCAGATCTGCTTTAAATATGTTGCAGCCTCATGTCGGGACCAGTTAGAAATAAGTTCAACCTTATAGACATCAAGAAATGGGATGTGAAAACAAATCTCTGCATAGTTTACGGGATGAGAATCTCGATACAATCCTATACATAGAAAATGAAGACGAGTTCTTCTCTTGAACTTTCTTCTTCCATTTTTGTGGTAGACTATCCAAAGGGTCTGCCAACTACCACGCCAAGCAGAGAAACGATTTCTTTGAAGTAGAAGTTGGTTTGTCGTCCACCTTTCCTCTCTGGTTTTAGATACTTAAACGAAACTACATTTAGGAGTCTCCATCACTCGAATCGTCGCTGCTCAGATCAGAGCTTCTCGGATAGTTTGTAGGAGGGACGACAATGAGCGTCAAATCCGCATTTCCGTCCTCATCAATTGTAGCTTCAAGGGGAACACGGCGCTGCTTCTTCGCGCTCATGTTGTTGCCTGCATGATCCTGTGTCCACGGCACAACTGCGAATTGGGTTGCCGCAATGAAGGAGAAAAAGTCCCTGTACAACTCATCTGCTTCGTCGAGCTCTTGCGCTGGCCACGACTGCAGCGCATGAAAAGGCAATAGCAGGTCCGCGTTCTGCAGGTTCGGGGATTTCTTTTCACAACACGGAATGGCTGACAAACTCCGACGCCTGTTCATGACGAATGCTCTCGCCTGAGGAGCAATATCATGCAGCGCGCTAAGTAGGTTGCGTCCTTCGTGGGTCATTAAGTCATGGCTACAACGCGCCTGAGCACCGGCCTCGCAGCTTTTCAAAACCATCGGGACAGCGTCAACGAGGAAAGCGAACGCAGTGTCAACCGCCGCCGTAAAAGGGAGACAGTGCTGGAGGATCTGCTTGCGCAGGCAATGGACCAAAGGTGGCAGGATAAGCGCGCCGCCCGTGGTCGCGCCCACAAATTCGATGTCGGTAAAAGTTTCACCCTGCCTGATGCAGACATCCGTCATTTTGTTTCGTCCTCTGTTTTTATCAAAGACCACCTCCGAAGAATGCTCGTCTATAAACGAAAAGGAAGTCTCCACCTCCGGCTTTCCTGATTCAGAGCTGATGTGAGTCTCACATACAGGCTCATTCTCGTCCGAGAGCTCGTAAAATGCAAGGACCACACCTACACTTCTTGACCGCTTGTACAGCACCTCTCTCGCCAGACGCGCCGCCATCTGGTGTCGCGACGACGCTCCTTCGCCTCCCCCTCCACCATCCGCCGCCGCATCCTCCGCATCCATCTGATCGTAGTCGTAAATCTGCGCTCGCGCGTTCAGATCTGCATCGTAATCAAACATGTCCGAGTCTACAATCAAAACCTTGAGTACTACTTCCTTTCCTTCAAGCGCCTTCAGTGTGTTGCGTCGCGATGTTCGCGTAATCTTTACACGCTCACGGATGAGACAGGCGCTTGCGCGTTGCATTCGCTCATAATGGGACTTACCACGCATTCTGACGCTTCGCGGAGGGGGACAGCCCGGAGTCAAAGGCGCAGGTTCCTCAGCAGCTGTTCGAACCGTTTTGCAGCATGGCGCCCCGAGGGAACCATCGGACGAAGATCGCCTTTCCAATTTTCTTTCATCGCCATTGACAGCGGCAAATATTTTGCTAAAAATAGAGCTACCGCTGGTACTCCTAGTGGTGCATGAAGCTTCGTCCGAAAAATCGTCATCACACGCTGAGCGAAAGCCGTGGTCACTAACACTAATGCTCCTCTTCTTTATTTCTTCTTCAAAGATTGGCATATTCGCAACGCCATGCTTGATTGCCGGAACATCGTCTCGACCATTAACCGTCTCTCTCAGATCCACTGGAAAACAACGCTCAATCGCATCCTGACGTGCCTGAAAATGCAGTGCGCGAATCCGTTGAAAATGCAGCACTGCGAGTCCCGTAACGTCGCCTACAGTCTCCAGCACTTCTCTGTCCGGTCCACGCAACACAAGCTCGTCTGTCGGACCCCAGGCTTCACTTGGGATACTGAATCGAACCGTAGGTCTCTTATCCCCATCAGAACACTTTCCCCATTCTGTTGATGAGGCACTTGTCGTTTCCTCCCGCAAATCTTCCGCTTTTTCTAGCGGCACTTCCACCAGAACGTCGCCGTTGATACTGAACAGTCTCAGGTGGTAATCTTCACTACTTGGCGAAGATAGTATCGCTTCTCCACCAACGTTAGGCTTGATCTCAGTTTTGGACAAGGCGTGTTCAAGTTCCTCCACAAGCTCAGCAGAAGCATCTTCAGAGCCAAAAAGCGGTGACGCTGTTCCAAAATAAGGCGAACGCTGCGCATTTAACAACGACTGCAACATTTTTTCAAGCTAGAACTAGATATACATGAGAGTAGTAGAACCAATGGGGAAAAAGTAGTGCCACAAGAAAAATTTCAAAACATGGAAGGTGAAGGGATAAAAGTAAGAGGTGCATTACAGATAAAAACAAGACACAACGGTTTCACACAAGGGCACAAACTACTACGAAAACTAGAATTCAGAGGAGTTTCGGGAAAAAACGTGCGAAAGCTCACGCGTTGGACGTTATATGATTTAGTCACCAATATAACCCACAGTTACTTCCCTACTTGATGCCCTCTTTACAACCTTCTACACACTCGAGCGCTCCAAATTAACTTGTTTCACTGTAAACTAGTAGAGTATGTCAGGATTGATACTACAGCCTCTCGACTCGTCACTGAATGAGGACAACAATTATACACTTGATCCAGATCCTCGTGCCATTATTTACATCGGACCTCATCATGATCTGTATGCTTATTTGCGATCTTCTTCAACTTTAGAATTGATCTGAGGACCTAGCCTGCCTCCGATTACATTTTTTGATCTTGTGGGATACCACATAGAAAACACGACGCCAGTGACCGTCTTTGAAGAATTGTTTGTCACTTGGTATGCTGATAGGACGAGATCATATTGTTTTGAATCTTGATCGTGCTGGGTTGAAGATCTTGCCTCCCAACTTGTGAACTTGTAAATTGATCCGCCTTTGCCAACTGGTCGACGTCGAGATGATCTTTACATTTTCTACTTCAGTTACTTCCTAGGAACAGCTCAACTACAATATTCTGCCACACAGAGCCAACTATTGCCTGCCTAGAAGTTGTAAAGTGTACGGGTAGGTATAGTAGGAGCTTCTCTGTTTCCCCTCCAGCATTTTTTTACGCGAGAATTAATCGCGTGCTTTTACGCACTTGCTGCTGCTTCCACTACACTGCAGCTTGTGTTATCAAGAACGAAAGCACGGGCCTGCTTTACATGTGCACAGGTACAACACGGATATGACTTGATGAGCATGGTCTGCGGATCTCACAAATGCTTGTTACGTTTTGCTCACCACTGAAAGCCCCCAACTTGCCACGTCGGAGTCGCTCCCCACCTCGCGAATTCTCTCGCGGCCTTATCCGAATCGACTCTGTTGGTGTCACACGAAGGACCCGGTGCTATGCCCAAAGCTTCGTAATGTACGCCGCCAGTGAGCCAAATGCTGTCGATGCCTGCACCCTGTGCGCCGCATATGTCGTGCATCAAGCTGTCGCCAACCATGGCGATCCGCCGTTTATCTTCCGCAGTTTCGACTGGCACGCCGTGCTCCCTCTTCAAGTACGCCAGCGCTTCGTCGTAGATCACCGCGTGGGGTTTGCCGTAGTAGATGGCACGACCACCAAACTTCTGCACGTATCTGGCTGCGAGAGAGCCTGCCACCAGGTCGTGCGTGCCGTCCATACGTGGCGCTGACATCAAGTCAGGGTTTGCGCACAGACATGGCAGATTTCGAGCGGCCGCTTTCGCCAAAATCTCATCTACTATTCGTTCCTCTTCTGCGTGCGCTTCGGAAATTTGTTTAGTCGTCAAATGCATGTGTTGACCTTCTTGTTCACTAGAAGGAGCGCAGCCACTTGCTGCTCCACTTTGAGGATTCTTCTGCACGCCATCTCCGTTACTTCCAGTATTGTGGTGCACAACCGGTGTGCTTCCACTGCGGTTCATTGTGAATTGCAACTTGCGAACGCAGTGGCCCTTGGAGTCCGCGATTGCACCATACCCAAAAGCAAAGAGAAGCGTTGCATCTTCTATGCTGTCTACAAACTCCAAGCGTCCCTCCAAGCCTTCCAGAAATTCTGGCAAGTAGCCGTCACCGACGTCGAATACGAACGCTTTTCGGCCAAGCCCGAGTTTCGACACTGTGTCTTCGTCTTCATTCGCCGGCACGTGATGAAAGAGCTGCCAGACAAGCTCCCCCGAAGTCACGAACCCGTCTATCTTGTCCGACGAAACTTTCTGCCGCTCGGCCTAGTCGGTGTGTGCAGTGAAGCATGACGGCTTGAGTGAAGGAAGGCAAAGGCAAACAGTTGTGAGGACACTTCTAGTTCCTTTTCGGCAGGAAGTTCTCTCGTGCTCGTCATCTCATTCATACAATATAAGGAAACCTGACCGCGTCTGAGAATCCATGATAGTCTAGATCTTTCGGAAAACATTATCATCTTGTACCTAGTACCATCCGCTGCATCGTCTTTTTCGCTCGCTTCGTGCTATTGCTAAGCATCACTACTTTTACTGGGTGTCTCCTCAACTCTGTGAGGCAGTCCTCCACGCCTTCGTACACCATATTCCCGTCGTGCAAAACGCCAAATTGGTCGACTAGAAGAGCGTCGTAGCGATTTGGCACTATATCACCCAGACCAGCGCGCACCGCGACGTCTTTGACTCCCGTCATATCTTTCGCCATTCTTTTTCTTTGCAGTTTCTCTATCACTCTCAAGTTCAGGTTCTCTCACATCACACACAGACACAGAACAAGACCTCTGTCACGAAGACCTGGCTCATAAACTGATAGGCAACTAAGATATGGAAATCGAGATCTTAGTTTTTCTTTTTTCCTTCCCTGTCATCTCTCAATTTATCCAAATTACTTTACCCTTCACTCCCTAAGGGTGAGGATCTCAGCTTTTGTATCCATTCCTTTTAGCTCCGTCGATTATACCGATGAGTTTAAGAACGCTATCTATCCAAACGAAAAGAGGAAATCGGGATGAAAATCGCCAGCCTTCTGCTCTGCCTTCTTGCTTCCCCACTATAAGGGCGAGCCTGTGTACAGTCACGGATAAAAGTTCGCCATTCTTTTGAATGATCCGGGGAATTTTAGTGGTATAGACATGGTGTATCACTAATTATTATCTCGTTTCTCGCATATCTTCTAATTTTAATCTACGGAAGAAAAAAAGTTGTTGTGCGTTGATCATACAAGAGCGTAAGTAGCCGTTCAAGTCATGGCAGGAAGGTAAGTAGTTTGCTATGCGAAGATATCGAAGGGAGTCCTCTCGCGCTAATTCAGTATGGAGAAAGCGAAAGTCAGTACAAACCGCGCATCTCTTTTCGCCGTCCGCAGTCAGTGCTTGGTCTAACAAACACACTTGCACTACAGAGGCACAAGCACCATTAATCGCGAATCCGGATTGCCTCTGCCAGGTTACTCTTGTCGTATGGAAAAATACCGATCAAGATGAAAAAGATGTTTCGCTTCGATCTTTCCGCCTCGAAAGGTATGATATTCTACTGAAATAAATCCAAATCCTCCACAATTCAAGTGCATTGATGTAACGCGAAGAAGGTGACTAAAAACTTCTTTGTCGCATGCTCGTCTACAATGTAAGGATATCATCATCATGGAAAATATGACTATATATAAAAAAGAGGACTAAGACTTTCGCTTTCGCAGATCAGTTGTGTGATTAAGATTGTAATGGTGACCTCTAGTCTGAAAGCATCGACAGCTTACTCTTGTTTCAAAAAATCGAAAAAAAGGAACACCGAGACTATCTCGAGAGCAAGCGCAGTCTTCTGGCTGGTGGGCAGGGGCGCTCAACGGATGTGCGCGAGGGGCACACGTCACGTACATACATTGAGCCCCGGACCGCACGGCAACCAAAACTTGTGGTGGATTTGACAGAAGTCGAAAAATATGACGACGCCCCAAGAGAGGAAAGGAATACCTGTGCCCTCACTATTTTGAAATCATCTTCATACTGCAGCCCAAAATCGAGCCTAACTCTGCTGCCCCTCAAACTCAATTGCAAAAGTTTGAATTCAGGAAAGGGGAAGTCACATATTGATTGTGACTGGAAATAGGTGGTCTCGCAATGTGTCTAATTTTCCTCATTTTTCCTACCTATGTCATGTCAAATAACATTTATTCGTCGGTCTTCAACAAGCTGGAAGAAGGCATTTATCATTTTTTTTCAGAAGTTCTAAAAATACTAATTTCGTTTACATTTGATTTGAAGGGACCCACTGGGGAGCACGCTAACCGCCTGTGCCTCTATTTTCATGTCAGTAGATGGACCCATCGCTTACACTTCTTCAAGACCTAAACCAGCATCAAAAATACAGTATCAATCTATACCCGAGATAATATTAAGAGCAAAAAAAAGCAACAACGCCCCCTCCAATCTCTCAGCCAAACACACACGAACCAAAAAACACGCGACCCCCGTAAAAAAATTTTCCGCTCTCTTTTCCAATCCACCAACGAACCGACAAACACAACACGTGAACGCGTGAGCGCCTGAGCTTTCCAAACCCCGCCTCTTCGCCGCTGAGTCGAACTCTTTCTGGACCTCTCAAAAGCCCGAAAATCTCTCCTAGCCTCCGCGGATCTCTCCTAGCCTCCGCGGATCTCTCCTAGCCTCCGCGGATCTCTCCTAGCCTCCGCGGATCTCTCCTAGCCTCCCCGGATCTCTCCTAGCCCTCCGGATCTCTTCTGGGCCCCCCCCGGATCTCTCCTAGCCCCTCCGTATCTCTTACTTTCGGTCACCCCGGATCTCACCCCGCATCCCCCCGGATCTCTCCTAGCCTGGAAGATCTCTCCTAGCCCGGATGATCTCTCCTAGCCCGGATGATCTCTCCTAGCCCGGGTGATCTCTCCTAGCCCGGATGATCTCTTCTAGCCCGAATGATCTCTCCTAGCCCGGATGATCTCTCCTAGCCCGGATGATCCCACCCTCCCAGCCCGGACCCGGATCTCTCCCAAGCCAGATCTCTCCCGACCCAGATCTCTCGCCACCCATATCTCTCGCCACCCAGATCTCTCCCAAGCCCAACCCAGATCTCTCCCAGCCCTGATCTCTCCGAGCCCAGATCCCTTCCAGCCCGGATCCCTCCGAGCCCGGATCTCTCCCAAGCCTGATCTCTCCCAAGCCTGATCTCTCCCAGCCCGGATCCCTCCCAACCCGGATCCCCCCCACCCCGGATCCCTCGACCCCGGATCTCTCAGTCGGCCCCTGATCTCTCCGTCAGCCCCTGACCTCTCCGTCAGCCCCTGATCTCTCCGCCAAGCCCTGATCTCTCCGCCAAGCCCTGATCTCTCCGCCAAACTCTGATCTCTCAGTCAGCCCCTGATCTCTCAGCCAGCCCCTGAGTTTTCAGCCCACCCCTGATCTCTCAGCCAACCCCTGATCTCTCAGTCAGCCCCTGACCTCTCAACCCAAGAAAAACCTATGAACCCAGGGGCATGGCGTGGTATACTTGTAGGCAACTTCTGAACTTAGGAGCTACGGCCCTGAGGCTTCAAGCCTTCAGCTTGAAGCCTACAACGCGCCACCCTGGACTTTATTAAATCTATTTCTTTGCTGATAAAAATAAAAAGTTTGCGACTTTGAAAAGTTTCAAGTTCAAACTTTGAAAATAGCAAAATAATCGATTTTATCGAGGAAGCATAAATCTCAAAAAAGTTAAGCGCTAGGCTTTTAGTTAAATGCAAAGGAGACAAATTGCATTTATATACGTTCGCGAACGCTAGGACTTTTTATCTTCTTCTTCACCCTCAAGGTGGAGGTGCTGCGTTTTTATATAATTCCCGGCCTGTTTCAGTTGTGCAAATCGTGAAGGTTTTGCCTGATTCTCATGCGGTTGCAAAGTTGTCAAATGTGTGGACCTTCTTGCTCATAAGTAACACGATAAGGATCCACATCATCAGCATGGTACTTCAGTGCTGTGATCTTTGTCACCATATGACTGCAAACGCAATGAGTTCCATCGCGTTCATGTTCTTGATGATCTTCATGTTCATGAAAATACCAGGATCATCATCCTCATCTTCTTACTCTTATCATTTGCAGAACAGGGGAGCTGGATCATGTCCCCCCTTAATCTATACCCCACCTAATGAATGACGTGTAGGCTACCATAATAATAGTGGTTGCAAGTTCGACTATATTCCAGCGGGTGAAAGAATATAATACGGAAAAAACGCGACGCATGTTGTGATTGCGGATGAATGAACTCTGTTGCACAATATTAGAAACGTAGGCTATTCCCACGTAGCCAAGTATAAGAGTTAGAGCTCTTCGCCAGAGTCTTCTTCAGCAACATTCTCAGTGTTGTTTTGTTCTTCTCCGTTTTCCTCAGGGGCAGCGGCTGCTTCCGCCGGTGCTGCCTCTGCTGGTGCTGCTTCTCCCTTTTTTCTGGCTTTCTTCAGCGGTGGCCCTTTTGCTCCACCGTCTTCCTGTTTACCTTTCCCCTTTTTGCCTTTTCTTTTGTCGCCTTTGTGTGGCTGCTGCACCGCTTGCTTCCCCTTTCCTTTGTGGTAGCTGTTGTTGTTCTTCGCCGCCGAGCTACTACTACTGCTGGAACTACTAGACGCAGAAGAAGCCTGCTTGTTCCCAGGTGTCATCCTGTGGGGCACCCGTGTCGATGTTGGACAGGCTTGAACGAGGTTGGTTGTGTTTTCGATTACTCCCATGGATCCAACGGCATCCAAGTTACTCGCCGTCTCTCAGGCGTAAATCAAACGCAGAGCAAAATTGTGGAAGAATGCACTTCCTTCTTTCCTCATTTTCCTCGCCAAGTCCCAATAGTCGGTCTGCATAGCTAGACCCATGCCCGAGCACTGTCGACTGTAGTGAAAATTCATGCTCGGGCCGTTGTTGGATATCCACTCCTTCCAAGCATTCTCCTCTTGGACGAGCATGCACGACAAGCATAGCTAGAACGCTTTTGCATAATCGCCACCCGACCTGCATCCTTTCAAAGTTGCGACGTGTCGCTCAGTGATCTCGTAGAAGATGTGGCTCTCTATTCCGGGATCAGCTGGAAACGCAGGCGAAGGAGGTCCTGTAGCACGTGATACCTCGCTACCTCAGATTGCTGACGTCAAAGATTGACGCCAAGCTTCCGCCCCCGTAGCCATTTTGGCTCAAGGCCGGGAATTGTATAAAAAACGCATCACCTCGAGGGTGAAAATGAGCAGTCCTAGTGTTCACAAACAATAAAGAAAGTTGTGCCAGAAGCCCCACGATCTTGATCTTGTCGAGCACGTTGAACAGGAAAGGGCCAACGCTAGCTTCTCTCCTCTCACACACTCATCGAGCCGCACAAAGCCGAGGACGCACTAAGGCGCAAGAGGAAGATACGCCTGATATTTAAATGCTGAGGTTGAGTAATGCTGAAAAAAAGGAAAAGATGCTACAGCCCATGGCGTCCCACCCCCACGACTCCGGGCGGGGAGTATAGTCGGGGGTAGGTGCTCGCACCTCGAGGAGGCCGCCGCGCTAGTAGAAACCATGGGAGAAAAATTTTTAAAGTTTGAAACTTGAAAGCGTCAGCTTTCGCGTAAAGATGGCCGCACCTCACAAAAGACAAGCAAACTCCCGGCCCTACGATTTCGAGGCGTGTCGCTTCAAATTCAATGGCCGCACGCCGCCCCACGCCGCCCGCAGCCCGGCTTTTGTTCCACCGATCAACTCCGCGAGGGGGCTATCGCGCGGGGCAGGAGCCGGGGAAGCGGGGGCACGCCATGGCGAGGAAAGTGCGCGCAGAGGGTAGAGGATCCTCGTGGGAGGAGTGCTGCCGAGCGCTTAGGTCTAGCATTTGGTCGCCATGGTCTCGCTGTCTGGTGAAACTTTTTGAGAAGTTACTCCATCCAGCTGTAGCTACAATTTCCTTTCCCCGTTTCCCGCTCCGAGCATCAGCCTGGCGCAGCTCTTACCGAGCATGCCACAACACTGGAATAAAACGCGGCATTGAAACGACGATCCAAATTGCACGGGACGCAGGTTTAACAAACATGTAAAAAGGTGAAACGACGCAATAAATCAGGCGCCAGACGTGCCACACCCTGCCACAGTGTTGCGCACTGGAGCAAGATAGTGATACAACAAGTATGGCTTTGTTTCGCCGAAGAAGCCCGGCAAGAGCAAGTGCTCAGTGGAGCATGTATCAGATTAGTAGGCGCCTTTGATACAATCACGCTTCTTTGACGTAGAAACGGGATGGATAGGTAGCACCTGCATACACAGAGTTATCATACCACTTTATCTGATCCGATTTGTTCGTCCTTGGACTTCAGTCAGTGATGTCCAAAAATCCATAATTTCGTTTTCTATACTAGATATTCCTTTTGTTGTTTATGATGCGCTGCTCGACGAGTGACATTGTAACATTGTAATAATCAACTTCAAGACCTTGCTCTGCGACGTACGTAATAAAACCAGTACAGCTGACTCTGAGATACTATAGAAAATAATTCATTGATGTGTCATCTATGTAAATGTACAGATAATCTTCATTTTTTTACCATATGCAGTTGCAACGGAGCAACTCATTAGAAGTGTGTCCATTTGTATTGGTTAAATCAAAGGGAATAGCCTAAGAAGAGGGAATAGCCCAAGACGGCATATAAACTACTTCAGAAAAAATACAACGCCAGGTATTGTGAAAATATTAACGAATGGACTAGACCGCGTTTAACAAGGCGACCAGCAGACTAACTTAGGTACTTATTGTTTAAATACGAGCTCGAGGTGACTTTGGGTATCTACAGGTATTCTTAGGGAGTGCGTTCCGTTGTCAGATGTTTCCGATTTAAATGTAAGAGCGGGTATTGTGAAAATATTTCCAGAGAGAAAGGAGCGATCAAAGTCGCTGCAGCCCTGCAGACAGTCGAAACTGAACACAAGGACAATCCCTACTAAGTGCGATTAGGTGTGTCGGTCCTTGTCTAACAAAAAACCTTTCACCGCGAAGAGGAATCTGCTGCTCCTACTCGCTCGCTCTTCGTCTTCGTCTGTGCGGGGCGGAGGTAGGTGGTTCGGACCCGTCACAAACAGGGCAGTGCCACAGCCACGACAGGCTCGTGCTCCAGCTGCGGCTGCGTTTCCGCCTCCAGAAGAACTTCCTAGTGAAGCGGTTGGGGAAGTGACGGCTCCTCCTGCGATTGGAGACCGGGCTACGTGCATGGGACTCGCACTTTCACTCGCGCTTCTGTAGTTCGGCGGCGAGCCGGAAGCACCTCCTCCCTCCGTTGGGTCTCGTTCATTCGCCGATTTATTTTGACGAGATTCTCCTTTAGATACGCAGCTGGCACAAAAGTTCCGCCGTCTCTGCGCTATGTAAGACAAGACTGGTGTAGCCCATTGCGCGTCCCTCAGTGCAGCACGCGAGAAGTTCTCTACTACGGTTTCCGGGTTTGCTATTCCGACGTAGCGCGCAGCCAACCACTGTCCCACTGCCGGCCACAAACCCTGTGGCAAGTCCCGAAAAAAGATGCGAAAAAGCCTAACTTTCGCCCACATAGGGTCTCTGGTGCCGTCGTCTAGTACGCTAGTAGCAGCCAGCTCGAAAAGTTCCTCGAAGACGGGTTGTGCGCGAAGCCACGCAGCCTGCTCTGGGTCCACGTAGCGCACTGCCATCGCGGAGGCTGGCGCATTCTTCTCCACCACGATCTCGTGGTGCCGCAGTACACTCTCGACAATCTCAGTTGCCAGCGAGTACATTTTCTGTAACCACGTGTAATCCCGTTCGAACGCTAGAATTTCTCGCACGAGCTGCAAAAGGCCAGCGAGGATCTCGCGAACAGCGGCTAGCGACAATCCCGGCGACGCATCGCTGTCCTTCACCTGGTAGAGCAACCGACGACCGCAATTTGTGTGCACATTGAGAAGAAATCGGTAGAACTCCTCCCTCGGAAACACTGCCTCGTCTTCGGATCCCTCAGCCGCGTGTAGACCTGGACTTGCCCCGCCCATCAATCCTCCGCCGGACCCATTCTTCATTTTTTCGTCATTTGCCTTCAGTAAAGCCACATAGGCTTGGAACACGAAAGCTGTTGGCCACGCGACATTAACAAGGAGGTGCTGCAGAGTCACTGGAGAACAAAACTCTCCTATTAGAGTGTGCTTTTCACTTGCATAGTCACTGGAGGACAAGCCTCACGTTGGTGCCTATACCCTTGTATTCTACCCTTGTAGACAATCATGGGTAAAGGGTACCGAGATGCTGAGATAGATGAATAAAAGCTGACCATAATTCCGGAACTTCTGCAACCAGGCGACCCAAAACTTCGAGCACGCTATAATCTGGCCCTTGCACGATTACCTTGAGCAATGATGTTGCGTGTGTAGACTACATGAAGCAGCTGACAAAGGAGCTTTGATGAAAGCTGCCAGAAAGGATAAACGTAGGTCTTACCTTGTCGCACAATGATAGACTATGATTATATCAGAATGACAGAGTAGACCATGATCGCAAATGCAGTTCACGTTTCCTCGTACGGATCTGGTCTCTCTAAATCTCAAACAGCCGCTCTTCAAAGTTTTTGTACGATGATCTAAAGTCCCAAAAACTTTCTACCTGTTCCGAACAGGATGGAACACTTTCGCCCTCTGCCATACCACGAAGTGCCTGGAGCCTTATCCTTTCCGAAGCCATAGCACTCTGGTGACCTGCAACGACGCGATCCAGCATTAGTGCTATCTTTTGGAACTTCTCATCCTGGGACTTCTCTTTCGCTCCTCGCGCCACGACACCTTTCATCAGAAGCAAGCCGTGCCGCCGCACAGCCCGTAGAAGCTGCGGGATGCTCTCACTTGTTGACGATTGCATATCTTCACTTGAAGATCGTATCGACTTTGAGGTTTCCCGGTCCTGCATGTCTTGCAGCAAGATCGCCGGGAACAACTCGTCTGCGAACTGGTACAATGCTAGCAGTCCAGGCATCTCTGTTGGTGGCAGAGGAGAAGAGTCCGGTGAAATCATGACATTGCTCAGGGGAAAAGAAACTCCTAAGCCTCGATCCAATAACCAGTCGACATGCGCTACCACTGCATTTACACTTGCACTCTGAGCGACCACGTTGGCAGTCTCCAATAGCATCGAGAGACCACGCAATAAGAGCCGAAATCGCGAGGCGGCCGCTGGAAGAAACTCTGGGCTTCCACGTTCTGGCATATCACTGCGCAAAGGGAGTAAACCTGACCGCGCAGCCAGCAATCCACCGGAAGCCAGGCCGTAGAGCTCTGCGTGCCAGGCACTCCAGTGCTGCTTTTCCTGCTCCAGCAAGAGAGAGAGAGCACGCTTTTCCGCCTCTGCGGAGAACCAGCCAAGCGGCGCTAGAAGTGCCTCATAGGTCGGCGACGTCGAGACATAGCGGACCACCTTGTTGATCAACTGCGCCGAAACGTCAAAGTAGTGCAAACGGCTCGCGGTCCTCTGTTCCGGTCCAATGCAGAAATCTGCCAGGGCCTCCGACGACTCCACCCGCAAGCTTTCCTGCTTAATGCTAGCCAAGCCCTATCCGTGGTTGAGTGGGTTCTTCCCTTTCTCTCCCTCAAAGTCCTTTTGACATCAAAGGGGAAATCACTCAGCGTAGTCCCCACCAGATAGTACATGACTGGCCTTAACGTACGCTTCTCCTGACTCCGATTCACGACAAGGCGACTCCTGCTTTCTGGAAAGAAAACTGAGAACCAGCTCCGAGGAATCCGCGACGTCTCCTCCTACCTTCGAGAAGAGGCTGTCGACCTCTGGCTGCAGTCTCTGCGACCAGGCCTCTGCCACCCCTGGGTGCATCGACTGGGGGCACATTGAGGGTCTCGGCAACGGCATGCGAGTGCCCCCTGTGCCGCCTGGACTCTCCAGACCCAACTTGACGAGATTGCGGATCATATTTTCGTACGTTGCAGCCTCCGCGTCCTTCGGATTCAGGCCTAAGACCATCTCGATGAAATATGAAGCGTCGCCCTGTGGCCCAAGCTGGCGCATTGCATAGTTGCTCATGCCTACCGTCGCCTGCAGCAACGCCTCGTGCGCGGAAAATTTGCCTCTGCAAGTGTCATCACCTGATGAAAAAGAGCCCTGGCTGCACCGCAAACCCGGTGACTGGCCAACTTGAGAAAAAACTTCACCAGTAAAACGGGCTGAATCGGCCTGCTTGTTGGCACTACGTGTTGTTTCCGCAGGCATTAATGCAGCCCTGAGTGCGGGAAAAAAGTCAACCACTAGCGATGATAGCAGAGGCGCGCGAACCCCCCACGAGGACGCAACTGAGGCTTCTGGTGGTGTTCCGCCAACGTCACCACGATTCAGACGACTGACTTTCCTTCGGCCCCGTGACCGTATCCCAATTTCTGCTGCGGATGCTGCATGGTCCACCTCGTCATCGTCCTCGTCACTGCTTGATGAGGTGTCTGACTCTTCCACGCTTTCCTCCAGCGGCGGGCTATCCTCGTCCTCCAGGAGTCGCGCGACGCTAAATCCCGGCATCAGGCGTGAGAGAGTTCGAAGCGCCGCCGTTTGCACCGCCTGCACGTCTCCGTGGTCGACTACAAATAACAACAACCTGTCCACAGCCTGCAGCAGCAAGCTGTGCCAGCGGGGGCATCGCAGCTCTTCCGAAAAACTCTCTAGTACCAGAATAACGGCTAAGCCCGCTTCGGCACGCCATTTCTTTCCGGGCACTCGCTTCGAAATTTGCAGTAAGTGCCGCATAACCATCGGCAGCAACTGCTCAAAGAGCGCGGATTCCGATAGAGGCGGCACGAAGACCTGCACACCGCCCGCCCGTGCAGGGCTCTTAGAAACCGGCTGGCCCAAGCTCGAGAAAGCAACAACTAAACGCCGCATCCGCTCAAATTGTTTCCCCAGTGCTTTCTCCTTGTTCTCTGCGCTGCGCGCCCTTCCCATCGACGCGCCGATGTTCCTGGACAACTGCTCCAGCTCCATTACAATACTATTCATTGAATCGCGAACATCCATGAATTCATCGTGAAGTACTCGATAGCCGAAACCACGGCTACTGGTTCGCGCAGGAGCGGCAGTCAAGGTATGACGTCCCTCGTGCGTTCCTGTCGCGGTACCATGTACATGATTCGCCTCCTCGCTGGACATGCTGTCGCTTCCACGCGGTGGCGTTGTGGTCGTGCCACCGGTTCCGGACACGTTCGGATGACTCCTGCCACCCGGAGAAGCTGCTCCTAGCACATCCTCCAGATTGTACACAGCGTTTCTACGTCTGAGGCAGCGGCCCACCGCGTTTATCCCTCCCTGCGGAAAAGAGTGCCTAGGCGTGTGACCGCTATCTGTTTGACGTGTCAAAAAAGCTGACAGCTCCTTTGGGGAACCAACACGCGCCAAACGCATCAGATGCCGAAAAACTGTCTGCATTTGCAGTCCAAACTGTTGGACCAAGCACGACGACTCCACATCGAGAGCCTGCAGGCGAGAGGGTGAAAGAGTGAGTGTTCGCGGAAACACCGTCAACACAGACACCAGAAGAGTGCGTCCGAGCTCCTGCGGGAAGAGCAGCAGGGGCTCCGCCGTTAGTGGCGACCCCGTTGCCGTAAGCACAACCGTAGGCAAGTAGCCAGTGAGGAATTCCAGCAGGCTTTGCCATAGAGAGAAAAAAGGCAGTTCGTCCATTGTCGTTGCTGATGCCTCGATGTTCGATGACCGCGACCCTGTGCCAAGCAGCTCCTCGTCGCTCAGAGACCCCGTAATCCGCTGCATCACCTTCGCGACAAACGTAAGCGCTTGCAGCGCTGCACCCCACGGCACTCCTGCTGGCGTCCTCATCGAATGTGCTTCCAAGGAAACCACGCTCGTTGATCTTGCTGTTCCAAGCGAAGTAAGGCGTGGCGCATGACGATCTCCGCCGGCACCTCTCAACAGACTAGCGGCCGAAGGCAGCCTACCAGGCGCACCCGCTACGCCTCCTCGTTGTGTTTCTTGCTGCACTCCGAGAGGTGGCCGCGTGCCAAAATCGGGCTCCCCCTGATTGGTGACGGAGACCCCTGGACGGGTCGACGAATATCTCGAGCGATCTAAACGCGGCTTCTCCTTTTTGGCCGCCGCTTCCTTCTCTGCTCGACGCTCGTACCACAAGAACATGCGCTGCACAAATACTACACTCACGGTAAGCATTTGCTCGGCGACGCCGCTCGGTGGCATCCCGAGATCCCTGCGCGGGCTTGGGCAAGAAGGACTCGGGCTCGCCTTTCGCGGCCTCTTCTTCCGGACACCGCCGGGAGGTCTGCCCAAATCCCGGACTGTTCGTGACCTTCTGGGAGCAGCACCCATGCCATCGTCGTCGTCGAGGAAATCGGATATGTCCTCCGCCTCTGCCTGCTCCAGTTCCTGGGTGTACGCGGCCTCATCCTCCTCGTCGTCTTCACTTGCGCACGCCGAGGCATCATTGAAGAGACTCTCTGCGGGTCGAAACTCCGGACCAAACAGCGCCGTGAGTTGCGCCTCCACCGTGTCACTTACAATCGCGACGTCAAGCTCCTTCTGATGTGCGATTTCGCGCAACAAGATATGCCCAAACAAATCGACGCCCAGCTCAACCGACCCCGAGAGCTCCGTGGCGCCAGCCAGCTCCGCAAGCACCCGCATGCAGGCTAGCCGCAGCTCATGGTCACCATCCAACAATTTAGGATGGCGCAACAGCTTCACAAAGCTTTTGAGTAGTGACAGTTGGCCCTTGTGCTGCACGGGGGTGCACTCGTCGCCGCTGCCCCGCAGCAAGCAGGGCTCCAGGTGCCGGCTGGTACCACCGCTACTGCTACTGGAGCCAAAACGATCGGCGCTAATACGGCCTTCCGCTAACGCTGGATCTGCGGCTGCACGCAGTGGCGGTGACGGTTGGGGCACAGTCGCACCATGCGGTTGCACAAGCAACACGCGTGGCTTGCCGCTAGACATGCGTGCCAGACCGTCTGCTTTATCGTCCCATGTGGGTGACGGAGCCGCCTCTGTCTGACCTCGCGGTTCTTGCGCCTCCGTCATACTTGCATCCGCCGTGCTTGGTGGTTCGCGCGCATTTGTAGCGTGGCTGTGCTGCTGCTGCTGACGACTTCCTGTATCCGTCGTGTTTCCACCTTTGGTTGTCGCGTTCGCAAAAAAGTCGGTCATGCCAGATGCCCTTGATGAAGGCGGCGACACTGTCGAAGTAATTGATGAAGACGGTGACACAGTCGTCGTCGTCGTCGTCGTTGAAGTGGGTCGAAACGAGTGAAGCGGTGTCGCGTCCACGAACATGTCTTCTCTAACCCAGATCGCGATCAGCGAGTACAGCCCCTCTAGCGCCTTCAGTGCTACTTGCCTGTTGCGGTCCACATCCAGCGCATTCACGTAGATGCGCAATACCTGCACATAAAAATTCCAGACGTCGGCGCTGCGTCTCCGCAAGAGAGCGCTGAGGCCGCGGGCTTCCTCGCTCAACAACTCATCATTGTGTTCGTGCACTTCCTGAAACAGGACTGCGAAAAACTCCAAATGCGTCTCGCACAATTCGGCGCTGAAAGTCAGCTAACGTTAAAGGTAGTCTCCTTTTATCGTCCTCATGGTTGATCGTTAACGGTAGTTGAGTAAGTTGTTTTCTTTGTGTCCCCTTAGATTGTCCCTTTTGACTTCGAGGTAAGGGGAATGAATGAATCTACTCAGGTAAATAGGTATCCAGCACCAGACGATGAAACACTAGTGCCCTTAAGAATTGTGACGATCCCGGTAGGACTGCGACAACTGTGCGAAACGCGAAAGGATCCAGTCGCCGAAAAGGACACGGCCTTGCCTCTCAGCCTCCGCGGCGCGTGCGTCGAGAGAGGAGCCTCTTGACCCTCCACCGTTAATGTTCAGAAAGTCCAACACTGCTGGATTTTCTGTACTGCTAGACGGACTTGACTTCGCGGTCCCCTCGCCGGGTGGCATCATGCGGCCGTGCTCCCGTCTGATAATCTCGAACAAAATGCTGACGAGGATGCGGCACAGATGCCGTCGTTGTTCAGGAGTCAAGTCTCGCTTCCGCATCTCGTTGTGTCGCAGGAGCGGCATGAAGCGAAGCCACTCCAGTACTTTCATATAAATTGTTTCATGATCGAGCAAGTACCGCGACATACTGTCGTCTGCCGGTTTCTCCTCTCCGCCCATCTCCATATCTGAATCGACATTATCGCCAGTGGTCGTACCAGTCGTAGCGATTGGTCCGCATTCGGCTTTTGCGTCTGGAACACGAGAGTAACGAACTTCATCCGCGGCTCTCTTGCCGCGCAAGTGGTCTACCAAGCGGGAAGAGTGAGCCGCTGTCTCTCGCGATTTACAGCTGCAGTTCCATGTCTCGTGCTCCATCCCCATCGGCAGCGGCACCACAGGCGCTCGGCTTACCTTCTGATCCCATCGCTTCTGTACGCAGCGTAGCAGCGTCGAGAAGGCGAACTCTCGCGTCGCGAAAGCAAGCGGCTCCAAAGTATTGGCCAGTTCTCCAATGTAGCCGCATACCTGTGGCAAGTCTCGCCACTCCACCAGCATATTATCGACGGTTTTAAGAACGGCGCGCTGCTGCAGCCAACTCAAGTTTTGCACAAGAGCATCCGAAACTAAGCGCAAGGCTCCTTGATCCGCATCTGATAACTTGCGTTTTATGAAAGGGGTGCTCTGAGAAAAACCATTACCATTTGCTGCTAAGAAATAACAAAGTCGAACGCTTAGATTAACTCTAGATCTAGAATGCGGTGGACATACAAAGTCACTAGTTCTTTTGCTGCATGCCTAGGACATGTCGAGAATTTCGTTTTTTAGTCTTTTAATCCTTTTCGCTGCCATAGCCGCTTGAGATGAGCCTACAGCTCCATCCATCATGCATTCTCCATCGCTGCGGGTTCCGTCTTTGGATAGCTCCTGTGCGGTAGAGATGAAATCCGATGGTAGCATCTGCAAATTCACGGCTTGTCGAAGCATGTTAACGAGATGAGCCTTGTGAGACGTAAGCTGTGTCCCCTGCCACAATTCATTGCCAAAAACTTTCAGGGCTGCTTTCAAGGCGCCATCTAGATGCCTCGACGGGTCAAGCCCCAGCTCGCGGACGCGCTCTGCCGCCGAGCCATCTCGGGCCGGTGCTACGAAATTTGCCCGACGGTACTTCGCCGCTGGCGGTCGCGCATTTGGGGACGAGTCGTCTCGCAGTATTTCCGCGGATAGTTGCCGCCCAGACGCAGTTAAAGTGCTCGTAGTTCCCCTCAGCTGCATGACCAGGTCGAACTCGCTTAACGGGGAAGCGGAAGCATCATCGTCCGAGGCGCCGTTCGAAATCTGCGACATGAAACCATCTCCTATGCGTGCTCCACTCGACGCAAGAAAGTCTACAGACATATCTCCTCTACAACTCGTTTCGTTCACGGGCGCGAGGGCCGTCGGCACACGCCGATAGGCTCGGACAGGGCCTTCTTCGGCCGGGTCATAGCTTTGGGGAGACGTCGTCCCAGACTGGGCAGTTGGATTTCCACCATCCAGCATGCTCTCGGATGGAAGACTCCAATAACCCCCACTGAAAGACTCCAAGTTTCCCTGTTGCTGAGCGGTGGACGCGGACCCTCCCGCATCGCCGCGTGGCGAGGTGCTGCGACTGCGGAGTTGCCTGCGCATAATCTGCAAATTCTCCATCAGTCCCTGATCCGGCCGCCTCATGACAAGCGGCACTTCGTCGCCCGGCGACCATTTCGCACGACCGAGAGTTTTTGCTGGCACTGAATTGGCCGGGCTTCTTCTTCCTTCTGCGCTCCCACAAGGCGCGGATGACGGACGCAAATACGCACAGGGATCGGCATGCACCGGTGAAATCCGCCTTGGAGATGCACTCGAAACGCTGAGAGCAGCGGCTCTACTGCCAGGCTGCATAGGTGGCCGTCCGTTGCTACCCTCCGAGTGGTATCTTGATTGGGGACTTGTGGTTGAGGAGCGCGGCGGTCGCCCTATGGGCCCTGCACTGCTCCCGCGCGCACGCACGCGCCCGCTGCCT